CGTGTGCTTACAGTCGGTCCTTGCCTTACTCAGAGTTCATCAGAAGTCTGCCCAAACAAGTCTGCCCAAACACTTTCGGAGTGAGATTGCCACTGATGCGTTCGGCGTCGCCGCCTGCGGGTGCCGCGGGAGGTATTCACTTCATTACTCCCGCTGCCAGCACTGCACAGTGAGCATTAATGTCGTGAGGGGTCGTTATGTAAGCCGGCTCGTGCCACGAACGTCATCCCGAACGCGTATATAAACATGCAGACTCTTAACCACTACTTGCAAGAGACCCCGTCACCCGCCTCCTCAGCTCTAGTCCCCCGGCTCCCCGTCGATGTTTTCCGAGTTTTTTCTCAAAGTACTCGAGAGGGTGGTCTTCGGCCCCCCTCCTGACCCTGTCCCTACTTTGCTTAACGTCCTCCTCCATCAACTCTGGCCCAGCTGCAAACAGAGACCATGGGCCATCCAATGGCGACTCGACCAAGTGATGACCATGTTCATCGAAACCCTGATCACGGAGTACCACGTCCATTCATCCCACGCTCTGTGTTCGTGCGTCGTCACCCGGCTCGATCACTTCCTGGACACCAAGCGCAACTTGCCCCGCGAGTACATCGTCGCCCACATCGCCCTACCCCTGCCTGCCACCTCCGGTAAACCACCCACTACGCGCACCATCGGCTTCCTCAAGTTCGAGCGCTGCTGGCGGAGCTGGGACCCCATCAGCGTATACGAGCCCATCGAGATCCCGGCCACCCGACGCGAGTGGCACCCCGCGGACGACACCCTCGGCGTGTACGAGCCCGACTTCTGCCCGTGGGCGTCGCGCCGCCCGACGCTCCTCCGCTCCAGCCGCGGCCTGGCAGTCCCGCTCGCGCGCGCGCTCGTCGCGGCGTGCGCGCTGCGCCGCATTCACCCTGACTGCATCGGAGACGCGTACGCGCACGCGTGGTTCGCCCGCGGCTTGTGGGAGCGGCTCGTGGACTCGGACGCGGCGGACGGCAGTGCGGGCCAGGACGCCTGTTCGGAGGATTCAGGCTGCTCCAAGCGGGGGCTCCTGGGGCGTTGTGTGCTCCGTGGCAAGACTCCCGCGGCCTTTTTGGAGGTGTTGACGGAGAAGGAGGTGGAGGAGTGCCGGGCGGTCGAGGACAGGGTCCTGCGCGAGCTCGAAGCAAGCCGGGCGGAGGCGGAAGTGTGGTTGGCCGACAGCGCCGCGTGGGACAAGCGCCCTTTGGCCCAGATGGAGGCCATCTGGGACATTCGGGAGGCGGCGGAAAGAGGCGTGTGGGCGGGGGCGCGGAGCGATCTGGACCGGGGGCCGCGAAGCACTCGGCGCCGTGACCGGGAGCGGAAGCGGGAGGTCGACGAGGCTTGGAGGCGACTTGAGGCTGCGATGGTCAAGCGTGGTTTGAAGCCTGCCACTTAGAATGATCAAAGTGGGTATGTTCCATCGTCTTGCACGTCTTGGGTGCGATGGCTGACCGCGTCGCGATGGTACAGTGGACCGAAATGAAGATAGGTTTTTCGAGCTGGGTACGTTAGCTTGACGTATACAAGCACATCGGAGCTGTCGTCCTCGTCGGGTCACTCGACTCGAGTCTGTTGAGCCCTTCGAGCGCCCGTCGTACGCGCCTCCCGATTGCAGAGAACGTTTTCGCATGGATGAAGGCGTGGACTTCATGGTCAAGCTCGAGTCGCTTCCCTTTTCGCGGGTGATACAATATCGACTGAGGGGTAGCCGTGTACTCGCGAGGAAGAGGGCATCGTGGAATTGCGGGCCAGATCATGAACTGAGCACTATTGCGGCTCTCATGAGATTTATTGACCTCGTTGGTCTGCCGCTGCTGTGGGTTTGCATGTCGCCGATGATTGCTCCTATTTGTACCGTTGTAGTCCATATTCACGTCGAATGCGCATGGGTGATGGCGTGACCGAATACCTGTTTGACCAAATGCCAACAGCGAGTCGCTGGGACCGTACGGCGAACTTCGAAAAGGCAGACGTATGGATCGGTCGAAGGCCGGCTGTATCATGAACGCGACGGGCTGCACGATGACCGCGTTCTCGCAGTGCCAAAAATACAGAGGATTAGTGTACAACACATACATTTATTAAGGTCACCGTCCGGAGTCCGTGATCCAGGACCACCATCCGAAACCCGGATTGCCGTAACTGCTCGGGCGGTGCTTAGTGGAGAAGCCACGGGTAGACAGAGATGCCAGAGGTCAGCGACTGTATAAGTGTCTCCTCCGGCAATACGGAAAGCTTCACACACCTGCATCGCCGCAGGGTTTGCGCCCGGCATCGGCATGTCACCAAGAAGCGGCAGTGGTCCTCCCCAAAATAAAAGTACAACCCTGCAGAGCGCAAAAGACATGAGTCAGGGAACACGCCGCACGAGCACACGGCGCAAGACACTCACCGGAGTCGCTTCCCTCCCCCCACACTCGCGCGCCGCCGACCTCCCGCGCGGGGCCCGCACCTCGCGCCGCCCGCGCGCACACGCTAGCGGATGCCCGCGGCGGCCTCGAGCCGCGCGACCTCCTCCTGGAGCGCGTCGCGGCCCTCCTCGAGCCAATAGATGTACTCGCGCGCGCGAAGAGGATGCCGCTCTTGCCCTTCGTCCCGCGCCCGCGGCTGCCGCTGCCCTTGGGCCGGCCGCGGGTGGGCATGCCCGAGCCGGGGGGCGCGCCCGCGGGGGCGAGGAGCGTCGTGAGCTGCATGTAGCCCTCGCGGATCGCGTTGCGGCGCTTCTGCTCGGACATGATGTGGTTCAGCCGCTTCTGGGGCGTGGAGAGCAGCGGCTTGGCGGCGCGGGACGCCGCGGCCGCGGCCGCGGACGGGGTCGCGCGTGAGGAGGAGGTGGACGGGGAGCGGCTGGGGGAGCGGATGCGCGGCTTCGCTTCTGGTGGGGTGCAAATAGGGGAGGCTGGGCGGGCGGTGCGGATCGCAGGGCTGTGGGGGACTGCTGGGGCTGGTGCTGTGGTTGAGGAGGTTGTGGAGGTGAAGGCTGCAGATGCTGATCGCCCTGGGAGGAGAACAGGTTGGACGATGGCGCTAGCTTGTCGAGTCCCGGCGGAGCGGTCTCCTGGAGTGGATTCTGGTATATATCTGCGGGTACGGCGAAAGACTGCTGGAGGGTGTCGACATTGAGATCCCAGTCGAAGTTGTCGAGGAAGCCGAAGATGTCCGAGGTTTCGGAGACGGAAAAGAGCTCGTTTGAGGGCGGGAGTGGGGGCGGGGGCGGGGCGACGTGCAGGGCGGGTCGAAGAGCTGGAAGTCGGCGAACGCAGGGTGCGGGAGGCCCTGCGGGTCGCGGGGGGAGCGGGGGCGGGCGGTCATGGTGGGCGGAGGAAAGCCGGATAGCCGGCGGAGACCGGGCCCGGGGGACGGAGAGCCGGGGCCGGGTGGGCGTGCGGGCGGCGAGGCGGCGGAGGGACGGCGGGGAAAGGGCGGAGAGCCCGGTCGGCAGGGACGGCACGTGGGGGCGCGGGGGCCAGCAAAGGCGGGATAAATGGCAGGACCTCCGAAGCCCCGCCCATCACCCCCATGTCGGCCCTCTCAGAGGCGTCCACGCCGGCCCAGGACGCGGGCCCTCCGTCGATCGACACCCAGCAGCTCCAGCAGCACAATCACCAGCTGGCCGGCGACCTCCAACAGCAACAGGCCGCCTTGGCCGGCCAGGCCGACGGCCGCAAGCGTGCGTATGCCGCCTCCCCCGCCGCCGCCGTCCGTGCTGACCTCCTCCGCCCCTCCGCCCTCCGCCCCTCCGCCCCTCCGCAGCCAAGGCGCCGTCCGTACGCAGGGCCTGCACCGCTTGCCACGCCGGCAAAACCAGGTGCAGCGAGGCCCTCCCCTGCCAGGTATGTCCCTCCCCCGAGCGCCCTCCCCGCCGCCGCCCGACCCCCGTCCGCCCCGCCTCACCGCCGCCCGCCCCGCCAGAGCTGCCTCAAGCGCGGCCTCGGGGCCTCATGCACCTACCCAGATCCCGACACAGATCCCCACCAACAGAACCAGGCGCAACCCCGTACGTTCTGCTCTCCCTTTCTGCGGCCCCTGTTCCCCGGGCTTATCCTACCCCCCGCCGTCCCCGTGCGCAGCCCAGGTGCCGCCGTTCCCGACGATGCCCTACCCCCGCAGATGCAGCAGGGGCTCCAGCACCCGCCGTACTACGACTACAGCAACACCTTCGCCGCCCCCGCCAACACCAGCACGGCGCCCAGCACCAACGCAAACCCCAGCGCCTCCACCTCCACCTTCCGGCCGACGAAGCGACCACGCCCTCTCACCGAGGAAGAAACCGCCGCCATCACCCGCAACTTCACCCGCGGTGACTTCTTTGTCGGCTCGAGTGCCCCCGTCCGCATCGACCCCCGGCTTCCTGTCCGCCTCACTCTCGCCGAGGGCGATCAGGTCCATTTCTCCATCGGTGAGGCAGTAGTATAGCTCCTCCTGCGTCCGCCTCCCCTCCTCTGCTCCCTCTCATCGCTGCGCTTTTGTTTCTCTCTCTCTGTCTCGTGGGCGGCCGTTCAGCATGGACACCTGTCTGTATTGTTTTCTGATAGCTTTCGTTGCCTGCATCAATCCCCCGTGTATATCGTAGACCGTTCGTGTCGTGGTTTGTGTGCATGGACGTTGGCTCTCGTGCTTGAAGCCCAATGTATGATACAGTGTTCCCGTCGATTATTTGTATATCGGTGATGCCCAAGGTGCTGCGCAGGTGCTACATTGGAAATTACATTGCTTATAACTTGATGTTTTGCCTTCATTATGCACGCCCAGTGATGAGTGTGACGCCGCGAGGCAACCTGGATCTCCCATTACTCTGCATAGTCTTCGATTTTTTCATGCTGACAGTGTTGTAAAAAGCGATTGCAACATTTCAGAGAAACGGTAGTATTGCGCCCGTGGCGACCGCCGCGCCCTATTATGAATTTCGCCGAGGGGTCACGGCGCGGGTCACGCACGACATCAACTCCGCTCGGCTAAGCTGTCGGATACGTCCAGTGATGACAGCATCCTCCCCGACGGCAACGTCGGAGACTGAAACTCACTCACGTTCTGTGGCTGAAGTCACGCTTGAACTGACCCAAAGTGCGTTTTCACCCCTCCCGCAGATATTGTGCCAGAGAATTCGAAGCAACGCAGCCATGCTTCGTCCAATGCCCCTCGCGCAGCTTCCACCTAAGCGCTGGTCATGGGGTCGTAGCCGACGGGTATCAAATCCTCAACCTTTCTCATTTGAGATATGTTTGCCAAAGATCGGGCTTGTTTCTGCACGGAACGACGTCGTTCTTTTTGCAAACGAAATTTAACGCATATTGCTACCAACGTGTGAATTTTCAACATTATCGGACGAGGGACAGGACCGTCAGACCAGATTTCTCAACACTGGGGCCTTTCTCATCACTGGGGTCGTGATAGTATCCCGCAAATGTATGGACGCAATGGACGCAACAAACCTCATCCTGGTGCTGGTGGAGCAAAAAGAGGATTCGAGCCATTTTGACGAGAGCGGGATTCAAACGACCAGGTTTGCGGGGGTTCAAATCCCATCGCCCGATTCTGGCGCCTTAGACCGCTCGGCCATCTCGCCATAAGCTGTGGGGGTCAACGTACTTATATAATAACAACGCACTTGGCGAACAACATGTACCTGTTCATCCACTGGGTGTATCATTTTTCTCCACTTGCACAAGCGAAGAGCATCAACGGTAACAGAATGGACCCGAGGTGTTCACGTGTGGCACAGCCACAGGGATTTGCGGGCCGATCGAGCCAATCACCGAGTGGCCGTCTACCTCCTCGGGCCACCGTGTCTCCCGCCAGCTTCCCGTCCCGCTCGCTTACGCACTATTTATGCTCGGCCTTACGTCTTTATGGAACGTCTGGTGATGGGCCACAGCTGCACACCGCGCGCGTACCGGTGCTAGATGTCCTCGAGGGCCGTTCTAGCGAGGGGGCATAGTCCGGCCATGGCGCCAGAGTTACGACCCAGACGTAAGAACCCGGCCATCGCCAGGTGCTTCGTCTCTTTTCTCATTCTATCGTCCTCTAATCCGGGACACTGATCGATACCGGGCCTGCGTCCAAGGTCTGCTCGCGACTCAAATACCCTGCGTCTGCAACGCATGTGCGTCGGATTTTTCCCTCCCTCTCCTGCCTTGCGTCTCCGTTTCCAGCGCTCACTTGGAATGCAACCTCTCCAGGACTCTGGCCATGCAAGTGCGACCTTGTCACAAAATTCGTGTCAGGAATCAAAATCCGTCTCGACAGCCTCCATCCTGCCTCCACCCGCTCTCGTCAACGCTAAGCCAGTAACCCCGAAGGACGAGACCGTCGTCGCTGCTGAACTGGATGCATACCCAGAAGGGGGGCGGGTAGCATGGAGAAACGTTCTCGGCGCGTAGGTCGACTTCTTTTCTCCCCGCCAATTGGCAAATGCTCACTTTGTGCCCCCAGCTTCCTCTTGCAGATGGGCTCAGTTGGGTAACGACCCGTTGTCAGCAAGTCACCCAAGGTTACACTAATCCAACTTCTAGTTACACGAACTCCTTTGGGGTTTACCAAGGTACTGTATGCGGCTTGGTCTCAACTCTGACCACCGCTGACTTTCATTTAGACTATTATAACCGAGTTTACTTGAGCAACACATCGTCCTCGACCATCTCGTGAGTGCCCTCGATTGACTGCTGAGATGCTGACAACGCATGCGCCATTCTCAGGTGGATTGGCAGCATCTCAGCCTTCCTGCTCGTGCTGCTCGGCATCCCTGTCGGTCATCTCTACGACCGCGGATACTTGTAAGTGGGAACGCGCGTATAGAACAAAGTAGTGGCTGAACCATTTGCTTAGCTACCACCTTCTCTACGGCGGATGTGTCGTTCTCTCATTCTCTACCTTTATGCTTTCCCTCGCCCAGCCCGGTGCCTTCTACCAGGCATGCGAACGACCGATTCACATTCGCCGCCCCGTCTCACATTGCATCCACAGATCTTCCTCGTCCAAGGTCTCGGTGTAGGCATCGGCGCCGGGATGGTGTACATCCCGAGCATGGCCGTCGTCTCTCAGTACTTCCACCGTCGGCGCGCGCTCGCCATGACCCTCGTCGCCGGCGGCGCCTCGCTCGCGCCGGTCGTAAACCCGATCATGCTCAACAACACGCTCGACCGACTCGGGTTCGCGACCGCAACCCGCGCGAACGCGGCGCTCAACACCGGGCTGCTCCTCGTCGGCTGTGCGCTCACGCGCCTCCGCTGCGTGCCCGTCGCGGAGGAGGGCGGCGGGAGCGGGTGGCGGGCGATGTGGACGTCCGCGCGGGCGTTCGCGCGCGACCCGCCGTACGTGCTCACCGTGATTGGGTGGGTGTCCCCTTGCGCTTTCACCTGCGACGACGTACATAAGACTAACCATCGCGACCTTCCCCCTCCTCTCCCCGGGTCGGCAGGATCTCCGTCTTCATCGTCGACTTCTACTTCCCGCTCTTCTACATCCAGCTCGACGCCATCCAGCACGGACTCAGCCCCCAATTCTCCTTCTACGCGGTGAGCTTCTGCTCCCGGCCCCGCTCCGGCCCCGTCCGCTGCCGTCCCCGCAAACCCAGTCCGCTGATCCACCTTCGCGATCCCCCGCCCGCCGGCGCCCGCAGCTCGTGATCCTCAACGGGTGCAGCTTCGCGGGGCGCCTCCTCAGCGGCGCGCTCGCCCACTACGCCGGGGTGGGCCGCGTCGTCACCGCTTCCGCCGTCGCCTGCGCCGTGCTCGTCTTCGGCATGATCGGCCTCCACACCGTCGCGAGCGTCGTCGCGATCGCGTCCATCTACGGCTTCTTCGCCGGCGCGTGTGCGTCTTCCTTCGTCCGCCCTTCCGCACGAGGAGCGCGGCCCGCTGACGTCGCGTGCGCGGAACCCAGACATCGCCCTCCTCGGCCCCTTCTTGGTCTCGATGGCGGGCAGCATGTCCGAGACCGGGTCAGCGTCCCATTCGGACCGCCGCCGCGGAGGTGAAGCTGACTGGTGACCGTTTTCGCTCCCGCAGGCTCCGACTCGGGATCGCGTGGTGCATGAGCGGCTTCGGCAGCCTCATCGGTGCGTGCTGTGGTCCCTGCGCACATACGGTGCGTAGCGTAGCCCGGCTTGTGCTGATCGGTGCGCAGGCACCCCCATCGAGGGCGCGCTCCTCACCGGGGAATACGTCTGGTGGCGTCCGGCGGTCTTCAGCGGGGTGCGTGTTCTGAACCTCAGCTCTCACAGCCGTCGCGGCGCATCCTGACGCGCCCGCTCCAGGTCGTTGGCATGTTCGGTGTAGGCTGTCTCGTCGCCGCCACGGTGCTGATGCACAGAAGGGAGGCTGACACGCGCAGCGAAAACACGTCCGTAGACGACAAGGCCTGAACACGGGCGTAAATCCGGTCCGGACTCTGCGGTGATATAGAATTAGGTATCTGGGTCTCTCTGTCGTCTCTGTATATGTATCATAGATCGGGCATACACGATGAACCGTTTCCGGGAAGTGGTCGAGCGTCAGCACATCAATACTGGCTGGGGTGGTCGTCGCCGAACATGATCTTGAGGTTCTCGATGCTCTCGGGGTCGCTGTCGCGCTTGCCCTTGAATGCCTCCTTGACGATCGCGGTCTTGCGCTTCTGGATCTGCAGGATGCGGCCTTCGATCGTACCGCTCACCTATCCGACGTTCAACGTAAGTGATCGCACGGCGCACTCATAGAGGACGTAAATCTCACGATGAAATGAGTCACGTAGACAGTCTGGTTCTGCCCGATCCTGTGGACACGGTCGATCGCTGACGCGCAAACACGTTCAATACGGCCGCCGTTGTTTAAATGGCAATGGGACGGCTTACCTTGATTCTCCGTAGCGGCGTTCCACCAGCAGTCCATCTAACAGCACAGCATAAGTCGTTGGTAGATCAAGATGTCAAAGCGTCCTCACCATGAACACGTGGTTCGCATTCGTCAGCTGCGTTCCCAAACATATCAGCACTTGGTTCGTAAAATATGAACGATGATAAACTCACGTTCAATCCCACTCCGCCTGCTTTCAAACTGATGATAAGCACCTTCGGCTCACGGGACGCCGCCTTGAAGCTGCTGACCGCCTCATTACGCTTTTTGATGTCCATCGAGCCATCGAAGCGGTGCCAAGGCAGACCCTCGCGTTCCAGTACTACCTGGATGAGGTCGAGGAAACTGGTGAACTGAGAGAATACGACCGCTCGGAAGCACGGATCTTGGTCGCGTAGGCGGCCTGTAGGGCGTCAGCGAATGAGGGAAATGGCGTTGACGTGCAGGCGCGTACGGAGGTGCTGGACCAATGCTTCGAGCTTCGTGGACGAGCGGAAGTCGTTGCGACGCAACGTCACTTGGGTCGATGATGTTGGTGTCTCTGAATCCTTCTCGCCGCCGTTCGTTCGCGCCCGGACTACCTCCAGCAGGTCACGTTCCTGTAAGCGGGGTGAGCGCAAACCAACTTCTCAACGTTTTTGTCGCATTACCTTCACTGGACCACGGGAACATGTCGGGCACTTGCCGTCTTCGCCCTTCTCCCGGCATTTTTCGATAAAGGCCACGATACAGTCTTTGCAGCTGTGACGGACTATCGTGTCGACAACCACAAACCACATAGAGACTATTAGAGTGCAACTCACGACTGGTGCATACACTCAGGCAAGATGACCGGCGTCTCCATAACGTCGAAGCAGATGGGACATTCCGCGTCGCCCTCTTGCCCAAGGTTTGCGAGAACGCCTTCGGCATAGACTTTGCTATCTCCCACGGAGTTTTCTCCCTGCCCGAACTTCTCGATGAGCTCTTCCACGTCGATAGTACCGCTGCCTGCTGGTGCCTTCGAGGACCCACGTTCGCTTGATGACAATACGAGGTTGGGGTGGAGTACTGCGCGTCGCAGCCTGCACATCTCGATCAGTTGTATCCTCGAGGTTTCAAATGATCACTACCTACCGCATCAACATTGCGAGAATGTGAGTGTAATTGCGGCTGACAAGGCCCTTCTCATTCAGGTTCTCGAAGTCCTTCTTCGCATCCGAGTACAGCGAGTCGTAGATCTTGCGTTCCAGCGGAGAGAAGTCCAGTCGCTCGACCTTGATCTATGGGGCTGGTTAAGGTGGCGTTACATGAGATGTGTACCTCGGACAGACCTCTTTCGCGGGAAGCTCTACGATCTTCTTGCCATCGGAGTCAAGCATATCCTTCTCGCGGCGCAGAAGGACGCTCTCGAGGATGATTTGCACGACCTCAACGGCCTTCCGGTCGCGAGCCAAGAAAGGTAACGTGATGAAACTGGAGGTGCTGTGAGCCCATGTTGCGCAAAGCCCACCGAGATACCTACGATCGGAAGAATGTGTAGTTCGACCATGGCGTAAAATCCAAGAATTTCCTGTGATCGCAAAGATGAGTGTGGTGTCCTTCTAAAGACACGGCGGGCTTACAAAAGCGAGTAGAGATCCTCCAAGCGGTTGACAATGGGAGTTCCAGTCACAGCCCATCGCCTGCGTGCACGAAGAGCGTAAACTGCCTTCGCCGTTTTGCTCGTCCGAGACTTGCAGTGGTGGGCTTCGTCGAGTATAACACCTGATACAGATGATCAGGCTGTGTTGACGATGAGAAACTATTAATAAGGACTTACGCAACCATTCGACTGAGAGAATGCAGCGTCAGTCGTGTGTGATATGATTGTCAGAAAGATGGGCGTACTCTCATATACCGAAGACGAATGCTTTTCATGTTTAGCGTGCTCAGACACCAAGGTACCGTACGAAGTGATGATGACGTTGATGGCATCGTCGTCGTCCATGGCTGAGTCGAGGTCCAGTCGATTTTGGCCATGCCACACAAGGATGTTCAAAGTGCCCGGCTCACTCGAGCGCTCAAGTTCTTCTGCCCACTGCGCTAGCAGTGATGTCGGAGCGACAATGAGCGTGTCAGAGGGACCCTTGCGCCGCTGAGGTTGGGGCTTCGCGGCTACACGGAATGTGTTGTTCAGTCGGAGCTGTTTCGTCTTGGAGGATCCGTTGGCATCATCATCATTCAGGGGTTCCGGTTCGCGAGCCGTTTGTATCAGCGATGACAGCATGATTGTCTTACCCATACCCACTGCAGGTGATTATCAGTAGTTAGATACTAGCAAACGCAAGCAACTGACTTTCTAGACACGCAAGCCCCAGACACGAGTGCGGTCAGTGCCGAAGAACCAAACAGTGACAAAAATCATACCATCACTAACAAACAATAGTGTCAGTCGGGTACCAGTGTGAATATGCGGATAACTCACGCAAGGATGCCGCCTTTGCATTTCCGCTCTGCTTTCGGGAACTCAAGACTGAGTTCGCCTGAGTATTCGTTGAAGTAGAAGAACTCTTCATCAGCCGTGAGGTCCAGTACCTCATTGTGTGGGTCCATGGGGAAGAGATACCTATAATGTATGAGTCCGTCTGCCACAGCGTTATCGAACTGTTCACTCACTGTTTCCACAGTGGGTGCAAAGATTTTGCCTCTCGAGCGGATGCGGCACCCGTCTCGATGGAGTGCATCCACCTGTGGACCTATCAGTAAACGGATGTGACGAGTCACGGTCTGCTCACAAGAGAGCCTGTTTCTGGTATCCTCGTAATTTCATCGTGAAAGATTCGGCGGGTTCCATCTCACCCATATCCCTGTCGTTCTGCTGTGCCCTGTAACGTGGCTGTCAGTCTCGCACGGTGTAAGACGAGATAGAGCACGAACTTCTGGTAGATCATGTTGATCTGGTCCTCTGTCATATCGCCCTCGCCGTCATCGTCGTCACCATTCCCAGACGACTTTGTCGCAGGCGGGCGAGGTCCTTGAGTCAGCACTTGCAAGTCCTGCTGGGTCAACTTCCCTCCAGCCTTTGATGACACCCCCGCCTTCTTCACGGGCTTTAAATTGATGCGCTTGAACAGCTGCCTAGAGACCGCTTGCGTTCTCTCAAAATCAGCTCTTCTTCGGTCTCACGCCCTTCGTTGAACATGATCTTCGACCTGTCTTTCTCTTTTTCGTTAGACGAAATAGACGGTGTTCGAAATGCGGAAGCTTTGATAAACACAGACAAGGACAGAATCAAGTTCGCGCCGGTCGTGAGTTTGGCGGGACAATCGACCATGGTGCATTTCCGGAACTCGACGATATCTGTATGCGATAAACGACTATCGCGCGAGCTCTACGGGAAGCATACGGACCTAGATCAAGAAGCCGCGAGACCCAGGACGCGACGTCTTGCGGAAGACGTCCGAATTCTAAGCGCCGCATTAGTCAAATCAATCAAAGACGCATATATATACGGCGCACCAAATCCTCTGCTGTTGGTAATGCGAACGACAGTGTCCTGCTTTTTTTTCCCTGAAGGTTTGACAGGTGCAGGCTTGAGCATACTCGCGATGGTCAACTGCTTCTTGCCGCCACTGGACTTCTCTTTCACCGGCTTCTTGACCGGAGGGGGTGGAGGCTTGTCGATCTCGTCGCGTTCAATGTGAATCTCCTCGCCAGTCTTGATGTATCCAGTGCCTTTGACCGTGCTCCAGGCGCTGTCGACGAGAAAAGAGCCAAGGTACCAAGAGTCTTGAATCGAGATATCTGGCGCTTGTTGAAGGGGCGAGAGTCTGCGACGTTTTAGAGGGGGTTCTTCCGTCTTCGCGGCCTGAGCAGAAGGGCTCACTGCACAAGGCAGGGGAGATATTCGAGCACCATCGGATGTAGTGGACATACTAGATGCGCTGGACGTGCGAGGGAGTTCAACGACATCCGGGATTTCTAAATCCAACTGCAGTTCCATGTCGTCTTCAACGTCTGCCATGGGTACGGACTCCTTCACCTCGTACTTGATCTTAATCTCCTCTTCATCATCGCTGTCCCCAAAGAAGAGCGGCCTCTGGGTTCGGTGTGGCGCCACGCTGGGGCCAGGTTCTGAGATGTCCGGTGCTGGGGGCGCGTCCGTGTCCATCTTGATATCCGGCGTATCTTCGTCGTCAGAGCCAGCAAAAAACATGGGCTGCTGTTCAACAGCGGCCATAGCGGAGGAGCAGGAAGCAAAGGGTGGGTAAGCGAGGTGTGTGAAGCGCGAGCGACGCGTCGAGTCGACGCGTCAATTAAACGGAATTCTGGCAGCCACCGACGCGGTCCCGCCGACGCGTCGACATGTGCAAGCACCCGTGATAGGCAAGTTCCTCCCACGATATCTCGGCGCTTTGACAATTCAATCGGACGCGCGAGGCGACGTCCTCATCGTCCTCTTCCTTTCCCCTTTCCCTCTTCCTGAACAAAATGCAGCGGGGCCTACCCATGGTACGCCGCGATTTTCCCCACATCATTATTGTATTACTTACGCTCGCGCGCAGCAACCTACCGTCGTCCTCCTCAAGGAGGGGACAGACACATCGCAAGGAAAACCCCAGCTCTTGTCCAACATCTCGGCGTGCCTTGCGATCTCAGAGACGTTGGCTACCACCCTCGGTCCTCGTGGCATGGATAAGTTGATTGTCAACGAGCGGGGCGAAGCGCAGATCACGAACGATGGCGCGACTATCCTCAAGCTCCTGGACATCGTGCACCCGGCGGCCCGTACACTCGTGGACATCGCCCGTGCGCAGGATGCGGAGGTCGGTGACGGTACCACGAGCGTCGTGCTCTTAGCGGCGCAGCTTCTGAAGGAGGTCCGCGGCTACATCGAGGAAGGTGTCAGTCCCCATATAATCATGAAGGGTCTCAGGCAAGCATCAGACCTGGTGCGTATGTGCGCTCGTATTTTCTCCGTGCTAGGCTCAGTACGCGAGTAGGCCGTGGAGCACATCAAGTCTGTTCAGATCACCGTTGACAAGTCAAATCCCGAGTGTGTTGTACTCCTGATGTCACCGTGAACGTGCTTGCTGAAATCTTACAGGGAGTTCCGCTCTCTGCTCATCAAGTGCGCGTCCACGTCCATGTCTTCTAAACTCATCCACTCGGAAAAGCCCTTCTTTTCCAACATGGTTGTCGAGGCGGTACTGTGTCTGGACCCCGAAGACCTCAACGAGAACCTCATCGGCGTGAAGAAGATCCCTGGTGGCGGCATGCAGGACTCACTCCTTATCCAAGGTGTCTCCTTCAAGAAGACCTTCACGTACGCCGGCGCAGAGCAGCAACCAAAATCTTTCCGTGACCCTCTCATCCTTTCGCTAAACGTGGAGCTCGAGCTGAAGGCAGAGAAGGACAATGCCGAGGTGCGCGTCGAGCACGTTGCGGACTACCAGGCGATCGTCGATGCCGAATGGGAGATCATCTACCGTAAGCTCGAGGCGATTGAGAAGACAGGCGCGAAGGTCGTTCTGAGCAAGCTCCCCATTGGTGATCTCGCGACGCAATGGTTCGCGGACCGCGATATCTTCTGCGCTGGTCGCGTGCCTGCGGACGACTTGCAGAGGACGGTCCAGGCGGTCGGTGGCTCCATCCAGTCGACATGCTCGGACATCAGACGCGAGCACCTTGGCACTTGTGGGTCCTTCGAGGAGAAGCAGATCGGCGGCGAGCGCTACAACCTGTTCACGGAGTGCCCGAAGGCGAAAACGTGCACGCTGATTCTCCGAGGAGGCGCGGAACAGTTCATCGAGGAGGTGGAGCGGAGTTTGCACGACGCCATCATGGTGGTCAAGCGGGCCGTGAAGAACGGCGAAATCGTTGCGGGAGGGGGCGCTATTGAGGTCAGTATAGCTCTGAATATATGCACATTATATAACGCTCATACATGCTGCAATCACAAGCTCGATCTCTCGTCACGCATCCGGAAGCACGCACTCTCTATTCCTGGAAAGCTGCAGCTGGTGATGATAGCGTTCGCCAAAGCGTTGGAAGTGATCCCCCGGCAAATCAGCGACAACGCGGGGCTGGACTCTACAGACATCCTGAATAAGCTGCGGATGAAACACGCGAATGGCGAAAAGTGGTTCGGCGTTGACGTCGACGGCGCGGACGGCATCCGAAACAACCTCGACGCGTTCGTCTGGGAGCCGAGTCTCGTCAAGGTCAACGCAATCCAGAGCGCAACTGAGGCCGCTTGCCTCATTCTCAGCGTCGACGAGACCGTGCGTGCGCCGCAAAGTGAAGCGGTAAGCTTTCTCGGGTTCATCTATGTTACACGCAAGCTAACCGTTTTACCTTTTAGCAAAACGCGGGACCGCGCGCACCCCCCGGTACGGCCCAGCGAGCACTTCGCGGAAGAGGTCGTGGGATGCCAAGGCGGTGAGGGAATAGCAAGCAGCAATTGCGAATGTGTAGACGTATCGATATCATCCTTTTTCCGTGACCCCACCGCCCGCCCGCCCGCCGCAAGCTCACTCAGTGGCCAATGATAGGTGAGCGCCCGCATCACGGTCACATGCTACTGGTGGGACACGGCGCTGCGTGACTGGGACGGCTTCTGCGGGGAGGAGATGTCGCCATCCCGGGGCCAGATGGGCCATCCTCACCTTTGCTCACGATCGCAAATACACTCGCCCTATGTCGTGACATGCTACCTTGCTGATAGCATCCAGGCCCCGCCTTACTCCTTTTGCCGTCCGCGAGCTCTCTCGCGCAGCGCTATAAGAGTAGTAATGAACGCCGCCTAGCCTCGCAGTCCTTCCCAGCCTCGCAGCCATGTCGACAGTCCTCGCGAAGCCTTCCGAGGCGCTCACCGAAAGCTCCGGCTCGTCCGACAACGACTCCATCAAAGGCAAGGGCGCATACAGCGCGACCGAGAGCGCAGCCGAAGTGCCCGCTCTTGGCACACCTGTCGCGGATGGACCGAAGTCTTCGTTCTGGCGCAAATCGAAGCACGAGCTCGACAGCATCGCAACACAACCATCTGTATTTGACGATCCTGCACGCTCGAGGTATACCGTCCCCCACCCACTTGGGAGAACACGCACCGTTTCGACCCGCTTGCGCGATGGACCTGGCGAGAAGAATACGTGAGTGGGGCTCCGTTGACGCCATTCAGCGCTCGGGTGCGGATCATTATCCCCTACTGACTTCTTTCGTACAGCGCCTGGTTCGCAAGATTGACTGTCTGATCGCGGCGTGGGCCTGCGTCATGTTCTTCAGCCTCGACCTCGACCGGTCGAACATCTCTCAGGCGAACACCGACAACTTCCTGAAAGACCTTGGGCTTACCACGGACGACTTTAACCTCGGAAATACGCTCTTCCGGGTGCGTGCTCTGTGCCTCCGAAGATGTCATCGACTGACAGTCGTATTCGAAAAGCTCTCATTTTTGATTGCCGAGATGCCCTCTCAGATCATCTCGAAGCGCGTTGGTCCGGACGTGTGGATACCGACCCAGGTAGATGGCATGTTTGTACGCCCGGGCTAACGGAGAGCTGAATAGCTGTCCTCAGATGATCCTATGGAGCTTTGTCTCCCTCGGTCAATTCTGGCTTACTGGCCGCAAAAGCTTCCTGGCTACACGGTATGTATTTGATGTCTGCACTGGCGATTTGGTCATTGAATCCATTCGCAGCTTCCTTCTCGGCTTCATGCAAGGCGGCTTCATTCCCGACACAGTCCTATACCTGTCGTACTTTTATACCAAGAATGAGCGTGAGCGTGTTGTGTTGCCTCAGCCGATCTGTGACATAGTATTGACGCCCGTGACATAGTCCCCGTCCGTCTGGCGTGGTTCTGGGTCTCAAACTACATCGCAGAAATCTGTGGCGCTTTTATTGCCACAGGGCTTTTGCGCCTTCGCGGCGTTGGCGGTAAGCCGGCTGGCGATACCTCTTCCTCATTGAGGGCGGATTGACGCTGCTAGTCGGCATAATTTCCTTCTTCATGATGCCTCCGGGGCCAACGCAAACCAAGGCGTGGTACAGACCCAAGGGATGGTTCAGTGAGCGGTAAGCCTATGTCTCTATGCTATCTCCTCAGCCGCTGAAACAAATTCGGTTCTCCAGGGAAGAAGTCATCATGGTCAACCGCGTCATCCGAGACGACCCCTCGAAATCCGATATGCACAACCGAGAAGGCCTGTCACCAAAGAAGTTCTGGCAAGTGCTTCTGGACTGGCGCATCTGGCCCGTCTACATCCTGGGTCTCATTCACTTTAGTACGTCCCACTCCTTCATACTGCCGATCTGCACCCGCCTGACCGCCTGTAGTCCCCGTAACCCCACCGCAGCTCTACCTCACGCTCTCCCTGCGCAACCTCGGCTTCACGACGACCCAATCAAACCTACTCTCCATCCCCTCAAAGGTGATAGGCATGATCATGCTCCTCGCCACCTCGTACCTCTCCGAGATCATCAACTCGCGCACGATCGCGACCGTCTTCCTCCAATTCTGGGCGCTCCCGTTACTCATCGCGCTCTACACGTTCGACGAGCAGACGTCCCAGTGGGCGTACTACGCCGTCGTCACCCTCATCACCGGCTTCCCGTACATCCACCCGATCCAGGTCGCCTGGGCGTCCACGAACTCGTCCTCGGTCGGCACCCGGACGCTCTCCGCCTCAATGTACAACATGTTCGTCCAAGCGGGCCTCATCATCGGGGTGCGTACGGAGTAAGCCTGAGCCGAGCCCGACGCTGACGAAGATGCCGATCTCTTCCTCCTCGCTTGCAGGCGAACATATATCAAGCTGACGACGCGGTGCGTTCTCTTCCACACGCGTTCCCGCGACGGTCCGTGCTCACGTACGCCCACCCCCTTTTCAGCCGCTCTGTACGTACACCATCCCTGAGCTTCGGCACTTTCGGCCTTTGCGGCCGCCCGCCCGTTCGCCCGTCCGTCCGTCCTGGCCCGACGCTAACAGTTTCGCGGCGGTATTACAGACAAACGCGGGAACCGCGCACTGATCGTCGTCTGTTGCGTGAACATCCTCATCCACTTCCTCGTCTGGCTGTTCTACCGCACGATCAACAAGCGGAGAGACAAGGTTTGGAACTCCTGGACGGCGAAGGTCCGTCTTTGCTCCTTCCTGATTATCACTGCCATCTTCCGGCATTAATCACGGCGTGTAACAGGAGCAGCAAGAATATCTCGACACGACCAAGGACGTGGTACGTCAGAGATGGATCGGGCCTGGCTCTGAGAGAAACGAGCATGCGAAGCTGATTGCTGCCTTCTCCAGGGGAACTCGAGGATCAACTTCCGCTTCGTGTACTGATCGGGGCAGAGAGGTCCTTGGGGGGCGGGCACGACCGCGGGCACGGGACGAGTTGAGCCGTAATTACATGTAGCATTATACATCCAGACCCACAGTACTCCTTCCTCCAATCATCTCCATCCGATCGGATGTTCACCAGAGCCGAACCACTCACCGCGCGTCCTGGGCGTCATCCTCTACAGTCGTCGTCGTTGTCGTCGTCGTTGTCTCGTCCGTCGAGACCGAGACCGACATGCGCGAGAAGTCCACGCGCGACCGCCGACTCTCCTCGCTCTCCGCCCCGCCCCCGTCCCCGTCCCCGTCCCCGTCCCCGTGCGCGGCCTCCCGTAGGACGCCCCACCGCTGCCACCAGTCCTCCGCCTCGTCCTCGCAGTCGTACCCGAAGATCGTGCAGAGCGCCTCCCACAGCCGCGCCCCGCTCGCGCCGCGCTGCCGGCGGCCCCAGCCGACCCCGTGGCGGCCGTCCTCGCCGTCCTCGCTCGAGCCCGTGCTGTGCCCCGCGTCGTCGCCGTCGCCCTCGTCGCCGGACTCGAGGTCCTCGAGCACGTTCTTGCCCTGCGCGGTGAGCGCGCGCATGCGTCGGTCGCGCGCGCGCTGCACGGGCCCGTCGGGGAGCGTCATGAACGCGAGGTCGTGCGCGTCGCGCGCGCGCACGAGCGCGACGCGCGGCGTGCGCACCTCCGCGAACGCGTAGAGCAGCGGCGCGATCTGCCGCGGGTGCGTGAGCCGCGCGAAGAGCCGGCCGAGCACCGCGCCGTCCTCGACCGCCATCGCCGCGCACTGCACCGAGCCGGGCTGCGGCCGGTACCTAGGGGTGAGCGGGGGTGCGGGGGCGAGGGTGGAGAGGAGGGGGGACGTACGGGGAACGGGTGGGCGGCTTCGCCGATGAGCACGAGCGGGCCGTCCTCGGACACCCAGTCTTCGAGCTCTTCGTGTTCGCGGACCGATATGCGCACCGCTGGAGGGCAATTCACGAAGAGAGGCTTGAACCTACGTGCGAGCCCGTCAGCCGTGTTGTTTCGTAAAAACAATACCTTACTGACAGAGGGTTGATCGATTGCGTCACTTCTGAGATGGTGACGCTAGGCTCATCGTCCCACTGTCCCTCGACATCATCATAACCGAAGAATTCAAGCGCATACTCTTCGTTGCCATGCTATGTCCAAGTCAGCTCGATTGCACCCACACACTCCTGCAACGCTCACTCACCACAGGGAAGCATACGAGCGTCTTGCGATCCCCAATGACATGACACACAGCTTTCTACAGATTTATAAAGATCAGCGATTGTGCACCCACAAATCTCCTGCCCAGCTCACTTGTTCGATCAGATGGTCCACCTGCCCGTTCAAGTCAGCCACTTTGATGATTGCCCTGCACACATCGATCCCACCCTAAGCCGCCCTTCCCTGTGATGTGCGAGAAGGAAAGGAAGACATACTGATAGAGCACCGTCCCCGTCGGGCGCCCCGACGCAGGCTCCCCGAGGAGCACGCCGCGGCACCTCCCGCGCTCGCCGTCTGCCCCGACGATCACGTCTCCGTGTATGCGCTCACCGTCCTCGAGAACGACCTCGGACTGTGCGGCGTCGACGTCCGCGACGCGCACGCCGTGTTGTATCTGCGCGCCGTGCGCGACCGCGGCGTCGTAGAGAATGTTGTGGAGATCGTCGTGCTGCCGAACGCAGAGTCGCGCGAAGAAAGGCGCTGGATGTAAGAGAGGGCTTTGGGGTCGACCGACAAGCACGCACCGTGGCTACCATATAGGTCCCCCGCGTGTCTTTCAGGGTTTGTGTGTCCCACACTTGGTTACCTAGGAACCCCGCGGTCTCGTCTGCAGAGACACGTGTGACGTCAACGCCCCGTCTCCACGTAACTCGCAGCTCGGAGAAAGCGGAATACGCACACCGGCAGTAGTGCATCAGCCGCGACACCAGCGCCCTCTCCTCCAGCTGCTTCCGCAGGCCCCAGTGGAAGAGCACCTTGGTGAGATTGGGGGGCAGCCTGATGCCGCCGTACCCGCGCTAGACGATCCGCGGTTTAGTGCCCGGGTCGATCGAGATCGCCGTACGACTCAGCGCGCACCGTCTTCTCCCGTTCCAGGGCTTCAAGGACGACGACGTCGTGTCCCACGCGCCTCAGCGCAATCGCGGCGGAGAGCCCGGCGATGCCTGGACGGGCGTCGTTCAGCAACGGGCGAGGGAGAAAGGGGGGCGGAGGCTCACCAGCGCCGATGATTAGAAATGTGATAGGGTGCGTCGTCTGCAGCGGTGGCTCCGAGTCGTGGTCGGAGTCGGAGCCGGAGTCGAGGTCGGGTGTAACAGCGAACTGTAGGGATTAGGAGAATAAAATCAGCACCTGCGCTGTCACTCGGGGGTGTGTGCTGCGTACTCGATCGAGGGTGACATGCGCAGGTTAGCCGGAGGATGTATGTGGAAACTAGTGTGGGCGAGGTCGTGAGCGCAGCTAGAGTTGGGTCGAGGATGGGAGACAGATATGGGGGGATCGAGATGGGAATCTGCAAGACGGCGGCCTGCACGGAGGAGACGAGGAGAGTAGGAGTGGCAGTTGCGAGGTGACGAGGGAGTGGAAGCGGGTGGAAAGGCGGAGCAGGCCCCCGGGCGCCCAGCGCGGTATACATATCCACGTCGCCTCGCGCGCGCCGGGCCATCCGCCGCAGCGGCAGCTGAATGGGTGGAGGTCCCCGGGTCGGGGGCGCCAGAACGACCGCGCAGACGCGAGCGAAGCCCGCGCTGGCGACGGGCCTCGCGATCCGCGAGTGGCCGGCGGGGGCGCGAAGGGGAGACCCGTGCCATGGAGGGTAGAGCGCGCAAACCGTGTACACGCGCGCGACCGACCGCGCAGGCCTGCTGAGCATTGGTCGACAGCGCGCAGAGGACGGTTCCGAGATGGAAGCCCGCAGGGGTGGGAGGGACAATGGTGCATTGGGGCGATACGGTATTCCTCGCGAGTCGTCTTCGGGAATTCTGGCAGATGGGAGAGCCCCCCGGTCATGCCACTCCCACAACTGCCAGAACATACCGACGTATGTGGTCGGCCAGGGCGTGCGATGGAACACCGGATCCGGGGCGGGTTTCCAAGCCGGATGATCACAGCGAACGAGAAGCTGGAAGAGTCAGCGCATACAGTCCGTTCGCAGTGGTTTTCACACTTGCCAGAATCTTTCATTGCCTGCACCAGCTCAACATTGCCCCGTGATGGACCATATGCGAGCATATCAGATGCCCACGCGTCCATCTTCTCGGGGTGGGAGCTGCCTGTGAGCCTGAGAAAGCGCAGGGTCTTTGTTGTGTTCGTCCCGCCCGCAGAGCGCGAGGGTACGGGCTTGGGTCGGCGTCCGCAGGAAGAGGTGGCGGACGAGCCAGTGGATGGGGACGGCGTTCAGGCTGCGGAGGGCGGGGAAGCCGTCGTGCAGGTTGCGAGGTCGTCGGGCATGAGCAGTTCGATGAGGGCGGGGAGATGGAGAACGGAAAGGCAAGGCAAGTCTTGGCCTGGGAGAGCAAGACTCTGGAGGTGCGGCAAGCCGGGCCACAATCTCGGATCTCGTGCCATGCATTCCCGAGCCGTCTGTGGAGGATATCATCCGGGACGAGCTTCCGGAGACTTGTGCAAGCGCAGAGGACGTGTTGCCACGTGTTGGGCCACCGAGGCGCGAGTACGGCGTGCAGCAGGAGAGTGGTAAGAAGAAGACGCGAAGAAGGGTGAAATGAGCGTACGAAGACACGGTATAATCATCATCCATGAACGGGAGTTAAGCGCGTGCTTCCCGCACCATCGCGAGTCGACGTGCGTCGTCGAACGTGGACCGACCGTATGATGAGTTTCTCTCGCGGCGACGTCGCAGGGCCGTCGAGTCCGTCGTTGTTCTCGACGTCGAAACGGGGTGGGGGCTGCGGGGGTCTAAATCCCAATGGGGCTCTCAGTGGCCACCATCCGTCAAAACACCTCAAGACGATGCCCACTCGCCTCGGACGACAATGTGAGCTGGGTTGGTATTACAGGTCAAACGTCCAGTCAGAAACATATCCATAGCGACTATTAGATCCATGGCGGTAAACTACTCAGAACAGGCAAAGCAATCATCGTCATGCGGGGGCAGAGGCGACCTCCGGGCTAGCTGCGGGCGCGGCCGCTGCAGCCTTATCCCGCCGCTTCTGCTTCATCTGTTTCCGTCGATGTGCGGCCTTCACCCGCTTCACCCGGTCTTTGAGGTCCATGAACTTCAGACCAACGTCAACAAACTTGATCGAAGTCCGGCCTTCCCGCTCGATGACAAGTGCCGGCTCAAGAACCTCCTTGGACTTCAGCACCTCTTCCTTGGCTTCCCGTGCTGCTATTCTATCAGCTACGACTGTTCCACCGCCCTTGGAACGATGGGTTCCTAAACAGCGATCAACACACATCGTTGTAGCAGCTTGAGAAGAGCACGACGTACCTCGCCATCCACAGTCGCCTCCCAGAATAGACGCTGGTATCTATCCCGAGCAACCTTGCTGGCGACCTCAGATACAAGATCAGATTCCACAGCGTCATCGCCGAATGAAATCCCAGCATCTCTAGGTCGTGACGAGATCTTGCTCGAAACACCAAGAATGTACTCCATGTTCTTCAGAAGCCCGTCTGGATCGGCTTGTTCTATGATGAACACGTCAGTGAATGTCGTTGAACGCGTAACGGATATGGGTCAGATGGGGTTGAATATGGCGTAACCAAATCCGCGCGATCTAAAACACAGCGGCGGTCTTCCATAACGCGAATGATGAAGTCCCATCGGGGTGGGAGAGAGAGAACAGGAAACTGACTGACCTCCTGCGGACCCATACGCGATAGAGCATTCGGTCAGACCAGCCACGCAGCACTGCAGAATACAACGTTACCTAGAGAGCAATAACGTTAGCATCTCGAAGAAAGTAGAGAATGAGGCGAAGAGTCAGAAAGCCATGCATGTAAAGATTGTCTAACCATCTGCCCGATAGGCATCTTAAAGACTAATCGATTTAACTCATCCTCATGCGATCCGCAAATGCAAGATCGCCAACGACATAGGACCAGACACTGACCTCTTTCCACTGGTTTTCCAGACCCTTCAACCTGAGGATCGCGTCGATTCGCGACAGCGCGAGCCCATGGTGATGCGCCATCATCCGAATGGTTGAGTCTGTGGGCTTGGCCATATACTCCTGCCATATCGCCTGCCGGACCGCGTCGGACACTGGTGGTGGGGGCTTGAACGTCTCGTTCTGCGGGAACGGCTGTGCGAAACTCCCGCGTCAGTGCGCCCCTAGCGCATACAGCATGCAAACACGACATACCACGTTCCCCATCCAGTTCTTCGGCTTCGTTGGGTACTTGTACCTCTCCGCCACGTTCTCCCTCCACTGCTCGAACGTCATGACCGTCCTGCCCGCGTTCTCTTCATCCTTGTCGGGGGCCACGATGTCAGCATAGGTGCGGCGGGGCGCATTAGAAACAGCCGGGACAGAGAGGGATGAGAACCGCGCCGGGCGGCGGGAAGCGCGAGCGAGGTGAGAGAGCATGGTCGCCGCGTCCTCGCTGGCAAATTTGTGCCTCTGATTGACCTAGGGCACGTGCAGGTTCAGGGCAGGCTGGCGGGACCGCGTCGCGTCACACGCGAGACCGATAGGCGCTCATATTTTCCTCCCCACCATGCCGCAGGATCCGTTGTTCGAGATCCTGCGTGCATATGCCACTCTCAAACCCACCAAGGCGATTCACAGGCCCTGTGTTTCGTTTCCAGACGCGCATGATTTTTGCTCTTCCATATCCTGCTGAACGCACACTTTGAGCAGTATCCGCCCTCGAGGCAGTATCAGCGCTCCTTCTGGAAATGGGCGATCGACTGGCTGGAGCGCCTTGTATCGACGAGGCATGCTGCTCCCCCACTCCCTTGCACAAAAACTTATTTCACCTATGAAGGACGAACTCGACGAGCGCCTCTACACTCACCAAATCGAGTTGATGCAAGTGCCGACGCCGTATGTGCGGTTGAGACATCGCATACTCCTCTATCGCCACTTCTCCTGACGCCCTTCAGGAACACGAACATCGGGCTTGCGAGGCCGCCGTCTCTTACCTGACGTATTTGTGGCCTCTACCGATGCTTCCAGCCAGCATGTCTTCCCCGAATACGCGAGTGTCACGCTTGTTGAGTCCCGCACCACCATCGAGGCCGGAACCACCGGCCTCAGGACGTGGTCGGCTGGCCTGGTCTTGCCCAATATATGTTGTCCAAGCCCGGTACGCAGACAGCGCTATGTGGATAAAAAATTGATCAGACTTGAAGGAATCGCAGAGCTTGTTGCAGGCAAAAGGGTCATGGAGCTCGGATGCGGGGCGGGATTCCTCGGAGCCATCGTCGCCTCCATCCAACTCGCGGCATCAGGGGACAGCCCCATCTCCTTGTGGCTCACCGACGTCCACGAGCCCGTGCTGCAACGATGCGAAGTGAACGTCCGACTGCCGTGCAGTGAGCCTTCAGCAGCAGCATCGACCTCCCCTTCCGTCGCCGCTCACGTCCAGCCCAGACGCGTCACACCGCCATCCAGACATGACCGTGCTCCGACTGGATTGGTCCGACGCCCAGGACCCCGACCGGTCCGGTCCGATCGACGACCTCGCGAATGTCCGCGCAACGCCGGACATTGTCCTCGGCGCCGATCTGGTCTCGCCCGCCGCCGGCCCTGCGCTTGCCTCTGCTCTGCTGACGCCTGCGGTTCTCAGGTGTACGAGCCGAGCATCATCCCTCCGCTCGTGGCCGTCCTCGACGCGACACTGTCCCCAGGCAGGGATAGGATCGCGCTCATCGCGCTCACCCTGCGGAACGAAGACACGATGTCCGACTTCCTCCGTCAAGCTAGTGAGTGGCGGCCTGTCGTGTGCTCCCAGGGATCCGTTCTCACCAGAAACTCTCCAGGGTCGGCTTTGTGCGTGGAAGAAGTGGACGAGGTACCCAGCAGGGACAATATTTCACAGGGGCTGCGGAGTTGGGCCAAGATGCGTCTGAGCAAGTCGTCAAAATCTTTCGGATCACACGGAAAGTCTAGTTACAAACTACTCATACTTGCTGTATCACGGACAATCGTTGCCTGCCCTTGTATGATCAAGTATCATCTCATGATGACGAACACTGGCGTTCGTGACATCACCACATTTGAGAGGGTCAACCCGGACAAGATAGACATCCACGATGAGCGCATGTACAAACGAGCATAATATATGTACTGTCTAACTAGGACAAACCAAGACGGAAACGTAAATAATCGAGTAGTGATCATGATATGCTACAATGCAGGTCCTCACATATCATACAGCCCGGCGAGAGAATCTAGCACAGCACGTTGACGAACGCAAACACGCCTCACGAGCTTCTCTAAGGCACCTCACGACGCCTTCACGGTGCCGCAGTACCTGCACGACCAAAAATCGCTCGGCATGTCCCGCTCCCCGCACGTCACGCACGTCCACCCCCTCCTTCCTCACCGCCTCCGGCGCGCGATGCCGCTTGCTCGCCCGCCCCGCCGCCGCCTCCTCCACCGCGCCCGCGAGGCTCGGCCGCGCGCCGAGGCACGCGGTGCACTGCAGCGCGAGCGCGTCGTTGACGAGCGTGCAGCGCGCGCACGCCCACGCGCTCTCCTCCTGGGGCACGATCGAGAGCGGAGAGGGCACCCCGACGCCGCCGCGCACGGAGCCCGCGCGCGTGGGCGGGGGCGTCGTGGGCCGTTTGGCTAGCATGGTGGGCGGGCGGGAGACGGAGCGCGGCTTGGGGAGGGTCGGGGTGGAGGAGCCGGCGCCGTGCGGGACGCGGCGGACCGTCGGGCGCGCGGGGCGCGTCGCGGGGGTGGAGGTGCCCGACGAGGAGGGGCTAAAGGAGCTGGCAGAGGTGGGGGACAGCATGTTCCCAGGGCGGAGTGCGGTGGTGAAGTCTGAGAGCGATTGGGAAGAAGACGAGGATGCAGACCCCGATGAGAGCGCACTGAGCGAGCTTGAGGACGACGACCTGTGCGACCCGCCTTTTGAGGCGGCGGGGGGCGCGCCGTCGGAGGCCGGAGATGTGAGGGGGAGTGGAGACATCACGACGTGTTCGTCCTCGTCAATGATTATTACCTCCCCTTCCGAGTCCGAGTCGGCGGTAAGGTCGATAACGTCGTCCTGCACGCTCTCTTTGGCCGCCTTCGCCGCCTCGACGAGCGCCACCTCGCCAGACGCGCACGCCTTCTCGTCTCTTGCGCGCCGCTCAGCCGCCTGGATGTGCGTATGGGGTGCCCACGCGGACGCGCAATCAGCCCCTCCATCGGAAAAAGCAAACACGTGGAAGATGGAACGATGACGCACCTCGGCAGCGAGCTCGCGCGGGGATTTGGGCGTCCTGCTTCCTACGGCACCAGCCCCCAAGCCCAGACGGCCGCCCCCGCCGAGGACGGCACTGACCTGCCTGCGCTTCTCCGCGGCGGCAGCGGCCTTCTGGCGCGCTATGTGGGGCGGGAGGTTGTGAGAGACCGAGGTGCCGAGGCGCTTGCCCTCGAGTGGAAGCCTTCGCCTGCGTAGCCGGAGCGCTGGAGGGACTCGAACTCGTCCTCGAGACTGGCGAGGTACTTGTAGAACTCTCGTCGTGCGGCCCGTGCACGTTATGTGTAGCTGGTCGAACGCAGCCGTGTCAGCAGAAGGCGCAGCGAGGGCCAGGTCGCACGCACCTCGTGCAACATTGTGCCGATGATGCTCCTCCTCGTAAAACGTATCTGGCGCGTGCGGAGGCCGGAGACGCAAAGGACCTTCTGTCCCGCATTCACGTCTAACATGAAGTGAGCTCGTTTGTCCCGACACACAGATGTGGAGCACTCACTCATCCCTGGAAAAGTCGTCGCACACGGTGGTCAGGCGCGAGGCTTCGCATGTGGGAACCGTGCGCACTCACCGAGAAGACTGGGGTCGCTCGGGAAGAACTCTGCAAGAACGGGAAGGATCCACCGCGCTTGCGCATGATGGGCTTCACGAGGGATGCGACCCTCTGGAGGATCTTGAGGGCTTCATCTGCCTTTGGGCGGTCTTTCAGGTGGGTGAAGGACTTGACGAACACTTCAGGCATGGGCTGGCGGGTGTGTGTATGGACGAGCGTTTGTGTGCTTTGGAGTAGTGGATGGAGAATGCAGGAAATGAATGGGAGCGAAGGGTAGAAATGCACGGCCCACGCAGCCCGCCCGGCCCCGGGCAAGGGCGAGTCGTCCAGCCACAGACGCGTCACCCTGCTGACTAACGCGTCCGAATCGTCCAGAACGCACCGGGCCGCGTCGCGTCGCGCCTGTCCGGCTCTTCGAACCCACCGCATGTCGTTTCCGCCGCGCAGTCTGCCGCATGGTAAACGGCTGTGCGAACTCATCCCCGCCTGAAGGTCCGACGGCGTTGCTGCCAGAGTGCACGTTGGTGGACGTCTGAGGCTTGGCAAGAGCCGGATCTTGGTTCTTACTCGGATCTCCAAACAACACAATGCGCATTCTTCATGCAGTACGTTGTATAGGTTTACATATACATACGTTGCTCGCTGATATCACTAGCATCTGTACACTGCAACTACATATCCAGCCAAAGTCCATGATCAAAACTCCGTTCGAGCCCGAGATGAACCCAAGTCCAGGCCCAAGGCCAAGTTTGACTCGTTCTCATCTCCTTCCCAGCCTCACCCCACCTCAGTACTCCCACTCGGGCAGTGCGTCGTACACCGGGCACAAGTTCTTCCACTCGACCGGCACCGGGTTCGCCGAGCGATGTCCGGGATGTCCTCCGCGAACGCGACCGCGAAGCCGTCGTTCAGGTGCGGGTCGATGTGGCAGTGGAGGAGCCACGGCCTGGGTTGTCGGTCACGAAGCGGATCGTGACGTTGTCGCCGTTCGCCTGCGAGCCCGTGTCGACCGTGTCGCGGAAGATCGGGTCGTGGTAGTTGTACACGCTGCTGCCCGCGCTGCGCACGACAGCGAACGTGTGCTGCGAGGAAGGGATCAGGATCTGACAGTGAGGGGAAGACGGGAAGTAGGAGGGAGAACGTACGCCGTGCAGGTGGAAGGGTGCGGCCCGCCGGCGGCGGAGTTGTTCGCCGGGAATGACACCTCGATCGTCTTGTTCGCGGGCAGGGGGATGACGCTGCCCGCCGGCATCAGCTCTTGCGCGGTGTACGCGCCAGAGAGAATCTGCAGCAACACGGGCACGCTCGGCGAGCTGAAAGTGTGGCCGTTCAGGAAGTAGTTGGTACCATCCTAAGTGCATCGAGGGCGGTCAGCTCCACGTAAAGGAACAGAAACATGGGGCAGAGGTGGCGTACGTAGTCGAAGACGAGGTTGATCGCCTTGTCGACGCCGCCGCGTACAGGCTTGCCAGGCTACGGAGGTCCAGTCAGACGGTGGGTCAAGATCGGGTATGGCATTCAATGAGCTTACCACAGGCATACGCTTGAACGGGTGGAGATCGGTCTCGACAAGAGGTGCCACACTAGGTGGGGCCGGAGTCGCTGGAGGCTGTTTGATGGGGGCGCCGCGGTAACGCAGGATGGCGGAGTTGGTGCCGTTCGCGAAACCATAAGGGCCTTGGTTTGAAACCGCGCGGATGAGGTAGTTGTCAACGGGCTGGTCCGCTGTGAGCTGTGAGACGCTCCAATGTCAATGATACCCAGGCTTATATGAAGGGAATTCTTTTTTATCCGTACCACGAACGAGTAACGCTGAGCCGTGAAGATTTGGAGCGAGTCGACGGTGTGGGGCTGGGAGCTGACTCCCTCGACCTCAATGATGGTCATGTTATGCTTGTCGATGCTCCAGGTGTACAATGGCTCGCACGAGAGAGAGACGAGACGGAAACGGTAGCTATAAAAATGCGTGAGTTCACAATCAACGAATGTTTTGTTAGTGACACGAACCGTTTCCCCTTCGTGACGTTGATGACCGCCAGCTCGCCTGTGTTGTCGTAGGGGAGTACCCAAGTCCGTTGATAAGCGTTGCGTCAGGGGCGGGGCCCCTAAAAGACAAATGATTCGTCGTGAAGATCAGGCACGACCCTTGACAGCCTCAGCTCAGTAGACGTACGGCGGCAGCATGGCGTCCCGCGGCACAGACGCAATGTGGTACCACTCCGAGAGGGTGATAACGGTGCTCTCTTTGGAAACGAAGCGAGCCAATGAGCCGGGAGCGGACCAAGGGCCTTGTGCGGGAGGCTCACCGTCGTCGACATCGTACATGTGCCTCAGCGGGTCGTGCTTGTCATAGATGACGAGCGGTCCGCGCAGCCCGTCGCAGTACTGTAGCGCAAGGTGGCTGTGGTACCAGTACGTCCCTGGAATGCAGCGGCGATAATGAGGATACGAAACGAGCACAGGCGCAGCAGACGACGCCCGGATTGACACCGAGCGGGACGCCGTGTGTGACAGACGCACCTGCTTGATCCGGGACTGAAAAGTCGTAGAGGAAAGAGTTCCCAGACGCGATCGGACACTGCGTCACGAACGCGGGGCCGTCTGCCCAGTTGGTGTGCGCTTGGAACAGGCCGTGCCAGTGCTGTGAGACAGACGTCATGTCAACGACCAGGCTGGGGAACCAGCGGGTGCGGGGAGACGCACGATACTAGTCGTCATGTTCATGGTGTGGTTGGTCAACTTGTCGACGACGTTGAGCCTAAAGTTGTCCCCCTAGAGGAAGACATCAGCGATGTCGTTTCTGACGGCTGGGTGCAGAGGCATACCTTGTATCCAGCGATGAGGGGCCAGGGCTCTGGCCGTTCACGACGACGGCCGCACGGGGAAAGCCATCGGGTGCGATGACTTTGTTGGTCAGGGTGAGCTGCCCTACAGGACCAACGGTGGTGGAGGCGAGTGCGCCGCCTAGCAAAGCAAGCGTGACGAAGGGGGTGAACAGCGACAGCTTCGCCATGGTCTTGTGCAGGCGAGGTGTGCCGTTGAAGGGGAGGATGGAATGGAAGTCGAAATGAGCTGGTGAGGCTCGAGTCGATGAGGCAGAAGTGCCTCGTCCTGGGCCTTTAATATTCATGGAGGGAAGAATCTCCCTTGCCTCTACTCGGCGCTTTGACCTTGGGTGGCTCCGCTGTAACGTAACGGGATCTCCGCACAATGACCGTAATGATCATGCACAAGCATACACTATTCGGACCCCAGTGCGCGCCACGCGCCGTCGGAGAGCACGGCTATTGGGCGAGAGAGACCGAGACTCCAGCTTATCGGGAGGCTTCGGTCAACGACCCCTTCTCGTGTAGCAAGGCGCGTGAAGAACGGCGGAGAAGGCACTCCGGTGCCTCGTTGTGCGATGATCGGTGCGGTTTTCTGGTCCCATTGCGCAGTGCTCCCCGTTCTGGAAAAGCACGAGCCCCTTGTGCTCTACACACGCCACAATCTGCTCAGGGAGTGACATCGCTTTACCAGCCGGTTGCAGGGTGGCTGACATGTAGCCTTGTGGATGTGGGGCATGCGCAGAGAGCAGAGATATTCCTGCCAAGAATGAATACATTTCTGGATATAACCTTTTGAGAGGATGTGGACGACTTCACCTAGTTGGTGATCTGTCTCGGCTTTCAAGCGGTGTAAATCGCAGCGCCCGCATTTCTCCCGACTTCAAAGAGGACTATGGCGGTATCTGCGTTAGTAGCCATGGATTCTTGTCGCCTCTGATCACGGGAAAGTCCAGCTAGGCCTGGTTGGGGACCTGCAGGGTCGCCAAAAGCGCGCAAAGCGCGCAAGTAAGTGGGGAGTTCCCACCACGGGGCCGACCCCCGCTTTCCGCGCTTCTGATCCACAGGCACGGAGACATGGTGACATTTCCGAATGCGAGCGAAGAAGCGCCTATGCATGACTACCCACCTGGCTACCTGGCCATGGGCATATGCGCCTACGGGTGTGGATGTGGAGGTGTTTTAGCGAGGCTAAAGGTGCCGTTCTACAGCTCTTAAAGCATCGTTTAGGAGATACTGAGACGAATCTCCATGGCGTTCCTGCGCACGGTAGCGTCATGTGCGTGTCGGCAAAGGTGCGCTGTGAGCAGTGCGGAAGATGAGCGGGATTCGCCGGATAGCTTTAGGCAACGAACACACACAGGTGACACCGGTCGAAGGCCATTGACAGCGCCCCGAGTGCGTGCGCAAACGCCGCGGCGCGGTCTGGGTGGCAAGGTGTCGCGCACTGGTCGGAGGTCTCATGGAATTACAGATGCGACGGCGGGCCTTCAACAGTCTGGGTGCATGGGCATTGGGAATGCATTCAGGGGGTCAGCATGACGCGCTTCTGATAGAGGGGGTTAGCGCAGCAGGGATGGAGAGAGGCAGAAGGAGGACTTACGGCGTCTCTCATGGGAACGACAGATGCAAGGTAGACCGCATCCAACTGGCGTCCGTGCACCCTAGAAGCAACCTTCGCGGATTACACGCTAGCATCGTGCTGTGCCGCTGACACGCCGGTGAGTCTGAAAAGGCCGGACGTCGAGGACGGGGCGGGCGGCGGGCGCGAGATGTATGCGCTGCAGACATCGGTGTGGTCCGAAGAAGAGAGGCGACCGGCGGCGGGTACACACGCGGCCCCGGCCCGACTACGCATGCAGCGTCTGGGGCGCTTGCTGGCGGCCCCCCGCGTCCGCCGCACTCAGTCTTCCGCAGCCGCTCCAGGGACTTACCTCCGCTCGCTTCCCCCGCCCGTCGGACTCCTCGACGCCCGCGCCCGACTCCCCATCACACACGCTCCTTGAACGGTTTACTTCCAACCAGATCGACGACAAGTACACATCACATCCAATGATCTCTGGATCCGTGGGCATCGGCAGCAGCTCCGTGACTCATTCTCACTAGTGCATATATGAGCGTTTACAAAACAGTACCCGGTAAGATAGGTACATTTGAGGTACTCGTTACATATGGGCGCGGGTGCAGGAACGTGAAGGCTCGGGCGGCGTGGACGAACAAGGAGAAGAGCGGGTCAAACAAAGCGTGAGGACGGGGAAGGCGAAGGAACGGGGGCAGGACGTACCTCCGCAAAGGATGAAGCACGGGCTCACACGACGTCCCAGTGCTCGAACGCTGAGGGAGCTATTGTGTTGTGAGGTCGTTGGAAGCACCGCGTGTGAACACTCCGTGCTCCGGGTAATTATGACAATATGACCACTCACCTCTCACCTTTCAAGTTCTTGAGCGCTGCAAACGAGAAGCTCTACCACACGGCGTGAGCCTCGCCGTCTTGTTCCAACCAAGACATTGCACACCCTGCCGGGTACCCATCGCGATGTTGGACTGACGTACACACGGAGGACGTCTGTAAAGGTTTGATAGCCAGAAGGACTTCGTACGAACCGACATCATGGACGTCTGCTGCGTGCCGGGGCGCGTCCTGCGTCCTTGACACCAATATCCGCACTCTGCCGGCAGACGTCTCGCGTGAAGCGAACAGTATCACGGACATATTTGCCTTGGAGGGGAAGAATCTCGAGGTACTTGGGAAGCCGCTGTCTTCCGATCTCTCACACGTAAGTGAAGAGTACCTTCACAGCGTCCCCGGTGCTGAACGTTCCAAATATCGCCGCTCTACAGATGCTGCCAGCAAGGCGTCACGATTATATTCGACGTTCTTACGGATATCAGCGTGGCACGAGAGTGGACCGCGATCGAACTCGCCTGGCTCGTAGATTCTGCCACAGAAGAAATCCTCAAAGCGAGCGTCTTTGAATGGTCGACTGACAAGGAAGTTTGGGTGCGCACCTAGTTTCTCGTCGACTAATCATTGGGTTTCCATCCATCAGCACGCCGTTACACATGCGCCCCTCTGTTCCGACACGGGCCGCGTGGCGACAACTGGAGAACAGCAAATTGGGTTGCGGGAACGCAGCGCGAAGATGATCCCCAGTGAGAACGTACAGGTTTCAGAGGGTTTTAGAGGGTTTTAGACGGATTCAGAGGGTTTCGGACGGTTTCGATTGCATAAACGCCCGTGGAAGACACGCTATTAATAGACACTTTCGACAATGATGTGTCGAACAGTTGCATGCTGCAGCTTCAAATGTGCAACTTCGACGATAATTTCAACACAGCAGAAATTGCGGCACTCCATTCACATGTGTGGGTTGGAATGACAGCAATTGCCGGTTCACAATTTCTTCTCCACCGCTTTAAATGTCTCTCTCTGTGGCCCCGTGGGTAGACCACGTGACTCGATGCGTCTCCTTGCGTCGTGCGATGGATAGGGGAGCAATTCGCATCTTGACTCCTCCGTCCACCACTACCGGCTTCTACCATGCTTTACCCCACACCCTCTTCCTGGTGTGCCGTCTTGTGAGCATTGTTTGCACTCTGCCTGCGCTGCAGCCCTCACGCTGCTCACCTATGTGAGTGTCTTTCACCGCATATATTCAGTATTTCCCCCATCTGCTTGTATGCGTCACCGCTGGACGGCCTGTTGTCGGTCGCCGTTGGTCCCTGCAATGTCGACAACTACGCCCATCGACCGCTTCAAGACTCAGCACACGTACCAGTTCGAGCACAACGATGTCGTGCTCGACAATGGCTCGTGGGTGATCAGTCCGTCCGCGCCCACTACTCTGTGCGCCCGCCTTGCTGACTGACGCGGCCATCGCAGGCGGGACACACCGCTTCATCGAGCCGGACGCGGACCTTGGACATTCGCAAGTATTCCGATCTCTCTGCGCTGTGCCGTGTCGCTCGCTGACATTCCCTCTAGATCACCGGAAAACGGATCGAGAAGAACACTGCAATGCTTCTCCGCGATGGGAAGGGAGTGGTGGCTCCTGGACGAGTGCGGCATGAGTGAGCCGGGTGTGTATCCTCCCTCTCTTCCTCATCCGTGCGACACGCGAGCTGACTGGGACCCCACACATACAGCCGAGCAGTGCATCCGCGTGTTCCTTATGTCTTTCCCGAACACGCGCATTTCGCTCACCTGCATGCTGGGATTTATGTTCTACAAATCCTTCTCAAACATCACGCTGATATCCTTGCACAGGACTTCTCGTCGACAGCGTCGACGACCTGCGCTACTGGAAACACATGAGACGGACAAATGCAACGTCTCGCGCCAGCCTACAATTACCCGCCGAGAGGACGGCGCGCTGCAAGAAGAGCAGCTACGAAAGGTACGGAAGGGTGGTGCACATTGTCGGGCGGACGTGGGCGTGCGGGGTGGACACAGGCGGACGACGTGGGCGCAGAGTAACCATATGTTTGGAGTGTACCGTATATAGTAATTCAATGTGATATTGTTCCAAACCGCACAAAACCGCTCGAAACCGACCCCCAAACCGCCCCAAACCGTCCGAAACCCCCACGAAACCGTACGAAACCGTATGAAACTTTGTGCACAGTTTCATACGGTTTCTTTTACCGATATGGCGGTTTCAAGCGGTTTCTCAGGGTTCCAGGCGGTTTCGCCCAAACGAAACCGCCTGAAACCCTCTGAAACCTGTAAGTTCTCACTGGGGATGATCCTGGGTTCTAGCGCGCTACATTTGCGCGCGACTGGCCGGTATTTCCGAGCGAGGCTGGAGGATGACAGGGCGGACCGCTGGACAATTTCAGAGATGTGGCTGCGGGGGTTCTGAATACATTGTCTACGGAGGTGAATCCAAGTGTGAAACTGCTGCGTCGATGAGCCCGCCTGCAGCATGGGGCAATAGAACTATGTGAAGATTCACGCACCAGGAAGAGCTCAGGGACCCCGGCGGAGCGTGAGCGTCGAACAGACCGTGAAGGTGACGGCGAAAGTCCTGCGCGACGTGAGACGCACGAGCGAAGGAAGGGGCCCGGCCGCTTGGTTCAGACGGACTCACGTGGAATGTGTGATGGGAGGGAGTCACGCGAAGGCGATAACGTTACAATGTTCAAAGGCATGCCAAGTGCTTCCAAGACAATTTTGATGCCCTGATGTATTCCCCGGATAACTAAAGCCAGTAGACCCCAGGAGGAGGAAGCGGAGGAGGAGGAGAAGCGCCTGAGTTTAGGGCCGGTCGCAGGTAACAAACAATTTGCCTCTCTACTTGCTTGAATTCTTGTTGGCTTATTATTCTCGCGCTGGTCTTCCGCACACTGCACGCACGTATGCACTACGCCTGGCGTGACTCGCTCAACCCAAACTGACGACGCGAGATCTAGAGTGTCTCCTCCGTGTCGTTGTAGCCCGTTCGCCTCTGCAGGCTCGATGCACAACCCCCCGTGTTGTTCGCAGCGCATAGATGCGGGTAGCAGCTCCGTAGCGCTGCATAGCTGAGCGGTAGCGGAAGGCTCTGCGATGGTGAGCAGTCGACCGCGTCTATGTCGTAGGCTCTGTACTAGTAGACGCACATGGCTACCCCCAATTTCCCTAACCCGGGGGAGAGTACGTTAGCATTTCGTCCGCAGCAGGCGTTGCGCGTCTCATGTCCTGTCCAGTCCTTTACTTTGTTGCGTACACCTTCGCACCCCCAATATTGATTACTGCGCTCATTACTTGTAAGTATCGGGTATGTTCTCCCACTTCTGTCGGGCACGATCCTCACAAGTACACAAGAGCCCCTCGCAAGTCCAAGTTCGAATCGCTCTCGTTCCTCCCCAGCCCACCACACCTCAGGCCTCAGTGCTTCGACTCGGGCAGTGCGTCGTACACCGGGCACAGGTTCTTCCACTGCGCCGGCACCGGGTTCGCCGACGCGATGTCCGGGATGTCCTCCGCGAACGCGACCGCGAAGCCGGCGTTCAGGTGCGGGTCGATGTGGCAGTGGAGGAACCACGGCCCGGGGTTGTCGGTCACGAAGCGGATCGTGACGTTGTCGCCGTTCGCCTGCGAGCCCGTGTCCACCGTGTCGCGGAAGATCGGGTTGTCGTAGTTGTACACGCTGCTGCCCGCGCTGCGCACGACCGCGAACGTGTGCTGCGAGGAAGGAATCAGGATCGGAATGAGGGGAAAACGGGGAAGAGCGGAGGGGACAGACGAACGCCGTGCAGATGGAAGGGGTGCGGCCCGCCGACGGCGGAGTTGTTCGCCGGGAAGGAGACCTCGATCGTCTTGTTCGCGGGCAGGGGGATGACGCTGCCCTCGGGCATCAGCTGCTGCGCGGTCTGCGCCCCGGAGAGGATCTGCAGCAGCACGGGCACGCTCGGTGGGCTGAAGGTGTGGTCGTTCAAGAAGAAGGCCCCCTTGACCTGTGTGCAACGAGAGCGGTCAGCCCCAGGTAAAAGAACAGAGCTCAGGTGACATACAAAGTTGAAGACGAGGTTGATCGCCACGTCGACGCCGCCGCGTTCAGGCTTGCCAGGCTACGGAAGTCGAGTCAGACAGTGGGTCAAAATTGGGTACATTGAACGGGGCGTACCACAGGCGTGGGCGTGAACGGGTGAAGATCGGTCTCAACAAGAGGCGCCACGCTCGGTGGGGCCGGAGTCGCCGGGGGCTGTTTAATGGGAGCACCGCGGTAACGCAGGATGGCGGAGTTGGTGCCGTTTACGAAGCCAGAGGGGCCAAGGGTTGACACCGCGCGGATGAGGTAGTTGTCAACGGGCTGGTCCGCTGTGAGCTGCGAGGCACCCCAATGTCAACGATCCCTGGGCATATATGCAGAAGGAAGTCAATCTGTACCACGAACGAGTAACGCTGAGCCACAAAGATTTCGAGCGAGTCAACGGTGTGGGGTTGAGAGTTAACCCCATCGACCTCGATGATGGTCATGTTGTGCTTGTCGATGCTCCAGGTGTACTCTTGTTCGCACGAGATGGAGACGAGACGGAAGCGGTAGCTATACCAAAGCGTGAGTTCACAATAAACGAATGTTTTGTCAGTGACACGAACCGTTTGCCTTTCGTGACGTTGATGACCGCCAGCTCGCCGGTGTTAGTCGTAGGGGAATACCCAAGTCCGTTGATAAGCGTTGAGTCAGCGCGGCCACTAAAAGAAATTCGTCGTGAAGATCAGACACGGCCCTTGCAAGCCCCGGCTCGAGAGACTAGACGTACGGCGGCCCACCCCGCAGCGTAGCCGCGACGTGATACCACTCCGAGAGCGTGATGACGGTGCTCTCTATAGAAATGAAGAGCGCCAGTGAGCCAAGAGCGGACCAAGGGCCTTACATGAGCGAGAGGCTCACCGTCGTCGACATCATACAGGTACTTCAGCGGGTCGTGCTTGTCGTAAATGACGAGCGGTCCGCGCAGCCCGTCGCAGTACTGTAGCGCAAGGTGGCTGTGGTACCAGTACGTCCCTGGAATGCAGCGGCGATGATGAGGACACGAAACAAGCACAGGCGCAGCAGACGACGCCCGGATTGACACCGAGCGGGACGCCGTGTTTGACAGACGCACCTGCTTGATCCGGGACTGAAAAGTCGTAGAGAAAAGAGTGCCCGGACGCGATCGGACACTGCGTCACGAACGCAGGGCCGTCCGCCCAGTTGGTGTGCGCTTGGAACAAGCCGTGCCAGTGCTGTGAGACAGACGTCATGTCAACGACCAGGCTGAGGAAACCAGCTGACGTAGAGAGACGCACGATGCTAGTCGTCATGTTCATGGTGTGGTTGTTCAACTTGTCGACGACGTTCAGCCTGAAGTCGTCACCCTAAAGAGACATTAGCCGGATCGTTGCTGACGATTGGGTTGCAGATGCATGCCTTGTGTCCAACAATGAGTGGGCCAGGACTCTGACCGTTCACGACGACGGCCGCACGGGGAAAGCCATCGGGTGCGATGACTTTGTTGGTCAGGGTGAGCTGCCCTACAGGACCAACGGTGGTGGAGGCGAGTGCGCCGCCTAGCAAAGCAAGCGTGACGAAGGGGGTGAACAGCGACAGCTTCGCCATGGTCTTGTGCAGGCGAGGTGTGTCGTTGAAGGGGGAGGATGGAATGGAAGTCGAGATGAGCGGGTGAGGCTCGAGTCGATGAGGCAGAAATGCCTCGCCCTGGGCCTTAAGTATTCATGTCGGAACGCCAGTACCCAGATGAACGCGCGTCGACCGTAGAGCGAAGTCTCCCTCGCCTCTACTAGACGCAGTGGCGGGCTTTGACCTTGGGTAGCGCCACTACAACGGTAGCTCCGCAGAATAGCCACGACGGGGGCGCGCAAAGTGGCGCGCGCGTGCACTACTCGGACCCGCAGTGCGCGCCGTGCGCCGCCGGAGACGGCTACTGGGCTGGAGAGACCGAGCCTCGAGCTTAACAGGTAGACTCCGGTCAACGTCAGCGACCTCTTCTGCTGTAGCAAGGCGTGTGAAGAACGGCGGAGAAGGCCATTCCTGTACCTCGTTGTGCGATGATCGGTGTGGTCGACTGGCCCCAGTGCGCGGTGCACCTCGTTCTGGTAAAGCATGAGCGCTTGAGCCCTCGCGCTCTACATACGCCACAGTCTGCCGGGCAAGCGACATCGCCCTACCAGCTGGTCGCCGAGCGGTTAACATGTAGCCTCGTGGAGGGTGGAGCAAGCGCAGAAGTTCACCGAGCAGCGATATTTCTGCCAAGAATGAATATATTTCTGGATATAACCTGTTCAAGAGGATACGAGTGACCTCACCTGACGAGTAATCTGTCTCGGCTTTCAAGCGGTGCAAATCGCAGCACCCGCATTTCCCCCGATTCCAAAGCTCGAGGATTGCATTAGTAGCTATGGATTCTTGTCGCCTCCCATCACGGAAAAGTCCAACTAGGCCTGGTTGGGGACCTGCAGGGTCGCCAAAAGCGCGCTTTGAGCGCGCAAGTAAGTTGGGGAGTTCTCACCACGGCCATGTACAGGCGCCGCCGACTCGGAGCATGGTGACCTTGTGGCGTCGCCAGATGCGAGGGCAGAAGCGCCCGGGTGTGTGGGTGCCTGGGCGTATGCGGCTATGTAGAGGCTTTTTGGCGGGGCTGAGGGCGCTGTTCTACCGCTCTTGGAGCATTGCTTATGAGATATGGAGACGAACCCCGATGTCTTTCCTGCGCACGGTGGCGTCCTGTGCGTGTCGGCAAAGGTGCGTTGTGAGCAGTGCGGAAGATGAGTGGGGTTTGTTGGATAGCCCAGGAAATGAGATCACATAGGTTCCACCGGTCATAGGCCATTGAGAGGTGCGCATGCCTGTGCCGCGGCGCGGTTTGGGCGGCAAGGTGTCGCGCGAGCGGCGAAAGTGACATAGAATTAGATGCGACGTCGGGCCTTCCACCTGGGTGCATGGGAATGCAGTCGGAGAGTAGTTTCAGGAGGAACACCATGACGCGCTGCTGACAGACGAGGATTAGCGCAGCAGTGAATGGAGAGAGAAACCCGAAGACAGACATGGGAACGACAGATGCGGAGTCGACCGCATCCAAGCATCCATGCACTCGAGAGCAACCCTCGCGGAGTACCCTCGTGCTGCACGGCTGGCACGTCGATGGCCTTGGTGAGTGCGAAACCCCCCGACGTCGAGGACAAGGTGCGCGGCGGGCGCGACATTGTACGCGTTGCAGACATCGGTGAGGTTCGAAGGCAAGCAAGTCGCGAGGCTACGCGCGGCCCACGCCCCGGACTGCGCAGTGTCCGGGGCGCTCGCTGGCACACTCCGAGCCGCGCCCGCCGTGCTCGGTGCTGTCCTCCGCTCCACGTCCACTCGCTCCCCCGCCCGCCGGACTGCTCGACGCCCGCGCCCGCCCACGATTCCCATGACACACGCTCCTTGAACGGTTCACTTCCAACATGATCGACGACAAGTACATTGGCATCATTATATCCATCGCTGGCTCCGTGGGCATCGGCGGCAGCTCCATTCTCACTAAGCTCGTTCGTCCTAGTCTCTGCGCCAAACGCGAGTCCGTCTGACCTCTTGGACGTGCAGGGGCTCATCCAGGCCGGGAACGCGGTGAACGGGTCGGCCACCGATCAGCACGCGTATTTCAAGAACCCGCTATGGTGGACAGGCATGGTCATAAGTGCGTCCACGTCCGCTGTCGCCCTTGTACGCCGCTGACCGCTGAGCGCAGTGGTCCTTGGGGAGAGTACGTGAGCATTCCGTCCGCGGCAACTTACCTTGCGCGTCTCATGTCGTCCTGTCCAGTCCTTAACTTTGTTGCGTACACCTTCGCACCCCCAATATTGATCACTCCCCTTGGTGCGCTCAGTGTAATTATCGGGTATGTTCTTCTCCCACTTCTGTCAGGCGCGATCCTCACAACCGCCCAAGAGCCGTGCTTGCCTCCCTCGTCCTCAAGGAACGATTAGGACATCTCGGCCGCGTAGGATGTGCACTCTGCCTGCTTGGGTCCCTCATCATCGTCCTCCACGCACCGCCAGACAAGGATGTAGGAACTGTAGATGAGATTCTCCACTACGCTCTCCAGCCAGGTGCGTACTCATAGCCTTTTGCACATTGCCCGCCTTCAACCCCACACGTCCCCAGGCTTCCTCACGTACAGCCTGTTCGTGCTCGTCTTCGCCCTCGTCATGATATATGCCGTCGTCCCCAAGTACGGCCGCTCAAACCCGTCCGTCTATATCTCTATCTGCTCCCTCGTCGGCTCCGTCAGCGTCATGGCAATCAAGGGCCTTGGCGTCGCCGTCAAGCTCACCTTCGAGGGCAACAACCAGTTCACCCGCCCCGCGACCTACGTTTTCGGCGTCCTCGTCGTCACCTGCATCGTCGTCCAGACAAACTACTTCAACAAGGCGCTCGACGCCTTCCACACCAACGTGTAAGTTGCCCCTCCACCTCGCCCCAAGCTCATGTTCTAAATCTCTCGGCGCTCGCCTGCTGCGTAGCGTGAACCCGATGTACTACGTCGGCTTCTCCACCGCGACGATCATCGCCTCCATCATCCTCTTCCAGGGCATCAACACCGACGACCCCGCGAACTCGATCTCGCTCCTCGCCGGGCTCGTCACCACCTTCCTCGGTGTCCACCTCCTCGAGCTCGCCCGCGCCCGCGCCGGCCCCACGGACCGCGCCCGCGACCGGAGCCGCAGCCGCGAGCGCCGCGGCGGCTACGCCCGCGCCCGCGAGGACGAGATCGGGCTCGAGACCATCTACGAGCCCGAGCCCGGCGCAGGCGGCAGCGGCGCCGGCGCCGGCGACGTCCAGATCGCGGGCGAGGAGGACGACGACTACGAGGACCTCGCGGACGAGCGCACGCGCCTGCAGCGCGGCAGCCGGAGCCCAGACGGCGACGCGCGTCGGACTTGACCCCGGTAGCTTGTGCACCTCCGAGGAGTCGCGGACCGCGCGCGAGTGTGAGGTGAGGTGGGGCGAGGCGAGGCTAGGCGCGGACCTAACTTTGAAGAGGACACGAGTGTCCGCCGCCGGGTCCATACTGTAGATTATCATTCCTCGGACCGTTGTACACCCGCCCGTCGGCAAACCCTTCCCTTCGTCTGCTGTCCGAAAACAGAGGCGTGGGGGCGTGGGGCGGTAATACTTCTACGTTGCGTACAGTGCTTGCGCTGGTGACTATAGGCATTAACTTATTCGTAGTTCTCTATTATCATACACGGCTTCGAAGCTGAGGAGGGCGAGAATAGCGACTGTAATATATGATGCATACGGTTTGATCGAAACCTGTGTGCGTCTAAAGAGCTAAGAGTACAGCGGGCGGACATACGAGGGTAGGATGCCGAACCTCGGATGCGCGGCTGAGGGGTGCGCTTCAGGAACTTCTGGGGATAAACGAAGATAGAAGGTTAGACAAATTTCCAAGTATACGCGTATAATCGTAGGGGTAGTACTGGATTAGACGTCGATGTATGACCATCGGCGGAGACAACAGCGCGCGCGCATCAGTGCGGAAACGGCAAAGAAGACGAACAAAGCACCCGGGGGTGGCGGCATAATGTGCAAGAAGGCATAGACATGTGAGGTCGTGTCACGTCGTGAGGAGGGAGGGGTCGTCAAGGAATGCGCCGCACATCGTCCGCGCGACTCCCAGGCTTGATTCACGGGCACTTGCTCAGCCCGCTATGGTGACAGCCGCACCGGCACCCCGAGGGCTTCAGTGCTTCGTACACCCGAATGGTGCGTACGTGGGTCGATTGCTCATCCCCGCACGGAACCCGCAAGTCCAACGCGGAAGACGTCGCTGCGGCCGGAAGGGAGGGCGGAGAAGGCCCATTGGAGAAAGTGGGGCCGGAGATAGCTTTCAAGAAGGTGGATGTCTTGATGGGAGGTGGGGAGGGAGGGAGACTCTGCGACAAGCTGTCGTGATCGTCGTCGACGTTGTCTAGGAATTTGAGGTCGGGTATATCTTGAGGCCAGTTGAACCGTTTCCTACGAAAGCTACCAAGGCCGCACTTCAGTACTCAGAGCACACGGAAAGACGCAGTAGGCACTCACAGGTCGTACTCCCACAAAAAATCCGCAACCATTTTCTCCGAAACACACCTCTTGCCCTCCTTATCCCGTTTCACCACCAGGTACTCCGTCAACGCATTCTTGCACCCCAACAAGGTGTTCATATGCTTGCACGCGTGCATCTCCAGCTCCAGCGGAGAGCACGGAAGCAACGTCGCCGGCAGCAGCACCAACCCTGGCGGCTGGTACGGCCCCGTCGGGCCTTGGATCTCTCCGCCGTCCACGAGCACCTTTCGCGCCTTCGCCGCCATCTCCCGCGTCGCGGGCGTGTGCGCGTGGGGCTCATCGCTCCACCGTGCCCTAGAGGGCGAGGCGGGAGGCGGGATGGGGATAGGCGCCGCCGCGAGTCGCTCGTGCTTCGGCCGCTCGTCCTCACTTGTGCGCCGCCCATGGTGCCCATGCCCGTGGGGTACGGCCCCCGGTGCGGCCCCCGCGGGTGCGGTCGGCGGTCGGATCCCCGCACTCTGGCAGCGCTCGGAGAGCGCGCGCGACGGCACCGAGAGCTCGAGCTCCTGCGTCTGACGGACCCACTCGTCACCGAACGCGTTTGTGAGCGCAGCAGAAATGACAGCGTCGGGCCGTGGCGCAATGCGTTGTCTAGCCAGCATCGCGCCGAACGCGTTCTCGAGGTACGTCGCTTGAGCGACGTCCAAGGCGAAGTCGATGTCGGACTGCACGCGCCGATGAGTGCGGCGCCGTGTTGGGGTCGCGAACGGCCATGGCAGGTCAGGGAGCGGCTTGTCTTGATCTATCGAGCCCAGCAGAGGCGAGCCCGGGCGCGAGGTGGAGGCGGAGCGAGGGATGGGGGTTCGACGCGAAGTCTCGACGGTGCTCGCGGTGCGGGGACGGCGGCCCGGCGTGCTCCAACCGGTGGGTGCGGGAGCGGCGTCGCGCGTAGGGCGGGGGGTGATCGCGGGGAAAAAGAGGTCGTCCTCGATGAGCTCGAGGCGACCGCCGGGGCGGAGGATACGCCAGACCTGCTCGAAGACATGTTGCCACTCGTGTTCGCGAATGCAAAGGGAAAGGTTCGCCATGCGGACGAGGTCAAATGACTCGTCTGGGAAAGGCGGTCTCTCGTGTAGGCTAGTGGGCCGTTCAGTGTTCGATTCCGCCAAGTGGCAAATGAGACACGCACAAGTTTCCGCGCTTCCAAGTGACATTCTTGGGCACATACGCTGGCTCCATGGAAGGACGGACTTCCCCGACCTCATTGTTGTGCAGGTCGATGAGGTCGAATCCCGTCACCTTCGTGCCATACGATTTCCACAACTTCGCCGCGTGCAGCACCCAAAAACCCTCCCCGCATCCCAAATCGAGCACATCCATGGGAGGCTTCTTCCCGTACTTGTGGAACGTCGGCGAATCCACTGCGGTGAGACGACACAAGAGCTGGTACGTTTGATAGTCACTGCGCGACGCGGTGTCAGTGTCGACGCGCCACCGTGGGACGTTCCGCCCGCCATCCAGAATCACTCACTTCTCGAGCAAAACATGGCTGTACGCCTGCATGTACGGCACGTCCTCGGGTGCGAACGGATGGTGTGGCATATTGGACTTCCGCACCGTCCTATTCCGGTCTTGAAACATGTTGTCCTCCCATGACCGCCACCCCGTCGCATGCGGCATCGCGTCCGACGCCCCTGGGGACTTGTCTACTGGCGCGGGCGACGGCGCCGGAGCTGCGCCCCGGAGAGTGCCCTTGAAGTCAAGCGAGGCGGTGCGGAGAGACTTGAGGGCGCCGCTGATGGACCTCTTCTTCTTGACCCTCTCAGTGTCACCGCGAAGAAGCGCTGGGGTGATTGTCACCTCTGACGGCGAGTATTCCACAGGCGGGTCTTCGAGGGGAGACGGCTCCGAGAGTGAAGAGGAGGCGGAGGTGCTAGGCGTTTCGAGCTCCCTAATATCCTGCGTCGGGGAGTCTGCAACGTGGTGATGAAAGTGTAGCGAACCTGAAAGGTCCGGAGGATAAAGGAAGCCGCTTGGAGATTTCTTCACGGGGGAGGTGGAGATGGGATATTGAAATGAGTCGTCCAGGGCAGACAGACTGGGTGAGTCGTGTGTGTATATTCGAGCCATGGTGGGCGAAGTTGGGGATGAGAGACGATGAGAGTCTGACTGGACGAGCCCGGGGAGCGCGGGAATGATGTGGCTGAGAAATACCCTAAGATTGCTTTGTGATGGCTGGACAAAGGTTCTTGGAGGGACAGTAGGACGGCGGTGGGAGGTGGAGCGAGCACGAGGAGATGGAAGAATATGAAGGCGAGGAACCCCCCAGAGGCTCAGGCTCGACAGACTTGAGGGGGGCGCCGAGTGGCAAGCCCACACTGCTTGGTCTGGCCACTCCGCAGGTATGACGAAGCCAATGAAGTCGTGGCCAATCGTTCCACGCTCGACTTGCCAAATCCGCCGTCCCGGGCGCGCATGCTCCGAGAGCTTCGCGGACCACTCCTTGAGCGAGAAACACGAACAATTTCCGACCTGGGAGCCACTTCCCGTTGAGCGGTTTTGTGGCATGTGAACCTGTGCACTGGCCACTTGACGCCTCGGTCACACAGCTTCCACCACTTCAAATCGGAATGCTGAAGGGGCGAGTTTCGCATGCGAGGGAACACGGTGGTGCGCAAAAGCGATCGCATTGCTGGGGTTGGTCGTCTGGACGGTGCCTACGTGGGACAAAGGGGGTGGACACGACGTACTATATGAAGCCTGTTGCTCCCCGCATCTGCGCAGCTACACCGAATCACTGCGCGGAGCCTAATCGTCTTTCTTGGGCGGCGGGCCGCACGGCTGCAGCATGCGCTGCATCACCTCGGTTCAGTGGTCGAGCACGAGGCGAATGTGAAGACAGACGTACCTCGGTCATCTCGAACTTGATCCTCCCGGTAGCCTCACCATCAGCGATTGCCAGATACGAAGTGAGGGTAGGATGGCCGACGATAGAAGAGAGCGTGTCGCGGTGCTGATGGGTCAGCCACTCACTAGACCAAGGGCGTTAGCTATGTCGAGTTGGTTCTGGGATGGAGAGAACTCACTATTTGGTGAGATCAGCGTGACCTGCAAGGGATGTTAGCTATCATGATCGGATCAGGGCTCAGAACATACATACCAGTTCCAGTGTAACGAGCATGGACTGTATGCAAGTAGGTTCAGTAGAGCGACCCAGAGTGAGGCTTAAAGGACGCACGATGCTCAAGCTGAGTGTTGGCCGTGTATCGAAGCTCAGAGGACTACGACAATGCACTGCATTAGCACTCTCGCAGGAGAAGGAGACAAGGATATGACGGACCATAGCCAAGTAGGTCGACCGCTTGTCGTGGTTGAGAGGAGAGGGGCTTCGCGAAGGCTTGCGAGACACGATTGTTCAGCGCTTCGCCGCTTGGGCTTCTCCTCCTCGAACCTCACTTTTCTCTTTGCTTTTTTCTGGTGAACGAACGAAAAGAAGCTCATACTTGCTAGCACGAAGTTTTTTTGCCAATGGAAGACAGCGCAGAGAAGCTCTTGACCAAGGTGGCCTCGCTCAATGACTGTCTGGACGACCTTGAAGAGAAACTGCAGCCTCTATTGGCCCAAACTCTGCCAGAATCCCTGCTACCACTGGATACCATGCAGCAAGTCAAGTTGAACGTAGCCATACCATATCTTGTCTACGACCTCATCTTCAGTACGTCCCTGTTTGGTCAACACACCCATATTCCTCATTTCATTTGCCGCGGCAGTTTACCTCAAAACTCGGGGCGTTGACCCCAAGACGCACCCAGTCGTTGCAGAACTGGTGCGTCCATCTCTCATACCGAATGATACAACCCCCATACTCGCCCCAGGAGCGCGTCAAGCAGTACTTCGACAAAATCAAGAACGCAGAGGATCCCGAGAAACGTATGCCCATCCCCCATTGCTTCCCCATTTTCCTGCACGTCCCGACCCTCCAACCCTCCCGCTCCCAGGAAAATCTGTGCTCGACAAGGCCGCCGCGAACCGCTTCATCCGGCACGCGATCGCCCAAGTCCGCGACCAGGGTCCGCCCGGCGAGTCCTCCGCGCGGCCCAACACCGTCATCCGCTTCGACGCCGACGGGAACCCTCCCGCATCGGCCTCTGCGTCTGTGTCCGCGCCCCAGACGAACGCCGCTGCGTCTTCATCTTCTTCGGCGACCCCGGCTGACGCCCGTTCGTCGATCCCAACCCGCGTCACGAAGAAGATGCTGCAGCGGGAGGCTTACCAGCGGAAGCTCGCTGAGGCATTGAAGAACGGCGACAAGGAGGAGGAAGGCGAACCGCTGATGGTCTTCGATGGGACGACGGAGGATGTCGGTGGGGCCATGGCCGTGGACGAGGACGAGGAGCCGGAGCGGTCGAGTTCCAAACCGAAGAAGAACAAGGGCAAGGGCAAAAGCAAGGACATGGGCGAGGTTCCTACGGTACAGACGATAGATGTGGACGAAGATGACGATGAGGACGACGACGACGACGGGCCTGGGCAGGGCAATGGCAAAAAGAGAAGGGCTCCTGTCGACGTGTTTGCCGGTGCGTCAGGCTCATTTGCTGATCCCACATGCTCGGAGATTTCTGACATGGCGATACAGGCTACGGAGACGACGCGTCCGCCCCTTCCCCGAAACCCAAGAAGAAGAAAAACAGTCAAGCTTCCGCTGTCGTGCCCCTAGGTGCCGCTCCTGTGGACACTGCCGCTCTGGCGTTGGCCAAGAAAGAGAGGAGAAAAGAGAAGAAAGCGAAGAAGAAAGAAAATAAGGCGTCGTAGAGACTGGTCTTCTTGCCTGCACTCCTCCACGCATACACCTCTGCATTCAGCACGCGCACCTCTCAAAGGACACTGTAGAGCACTCGATCGGTCACTTAGCAATCTGTGTGGTTGTAGCTCAATGTTAGTTACCACCGAAACTCAGTCTCTGTTGGCAGCGATTAACAGTTACGTGGCTTTACACTCCTTTCATCGGCCAGAAAGCTCTTCAGCGGGTTCTTGCTTCAAAAAGGTTTCTCGGGACAACACACATGTGGGCAGCGCTGCGGGGCTTCTAATGTCAAGATCAAGCAGACGTTGTGGACATTGATGAACAGGACCAAAGGAAGTAACATTGTCACATTGTATATTCTCGTACTCGTGCATCATACATTCTAACGTCGTGGCTACACATTCTGCACAAAAATACATACAGCTACAATCCCACGAACGCAGGGCAGTCCGTGCTGTCTGATGCAGTGCCTATAGAGGAGGGATGAGCGGAAGAAAGAAAAAATCGGAGTCGTGATGTCGTATAAGGTAACAAACTCGGAGAAGCAGGGGGAGTTATAACAGACGGAGACCTGAAATCGTGAGGGCGATATGTCGCCTGCGTAGCAGTCAGCTGGGTGGTGATACAGGCCAAGATTCAAGAACCAAGAAATCGGAGAGCGATGGACGATGGACACAGATACTCCCCTTCCCTCCCACCCACCTACATGATCGTGCACCCGTCCCGGTCCATCCCCTCCAACGCGACCGGCGACGCCCCGCCCGCCCGCCTAGCACCAGGGCTCCACCACCGCGCCCTGGCACTCGCGCCCGGGGCGCTGCTTTCCCCGGTGCTGCTCGCGCTGCCGTTCGCGGCCCGCCGCGCCTTCCTCCTCTTCTCTCGCGCGGCGCGCACCGCGTCCACCGTCTGCCACGAGTAGAACGTCTTCACGACCACCCTCGTCGCGTCGCACTCGTCCTCGCCCACGCTGGCGTCGAGCACCGCCCGCGCGTCCTCGTCCCTCGCGTCCGCGAACGCCAGCCGCCGCGCCTCGAAGGAGCGCCAGCCGTCCCGGGGGCGCGTGTGCCCCGCGGCAGCCAGGTCGCGCACGACCACCTCGCCCACCCCGCGGCAGTCGATCGCGACGACGACGGAGCTCGGCTCCGCGCCGCGCCGCACCGTGCGCGCCCGCGAGAGCATGACGAACTCGCGCAACGCGGCGCTGCTCAGACGCGTGTTGTCCGCCTCGAGCACGCGCAGGCGCGTGCACCCGCGCACGAGCGCGAGGAACGCGTCGTTCGTGAGGTGCCCCGCGTACGACACCGTCAGGTGTTCGAGCACGTCGCCCGTCTGCGGTGCGCGCGGGCTGCGGCGGGGCGGGGGAGCCACCGAAGCGTCTTCCTCCACGGGGGTGAGCGCGGCGAGAACCGCGTCCGTGATCTCGGTTGCGTCTTCGAGGTCGACCTTGCGCAGCCGCGGCGTCGTTCCAAAGAGGCGTATGAGCCCGTCGTCGCGTAGGTCCGGGCCGACACCCGCGAGCTCGAGCAGCTCAAGCGCTGGGACTGCGTGTGCGAGGTGCGAGAGCGCGTGGTCCGTTAGGAGCGGGCAGCCAGACAACGCAAGGTGCCGTAGGCGGGTCACCCTTCGCCAGTACGTGTTCGGGTCGGCTGGGTCTCGTCCTGCTTCTCGTGCGGTGAGTTGGACGGCGTCTGTATGGGGGGTGGAAGGGCCTCTGCGGCGGAAAGCGTGACGAAGGCCTCGATGGAGGAGTTGTGGAGCGCCGTCGCGCAGCTGAGGTCGAGCACCTCCAGCAGGGGAGCCGCGCGGCCAAGGGCGAACATCATCCCGTCGGATACACGGGTAAGGCCGTTGAGTCGAAGGACCGTGAGGGGCAACATCTCGCCGCGGTCCAGCGCGGACTCGGCCAGAGCGCGTATGCCGTCGCCGTTAACGTTCGCGCATCGCGACATGTCGAGGATGCGAAGCTTGCGGCAGTATGTCGAGAGTACCGAACATGTGTTAGAGTTAACCGCGGGTAGGCCCTTGATGCAGAGCGACTGGAGTGCCGGGGCGCGGATGAGGAGGTAGTGTAGAGCGCGAGAAGAGATAGCGTTGCAGCCGTATAGATCAATCTTCGTAATGTGTGTGTGCTGGAGACCGCTGGGAACCGTCGAGTGGGAACACAGGGCGTCCGTCATCTCGATGAGCATATCTGACGTGAGCTCCGCCAGGCCTGTGAAGTCGATGCGCTTGACGAACCCGCCCGCAGTGTCGCACAAGCGCGTGAGTACGCTCGTAAGGAGCCTGGGCAGTCGCGCCCACAGCTGCCCGTCATACACAAGGCTCTGCCAAGCCTTGCACACCTGTGCGCCCGATTATCATCTGTGCAGGAGCAGTGAAGAGGAGAGTATCAACCCACCCTGCTGAGCTTTAGAAGCTCCCGAATGCCCTTCTCTCTCCCTACCCAACGATTGCGTGACTGACCGGCGCGTCCGGCGGACCACTTGGTTCCCGCAACCATCTCCGCATGCTCCTCGTCGTACAGGTCCACGAAGGCGACGAGCACGCGGAGCCGCAGCTCGCGTGGGAGCCACTCGTCGAAATAGTCTGGTATATTGACTATGATGGGTTCTGAAATATCTGCGGGCGCGAGGGGGACGACGTCAAGCGGAGAAGCACCGACCGTATCTGTCGCCGCCGTGGGTAGGGGGAATGGGGACGAGTACGACCGGCCCTTGGTGCGCAGCGTTCCGGCGGGTTGGCCAATGCGGTAGATTGGGGAGACGGGCGTGAGCGGCGTGACGAGTCCGACGTCGATGTCAACGAGCGTGCCTTGTGGTGGGCTCGTGCACGCCTTCAGGTCGCGCGCCCACGGCATGAAGCAGCTCCCGCGCCCGAGCTCCACGCCGCCGTGGGCTTCTGTGTCGACCACGCGCCTCGCCGAAGGAGATCGAATCGCGCCCGCATCGTCAGAGGAGGATGAGTCCGTCCGTCGCTTGAAGAGCAGCTTGCGCGCGATCGTACCCGGGGCCTTGTTGGTCACGAGCCTCGTCTTCATCTTGCGGACCGAGACCGCCGAGAGAGAGCGCGTGGAGCGCAGGCTAGAAAGCGAGCGCGGCCGGCGCGCGACGTGAGCAACCTCCGCGCTCGGACTCGCCTCCGCCGCTGGGGAGACTGGGGGCGTAGCGTCGCTGCGGCGTATGCTCCTCGTTGAGTCTGTGCTGATGGACACGAACCCAGAGCCGTACGAGGACGGGCCGGCGGTCTGCGGCGACACCGACATCGGGACGGCCATGGGGACCGCGATGGCGGACGAGGACGGGGACGTGGGTGAGACGGATGCGTCGAAGGTTGGCCACTCCGCGGCGCCATACTCGAGCGCGGTTGGGTCGAAGACGAGCGGGGGCAGGACGGGAGGCCGGGCACGCGCCTTGCCTTTGTCTTTGCGCGCCGCCGCCGAGGAGGGTCCGAGATTCTCGTCTGCTGTGCCTGTGCCATGTCTACGAGGGAAGGAGAGCTTGCGGCTCGGGTGTTGTGATAAGGGAAGAAGGTCTCGCCCAAGCAGAGGAGGAGGTGCTAGGGAAGTTGAGCATCGCGGACGATGTGGGGTCGGCGTCAGGGAGGATGGGGGCGACTTGAGTGTATGCGGCTTCACGCCCTTGCATTAAAATCGGGGAGGAGATACCTTTCCCCTTGGACGGGCTCGATGATGAAGATGCATTCATGGTGATGGAGGAATGATGCAGATACCAAGGGGGAGGAGAGAGAACGGGGGTAGGAGACGAGGGCGTGCTGGCACGCTGTGCGGGCTTGGAGGTAGGGGGGAGGACTCGCGTGCACACTCCGCGAGGCCAATGTGGCCTTCCGGTGGTTCATAAGGGTGCAGGAGGAGGAAGGGGTCTTCGTTATCGATGTCGCGCGTGCGGCTCATGGCGAGAGACTGCAGTTCTTAGCCGATGTGATAAGATACAGCGCTTGACCGGCAGCGAAGATGCGAAGGGAGAAAGAATGGGATAGCCCGGCTAGCTAGGAGTCTTAGCGGAGGCGATGTGAGGTCCTGTCCATGTCGGGGCACGACGAGACTATCGTCCTCAGCATCGTCCAGCTGCTCTTCTCAGCTCTTCGCAGACGCCCGCCCCCGCTCCAAGTTCCCACGCTGCAAGTGCAGCGACCCATGACGCCAAGGCGAACGTCGTCACGACGCGCCACCTGTATATTCCTGACTTTACGCATGCAAGGCAAGGGATAGGAACTGGTCACATTACTGCACGAAGCATGAAGGGTACTGTACATAACACCGCGAGAACAGTGTCTACTGGTACAACGCGCGCGGCTGCGGAGGGGAAAAAAACTAAACCCACGACAGGCCCACAAAGCCAATGTCAGTCGAGAGCATGGGCAGGAGAGGCTCGAGGAGGAAAGCAGAGCAGGATGGACAAGGCAGGGCGCCGGGCGGACAGGCTCAGGCGCCTGCGCCGATCGCCGGAACAAACAGCCCGACTCCGGGGACAGGCACGCAGCCCGGCCCGGCGGAGCCGAGGCAAGCAGGACGGATCGCCTACTTGGCCTCCGCTTTCTGCTTGTTCCAGTTGTCGATGACCTTCTTGAACCTGCGCAACACCCCTTCGTCAACACACGTGTCCCGCACAGCGAGCACGCTGGAGTTTCACCTCTCCCTATGCGGCATGTCGGGATTTTCCTCTTTGAGCCGCGCGACCTCGGTCTGCATGAACTTGTTGAACTCGGTCAACTTCTTACGGTTGCCCGCGCCGCCCGTCTTTTCTGTGGACGCGACGCGCGCGATAGTCAGCATCGACGCGCCCGAGAGCGAACAGGGGCACGCGGTACGCACTCTTCGCCTTCGTCGCGGTCTTCTTTGACGAGTCGGAGGCAGACTTGGTGGTGACGACCATCGCACTGGCGGCGCAACACAACGGGAACGGCGTGAGCGCGACGCGACAACGACTCCCAGGGACGGCGCACGGACCTTCTCGGCTAACGCGGGTTGGGCTGGGAAGCAAGCGGGGTAGGGGTGGAGGAGATGGAGGCAGGAGCAGAGGCGGGCGGGCGGGCGCGGGGCGACGGCTGAGGGGCTTTTATAGCGCGGCCGAGAGGAGGACCGTGCGCAGAGACGGCCTCGCCAGCTGTTCCGCCAAACCCAACCTTCGATCGCGCGAACTAGGACCCCGCCCACCCCGCGTCCCCCGCTTCTGGTGGTAACTGCTCTGTTCGCCCACCCCGCCCCGCCCCCCTGCCCCCCACCCAGCCCCTGCCCGCCGAGCGATCCCCTCGCGCCCCCTCCCCAGCCACCCACCCGGTACGCCGGGAGTGTGGGGGAGGGGTCGCGCCCGCGGGCGGGGCCTTCCGTGGGGGTGTGGCCGCTCTGGGGGAGCGCAGGTCTCGTGAGTGCGTACATAATGGCCCTCGACCCTAGATATGCGTCCTGATCTAACTTAAATTCGGAGCAAGGCCAGCGCGGTGTCCTCTGGGTGATCTGCGCTGGCCTCCAACGTCCTCGTCGGTCGTGCCTCGCGCCCGCCCACGGACTGCGCGCGCGCGTTCGCCGTTCTGGGAGCGGGCGCCACGAGTGGTTTTGCGGGGTCCTTACGTCACTCCCCCGTCGAGATTGCCGACAGCGGGTCCATGTCTCCTTGCCATTGAGCCCCAATGCCAACCCGCGTTCGTTCGTCCACATCATCTCTCACACCGTTGGCCCCGACGAGATTCGTCTCAAGTAAGACCATAGCGCAGGGAGTACTTGTGCGCGATGCGAGTAAGAACACAAAGGCAAGGACAACGCCCATCCTCCAGCTGCGCGGGTTAGACGCTCGCGGTCCGGCCGCCCTCTGCGCCTCAGGCTCGGAGGCACGGTCCAAGTACTCCTTTCTCTCGTCCACCACAACCAACCTCCACAATGACCATCCCCGAGTTCTCTCTCCGCCTCCAACAAGGTCAGTCTTCTAGCCGCGCACACTCACCTTCCCACTGACGATGACGTCGTCGCAGGCATCGCCGGTGGCTTTGCCCCGCCCACACCCAGCGCGATCGTCACGATCACGGGGATCCCGGCGCAGAACCTGCTCAACATCACCAGCGCCGTGCGAGCCGACGGCTCGCCTTCCCTCCAGGACGCGGCCCCCAAGTCGATCTCTGCCCAGGACGCTGGCACCGCCGCGCTCGTGACCGAGCTCCGCGACATTCTCCAGTCCCTCCCTATGGAGTTCCCACCTGGGAGCCAGGACATTTACGGTCTCGACACCAGCATCGCCTTCGGCTCCGACGACTTCATGTGGTGCAATGGCGGTCCTCAGGGCTGCGGTGGTGGTGTCTCCGACGTTCAGGCCACCGACGAGCAGAAGGCAAAGTTCAAGCGCGCTGTAGAGATCGTCAAACAGCTTCAGACGAAGGACGCTTAGATTGAGGATGAGGGGGTCCTCGTCGTAGACGACGGTTGACTGTTGTATGATTCTCTGCTGCCTATATTTGTTTACTGTACCATCTATCAATGACCTGCCACCTACCCGTTCGTGAGTCCCGCGCTCACCCCTGCTGCTGCCCTATGTTTTGCATTTTAATCACGGCACCTCCCTCCCGCACCAAATTCTCCTTCGCCTCTGTCAACATCTCCTCTCGCCTCGACAGAACAGATCGGTGATCTGCTACCGTCTCATGTAGGTTTGCGTATAGAGCAAGCTTGGCTCTGAACCGGCTCCCGCATCTCAGCTCGCCGCTTTCAGCATGAAACAGGGACTCACGACATGCGGTCCTTGACCTGCGTGATGCGCGTCTGTTAGCTCAGACATGTGCACTGTGGCACGGACCGACGTACAAAGTCTAGCATCTTGCCGAACCGTGCCACAGCTCTGTCCGCACCACCGTGAACTGTGAATCACGCGCGTACGACAGCGTGGAACGCACCGTTGGCACCGTTCGCCCATTCCTCATCCGAGCACTCCGCCCACTTCTTCCTCGCCCGTTCGTATTCCTCCGCCCGCTCCTCAATGCATGCCTCGAGGTCTTGGCCGAGGAGCCGATACAAGGCTTGCTTGGATTCGCCGTCATCGACGCCAATCCTGCGGGTCTGTGTGGAACAGACAGTGACGCCGCCGAGGGCATCTGGGTGTGGTGTACATCCATTTCGTGTTGGCTCGAGAAAGAAGTGTACTCGTTCGGGCCGACACCGTAGACGTCCTGAGCGCATATAGTCAGCAAGCGACCTACGCAATGAGATAGACTAACCTGAGCTGCGGCCTTGAAGCGCTTCCCGCTGGTGCCGTACTGCTGATCGTCATTCATGTCGTGTTGACGCTTCATGGCCGACATATGCGGCTGCAAATTCTCGTCGTCCATTTGAACAGGGTCAGAGAAGTTGTCGTCTAGCTCGTCTTCGTCCTGCCTTTGCATGCGCATGGAATGCATGTGCTCCAGACCAGCCTGAGGACTGTGTTCGTGTTGTCCAGGAACACTTGAGTGCGCGAGACGAGAGACCGATCGAGAAGGGTACCCTGTAATAGAAGACGGAGGGTGTCTGAAGGCGTCAGAAGGATGCTGCTGGTCGTTTTTCGGGCCGTTCGCTGATGAGTCGGTGAGTATATGCGCTCCATTTTGCGAGGTGGGGCCAATAGCTTGAGCTCCTGGGCAGGAGAGGGACGCGGGTGTGCCAAGGAAGCGTTGTATGAGCCGCGAGGAGGGCCTGGCAAGAAGGGGGACGCGGGACGGGGAGCAGGAGAGGAGGCAAGGTGCTTGTGCTGGACGGACGAGAAGGGTTTTGCAGATCGACCGGAAACATTGATAGAAGAACGAGACTCGCCAGCGTTGCGCTGAGCAACAGGACCAAGAAGACCAGAAAAGTTTTTAGGCTTGGGCTTGAATGTAGCAGGGCTTGGGGGCAGGTCGCGGTGGCCATCGGAGGCGTAGAGGAGACCGTTAGGGCGGAACGTGGACTCGACGCTTGGAGGAGGATCGGAGGGAGAGGGAAGGTCGGCACCGCCAACATCGACGCGCGACGCGGGGCGGGGAACGAACGGCGCACGGGCACTCATGGCGTCGTGGACTGAGGGAGAGTGTAAAACGCATGTCCTCCGTTTCTTTTTTTCGATTCCGGTCGGGCCGGGCCGGGCTTGTCGGTGCGCCGAGCTTGCCGATGCGCCCACATGTATAATACACCTTCAACATCCGGCTGATGCATTCTTCATGTGGACCTTTGTGGACGGAAACAAGGCTCACAGCGACAAGCGCAGACAGACTTGTCTATCAGAACGATATCGCCCGACGCAGATCAATTAGACCGGTCATCGTCCATTTGGGCGCGAGGTACCAGACACTTGTCCGCACAAGAGTGAACTCTGATTGAAAATACCGAAATAATGGTGCTCAGCGGGCCAAAATACCATGACGTGCAACTATTGTGCCGCCCCCAATTGTGATGTGCATATGGCGGGAGAAGGTGGTGGTGCTTCGGTGATGCACGAACGTGCCACGCACAGGCTGAGCACTCGGAGAACAACGCTGAAAAGTTTGGTACGAGAGCTACAATCCGACGTCTTTCGCCATCACGCCAGTCGTCCCTACGATGCTGTCAACGATGCTGTTCCCGCTGATGATTCCCGTCGTTGCTACCAGGAACTTGCGGCCTGCCAACCGAACGCGGTTCGAGAAAGAACGAGGAACTGAATATCAGCACTGACTCGCGTGCCGATACGAGCCCACAAAGCAAGACCCACCTTTGTTCTGCCGCCCAACCCACCGCAGCGCCGCAATCTCCGTGTACGTGCAGCCCCCAAGGAAGAAGACGACCGTCGTCGTCGGTCGGTCCCTTGGAAGCACTGAGAAGAACGGGAGGCATTAACGGCTCTGATATCCAGGTGGAGCGGAGGCGGAGCGAACATACTTAAACTCGCCGCGGGGGGGACCGCGGACGCGTCCTGGCCTTGAGGTATTCTCTGCAAGATGTCGAACGTCTCGCCCGGGATCGACGCGAGTACGTCCTCGAAGCCCTTCCAGCCTACGATCGGATGCGCTTGCACAAGTGGAGTAGCGCCGCTCCTGCGCGAGCTGTCGCCGTCCGCGATGGACCCAGCGACATTGCTGGCCTTCTTCTCCTTCTTATCCGACGCCGGGTTGCTCAGTACGCCACCCTTCTGCGCCACGCACTGGACGAGGCGGACCGAGATGGGCGCGTAGCCCGAGTACACGTAGCTGATGTCGTTCTCGAGCTCCTCCATCGGGTCCGCGTCCTCGATCAGCAGCCGAAGCTGCTTGCGCAGGTTGGCATATGGATACTTGGAGTCGGCAATTGAGGGGGAAGCATTTGGGGGCAGGGGGTTGGGAAGTAGAATGGAAAGAGGCGGCGCCGCTAGCGACAGAAGGAGGGGCAAGTGGTTGTACCCGTACGCCTGCATCAACAGTGCGATGAGTGACAAAGCCTAAAACACAGACGGAAATGTGTGACAATTCACCTGCAATATTTCACGCTTCAGATTTTCCAGTGACTTCCCTTTGATGCCTCCTAATACGATGCTCGCAAGACAGAGCAATCGCACTACTGTCCGCATGTCTGCACCCTGGGCAACCAATTCCTCGATCGCGGAGATTTGCACGTTGGTATCGTAGAGCGCAAGCAAGTCTGCAATGAAGCAGGAGAATAAGAACCTGCACCAAACGAGAGAAACCAGCTTACTCTGCTGAATCTCCAACGACTTATCGAACTCATCCGTCTTCGTCATTGGCACCATCATCTCAGTCAAGCCGGTGTCTGCAAAGTCGTCTCAGTGCTCTGTCTTAGTGATCCGTCTGCCTCATGAACTTACGCAGCCTCAATGACTGATGATCACTCTGCAGTCCACCCAACTTGCCCACGAATTCCTTGAGTTGAGTCACGGTGTTCGCCTGATGTCTGAGCTGAGAAGGCGTCAGCTTCTCGTGTATCCTCTCGACAGTTGCCGTCGTACTGCCGCCGAAATGTCCGCAGTATGGTGCTGCATCCATGGCTCAACTGCATATAGTGCTCACCTTGTAATCTTCATCAAGCCTGCGCGCGACTTGGTTTAACTTTTTCCCCACAGCCGAGAAGTTCAGGTCGCGCAGTTCCGCAAAGAGTGGGTCCGTGGTCGTGGCGAGGTGGTGTTTCTTCTTCTTCTCCTTTAGTATCGCTGCCGCCGGGGTAGACGTGGAAGCAGCACCCGCGTCTGGCTGGTTCGACTGAGACGGTGGTGCAACCAGGGACGCGGGAACTTCAACATGTGCTGTAATGGGAATGGTCAGCGTGTGGATACATGTGTCGTAAGACGGCTCTCGTACAGTTCTTGATACCGATCAACTCGTCCACGAGACCCTCGTACGTGAGCTGCGTGAGGAGAGGGGAGATCATGTCGACCCGCCGATCCAAGATGATTAGCGAGTCTATCGTTTCGGAAGGTGCACCCAGGTTCGTTTCCCCCGCCGCAGAGGCTGAAGGGGTATTCTTGACGAGAAGGTTTGCAAGTCGCTATAGCACAGACGTCAGGTAGCCAACATGAACAAATCGAAGGTACGCACTGCGGCATGGTCCCCTTTCCCGATAATTCGAGGGAACAATCCGTGCAGCTTCTCGAGGGTTAGGAGAGCTTGCGCAGAATCATAGATGACACTTTCGTCTCCGTTCTAGACAGAGATTGGACCTTCTTCACGACAAACGCGAGATATAACACGTACGCACCACCCAAATCTCCTTGAACGCGTTGTCGTTCTCAAGTGAGATTACGTCCTCTGCCAAGGGGATGAACTGCAGGTTATAGAAGGATACGGTGATGTCGCCGAGGACACCCTCTTCTTCAAGTATCCGGGTGACAAGGGTGGATGTACGGGGCACCAGGAGCAGCGTATACGTGTGCTTCTGGAGCTCCCTAGCATGTCTCTTGATCTGGTCTTCCGATAGATGAGTGAACGCGAAGCGCAGGACGGGCTAGGGGGACCTAACCTGCCACAATCTTGATCCACTTTATGAGCGGCCGGCACAGGTAGACGACATTCGTCGACGTTGCCGAAAGCGGACCCGGCTCCAGCCAGAACATCTTGTCTACCCCATGGTGCTGTTCTAGAGTCATTCAACAGCGTATGCACTAGGTCTGCGCAGCACATACCTTCAGCAGGGAGACCTCCGTTACGAGTCCCAAAGGTCCAGCGAGTGTGGGGTCTAGCACCAACGTCTTCGCGCCATTCACCTGGAGAGGTATTGGAACGACGCGAAACAGTCAAAGGACGAGACGTACAGAGTTGAGAGCGTCCACCAGCGCTTTCCTTCCCAGCTCCCTCAATGCAGAGACGTCCAGCAGACCTTCCGTACCACTCTCGGTCTTTGAAACGGCTGCCTCGGAAGCAGGGACAGAGGAAGAAGCCATTTATTGGAGAAGATGTCGTTAAAGTCGTAAGTGGGGACGTGTGAGGGTACAGGGACGGGGATATGGGTCAGGACGCTATGGTGGCGGCGAAAGAGACGCGTCCAAGGCGCTCGAATGTATGTCATAGTGTACTCTCAAACGGGCAAGTGCCATCTCAGCCTCCTTGCGCTCTGCCACTTAGTACAACCACGGCAAATACAAAACATACCCACCAATAAGCATACATACGGCAGAGATCTACATCAGCGGTGCTTCTCCGCGCGAATCTGTTCTCAGCGTCGTCGCACAACAGGTAAGTACATATATAGAGATCATAGACATTCATTTTGGCTTGGATCAAGTCATTGGTGGTGTCAAAAGCTTAGACGACAACAGCACGCACCTTCATATATCCTACACACAACTCGCAGACTGGGCGCTTGACTGGCACATCACTGGCGGGTGGGCACGGGCATGAGCATGAGTAGCGCATACCACGAAGAAACTAACGCAATGTCCACTGGTCGCCATGTTTTCAGCTGCCCGCTCTTTGGCTGCCTTTTTGGAGGGACCGGTAGCCCTGAACACTTCCAACCTTTCGCCCTCATCTGCCACATCGAATGTTATCAAAAGGCTGATGTGTATTGGGAAGACTCACAGATGGGCACAGCGGCGAAAAGCGGTAGATGGTCCATCCCGCCGACGCGGAACGTAGACCATTCAAGGCTATCTTTCCCCCACTCATTCACCTGCGCGAGGAAACCCCATAGGCTAGTGGGTTCCTGGAAGTTATACCTCCCCTTGCGATCGAGGAAATAAGTAAGCATCCCGTTTGAGGGCCTTCGCAGAGTTGCAGGGAGGAGGGGAGGGTCTGACCGTCCTTCGCGCTCATCTCAAGCTAATATTTCGACGAGGGGTACGGAGCGGCAAATTGGAGCTTACTTATGAAGACCATGGGATTGCCAAGTGCAGAACATGCCTCGACGGAACTCTTCTCTCCGAAGAACTCAGCCGTCGTAGGCGGAATGAGCCTCGCGAATCCCGCTACGATCTGCCTCGTTTTCGGCGAACGCAAACCGAATGTGTCAGAAATTCTTCTCAGCTAGGCCCGAGGCGGAGAACTCATGACCCCATGCGCCACCAGGGTTCGTGTGCCAACCATGTCTTTGACCTCCCGGGCAAAGGCGCCACGAGGAAGTGGCAGATAATGACTATGCATTGTATGGATATACGAATGTCCATGTCGATAAGTGTCTACTATAGCTACAATATCACTTTGGCCGCATATTCAGCTAGGAGTCCAGAAACACATGATATACAACGCACCGAAAGCATGTCGACTAGATAAATTATATGGAATTGCGGCGCGCACTTCGTCCACGGGTCCTGCTCGTGGCGGAATTGCCGTTGTCGCTGATGTATGGCGAGGGCAAGAGACCCTCCGCGTCGAACTTCTGTAGAAAATCCATAGCCGCGTGATATCCCTTCTTCTGGATCTCCTCGAACTTGCTGAACTGGAGGGTGCCATACTGTAGGAGAGGGAGGAGAGTCAGCGGGCGGCACCGGGGATCTCCCCACCGTACTCACCTCTTGCACGGGCATCTGGAGGTACAAACACCCTTGGTACCTTCGCTTCCTCAAGCGTCTTGACGCTCGAAACGCTAAGTACGAAGGTGAGCATTACGCTTCCATGCGCATGCCACGGCTGTACTCACTAGGCCAGCCGTTGCTGCAGCTCGGTGATTGCGGGGACGCTGCGCGCCGACGAGAAGGGGTTGAACCGGTTGATGAACAACCAAATGCCCGAAACGAGTCGCCGAAGTTCCGTGGTGAGTTGTCGTCGATCTAAGCAAGGAATGGAAGTAAGCTGCTGCGATAAGGTTAGGCTGAATGCGATGAAGGGACTGACACTGCCAACATCTGACGCGATGACTGCGCTGGGCCCCATTGACAGCATTGTCGACACCTAAGGTCTAGCTCAGGATCATCATGAAGTGAGATATATGTGCCGTAAACTCACTGGAAGGTTGTCACTGCAGGGAAGTAGCGAGATGAGCTCGGTGGAGTGATGGCGGAAGTTTGAGGTGACGTACTATACCCCCATCTACAAGCATTTCCCGTTGTCGCAAATGGAGGCAGTAAGCCGACGAGGTCATGGAAGCGCCTTCAAGGATCGTCAGCTAATGCGATTCAGGGGCGTGGTAGAACTCACGAATGAAGCGCCATGCATAACCCGTCTCGTGGATCTCCATTTGTGAGGGGTTGAGGTTCGTCGAGTTGCAGAAGAAGGCAACCACATGTCCTCGATATGCAGATCGTAGAATGCCTTGTATATTGAGCGATTAAATTCATGACCCTAGAGCGACTATCAGCGGAAGAAGCCCAGGCGGACGACTCGACGACTCTCACCGTAGTGTACGCAACAATAGGATATGTGACGTCGGACAGCATACGCCAGATGTTGCCCATACGCGCGCTGAACTGTTTCGCCCGCCCTGAGCTCGACAACAGGTCTCCTTCCCGAGCATACAAACCGCCAATCAGCGCGCCGATGCTCGTGCCGCCGATGTGGTCGACGGAATGCCGTACTCCTCGAGTGCACGGAGAACACCCTGCGCAAAACGATCGTCAGGGCAGTCAGTGGCACGTCCCGAGCGGCTCACCAAGTGCGAGATGCCCCGCGCCCCCCACCGCCAAGGACGACGCCGATGGATTTGCCGCATATACGCCTGGCGAGGCGCGCGAAGTCGCTCATGTGCGGTGGCCGTTGCGGCCTCGGGTCGGACCGAGCCCCGCGGTACCGCTGGATCTCGCTTTGAACCCTGTCCTTCATCTTCTTGAGGGCGACGACCGCGGCGGGGTCCGGACTTGGGGCGAGGGCGTACGACTGGGGGAGGCATGACGCCCTGCGAATGTATGTCAGACCGCTTGGGGACCCTTGGACTTGCTGGCAGTACGCACCGGAAGTTCCACGTGAATATGTTGATGCACCCACGGCCGGAGCTAGAAACCATGAGCGTTATCTCTAGATCAGGGAGGAACGACCTACCTTGAGCCACTCTCGCGTTGAACCAGGAACGACGGACCTGTCCGGGTGCAAAAGCACGAGCTCCTTCCGCGCCGTCGTCTTGAGAGATAGCAGGAGCCGTTCGAACTCGCCAATGCTCGGGTCGTCGCCCATGCCGACAACCATCACGCAGTCCGCTTGGCGAATGCACGTCTGCGTCCACGAGGAGCTGACCGACGAGTCCGCGATGTAGAGCACGATCCTGAACTTCTGCTCCTGTTCCGCGAGCCACCCCGCGGCCTTGAGGTTGCCCATGCGAGTGAATGCGTGCCGACCGAGGTGGTCCGAGACCGAGGCTTGGTTGAGGAACGCGGTAGGCGCACCGACGCCCTCCAGCGCAGCATGCAGTTTCCGCGCGAACGCATCCACGGGGATCGCGCGCGAGACGGGGAGAATGGCGACGTTCCGGAGGTTCGTGTTTCCACGCGCAGCGTCCAGTACGGAATTCTTGCTCGAGGAGTCGAGTTCGGTCCGAACGCGAGACGCGATCATCTTGAGGAGCCTGTGTAATGAGTCATTAGGATACTCTCTTGAGTACAGCAGATTAGACGACGTACTGCGCAGTTGTGCGAGGATTGCTAGTCACAGAGGTAAGCCAGGGAATTAACAAGAGCTATCAACAAATGGGCGTACCGAGCAGAGATTGCATTGAACAGAGTCTGAGGCATACGGATGAGCTCTGTGTCACGAATCGCATGCACCGTGTTTGTCCTCTTTGAGCTGGTGATGACGTCGAGTTCGCCAACCGTGTCCCCTTGTCCGTACTCTGCCATGATGTTGACCGCGCCATTTTCCTTCTCCGTGATAGCGCGCAGACGTCCATTGATGACGATGTAGAACGAATCGCTGTCGTCGTCGGGACGCCAGAGAACCTGACCAGCGTCAACCTGGACCCAGTCGAGAGAGCCATCGATGTGGAGGACTATTGACAGACATGTAAGACGACAGTGATGGCATGTAAGCCAAGACGTACCGAGAGGCGAAAGGAGCGAGATAAGACGCTTCGCCAATGTGAGCAGAACGATCGGACGCCGTTCGAGGAGCCTCTCGAGCGCGTGTGAAGGGAGAAAGCCGACGTAAGTGTCCGTCTTCGCCACAATATTGACGTATGAAGCGGTCTGGCAGAGAGATGCTATAACAGTGTCAGCGTTATTGGGTGGACAAAGGCACGGGACATACACAGGTAACCTGCGATCCCTCCCGGCTTGACAGTGAACAGAGGCTTCTGCGACCGGTCCTTCTTGCTCTTCATCCGCACGTGCTCCTCGGTCTTAACGCTGCGCGAGCTGCCGGGGAACGAGAAGTCGGAACGGGTCTCGGAGGGGTCGCGTCCATGGCCGTCGGTTGACGGCTGCTGGCTTTTGGGCTGCTTCATCGGCTTCTCCTCGTTCTTGGATGTGCCCTCGACCGGTAGAATCATATCGAGGAACCCATCAATGACATAGAACAGGCCTGACTCAAGGTCAACGGAGTGCGCATAATATCAACGGCGGAAATGGGCGCACCTGTATTCCTCTCGCCCGCCTTCGCCAAAATCGAGCCTGCCGGGAAGAACAAGATCTCGACCTCGTTGTCCAGGTTGCTCATGTACCCATCGGTGAGGATCGACGAGGAGCTGTCCGTCCTGCTGCTCGACGCGTCGTCGCCGATGTCCAACAACGACAACGACCCGAATGATGACTTGAACCCGTCGCTGCCGCGCCCGCTAAGCCCTCCGCGCGACATCCCGCCCTCGCTGGGAGGGAAGGCAGGTGACGCCTCGACCGACTCGTTGCTCAACGGAGGCTGGATCAGCCCGATTGACTTGGCGATGCACGACATGACCTCTTCGCGCAAGTCGAATTCGTCCGTAGTCGCGAGGCGTTGGAAGTCCACAGTGCTGGCGATGTCCATGAGCCCTACACGAGGCGTTGGTAAGCCAGCAGTGGTGCCGCTGCTGCTCATGGATCGCGTCGTCAGCTTCGGGAGATCACTATACAGGCTAGTCGAGGTGAGAAGGTCGCCGGCTTGGACTTGATGGCGTGGTCCCGGGATCTTGAAGGGAGTTGTCGGCAAGTACTTCACCGCAGAGCTCGTAGAGGATCGTGGAGGCTTATCATCGGAAAAACTGGTGAGGAGGGAAGATTTACTGGAAGTTCGGGAAGTAGAATGACTGAAGTAGTCGCTGCCATCGTCCGAGTCTGTGGCAATAGACACACCATCGAATCGTTGTCTTAGCTGCTTGAGGCCATTGGTATAGAAGGACTGTGGGAGGGGATGGCATGCCAAGTCATTGATGGCTTTCTCGGTCCGCAGTACTTCGGTCGTGAGTCCCAGGTAGTTGTGCGCCGCGTTGAATGTGACACGAGAGAAACGCGTGAGGATCACTACAATGCGTTGGATCAGACACGAGGTTGAAAAAACATTACGACAGCATGTACCTTGCACGATATGGGCTGCGGCTTTAGGAAACTTCTTGGTGAGGCGTTGGAACGCCTCCGCGGGAATGACGGCGAGGGTGCTGTCTTCTGCGGCTCGGGCTACTACGCCGTAGTGATTAGGAGTTTCAGTGTTCGTGGACGAACTGTGCGGTCCTCGAGAGGTACGGGGTATGGTTCCAGAGGCCGACCTCGAGAAGAAACGTTCATGACTAGAAGAACGTTCACGAGAGCGTTCGCGGGGGGAGGTGATGGTCGAAGCCGACGCTGAAGAAGAAACAGAAGGGGTGCGTGACCGACCGGCGGAGATGGACGCTAGGTCCAGCTGCGAGACGTCAGAGTTGGACCTCTGGCGGAGCGGTTCACGAGTGGGAGGCGAGGCGATGTGGACTTCGAGAGGTTCGTCCGACCGGTCCCCGTCTTGCCAGCTGATCTTAACATTCTCCGTAAACAAACTGAGGATTGTGAAGAGACTTGACAATGTTCCACCTGCTCCAACCTGGTTGAGAAGCTGGTAGCCGTTCATGTCTTCCTCCTCCCATGCTCCACCGCGCTCGCGGGGGGCTGGCTGTCTGGTTTGAGCATACAGCTGCACGTTGCCGTCGATGACGCAATAGAAGCTCTTGTCTTGATCGAGAGACAATGTGTCGCCGGCAATAAGCCGCCTCGTCTGCAGATGTCGGGCGAGTTCATGGAAGACCTGGTGCAGGACGCGAATGAGGGACATGGTTTTCGTGACTAACATGACTACGTACCGGTTTCTCCAAGAACCCAAAGATCCGCACAGCTTGCAAAAACTCGTCGAGGTAGTTATGAAATGTAGGAGGCTGGTCCGGGGTGTTCATGTCGGGGTGCAATTCCTGCGCATCGGATTTGACCAGCGGCGGTTCTTTGAGCTGAGTGTACTGGTTCAAGTACCGGAAACGGATCCAATAATTGAGGGCGACAGCGGCTGCCAGGAACAATACCGCGAAAGACCAGAAGTTCAACTGCACCGGGGTTCAGGAAAGGTAGAGGCGCATATAACGAGCAGCTTACGGTCAATGTCATGGAGTACGACAGAATCGAGTAGATGAGTCTGGGGATAGTAATGGTGACGAATGCGATCAGAGATTTGGCCCATGAGAGCAACCACACTTTCGAGGTGTGGATGAGCATGCATTCAGCAAATTCAGAGCATGATACACGCACTGACAACCCAGAACGCCGCGGAAAACAGCATAATGAGCGGGTGCCTCTCTGTTGCAGAGGCCATCCCGTCTGTTCCTTCCATCTGGGCGAGCCAAGAAGGTCTTGAGAGGTAGAGGTCAATTCCTTCACGTGGTCGCGAAGAGGGGGAAGGTGGGGGGAATGGATTAAGAACGGCCGGCTGGAGGTGCCTGCGAGAAGCAGCTCGAAGAGCTATAGTCGCACAAGCGCCCATTTAGACCGTCGATTCACGTGCGCACGTTCATACACGCGGTCCGGGCAGCCGGACGCCTTCCTCTTCCTCTTGTTTGCCGGATCTTGTCCTCCCGTCGAGTCGCCCTGTCCGCCCTACAGCCACTCAGGCCTCAGTTGTAGCCGTGGCTGCACAGTAATGCTCTCGTTGCTTCGCGTTCGCTCGTTGTCGTCGACCACATTCTCCAAACCTGGGGCTTCCCGCGCCCGGTCGATCTCAGGGCTAATCAGGCCCGGTTCTATGTATCTCGGCGACTCATTCAGCGCAGCAAGCTGAGCATCGGGTGTCCTTATCTGGCGCTTCGCCCGCTTCACGCGCCCCGTCGTCCTTTTGGGGACTGCCCACGTTCGCTGTGGAGGCTTCCGTCAGACGTCCCGCTGACATAAATACGACGTGACCGTGCTCGGCGCATCCTCCGAAACTCGCCTCCAGATGCTACGTTGGCGCGCCATACCCCAGAAAGCCAGGAACGTGCGCCGGCGGGGTCCTTGATACGTTGGTGCATGAAGCTTCCGCCTGAGTGCCACCGGCTTATTGTGAGTCGCTCGCCCCATTCCATGATATGACGCACCCACTGTTTCGGCCTTATCGCTAGATGGTCTACCGAGGAGACTTCACATTGGGAGTTTGCTATCGTCAGGTGAGTTCTCGACATTCGCGATTCGGTGGACTTTGGTGGACTGACAGGTCAGGAGGTATACCATCGCTGAAGATGCACTACATGCGTATGATCCTCATGAAGCCGATAATAGATTAGAGATCTTAGGTGTGTGCCGCACATCATCAGCTCAGCTACTGGCACACTCGTGACTTCACAGGTGGTGCAGACTTGATTCTGGGCGTAAGAGAAACGCAATTCACTTCAGGCACGGCAATGCGTTCACGGCAAAGCAGTTCGTATTCAAAGATCAGATCAACTTCGTTACCAGTCCCAGGGGTAAGTAGTAAACGTAACGCTAGCAAACGTAACGCATGAACATCCAGCTGTTTGTCATTCCTAGACCGCGATACGGCGCCGAGCTCGGCGCCTTTGTGGCAATTTGTATACTCAATGTGAGTAGTGTTGCGATGGCTCGGCTTGGCTCGGCTTGGTTCGGCTCCGGACGGCTGCGAGAAAGCCAAAACCGGAGCCACGGCTCTGATTTCGGCTATATTACCAAAGCCGAGGCCCAAGCCGCCGGAGCCATCAGGAGCCGCTTTCTTCAAATGACACTGGTGGCAAAAGAAAGATTCGTGTTTCATAGTGGAAAAGAGGAACAGGAGAATGGCAGGACTGCTTTTTATATGCGCCTATGATACACAGAATGTTTTAAGATTGTCAGCAGGACGATTGGGCATGGTCGACCAAACACCCAAATTGCAGGCAAAACTCGAGTTGGGCCTCAGATCTCAGATCTGACGTCGAGTCCGATCAGGTGGGGCGCCTACTAGCTACAAGTTACAAGTTACTTATACAAGCTATGACTTATAAGGGACACAACTATTAACAATTTAACGGCTCGGCCAATATTGTCAACCTCGACCTCGACCTCGATGTCGGCCTTCACCCACCTTGCCAGCTGCATCCACACCGCACGAGGACGTCCGGAAGGACGTCCTCAGCATGGAGATTAGGATATGGGGGCCGCGGTGATGTACCGCGGCCCTTGTTCTGGTGAGTCTGCACTCCCGATGCCCACCTGCTCTCCCCTCCCGCTTCACCCATCCGAGCTGCCATCGCCCTCAACCACGTCGCCCACCTCCGCGCGCGTCGTCCACCTCCTCCGTATTTCCCACCTCCGCCTGCGCGCTGCGCGTATCGGCCCTCCTTCGCCTCTGCGTCGTCCACTTCCGTCTCGGCTACTACCTCCGCGCTACCCTCCGTTTGTATCGCCCACCTTCGCGTTGCCCGCCTCCGACTCTGCCCACGTCGCCCACCTCCTCCGCCCGCGCTGCCCTCCCCCGTGTTGCCCGTGTTCGCCTCGCCCGCCCCCGCCTCACCCACCATCTTCTCCGCCTTATGTAGATACCCGGCCCTCTGCGTCATCTCGCGAGCCCTCACACTCGCCGTCCTCCGCCTCCGCGTCCCCGGCCTCTGCGTCCCCCACCACCACCTCCTCTGAGTCCTCCGTCTCCGCGTCGCCCATCTCCACCTCCGCGTCGCCCTCCTCCACATTGCCCTCCTCCACGTCGCGGCCCTCCGCATCGCCCTCCGCCTCCACCTCCACCTCGTTGCGGCCCTTTGGAGTCTGCGTCGCCCTCCACCTCGCCCTCCTTTCCTCTGGCGCGCATCGTGCTCGTTTGCGCAAGCACGTCGTGCTCTGCGTGCGCGTCCGACTCGCGCAGGCTCGGCACGGCGCGTTCTCTCCCCACCCTCCGCCTCCACCTCACTCTCCTTCGTCTAGCCCTCCTCCGCTCTTGCGCACGTATCGCTCGTTTGCGCGAGCATGTCCTACCCGCGCTTCGCGCGCTCATTCGACTCACGAGGGCGGAGTACCGCGTCGCGCTGCGCAGCTTCCCCGTCCCCCTGTTGCGCACTATTGGGCAAGCACGTGCTGCTCTGCCCGCTGTGGTCTGCCGCCCCGCCTCCCATCTTCTGCTTCCAAGTTCCACCTGCCCCGGTATTGCCAGCATGTAGTAGTGTACTAATAAATATATTTCCCTTACCAATCCTACATTCTGTGGGCTCGTTATACAGGAACATACTCACAAGAAAGTCCGCATCTATCCCCTTCTCTAGGTGCCTAGCGACTGAGCTGGAATGCTGGAAGAGCCGATCTTGTGTTCTGGGAGGAGGCGCCCAAGATCGGCTCTTCCAGCGGCTCAGCCATCAGTAATTCTGGCTGCTGGCGTCAAGCTCTCCCCTCGTGGGAGGCTCGTTCTGAGCCGATTTTCCCAGCCCGGCTGACAGCCAAATGACCCGGCTGGCGCAGCCAGCCGAGCCGAGCCGAGCTATCGCAACACTAAATGTGAGCCGTGACCTCCAGTTGGATATTTCCTCCTGGGCCGTCGACACTCTCTGGTCCAGCATCGACCCAATAGACTTGTCACGATGTCTTTGGAACCCAAAGATGTGCGATACACAATCAGGACGGAAACCTGAAACGCACGCTGGCGCCTGGGTGAGAAGATAGTTCCCGAGGTACGTAAGTAATCTGGCCAAGCAAAGCAGCACTGGAGATGGGCTGATCTTGAATGCCAAATATTCACAGGCAGTTGGAAAGCCACCCAGCCAAGCGCACGAACTTCGCGTTTCTCCACGCGGCCCAACTTTTTCACATACCCGAATGTCTGGATAGCATTCTTCCGTCTCCGTCCGCCGAGGACCGAGAGAGACGTACCAGCTGAGCACAAACGACACAGCCGCTTCTTTATATCCCGGCACCATGCACGTACAGCTATTTCCGACATTGCTCTCGAATCCATGCTCGCACGATTACCCGTCCGCCGTTGGCCGATTCCGGACAAGCCGGATCTACGACCGGATCAGCCCAATCGCCACCACAGAGTGCTCCCACTTCCCTTCCGTGCATCTGTCATTCAGTCCAGGCTCCAGAAGTGCCAGCACCGTCTCGACTTCCGATTCCGAATGTCCGTAAGACGACTCTATCTCCGCATCGTCCCACCCTTTCACAGCGGCCGTCCGACCGGCGACTCGAGGCGATGGCTGGGCCGTAAGACATGAAGCACGGTGCAAGACGCCACGTACGGCACATATTCGATCTGCCAGTGCGTCTGATAGCATTCAGGCTGAAAGTTGGACGAGGACACCTCGGCTGTGCTTGTGAGTATGGGACAGTGTAGTGCAACGCACCGGCAAAACACCACGGACTGACCAGCGGCGGCATGCCACGGCCGCCGAGACACACGCAGGTACGAGGACAGAGACCATCAGCGCAGATAGCCAAGTTAGCCTGCTCCATAGTATTACACAAGCTCCCCCTCGGCGACCATCAGAGGGATCCAGATGTGTCAAACACGCTTCGGCAGGACGCATCCACTCCGACGAGCGCGCGCACGCAGTGCCTGCTAGCATGCGACGGCCAGGCTTTTCAGTTCCGGACTCCATTCGGACATCCAGTGAAAGGCCTGCACAGCTGCATGGCCCGAGCCCAGTGAGACACGAGGAGGACAAGGCGGAGACGCCGTTGGCGCGGAGGTCGTCCCGAACCACGACCACAAGAAGACGAAAGGATCCGGATCCGGATGCGCCTGCTCAACTATTCACGCGGATCCGCGGTGACACACAAGACGACCGGATCTAAGGTCGGGCTCAGTAGCAGGGATGCGGATGCGGATGCCATTGGTATATGGGGATGCGGATACAGGCAGGCAATAAGGACGACGTGGGTGCGCAGGCAGATGCGTGTGGGTGTGGTGAGGTGTATAAACAAACGGGACAAGACATGTGAGACGAATGCGACATGCGGACGGGACATTACATGCGCCGCGAGGGGTGCGATTGTACGATACGGGTGCGAAAATAGCCTGGGCGGATACAGTCGGCGCGGAAACGCTCTAGTGCGGTCGTACGGCAGGCGGGGCGGCGTGAGTAACAGTGTGCGAGTACAGATAGAAACAAGATAGAGGTGGGGAACGACGTGCGAACGAATGATAGCGCAAAAAAGGGTGAGCATGCGGGACGGTGCGAGGAAAAAGGGCGTGCGTGTGGATGCAAGAACGGACAACGAGCATATGGCGTGGGTTGGTGGCGGGGGACCTTGCGCGGGGATGAGACGTGTGTGCGCTGCGAGCTGTCGGACGAACGGCGACATGGATTACATGGATACAGATTTTCCTGCGAACAGATGGACATGAGCCCGTGGCGCGAGAAGATGGAGAATACGGCAACGCTCACGATATTCGTTTACTTTTGCACTATTGCACAGCTGTACCGTGAGAGAAGCTGAGGAGTAGAAGCGCGTCTTCCATCTTGACCCCAGGCCCCACCAGCTCCGGTTTGGTGGCGTCGAGGACCTTCGAGTGGTCGTAATGGCCGTAGTCGAGGGGATACCGCGGCAATGAAACTTTCCTCTCGTTGATATGAGAATGAGGCAACGGAAGCGCCAAACTCGACGTGGAGGCGACAGTCGAGGGTGGGGGTGACGACGAGGGCGAGGGTGTGACAGCTTCAGGCATGTCCTCGTCGCTGGCGAGCTCGCTCTGCGAGTGCGAGTGCGAGTGCGACAGCGGCGTGCGCGTGTACAATGGAAGAGGCTGGGAGATATGCCGGCGGCCGAGAGGATGCGACGGTTGGTGCGGGTGCGGGTGCGGATGGTGATTATGGTGGAGGTGGTGCTGAACGAGGGCGGGATGCTGCCTTTCGTCCAGGCTCTCGATCTTGACGTACTCCACGCCCGAGGCAGACGAGACGCTCGGTGTCGGCACGCGCGATGCGCTTCCCTGCGTACGCTCCTCGTCCTCGACGACGTCCATCGGTTCGCTCTCCATGCGAGCTCGGCGCCCCGCGCCCACCTCCTCGTGCGCGCTCGCTTCGTCCTCGTCCTCTGCGTCCTCGCGCTCCGCCTCGTCCGCGCTCACGCTGGTGCTCGCGACGCCGCCCGTCCGCGCCCGCTTGCGATCGCTCTGGCGCAGGTTGCGGAACCAGTTCGTGACCTTGCCCACATCCATCCCGATCTCCGCCGCGAGTGTTTGCCGGTCTTCAATCGAAGGCGTCTTCGTCCGCCCGAAGAGCTTCTTCAGGGCCTCGAGCTGCCACGGCTCGGGGCGCGTCCGCCGCGGGCGCCGGTGCTGCAGCTCCATGTGCATGGCGCGATCGGCAGTGCTGAGTGGGTACGGCGACGCGCGCGGTGAGGGAGGACGGCTGCCCGCGGCACTGAGACTGGGGGCGGCGCTGGGCGAGCGGCGCGCACGAGGGGGTCCGCCGTGCAGCAGCGCGGCGAGCGACGGGTGGGACGTCGGCGGGGGCACCGCGCCGATGAGGGACGGGTGGGCGGCGCTGGAGGAGGGCGGGACGGCGAAGGGCGTGTTCGCTCGGACGGCGCGGAAGGCGGCGGTCTCTTCGCGCTTCTTCGCGATGCTGCGTTGGTTCTGGAACCAGTTCGTGACGCTCTGGTAACGCCTGGTGTCCGGTGTCACGCGAATTTGTCATGCCCGAAGTCCAAGCCATGTCGAAAAAACAGGCGCCGGCGGAGAAGGCGGGGTCAAAGAAGGGAGCAATCACGATCAGCTTGCTAATTCGGGGGGCATCGGACAAGGCGAAGAAACGGAGACTGACATTCCGATTTTGGTCCCCAGAGCTTCGCGCTCCTCCTTGCTGGGGTGTGCCTTCTTTGCGTACAATTTTTTGAGCTCCACCGTCTGCGCCGCCGACGGCCGCGCCCGCCCCTTGCGCGGCACCTCGCTCTCGCTTGGCGACGGGTGCGCCTCTGCGTAGAACAACTGGTGCTGCAGCCCACGTCCAGCTAGCGAGGGGTGAAGAGCATGTGGGTGCGGGTGCGGGTGTCCGTGGTACGATAGCGGGTGGGGCGGGTAGCCGGACTCCTCGTCGTCCGAAAGCTCGTCATACTCAACTGCCCCGTGCGCATATGTATGCGAGTGTGAATGCGTATGTTGTTGCTGAGGTGCGCGGTGGACGGGCGGGGCGGAGACTGAGGCGATGAGCGCAGATATCGGGGGAAGCTCGCAGTGGGTGAGCGGGGCCTTGGTTCGCTTCTTTGACGACGCGCGCTTGTTCTGGAACCACGAGTTCACGGTCTTTGTCTCCCTGCAGCCGGCGTCGTGAGCGACCGTGCGACAGCGGGCAGGAGGCAAGGCAGACTGCGCATATATGAAGGCGAGGGTACGTACATGCCAAGGTGCTCAGCGAGTGCTGTGCGCTGCTCCAGTGTCGGGTGCTCTGTCTGCTCGTAGAGTTCATTCAACGCTACTAGTTGATGAGGGGCGTGTCGGTGCCGTGGCTTCTTGGCGTCGCTGGAGGCCATGGTGGATGTGGATGTGTGTGAGGGGGAACTCGTCGTCGAGGCCAGAGCCGAGGTTGAGACCGATCGAAGCGGGGGTGAGGTGGTGGGCAGCGGCGGTGGATGGTGTTGGGACAAGAAGGGAAGGGAGGGGCGTTCGCGCGGGCGACGGGGGATGCTTATAGACGGATGGAGGAGCAAGATTTGAGCGGGCACTGTCTCACGGCTAATGGGATGCGCTCTCGATCCGTCATATGCATCACCATGCAAATGGCCGACGTCGGCCGGCACTGTAGCATGATCGGCCCCTGCCTCTTGTGCTCTGAATCTTTTTGCCTCACTGCCACCGTCCAGGGCGCCAGACGCATCGATCGCCGCTGCTTCGTCCCCGCCCTCCTGCCGCCCCGAGCATGTGCTCGTCGCACCCGCCGAAACACACAGGTCGTCGCAGAGCGAGGGCTGCGGACGGGGGGACGCAGAAAGCGTCGGAGCGAGCGCAGAGGCACGTCTGGCGCGGGGGGTGAGTAATGCTGACAGCGACAGGTAATATGGGCCGGTTAGGGAGGGAACTCGAACAAGAGCTGTGCCTGTGAGTTCATGCTTGTCCTCGGGGCCACGTGCGGCCGTGATCGTGATGACAATCGCCCGTGTTCCATACGCGGTTCGGTATTGTCGGCCATATATGGGCGCTTATTTATAGCAGCTGGCAGTTTTTCGTCTGACATGATCCACCGGCAGTGGAACGCTGCGGTTCGGCCTGCGCTCTTCCCACTGCGTTTCCCCTCTGCGCAGGCCCAGTTCCGGCTGTTCAGTGCTTCAGCCCCAACGCAGCCTGGCACGAAGCCTGGTCTCGGGGGTAAGCAGCCTCAGACTAAGCAGCAGGATGCATGGATACCGGTATGCGGAGGCGCCAAGGGCGAAACAGGTCGGGAGGTGCTTTAGATCTCGCGATCTGATGGGCCGATGACGGTTTGCCCACGTCATGGCAGCCGAGGTCGAGAATGCATGCCGCCGCTCCATCCCAGCATGCGCCTGCGCACACCTCCTGGCTTCCGTATCACTCGACTGTCTTATACCATGGATCCAACCTTGCAAGGTTCATGCGTCCTCCTCCGCGTGCGCCCTCGCCGGGGTAAGCAAAACGGATATCTGGATACCCAGGCCACATGTCCCTGCGTATCTGGCGTCGCCTGTCCGACCGTGACGGCATCCATCCATCCCATCCAATCTCCCCCTTCTCAGCATCACACGTCCAGATATCCGCAACGTTCCACTTGCTCGAGCTTCGCAGCCACCCGCTAGCTGACACGGCACGCACCGACACTGGCCGCAGTGCCACCATCACACGTCGCATTATATTTACATATACATTATTAGATCCACGGAGGACTCTGATGCGGTCACAATCCCCATGTATCCGCACCACGCCCGGCGGGCCAGAAGCACATGAACCTCTTCCCTGTCATGATATGCCTTCCCCTCGCTCCCGCTCCCGACCCCGCCCCCAATCTCAAAGCCTCACTGCGCGCCCACGACCTCCTCCTCGCCGATGTTCTTAATCCACGCCCCGATCGCACCGCTGCAGTCCGCACCAAAGCCGGCACGGCGCAGCACGGGTACCGTGCGTGCATCACGAGCCACGGCGCGAGAACGAACGGGCCGGTGCAATTGGATCATGCATGGAGCAGGGAATAGTCAATCAGTCAGCAACAGGTCCACATCACGGGCAAACGCCGGTCGCAGCGCCAACAATGAAACTCACAGGAAGCCTTCGTGCCGGAGGAAGAGCGCGCGCTTCGTGCCCTTACTCCAGAATCGGATGGCGTAGGAGAGCGTGCTGATGGTCGCCGCGTGACCTGCGAACTGGAGTGTGAGCGACGTGGACGACGCGGATGAGACGGTCGCCAAGGGGTTAGGGCGGTCTGTGGCGCAGAGCGCGTTACGCACCTCGAATGAAGTATCCCCCAAAGTATATCCGCTCCAGGTTGTACTTCTCGGCGTTCATGTAACTGCATATGCATCTTTCTGTCAGCAATTATCACTATGACAGCCATCGCGCGGCCGTGTGAAGAAGCTTGAACCAGCTGGCGATAGCAAGCCCGCTAATGTGATTGGGAAGGGAGAACCGCAGTGATCGGGGCCCGAATGCCTCGTTGCTAAAGTTTCTTTTCCCATGCAGCTGAGAAGCTGTTATGACCGCCGCAGCTGTCAATGCGCGTGCTTCTATGAGCAAGCGACAGAAACTGAAACTCATGTAAGGCCTCTGATTCCTCACGGCCAGATCGCCGTCGCACGAGGCCCGGTATATAACCGGGTCTCATGGGACGACGGTTCTGCCGTAAGTGCTGACATCACAGACGACACCCACGAAGTAAAACGGAAATCACAAGCCCCCACCCAAATGGGGTACCAAAAGATAGAAGGCAAGTAGCCCGAGAGAGAGCGACGGCCGCAGGCAGACGGAAACAGGACCGAAATAAACACGCACGCAATCTGTCCGATGTTGTTCGAGATTGCGTACAGGAGGGATTTTGAGATGTCCTCGGCGCTGAACGTGCCCTTCTTGCCCCCCTGCTTCTTGAACACCTTGCCGAACGTACTCGCGATCATCGTCGACTTCAAGCCGAGTTTGCTGTAGTCGGCGCCGTAGATGTCGCCCACGAGCATGTCCACCGTTTCGTTCGAACCCTTTTCCGACAGCGCGAGCATCTCTGCGTGACGAAAACAGATGAGCGAACCTGCGCGGGATGACAGGAGCGGAGCACGTACCGTCGAACGTCGTCGCCGGCGTGAGCAAGCTGAGCAGACCCCAGAGTGTGCCGCCCCCCAGGCTCGTTCCGCTCACGCGCTCGAACGAGCCGTCCTCGTCCACCTTAACGATCGACACGCCCGAGCCTATGTTCACGAGCAGACACGGCAGCTGCGGTACCGGGTCGTGGACGAACGACACCGCGTACGTCGGCGGGTTGGGGCTCGGCCGCTCCAACGGTGGGGGCTGTGGGAGAGGAGGATACAGAGGCGCGTGTGGATGGGAGACCGAGTGGATGAGCTCGTCCGAGAAGTAGTAGACCTCGGCAGGGATGAGCGTGATGAACTTGAGGCCCTCGATGAGGCACGCCATCTCGTCTTCGCGGTGCACCTCCACTTGCAGCTCCTCCGCGAGCATGTCGTAGAACCGGTGCGCGCCGCCGCCAGTGGCGATGACCTTCACTCCCCGGCGCATGTCCGCAAGGGGCACGCCGTTAATCGCGGCGGAGCGCTCTATGAGTTCCCGGATGAAGGCAATGCAGTCTTCGATGTGCTCTGTCTCGAACCGCTCAAAGTTGAGCGACCCGCCCGGGAAATGCTGCACCGACGCTCGTCTAAGCAGAGAGTCGTGGAGATGGGAAGCGTTGAGAGATCGTGGAGAAAGACCTTCGCGATTTGTTTGGACTTCGGCTGGCTCATCGGCGAGCACATGGTTGCCGTTGCGTTGCTCGAGCACGGCCGGGGTAAGGGCGCCCTTGTCGTGGCTGTTCAGCCGGGTATGTGGCGGAGAGGATATCGGACTGTCTTTTGGAGGCGAGACAGACAATGGCGTGAAGGCGTCATGTGGTGTCGAGCCCAGAGTTGCATGCTGCGACGGGGAAGATGGGGGATTTGCTGATCGCGTGAAGTAGATGACTTTGGCCAAAGAACCTCCGATCTGCAAAACAGCTAGTCAGCAACAGCCCGCAGTCAATGACACGAACTGACGTAAACACATAGCGGATCATGAGCATTTACAGCACATTATAGCACCCACACAACACTGGTAGCAGCGCATTCCCCCATTACAGTTCTCCGATGCGGAGCGCGCGGCATCTGGCATGGAACATCCGCTCTCATTGCACCTACTTCTATCCATACGGCCGTGGGGAAAGCCGTCTACTATGCATGTTATGCTGCCGTGATCATCCTTGTGTGTTCCGCAAGAACACTGCTCTCCTCGTCCTCGTCCTCGGCCCCGCACACCACGGAACCAAACGAAACAGCTTCTGTGTTTCTCCGGAGTAGTGAAGCGAACGCACGTCCTCGATCTCGATGAATAGCAGCGATCCGTCCGCAACCCCACACCAGATCCAATGAACCGCACGAGCGTGGAGTCACTGACAACGAGAACAGATGCGGACCCTTCCCCGACTCCCGGCGTCAGACGGAACAGCCCTGACAGCGACACCCTCGAAAGGACAGGAACGCGTACTCACGTCGACTGCAATGTGGGATACCGGCTCGATGTAGTTGGGAAAGTAGATCCCGCGGCTGTCGCGCGTCTTCGCGCGCCGATCGCACGAGCAGGGGTGCAGGTCGGCGCGTGCGCACACACACAAGTGCGGAACGCGGGGAGGGACAGCGGACGAGGTCAGCACGGGCTGGGGGCAGCAGGGGCGAGCGCACGCACCTCGGGCGACTCCTCGTCCAGGATCATCGCGCCGCGCGTGTCGACCTGGATCGTCTTCGCGGTGGGCAGGGACGGGCCTGCGGTGGACGTCGGTATCGACCTTGCCATGTTCTCCAGACAGTGCAGGGGTGTGCGTAGGGGTGCGGGTGCGAGAGCGACGTGCGGCGGGGATCCTGGGACGCAAGGTATATAGCGACCGACGCGGCGTGGGTGGGCGTGAACGAGAGCGAGGGCGAGGGGGCCGCCGTTCGGCCGTCCGAGGAGGAGGATTAAAGCCGATCTCGCCCTGGGCGGGCTGACGCGGTCCTGACGCGGACGCTTAGGCCCAGCACGCGGACGCTCAGCGCAGCGAGTGGGGGCGGCCGTTCGCAGTCGCTAGTGCTGCTGCCGCCTCAGCCTGTCTGATTCGGAGCGTCCAAGACGTATTGCCGTTCGCGTGAACGGCCGCGGGTCGCGAGGGCCGGGGGCGGCGTGGGACGAGAAGGGCGTGCGTGCCGCTCGCAGGGTGGAGACGGAGGGGAGGGGAGTGGTACGAGGCGGCTGGCGCATGCTCGCGCCCGCGCTGGGGTCGGAGGATCGTGGCGTGGGGCGACAGCAGCTGCATCCGCCGCCGGCCATGGCGCGATCCCGGGGCCGACGCGACTGCGCCGGGCCTGCCATGACCATTCTTGTAGCACCGTGCCCACTGTGCAGCCACAGGCGGCTGCCCGCCTGCGGTCATCCTGCGCACGCGGGCGGCGGCACGGCAAACTGTGCCCACATGGCCCGTCTCACATTCCGACTTTCACGAGAGTTCTGTCATATCTTGCACACACCCAGGGCGGCGCAGCTTCACAGGATGTGTAATCCCGTCCCTCGGGCACACGATGTCCGTATGCGAATCGACGATGGGGCTATGTAACTGACGATTCGAACGGCGAAAGGTATAAAACGTGCTACTAGGTCCGTGAGATCTGGAGTCCATTTCTCGAAACTAGCTCGACCTCTGCGTCTTTGTGTGTTTGTTTAGCCAAGGTGCAACCGATCGGGGTATACTCCAGCAGTACAATTATCAATGTATATCCACAAGATGCCCCCGTCAAAAGGGGGCACCACGCAGGCGCGCACTCCCGGTGTAGGGCACGGGCGTAGGGTACGAGAGAGGTCTGGGGCACCGAGCCGGCGATGCACAGTCCAACAGCTCGCCCCTACACCGGATGGGCGCGCACGCGCAGGCGACTAAATAGTATACGTACAAACAAGAGAATGGGGGAGAGATACAGCGAAACCATCGAATCGTCAGAGCAGACATGCGCGTAGCGTTATGGGACTTGTACCCGGGACCAAACCGTCTGTTGAGACAGGAAGGACGGGGTAAGGGAGGCAGGGAATCGGGAACTCGAGACATCACCTAGAAACCGATGAGACGAAGGAGAAGGTACAGCACGGACCCCGTGAAGCGGATGGCAGACAATCCAGCTCTGCATGCCAAGGTCAGCACCGAGCGACAGGGTAGGAAACAGACGAGACTCACAGGGCGTAGAAGAGGAACGTGAGGTAGGGGTTGAACGTCGCGTCCGACGTGAATTGGACGTGCTCCTTGACCCAGTTCGTGAACACGGTTGACGTGAAGACAAGGATCATGAGAATGTTCGTGCCGACCCACGCGAGAACGACGTTTGTACGCGAGTTGCGGTCGTGGTCGGCCTGCTTCGTCGCCGCGTCACGGTGCTCCTTCTCCTCCGCGGGCTTGAACGAGAGCGCAGTACGGGATGCAGCCCAGACCTGGTCCACATCCTCACGTGCGGTGGGGAGCTCAACTTCAAGCATGTCCTTGCCACCCTCGCCTTTGACCTTCTTAGCTCCACCAAGGTCCTTCGCCGAGCCGTTGTCGCCCTTCGTACCCCAGGTGACATCGTGCAGGTTGCACATGGCATACATCACTGTTAAATTGTCAGCAAGCGTTGCCATGCTACAAAAAAGAGCGAGGCACATACTGAGAATGTTGACGTAGCTGGGAAGCCAGAACATGTATTGAAGGAACGACGTGAACATGTGCCAGGGCTCGAAGTGGATGAATGAGCCGATGAAGTAGAGACCGTAGGTGGCAGCGAGGGAGATGACGATGTCACGGAACGTCGCGTTGGTCTGGACCAAGCTGTCGAACAAACGTAAGCGCTCAAGCTAATAGAATACACAAGGATCCACTTACTGGGGGAAGTCCTTCCAGCCGTCAAGAGAGTGTGGGACGGCGAGGTACACTGTATACGCAGCACACCATAGGGTGATGATGTTGCAAAAACCGAAGAGCAGGATACAGATCGAGTACGTCCACTTTGAACCCTGCGGCCTGTTACCGAGCGAACAGACCAAGACGATGAAGAGGAGGCCGAGGTAGAGCTTCAAGAAGACCTCGAAGATGTCATTGCCGATACCATCTGCGAGGAAGTTGAAGGCGTCGGTCCCGCCAGAAGTCGCCGAGGAAACGAGCTAAAACCGTGGTATGGCGTCAGATCAGCGAGATTACGGATCCTGGAGTATGCTTACGAAGAAGAAAGCCAGGTAGAAGTTTGCCAAGGAGGTCCAGGTGAAAAGCAGTTGAACCGCGTTGTACACGAACTCGATCTGGAGAATGATCTTCCTGAAGAAGCCCTGACCAGAAGTCCAGATACGGAACCAGAACACAGTAGCGTGAACGGACGCAAAGAGAGATCCGTTCAACCACCGACGACGCTGCGAGATGAATTCGGGGACGGTAGTGGGCACATCAGTCGCAGCCTTGGCGCTCTTGACGTACTTGAGCCTGGTTACGGGTACTCATGTCCATGAGACTAACCACGGAGAGGTCGAAAAATGACTTACGTCCAGGCCTCGCGCTTCTTGGTGACAATCTCAAAGCACAGGATACGGTCCTCCGCAAGGTACATGTTACGCTCTGGAGGAAAGAGCTCTTTGAATGCATTCTGAGGCAAACAACAGATACAACTCACCAAAGAGACCCGCACTGCTGCCGCCGCCGTGCATGGCCTCGCCCTTGAAGTACGAAGCAAGGGGACCTGTCCCATCCGGGCCGTTCTGGAGCGCTTTGTAGCGGTACGCACTGAAGGCACCAGGAAGTACAGAGATGTAACCAAAGACACTCTCCAGGGGCTTGTCGAGAATGTTGGACATCTTGTACTGTGTGATTGGATTCCATCAATGTCTGGTTTTTCTCACATGGCAGATCACCATACCTCGAAGTTCTGGGAAGCGGCGAGGGGACTCTTCAGCAACAGCGAGCAGTACTTGCCCGTGTCAACACAGATCTCTCCACAAGCGCCACCAACGCCAGAGTGCTTGTCGAAGCCTAGAGGGATCATCAGGATCTTCCAAACTCACAAACTGAGATACTTACACTTCCACAGTTCATAGATGGAAGTGCCAGTGGGCTTGGTGCCGACGTCCAAGAGAACGCAGACTAAGAGAGCGTATGAGAGACGTCCCCTTGGTATGCTTCACGAAAGGACGCACCGTTCGGCTGGATGAGAGGTCCGAAGGCGTTGAAAAACCAACGGTGGCTATTTTTACACGTCAGAACTATGCGGGCTGCGGTGGGACCGCCGATCCTTACCTGTTGAGTTTTTTCTTGTTCTGTTCCTTCAGACAGAAGACGATCTGCACGGGGCAGGCGCCCTGGGAGACCTCACCGCGGTCAGTCACGACGACGCTGGAGGTATACCTGGGTGTCTCTCTTGAGAATCAGCGTGGCGATACGGTAGCGAAAACCACGTACTCAAATATGTGTGCCGTAACATCCTTGCCCATGATCGAGTCTTTGGCAACACCTTCTTGGTAGCAGCCCATCTACATGGTATTGGAATCCGTGAAACACATAGAAATGCAGCATACACACCAGCGTGAGGACTTGAAGTGTACGCTTGTTGATCTTGCTACGACCGTCGGACACGACACAGACAACGACCTTCTTCCAGCCATCCGGGCCCCAGGTCTTGGATTTGGTCCTGCCGCATAAGTGCGCAATGTTCTTGAGGACGCTATTTTCGGTGAGTCCATCACCTTCCAATTCAGAAATCGAAGAGTGCTCACGCGTTCATAGTGCGGCAGAAGAGGACCTCGTCTTCGTTGTACATGGTCATCACGATGAATAGCTCCGTGCGGCGACCGAGGAGGTAGGGCCGGAGGCAGTACTTCTGACGCATGAAGTCGTCGGGATCGCAGGTGGCAGCAGTGTAGCGGAGCTTCGTCATTTCTTCCGGCGCGTCCATGCCCTTCGGAGCAATGTGCGACGGCACGGGCATGTCGAGGACGAGATTGCCATCCTGGAGCTCGATCTGGCGGACGGAGCGACGCTTCATGAGCTTCTCGCGCGCGACCGAGTACCCGGCCGCGCTGTGTTGGGAGTGGGCGTAGCCCGGGCGTTGCTGCGGAGGGTAGTTCCCGCCGGGGCCTTGGTAGTGCATGTTGGGCATGGGAGGAACGGCCTCCTGCATCATCTCGTTGCCGTAGGGGTTGAGGTGGGTTTGAGAGCCGGTGTAGTCGCTGTGGTAGGACTTGGTCTCCCAGTTCTGAGCGTGGCTGTCGTATGAGTATTGGTGCTGAGGCGCTTGAGGCTGGGAAGGGGGGTAGTCGGGATACGCATTTGCGTACGGGTCATGTTGTTGGTTTTGGTGATAAGCCATGGTTGCGAGCCGCAAGAGGTACCGGGGTCAGAGCGATGGTGTTTGGGGAAGGATTGTGGGGGATGAAAGAATGTCTGTCAACTCGACGCGACGCAACCACCGGGGAACGAGCGAAAGAGCGACTGCGCCCGCAAGTGTGGCTGGAGGGTAGGAGGTGGAGGGAGGAAGCAAGCAGGGCGATGCAGTGAGAATGCCCGACGCGAACTCCTCTGGGCGCCTGCGGCCGTCTCCGTGATCAGGCCATCAGCAACGACTGCGGCCGGCCGTCGCTCGCCATCCTGCTCCCCGTCTCGGCCAATGGGCAACCCGCTCCGTGTCCCCGAAGGCTGTGATTGTTGGCCTCCAGTCGCCGAGAGCAAGCCAAGTTCACGGCGTACCGTGATAAGGTCTTAGTATCAGTTGCGTGACTTTGCGTCGGACATACAACACTATTTTGCAGCAAGATCGCAGTACTTCAACTACTGACACAGCAATATATGTAGTCGCCTACATATCTCCTGTCTATAATAATACTATCCAGGTTGCTACGCTCGCAGATCACGCGTCGATCGAGTGGTCACTGCGATCGAGAAGAGTTCAAAACGTTCAAGCACTGCCCCGCATCGAACGGAGAGGTGTACGCACTGACGTTGCTAGGAGACGTCGAAGGGTTCTATGACCACCGGTTGCTCCAGCACGGAGCGCGCTCCCTAGTGAGAACTTGTGCACCCTGAGCCTCTCGAGCAATCCAAACCGACTCCAAGGAGAACTGAATAGCGAATTGCACTTACACAACCACTCCATCGGCCAGCGCGCTGCTGCTGCTGCGCGGGAAATAGATGCTTGTCTCAAAGAAACAAAGACCCTGCAGCTGTGATCAGCTTGGCGTAGTAAAATATTAGAGACGCCTGAGCGCAGACCTCGGACGCCTTGCTCAGTACGTGTCCTTGGAGATAAGCTCGAGCTTGGGCTCAACCGCAAAGAGCGCTAAGGGCTGTCGAAGAAGTACAGGTTGGCGGCGTGTTCAGGGACAGGAGGCTGCGTGGACCAGTCTAAGATGTGCGACGCGAAACGAGGGGGAGTTAATGTATTCGGTGGAGCACCTACGTCTGTACATGTTCTGCCCACCCCGCCGGGTTGTCCAAAGTTTATACCCATCTAAACGGGACATGTAGAAATTTCTGTGAGAGGCACGGGTACCGAAAAGGCGGTTCGTGAATGCACAAGCCGGACAACTTTATTGGGATACACAGCTTACTGGTTGGCAGGGATTGCCTCGGTAATGAGGCCTACGAGGAGCGACCACTCCACCGTGGCCGGCGAGGTGGTCGTGCTTAGCGGCGGAGATCTCACATGTGAAGTCATCGTGAAAAGCAACGATAATTCACATCAAGCTTCGATACGCCGGACCCCGAGTTTATACGCCATCTCTTCGACCTTTCGCGCAGACAAGAAATCCGTGAGGTCGGAGCCAGACACTGACCTTATATTGACGCCCGACTCTGGACGTGGTTGAATGCTCTTCATGTGCTTCCTTCAGTAATGCTGGCTGTCCGGTTCCATGAATGTGCATTCTCGTCACGAGCCCTACACAAAATAGTGACAGCCGGATGTATACGGTCCAAAACCTCTCAGCCCATTTGGGAGTAGACACGGAGATGACCGTACTGCGGCCTTGTACGCCGTGGGCTGTGCAGCACAGCGAACGAAATAAGTGATCCTTGATCTTTGGTACAAGACGCAAGCCGGCTATCTTTTTGAAGGTGGCACAGATATGCAATGGGTGATGTCGTCAAAGTACAGACCGAGGATCGTGGGATGTACGCCCTTTCGGAGACGTGAAGACGTAAATCGGAAAAGATGGAAGGGAGACATGAGAGCCGCATACGCAACAATGACATTCTCATCGCGGTAAAGCCACCATGCGAGTGCGTATACGCAAAGCCAGGGATTTGGCAAAAAAACATGATCGCATTCAGTGGGAGGAAAACCTGTGGAAAGAACTCGTGCGCACCTTCCTACCATCCCACCCACGTGGACGGATACCGAGAACTTGCGAACGGTGGAGAACACATGGGAATCGCGTGCCAAATCAGCAGGGAAGACCGCGCGTTCCTCGAGACGACGGCTTGAGAAGGGTAACCGCCTTCACCGGCAGAAGCTCGGTCCATTTGTTGTGCGCTCCGGGCCAGCGTCCACTCAATGGTGGTGGGGGAGACGAGAGTACATGGAGGCGATTGGAGGTCTCTAGCGACGAGAAGAAGCAATGGCTCGAGCGAGACCGTCGTGGCAGCAGGCAGACTGAGAATGCCATACGGAGGGAGTCAAGTGAGATAGATGCTTGCGTAAGACGTGATGAAAGACGCCGCAAGAAGACGCGGCGGCAGATGCAGCGAACCACGTCCGCCGTTCGTGCGCTGTGGGCGATGATGAGGAGGGGTGCAGATGCAGCAGGGCCCGGGGAGAGAGCATGCACCCGACACGCGTCGGGGGCAGGGCGGAGTCGTGGCGAGCAGGACGAAACCCGCAACAGGCGGCAGGCGTCCGGCGTGATCGATGGGGTGGCGTGTTGACCGGCGTCAAGGGCACATCCGGCGAATGTTCCCACGAGAGGCTCACCCGCCACCTGGCCTGCGTTGTCCCCTCCGCTCTTTCTCCTGTCCTTGTACTACCTTCAGGCTTCTCCTGTCCCTCTCATAAATACGCCCCGTCTCTCTCTAGCCCTTCCTCTCGCCTACCCCTCCCCTCCGACCGCCTTTAGTTTCATCTGTAAGTTTCTTTTGTTACTCTTGCGCTCTCCCTGCCACCCCCAGCCGTCGTCTTGAGTCGCCTCGAGGCTGTCGCGCATTGCGACCTCCCCTCCTGCCTGCCATGCCTCTCGACGTAAAGATTATCGCGGGTCTTCTGGGCCACACGACACGCCTCGACCATTGCGCCGTAGGCAGCTGCGCCCATGCAGTGCTCGTTGTTCCCAGGCTCTCCTTGCTTTTCAACCGCCACCCCTTGCGCCTCTCCCTCTTCACCCCTCCATCCCCCATCCCGTCCACCATCATCTACTATCTTTCCTCTTTGATCCGCTTGCTCAGACCGCCCTTTATAGTTTCTCCGTCATACAAGTTGAACCTCCATGGCCGATTCGTCCTCGCACCGCCTCGACCTTCGTGTTGGTGGGAAGTACAGGTTGGGCAAGAAGATCGGTTCAGGATCGTTCGGTACGTCTCTTCACTGTGCGATGCATGACGATCTCTCAGTCTCGTGTTAGGTGACATTTATCTGGGCATCAACATCATCTCCGGTGAGGAGGTCGCCATCAAGCTCGAGTCTGTGAAGGCCAAGCACCCTCAGCTCGAGTATGAGTCCAAGGTCTACAAGACTCTCGCCGGTGGTGTTGGTGTGCCTTTCGTGCGTTGGTTCGGGACCGAATGCGACTACAACGCCATGGTCATCGACCTTCTTGGTCCTTCGCTCGAAGACCTTTTCAACTTCTGCCACCGCAAATTTACCCTGAAGACCGTTCTTTTGCTCGCCGATCAGCTGGTATGTGGCCTTTCGGTCCAAGATGGCCTACGCCCGTGGTGTTTTACTGATGCTGGTTGACCCCTCGGTCCAGATCTCCCGCATTGAGTACATCCACTCTCGCAACTTCATCCACCGCGACATCAAGCCCGACAACTTTCTCATGGGTATCGGCAAGCGTGGCAACCAAGTCAACGTCATCGATTTCGGTCTCGCCAAGAAGTACCGTGACCCGAAGACCCACTTGCACATCCCGTACAGGGAGAACAAGAACTTGACGGGTACCGCTCGCTACACGTCCATCAATACCCATCTGGGTGTCGAGCAAGCGCGTCGTGACGACCTGGAATCCCTCGCCTACGTCTTGATGTATTTCCTGCGCGGCTCTCTTCCCTGGCAGGGGCTTAAGGCCGCTACCAAGAAGCAGAAGTACGACAGGATCATGGAGAAGAAGATGACCACCCCCACTGATCTCCTTTGCCGCGGCTTTCCGAACGAGTTCGGGATTTTCCTCAACTACACACGTGCTCTCCGTTTCGATGACAAGCCCGACTACTCGTACCTTCGTAAACTCTTCCGTGACCTCTTCGTCCGCGAGGGGTACCAGTACGACTACGTCTTCGATTGGAGCATGCAACGTGCCATGGAGGACGGCGGCAGCACCAGCCAGAAGGCCACCCAGGGTCGCCGCAAGGTCCTACAGGAAGAAGAGGAGCACCGCGTCAGCGACAGGATGTGAGTTTCGGCGCCACTAAGGTTCGCCCCCATTTTTACTTACTCGGTCTAGGCTGCGCTCCCACACTCGTCAACAGCAGGCTGCCGCAGCCATCGGCCAGCCGCGACGTCGCGAAGATCAGTGGTGAACGCCCCCTATGTCATGTGGGGACATGTCACTTGAGCACGTCCGGGTCCGACCGAGCATGGGGGGCGGAGGGTAGAAGCTAGCGGCGCTCGGGTTTGGTTTGGTCGCCATTTGGTCAAGAAGCCTCGGATCTCGGAAACGTTTTGGTCGGTCGCATCGCTCATGTCGATGGAGCGAGTGATCACGCACATCGTGGTATCACGTCGAAGGAGCATGACATGCCGGCGGTACAGGGAGGACACGACGTTCCCCTCTTGGGCAAGGCCGTAGATCCAGGGAAGTCACCATCCTGGGTCACGCTCTCCTCTTCTCGTCGACTGGTTCGCACTCCCAACACACGCCTACTCAGCGGAGGGTGCTCGCCTCAAGAGCTCACCGGCACCCCTCACTCGCTCGCCACCCCCCAGTTCTCTCTTTCGTACGGACGCTTGTTTCTTTTCAAGCTCCTCTCCTCGTCTACGCAGACGACCGTGAGCCGCTGCCTCCTCCCTCGCCTCATACATTCCCCTCCGCGCCGTACTTCCGTGATGATATCTCCCTAACAAGCACCCTTGATGACTTACAATCCACCCTGCACGCATCATCACGCCTCCTTCCACGATTCAACGTATATATTTCACCCACAGCTTGCCCTCGTCCTTTCTAATACTCCCTCCATGCGCATTGCGCACCTCCCCTCGTTTACTGTCTCTTTTACCCCTCTCCTCGCCCTCTCATACGTCGTACTCGTTATAGTGCTGGATCTGTCGCTCTGTTTCCTCTCTCCTCCACCTCTGTGGTAGCCCGCCGCGCGCTGCGGTCCGGTCGCCTGGAGGGTTCGCCGGAGAGAGAGGGCGCCGCGTCTGGTCCAGGTGGATTGTGGATGTTGTGGATAGCACGCCGAGTTATCCGCAGTCGTGGCAGGTGGTAGCGGATCTGGAGGTGTTGGTGTAGTGTCGTTGGTGTAGAGTTGTAGCGGCGTCGTGACCAGGCGCGATGTATTGCATAGTGGTGTTCGCACATATCCTCGTTGTCAATCCCAATTCTGTGCGTCCATATGAAACCAATGTTGTCCTTCTTTAAACTTTCTACATGGTCGATGGATTCTTGTGTTTAGGTACAGCCTAACAGAGACGTGCGCTGCCAGTGCTAGCGCCACGTGTTCCGTGATGCACCCGCCAAGGTGAGATCTGTACTACAGACCATACTCCTCCCCTTCCACGACGTGCCGCAAGGCTCGCTTGTTCTCCCGTCTTCTATCATGTCTTTTGCCACGAAGAAGGACGAGGAAAGCGGCCTCAGCACATACTACAACAACAAAACCACCGTTATCCAGGAGGCCCGAGTCTTCAATGAATCCCCCATAAGCCCACGCAAGTGCAGGGCGCTGCTCACGCGCATCGTGTATCTTCTCTATGTCGGCGAGACGTTCAACACACAAGAGGCGACAACGCTGTTCTTTGGAACGACGAAATTGTTCCAGCACAAGGACGTACGTCGGACTATCTCTTGGTTTCGCTTCGCTCTAGCCGAGGTGTTGTAGACTTTGGTGCTCAAACTGGATAAATTCGCCTTTTCAGAGTGCACTGCGTCAAATGGTGTACCTCGCTATCAAGGAGCTCGCGACGACGGCAGAGGATGTTATCATGGTCACGGCGAGCATCATGAAGGATATGCAGCCCAACTCGGAGGTCATCTACCGGCCGAACTCCATCCGTGCCCTCGCGAGGATCATCGACGTGAGTACTCTTCATGGTCTCTGCGACTACGAGCGAGGGAACCAACAGGTGGTCTGCACATTGTCAGCCGTCTATGGCCCAAGGTGTGGAACGCTTCTTCAAGGCCGCCATCGTCGACAAGAATCCGTCCATCTCCTCCGCCGCGCTCGTCTCCGCCTACCACCTATTCCCGCACGCCAAAGACGTCGTCAAGCGCTGGGTCAACGAGGCCCAGGAGGCCGTCAACGCCAAGTCGTCCTCGTCCTTCTTTGGCGGGAGCGCGTCCAGTGGTAGTGGGTACCTCGGCGCCTGGGGCGGAGGCTCGTCGAACGCGAATCAGGGCTACCAGGCGATTCCGTCTACAAGCTACATCACGCAGTATCATTCGCTCGGGCTGCTCTATGTGATTCGCCAGCAGGACCGGATGGCAATCACCAAGATGATACAGCAACTGGGTGGAGGCAAGAGCGGGGCGGGCACAACGCTCAAGAACCCAATGGCGCTGTGCATGCTCATCCGGTATGCCGCGAAGGTCATGGAGGAGGATCCGAAGTGCGTAGCATTGGACGCTTAAATGTCTCGTTGCCGCTGATGGGTGTTGTCCAGCACTCAGAGGCAGATGCTCGAGCTCCTTGAGGGCTGGCTCCGGCACAAGAGCGACATGGTTAACCTGGAGGCCGCGCGAGTTATCTGCGAGATGAAGCACGTCACTTCTACTCAGCTGACGCGCCCGATCGCTGGTGAGTAGCTGGTTCTCAGTGGGCTACAGGTGTTCACGCGATTGTAGTCCTTCAACTGTTCCTCTCTTCACCTAAGTCGACCCTCAAGTTCGCTGCCACCCGCACCCTCTCCTCGCTCGCGGTGTCCCACCCGTCAAGTGTCGCGGCATGCAATATCGACCTCGAGAACCTCATCTCGGACCCGAACCGCAGCGTGGCCACCTATGCGATTACGACCCTCCTCAAGACCGGCAACGAAGCATCCGTCGACCGCCTCATGAAGCAGATCAGCGGCTTCATGAGCGAGATCAGTGACGAGTTCAAGGTCATCATCGTCGACGCCATCCGCTCGCTATGCCTCAAGTTCCCTGCGAAGCATGAGTCGATGCTTGCCTTCCTCTCGGGCGTTCTCCGCGATGAGGGCGGCTACGACTTCAAGCGCGCCGTCGTCGAGGCGATGTTCGACATGATCAAGTTCATCTCGGACTGCAAGGAGCAGGCGCTCTCGCACCTCTGCGAGTTCATCGAGGACTGCGAGTTCACGAAGCTCTCCGTTCGCATCCTCCACTTGCTCGGCGTCGAGGGCCCCAAGGCCCCTAACCCCACGAAGTACATCCGGTTCATCTACAACCGCGTCGTGCTCGAAAACGCGACCGTCCGGGCTGCAGCGGTCTCGAGCCTGGCGAAGTTCGGTCTCAACAACATCGACGCGAAGTTGGGCAAGAGCATCCACGTGCTGCTCAACCGGTGTCTCGACGATGTCGACGACGAGGTCCGCGATCGCGCCGCACTCTACCTGAAGGTGTACGAGGAGCCCCCGCTCATCCAGCCCTACATCAAAGAAGGTTTGTAAAGTCTGCCGCCCTGTTACGTATTACGCTAAGCAACTTCCTTCCGCAGAGGCTATCTACTCGTTATCTGCCTTGGAGTCAAAACTTGTTTCGTACATCAGCGACCTCGATTCGCTGGACGAAGCCTTTGACGCCTCGGACATTCCCAAAATCAGCCGGGAACAGGCTGCCAAGGATGCTGCTCGTACGTGTGATGTGCTACGATGTGACCCATGGATCTTCAATGCTCCCTACAGGTCCCAGCACGCTCGAGACCATCGGTGTCCCCTCAACTTCCAAAGCGTCGACGCCCCCACCACCTTCGGCCGCGGAGACGCAGTCCCATTACGTGCATCAGCTTGCAGAAGTTCCGGAGCTTACATCATATGGCCCGGTCCTCAACAGCAGCATCAAGCCCAACCCCCTCACCGAGAGCGAAACGGAGTACCTCGTCTCTGTGGTCAAGCACGTATTCAAGGAGCACATCGTGTTCCAGGTGAGGTTTCCTGCGGACTGTGATCGATAAATTGCTTATTATGTCTTCAGTTCAACGTGTCAAACACGATTCCAGACACCGTTCTCGAGCAGGTCTCGGTCATCATGCAGCCGCAAGCGGACTCTGGTCTTACGGAAGACTTCATCATCCCCATGCCCACCCTCACCTCTGCGACGTCGCCGGGAATAGTCTACGTGTCCTTCACACGCGACACACCTGAAGAGTATGTGCAGGCCTCGTTCTCGTGCGTCCTCAAGTTCGTCAGCAAAGAGCTCGACCCGTCCACCGGGGAGCCTGAAGAAGAGGGCTACGAGGATGAGTACCAGCTCGAAGACACCGAGCTCGCCGCGGCGGACTACCTCGTGCCCACCTATGTCACCTTCGCGGCCGAGTGGGACCGCTTGCGCGGCGGCGTGGCGCTTACGGAGACATTCTCGCTCTCGGCGATGGAGTCCCTCAAAGGTGCGTGTCCGCAGGCGGCATGCTCATGTGCATGCGTGCACCATCACATGGCTCCGGCCACTCATACTGACCCTGACTCTGTCCGCTTCTCCTACAGCGGCGTGCAACTCGGTCATCGAGATCCTCAACATGCAGCCTCTTGGTGGCTCGGAAGAACCTCAGCAACCCACGGTGCACACGCTACAGCTTTCCGGTCTTATGGGCGGCGGCGGAGGAAAAGTTCTCGTGCGCTGCCGCATGACATACTCGAAGGCACAAGGCGTCACGCTCGAACTGGGCGTACGCGCCGAGCAACAGGCTGCGGCGGACTTGGTAATTGCCGCCATTGGTGGTTGATTATCGGGACTGTGCGGGATCGGAGGGTTTACGCATGTTGTATTGTGAATAGATCCATCGTATGTTATTGCATCAATCTCGGGGCGGCTCTATACGTTGTGTGTTGGCTGTTTCGGTTCACGTTGCAAAAGGCGGTCAAAAGCGTGAAACATGCCACATTGTGCAAAAAAGCTGAACCCTGCCCGGATTGAACGGACGACCTTGAGGATTTCCCAGCTGGAATCTCACGCGCTACCACTGTGCCAAGGGTTCATACGGGATTCCTGATTGTACATTACTTCGATTTGAATCAACCACAGTCGCCACCTATTGCGAATAGTGCGAGTCTCAAGAACCACTTTGGAGAAGGACGACCAGAGACTTGCAACCACTGACTCAGTCTAGGTCGCGCCATCTGGGCACACCTCCTTGGACCTTTCGCCACGAATTGTTCTTGAAACGCACGAGCGGGTCATGGGCGCCTTGCTTTCGCTTGTGTTCAACGTCTACAGCTTTGCTAGCCTTTTGTATCCACCATCACCTCGTTTCAGCGTGGACGACATTCCTGACTTGGGTGGACAGGTCGTAATCGTAACAGGTGAGCCAGTCATGTAGATGCTGACCCCTCTCGGGACTCACTCTTGGCACTCCAGGCGGTTATGCGGGGATTGGGAAGGAGACCGTGAAGGTGAGCATATGAGTAATGGACATCTGCCTTCCCAGGGAGTCCTTATGAGGCTCATCAAATCCATATATTTGTAGGCACTGCTACAACGCAACGCAAAAGTCTACGTAGCTGGCCGCGATAAGTCCAAGGCGGCATCAGTGCTCGCCGATCTCGCTGCAACGACCGGGAACGAGCCTCTTTTCCTCGAACTCGATCTTGCGAGCCTGAAGTCCGTAAAACATGCGGCTGACGAGTTCATGAGGTTTGTCACGGAACGGAGCTATGTTTATTTATGGCGAGCATGTTGACTGGCACAACGTAGCAAGGAGAGAGAGCTTCATATGCTGTTCAACAACGCGTAAGTTTTGCCAGAGATGTATGGCGGGATTCGTGTGTGACTGACGACGACCTTCCTCCAGCGGAGTGATGTATCCTCCACGTGAGCTAGTCACTGTAGATGGTTATGATTTGCAATTTGGCACCAACGTCATCGGTGCGTGTCCTCGAGTTCAGCGCCATAACCTACAGCGAGGACTGAACTCGATCAATTAGGTCATTTCTATCTGACTGAACTGTTGACGCCTGCTCTCATCGCCGGAAAGGATAGCGCAAAGGACCATCATGCTCGTGTAATCACCACATCTTCTGGAGGGGCGTACTTCGGAAGTTTGAACTGGGACACATTCAAAGATGGCCCGGTTCGACGGGGAATGTGGATGCCCGGGGACCTCTACACGCAAAGCAAACTGGTGTTGTGTGATGCACTTAATCTTCTGTTAGGTTGCACTTATACGCTTTGCTTAGGCCAACGTCGTTGTGGCACGGGAAGTCGCGAAACGATATGCAAAGGACGGTATCATATCTGTGTCCGTCAACCCTGGTATGATCTAAGGTCTCCATTGCGCCTCGCAGGCTTACGAAAAAAGACAGGTAATATCAAAAGCGAGTTACAGCGCCATGTTCCTGCTGTTGTTCAGCGAGTGTTGGTATGTTTACAAGTCGAGGGAGCCAAGCCTACGGCCGAATGCTGAATCACGCGGAGAACAGGCGACTTTGATTCTGTATCCAACTCCGTACGGCGCATTGACTCAGCTTTGGGCGGGAACGATGCCCGAGGTACTTAATTACAATGGAGAGGTAAGCTAAACTGATATATGATCTGGAGGAGTACCATACTCATGCGCATCTCGCGTTTGAAGTACTTGGTACCGTGGGCACGACTCGGGAGGTGCAAGGTAGAAGCTTACGACCCGGTGATCGGCGAACGCTTGTGGGCATGGCTCAAAGAACAAGTGAAAGGAGTCACAGTCTCCGAACCCTAGTCGCTCGCGGGGATTGTTCCATATGACGAGAGGCTTCATATTCACATATTCACAAGTACAAAAACCGAAGTTGAGCTTAACTACTACGCGTTCATAGCGCCTTGTTACATCTCACAACCTGACCGCCCTCAAAGCTCCGAGAAGACCCTAGACCGTTATCGCAGATATCACAACGCTGGAAGACTGGCTCAACAATGAAGCAGCCCGGAGAAAGGCTCAAGTACTCACCGCTTAGTATGTCGAACCAATTGGGCCGTACTTGATGTTGGAGAAGACGACGGTCGCGCCGGGGCTCTGTGACTCCACGTTCGCGGGCACACCCGACGACGTCGAGCACGGGCCACGGGAGACGCCGGGCGTAGATGCGCTCTTGTCAAGCGGGTAGTTGGAGTCGAGCCAGAGCATGTTCGCGGTGTGGTCGTCCCAGATACTCATGACGAGCGTCATGCCCTTATCGAACGCGGCGCCCATCTGCTTCAGGCCGCCGAGCTTCTCGAACGAGTTCGTGTCCCCGAACGCGGTCTTCTGCGCGTTGCAGAACGCGTCGGTGATCGAGTCGTAGGCGCTGAGGCCGGAGACCGCCGTCTTCGAGTTCGCGATCACGACGCCGTTCTGGACGTACAGGCGGCGGATCTCGGAGAGCGTGCCCGAGGTCGAGTTGTTGTTCGTCACGAACTGGGTGACGACCGTGAACTTGGAGGAGGTGTTGATCTTCTTGCCCGGGCCGAGGAAGGTCTGGTCGCCCATCCGCCAGGAGTTGAAGTCGCAGCCGTCCTTGTCGCAGATGCCGCCGTACCGGTTGCTGCCGTCGCCGCAGTCGTTGCCCTCGCAGCGCGTCTGGGTGGAGACGGAGCAGACGTGAGGCGTATAGGCGGCGCCCATGGAGTTGGCCTCCCAAACGTCCATCTCGTTGCAGCATGCTCCGTAGTGGCCCGTACCCGCGTTCGAGTCGTTGGCAGACGGTGTCCAGTTAAGGACGTTGGCCTAAAGACAGCACAACGGGGGTATCAGGAATGTCCTCTTCCTCTTCCGAGATAGATGGAAACAGGAGCACCTCGCCGTTGATGAACTTGATGTCGTGCGGGCACTGGGTGTCGCAGTAGCCCGTGCCGTACTTGGCACCCGCCTTGTTTCCCGAGAAGCGGGAAGTTCCGCCGTCCGCGTCCATGCCGACGAAGTAGAGCGCGCCGTTGAGACCGCAAGGCAGCTGAGACATGTCGATGTCGAATGTGAACTCTTGATTCTTCAGGTTGAAGAGCTGGTACTTGGAGTCGGCGGTGTCCATGAGGTAGACGCGAGAACCGATGTTGGTTGAGTACGGGCCGTGCGTAACGAACTTCAGAGTGAGCGCGTTCCCGCTCGTCGTGATACCGTAGGTGCCTGCCGACGTTAAGACAGCGGACATGTAAGAGCGGTAGATCCATACCGGAGTAATCAGCGCCATCAAGGGCACAGTTCTTAGCGCAAGTGGTGGGATTGGGGCAGAGGGAGGTGTCCCAAGTGTTGCCGGTGTAGCAGTTGTTGCTGCCGCTAGTGGAATGGAGCCAGCGCCAGTTGGAGTCGAGAACGATGGAGTGCTGCTCGGTCGAGCAGCTGTTCTTCGCCGTACACTTTTGAATGGTCATCTTGGGGTGAGTTTCCGTCGTTAGCGTGCCGACCTGTTGGCCGTACGCGATGGCGGCGAACGAGAGCGCGAATAGAGCGAGTGAGGGAAACATGGTGTAGCCTCGGAATTGGCGTATACCGGTATGGGTGGACAACGAGCAGACGAGGCTGAGGACAGAGGCAGTCGAGGTGTTGTGATTTATAGGACCGCCAGCGGATAATAGGCGGTACAAGAGGGATTGTGCACGTACGCATTTCGCCGCTGGACTCAGTGTCGGGACCATGAACGGGGCATGCTGCCACGGAGTTGCCCCCGAAGACTGACCGGTTCTGGGCGTCATCACATAAAGAGCGGCGAATGAACGATGCGAAGTCCATTTTGCCTCGCCGTATCACCAATGCGCTCGTTCATCGATTCGACAGGTGGCTTCGGGTCGGAGCGCGAGGACGGTCATGGTGCATGTTCTTCGATGTTCCCCGCCAGACAGAGGGGACATGTGAGTGATGGGTTCCTTGCGTCCATTTAACGGTTCCTTTTGTCCACGAGTAGTCGTCCTTGGCTGCCGCCAAGTAGCCCCTGCACCCGAAGGCCATGATCCGTAGTTCTTTAACATAATCTGAGGGCGATCGTTGACGTGGAGAAAAAGCCGTGAAGCACCCCGTTGCGCCCGTGGATCAAAAGAGTAGGAGACGTAGTAGCTTTCAATTGAGGGATATAGAAGGTTTCATCGGTACCACCCGAGGTTCCACATTCTTGATAGAGTATTCGGTAGTCAGCAGATCGACGGGGTGTGGTAGAACATCACCTGGCATGGGCTAGATCAAGCGGAATTTTTCCCAACGCACGAAGAACGTCCCGCGTTTAGGACTCCTATTTGAGGGCAAACCCATTCAGTAAGGCGGAATAGGAAACAGTAGAGTAGTAGCTGGAAGAACGCACCCTCAAAAGTGGTGCGGCTAAATTGGCGTTCACAGCCACTAAACTTGGGCCCTGAAGGCGAAGAAAATAGCCTCTGATGACCATCGCGCGTCGTATCGCGATCGGGAGAGATCTCGAGGGCGATAAAGTGTGATATTCCCGGACGACCAATGGTTACAGCAGTAGGGACTTCGCACAGGACGCATTTGAGGACTGCTCCACAGTCTTGCCAAAGATATTCTCCGGCCTCACACATGAGTCCAAAAATGACGCACTGTGCACGGTCTTCGCTCTTTCCGAAGGACCCGAACGATAGAAATAGCGGCAATTCTAAGGATGAAAATCGGCACAAAGTTCTGAGGGAGAACACGGGACGCAACGCCAAGGGAACACATTACAACTGTACAGGCACAATTAAACTCCATCGGTAACCTCAGAATGAATGGTCATGCACCTAGGCTTGGCCCTGTCTTCAAGAGCTTCGACCCTCTGCCAATTTCTAGGTTTCTGACTCGAGTGTGTTGAGTGGCGCAATACGGGAGTCTTCTCGAGTGTTGTCAGATCTGACCATGTCGAAAGGGAAAACAAGAGGGGACAGAGGTAGCGTGGTCACGTTTTGGTTTGTAGAGAGCTGCCATCCTTCGACTCTCAAGAGTCCCAGTTGGACTGAGTTCCCACGCATCACGGTCACGTGTAGAACGCGTTGACGTTGTTGGGTTGGGCATATCACGGGCGCCTATTCCGCTTCTTCTCCCCTCTGCCTTCTCCGGCACACTACCATCGGCGACGCAAGTTCAGTCACATCTCCCTTTCCATCTTCCATTCACTGGAATTGCTGCCTGTTTTCAAATGCCAACCTTGGGCATCGGCGATGACCATGACTCTGATGAGGTTCGAATGTTGAAGGAGGCGCTTCGTTCGAAAGGTGCGTGTACCAGCACATTCCGTGAGATGATCTAACATGTATGCAGACGCACTGCACACCACTTCGCAAAGTGAGGTCTCAAAGAGGGAACAAGACTTGAAGGAGGTGAAGGACCAGCTGAGCCAAGCGTTACTGAGGGTATGTTCCAGTCTTCTTCTGCGCATATACCCATCGTTCATGAAATAGGGATACAGTTAGCACAAGACACAGGTCGTGTTGCCCAACTGGAAGAAGACCTGCAACGCCGGGCCGAGGATCTGATGAATGAACGCTTCACTCGAGCGAATGCTGAAGTAGCGTTGGCCTATGCGAACGAGCGTCTCAAAGAGTCCCAGCAAACCGCCAACGAACTGCAATCTACCATCGACATGTTGTCCCATCGTGCTGACTCCAAGGTGGACGGTCGATCCAAGCTCGAGCTCGAGAACGCATCCCTGCAGAAGCGCGTCCGGGCCCTCCAGGACGAGCTCACGAACAAGACCCAAGCAGAGGAAGCTGCGCTCCGAAAGAGCCAGTCGGTTACCGCACGACATCATCGACAGCCGTCGGACGTAGCGTTCAACACGTCGTCTTTGGAGAGGGAGGTGGTGGAGCTACGTTCCACAAAGGCACAGCAAGCCGCGACGCTGGAACAGACAACAGAGCAGCTCACTCGGGTTCGCGATGACTTCGTGCGTCTTCAGAACGAGAAAGTTGCTTCGGAGAAGAAGCTGGCGAAGCAGCTTGAAGAGACCCGAGCCGCACTACAAGACCGAGAAGAAGATCTACGACTCGCCAGGGATGCTCAAGGAGGGTCCGACCTGGCAGCACGGGAGGCTCAGCTACTGGAGAGGTTGGAAGACGAGGAGAGACGAGTGGCATCGCTGGAGCACGAGCTTGCACGGTCCGCAGGAAGTCGGAAACGCGACCTAGGTATGCTTCAAGAAGAGCTCAGCAGGACATCTCGAATGCTAGAGGAAGCGAACGAACGAGCGGAAGCCGCGGAAGGAAAGCTTAGAGAACATTTACACGGTCAACAGGGCGCGTTCCGCGATCACAAACGCTTACAGCAGGAACACGATCGCCTTGTAGAGCAAGTGCAAACGGCAGAATCTCGTATAAGGTCAGTTCATCTCCTGTATGCATTGTATGCATAGGCAAACCCTGACTTCTTTCAGTGAACTCCAGTTCCGTCTGTCCACATCCTCTCAAGATTCCTCTCTCCACTCTGGATCACCTGAAAGAGACATGGAAGAAACGGCAGCAACGATGGAGCGCCTACTCAACGCAATAGAGCGACTTCGTACTGAACGTGACGGACTTCAGCGCGACTTAGACTTCTTGACTATCGAGAACAAGTTCGCGGTCGAATCCCTCGAAGAGCGACTCGCTACTGCTACATCCGCTCCTGTGACACCCGGCTTCAACACTACAGAGCTCGTCGCCCTTGAAGGTCAATTCCAGGCGTTCCACGAGCAGACCGAACGATCCTCTCGCATGGCGATTGCGTTGTCTTTGTTGCACAACATATTTCGGATGTCGATGACCTCAAGCTTCTCGTATCGAGGGGCTTCTCGGAGAGCTCTCCGAGTCTCGTCGTATCCTCCAGGAGCACGAGGTGGCTGTGATTCAGCTTCAGCAACAAATCCTATCCTCGTCAGGATCCGTCGGTGCAGCCGAGTCAATTGCGGCGAACTCCGCACCAAGATTCACACTCTCGAAGAAGCCCTGGTTCACGAGCGCAGCAGTCATGCCGACACTGGTGCCGCCCTTTCAGACGCGGAGTCCCAGCTCAGCAACCTGTCCGACGCCCTCTCCGATGCCGAGGCGGCCCGCGACGCTTTGGCGTTAGAGAAGACTCACCTCGAGGACGACCTTGCCAACGCCCGCCAGGAGCTCGAAGACGCACAAGCGCACCACGTTGAGCAACTCTCCGACCTCTCCGCCGCCGGGAAGACGGGTCAGTCCGTGGGCGCCATGCGCATCCTCGTCGCGACCTCGAGCAGCGCATCCTCCGCCGCACGGAGCAGATCGGCGTGCACCAGCACGACATCAAGCGGCTCGAGGCTAACATGAGGTTGCAAGAGGAACGCCTCGCCGAGATGACGCAAGAGATTGAGGTGTACCAGACGGAGAAGGTGGCGATGGTCGAGGATTGCCGGACGACGCGCGAGGAACGAGACGATGCGCGGCAGCGCTGCGAGGAGCTCGAGGATGCGATGGAGGGCGTCGAAGAGGAGCGGGAGCGGGAGCTGGAGGCGATGGTGCGCACCACTTTCCAGGCTGTCGCCACCGGGCGGGACGCGCACATCAAGTCGAAGCTCTTGCTCGCTGACAACGCCCGAGGTTGTGCTGAGATGGAACATCGCATTCAAGCGTTGAACGAGGAGAAGGGGCAGCTTCTCTTGCAGCTCGAGACCGCCACCAAGCAGCTGGACGGGCTTGTCCAGTCTCGTGACAACACCGCCGTTGCGGTGGAGGTGCAGCTCGCCCAGGCGACGAAGGCATCCCAAGAAGCTGAGGAAGTGCGGCTGGTGATGCAAGCTCAACTCGAGGACCTTCAGACCGAGCTCCAAGAGAAGGACGAGGAGTTGAGGTCCCTCCAGAACCAGCTCAAGGCCGTTCACGCGAGCCACGCCGATCGGCAGTCACTGGACACCGGCCTCTTCGCGCAAGAGAAGGAATCTCTGGAGTCACAGTTGCAAGAGTCGCAGACTACTCGCGATCAGCTCGAGACGCGCCTACAGGAAACCGTTGAACGTTTGCAGCACGTCGAGCAAGACCTCAAACGCGCCGAAGACGAGCTTGCTTCTCAGCTGGCTAGCAGCGAGACGCGCTCGGCCAGCGAAGAGGAGCTTCGCCAGGAGATGTCCAAGTCCAAGGCGGATCGTGAGCAGGAAGTTACAGCACTCAAGGACGAACTCAAACATGTCTCAGACGAGCTCGCTGAAATGACTCGTCTCCGCGAGGAGGCCAACTTGTCGCGTGAAGCAACCGAAGTGCAGCTCAACCAAGCCAAGCTGCAGCTAGAGTCCCGACTCACCGACATCGAACAATCCCTGAACAGCGCGGAGCAGCTCCAATCGGAGATCGAACGGCTGAAAGAGGCGCACGCCGAGGAGATGAGGAGCATCCGTCAACGGCTGGACGAAACTACCACCGACCTTCAAGAAGTCACCAGCCGCAGAGATGAGCTCGAAATGCTTCACAATCAGACTGTACAGGGCATGCAGCAACAAGCCGAAGAGGTCTCCGCGGCTCGTCGACACTCCGAAGAACTGGAGGCGGACCTGGCGCAGCTCCGCGCCTCACATACAACGCAGCTCGAGGAGATGCAGTCAAGCCTCGAGGACGCGAGGAAAGCCCTTGAAGACGCCAGGGTCGAGACGAACGCTCAGCAACGCCAGGCGATCGACGAGCTCACAGAGACTGTCGAAGATCTTCAAAACCGTCTCACTGTCCTCTCTAGAGAGCTTGATGACAGTCGAATGGAGGTCGACCAGGAGAAGACCGCCCATGCCCAAACGCGCGATACCATCATGGCGGAGTTCCAGGACGTTGTTTCCAAGCGTGACTCCGCAGAGATGGGCTTAACTGCAGCTGACAAGAAGCTGTCGGAGCTTCTTGCGCAGCTGGACCACATGGAGACTTGCCTGCGCGAGGCCGAGGACGAGAAGCTTTCCGTACAATACCAAGTCACGAATCTGGAAGCGGAGGTGCAGCGTGTGAAGACCCTCCAGCGACACCTGGAAAGCCAGATGGTCGAAGGGTACGTCAGTCTGACGCTGATTTATTGTGACCATCTAACGCCATACACAGGGAGCAACACATCTCTGAGCTGGAATCTGAACTCTCCGAGTTGCGTTCCAAGTATACTGCTCTAGACAAGCTCGCTCAGGCTACGGAGGCGAACCTCGCGATGCAAAAGATCCAACACGACCAAACCGTCGTCTCCCTCCGTCGCGAACTTGGAGCTCTTCGTGCACAACCTAGTGCCGAAGACGCCATTTTAGAGCTGAAGGAGAAGAACGACGAGTACGAAGAGCTTCTGCGCGCTAAATGTCTGGAGATCGAGGAAAACGATGACAGGTTCATCGAGTAAGTGAGAGCTGTCACCTGCATGGGGGTATAACTGAACCTCAACTCGCAGGATGTTGAAGGAGAAGAAGAAGCTTAACAGCAAAATCGACTCTCTGTCAAGGAAGGTGCAAACTCTACAGACGAAACTCACCGCAGCAACCGAAGCAGCAGCCAAGCCCGCAGAGACCCCAGCACCCGTGGCCGCACCGATAGCTGTTCCCGCCCTCTTGCCGTGTGCGGTCTTCTCGCCTTCCACCCTCGCACCGTCACCTATGATTCTAAGCACATCCACCTCCTCTCGCCCTACATCGCGTCCAAGAGTTGTCACGGCTCCTGTCAACATCGCCAACGCCGCTTCCATCCCTCCTCCCCCAATACCCACATTCCGTCCGAAGACTCCCGAATCGTCCCGGAAACGCATGATCTCCGGTCCTTCCATCGGCCGTTCAAAGACCCCCGAGGCACGCATGCCCGTCTTCCGGGCACGCACCCCCGAGCGACACCGCGATCCATCTGCCGCGACACCCTCCATGCCCTCTTCATCCTCTTCGCACTCCGTCATCGGCCAAAAGCGCCGTGCTCCCGACGACTTTGATGACTGCAATTCGGTCCCTCCGCAGACGTTCTCTGCAGAGAGTGCACCCCTGAGTTCTGCTGGGGAAAGAGCGTTACCTCCGCAGCCTACGACTCCGCGCTTCCGGAAGGCGCTACAGACGATGCGGACGGGCTTCACGCCGGTGCGACAAGCACATCGAGCAGGTTCGGAATCGCCGCGTCGACCAATGTCGTCCCCGCGGCGCGCAACAACAGGGCCCGGACTAGCAAGCTCTTCGACGACACCGCCGCTCTCAATGGACGTAACAAACAACCCTGTTAGGGCATCGTCGCATAGCGAGGGCGTCCAGGTAACGACCAAGGCCACTGCTGCAAAGAAGGGGTGGCTCGGCAAGATCAAGTCCGGGGCGCCCCGTCGGCGTCGCGCAGCGGATTCCTGTCGCGACAGCCCGTGTTCGACCCTCCTGGCAGAGGATGAGGCCGGGCGCGGGCATGTCATATTGGAATGTGGAGGTGGACTGCATTTGCCTCGGACCGCACGCTTTCTCAGCTTACATTACATCGATGTACTACCAGCCATCCGCCCGTATGTTTATTACACCACGAGTCTCTCACGTCGCTATGTTTTCACGCACTGCCCAACACAATCGTTTTTGCTCTTCTTGGTTGGTGTGTGACATCGTCAAGCTTTGAGTGAAGGGACACTAGACTCGACCAGCTGCTCGATCTCCATCGCGGCACCCCAGGACTGCTGGTAACCTGCCGGTCTGCAGCCCGGATGTCAGTCATATCCGTCCCGTGAAAACGCATCCCCACTCACCCAAACCCATACGCGTGCACGACGACGACCTCCCCCTCCCCTTCCGCGCCCGGGTCTCCCGCGAGCGCGATCCCCGGCGCGCCGCTCGCCCGCGGGAGCGGGACCCGCTCGACCTCGACGCGCGGCCCGCCCTTGCGTGCCGGGCGGAGCCCAACGTTGTGCGCGAGCACGCGCGTCTCGGGCGCGGCGACGGCGGGGAGCAGCGCCGCGCACCGCGCGCGGATGGCCGCGGCGTCGGCGGCGGCGAACGCGGTGTCCCACGCGCCGCGCTCGTACTTGCCGCCGAGGATCGTCGTGCGCCCGGACGGGGTGACGGTGCGGGGCGCGGGGCGCGGGATGATGTAGGTCGCGTCCGCGGAGTCGGAGTCCATCGCTTCGGGGGGTGCGCGCGCGTGAGCACGCGGGGAGGGTGGAGGGAGCTAGGGAAGGGCGGTGGGGGGCGCGATATGGGAGGCTCACGCACGCAGCTCGACGCAGATGAACTCGTCCACCGCCGGGTTGTCGATGACGAGCGTCTGGCCGCGGATCGGGTACACGTCTTGGTCCTCGAGCCCGACGAGGGAGCGAGCGCCGAGGCCCGTGGCGTTGACGAGCACGGCGCCGTCCCCGGCGAGCGCGGCGGCCTCGCCGAAGGAGTGCACCTTCTTGCGGACGAACTCCACGCCGCGCGCGGTGAGCTCGGCCTTGAGCCAGGGGAGGTACTGCGCGGGGTTGACGGAGATGGTCTGGAAGCCGACCCCGCACGCTTGCCCGGTGGGGAGTTCATTTGGCTCCAGGATCCGGAACTGCGAGCGCGCGGCGCGTGCGTGACGATCAGTGCGGGGGCGCGGGTGGTGCGGAGGAGAGGCACGCGCTTACGTCGCGCACGAGGTCCTTGTACCACGTCTTTTCAAGCTTCGTGCCTGCGCCGTAGAAGACGCGGGACGGAGAAGCCTTCATAACAGACGGGCGACGCACTCAGCTGGGGTAAGGTGTGCCGCATGTGCCAACGCACCAGGACGAGCCCGGAAGGGAGCATGTCCCAGAACTTGTCGCTGCAGGGTTGCCGTCAGCACTCGAGCTGCCGTTTAGTGGTCGCCGCACTCACAACGTCGTCTTCTCCCATTTGTACAGGCGCGCATCGGGGCGGCCAATGGGGGACCAGTTCGCACCCTATTGTTGTCGTGGAGGGCAAGGTTGGTTAGAGCGGTCGGACAACGGACGATCGACCGGAAGGGAAGTCGCAAAGGCAGCTCAGCTGAGTGCGACTCACCGCCCAAGGGGACGCAAACGCCTGCGAATCGAGGTCGTCCGGCATGTCGCGCGCAACGACGGTGATCGCGTACCGTGCGTGTTGCGCAAGGACGTGGGCGACGGTGAGGCCGATGACGCCCCCTCCGAGGACGACGACTCGGATCGTCTGGGAAGGGGCCGAAGCTGTTGCGGCCGATGTCATGGATGCTGTCTGTGGGAGTGCGGTGACGGGGGAGGCGGGCAGTGGGAGCGGTAGCGGCGACGTATGCTTGAAGGTGGTGGTTCTGGGCAACCGAGGGTACGATAGCAGCGGGATCAACGTTCAGTCTGACTCATCTCTGAGTAGCATCGGTGTATGTACACGTACAAAAGGGCTGGACTAGTCTGGACGATGCGGGGGATCGGTTACTCCGGGCTGCTACCACCGAGGCCCGCCACGAAGGTTGCCAATCCGAGGAGGCTGATAACCTCGTGGTGAGAGAGGACAGCCACGGGCCGAGGATGGAAGAGAGCTGAAGACGGCAGGCACCCAGCGGAGGGGCGCTGCTCCCCGACCTTCATCCTGCCCGATCCGTCTGCCACTCGCCCTGAGCCGCCGCGCGCAAGCAGTTGTCGTCGCGCGCGCAGAGAGAGTAGCTCGTCCGCCGCTGGCCAAGACACATGCCTCGTTGGAGCGCACGCGAAGCGACCCCACTCCCCCTCGTCTTCTCCCGGTGGCCGCAGCTGCCACCGCAGACTCCTCCGTCCATATAGCCCCGCCCTCCAGCACACCGTCTCCGCGCACCGCCCAGCACGACCATTCCGCCCCCCGGCCTCATGCCCCGACCACCTAGCCCCCCGCTTTCGCCACATGAGCGCACTGCGCTCTGGGTCCAAGCCCAAGCCGCGCAGGCCTACGCCCACGACCAACACTCCCAGCACTCGCCTGTCTCTCCAGCACGATCGTCCACAAAGACCGAGAGCACGCACCGCACCACCCAGTCCTCCGACGCCGTCTCCTACCAGCACCAACCGCCGTCTCTCATGCGCGCCGCGTCCCTTCAGCAGTCGTCCTCGTCGACGCGTCCGCCCAAGGCGCGCGACACCCAGCGGCCGCGCTACGACTCGCGCACGAGACGCTCCAGCTTGCCCTTCCCGCAGAGCCCTCCAGGCTCAGGATACCCCGTCCAGCTTGAAATTTGCCCACCACGGAGCCCATCGGTGCGGGAGGAAGGGCCCCAGGCAAGTAAACTCCATGCTCGTCGCCACTCGACCAAAGCGAGCCCCAAATTCAACAGACACGGACGCCTCGACCGTCCTTGAGGAAGGAGCGGCGGCCGTCGCTCATCGACCAGCTCATCTCTTTCGGCACGCCGAGCATCCGGAGGAAGGACGGACCCAGCGATTCGGTGCGGAAGAAGGCGTAGAGCAGCGGTCTGAGATGAGTACTTTACCTCGACCATGATCAGCGGCCCTTGGGGCACAGGGCGTGCGCATTCCTTCGCGTGCTGCAGCAGCCCAGTAGCGCAAGACTACAGACAGATGGTGTATGTTCATACCCGGAGGTCATTGTGACTTGTATCTTATTGCTCGTATGTATGGTATTCTTGTAGGATGACTTGACTATATGCGCATTCCTCGAGGCTGCATTCTTCGGTATGCGCGCAGGGGCGTGTTCGAGATTTATAGAAGCTCGTGTGAAGGTGGTATATCGGGGGGTGAGTGGGGGGATGATGGTAGCAGTCGAGTCGAGAAGTGGAATGAATGAGGACACAGGGTGACTGCAAGAATTAGCGAGCCGCAGCGCGTCTAAATGCCCTCTCGTGCGCCAGCCGTGCGCTCCGCCACAACTTGCAACTTCACCTAAACCACAACGTCGGAGAAGAGAGCCAGAAAACGCCATGCAGCCATTTTCCCACTGTTTTGCTTCTGGGTCGGGTGGGCTCTAAGCGATGAGTCTGCTGACACTCATCTCACGATCCTGCAGCTAGCCTCGTGTCCCTTGCGGCCAACCCACTCTGCGAACAGACTTCCATCAGCGTTATCGACGCTGGACACAAGCACAACGTCTGCGAATGAAAATAATCGCCCTCGGGCTGGGTGTCGGGATGCGCACCGGCGATCTATCATTCTGAAGCGTCTCACAGGTCCACCCTTGCGCGCCGGTCCGCGGCGCGTTTTGGGGCCCTGAAGAACGGTCGAGATGAACACCGCCGGGCACGTTTCCACAGGCCCTGCCACGGTCACCCATAGGCTATCCTTCAATTGGCGAACTAGTCGGGATCTGTCAGCGGACCAAGACCCGAGTGCCGTTCTCTCTGGCGACTCTCCTTCTCCGCGCCCCGCGTCGAAGGTGCGCTATCAGCGCCGATAGGATGACGCTCGCAAGACCGACCCGCTGTCCCGACCCCTTGTCAATGCGCGAGGCCTGTCAATGTGGCGTGCTATCCACAAGGCGGCTGCTCGCCGCAGGTATATACAGCAGCGGCCGCAATCACTCCAGAGTCGACGATCCAGTCGGACATCCACCACTCCCTTCCCCCGCATCTTCTCCACCTTTTGCCCCTTTCTCTTCGCTGCTCGCCCTCCAATCTCGTTATTGGTCGATACCCACACTAGCCTCGCGACTTCCCTCTCCACACCGCCCCAATGGCCAGAGTCAGAACCAGGAGGTTCGCTTCGACGACTACGGGATCCCTTACGTTGTCGAGTTCGCCAACGTTTCCTTCAACGCCGGCGGATCCCGCGCCCGCTCGCAGACGATGTCGTCGACCGCCAGCTCGCGCAGCAGTCCGTCCCCCACCCCGTCCCGGTGCAACTGCCCCTGTGCCGTCCACGACGCCCGCCCTCACGTCCACGAGCCGACGCAGAGCCGCGGTCGGCCCTTCCCTACACGTTCGCACACCCTCCCGAACCCGCCCAGGGGGCGCTCCGAAACTCTAATCTCGCAGGCGTCCTCCCGCACCGCGGCTTCCCAGACTACGCTGGCTGCCTCAAGCACGAGCGCGCTCGATAAGGACCACGACAGCAAGCCGCCTGCTGCACGCCGCCCGCTCCTCCGTTCGCTCTCGCTCCCCTTCAGCTTCCGTCGCCCCCACATCTCCATCCCCCGCCTTCGCCGCCGCTCTGCCTCCCGCAGCAAGGCTGGCTCTGACTCCGGCTCCGACTCCGAGTGGACGCTCGCCGGGCCCTCCCCCTCGTCGTCGCAAGAGACCCTCGCCTCTGTCTCGCCCATCAAGGGCAAGAAGCCGCTGAGCGAGATCGATGAGCTCACCGAGCCCCCCATGTCCCCCTACCCCGCGCGCCCGGAGCCGTCCCCGTCCCTCTACTCCCCCACCTCCGACGAGTCCGACAACGACGACGACGCCGCCGGTGAAGGCCTCCTCCTCGCGCTCGGCGCCGGGCCCGCCGCGCGCGGCGCCCCGCTCTCCCCGGGCCGCCTCGTCCGCCTCAAGTACCGCATCGCGCGCGCGGTGACCGCCGCGGGCATGGCCGCACCGCCGCCCGCCGCCGCCGCAGGCGTGAGCCCGCGCGCGCACCGCATGCTCGACGCGCACCACCGCATGCTCGACGCGGACCTCCGCGCGAGCGTCGCGTCGATCGGGAGCGTGCGCGGCGCGGAGCTCGCGCGCGAGGGCCACCCGAGCGCGCTCTTCAGTGGCACGTACGGCCAGGTCATGGACGCACTCCGGGCCGCGGGGCTGACGACGACGCCGTGCCCCGCCGGGGGCGTGCAGGATGGTGAGTCTGCGCCTGCGTTTGCGTGTCTGTTCGCGCCGCTGACGATTGGGGTCCGGACAGCCACACGCCTAGGCGCGCTCTTCGTCGCCCGCCATGATCCGCGCGGAAACGTCGAGCTCACGAAGCTGACCCTGTGGGCGTAAATGGCATGGCGCGAGAGGTGCGTCGCATGACTCGCAATGCGGTTTGCGCGTGGTCGTGGGCTGACTGGATGCTGTGCTGACATTAGGTCCGCTATTTACTTCGTATCTTTATGGCCACCCGAGAGACCAGTGGACTGGTCCGCGCTCTTCGTTTCAGCACCGGGAAGCCGTCAGGGCCGACCGTAGTGCTTTATGTTTACCGACGCTTTCTGTCGTGTACTGTGAAGTGTAGGATTATGCATCACACCCTTAGAAGGATCCCACTCGTATGTACACTTTGTACGATAGGTTGAGTGCAGAGTATGGAATATCGACCTCGATGGCCGTGTTCTGCTCTGAACAGGAGTCTTGACGGGCACAGACGTTCGGTGTGACATTGCAGTCCTATGACAATCGAGTACACGGACTCTGGAAACACATTTTGTTTGATCCGAAAAGGGTCAGGCCTAAATGCCATTCTTGGCGAGGAACGCTAGGATCTCACTGGCGATCTCGTCCAGCGCACTCTCCCTGTGCCGAGGCCCGTTGTCAGTAATCCCGTACGACTGCTTTATAAACAATCCTCACAGAGCAAAGTGGCCGCCGTCGACGAACTTGACGACCGCGTCCGGCTGATCGCGCTTGAAGGCGTCGGCACCCGGGGGAACGAAGATCGTGTCGTTCTTGCCCCAGATCGCGAGGATGGGCGGGCGGCGCTCGCGGAAGTACTCGTGGAACCTGGGGTACAGCGGGACGTTGGTCTTGTAGTCGATGATGTACTTCAGCTGCACCTCGCCGTTGCCCGGCCGGGTCATGAGGTAGTAGTCGAGGTTGAACGTCTCGGGAGGGATCACCGACGCGTTCGGCGCGCCGTCGACGTACTGCGGAGAGAAGCGAAAGGTCAGCTCGCGTTCTCAACCTGAGCTCGAGCGACGAGCGTGCGCCGGAAACGGACCTGGAACTTGGTGGTCTCGAAGGAGCTCAGGCCCGCGAGCTTCTGCAAGTTCGCGGCGGACGGGTCGGCCCACACGGCCTTGATCGGCGCCCAGAACTGCTCTCCGAAGCCGTCTTCGTAGGCGTTCCCGTTCTGCGAGATGATCGCAGTCACCGCGTCGGGGCGCTGCAGCGCGAGCCTAGTACAATGAGTTGCGACGGGATCGCCGGTCAGCCTCCAGGGTCTGTGGGCGGGTAGTAACGTAGGCCGACGCACCTGAAGCCCGTGGGGGCGCCGTAGTCGAAGACGTACATGCCGAACTTCTTGATCCCGAGCGCGTCCACGAACGCGGCGGTCGTGTTCGCGAGCGACACGAAGGTGTACTCGTACTTGCGCGCCTCGGGGACGACCGTGAAGCCGTACCCGGGGAAGTCGGGGGCGATGACGCGGTACTTGGTGGCAAGCCGCGGGATGAGGTTGCGGTATTGGAACGACGACGAGGGGAAGCCGTGAAGGAGCAGCAGGACGGGAAGAGCGCCGATGTCCTTGGCGGAGGCAGGGTGTGCCTCGCGATAAAAGACCTCGACGCCGGAGTCCACGGTGACGGTCTTGACTGCTGTAGACGTTGCCATGTTGAAGTTTGGTTGGGATCCTTGACTGAATGTTGAGGAGCCTGCAGCTTGATTTATATGTTCGTCCTCGGGTCACACTGACCAGGTGAGGACGTCATCGTATAACGCCATTCATGGCCATCTGCAATGTTCACGTCAAACAGTTCCGGAGCAACCTGATATCTCCAAGGGTATAGGAGGCAGAAGCGAGCTAGTGGGATTAGGAGATGATTAGGAGACATATTGTGACTAAGCCACGACGATCGCTGTATGTTCACAATAGGAAATTGTTCAGGACCCGCCGGGCAAGACCGCGAGGCATGTCCGACTGCTTGTCTGTCAAGAGACTCTTTTAGATCACAGACAAATCCCGGAATAAGTTGACCAACTAATTGGGGCTCAACGACCTCGGGGTTGGTTGGTAACCAACCGAGGCAGCACGGTCAGCTGCCAAGATCCTGCTTTCCAATAGCAAGCCATTTGTACACATATGGTACTTTCCTCTGTCGACGGAGGAACCCTTGGCACAGTGGTAGCGCGTGAGATTCCAGCTGGGAAATCCTCAAGGTCGTCCGTTCAATCCGGGCAGGGTTCAGTGCTTTTTGCTTCGTTCCGACACGACTACTTGAGTCTTCATAACATCGAGCTCGATGAGGTTGATGCAATCCGCGGAAGTGGTATCTGGAGGCCGTCTAAGAGCGACCGTCCGCTCGTGCATTAGGGGTATTACATCATAGACTACCATCACGAACCCGCTTGTACAGCCCGACAATCAAATCGTTTGCAGTGAGGGTTACGATCCTGAAACAACCAGAATGAGAATGCAGTATGCAGCATCTAAAAGGAAACAACACTCACGTATGAGGCACTATCCTCAACAAGTGGGCAGTGGAACCTGGTACGCAAGAACGTAGGCATCAGCTTCCGTCAATGGGTTACGTCAGTACATACCCTTGTACCATCCGAGCGGTCCTTCTGTCTTGAGCGTTTTCCACAAACAATCTAGGGGATTCTTGTAGAGAGTGCCGACGTGGCGACCATCGGGCATTGCGACAGTAGGTTGATTATACATTCGAGTCAGTACCGTATCGGTGGGCTGCATCATTATAAGCTAGTTTGAAGTTAGCAGGCGTAGAGCTTCATAGTGATAAACAACTTACGACACAGAGACCTGAAACCGTGCTGCTAGCCAAGAAGGTCCAGATGCTGTCAGGGTTCGCGACTCCTCTGGAAATAAGCTGGTTCTTCGTCCAGTTGTATGTCGGAAGCTGCACAGATGAGCCCATGGCTGTCCGGAGCGCGGCCGCATCTATCCCGCGTACTAGTCCGCGGAACCTTTCAGCGGCCCAGATGCTTTTCAGAGCGTCCCAAGAGTTCTTATAATAATGCTGGGCTCCCACAGGCAGGACCGGGGAATACGCCTGATAGGACGCTATTAGATGACAGGCACATCGGCAAACAGAAGAAGCATACCTGCATGCGCGCCTTGATGAGGAAGAAAGGGTTACCAACGGACGCTGGAAGGAAGGATGAGGACGTAGAGGCGATGTTTGCGTGATGAGGGACTGACCTCCGATCACCCCGCTCATTGCACCAGAGAACACCGAGGTTAGAGGGATTTGGTCGGTCGGGTTGGCACCGATGAATCGGTTCACACGTCTCCGAATCGGCTCATAGAAACCTGGTGAAGAAAGAGGTACCGTCTCAGGTGAGTCTCGGGTGTAATTCATGGCAGACGTTGGCGTGTGACACACCAAGACGCGACCCATTCATTAGGATCTGAGGAACATTAGACATGAATATAGGACGGGAGTTCCAAAGAAACACACTTGATAAACGTACTGTGTCATGTCAGACGGTACTCTCGCGAGAGAAAAACATAGGGCTTACAGCAGGACCCAGTCCTCTCTGGACACCTCGAATGCCCTCGTTCTGGAAAGTCTTCGCAATGACGTCTAGCGCGTTCTTGTACACCTTCGGGGCGCCCTTCTTCGCAAGCTCTCCTTGCAGCTGCATACGCGTCTTTGCAACTTCCGCCGGGTTGGAGACGGTAACCTACCGTGCTAGACCGTCACTCCTGACCCATGGCATTCAAGCGAGCAAGCGTTACGTACCGCGACGCAAGCAGCGAGACCGCCGCAGAGGAAACCCTCCACACTTGACAGAGGCCGACTGGGAGCGGGGGCCGACATGGTGGGGGCGGACGACGGAAGGAGAGCCTGAAAGGGTGGATACGGAGGTTGGTGTTGAGAATAAATCGCCTGTGCGCGCCCATGTCCGACGGCGACGGGCGTCGCGTGTTAAGCTGACTGGATGGCACCATTGACCCGAGGTACACTCCGAATTCGTGCCCGTTGTGCAATCTACGCTCCTTCAGCGATCATACTGCGTTATCGACGGGAGCACTCTTTGTCTACTGTGAAGTCGCATTTTCGCAAATGTTTGGATTGAAAACGCTGCACTGACGGTCCTGAGGGAGGAATCCTGAAAGGATGAAGCAGGGGAGTCCGTCGGAGCAGCGGTCCGTAGGGGGGCCGGCGCGGGCGAGCCGCACAGCGGCGGAGGGCATACTGGGAGCCCACTGTGCCCTTTGCTATTCCGACCTCTGGCCATCGGCCCTCACAGGCCACCACTTCCAGCCCCTACGACCTTCACGACCTTTACGACATGATCATCTCCGGGAAGAACATTGCGGTCCTGCTCGCATTGGGTGGCCTGGTCATCCCTGTAACCTATCGCATTCTGTCCTCGCCTTTTACGCTCCTCCTGCTCTCGCCTCTGTTTCTGCTCATCCTCATCCTCGGATTCCTCGCTCTCAACATCACCCTCGGGTATGCGCTTGACTCAGCAAGACCTGCGCCTCGCAATGCCCTCCCTTCTGCCGCACGACCCCTCGCTTTCTCCACCCCGGCAGCTTGGCAGGCCGTCCTTACTCGCTCTCAATGGTCTCACAAAGCCCCGCAATCCCTCCCACCTCTCTACCCGGACGCACCAGTGGTCTCTGCCGCGGTTAATGACATACTCATCATGATCGTACGCGACTTTGTTCTCGTGTGGTACAAGGAAATCTCGGCCTCCCCGTCCTTTCCTACCGCCGTCTCCTCCACTCTCCACAGTTCCATGGACCGACTACTCACCCGAGTAATGGCCCTTGATCTCCCCGCGTTGGTAGTGAAGCGCATTCTGCCGAAGGTCACCTCGCACATCGAGCAGTTCCGCCAGTCGGAAGTGGCGTTGCGCGGAGCAGGCCTCGAGCGTAAGCTCACCCAGTCAGAGGAGCTAGACCTTCTGTTGGCAAGCCGGTACGCTGCGCGGGGCGGCGGTAAGCTCCACTCTGCCGTCGAGAATCTGTCGTCTACTTTCACCAAACAGTCGGAGGAAGCCCATCTTCGTGGACTAATCGAGAAGGCCCTGCCCGCAATCCTACCGGAGAAGGAGGCCAACAGTCGGGCAGTCAAGCTTGTGGTCAGGGAGATTGTCGCATGCGCCGTGCTGTTTCCTATCATGGAGATGATGTCGGACCCTGACTTTTGGAATCGCATGATCGACCAAATTGTGAGTTTCTCCGAACTATGAGTGTATGCGCTCTGACCCAGCGTAGGCAGGGGCCGCTATCCGCCAACAGTACGAAGCAGCTACTCCTCTGTGAACGCATACTCATGCACGCGTCTGCCATCCAGACGTCTGATCTCCAAAGTGCGAGGCGTCTTGGAAGCGCAGCTCCCTCGCCCACAAGCCCCTCTGTCGGACCCGACGCAGCCTACCACTGAGAACATCACGATCCGTACGGACGCGAAGCAGTTTGAGTCCTTCCTGCGCAGCATCAATCGGACCTCGTCTCTTCTGGATGCGCGACGTTTGAGGAACGATATCATGGGCGAGGTTCGACGGACACGAACACTGTTGGGTGAGTTGGCTATCAAAGATATTTCCATGGACCTACTTTTGACGAACGAACTCAGCCAACAACGCCAACTCTGACTGGATCAATGGCGAGAAGACAGAAGATATTGTGGCGTTTCTCGACCGTCTATATACCGCGAAGCGGCAGGTGGAGAAACGTATAGTTGTGCTCGGAGGAGAAGCCGATTCGGTAAGCCCAACCGCTCGATATTCTGGCACGCTCGTTGACGTGCATCGCAGCGACAAACGATCTATCAGGAAACACCCACGAACTCTTCTCTGAGCCTGAGGGATGTACTTACAAACCCGAGCTCGCTTTCGTACTTGATGGAGTTTATGGATCGCCGTCAACGCTCGCTCTTAGTTCAATTCTGGCTCACGGTCGAAAGTTTCAAGAATCCCCTTGAATCCGTTGACACCGATGATGAAGGAGACCAAGATGAGAGTTTGCTAGACCCCAGCCAGTCCGCGACTCTACGGGAGGATATCTCGCTCATCAACGAGCTCTACTTCTCAAACCCTCTGCCTGACCCGGTGCTCCGCGCGGTTGCACAGAAGAACATCACGACCATCCGCTCCTTCGGTCAAGACGCTGAGAACTCAACGGCGGCTTCGGAACGACGCGTTCGCCGTAGCGTCATGTTGGCACAGCGGCAGGTCGAGCGCGAGATGGAGCAGGACTTCGAGGACTTCCAGAGGTCGGAGCTTTGGTTTCGTGTTGTCGCCGACATTGAGGCGAACGGCCGCGCCGCCCCCGCCGACGACTTCGCCCTCATCTCTGGACGTAGGTCTCCCGTGGCGTCGCGCCATGACGTAGAACACGCACCTGCGCGAGCGCACCCTGTTGTCAAGGCCCCACTGTCACGCTCTGAATCCGCTCCTCTCTTCGGCGGCCCCGCACGAGCGCATTCCCCCCCTACCACTGCCCCAGTGCTCTCGCGGCCCGCCGCGTCCAGCCTACAGGTGCTCATGTCTCCCGTGCACGAATTGGACAGCCAGACTGCCTCTATCGCCCGAGCGCCTCTCTTTGACGATCCGGAAGACCAGGAGCAGCAAGAGCAGTCTCAGCGTATGGACGCCATCCAGGCCGCGCTTACCGACATCATCGCCCTCGACAAGCAGCACGACCAGCCCCACGGCAGCAGCTCCTCCGACAGCCTCAGCATTCAAGGTTCCGCGCTTACGACGGGCAGCACGGCACGCGAGCGCAAGCGTCGCCTGATGTTCGCGGACGAAATCGAGGAGGACGACGGCACGGTGGCGGCTGAAGCCGAGGATGACAAGGACGACCACGAGCACGGCTCATTCCAACTGGCCGGCCCCGGCGACCTGCAACTCTCGCACGAGATCGAGCGATTGGCGGGCAAAGTCGCGAAGCTGCAGACGCAGGACGCGATGCTCGACACGCTTATCAAGAAGGCGGAGCTGACTGGGGATGCGCAGGAGCTCCGTTTGCTGCGCAGGTCCAAGTCACAGCTCACACGCGAACTGCGAGAACTTCGGTTCCAGAAGACGCAGTACGAGCAGCAAGAAAGCGCCAACAGGCTGCTTTCGGATCGGTCGCGGGTCGCTATCGTCAACTCAACGACGGGGGACGAGGAGGGGAAGCAAGTGGTGCGGTATCTCATCGAAGTGCAGCAGTTGGCGCCGGATGGGAGCTTCTCGTCGGGATGGGTGGTCGCGAGGCGGTACAACGAGTTTTTCAGCATGCACAACAAGCTGAAGGACAAGTACATGCTGGTGCGCAACCTCGACTTCCCCGGGAAACGGCTCGTCACGGCGCTCTCGGCGAGCTTCGTGGACAACCGACGGGTCGCTCTGGAAAAGTATCTGCAGGTGAGTGAGCCGAAGAGTCTTCTCGTGCGCCGAGACCGACGATGTAACAGAGCCTCATTACCATCCCCGCCGTATGCGAGAGCGAAGAGCTTCGTGCTTTTCTCTCCCGCGACTCTCCCTTCATGACTGCAGAAGCAACCCCAACGCCCAAGACGCCAACGACCCCCGGCCCAGGGTCAGCATTCCCTGGCCACGGCCTCGTCAAGACCATGTACCAATCCGTGGCAGAGAGCATCGACGACATGTTCTTTGGCCCTTCCATGTTGGACGTTATCATTCAACGCCTCACTACACAAGCTGGGGAGTTCGTTGGCATCACGGGCACGGCCGTCCGAGATGAAGACCTCGTCGCACAAGCGCTCAAGGCTTCGGGGAAGACGACGTACGAGGACGCGTTGGCGCACCTATCCGGGGACCTCAAGCCATTGGAGGGCGAGACGAGCACGTCGTCGTTCTCTTCGCCGATCTGCGACCTGCTCCTGGCAGTGTTCGAGCTCGACAAGAAGAACAACTGGCTACGGAGACAGGCTGTCGTGATCATCTTGCAGCAAGTGCTTGGAGATACAATCGAGCGGCGAGTAAACTAATAACCAAGAGCTGGCGCGTTCGTACTGACAGCAGTGCTAGGAAACTGCGCGAGACCGTGAAGGCCTTCTTGGACGAGTCGCATCTGATGACGTTCATCAACGCGTTCAAGGACGGACTGTGGCCGGGGGGAAAGCTGAAGCCTCCAAGTGTACCTCGCACCGTTGAAGAGAAGCTCCGCACCAGAGATGAGGCCAATCGAAAGCTGTCGTCACTCATGCCAGGTTCGTATTCCCAGAAGATACGGGGCCGTTAGCTGATACCCGTTTCCCGTAGATCTCGCGGCAAACATGATCGGACGTTCAAATGCCCGTCGTGGTGCCCGCCGTATATTTGCGGTGCTTCAGAACCGCAGACTGAACCAGCATCTTGTGTATACTATTGTTGACGAAGTAAGTTTCGCCAATTCCTTCGCGTTCGACACTCCTGACCCGGTATCCCCAGGTATTCGCCGCACTGTTCTCGGAGACGGCGACGGCGTAGATATATTACGGCCGGATTGTTGTTGTATCCTCGATACCCATACTTTAGTAGTGTAGGATGTTCGTACAACGAAATCGTTGGGTGCGCAATCAAGCTGGTAAATGGGTTGGTGCCGTAAAATGCCGATCCAGGAGACGCCGGTCCCGCTGGCAGCCTGAGGCTGCGACTGGGCAGATTCTTTCTCCCCCCTCCACCACGGCGCCGTATGGCTGCCGTCACAAACACTGCGCCCGACCCGGACGGGGTAACACCAGGGCCTGTCCCTACCGTCGTAGAGGTTGGTGGTCAATCAGAGCAGACCCACCTGCCGGGTCCCAAGGTGGATCTCACCGCACTGTCGTTCTTGTTGGTGCAGCACCTCTCAAAGTGCGTTTTAGCACCTTGCTCATCGTGAAGGGCGAATTTTCATCCCAGCTTGCAGTTCTTGGGGATTGAGAACCGCAGAATTCGCTGTGTATCTCTTTCTTGTCATTCTGTTCCCCGACACACTCCTGCCTGCATCCATCTACGGCTTCGTGACGACGGGTGTCGCTATCTTCCTTTCGGGTTGGGCTGGAAGGATGGTCGACGAACAGAACAATCTAGCAGTCGTTCGCGCAAGTATCATCGTCATCAAGTTCGCAGCCGCGGTGCAGTACGGCGCGAGCCTTGTCTTGCTTTTTCGGTTGCAAGTTGAGGACTCTACACGCCCATGGTCGACCCCACTTGCTTCGGGGATGTTTACACTGGTGACTCTGGGGGGCTGCGTGCACACCATTGCCGGGACAACGATTACAGTAGCTGTCGAGCGGGAGTGGGTCACTTGCATTGCAGGTGATCGTTCGGCGCATCTTACGACCCTCAACACATACATGAGACGCATTGACCTCTTTTGCAAACTAGTCGCCCCCCTTTTCGTCTCGCTTCTCACGTCTGTCGCCTCCTATCGCTTTGCTGCGATATTCCTGAGCGGCGTGGAAGGCGCATGCCTTGTATTTGAACTCATTTGTAAGTACGACATCTTGCTTTCGGGCACAACTTCTTATTCACGCTGTCCGACCTCAGGGATATCCATCTCCTACCGTCATTTTCCAGTTCTCCGCGAGGCCCAGGAGGCCAAAGATGCTCTAAAACACCAGCGCGATCTCGCCTCCACTCCAGGCCATAACAAGTCTCCAATCTTCACCCTTCCTTCGCTCGCCTGCATCCGCCGCCAGCTCCTCGAGGCCCTCGCCGACTGGAAAGAGTTCACGCAGACGCCCATCTTCCTCTCCTCGCTCGCGATCTCGTGGCTGTACGTGACCGTGCTCAGCTTCGACGGCACGATGCTCGCCTACCTCAAGGCGCACGCATACAGCGACCCGTTCCTGGCCGGTATGCGAGGTATCACGGTCGTCGCAGGACTTCTCGGCACGCTCGTGATGCCTGTGCTTGAGCGGAGGCTTGGGCTCGTGCGCGCGGGGAATTGGAGCATCTGGCAAGTGCTCTCCCCTACCGCCCTGCGAAAGAACTCCATTGATCAAAGATATTTCGCAGGTCAGAGGTGCTTTGCCTCGTCCCCGTCCTCGTCGTCCTTTACGTAGGGGCACCGCCGGACGGCTCGCGCGCGCCAGGCTGGAACGCGGCGCTGCTCTTCGGTGGAATGATGCTCTCCAGAATCGGCCTGTGGGCATTCGACCTGTGCCAGCTCAAGGAGCTCCAGCTCGCCCTCGCCGCGCATCCGCGGCGAAACTCGATGACCGCACTGCAGACCGCACTGCAGAACGTCGCGAGCATGTTCAAGGTGCGCTTGCTCTATTTTTCTTTTTGCCTTGTTGGCGTTCCCGCTGATACCAGACCTTACAGTACGTGCTGACGATCGTGCTGAGCAAGCCATCGCAGTTCAAGTATGCAGCGCTAGCGTCTTTCGTCAGCGTGTTCGCGGGCGCATCGACGTATTTGTTGTACGTCAAGAAGGAGCGCGGGCACGTATTGCACCACGGCGTGGGCGACCTGATCCCCCTCCTTCGCAAGAAGTGGGCGTGAATATGATCGAGTAACAGCGAAGTAGTTGCGGCTTGGCGCCCCGCGGGAACCTACTGCAGACAGTATTTACACGCGTGTACTGCAGTCACGGCAAGCAGTTTGTGCGATGAACCACCCAAATTTATCCCCATTCGCGCAATCGTGGAGAGTTGGTGAAAGAGCGGATTTATTAATATAAAAAAAAAAAAGAGACAGCAGGAGTCCCGACTACGTCGCACAGCCACAACACGCATACTACTTCATCTCGGTGAACATCTGGATCGAGTGCTCCAAGAGCTGGATGTCAGCCTCGAACGTCTTGCGCTAGAAGGACACGCGGCATCGATAGCTGCGACGGATTCATGCGACACACGCGACTCACCCTCTCCTCGTTCGCAAGGCGGACGTTCTCCGGCACCGTCGACTCGTAATCCGCCTGCGACTCGATCTTCTGGATCTTCGACAGGCTCATCTTCGCGATCGCGAGCTTCTTCTCGCACTTGTTGACCTCGGCGTCGATGTCTACCTGACCCTACATCACATAATGCGTCAGGCGCAGCCAGCGAACGCGGACACGGTGGCACGTACCCTGACGAGGATGTGCGTGAAGATCGTCTGAGTGAGCAGCTCCGAGCCGCAGCCGGCTGGAACCCCGCCGATGTCGCGCACAACGTCAACGGACTTGCAGCTTTTCGTCAGCGCGAGGAACGTCGGGATCTGCGACGCGAAAAGCTCGGCCTCGTCTTCCTTCTCGGCGCGCATGAATACTGGAAGGATGGCATCAGCGACCGAGTTGGGGATGGAATATTGTGCGCTCACCCTGGAGATTCTGCTGGACGTTGTACGCGGCGGCGAGGGCACGGGAAGCCTTAACAGCGGAGAACACAAGATCGAAGTCGCGCTCCGCCTGTGAGAACTCGAAGGCTTTGTCCTGTGGTGGGTCCATTCGTCAGTGACATGAAGTTGATGGGATCTCTACGAAGACGTACGAAAGTGGGGTACTTCGATACCATGATCGACGGCGTCGGGTCGTTCAGGCGGCGCGGCAGACGCTGCCAAAGCTCCTCGGTGACGTACGGCATGAAGGGATGGAGGAGGCGGAGACCGTGGTCGAGACACGTGTAGAGCGTTTGCTGTGCGGACTTGCGGGTCGTCTCCGACGCAGACTCTTCCGTCATGGGCTTCATCGCTTCCTAAACACGCAGTGAGCTAACGGGTACGGGGGATGCCCGAAGTTCTTACAATATACACGTCACAGAGCTCGTATAGCCAGAAGTTGTACACAGCGTTGGTGGCGTTCATGAAATTGCGGTCGTTCAGCTGCTTGTTGATCTCTTCCGACGCGAGGTTGAGCTTGTGGAGGATCCACTTCTCAACGAGTGACTCGTTGCCAGTGGGCTGATGTAGCCACGACGATCAGACGCACCCCACGTCACAAAACGCATCTCCTTACCTGGGCAGTGGGGGAAGGCACGAAGGTCTCGTCGAGCTTGAGCATTGCAAACTTGGTCGCGTTGAAGATCTTGTTGCAGAACTTGCGGTAGCCCTCCACACGTAGGATCTCGAGGTTGATGTCGCGGCCGCCACCGGAGTAGGCGCAGAGTGCGAAGCGGAGCGCGTCCGTGCCGCACTGGGGGATGCCCTTCGGGAAGTCTTTCTTCTGGCCGGCCTTCGCCTTCACGATCTCGCGCTCGTCCAAGTTGCCCTCGTACAGCTTCTGATGAAGGGACTCGAGGTCGAGGCCTTGGATGACATCGAGGGGATCAATGACGTTCCCGAGTGACTTGGACATCTTGCGGCCGTGCGCGTCTCGGATCATCGCGTGACAGTAGACCTCCGAGAACGGCATCTTGCCAGTCAAATGAACACCGAGGATGACCATGCGAGCTACCCAGAAGAAGAGGATGTCCCAGCCGGTTTCGAGCAACGAAGCAGGATAGAACATCTCGAGATCCTTGGTCTGGGTGAACATGGTCACGTCAGTGGAGCGCATATGGAGAGACCCAGGACACCCACTTTTGACGGCCAGCCCTGGATCGACCATGGCCAGAGACCGGACGAGAACCAAGTGTCGAGTACATCTTCATCTTGCTCCAAAGTGAACTTCGCATCTCCCACAAGCTTCTCGGCGCGGGTCATCGCTTCCTCCAAAGTGCGGCCAACCACCCAGTGCTTGCCGTCGTTGCGCTGGAATCGCGTGGGTCAGCTGGAGCATATGACACGTTCCTGAAGGAACAACTTACATCCTGATCCTGGCCTTCAACTTTGACGAAGTAGGCAGGACACCTGTGACCCCACCACAGCTGCCGCGAGATACACCAGTCCTGAATGCCTTCGAGCCAGCGGTACCACTCGGCCTCAGACGACTTGGGTGCGATGTTGAGCTCGCCCGCCCTTGTGCGCTGTGAACTCGTCGGCTCGTGGATCTGGACCCGTCGAGAGTTTGTGACGTACCTTAACGGCCTCCTCTGCTAGCGGCGTGCAGTTCACCCACCATTGAGGCTTGAGAATGGGCTCAATGACGTCCCCGGACTTGCTGCAAATGGGAATCTGCATAGGGTTGTCCTTGGTCTCAACGTACAGGCCGAGGTGCTTGAGTGCTTGTACGACAGCCAGGCGAGCATGGAAGCGCTTCATGCCCTATGAACCACGACACGAGCTCAGCGGCGAATCTTCGAGTGACGTTGGAGTGGCAAACCTTGAACTCCTTGCCAGCATTCTCGTTGAAGGTACCATCGTCGTTCAAGATGTTGATGAAGTCCAACTTGTGGCGAGCGCCGACCTCGTAATCGTTGGGGTCATGGGCGGGGGTGATCTTGACGGCACCGGTACCGAAAGCCATGTCGACGACGATGTCGTCGGTGATGATCGGGATACGACGATCCACGAAGGGGTGCTTCACAAACTTGCCATGGAGATGCTGTGCAACACGCATCAGCGACCCAGCACGAATATACATTGTCAGGATTGTACCTTGTACCGGGGATCCTGAGAGTGAACAGCTACAGCGGTATCGCCCAGCATGGTCTCGGGACGAGTCGTCGCAACGATGATCTTCTCATCTGCTCGCTCGTGAGTATCGTGACTCATTACCGACTGGAGATAGCATACCTGAGCCCTCTATGGGGTATGCAAATGAGACGATAATACCAAACTCAAACTTTTCCTTCAGGTCGTAGCCAGGCACGTTGAGAAGGGTCCGGCCCTCTAGCTGCTTCTGGTCTACCTGTCATCAAATCAGTGGGAGATTCTTGTCCGGGTGTCAAAAGCCGCATACCTCGAGATTTGACAGTGTCGTGTTCAGCTTGACGCACCAATTGACCAGCCGATTCGCGCGGTACAGAATCCCCTCTTCGTGGAGGGTGCAGAAGGTCTCTGTGACGGCTTTTGAGAGGCTCTACAGAGGAGAGGTAAGTACGAGAGGGCAAGGCGACGGTGCATCACTCCGTGTCGCTCCATTTCCATGCCGTGTGCTTTAACGCGTTCTCCATTAAAATGCGAGTATGGAGACGAGTGCGGAGTCGCTGCTCACACCGGCGAGGGTGTACTTGCTAGCATGTATGCGAGAGCATGCAGGAGAAGACGTACGTCGTTCATCGTGAAAGCTACACGACTCCAATCATAACTTCCGCCCAACCTCTGGAGTTGGTTGGTGATCCGACCTTGGTAGCTAGACCACAGGTTACATATGCGTGTGGATGAGCAAGTATAGGACTCACTCTTCTTTCCATTCCCAGACCTTTTCGACGAACTTCTCGCGTCCGAGGTCATGTCGGGTGACGCCAGTCTTGTACAATCGTTTCTCAACCACAGACTGGGTTGAGATACCAGCGTGGTCGAACCCGGGGACGAAGAGCGTCGTTTTCCCCACCATACGGTTCCTATGGAAAGTCTGAGCGTGTATACGACCAGCGAAGGAAGGGGAGGGCTGACCATCGAACCAAGCAGTCCTGGATTGAAACCGTCAGGGCGTGTCCGATGTGGAGGCTGCCCGTCACATTTGGTGGGGGCGAGGGGATAACGAAGACACCCTCAGGCTTGACCTTGCCGTTTTGTGTTAACTGGGGCTGGAAGAAACCCTGGGCCTGCCACCAGTCGTACCACGCAGCCTCGACGGCGATGGGGTTGTAGCCGGCGGGCATGGGCTGCGACATGTCTGTCTGGCCCACACTCAGCACGCGCAATGGTGGACGTCATGAACGCTTTGACGCACCTTTCTTTTCCCCTTTAGGGGTGGTGTTCACGAATGGGGCCTCCTGCTCCTGCTCCTTATCCCTCTTCGCCTTCTTCTCTCCACCAGCCGTCGCGGTGGCTGCCGCCTTGGCGGCCTTTGCAGCTTTGAGGGCGAGGCGCGCCTCGTTCTCCTTCATTTTAGCCTTTTTCTTTTCTGCAACATGGACGATCAGTCTGGGCATTTCTGAACCAGAAGTCGAGAGACACACCGGCATTCTTGGAAATGGGTGCGGCAGGGTCGGCTGGGGGCGTGGTAGCCGCGGGAGCCGCGGGCTCAGACATGGCGGCAGGAGAGAAGTGGAGGGGTCTAGTTGGAGGGCGATGTGGAAGGCGGAAGAGGATTAATCGATGCGCCGAACGGAGCATTCAGCTTGGCCAGCAGCATCAATCCAGCTGAACGGAGCGAGTCACCTTCCGATTCCCACTCTGGCGCACTTCAGCTTCAATCCTGGGCCTTATCTTATCTCAACACTGATCAGATCTGGACGACGCTCTCGCCGTGCTCATGGCGCCGGTGCCGGTGAACTCCGAGTCTCCGACGTGGGTCGAGCGCCTGTTAGAAGCGGCCTCAGCGCTTCAGGCCTTCAGGACTCAGCGCTCAGCACGTCGCGGTGTGTGGCGAAGTTCGAATGGCCCTCTCCGCGATCGGAGTCTCACCTGCTTCACCCACCGCGTCTTGCCCCGCGTGCGCCGAGTTTATCGTCAGATCGATCGCGCCATTTCGCGTGAAGTTGCTATGTTGTCGTTTCCGGCCACTCCTCCGGAAGTTTTGAATGTTTCAAGAGCTTTGCAAGCGTTGCTGATGTCCGTGCAAGAGGGACAGTGAACGGTCTGAAGCGTACGTTCCTTGAAAATTGCGTCAGTGCCTGATGTTTCAGGGGCTTATAGCTCAGTGGTAGAGCATACGACTGCAGTACTGCTATCGTGTGGTCCCGTGTTCAACTCACGGTGGGCCCTCTTTTTCACTCTGATTACGAGGATGCGCGTCTAGTCTATGAGCCGGCGCCTGTGGCCTTATGGAAGGACTGACGTTTGGCTTGACTGCCACCACCACCACTCTTACCCCCCATGCGTCGCACCGCGGCGTCCTCGCTCCGAGCCTCGCGCCGGCATGCCCTCCGTCCTTGCCCTCATTCGACGCGCTCGCGTCACACTGACTCGCATCTGGGGACTACCGTCACCCAGGCGGACGACCCATTGGTGCAGATCACAACCCTTCCAAACGGCATTCGAGTTGCGACAGAGAGCACGCCCGGCCATTTCTCTTCACTCGGTCTTTACGTCGATGCAGGTTGCAGGTATGAGACCTCTTCTAACCTGGGCGTAAGCCATTTCATCGACCGTATGGCTTTCAAGGTTCGCCTTGAACCCCATCTCCCGCATTCTTGCACCTCCTCACACCCATACAGACGACCCATCACCGTAGCTCCGACCAGATCACCCAGGACATCGACTCATTAGGCGGCCAGATCATCTGCTCTTCTGCACGCGAGTCGATCATGTACCAGTCCTCCCACTTCAATCAGGGTACACCGCTCGCCCTCAACCTCATCGCCGACACGGTTCTTAACTCCGCATTCCTTCCGGAAGAGCTCGACGCGCAGCGCGAAGCGGCACGCTATGAACTTCGCGAAGTGAGCTCCAAGCCCGAGATGATTCTCCCTGAGATACTCCACGAAGTGGCGTACGGCAACCAAGACCTCGGCAACCCCCTCCTCTGCCCCGAAAACCGGATAGACCTCATTGACGGCAAGATGATGCGTGAGTTCATGCAGGAGCGCTACTCCCCGGGACGCATGGTTTTCGCGGGCGCAGGCATGCCCCACGAAGAGCTCGTCCAGCTCGTCCAGAAGCACTTCCCCATATCCGCGCCCAGCATCGATGCCGCACGGTCTACACTCATCTCGCCGAAAGTGCCCTCTCACCTTCTCATGTCGTCCCAAACGTCAACACCCATCTTCAACAAGCTCTCCACCCGGTCGCAGTCCTCGTTCATGAGCAGTACGCCCAGTTTACCAAAGTCAACGTACACGGGCGGGCATCATTTTATCTATGACTCGAATTCGGAGTTCAACCATCTCTATCTCGCATACGAGGGCGCGGGGATTCACGGAGACGATGTTTACGCTACGGCGGTTCTGCAGATGTTGTTAGGAGGCGGGGGTAGCTTCTCAGCAGGTACGTTCTGCCCTTCCTCCCTTCCTCCCTGTTTCTCTTATCATCTTTCCCCGTCGACAGGCGGCCCCGGGAAGGGCATGTACTCGCGTCTATACACCTGGATCCTCAACCGACTCCCGCAGGTTGATCACTGCGCCTCCTTCCATCACATCTACGCAAACTCTTCGCTATTCGGCCTGTTCGCCTCCTTCCACCCGAAGATGGGCCGTCAGGTCAACAACCCCTCGAACCTCCTCCCCCACCTCGTCCATCAGCTGAGCCTCTTCCTCTACGACCCTGCATCGCGATTCGCGGAAGACCTCCCACGCGCCAAGAACCAGCTCAAGTCGAGCTTAATGATGTCACTCGAGAGCCGCGCGGTCGGGGTCGAGGATCTCGGTCGGCAGGTGAGTGCTCGTCGTATGCCTCTGAGCCCCCTCCCGCGTGTGTCACTGTCGCCGCCCCGCTGACATTGTACGCAGATCCTGATGCTCGGCCGCAAGGTCCCCGTGCAGGAGATGTGCGATAAAATCGATGCGGTCGACCACCCCACCCTTGTCCGCATTGCCAACCGCCTCTTTGGTCCCCACTCTGGCGCGAAGCCTACGGTTCTCGTCATGGGCCGCCAGGACGTCGGAGACTACGCGTCCGTGCTCCAGAAGTATGGCGTCAGTGCCGGGTGAGGAGTGCTGGTGGTGATGGTAACGCCTTGCTTTGGTGGATATTACATACACTCGTCCTAACTTACTGTATCACGACTAATCGTTGCATGCATCACTCGTTCAATTATCTCGTCGTGGTGGTCAGCGGTTGAGCCATCTCACCTGCAAAAAGTAAGAACTGCTGCTGAGCTGCTCCGCTATAAATACGGAGTTCTGTACATGTGCCTGAATTTAGTCAGACGGAACACGTTGTAGAAGGGCAAAAGGCTGAACCCTGCCCGGATTGAACGGACGACCTTGAGGATTTCCCAGCTGGAATCTCACGCGCTACCACTGTGCCAAGGGTTCATGCTAACTGGACCATGTCATGAAATCAACGGCTCTCATATGGTATATCGAATCGAGAAGCAGATGACGCGCGAGAAGGCGTACCAACATTTGAACATGGCTGGTGCTGCGGCTGTCCGGACCTCTTCGAACGGGTTGTCGATACAGATGAACGAGGCTGGTGACGAAGGAGTCGATAGCTGGTTGTACTTAAGTATGTACCCCAGATGAGCCGTCCGAGTTGAGTGATTACCTTGGCGCTCGGCGCTTCAGCGCTCGCGGCGCGAGGCTGCGGCCCAGTGTCGCGCTGGGTACCGATCGGCTTGCTTCCGTCCACCTCGCTCTCCGTCTCTCTCTACTTCATCTCTGTTCTCTAATCTTGTATCTGCTGTTTCAACAGAGTCCGATATACTCGGTGGAACCGTAATCAGGCCACTCTAGCGTCGTGCTGCTCGACTTCTCAAGCGACCCCATATCCTCCCTCTAGCATGGTCAGTACAGGCTACATGCAACGTCTATCTAGCACTCATGTGATTTATAGGCTCCGTCCAAGAAGGCGGGAAAGAAGGGGGCCGCCGCTCCTAAGAAAGGTGCGGCCGGCAAGGTAGCCAAGGTGCGTTTCCAGCTCTCGTTCTCGCTCTGTGCTCCTCTCAAGTTTGTTGCCATGCCAGGCCGACTGGAAGGAAGGCTTCAAGAAGAAGCAGGTCGGAGTGTCCGACATGACGCTTCTTACCACGATCACGAACGAGAGCATCAACGAGAATCTCGAGAAACGGTGGAAGAACAACGAGATTTACACGTACATTGGCGCGGTGCTCATCTCCGTCAACCCCTTCCGCGGTGCGCTCTCCTCCGAGTTGATCGCGACCGCGACAACGTTTCTCAAACCTGCCTGTCTCGTTCAGATCTCGGCATCTACACTGATGAGGTCCTCCAACGGTACAAGGGCAAGAATCGGCTCGAGGTCCCGCCGCACGTCTTCTCGATCGCCGAGTCCGCCTACTACAACATGAACGCGTACCACGAGAACCAGTGCGTCATCATCTCGGGAGAGTCAGGTGCGGGTAAGACCGAGGCGGCGAAGCGCATTATGCAGTACATCGCCGCTGTCTCCGGTGGGGAGGATAGTAGCATCCAGGAGATCAAGGACATGGTGCTCGCAACGAATCCGCTGCTGGAAAGCTTCGGGTGCGCGAAGACGCTGCGGAACAACAACTCGAGTCGACACGTGCGCAGGGTCTGTTGGCTTGAAGGCTGCGTTTCTGACCGTTCCGCAGGGCAAATACCTGGAGATCATGTTCAACGACCGTGGAGAACCTATTGGCGCACAGATCACCAACTACCTGCTGGAAAAGGGTCGCGTGGTCGGACAGGTGGATAACGAGCGTAACTTCCATATATTCTACCAGTTTACGAAGGCGGCATCGGACGCACAACGAGGTGAGAACTGCGTGGTTTGTTATCAGGACGGTGCTCACGCGGGCATCCCAGAGGCGTTGGGTCTGCAAACCCCGGACGCATACGCATATACCAGCCTCAGCAATTGCTTGGATGTGCAGGGCATAGACGATGTGCAAGACTTCAACGATACCATTGTGCGTTCTGTACCCACTGCGAAGTGCTGCGTTTTCTGACGGGAGCACCACAGAAAGCGATGCAAGTCATCGGTTTGAGTGACTACGAGCAAACCGAGATCTTCCGCATGCTCGCTGTCATCCTCTGGCTTGGCAATGTGCAATACAGCGAGAAGGACGACGGTAACGCGGGAATTTCGGATACGAGCGTATCAGAGTTCGTTGCCTACTTATTGGAGGTGGACTCCGCGTCCGTCGAGAAGGCGCTCACAAACAGGACTATGGAGACACAACGCGGTGGAAGGCGAGGGTCTGTGTATGAGGTGCCTCTAAATCCTGCCCAGGCTAGCTCCGGTCGCGATGCATTAGCGAAAGCTATCTACAACAACCTGTTCGAATGGATCGTCGCCAAGATCAACGTCTCGATGAAATCGCGTCAAGCCACCGCACAGCTCATCGGTATCCTGGTGCGTTTGTGTCCATGCTTATCCTGACGAGGGCTTGATGGGGGCATACAGGATATCTTCGGTTTCGAGATCTTCGAGGACAATTCGTTCGAGCAGCTTTGCATCAATTACGTCAACGAGAAGCTGCAGCAGATCTTCATCGAACTGACTCTCAAGACCGAACAAGAAGAGTACGTACGGGAGCAGATTAAATGGACACCGATCAAGTACTTCAACAACAAGGTCGTGTGCGACCTCATCGAGGAGCGCCGTCCTCCCGGTATCTTCGCCGCCCTGAACGACGCCTGCGCGACCGCTCATGCGGACCCGACCGCCGCGGACAGCAGCTTCATTCAACGTACGGCCGCGCTCTCAAGCAACGCGCACTTTGAGGCACGTGGCGCACAGTTTCTCGTGAAGCACTACGCCGGAGACGTCATGTACAACGTCGCCGGTATGACGGACAAGAACAAGGACGTACTCATCAAGGACTTGCTCGACCTTATCGGCGCAAGTGGGAACCAGTTCCTTCAGGGCCTGTTCCCCGACCGCCCTGACCCGAACAGCAAGAAGCGACCGCCAACTGCAGGGGATAGGATCAAGGTCAGTTCCACCACTTCACAATCAAGAGCAATTCTGACGCGAAGCTATCACGCTAGTCTTCTGCTGGTGCTCTCGTGGAGAACCTCATGCGCGCGCAGCCCTCCTACATTCGTACCATCAAGCCGAACCAGAACCGTAGCGCGACGGAGTACGACACGAAGGCTGTATTGCATCAAGTCAAGTACCTCGGTCTTCAGGAGAACATTCGTGTTCGTCGCGCGGGCTTCGCGTACCGTAACACGTTCGAGAAGATGGTAGAGCGCTTTTACCTGCTTTCTCCCTCAACGTCGTACGCTGGCGAGTACACTTGGTCAGGTGATGCGAAGTCGGGCTGCGAACGGATTCTGACCGATACGGGTATTGCGCGTGAGGAGTGGCAAATGGGTGTCACGAAAGCCTTTATCAAGAACCCAGAAACGGTCAGATAGGTCTACAATGTTTCTTCGACGGTTCACTTACGCGATCCAATACAGCTCTTCGCTCTTGAGACGATGCGCGACCGCTACTGGCACAACATGGCGGGCCGTATCCAGCGCGCATTCCGCAACTATATGCGGTACAAACACGAGTGCGCCAAGCGCATCCAACGCTTCTGGAAGAACAACAAGGAGGGGATTGAGTACGCCAAGATCCGCGATTATGGCCACCAGATTCTCGCCAGCAGGAAGGAGCGCAGGAGGTTCAGTTTGCTGGGATACCGCCGTTTCCTGGGCGACTACCTGGATCTCAACGGCAAAAGCGCACTCGGCGAGGAGCTCATCGCGGCTTGCGGGATCGGGCGGGACCACGTCACGTTCAGCTCAAGAGCACAGCTCTTGGTGTCCAAGCTTGGTCGCTCCAGCAAGCCGAGCCCGCGCTTCCTCGTCCTGGTTCATATCCAACGTCATCTTCTGCAGGACGATGTACTGACGGCTGTATTGTCAGACTGAGAAGGCTTTGCATATATGTGTGACCAATGCTCAGGGTGGACAAGTTATGACAACATTGGAGCGCAGGATTAACCTCGTCACTATCAAGAGCATATCCATGACCACCCTAAGGGACGACTGGCTGGTATGTCAGAAATAGCTTCCATGGTCCATTATCTGACACAGCGTTCAGATTCTGAACCTCGGGCCAACGGAGGAGGGCGACCCGATTCTCAGTTGTGTCTTCAAGACGGAATTGACTACCCACATGCTCCGGTTGACTCAAGGCAGCATCAACGTCCTCATTAGCCCTACGTGCGTGCCACTACCATTTGTCTTCATATCGTTCCGACTCCCCTTTTTAGTCTCGACTACACCAAGAAAAAGGAGAAGAAAGCGCAGATCAAGTCGTTGAAAGATGAGACGGTTCCTCGGAACGACATGTATAAGAGTCATACCATCCACGTCCCCTCCGGAGAATCAGCGTCAAGCCAGTCGCGTCCTGTGCCCAAGCCCAAGGCTGGTGTTGTCCGACCCATCACATCAGGGAAATTGCTGCGCAAGGGTGGTCCTTCAGACGTGAGTACATGTTGCTGTGCGTTGGCGAAGTGGGATGCTAACGATATGTGCAGAAACCCGTCGCCTCCCGGCCAAAGCCTGCCGCGCAGCCTCTCCCCGGCAAGACGACGGTTGCTGCCGCAGTCAAGGCTCCTGCCGCGACGACACCGGCGGCAGCGAAGCCGAACTCCGCAGTGCGCGCCCCACCTCCGCCGCCATCAAGAGCAGCTGCGCCTCCCCCACCCCCTCCCGAACCGGACGTCGAGATGTACAAAGCCAAATACGCTTTCGAGGGCCAGGAGGGCGAGATGTCGCTGAAGAAGGACGAGCTCGTCGAGCTCGTCGAGAAGGATGACAACGGCTGGTGGCTCGTAAAGAAGGACGGCGTCGAAGGCTGGGCCCCAAACAACTACCTCGAGCTCGTCCCTCCCAGGCCCAAAGCCGCCGCCCCGCCGCCTCCGCCTCCGCCCCCTCCCGCCGGCAAGCGGCCAATACCGACCGCGCCAGCTGCCCCCGCGGCGCCCAAGGTTGGCGGCGGCGGCCTCAAGTCCGTGGCTGCCGACGCCTCCGCGAAGCCCGTCGCAGTCTTCCCCGGGATGGCCGCCGCGAATGGCTCCGCGACCCCGTGGAAGAAGACGGCGTCGACCGGCGCGGACTCATCGAACGGAAGCACGCCCGCGTCCTCGCGTCCAGGCAGCGCCTTCAAGTCCGGTCCGCCCCCCGTCGCAGCGAAGCCGAAACCCGGCCCGCCCCCACCCGTCGCGAGCAAGCCGGCTGTCGCACCTAAGGTCGGCGCGAAGCCTCCTGCGCCCACCGCTCCCCGTCCTGGCGGTGCTGCTCCCCCGAAGCCGGCGGGCGGCGCTGCGAGGCCAGCGGCTTCTCCAGGCGGGCAGCTGGACCTCGCTGCCGTCGTAAGTGTTGCGCTCGTCTAGATCTCACCTGGCATGATTGCTAATCGTTTACACAGATGGCCCGACGCGCACAGCAACTTGGAAACTAATGAAAGGGTAAACCTCTCTCAAGGACTGCTTGGTTTGCGCATGGAGAGAGTGGGTCATGACATTCATGTGCTGTACATATGTATGGAATACGGCAACTTTAGTTGATACCTACAGAATGTGTATGCTGGAGAATTAGATGCATCGGTGACTACTACATAGTTAGACGAGAGCGTGGACGGCATGCGAAGAACGAGCGTTCGGAGTTGAGCAATAAGGAAAACGAAAAGGGTATCCGATCCAGGGACGCAGAGAAGAGGAGAGACATTGATCGTCGTAAGGTCATAATGAGGGCGTTTGCTGGAGACGGCTGTGAATGCCTTCCGACTTCTAAAAGGCTATGTTCAGGGGGAGAGACTGTCCAGGCATAGAACTTAGTGGGGCGAAGTAACAGTGATGGGTGGGAGTGGGTCGAGAGGTGGAATGTCAGGCTCAAACAAGGACACCTCGACCTCGTCCTCACTCCCAAGGCCACCGTCGTCGTTCGGGACAGCGATCCGTGAAGGCGTGAGAGGCCGGGAGCTATGGAGGCTGATAGTGTCTGCATCGATATCGAGCATGGAGTCGTCGCCGCGCCAATCGCGGACCTCTTCCTCGGTGAGGACCTTCGCGCCGCTTATGCCGGTACCCACGAAGTCTTCTGGCTTGGATTCGAGCGCACGACGCCCAGAGTCGAGTAGGCCGTCGATCATGAGCTTCACACGGCGATACGCCTCGTCTGCCTTGCCTTCGACGATGCCCTGATTGATGACTTCGTCTTCATCTTCGTCGTCGTCTTCATCTTCATCCTCGGCTGTATCGTCGTATGTAAGGGAAGACTTGACAGCTCGATATGCGGGTGGCGGAAGGATGAGACGCGACTCGCGCAGCTTGCGTCGGAGCTCTCGGATCTCTTTCGCCTGACGATGCTTTGCAGCTTCCAGTGTTGAGTTGATGGCAAGCAGGGAGCGGTTTGTGATCTCCAAGTCTGCGATCTAAGCAGAAGAACCGCCACGCGAGATGTCATGTCATGGTGGCGTCAGAGGAAGGCGAGATAACTATATGCTCACTACGGACGCACCTTCCGATTGGACTTCGCCTCCGCCTTCATCTTCCGCTCCTCATCTACCACAACATGGTCGTCGGAGAACGAGTCGTCCTCATCGTTCTCGTCTGAGTACTGTTCACTGTTGATTGACACTTCGCGACTCATTGGGTCACTGCGCATGCCCAAGCCATCTAAACTTGACCGCGGCTGTGATGCATGGCTCCCGGTCCTAGCGTGTCCTTTCCCGTTCATGGTGGAGTGTAGCGTTGGTGCGGTGCTCCTGCTGGCGGCTGAGTCGCGGGTATCATGGGAAGAGAGCGAGGCGGACGAGCGAGAAGAAAATGACAAGGTGGACGTGGGGGGAGATAATGGAGGGAGCGGGATCTGAAGAGGGTCCACTTTCGCCGCGAATTTGTTATGAGTGATGCCATAGTTCACGGCGGAGTCGTCGTTGGGGGAAAACCGCTGGAATGCTTGCGCTATGGGCTGGAAGGACTGGTGCTTCGTCTCCCTGGTGCTGCCGAATCGCGGCGCGGGAATGATTGGCGAGAACGCGCCCGCCGACGACGGGCTGTGGCCCGCGCTTGTACTGGGAGTGATTGGGGGGGAGAGGGAAAGGTTGGAGATGGATGGAACGCGCGCCGGGCGATTCGTGAGGTGCGGCGACGCGGGGAGCGGGGGCGACTTGTTCGAACTGGGGTCGGCCACTCGGGAGATCTTGGCCTTCACGCGGACCCCACCCACGTTCGATGCCGGTGTGTTCTCGTCTGGTAGCGATGCCGGTGGCCGAGATGGGGACGAGCGTGCACTTGCAGAGCCGAGAAGTTGTGCAGAGGACGTACTTATCCGCCGTTGTCGAGAGAAGTTGGAACTACCTGGTATGCCGGCAGTGAGAGCGCGCTGCCGGGTCTCCGAGAGCGGGGACGTCGCAGTGTTACCATTTGGGCGTGGAGTAAGTCGTGCCTTTACTGCTGCTCCATTAACGGGGGTGGCATTCCCGACACGCGATGGAGGCTTGAAGGGTGAGGTTGGACGAGGGAGTGCGGGGCTGTTTCTTACTGAGGGTGAGACGGTGACAATACCGCCGACTTTACGTGTCTGTATCGTGGCGCTGCTGTTGACTTTAGCCTTTGGCCGTATCGGTGGTGGTGATAGGGAAGTCGACGGAGTCTTCATGGGAGACGGGGGACGAGCGGAACGGTCATAGTCCACCCTCGCGGTGACCTGAGGGGGTTGAACACGGCGAGTAGGAAAGATGCATATATGCACCGACCTTTGGTTTCAGGCGGCCATCCATGTGCGAGTGAGGGATGGAGAGGGGGGTCGTAACCGGTCGTCGCGGATGAGATGAGTGTACAGAGCACGGACGGTGAAACGTTGAGGTCAGGGTCGGCGCGGGCGGTTGCAGACGGCTCGTCCCGCCAGTCTCGCGATTTCCCTTATGCGGCAGTCGGGACGCAACCGAACATCTCCTGCTTTACGTGAACGAATTGCAGATTCTCCGTATCGATTCTTCCTAAATCACCGTATGGTACAGATGTGCTACACGTGCCAATGCAGTTACGTCGATACTCGCGGTCCACAGTACTACCACTCTTACGAAGTACTCTTTACACCGTGAGCTCGACTCCATGCTCCAACAGCCACTTCAGCGTCTCCGCTGCAGGCCGTAACAGCGGAGAGCTTGTGTCTTGGGCACAGCTCTTCACAACGGCAACTAGCGCGTGAGCTAGACCAGCATGGTTCGCGTCCGAGGCCACCTCCATCTGCAACGCCTTGTTTTGGATGCCCACAAAGAAATTCCGCACGCAGACGACCCCTCGGTGGACCAGGCCCGGATCGGTCTGGAGCTCTTCCGTATCGTCATCGTCCACGCCCTCGTCAGCTTCTGGCCGGGCGACGACACTTGGATCAATGAGCTGCCCAAGGATCGGGAGGATCCTGTGGCGCTCGCGCTGCAATTCCGCCAGCGAGGCGCATGCGTCCGGAGAGGCGGTGAGCGACGCGAGGGCCCCAGAGGCGGCGAGACGTGTCGGTGTGTCGTCAATGTCGCAAAGCGCCACAAGGACCTGAAGCTTGGACTTGGACGAAGAGTTCTTTTCGCCGCCCCACTTGTTGAAGACCTCCTCCGACCCGGCGACGAGGTTGCAGACGAGCTCTGTTGCCGCGCGGCGCACCAGGGCGTGGTCTTCCAGCATCAGAAGCTCCACTTTGTTCGTGAGGCCGTCGGCACGCGCTATTCGGTCTGCAACCTCAGGACTCTGGGAAGACAGGTTCGTCAAGGCCATCATGGCCTCGAAGCGTTGCAGAAGGGTGGAGTTGGGGTGGATGACCATGAGGGAGAAAGGTCGGATGATGTCGTGGATCGCGCCTTGGTTGGGACCGAAGACTTGAACAGGGGCAGCCGTGATAGACAGCTTCGCCAAGGCTTGAATGGGCTCAAAGTCCTCCTTGTCTATTTGAGGAGTCTTGCCAGCATCCGAAGCTTTCGCGGCAGGAACGATCTCCTGGATGATCGTCTGCAGAGCCTTCGCGCCTCCAGCTTGCAAAATTTTGCCGCGATTTGACTTGTCCTCGACCAAGCTGAGAATGGCCTTCCCAACCAGCATGTGGACCGCTCGACTATCGGACACGCGTACGGCGGAGGTCAAGGCTTCCATTACGCCACCCTTGACGAGTCTCTCTCCACGAGTCTTCACGTGCTCGTCATCGTCCAACGGGTCGTCATCAGGCTGGGTGCTTGACTCGCTGGAGGTCTTTGCCGCCTTTGCCATGCGCTTGAGCTTGGCCATCTGTGCTTCCTCCGCAGAGAGACGGGGACGGTAGACGGATATATTTGAGATGATGATGACTGTACCGTAGAGCGGAGATGAAGTCGCATCTCCAAGGGACTCGATGGCGGCACCCTTCCGACGAGGAATAAGGGAGAAGAGGCGGGACAGGAAGGCGGAGTCCTTGGAGAGCATGTCCTTGACGGATGGTGTGGAGCTCATGAAAGCGAGTGCTTCAACAGCATCGGCCACAGAGGAAGACTCTGCTGAGTCCAGAACCAAGCTCTTCATCATCCTCGCCAACTCCGCATCCTCCATGGCAGGTGGGTCGGCGGCTGCGCCTGCCTCTACGGCATCCGCACTTGCTCCACGAGCGAGTTTGACCATCGCAACGGCGGCGGCAGCGCGTAGCCCCGCATCTTGGGTTTGCCGAGACTTGTTTTCCAGCCATGCCTTGTGATCCGTAGAGACGAGTGCGCGCGAAGTTTTGTGCCCCGCTGCGCGGCCCAGGAGGTGTGCAATCGCAAGGTGTATGCGCCTAGACTTGGGAAAGAAGTCGAAAGCATCGACAATGACTTCGGTGAAGCCATCGCGGAGAACGATGGACGTAGCGGAGGGGTGATCGACATCGAAAAGCGCGCAGAGGAAGGTGAGACCCTTGAGGACCTCGCTCTCGTCAGTGTCCGCGATGGCTGCGACGACTGGCATTTCCACAGCTCGGCATATGGCCGGTATCGCCTCGTCGTCCTTCGGAAGTTCAGTTCTTCGGCGCTGGCAGAACGCGGACAGGACGAGGTAGCCTTTGGTGTGGGTAGTTACGGGGAGTGCTGGGGAGAACGCGGAGAGAAGAGTGGATAGTTCATCGGGGGCAAATGAAAGCCATGCTTTGTCCCGAGTCTTCTTGAGGATGGCATCGAGAACAGCGTCGGGGGTGGAAGCAGAGGGAGAGGGAGCATCAGCTGAAGACATGATGGCAGGACGTCAAATTCGAGCACGTGGTCTATATCCTCTCTCGCGCGTTGATCTCGATCCGTTTTCACCTCACTCCCGTCCCAACTACTCTCGTGCCTCCTCGTACCCATCATGGACGTCGGTGAAGGCCCCTCCCATGCCCAGTCCCCACCCTCAAGTTCTCGGGAAGAGATCATCCAGGTCGGACACACGGTACTCCTCAAAATTCCCACTGGCGACATTCGTACCATTAAGGTGGAGTCCAATGCGTGCGTCCAGGCTCTACCCTCAAATGCGTCTCGCCTAACCTCCGCCGCAATGCTACAGAACCGTCCATTTGGGAAGATTCGGCTCTTTTCAGGCCGCGGAGCTCATTGGGCAACCGTTGGGCCTGTCATATGAGATCGTAGGCAAGAAGCTCAAAGTGCTGCCGCCGCGTCTAATGCAGGAAGTAGGTACGAGCACTTTTACTCGCAGGCTGCGCCCCGTTGACCATGACATGCAGAGGATACGGAGGCCACGAACGAGCTCATTAACGACGGTCAATTCGTTCAGCCACTGACACTTGACGAAATCGAGACGTTGAAGAAATCAGGGTTACATGCTTCGGTGAGAGGCTTTCCAACAAAGTGAGCCCGCAGCCAGGCCAATCCCCTTTTACAGGAAATCATCAAGAAGCAGATAGAGCAACATGCAAATTATTCCCTGAAGACAGAGTATAGCAAAGAGAAGTACAAGAAACGGAAGGAAATGAAGTACGTTGTGTTCCCCATCTCTGGCACATGCTGGAGCTCATCATTCGAACGGGATAGGTACTCCAAAACGTTTTCAATTATTGAGCCAACTATGTACAATGTGTGCGAATACTGGTTCAACAAAGATCAGAACCGACTGCGGGATATTCGGATGGATACTCTCGCTCAGATGCTCAACATCGCGGGTATACGACCGGGTGGTAGATATCTCGTGGTTGACGACGCATCTGGAGTGGTAGTGAGTGCAGTCCTTGATCGTCTTGGAGGTAGGTTCGACGTCATGAGATCATACACGATACTAACGACCCGCAGGACAAGGACGGTTGATCACTGTATGCGACGTAGACTCTCCCCCGGCATACCCAGTGATGGTACAAATGAACTTTCGCAAAGAGATGACAGCAATAATGTCGTCTCTCAACTGGGCTACCGCAGACGAAGAGTACACCCCTGGTGCGTTGCCGTTTCCTGTCACTCACGATAACCGATATTCACATCCCGCCAGTCTTTGCTTCGTCAGAACCCCCGTCTGGAAAGTTTAAATCTGACGGGCAGCGCACACGCTTGACGAAGCGAAAGATCACTGCAGACGCGCTGGTGTCAACTCGAGAAGAACTCTTTGCGGGCGAGTTCGAAGCGTACGCATTTTCCTCTCTTACTCGTAATACAATCCTGTTCACGTATGTTTCAGATTGATCATTTCGAGCCAATACGACCCATACTCCATCATAGAAAAACTCTATCCGTATTTAGGCGGTTCAGCGTCGATCGTCGTGCAGAGTCCCCATGTGCAGGTAAACTCTTATCGTATCGATTCACAATAAAGTACTCACCTCCTCTGAAGATTGTGTCGAATCTTCAAAACCAGCTTCGGGACTTGCCTGGCTATCTCGGCCCCACTGTCACTGAAGGATGGCTACGGCGATACCAGGTACGTTGAGCCTGCGTGTAATCGCTTGAATGATGTCATAACATGGCTGTAAGGTGCTACCGGGGCGCACGCACCCTATGATGACCGGGTCAGGATCGGGTGGATTCATTTTGCAGGTTTTCAAAATGTAAGACAAAAAGTCGCCTCATCCTTCTGGCGTTTCTCACCCTGGCCCTCCAGCTACGATGATCCGGAAGCCTTGTCCGCCATGACCCAAAGGCATCACAAAAAGGCCAAGCCGGATGTTGATATTCCCGAGCAAGAGACTGCTCAGTTGAAGCCGCCGTTGGAGCCTGTTGTGAAGGCAGAGCAGCAAGACGTTGATATGCGGACATCATAGGAATTACTTTGTACTTTCTCGCATGTGTACACTGACACGATCTACACGAGGCGTTTTCTGCATATACACGGTTTACCGCAGCAACTCGAAAGAAGAACATTCTGTGCTTCGGGATGTCAATGACACTCGCCCGAAGCGAAACGGCAGACTGACAACCCATGTCAGCTTTGGCGGGGCAAACCGAGGCCCGATTAAAAATATGAACGAGGCCTAAATATTCAATGACGGAGACAACATGGTGGAGAAACGGTAGCGAGGGGTGGGTGTGGACGGAGAACATGGAAGGAGCAACCGCATTAGTGTCGGAATCCGGTGTTGTAGCTTCAAACAGACTTCCGCTGTTGGAGAACAGTCTGGGGGTGAGTAACCGATAACCGAGAGCAGCCCGAAGTTGGCCGCAAGAAACACATGCAAGAAGGCAGGCAGGGCCTAGGCCTGGCGGGCGGAGGTCAATCGGCACACGAACTGCTTCGTCTCCATCCGTCTTGCTTGCATCTTCCGCTCAACGCTCCAACGTGACGGGTATGATATGCATTGCGCTCTCTGCTGTTCTCAGGGAGATTGATCACGGCAGTCCGAAACAGCCTAAAAGCCGAAGCAAATGGGGGCGCTGACAGAGGCGTAAACTGACAGCCCATTGGGTAATGTCCCCGAGACGGTGCTCGATATCGGCCGATCCTTGCTTTCGTCGTCCAACATCCCCTCGCGCGCCGCTATGGCCCTCAACCACACTCCCGACACTTTCTTCTCCAGTCAGGCGTTTTGGGGCCCTGTTACGTCCACGCTTGATTGGTGCGAGGTGCGTCTTCGGCCAGGTCCCCGTCCCGACCGGTGCTCGTTGGCTGTCGGGATGGGGCACGGACTAATCATCTACATACACCGCCATTCCAGGCCAACTACCAGTTCTCGCGCTATATTGCCGAGGCTGCAAACTCGTTCTCCAACGTTGTGACTGTTGCGCTCGCCGTCTATGGGGCCTTCCAGTGTATATCAGAAGGGCTCCCGTCACGTTACTTGGTCGGTTACACTGTACGTCCTTCATATACTTATGCCCTTTGCTCCCTCAAATCGAGACCGGATACCCTAGGGATTTGCGCTCGTTGGGATTGGAAGCTTCATATTTCATGCAACCCTCCTATTCGAAGCGCAACTCATGGACGAGCTCCCAATGGTCTATGTGGCAAGCTACTGCGTCGCTGTTCTGTTCGACACTTCTCGTGGATTCCAGCTGAAGGGGTCCAATGCGCCTATGCTCGCCATTGTGTTTGTGGTATTCAACATTTTCTTCACGTGGTCATAGTACGTAAAATTTTACCTTCCATGCGTGCAGCTCCTCGTCACTGCAACCAGTTATGTTACCCGTCATCCAGTGTACCATCAAGCCGTCTTTGCTGCATTGATGCTCATAACAACGTCCCGCACTATCTACCTCCTCAACCACAGTGAAAGTGCTCAAGGGATTCCGGCCGTCCAGCGGAAATCCATCGGTCGAGTTTTCCTTTCCGGTGCGGGCATCTTCGCCATCGGGTTCCTCATCTGGAACTTGGACAACATCTTCTGCTCGACCATCACGAAATGGAAGCAAGCCGTGGGGTGGCCAGCTGCGTTCTTCCTCGAAGGTGTGCGCTCCCTTTCAATCTCTCGGACCGTCGCTAACGGGTCCCTAGGTCATTCCTGGTGGCACGTGTTCACTGTTCGTCACGCTCCAGCCGATGTGTATTCTGTGTTCTGATACACCTGCAGGCTTTGGGCACATATCTTATGGTTGTCGGCAACACCTGTAAGTTATGCATCTGATCTGAAACCAGCGATGTCACTCATCAGCATTCCGATTACTCTAGTCTTGTAAGTTGCTATTCTCTTCTGCATTGCGACGTCCCTCTCAAATTGGGTCAAGGACGTTACGTATCAAAGGTCATGACAGTCAAACGGAATACGGGCTCCCGACTGTCTTTGGTCTCCCTCGCATACAGCGATTGGTTCGGCAGAAAAGCGGTTGAGAACTTGAGACCGACACCAACACGTCTGCTCTTGGATTTTGCTTCATGTCACAGTACTTATACCGAACGACTTGTATCGTTGTTTCGACCCCGCCACGACATTTTGTGCGCTCAACATACTGTACCACTCTAGTCTTCATCACACTGTTCTGAAGCTGCCAATAGATGTTTTGACCTCACAACTCGTGATTTGAGCTTGGATGCGGGATCATCAGGCGCCTGTTCACATGCGGTAACGTGACTGACACGGGATGCGCGTTGACCGCGTCGCGGCGTCTACGGCTCTCTGTCGTGTTTTCCCCCACCCGCACCTCTGGAACCACCTTGGATAGGTGCAAAATGCGTATGTCCTTGTGTGTGCTTCCAGCAGTAACGGAAACTGAGATCTCCTATCGTAGCATCACCAGAACCCGCCCGCAAACGGCAACGGTTATCTTCACCGACGTACGATGAATACTTCCCTATCACCCAGGAAGAACTCCATGCATTCGACGAAGCGGACCGTATGTTGTCTCGAGCGTTGCCTCATAGGGCGTCACAACATCGCCGTTTGCCCTCAGAAGAGCCTTTGGATGAAGGAACATATACTCTAGAAGCTGCGGACCTGGGCGGAGATGGGGCAGGGGATGATGATAAGGATAGACTGAGGAGCCACGGTGCGTGCATATAAGCACTGGTATGACACATGCGTATAAAATGCCCATTTAGATTGGTCTTCATCTCCTCCACTCGAGAGTGCGCACGAAGACCGTGCTGCAGAAGATCGCTTCTTTGCCCCCAGTTCACAACCGATGGCCGGGTTCAAGTCCGCAGCATCCATATCCTCAAACGCGGTTCATGCTCCCTTCAAACCTCCTGGATTCTTTCCCGCTACCAATTTGTCTCATACCTCCAAAGAGACAACACTCCCTCCTGGCAATGGGTTTGCACCTGCTACCTCCCTCTCCACTACCGTGATGGTGCATAGTCCACCAGAACACGTTCGCACAGAGCCTGGACCTATGAAGTCGAAAGGTTTCGGACTTGCCTCCGCGATATTTGCCGCTGCAGAAGAAGACCGCCTACCATCCCCTCCCCCTCCACGTCCTGAATATGATTCCTGGTTTGACAACGACGCCTCCGTCCTCCCTCCCTCCGCCGCCGCCACCACCACGACGCTCACTCAATGGCAAGACCACTCAGCATCCCAAGCCTCCACTGTTGGATTCAAGTCTGCCTCTGCGATGATGGTCGGCTTCGGCTCCGCGGCGGCTCTCACCGGGGGGAAGAGCAAATGGACCGCGCCATCGGCCGAAGCATTGGCTCGAGCGGAGATGAAGAGGAAACAATGGGATGTGGATGACGAGAAGGACGTATCGAGGTCTCAGCGAGCGCAGGAGGCAGAGAACGTGCAGGTAGAGCCCCCAACCTCTTTCAAAGCGCCTGTCCCCACTCCTGCCGCTTCTCGGACTCCTGCAAGACCGGTCCTGCGCTCAATGGAAAATCGCAGAGGCAGTGCGCTCCCTGACTCTCCAGCACAGATGCCGGAGACCCCTTTGGCGAAGAAGACGTTGGGCCCGGTATCCGTACTGGGAGGGCTGAACGCCAAGAACAAACCGTTCAAGTCTCCCTTGGTCTCAAGACCAATTTCTGCTGCCCGCTTACCTCCCCGTCCGGCTTCGGCTCTCAAACCTGTTCGAATCCATACAGAAAATGCCATGGCCTCAAGCTCTCGACTTCCGGCTGCTTTCCCTACTGTGGCTCCGGTGACCCCAACAAGACCGGCGTCGACGGGTTTCGGTTCACCGCCCAAGGGCAAGGTTCTTGGTATGACGCCTCGAAGGCCCGGCGGTCTCTCCGGAGCAGTCAAAAAGTTCCTTACGCCGTTCAAACCTGGAATGGCTCCTGGAGAAGATGGGAGAGTACAGCTGGAGCAGAGCCAACGTGTGAGAAGTCAAGCGACGCCGTCTGTGAACGCTCGCCCGAAGTCAGTCAGCTCGCCAGTCAAGGCGAAGGCGAAGCAACAGTACACGTTATTCAATCTTGGTAAGTGCATGCGCTGTAGTGATTGGATCCGGTATTTACTGCGTTTAAGCTCCTCGCCAGGGCCGCAGGACGTTAGCAGATTGTGGTCTACGACCTGAGACGTTTGAGGAGGAAGAGCTGGAAATCATGGGCATGTGCGCATGCGGTGCTTTTTCGCTGTTCAGGAGTGACACTGACTATATCTGCAGCGACGTTGAAGAGCTGAGGAAAATGAGTCCTGCGAACGCTGTTTACTACTGCTTTCACTCGGCTTCTCCCATGGGCACGCCTAGTGGATCCTCCTCGATCTCTCAGCTTGGCCACGAAGCTGCGTACGCGCACCTACGAGAACGAGGCTGCACCTTGGCAAGTCCCGAGTGGGTCAAAAACCACTATGGGTTGATATTATGGAAGCTTGCGGGCATGGTATGTTTAGAACCCGAGCACGAACAGGACCCTTCAACGAGGCGGTGGTGCTGGTCGGAGGTCATGCGCCAGCTATTGTACAGGTATGTGTGCGCTCAGAATGGTCTCTTTGCTCTCTTTGCTGATGTATTGTATAGATACGAGCGCGAACTGCTTGGTGGATCCCGCCCAGCTCTTCGTCTAATCTCCACCGAAGACGCGCCCTCCACGTGCCCCATGATCCTTTGCGTGTCAGCTATCGTTCGGCGAGGACTGCGTCCAGAAATCGAGGTCACAGACGGCTGGTATTGTCTGCGCGCACAGTTAGATCAGCCTCTTGCTCGCGCTCTTGAGCGCGGTCGAATACGTGTAGGATGCAAGCTCGCAACATCCGGAGCCAAGGTATTTCTTCGTGTTTCGAACTTCAGGTGCTGAATCACTGATTTTCGGTCCGCCTTCCAGCTGTGTGGAGACCGGAAAGAGGCGCGCGAAATTCTGGAGACATACGACCATGCCTCCTTGGAACTGTACGGCAACTCAACGCATCTTGCACCGTGGCATGCGAAAATGGGCTTTGTAAAGGAACCCTTCGTTGCCACGCTGGACAGCTTGACAGCTGACGGAGGGAATATTTCCGTCATGGATCTCATCGTGGATAAGGTGAGCGTTCCGCAAGCACTGCCGTTTGCGAGACTAACTACAACTAAAGGTGTACCCAGTTGCCTTCTTGGAGTTCGTGAAGAACGATGATGGATCGACCACCAAGCTTGGACCACGCGATGAAAGGGGAGAAACAAAAGCGCGTGACGAGTGGCTGGTACGTCGGCGATCCATTCGGACCCAGCCTGGCGCACGCAGCTAAGTCATTCATCACAGAATAACAGAGACAAAGAGATTTCGAAGATACGCGAAGGTCTCGAAAAGCAGCTCGACAAGATGGAGAAGGTCGCGCATCGGCTGACGAGCCTCGCGGGCTCTCGCTTCTCTAGCGGGGGTACACACTCTCCGCTTGGCCTCGATGCTCGTCACGCTCACGTCCTATCTTCCACAGATCACATGCCGGACCACATTGAGGACTTGTTTACGGAGATGATGGAGGACTGCGAGCGGCCGTCGCAAATGTTCCCGCGCCTCAGCCCCGAAGACGCGAGCTGGCTGCGGAGGCACGCCCTCGAGCAGCTCGAGCGAGCCAGAGAGCACCTGCACGACGACATCGAGAACGAACTCCGGGTGCGTGCCCTCCCCTCCCCGTGGCGTGCCCTCCCCTGCTTTGCTGACCCGCCTTCGCCCGCACACAGCACGTGTGCCCCGAGCGCAACGTGCGCGACTTCCGCGTGCTCGTCGTCCGGGACGCCCGGTGGGAGAAGCGCGAGCCGACGCGCACCGCGCAGATCACGCTCTGGGACGCGATGCGGATGGTGTTCGCGGACGGCGGCGCGCCGGGCGACGTGCGGGCGGGGCAGCGCTTCCTCGTCACGAACCTGCAGCCGAACCAGCCGCGGGCGTGGATGCGGCGCGGAGAGGAGGGCGCGGTGGTGTATCTGGTTTCGAAGAAGAATACGACGTGGACGACGATCAAAGGGAGGAAGACGTGAGTCGGGTCGCTGCTCCGTTCCTGCGCTGTTTTGGTCTCGTCCCCAACCGCTCTGTACCGCACCCCACCACCGCCTACACGAGCAGCGGCTGGGGACAAGACCACGCTGTTTGTATCGTGGTACTGTCTTGGTCCAAAATATGAGTCTGCAAATGCAACAAGGTCATTGAAAGGCCACATGCAGATCTAGGAGTGCGCCAAATGAACATCCTTCAGTGGACAATTCGAGGGGGATCGTGGAAGACTCCGTGCGTAGGAGCATCTATCATAACACATGCCGTGTAGAGGGGATACATAAATGTTATTACCCGGTCATGCATAAAAAGTTTGCCTGCAATTGCATTGGTGATTAGCATGGTAAGTAGGGTGAAGTAGAACGCGGAGGCGATCGGGATCATCCATGCAATGATAGTACTCGCTTGTGAAACGCCACATGTCTGTGAGCAAGCACGCATAGTCCACGCTGAGAAGGCGTATGATCAGGTAGCTTTCATCATCAGAGAGCTCGGCGTCTTCAATGGCAGGTAAGAGCCTCTCATCGAAACAATAGGCGCTTCCGACTGCATGGTGGGCCTGCCAGAGGAAGGGGGGATCTTCCCAGCGGCGCGGTCCCACGAGCACATATCCCGGCTCTGTCTCCGTCTAGCGGGAGGGAGGTGACCTGGGGCAGGCGTCTCGCGGTGGCTCACGGTGGCTGCATGCGGCGCAGACGTGGGTGCAGAACCGCCGCTGGCCGTGGTGCAATTTGCGGAATCGCTGTAAATGAGCCCGCAAAAATCAACATCCGCTCTGATGTAGTGGATGGAGCCGACGTACTCCATCACTGCGAACTTGGCTGGATGTGCCATGACGGCGTGTGGTTCCACGGATGTTTCATAGGAAGCCTCCGCCTCCGCGCACGCCGTCCAAGCGTTAACGGAAGGGAGAGCCTGGCAGAGCGCATCCTCGTGCAAGGGTGGTTCAGTCATCGCCGATGAGGGATTGCGGGTGTGCTCGGAGGCCGGCGGGGCGCAGACTGCAGCGGAGAGGAGAGGGACGCGCAATCGCAGGGGTGGGGGTATACGCTCGCTGGGGGATGGGGGGCGGGGGATGGCTGCGACTATATGAGCACCCGCTGTTTATGTGTAGTCGGGCGGCGGGTAGCGTCATGCACGCTCCTATGTGCACAAACCGTGACGCGCGTCGTGGCCAAGTTTGAAAATTTGACCGGTGACCGCCGTGTGGTGGGTCTTGGGGAATGGAGCAAGCGGCGAGACGAGCTGTCTGTGCCAGTACGGGCGCTACGGCGGAAATGCAGTAGCAATGAGCGCTTGAGGTCTTCTTCTCCTGTATACAAATATGCATTCTCACGCATGGCATCATGTTCATACTACCACCATGACAGAAGTATACCCTATGTGTAGAATGTACGGGCCCCTGTATGTTATCATTCCACATGCCGCCATGTCCAGCGCCGCCGACCAGCTGTGAGCCGTGCGGCACGAACATTATCTTCAAAGCTTTGCATATGATGACTATCTAGGAGTCCACCACCTTCACCCGCCTCTTCCCTCTAATCCCCCCTCAACCCTGTGTCGATGTTTTACGAGACTCTGCTCAAAGCACCCAACCGGTTCGAGTCCCCCACTGAGCCTGTCCCTACTTTGCTCGCTCTCCTCCTCCAACAACCCCGGACGGATAAGGGCCATAAGGCCATCCACTGGCGACTCGACGAAGTGATGACCCAGTTCATCCAGGCCCTGATTACGGAATACCACGTTGAATCATCCCAAGATCTGTACTCCTGCGTTGTCGCCCGGCTCGATCACTTCGTGGATACCAAGGGCAACTTTCCCCGCGAGTACATCGTCGCCCACGTCGCTCTACCCCTGCCTGCCACCTCTAGTAAACCGCTCGCTCCGCGCACCATCGGCTTCCTCAAGTTCGAGCGCTGCTGGAGGAGCTACCACCCCGTCGACTTCTACCAACCCCTCGAATTCACAAACAACCGATACCAGTGGCTCACCGCGGACGACTCCCTCGGCGTCTACGATACAAACTACCGCCCGTGGACCTCGCGCCGCCGCACCCTCCTCCGCTCCAGCCGCGCCCTGGCAGTCCCGCTCGCGCGCGCACTCGCCGCGGCGTGCGCGCTGCGCCGCGCCCACCCTGACTGCATCGAGAACACGTACGCGCACGCGTGGTTCGCCCGCGGCTTGTGGGAGCGGCTCGTGGACTCCGACGCAGCGGACGGCCCTGGAATCCAGCCCGACGCCCGCTCGGAAGATTCAGGTTGCTCCAAGTGGGGATTGCTGAGGCGCTGTGTGCCCCGCAAGACCCCCACGGCGTTTTTGGAGGTTTTGAAAGAGAAGGAGGTGGAGGAGTGCCGGGCGGTTGAGGACAGGGTTCTGCGCGAGCTCGAAGCAGGCCGGGCGGAGTTGGCAGTGCGTTTGTCCGGCAAGGCCGTGCGTGGCGAGTTTCGTACCACCTCGGACCTTCGGGAGGCGTTAGACAGAGGAGTGTGGGCAGGGGCACGGGGCGATCTCGACTGGAGGTCGCAGAGTCATCAACGAGGGAGGTTCGAATTCTAGTTCCACGTAGAATGACCAAAGTCGGTCTGTTCCGTGGTCTAGCACGTCTTGGGCGCAATAGCTGGTCGTGTTGCGATGGCACAGTGGACCAGAATGAAAATGAAGATGAGCTCATGAGCCCAACAATGAGAAAGCCTAGTGGGAGGGGATCCAGTGCGAGCGCGGAAGCGACCTCCGCCCAAACCCCACCGACCGTCCTACAATCCGCGTACAGCTCCGGGAGCTCGGGTGAAATAGAGCGGGGGAAGGACTGTGTGTAATGCTCGTGACCCGGATTTTGAAGCTTGAAGAGAGAACGCTGGCGAGATGCGAGAGACGAGTGAGTGACCACCACGACACTGGTACACGATTTTGCCTTGCTCGTGCGTACCCTTTTCCCTGATATGGCTTTCAGCGGAGGCTCAGCCAAATTTCGATGCGTTGTTGGAGCAGATACTGCAGCACTGCGTCCGGACGATCCAGTGACGCGCCGGCCACGCGTCTACGCGCGGGGCGCCTCGGTCCAAGCTGGCACCTACCGGCTGTGCCCCGCTCTCTCCACCCGCACCCACCCACCGACACATCCGCACAACCCCATCGCCGAGGTGCATCCACGCAGCACCTCGCTGCCGACGCACCAGCACAATCAAGACTTTCCCCGACATGTGCCCCGACAAGAGCCGCGCGGCAGCATCGCTCGCCCGCGTGTTCGCCGCACATCAGTACATTCGGCCCCCCGAAATCTACACGCACGCCCTTCTCTCCTCCTCGAACATATCGTCCCGCCTTCCTTGTCGCCCCCCTCACTTCCTCCTTTGTCTCTTTCTGGACATTTCGTCTCCATCTCGTCCCCGTCTCCTTCCCCGTCCCTGTCCCCTCCTCCGCAGTACCCAGTCATGCAATCGTGCATATGGGGGATCACAGAACAGGCAGTTGTCTGCTCTTTGCCCTCGTTCGATGTCCGAGCCCACATAGAAGAGACGTCACTACGCTCAGAGTCTATCCGGGACCGTCCCCGCCCACCCACGGTGACGCCCATCATCCGCGTACCGTCCGTCATGCAACCCGCAGCCGGCGATCTGCTCGCGCCCGGTGACCTCGAAGAAGACCAGGAGCCAGGGTTCCTGCTCGCCGGGCAAGGCTGGTCACGGGGAGTCGACGTCCTGCGCCAGGTCAAGCCTAAGGCCGAGCGCAGAAAACACGCCGAGCGTCGATCCGGTCACCCTCCCCTCTTGCTCCCAGTCGCAGGACCGTTGTTGAGTATCTTCGGCTTCTTGCGCGGCCGCTGCTCGAGCTCGGTCCCCCGGTCGTCGTCGTCTGCCTCCGCCGCGTTCGTCATCGTGGCCGGGGAGAGGGGATCAAGCAGCTCATCCAACATCTTGACGGGCAGAGGCTCGTCGCCCAAGGAAGCGAGGGCTTTGTCTATGAGGCCGCCGAACAGCGTGTAGAGCTCGTTAGTAACCATGGTCGAGACGGGAAGGCGCGGGGTCGCGTCACGAGATTCCTCCAGGTCTTCCCGCTGGAGATTCGTGTACGCGCCGCGCAGATCGGCGCAGAACGCAACGATGGGTTTGAGGAGGAGAGGGCAGGATGTGTAAAGCGGGCCAAACAAGCGCAGTAACCCGAAGATACTATCCGCGGGCTGGGTGATGAGGAGCGTTCGCGAGACAGCTCCGTCCATGCCGTAGAAAAAGTATTCCCTCGAGCTCCGGTCGATGTTGTCGTGGATATTCTTGATGTTAAAGGTCATTTCCTGCAGTTTGATGCTCGACTGGTGAGGGATGCGGAAGTGGAGGAACCAGACGTAGACCCAGTAGAGCGACTCGAGGTCGTGGAGAAAGTGTACGATGAACACGGGACGTGTCCAGGGTTGGAATGCATCCTGAGATTGGCCGGGCGCGCCGTCAGTGGTGATGCCGCCTGCAGGATTGTCGTTGGTGAGTATATCAGTAGAGGTGCTGAGAACACGAGGGGTTGAAGCGGCCTGATCTGCACTCGGGTCAGCTTGAGCGGCGATATATTGCCTCTTCGGGGGCGAACGAAAGCAATCCCGATCGCGGAATAACCACAACTCGGCTTGGTATTCGACGGCCATGAAATCGGGAGTACCCTAGGAATCGATCAACAACACGTTCCAAGTGGGCGCTGTCCGGAAACTCACAACTTTGGGTTCAGAAGCTGGAATGTCCTCGTATGGCCTTGCGTACTCCAGGTCTGCCAACCTGCCAACTTTCGCAACCGGATCATAGAGACAGTTGCCAGCGCTGACGTCGCGATGGACGTAGCCGGCCTCGCGCATCAAGTCCAGGGCTAAAGTGGTTTTCGTCAGAAGGGCTGTTTCGGAAGCCAGTTGAAAAACGCACCCTTCGCGCAACCGGCGACGCATCGGAGGAAGCTAGAGAAGTCCCTCAGCTCATACACGCTCTCACAGCGCCCTTCGAAAACAGTTCGGACGTGCTTGCGGCGGCGGCTTTTCAGCATACGTGGGAACGCGTTGCGCTCGCGCCGTGCGGGTTTCTGGCTAGCGATCACGTTTTGTCGGACTTTCATGGACGGTACATAGTAGATTTGGGTCCACTCCGTCTTCTCGTTTGGGCACATGGCAGTAATGTCCGACTCCCCGTCGCTTAGCTGGACGACACCGTCGACGAGGATCTTGAGGAAATGCTGCTGGGCGCTGTCGTCCAGCTTCTGGAAGATCGCCCCCTGGATATCGTGCTCCAAGCTGGCATCCTCGTACAGCCAGACGTCCTTCAGCACCTTCTCGCCGTCGAGGAACTCCAAGAACTCGGGCACCCGTCCCTCGGGTGTGAGTTTTACCTCCTTTACTTTCCAGACCCGAGTCGCGCGGGACGAGACGTTGTATGCGCTTTCGTGCGAGATGGGATCGCCCTCCGTGAGGAACGCGCGGCCCTCGATCCAATAACGGAAGTCGCATTTGGCCCTGTCCGTGCCGTTGTCTGACTTGGAAGGGATGCGTTGAACCGAGAGGTCATAGCCGAGGGCCTCTAAGAGCCGTACATCACGAAAAGCAGAAACCAGACGAGGTTCTGCGGCTCCTGTGCACGAAGGTCGGTCAGTCGCGGACGGCAGTCTCCGACAACGGGAGGCACCTTGTGGAAGTCGAAGCCGGTCGAGCACTGGACATGGGAGCGCGAAAAGCTGAAGAATTGGAGGTTGCTGCCCGAGATGGTGATGCCGTTGATATGGCGTCTACCGGGGTCGCCGAACAGGACTTCGGTCGCTGCCTGGGCCAGCCTCTGCTCGTTCTGTGAGACGGTGAGCAACAGGTTGTGGTGCTATCGGAGACGAGTCCACCCACGTCTTCCCTTCCGGTGGTAGAGTCGTATAGTCTAAACTCCCGATCGTCGCCGTGTCTGTGATCTCGTCCGAGGCATACCGGCACTCCGCCCCATCGTTCGGTCTGCGCTTTTCCTCGAGGCGGTCGCCGGAAAGCTTCACATTCGAAGGAGCGTCTGTACAGGATGGGGGTTTGTCAATACGAGGGCGTAAAAGAATGCGGGGATTGTCGGGATGGAGCGATAGCCCTCGACGGCAGAGAAGGAATGCATGGACGGACGGGTGGGGGGTGAGTCGGGGTGCATCTTCCCTACGGCCTGCGCGATCGCCCTGCCGGCCGTCTCGAAGTGGGAGAATGTTATGGCTCGTCATCGGAGTCGGGGAAGGCGTTGATGGCGACCCAACCGTCGTCGTCGAGAATGGCTTGCCCATCGTCACCAGGATTGTTTTTGAGAAAGGTAGTGACGTTGTCGACCATGTTTTCGGGCCAGTCCTTGCTGAGAACAGCATGGGTCGCGAGCCAATCGCCGGGGAGCAACGGAAGAGTGCGCCGGCCATCTCGTGGATAACCTTCTGGCGTTGCGGCTCTGGGGGACACCTTTGCCTGGGGTTGTGTAAGGCTCTGCGAGGGCTCTGTTGCCTGTAAAACCTGTGAGGGAAACGTGATTGGCTAGCAGATGAGGGACAACGGACCTGGGAGGGAGGCCGTTGGCTCTCGGTTCGCAGACAATGGAGTGCCAACGACGGGAGAGCTGTCCTCGACATAACCCCTTTGCCGTCTCGCCCCTGCACGACCCCTCAGCACGTGGATGACGAACACCATACGTCGACATGACCCAGGTGGCTCGGATTCAGATCCCTCGTACATGTCACACCTACTGTCGTACGGCCTGCACTCTCCTGTGTGGCCAGCTCTCAAACCGTTTCCCGTCGTTGGATCCCACCCCCCGCTCTCGCGCCCAGCACTCACGCAATCCCCTTCTTCGCCAACACCTCCTCCACCACCTTCTCCACCAGCGCGCGCACCGGGCCCGCGGCCCCGTCCGCGCCCGCGCCGAGCGCCGCGCGCACGCTCTTCTCGACGAACTTGCCGAGCATGTCGACCTCGACGTTGACGCGCGCGCCGAGCGGCTTCCGCCCGAGCGTGATCTTGGCCTGGGTGTGCGTGATGAGCATGACCGCGAACGCGCGCGCGGCGTCGTCGACCGCGGTCAGCGTGAGCGACGCGCCGTCGAGCGCGACGTAGCCCTTCGGGACGAGGTACGGGAGCAGCGACGGCCGCGCCGCCGTCGCCGCCGGGAGCTCGAACCGCAGCCGGAGCGAGTCCCCGTCCGCGGCCTTCTCGACGAGCGTCGCGGTGGCGTCCACGTGCGCCTTGCGGATCGCCGGCGGGTGGTGCGTCTCAGCGAGCGGGCAGGAAGGGCGCGGAGGAGGACGAGGACGCACCTGCACGAAGTGGCCCCCGAACCGCACGTGTGCGCCCATCGCGCGCTCGAGGTTGACCTGGTCCCCGACCTTGCGCTCGCCTGCCACGCACGCGCCGTCGTCGCAGAGAGCGCACCCGCGGGGAACGTTTACGCACCCAGGTCCGTCCTGTCCAGCGTCTCGTTCGCGAGCCAGACCTTGAACCAGCCGCCGCGCGCGGCGGGCGCGCCGTCGAACTCGACGACGGTCAGGCACGCGCCGTTGACCGCGATCGAGTCCCCGACGTGGCAGTCGCCGAGGATCGCGGCGGAGTCCCGACGGTGAGCGCGCACCCGCCGGCGTCGTGCGCGATGTCGACGACGGTGCCGAGGTGCTCGATCTGCGGTGGGGGTGGGACCGGGGTTGAGACGGGCAGACGAGCGTCGTGCGGGGAGGCGTACTAGGCCTGTAAACATGGCTTATGCGCTTGTGTTTGAGGAGTTCGGCCGCCCTGTTGGTATTGTAGGGGAGGAGAATGAGATGGAAGAGAGAGTTGACCTGCCTGGGAGTGCGCTGCGCCTGACCAAGACGGACCGTGCGCTCGCCGCGCTTGTCTCTTGCCACCACTCCACCTCCCCGCCACTCATGGCAAAGCCGTCCCAGAGCCCTCCGCCGTCCGAACCAAAGCAGCCGGAGCTCAAGTTCCGCACGAAACCCGTGCAGGAACGCTCGTTGGCGCAATCCTGGGCGGGTGAGTCGCCGCTTGACCGTGGCCGCGATGACAGCCTCCTGACGCGCTCTCCTCCCCATTCGCATTCAGTGCTCCCCGCGAGGACACGGCTTCGCATCTCGCTGGCCATCACCGCCTTTGCCGCCATGGGGCTCTTCATGTCCGACCGACTGGAAGAGACTATGCCTGCACCGAAGGAGGCCGCAAAGCCATCATCCTCAAGCTCTTCCTAGCTCTCATAAGCCGTGGGGTAGAGATGTGCCGTGAATACAACGTTCGTCTGCATAGTGCCATGTGCGTGCCTTCTCGACCACAACGCCCCACCTCCGTCGCACGGTCAAGCGGCCATCCCGGCGTACGCGTCGTCTGGCATCGGCGACCGCGACGGTGCGCTCTCCAAGTCGTCGCCGAACGGGTTCTCAGTCCCCGCTCCCGTCCTGTCTCCCGCTCGCCCGTTCCTCCACTTCCCGATGAAAGACGTACGCTGCGCCTGCACCCGTCCCGGACCCGGCGACGCCTCTCCTTGGGCACGTCGCACGCTCTCCCTCCGCCCGAGCCCAAGCCCGACGCTCCCAGTACATGACGTCCTCACGCCCTGCCGTCCCTCCGGACTCCACTCCACCTCCGTGGACTTCGCAGCGCCCTGGTCCCGCCACGCCTTCGACGTCTGCCTGGCAAGCGCGCCCGCGGCCGGCGGCGGCGACGCAAGCCCCGCGCCGGATTCGCGTTTGCGTTCGCGCCCTGGCCCACCCTGCCCACGCTCGCACTCGGGGGGAGGCTGCTGAAGGACGGGTAGCGCTCCGCGCCGGCGTCGTACCGGATCCCCCACTCGGCCTTCTCCCAGTCGGGCACGATCTCCTCCTCGAGCGCGGCGCCGCGGCGGCGGCGCGCGCAGCGGCGCACCGCGCGCGTCCAGTGGTCGAAGAAGACGGCGGCGAGGAGCACGCCTGCGACGGCGACGAACGAGATCACCGCGACGCCGATCACCTTCCACTCGTTCGGGCCGGCGGACGCCGCGGACGCCGCGGCTGGGGACGCGGACGCGGACGCGGCGGTGGTGGTGGACGTCGTCGACGCGGGGGCCGTGCTGGCGGCGGGCGGGGCGGGCGTCGGGGGTGCGGTCGGCGTCGGGGCTGGGCCCGGGGTCCCGATGACGGAGAACGCGGTGCCGGTGGGGAGCGCGGTCGACCCGGAGCCCGAGCTGGTGCGCGTCGCGCTCGCGCTCGTGCTGGGGCCCTCGAGCGCGCTCAGCACCGTCGAGAGCAGGGGGTCGGCGAGCGAGCCCGGCGGCGTTCGTGTCTGCGGCTCGTGCTCGCGCGGGGCGCTCAGGGCTCGGTGGGGCCGCCGAAGAGGTTGAGGCCACCGAGGTCGCGGCCGGGGAAGAGCGCGTCTCGCGCGGGGTAGAGAGGGAGGGCAGCGGCCAGCGGTGCACCTCCTCCTAGTCCCCGTCCGAGGGCAACCCCGAGTCCGAGGAGCCCGCAGATGTGGAAGAAGGGCGCGGGGCGCATGTCCAGGGGGAGGGGGCTGCTGCTGCTGCTGCTGGTGCTGGTGATGCGGGGCCGTCGTTCCGTTCCGAAGTCCGAAGCGGATGAAGTCTCCCCACGGCCGGGCACGGGTACGGGGCGGGGAACGCGGGGTCCGTTGTCTGCTTTCTTAGCAGCGGGGGCGGGCGGTGTGGTGGTCGTATGAGCGCGGCGGGCTGGCGGGTGGCCGCGGGGCCAGCAGGGCACGGACGACGCTCGGTTCCCGCCGAAGAGTGAAGGTTGGACGTTGGATTGTGAAGGTTCGCGCTGACCGGCAGACTTGCAAGTATAACAGTCGCGCCTATGCCTGCGGCCTTAGGAGGTGGACGACTCGGACTCGGAATACTGTCGGGTCGTGTGTACGGGCCCGAGTACTTCTCGCCGTCTGAGCAAGTACCCGAATCCATTCGCGTGCCCGGAGGTTGATGCATCTACCACCCTTCTCGAGGACGCCGGTGCCGGGGGTGGGGAATCAGGCCCAGGTACAGGCAGTTGGTACGCGCGGGAGGCACGCTCCGGACTCGGTCGCATGCTGCGGGTGTGTCTGATGCGGGGAAGGGATCCGACGATCGATAAGGAAGGTCGGCCACTCGCGATCTGTAACCCCAGATCCGCGTGCTGGCTCACCCGGTCCTCGACGTCCTCGGTCAGGATGATCCGCCTGGCTATCGCACCCAATCTGGCGAGCCCACGCCTGGGGACTTGTGGGGTCGCGCTCACGTCTGCGTTTTGACAGCGTGAGTGGAAGAGCAGCAGCAAGCATCTCGTCGGGGCACCTCGTCGGCGACAGGGCGAACGGTCGGCGACACTCGAGGCGCGTCTTTCCCTCGGGCGGACGCGTGCAGCTGGGCGACATATCGTCCTACTACAAATTCCAGCTATGACGTCGCTCCTGCCCGGCGCTCTCATGACCACCGAGGCAGGGTACGCCCTCCCCTGCTCCGCTCGATCAGGCTCATGTCCAGTTCCAAACAGAACAGCTCGCCCACTCGCGCACAGGCAAACTCCGAGGACGGGGGAGGGTGCCATGACGTCACGGCAGTCGTGGCCAGCGGCTGTGCCCGGGAGCAGGTCGCGAGGCCGGCAAGCGGCGCAACCAGGTGGGCGAAAGCGAGTATGTATATACCGCGTGCGAGCACCCTCGTTCGCAAAGAGCCACTGCGCTCTCCCACCCACCTCACCCCCATCGTCATGGCCGGTCTAGCCCTCCTCTCCCCGCCCACCAATCCCCGCCCGCCGTCGAGCACCAGCACGACCGCTCTCTCTTCTCTCGACCAGGCCCAGCCCCCTCCATCGCCCACGCACGCCCATGATTGGCAGCCCGAGAGCGCGCTCAACAGCCTCTGCGCCAGCTGCCAGCCGGTGGTCCAGGCCCTGCTTGGGCCCTACCTCGACGGACTCGCCCAGCTTCTGCACGCCCCGATCGTCCCCGGTTACGTCTTGGTCCCCGCCCTCGTCCACCGCTCGCAGCTAGGTGCGGCTTCTCCACCGATATCTCCACATCTCCTTCCTCACGCTCTCCTCCTCCCCCCCGGGTAGCGCTCTACGCCACCACAGCCGTCCTCCCACCACCGCCACAGCCCACACACGGCTCCGCCTCCGCGAGCCCGACCCCGTCCGCAAGCACGCCGACACCCCCACCGACGACGGAGCTTGGCCCCAGCCCAGCAGCGGACGGCACCGGCAAGCGCAACCGCCGGGGCGTCAAGATCGCGGTACGCTGACGTCCTCTCCTCCCTCGCCCTCCCCGCCCCGCGAGACGACTTGACGCGTCGCGCCCCGCAGTGCACGAACTGCCAGCAGGTCCGGAAGCTCTGCGACGAGGGGCTGCCCTGCCAGCGCTGCATCCGCCTCGGCCACGCCCACTCGTGCGTCCGCGGCGAGCGCAAGCGCAGGGCCCGCCGCATCGTGGCCGCGGTCCCCGGCGGGCCGGGGACACCGCAGGCGCCCACGAACGTTGACGGTGAGGCCTGTTTTCGCGACGTTCTCCTCCGTCGTGTCGGTCGCGGGGAACGCGCGCGTTGACGAGGGCGTCGTGTTTGCTCTTTGCTTTTCAGGCTCCTCGGACGTGGTGGCGGCCGGCCCCGAGACGGCGTCGCACGTCGTTGACAGCCCCTTATTAGGCGCTGACCCGGCAAGCGCGGGGGGCCGCTCACCCTCAGGCAGCCCGACGTTCGGCTCGGACGACTTCGCGTTCGACGCAGGCGACCTCTTCCAGGACGGTGCGCACTCGCATCTGCACCCGTACGGGTTCTACGCCGGCGGCGGGCCCTGGCCGTCGTGGTTCGGCGGCCAGCAACATCGTCAGTTACAACAACATCAGCACCAACACCAACACGGAGGCCACCCCGCGACGCTGTGGAACGGCTCAGGCCACTCGCCCGTAGACATGACGTTCACACCCCACGCGCCCTCGCCCGAGCAGTGCGCCGCGCTCTTCCAGCCCCCCTCCGACCAGCACCAGCACCAGCACCAGCTCTAGTGTGCGCACGAACCATCCTCAGATCTCATCTCGCGCCTCGCTTCGCACCTTCCGCCCTCTCTCTCCGCCTCGCGCACCCACGGCATCCGCGTCTCCCCCCCCTCTCGCTCTCCTTACCTAGCTGTCGTCGTCGTTCGATACTCCTCGGTGCTCTCGTCGGGTCGCGCTCGCCGCGGTGGCCGCACGCCGGCCGGGCATCTCTATCGTTGCAACACACACACCTCATCAATGCTGTACTATAGACACGTCTCCCACTCTGCTCCATCCACGCCTCTTACTACACCGCGCCGACTGATCCGGACGTTTCGCCTTGCCCCACAAGAGTCGTTAGACATTATGACGTCATGACATACCATTGGGACTATGCGCACGTGACTGTGACCCGTCGCGCTAATGACGCGTCTGCGTCACACATGCCGGCGTCGGGCCGCGCTCCCGAGATAACCGCGTGTTACTCCTTCACGCGCCAAAGGTGGGTGAAAACGAGCGGTCTCATTATCTGAGTGGACCTGCCTCAAGCCGAGGAGGCTGAGGACGGTCCACCCCGAAGCCTACGACTACCTCGTGTAACTAGAATCCCTACAACACCTTTGGCGCTCCGTCACCCCGCCAAGTGCGCACGTAGGTATGTGCCAGTACATCGGGAAAGCCAATTATATGCGATATAGTTCAAGTGTCTCGTCCGGCGCGCGCCATCCACGGCTGCAAAAAGAGTTCGCGGGTATTCGATCGCGCGCACCCTCCCCTCTGAGCTCCTCTCGTCTCACTCGCCCAAAAACGCCGCGGGGACGCGCCGAGCTCAGCCGCAGATGTTCGGGTACTTCCGGTCCGTCGGGTTCTGCGGGATCCACCCGTACTTGAGCCCGGCCTGGTACGACCACTCGTCCGCGTTCTCGGCCTTCCACGCCCACTGCAGCCACCCGCCGTTGCGCTCGTACGTGATCGTCTGCGCCTCCCAGTACTGCCGGAGGAACGTCTTGTAGTCGCTCGAGAAGCCCGCGCCGGACCCGGTGAGCCCCGCGCACGAGCCGACGGCGGTCGACCCGGGGAGCGTGCCGTCGTAGCGCGCGCCCTTGCCGCGCCCGTTCAGGGACACGGCGCAGTCCGTCTGCGCCGGCGTCCACTCGCCGACGACGACCCAGAGGTCGAACGAGGCGAGGTCGTCGCCCATCGCGCACGCGGCCTGGATGTGCTGCTCGTTCGTCCGGCTCACTTGCTGCGGGGCGGGCGGCGGCGGGTCAGCGTGCGTGCCTGTAGGAGGGAACGGGGAACGGGAAGCTCACGTCTTGGACGAACATCTGGTAGATGTGCGTGTCGAACATGACGCCCTGCCAGTTGGGCGGCAGCTGGAAGCCTTTCCAGTAGCTGACGCGCGGAACGGGTGAGTTCCGGAAGGGCAGCTGACGTCGAAAGTGGGTCACCTGAGCGGCTGGAAGGCGTCATGGATGAGCGAAACGTAGTTGCTCTGCTTGGAACTGCCGTAAGGGTAGCTGGACATCACGGAGCTGAGTGGTGGAGATGACGACTGATTGGACGGGGGAGCCTACCGAATGTTTCCGTACGAGTCGTAGTAGAACTGCTTCAGAGGGGTGAGGATGTCACTGCCATAGTAACCTGCGGGCCTGCGGCGGGGTCAGAAGCAGTTGTGCTTGGAACAACGCAGTACATACTCGTTCAGGGGCTCAATGGCCGTGACCACATCCAGATCGTTCACGAAGAGAGAGGCGAGGGTCTTGACGATCGCGTTCGTGCGCGCGATGTTCGTGCTGTTTGCCTGCCACTGCGGGTACGCAACAAGGTGACCCGAGTTATCGTAGCTGTGCCAATTCAGTATTTTTCAGCGCCAATCCGGAGATGAGCTATCAGATGAGAGATGGAAGCGCACCCGTTCTGGCTTCCAGGCGCGCCGTGGAGGTCAACAATAACCTTGAGGCCGCTGGAGCGCGCCCAGCCGACGGCCTGCTGCAGGTACGGGAGCTGACCGGAGATGTAGGGCTCCCCAGGTCCGACGTCGAACGCCCAGTAGCCGATAGGAATGCGGACATGATTCAGCCTGCGAGGCGGTGGGGGGTGGTGAGACGGGGGGTCGGGTAAATGCATATCGCGACCACGTGACGTACCCAGCGGCGGCGATGGCGGCGAAGTCGGCCTTCGTGATCCAGGTGTTCCAGTGCTGGGTGAGCGCGGCCTTGGCGGTGTTGTAGTCCTGGAGCTGGGTGAACGTCCACTCGTCGATGATGGCCTTGTTGTTCGTCGCATCGAACAGACTGGGAGTGATCCACGGCTGGGGAGGGGTGGCGGTCAATCGCGCACGAATGGATCGGAGGGCGGGGAGGAACGCAGCAAGGCGGGCCGGCGCGTACCTCGAGAACCAGCCATCCACCGACGTTGACCCCGCGGATTTTGCTGCTGCCGTAAGGGAAGCTGGGGTTGATCGCGCTGTCGGCGAGGGCGGCGGGCGCAAAGAGACCGACGAGGAGGGACGCGGAAGTGAGAAGGGAGGTGAAAGTGGAGCGCGCGGAAACCATGGCTGCGGGTGGTGGGCGCGAGGAGCGGAGCCGGGGGCCGGTAAGGAGGGGCGGGAGGGACGAGGAAGTCGGGGGAGCAGGAGGCGGCGAGGGCGGGTTATAAGCGTTCAGTGGGGTGCAGGGAGCCGCGGTGAACCTTGGCGGTTGGGTTGGATCAAAGAGGACGGGAAGCACGTGTTCTGTGCACGATCCTTCGATGCTCGCTTCCGTTCCTGCCCCAGCACTGTTCCTGCGTTCTTCGGCACTCAGCGCGCACGACGAGGTCCCGCCTCCGTGCCCGATCCTGGCACTTGCGGCCTCGCGCACCCGCCCTGAGCATTGCCAACGCCCGCGATGGTCGCAATTTGTGTGATGATCGTCCCGCATAACGAAACCAGGTTGCGATGAGATGAAACCTCGACTGTTCACACTCCGAGGTCTTCGCTTGCTGTTCTGTCTGTCGCTGCCGTGGCACAGCCCGCCGCGACTCACCCTCTGCCGGCGCCGGGTGATGGCGCTCTGAACCCATTTGTCTGTCTCACAGAGGTCGGAACCCTCGTCCCCCGTCCACCCGCCGTCGGCTGCGCCCATCGACGAGGAAGGGAAACGTCTGCTGAGAGCGTGAGCCGCCCGTCCCTACAGAGCGGAGAACCTTCGCCAGAGTGCGACAATATACCTCTCGTAAGCGTGGTTGCTCCAGCTCCGGCCGCAGCATGCTTGAGCTCAGCCCGCCATTTGCTGTGTCTAATGATCGTGTTGGCGAAGCACGGGCTTGACCGCGGGCAAGAACCCCCGCCAGAAACTGCATATCCATCTGCAATGAGAAAAAAAGGTCAAGAAACCGCGAACCAACAATGGCGATGTACATGGCTCCGCTATGACCATCTTGTGTTGTGAGCAACAGCTCGTCCGTAGAAATAATGCCGAAGAAGCAGCTGTGATTATCGTGGACGTCAGCTTAGATACGGATGGCGAACCCTGGGCGGAGTCAGGCTCGTTTCTTGGTCCAACGTACGATCCATTCCTGAGGTAGGAATAGCTGGCACGGAGTCATCAGCATATACGATGCTGCACACGGGCTCTCTCGCCCATACCTTTTCCATCTCACATTGCCTCTCCGTTTGAAGAGAACCGGGGGTAGTGCGATACCATATTTAAGTGGTTCAGATTTGCGCGGCTCGTTGGTGCAGTACGGCCAGTTGCATGCCAGGTTCTTCTGTGGTTAATTCTACATGATTCGGTAAAAAGACGCGTCAGGATAGAATCTAACCTCCCCTGATTGAACGACTTTAGCGTGATTCTTGTCTTGGATGAACAGAAAATGAGACACCGGGTGCCCTCCACGCCTTGGCCACGTTTCACGGCATGTCGCCGCATATGCTTTCCCCCTGGTGTCTTGATGTCAATCTCCCGAGCAAATGCCCCCTATTTGCCAAGACCGGAGTGTTCGAACACGCTGCGCGTCTACGCAGTGAGTATTACAGTCTCATTTTGACTAGTTGCAATGCGCCCACCTGTAAGGCCCCCATCCACAGACACAGTATCGCTATGTTCATGTCGCGCCGCAACTTGTTTGCACTCGGATGCCGAAGAAGCTGCTCACTTTCCGAGCAGCAGGTCTTCGGTGCGCGTCCTTCTGCGCCCAGAAGCTGCTCCTTTAGTGCTGGCGAAAGCACGCTCGCCTCGTGCCTATCGGGTCGCTGGGAATGCTGGCATTGCAGGTCTTCTTCACGGCGAGGACGCGCGCGGAGTGGGGGAGGACAGCCTTGTCGCGCGCCCGCGCCGCTGGCTGTACAGAGCTCACCGCGCACGGCGTCTTCCGAGGCTCTACACCTTGCATCATCGACACCGCTCATCTCGTCCGCCACGCATATAGCTGCCCCCCACACGTTCCCTCCGCCCACGACACCACTTACGACCGATATCTTCTCCATCGTCCCCAACCGCCCCCACCGCACCTCCCCCGCGCCCACGCCAGCAATGTCCTCCGTCGAGCACCTCCGCCAGCGGTACGAGTCCGCGGGCCAGGGCCACCTCTTCGCCTTCTACGACACCCTCCCCGCCCCGGAACAGGCCGCGCTCGTCGCCCAGCTCGAGGCGCTCGACATCGAGCGCGTCAACCGCATCTTCACCAAGGCCGTCTCCGCGGAGCGCGACCTCGGCCCCGCCGCCGGCCCTGAGCTCATCGAGCCCCTCCCTGAGGACGCCGCCGGGTCCATCATTAGCGACCCCGCGCGCGCGGACGCCTGGCGCGCCGCGGGGCTCGCCGCGATCGCCCGTGGGGAGGTCGGCGTGCTCCTCATGGCTGGGGGGCAGGGCACCCGTCTGGGCAGCAGCGCCCCGAAGGGCTGCTACGACATCGGCCTGCCGTCGCACAAGAGCCTGTTCCAGTACCAGGCGGAACGCATCGCGCGGCTCGAGAAGGTCGCGGCGGAGGCGGCGGGGAAGGGCGAGAAGGCGGTCATCCCGTGGTATGTGATGACGAGCGGGCCGACGAGGAGTGAGACGGAGGCGTTCTTCCGGACGCATAAGTTCTTTGGACTGGATCCCAAGAGTGTGATCTTCTTTGAGCAGGGTGCGTGTCTTTGCTTGGTTCTGGTCTCTGCTCGTCGTGCATGCATATCGCTCCTAGCTGGCCCTGCGGTGAATGCGCCTCGCTCATGGCGGGGCGCAGTCACACAGGTCTCGCCTGCGAAACGGCGCGCTTTGTGGAAGGCATGTCATGAGGCTTGCGCGGAAGCTTCGTGTATGCGCACTGTGTGTGTCGTGCACAGCGGACCCTCGGGCCTGCTGTATGCGTGAGATTGTGCTTGGGCTCTACCACGCTACCATCGACCGGCAGGACGAAGCTCCGCCATTGCCAACATACACCGAGTTTCTCCGTGCGATCCCATCCGGTCCCAGTCGGACACCCCAGCCTGCGCGCCGAAACTGATGCTTGTCCGCACAGGTACACTCCCCTGCCTCGCCATGGACGGCAAGGTTCTGCTCGAGACGCCCTCACGAGTCGCGGTCGCGCCCGACGGCAACGGCGGGCTCTACGCCGCCCTCCGCCAGCCGCTCTCGCCCGCGGACAAGGCGCGGACGGTGCTTGCGGACCTCGACGCGCGCGGCATCCGCTTCGTGCACTCGTACTGCGTCGACAACTGCCTCGTCCGCGTCGCCGACCCGGTCTTCATCGGCTACTGCCTCGAGAAGCAGGCCGACTGCGCCGCCAAGGTCGTCCCCAAGGCGTTCCCCACCGAGTCCGTCGGCGTCGTCGCCCGGCGGGGCGACAAGTTCTCCGTCGTCGAGTACTCCGAGATCTCCCCCGAGCAGGCCGAGCGCCGCACGCCCGCCGGCGAGCTCGCCTTCCGCGCGGGCAACATCGCGAACCACTTCTACACCACGCCCTTCCTCCACGCCGTGCGCGGCTTCGAGGACGAGCTCGCGTTCCACATCGCGCGCAAGAAGATCGCGCACGTCGACGTCTCCTCCGGCGCGCAGGTCAAGCCCGCGAAGCCGAACGGGATGAAGCTCGAGATGTTCGTCTTCGACGTCTTCCCGCACACCCAGCGCTTCGCCGTGCTCGAGGTCCCCCGCGCGGAGGAGTTCTCCCCGCTCAAGAACGCGCCCGGCACCGGCGCGGACGACCCGCAGACGAGCCGCCGGGACCTGCTCGCCCAGCACCGCCGCTTCCTCGAGGCCGCGGGCGCGACGGTCGGGGAGGGCGTCGAGATCGAGCTCTCGCCGCTCGTGACGTATGCGGGCGAGGGCCTCGAGGCGGTCAAAGGCAAGACGTTCTCGCGCTCGGGCATGGTCGAGTCCGTCGAGGAGCTCGACGCGCTGGTGTAGGTAGGAGGACGGAGGGAGAAGTAAGATACTAGAAGGACTTTGACTCCCGCGTACGGCACCCAGGACTCGGATTGTATTATCACCTCTGGCACCATGTTCCCTGCAAGGACAACGGACTTAATCGACATCGCAGCTTTTCACGCACACGCACACGCACACGCACACGCACACGCACACACCGGTCGCCAGCGTCGCTCGAGCTGGGCGCGGTGCGCGATCGATGGGCTCGGAAGAGTGTACACAGAAAGGAAGCTGCCATCAGAAGCGCAAGGTCGCTGGACGCGGCACGAGGCGCAGTGCACGTATACATGGCACTACATGGCACCGACTATACATGGCACCCCCGCGTCGCCGCGCGCGTCCACCTGCGCCGGGGTCACGACCCCTCTGCCCGCCGATTATGTGTTTTGTCTCCGTCGGGCTTGAGCGGCTCGCCCTTGTGCAGTGCGCCGTGTAAGGACTGTAAGAACTGTCGCGTTCGTTCGCTGTCCGGCTGTAATATGTCGTGGGCGCGCCAAGAAGCGCGCGGTCAGTATGCCGGCGCAAGTCGAAAGCTTTAGCACGCACTTCCTGACAGAATGATAATAGTTTGTTGATGAGCACGGTCTGCTGCTCTTGTGCGTCATCCAGCTCCTTGCGTAGCTGCTGTTTCTGTGTGCCGGAATGAGCGGTCAAACGTCTCGAGAGTGCCGTGAGATCGCGAGGCATACCTCCTCCTCGGCCTTGTCTACCCGCGTTTTCTCAGCGTCCGCGAGCTGCTTCTGTTCCGCGGCTCGTGCGCGCGAGAGCAACACTTCGAGCTCTTTTGAACGCACAACACACTCGAAATGTCGTTCTCGGAGCTCATACTGTCGGAGAACCTCCTTCAATCGTTCTCGGACGCTGTGAAGGGGGAGTCCGTTGAGGACCTAATGCAATAGGCCAAGCGGACGACTACTCACACGTCGTCGAAGATACTCTGCATCGTCTTCCGCGCTCTGGGAGTACTGTTAGTCATGTGCGCGAAAGGCCCGAACTTCCCAGGGACGCACTCTGCAGGATTCTCGGACCACTCCTTCTTGAGCTTTTGTCGCACAGGCTCTTCCACCTCCTCCGTCCCGGGCCCGTCCGTGAGGTCCATCATCTCCGCGGCGAGAATGACGTCTCCGTCCTCGATCCCAGCCTCCTCCGGTGTTTGCTCGTGCTCGAGCGAGCGCCCCCCGTGCGAGAAGATGAACTGTATGGCGTTTGGGTTCGCAATGCTGCTTGTGCTCGTGCCGTTGACAAGCGGGCTCCCTCCCTTCTTGGTTGGGGGCCCCGAAGACACGTTGTTCATGCTGGTGGATGACACGACGTTGGACTCCATGCGCTCTGTCCATGCGTTGAAGAGTCGCGAGAGCTTTGTCTTCCGGGAGATCTTGAAGTAGAGCTCGGCCCGGTACTTGCATACGACGCGCACGACGATGTCGGGCATCTCGCGGTACTTGCTCTCTTGGACCTTGGCACGCTCTGCTCGTCTCGCCATGTCCGTCTTCATCTGGTGGATCTGGGGTGCATCACATGAGGAAATAATATGCGCATATTTAATTGACGAGGGGACGCGTACCTCCTCCTGGGCATCTGAGACGCATGTGGTCAGACGTTTGCTATCTTCCTATGAATGTGTTTCGGTGAGGTTGACACGGTGCACAAGCTGAGTGGCCGACGCACTCGCAGCTTCTTGTTCTCCTGCATAGAGCGGTCAAAATCAAAATAGCGAGAACCCAAATGTGGAACGCAGCCCACCTTCTGGAGCTCCCGAGCGAGGTTCTCCATCTTCGCCTTCGTCTGGTTCACCTTCGTGAGCTGCCCCTTCGCTGAGGAGCATCAGGCCTGCGCACGGGCATACGTGAGGGCCCGACGAACCTGCATCCTTGTCCTTCGTCAACTTCTGCTTCTCCTTCGCGTGGTCCCGCTCGAGCCGCTTGAACTCGGCAAACTGGCACGCCGCGCCTGCTCGTCATCAGCCCGCATCGGGAGCCCGGGGAGACGCACCAGCTCGATGTACTTTGCGTGTATCGCGGTCTCGGTCATGCCCGACACGGACTTCTGCGCCTCCTCCGCTGCACGACCGCGGCGTCAGCGGGGGGCGCATACACCGACACACGGCGTCGGGGCAGGGGCACGCACCGAACCGCCGCTCCTCCTCCTCCTCGAGCACCTCCTCCTCCTCGAGCGCCGCGATCCGGTTCTTCAGGTCTCGTACATCTGCGACGGGTCCACGGGCTGCGGCTCCGCGGCCTTCTTCTTCCCCTTCGGCGCGGGCGCGTGCGCCCCGTTCGTCGCCGCCCCGTTCGCGGTGCGCGGTGCGGGCGCGGGGGCGGCTGCGGCTGCCGGGGCGGCGGGAGCTGCGTTCGGAGGCACGGGTGGTGCGGCTGCGGGGGCAGGCGGGGTGGGCCCCGCGGGTGCGGGCCTGCCGTGTCGCGCGGTCTGGGTGCCATTCATGGCAGGGCGGGGGCGTGTGTGGGGGGCGTTCGCGCGGGGGTTGGCGCAGCAGAACGAGGGGCGGGCAGCAGAGGCGGGCGCGCAGGGTGCTCGAGGGAGTGCGGAGAGGAAAGTCGAGAAGGAGGGCGGGAGAGCGCCAGTCAGATCGGGCAGTCGGCTGGCTCTGCGCTGTGGCAGACGACGTCCGTTTGTCACGTCCCTTGTCTCTTCCGCCTCGCGTTGTGGTCCTCTTTGCTCGCTGCACGGCGTTGCTCTGCTGGCAACGACGGTTGTGGTCGTCTTTCTGTTCCTCCAATGTTTCTGCGGGTCGCCGGAGCGACCAATCGGCACTTCGAACGTCAGCCACCGCGCGAACTCGGGCGGATTCGCGTCCTGTGATCTTCGGTATTTCGGTGCTACTCGACAGCCATCCGTATACAACCTCCGTGGACATGTCGGAATCTCGCTGTCAGTTCTCGCGCGGCGTACACGCGGGCTCCGAAGTGGTGACATCTTAGATGGGAGGATGGCCATTGCTTCGTTTACACTGAACGAAGCACCAAAACTCCGCTGGTCAACAGGTGCTGTGTTCTCAAGATAGTCCAGAAGGACGATGCCTGCAGCTGGGAGGAGTTGGGATAGACAGTGTATTGTAGGCTACAGAGAGCGAGAATTAGATGAATATTATCTTGGAGGTAATATAAATCTATGCGCAGCAAAGAAAGCTCTCCACCGCGGTCGTGCCAGCACCAATCGTGAAGAGAGTCACTTAGTTGTTGGGAGCCCTCGTACCTCATGCATTCTCCAACGGCTCCAGCAGAGACCACTTCTCGAACTCTAACACCTCCAAACCACCCTCCGCGCCGTCCGCAGCCAGTCCATGAGCCGACGCCCAGTGTCGAAGCTCCTCTTCCACAGTGCCGCCTTGCTTGTTCATGAACATGTCCGTCGGCAGCCCGTACAACGCCTCCGGATCCGACTGGCCGTCGGGCGCGCGTACCGTCGTCGTCGGGAAGCCAACGATCGTGCGCCCGAGCGACCGCTGGAGCGCAGCGAGCTGCTGCTGGAACTCCTCCGCCCCAATCAGCTCTGGGAGCCGCGGCGACTGCAGCGCGAGCACCGCCAGCGCCCCCTTCGTGCCGTTCATCACGCCGCCGACCGCGCCGTGCACGAACGGGAACGCACGGAGACCGAGGTGCCGCTGCGGCGCGGGGAACGCGTCGCGCGCGAGCGCCGCCGCGCGCGGAGCGTCACCTTCTCGCCCACCCGGGTGATCAGGTCGCGCACGGCGGCCTCGACGGACACGCGCCGCCCGCGGGCGACGGGTCGAGGTGGTCGAGCAGCGGCGCGTCGTTGAGCGCGGCGACGGACACGGGCTGCACGAGCTTCGCCCCGTCGGGCGCGCGGGTCGGCTCGGCGAGGAAGGCGGCGGTGTGGGCGATGTCGGCGAGGAGCTTGCCGAAGAGGTCGTTCCGGGCGACGAAGTCGGTCTCGCAGTTGAGCTCGACGAGCGCGGCGCGCACACCGTTGCTCGCGCCGGGGCGGCAGCCGGGGGAGAGGACTTGGATGCCGATGAGGCCCTGGCCGGCGACGCGGTCGGCGAGCTTTGCTGCCTTGGCCGCGCCAGAGGCTTCGCGGTCTGCTTGGAGCCATTTGAGTGCGCCGTCGAGGTCGTTATTGCTGGCAATGAGCGCCTCGCGGGCCTTGGTCATGGAGGTGCCTTCATGGATCTTCCGAATCTCGGCGATGAGCTTGACAGAGGCCTTGACCGGAGGGGCGGTCGAGTAAAAGCGCGAAGAAGAAGCAACGGTGCGACGGAGGGCGTGCATGGCGGGGACAAGGGAGGCGGCTCAGAGCAAAGCGCCGAGCGGCTGCGCCAGAGGCTCTCGCGCGCGTCTCCATGCTCAATTGAATCAAGCCTACATATAACCGCCAACAGCGACTCATGTCTACACTAGCCTTCGTGGGACACGACATAGCTCGTTGCGCAGTGCTAGCAGCGGGATTGAGCGGGTATCTTCCATGTGCATTACCCACAGACGACAATGCCGAGTACATTCTCCTCCTCACTTCTGACATGTTCACGCGCGCTTCCTTCGGGAGCTCCAGTGCCGAGTCCAACTTGCGCGTGACATGACCGAACGACACTTTCTCTAGTAATGGTTGAGGGCCGAAATGGCGGGTTTCTGGGGCGGTTGGTAGGTTGAAGGCTGGGGAAGCGTCCGACGAGACGAGACTGGACAGCGGTCATCGTTGAACCGATGTCGGAGGTTTTGGAACGCAGCTCGCTGACGAGGTTGGCAAACTGAGTGGCATTCAAATTGAGCCCTTCGAGTTGAGGTATGATACCAGAAACAAAGTGTTTACATAAGTTAGTAAAGCCATTCGTTCGGATACATGCGACGCTCACTCTGCAAGCGATGTGTCGGCCGGGCCGATGGTTGCGGCAGCTTTGAAGATGTGTACAAGATCGACGAGTCAAAAGCCCGAGGGAGCTACAGTGACAGCCTTCATGTATCGCGATACCACTGTCCGGCAGAAGTACGATGCTCCTGCTGGAAATGGCGCGGTGGCGTGGAAGAGCTGAAAAGGCCATCAATGTAGGTGCTCAATGGGAGGTAGATGATTTGAAGGCGCTCTTGAAGTGGACTATTTGTCAAGTTGTGGAGTTTGAGACGAATTTCGCTCGCCCAACCAGAGATGCGGAGGTGTCGTCGTGTAGGACCGTAGAAGTCTCAACGTGTGAAACGCGTTGAGAGGTATATTCCAAGCTTGGATGTCGTCAGCCGAACGCTGCCTGTATGCTCAGTTCTCCAGTGCGTCGAGGAACTTGAAGACGTAAGAGTCCGATGGTTCGCTTCCGAGCGCTCGTTCCAAGCTATCATCGACGTCAGCGTGGACAGATGACGGAAGAATCCCCCATTTACTAAGGCAGAATTTTGGATATGCCGAATGCCTCTGCAACTTGCCAACACGCAGAACACGGTCTGTGTTCAACGGCTGACAGTGTCTCGGCTTTAAACGCTATTGCAGCCTCGAGTCATATTCGAGGACGCTTCCAGCCGACAGCGGGCCTGCGAAGCAGGATATCGAGAGAGTCCGCGGTCGATGAAGCTTTCAAGACCTTGTACAACTCGTCGTTGGTCGAGCCGGTCGTGGTGGAGGCCTTCAGGTTGGAGGCCTCTAGCTCCTCCAGTATGTAAGCTTGACCGATAATTGCCAGCCCATATCAAGAGCAGCGAGCGGCGTAACAGCGGGAGGTCAGCGAGAGTCAGCTTCCAGGGAAATCGGAGGGGCAGAATTCGCTCGGGCGACAGTGCAATGCGGCGACATACGTTACCCATGTATCCGTCGTACTGTTGTCCATCATCACGGCAGATACCAATCAGATGGAGATGGTGGGGTTGGGGAAGCTGGGGTATGACTGGAAAATCCGTGAAGTCAAGAATTGTGGATGATTTGCTCGAGATCGCTCTGGTGCCTCATGGCGATGATTACTTACATTTTATGACATGGCAGACACAAATATACTGTGAAGGGTTCTTGAAGACGCCTTCTTCTCCGGGGTCGGAGAACGTCTCGCTCTCGCGGACCGACTGTGACACCATGTTCTCGTCGCTACTTGTCTGGGCTGAAGAACATCGTTGGATGAGCGATCAGTCGAGGTGTGCACACGCATGCGGCAAGGCTTATTTACAAGCACGTAGAAGGCGGGGCGGGTGAGTGAGTAAGCAGCTCGGAAGCCTGACGGCGGGAACAACGGCCGCCGCGCGTTTCGAATTCGAAGTGACATGAGTTCCTGTCACGTGACCGTGCCCTCCTTAGGTGACGCGCCCATCAAAACAACTTTCGTCGAGCGGCCTCGAGCGGCTCGCCTGCATTTTTTTCGATCAGAAGAGTCAGAGCCAAGCTTGCGAAGATTTCTGAGAAGACCATACTTACAACAAAGTCATCAGAGCATCTCGAGGACTGTTTGCGCCTCGGCTCCTCGCATTCAATCATCAGAATCCCGGGCGAACTTACTCGCCAAAAATCTGCCCGTCAACGTCCAGATGGCTCTCGCTGCCCGGCTGGGCATCGAGCTTCTCGGGCGCAGTCGGAGGATCGCTGTGATATACACACGTACTTGTCGTCCGCGCTGGGGGCCGCGCGATGCTTGCGGAACGGATCGTGTGATATTCCGTCACTCCGGTGGTGCCATCGATATCTATCACGAGTAGGGCCTCGGAAGGCGAGAGTAGTATGTACCGGCCCTCGCGCTATGGATAGGCGTCCAGTAGTCTGGTGCCTGTATGCAATACCCGACCCCGACCGAAGCAGTCAGGCAAGGTTAGACCCGTAATTAAAACGTAGGCAGGGACGGCCGCCTAATATTGCCCATCGGGGCCCGGGCGCCCCTTCGAACCCACTCCGCGGCGGCGGCGTGATGCACTCTGAAGCGGAGTGCAGCTTCTTGCTCCATTGAAACCCAAGTTCCAACATACTCGCGCGCTCGAGCTTCATCTTCTGACCTGACGTCCAGGCATCTGTCCAAAGGGTCCCGACATACCCGCGAGCTTCGCGGAATCGATCGCGGCGCTCAACCATCAAAAACTTCAGGTGACGACGGGGAGCCGGGCGCGGTCCTGACCGCCGTGCAGGAGGACCCGGCATCTGTGCGCAGAGAGGCGTGACGCCGCGCTCTCCTTGGGGACGACTGGATTCGCTCAGGGAGGCTGAGATCGGAGCGTGCATAGATTCCAGGTGTGGGCAGGGTGGGAGACGAGAGTAAAACAAGACATACGCTACAAAGACACGCAAACGGCGTGGGGAGACAGCAGTGTGGCAAACAAATCCGTGTCGAATCCAAAACAAGTAAGCCCAACCAGCCAGTCGACCGCCGGTCGGGTAGCAAAAGCATGCAGAAATATATGTCGCGGACGCGCGACGGAATTTTCAACAAGCGTGCCATCCAGTGTGAAGCCTTCGTCCCGGTCCATGCGCTCGTCGTGCGACACGAGTGGTGTACAGTACTGCGCGTGGTTGGCAGAGAGGCGGTAGAGAGCAGTGAGAGATGCGAATGGGTGGAGGACGGGGGAGTCAAGCGCTCAGACCATGTGGCGCTTGGTGTTCCCCTTGTACGCCGACTCTGACTCCTGGTATTATACCCCAGTCAGCCACATGTATTCGTCTAGACTTTGTGTTCCATGGATGGCAGGAATGAGGTCGGGATACGAACCTCGAGTTCGTGATCGCGCTGCGAGTCCTTGGTAGTGTCAATCTGAATCGCGATGTGCGTGCCGTTCTGCCTCTGGAGACCAAGTAGGGTTAAGCCGCAAGTCAAAAGGAAACGAACGGGGACACTGACGCTGATGTTCGCGCTGTTGGCGGTGGGGTGCATGTTTTGGAGGGACAACGATGCGTCGCCGCTGCTGGAGCCATCATGGAGGCCCTTGCGAGCGTTCAACGTCGCCATGAACGAGTTCGAGTACACTGGAGCGACGTGCATGAGAATGTCATCCGGGACCGAACAAGGGAGTCGACTTACAGCGCCCGATGATGAAGAAGAAGACGATGTAAACGAACGTGTCCGGCAACGCCAAAATGGTGATGAGCGACAAGCACGCGCAGATACTGGTCAACAGCCCAGTGTTAAGGGAGAAGATCATCTGGGCGCACATGAATTGAGCGACGCGCGAGACAGAAGGGTTTACGGGACGTACGAGCTTGTTGATGAGCCTCGTGGACCTCTGAAAACCGGTCTTGGAAGTCTGAAGGATGGTGCACAAGATGATAGCAATGCACACGTCTCCGGCGGCAGCAAACGCGTTGATGCTGATGGAAAGCGCCTGTAGCACATGTCAGAATATGGTCCGTTACTGAAAGCTGAGAGACCCACTTTGACCTCAGTGAGCTCAGCGAAGCTCGCGAACTTGAGACTGTCAAGCGCTGTGAGACGAGATCAAGATGTATGCTGCACCCGCAACTTACGCTCTGGCGGTGTAGGCTGTAGACACGGCTACAATGAGGTACGTTAGCGTTTACAAGGGAAAAGTGGAACGTACCGACGTACCGAACTCGACGGCGATGAGAAGGCCGACGGGAACAGTCAAGTACCAATTCTGCCCGCTCACTGTGACTAGGTTCAGTACTGAGCGCCACCATACGTCTGGAAAGCCACTCACGCCTGTACACGCGCGCAGCGAAGAAGCACTGCACGAGGAGACCAGTGACGGCTTGAATAACGACCTCAATGATGATGGTGCTGCACAAAGCACAACGGTTCGCAATCAAGATGGCCTTAGAATGAGATCAGATTGCTTACGGCGCGAGCAGGGCCAAAGTCGCAGGTTGGCCGTAGTTGGTGACCAGGTACCAGTACACTTCGGGCGTGTGAGAGGCAGCTCATGAGATGATCGCGTGAAGGGACTTACACGAGTGGGAAATGAGGGCTTGGTGAATCGTGTCCGATACCCAGACCCCGAGTACGAGCAACTTCATGTACATCGGGTCGCGGGAATAGCGTGAGAAGTAGAAGTACACTTGCGTGCACGAGACTGCAAGGGCAGGGTGTGAGGCACCGATGGTGGAAACAGAGGACAACGTACGAACCTCCGTAGAGACTGTATGCGAGGAAGGAGGAAAGATTAGCCACAGTGGCGTCGGTGGAGGGAGACTTCAGAATACTTACATCCCGGCGATGAGGACCCCAATGAAGAGCATGCCCATGCTATGAAAAGGTGAGCAGAGGGAAGAGGAAGAAGGGGGGAGCAGCGCACGTTTCGTCGAGGAGCGTCATAGCGAGTCGAGCGTCTGGGAGATCGGAGAAGGAGGGTGGACAACCGGACGGGGAAGCGGGAGGGAATGGCCAGTGTGCAGTCCGGGGAGCAGGCGACGCGGGATATTTCTATGCACTGGCCCGGGACGCATGGGAGGCGAAGGGTATGGTGTTCAGCAAAGCGACGGTTATCTCCAGAGGCGATCTGTCGGCAGGCAAGATTTCGATCGGCTCGTGGCAGAGGGAACTCAATGGCCGACAGTCGGTTGGCCAGTCGCCAGCGCGCGCGCGCGCAGGCGGCAGGACGGAAGATTTGGCAGCCATGTGAAGAGACGAGCATTCTAGGGCGTCGCCAAGGGAGGACGCAGGAGGACGCCCGACGCCGGGGGCGGAGCAACGGTAGATGCGACGCGTCTGGTCCAGCGGTTGAGGCCACCGAAGGTTGGCGTGCACTGCGGAGATGGGCAGGCCAAGGCACAGAAGAAGGTCGAGAAGGCGAAGAGATTGTAGGTCGCGCGTGTAGGAGTTTCGGGGTGCTGCAGACGTGGGAGAACGCGATCGGGGGGGTCATAAGGCGGGGTTAAGCTCCTGTGGTCAGTGGAGGACGAGCGGATGACGACGGATGTGTGGGGACCACGGTGGATCAGGAGCAAGCGCGGGGGGTCGACGCGCAAGGCGGCGAGTCTGGCGTTGAACGTTTGAACGATGACGCGACCGCCCAATTGAGCCACCGAGATCTGCCGCCAGAAGCTTACACAGACGCCCATCGCCGCCCCTGCTTTCGCTCGCGGGAAGCAGCGGTCGGTATTCCGTCATCTCCAGTATGGTCTCGTCCCCAGCCACTTAGTATCTGATCGTCCTCTACTGTTGACGAGGGAGGATAATTCAAGAACGACTCAAGATCTCGAAGCCCCTCCCCATCTTTGCCTTCGCCCTCCAGACCCATCTCGTCACCGATCTCTCGTGTCCCCGCTCGCACGGGCAGTCTCCGTCACCCTCTCTCACGAGCCGACGCCTGTTGCGTCCGATCCCACACAAGCATTCGATCCAAGCCGGGAGCCAGGCCCTCAAAGCAAAGCGAACTGCGCCACCCAGGCCACCAGATCTTCAGAGGCGGTGTACTTACTTGTCAGCTGGCACGCGAGCGGACAGCCGGCGGCTCACCAGATTCGTCTTTAGCCGACCAAGTTGAACCTAACCCCGCGCGAGTCCGAAACTGCCGGCCTATAAACAACTGCGGGGCGGAACCAGAGGCGGGCAGAAGGGGCGGGAAACGCAGTGAGATCCAAACCACCCTCGGTCTCACAACAAACCTCGTCAGTCGCGCGCGACTGGTGCAAGGGGCTCCAGGAGTGTTTTTGGTTGAATAAACAGCAAAAAGCGACCATTTCAGGTGTCTGCAACCTCGACATTGAGCTTGTAAGTCGATGGGTGGGAGAATCGACGCGCGAGATGTTTTCAAGCAAGACACCTTCTGGCTGGAATCGCGCTCCAAGGACAATGATTGGACGTCTGGACGCGCGTGTCCGTAAGAATGCGTCGGATACGAGGATTATTGATCGTGCAGTAGGTCCAGGTACATCAAGCTATCGGTTGCGATAGAACAACGAGGGCGACCTCTGGTAACTTGGTCGATGTTCACCCGGCCCCACCACCCTGGGCATGATGGCTTCGCAGGCGGCGCAACCACCCCAGGAATGATCGAACCTCCCGTGGCGCGACATCGGACGCTCCGATCGCACGGGCCACGTATGGATCCCCGATCCGACGCCTGCCAGGATTCCAGTGTGGGCGCGCGTGGGAGAGCACCCCGAGCGGCCTCTGCGCGGCCGCGCTCGTGCTCGCAGCAGGTACCGGTGCCCGTCGACGCTGCTGTGATTCTGGAGGTCAAGGGCGGGGAGGGCGCCGCTGCAGCAGCGGCAGCGGGCAACACCTGAGCGCAGTGATCGTACAGTGTTCGTGCTCCAGGACGTCCTCGAGCACCACCGGGCTGTCGATCGCGTCGAGCGCCGTGACCAGCGCGAATCAACGCAAAGGCTCAACGCTCAACGTCAACGATCGCAGGGAACTTGCATGCCTGCGGGCGGGCGATCGAGGTCAGAACTGTCTCCAAGCTATCGCTATCTGTGACAGTCAAATAAACCTACTCCCCAGAGGCCGTGGTTGGGCCCTCCCCACTCCTGCCCGTCACCGCCACCGACATTTCGTATCGATTCCGACGGTGCACCAGTTCGAAGGCCGCAGGGAGGAATGGACCGCACGATTCACGAGACTGGGAGGAAGTTAAGCTGAAACCACGACAATGCGCCATCCAGTGGAACGCTGGCCAAGCAAGCAACCGGCTGAGCAGTGTCCTAAAGAAATGGTATGCGGCGATCAATGCGTGGCCTCCCTCTTCCGAACCAGTGAACTGACCACTATGGCAGATGCCGGGGGATGTCACGGCAAGATGTATGGGATCACAACAGTGGCGCGCGCGGAGGAGTGACGATTGATCTGAGGAAGACTGGAACCAGGCAACGCGCGCGGAGTGACGCGTCAAGTGTGATCCCTCTATTCACGTGATTGTGACTGCTCGCGTCCATGCTGCGGAATCGACCGTTTGGCGACACACCAAAACCACACGGAGAAATACTAGGAGTCCTTGGTGAGCATCCTTGTTCTACTAGAAAACTACCTCCTCGGTTAATCCGAAGCTATTAATCCCATCCATGAGGTGATAAAGGATCCACAGCCTCATGAATTGAATTTTGATGCTGAAGCCAAATCGACGCTCTTCCACGTCCTCCTCTCTCATTTCCAATGGCTGGTAACTTCACAAAACCGTGAAAAGTGAGCATAGTGGACGGTGCCATTATCTAGATGTAAGGTGGTATTGGACAGCAGGGAATACATACGCTATACATACGCTACGACAAACAACAGGTGTGCCAAGAAGACAATCACAGAGGGTGTCATGTATCCTCAGTAAGATCGATAGTACCCTCGTCCTCGTCCTCATCCTCATCCTTGGCCGAAGGAACTCGCTGCTCACCGCTCGAGATCCATTCGTCGTCGTCGCCGTCCTCCGATCCCTCCCCTTCTCCATCACTTGCGCGCGCGTCGTCCTCGTCGTCGTTGTGCACCCACCACGGGATCTCGAAGTCCCGCACCTCTTCGATCTCGTGAGGGACCTGAGCACCAAACGCGGTGATGTGCCGCTGCGTCTTGCGTGCGAGCGGTGCGCTTGACTGCCGCAGCGCAGCCACCATGAGCACGCAAGGATTTGTAGCCGGCTCTTTGCGGCTCGCAAGTCCTGCATAGGATGCGTGAACTTTTTGTGGGAGAGACACGGCGCGCTGTAACGAGTGCTTACCCGCTGAGGATACCGACGCGGAGGAAGGGATAATGGCGGAGCCGCGGCCGCGGCCGCGTCCGCGTCCTCGCCCTCTGCCTCTGCCTCTGCCCCGCCCTCTGCTTATGCCGGCGCCGACGCTGATGCTAGCGCTGCCCCGTCCTCGGCCACGGCCCCGTCCTCGACCCCGGCCGCGGCCGCGACCACGGCTGATGGGAGTGGGGAGGTCGTGTTCATCGACGCTGGGAGCCTTCCATTTCCCCTTTGCCAGGGTATCGAGTGATGGAGTCCCTTGCATAGAGATTGACCCATCTTCATCGTTGTCGAGGCGTTGTCGCTTTGGCGTTAACTCGTGTATGTCAAGATGTTCTGGAAAGTCGGGAGATTCGGAGGGCTCGTACATGTTGGGGCCATCATCGTCTTCATCATCTTCCTCGTCTTCCTCGTCGTTGTCATCGTCGCCGAGAAAACGACCATCAACCCGACCATCGACTTCCTCAGGGAAGGGGGAAATTGTGACTTGCTTGACCTTTCCCTGCGTGGGCATTGGGACTGGTCGTTCTTGGGCTCCAACGCTGGCACTGGCGGAGAGTTTTCGAGCGGGAGGTTTGATGCGTAGCTTGAGTTTATTAGGCCAATTGCGCTCGAACTCGTCAGGATCCACTTCCGACTCCCCAGACTCGGCCGTGATTATTTTGATGTTCTCGTCGTCGTCCGCCAGCTCGTCATCATCCACCAACTCCTCTTCTTCGACCTCCTCCATCTCGTCCTCCACTATCTCTGGGGGCTCGAGGGCAATTTGCAGCTCGACCTCCCCGTCTCCATCGGCTTCGTCCGCATCTTCGGCTTCGTCAACCTCTTCTTCGTCCGGGATCTCAATCGGCTCCGGCTCCAGCTGGACCTCTTCCATGGGCTCGTCCACTTGCTCGATGATCTGCACCACTTCCGCCTGAGTTTTGGATTTGCTCGCCTTCTTAGAAGTCCACCGCCGGTCCGGAGGGAGCAACATCCTATACCGCTGCTCGATGCCCATCGCGACCTCGAGCATCTCCTTCCGCCGGCACTCGCCCTCGTAGTTGGTCGTGCCCCCGTGGAGGAGGTCGCCGTCGACGGACATCTTCGACGGGCTCGACGTCGACGGCCCTGGGCTCGCCGACCGCTCCATCGAGAAGTCGGAGGCGGGGAGGGCCATGAACGCGGAGGCGTCCATCGCGCGCAGCTGTTCGATGCGCTCTTTGAGTTTGTAGTGCTGATGTTGCAGCTTCTCCTTCTCCCGGAGCCGCTGCCGCTTCTCGAACATCTCGTACTTGCGATGTCGTTTCTCATACGCCGCGTCCGACGTGTCGTGCGTCTCCTGAACGGCACGAATCGTGCCATGGTGCAGCGGAGCGCAAAGGAAGGACGGAACGGAACGGGTTGCGGGAAGAGGTCGCGGAGAGATGTGAGGTCAGCATGTCGCACATTTGAACCACAGAGGGCATAAACAAACACACCTCCTCGGACCCGCGCGGGCGAAAACGACCGCCTACGTGAGCGTCCTGAGACAGCTCGACGAAGTCGGGGGTTTGGATATGAAGCTGCTCCTTGTACGCCTTGCGCACCTCTGGGCGATCGAAGTAGCGTCCGTACGCGAGCGCATTGATCTGGCCATCCTCTTGCTGTTCGCCCGAAGCGGACGCGGACGACGCGGGGGTGGAGGCTCGCGGTGGGGCGAGAGACGAGTCGGTCGTCAGGAGGAAGGAGCTCGACGCCGGGATGAGGGGTTCGCTTTCCACTGTGCACCAGCATGTCAGAGAGGGGATCGCGCTCAGATAAAACGAAAGGGTGCGCGAAGGAGGGGGGAGCGAGGGGACATAGAAGGGCCGAGTTGGGAGAAACGCACATTTCCGTCGCATGGTGTCCAAAATCATCACATCCGACTCGCATGTACCCACTTGCGGCCCTCCGCGATTCGTGCGCGAGGGTAGCACGCGTTTTTGACGCGTCTGGACATCGGGCTTGGAGCTAGATGCTTGTGCGGGAAGTTGTGGCTGTTTCTCCTGTTGAGGTGCGGATGACGAGGAACCCTCCGAGAGTTGGACGCGTCGGCCGCGCGCAGACTTCGCGGACCCCCTGCCGCGTGGGGCAACCATGTGTGGGGGGATGGGAGGGGGGAGTAGTGGTAGTCAGAGGGCAGAAGCAGTTTGTGTGGAAGGCTTGTGCACTGGGTGCTAGCGAGCCGTTACGCGCATACAATCGCTCGCGAGAGGCGTTTACACCAAATCGGGTTTGTCAAGACGCCTCTCTCGCCTCACACTTCTTACCACGGTAGCCACAAGACCACTCCAGCAGCACACTAGGCTGCGCACGAAGACCACAGAGGTCGAAAACGTATAGTACGTACGCGATATAGGTACATGTACAGCTATGCGCCACCTTGATGGTGAGGCGGCATTTGACTACTTCCCGGCCCCCAGTTCTGGTTCCAACCCTGGCCATTGCTGCCACCGACGGCGTAACCGTTGGCGTCCTGACTGTATGCATAATTTTGGTCGCCATACAGAGGAAGCCCGGTCCCCATCCCGGCGACACCAAACTGCGCCGCAAACCGAGGATTGATGTGAGGTTGAACATGAGGGTACTGATACGGGAAGGAAAAGTCAAATGAGGGGCCATTATACTGCGGATAGTTCCAACCGCCACCAGCACCCATCGGAGGGTTGACGACCATTCCATCCGAGTACTGGCCGGTGGCACGAGCGATGGCGAGAGAAGTCGGGGAGGGAGGCCCTTGGTTGTAAGGGTCGTACTCGTCATGAGACGTGTGCTGTCCGCCATCCAGGCTTCGGCGGACATCCCATGGGCGGAGCCCCGTCCACGTCCGCGCCCGCGCCCACGGTCGTTTTGGCGGCGACCGCGGCCACGACCCCTCCCGCCATCTTCCCGACCGGCGAAATCCCTAGATGTCCCTCGCCCGCGTCCTCGTCCTCGAAGAGGCCTGTCTGGTGATGGAGGCAGTCGGGATCCCTCCCCTCAGGCTTAGGAACGGCTTCCGGTGGTGGAGGTGGCGCAATGCCATACGCGTCGGAGTAAGGGTCGTCGTATGGGATAGGTGCCGGCCTCGACGGGCCCGCTCCCAAGTCCATGTCGTTGTAGGAGAGGCCTGAATCGTAAGTGGTCCCTCCGTATGGGTCATCGACCATGTCTTGGTCTCGCATACGAGAGGGGACGGGCGTAGAATGTCTGGAAGAAGATGGGAGGGACCGTGAACGCGATGCCTCTCGCCTGAGTGGATTGGGGGTCAGAGATCGAATTAGCGGGGGAGGAAAGGACGGACCTCAGGGCTTTCGCCTTTTTTTGAGCAGCCTCCTGCTCGTCGTCAGAGAACTCTAGCTCATCATCGCCTGGTTCCTCATCATGAACGTTACTAGCATCACTGCCCTTGAAATGCTTGAGCTGTTGTACGAAGACGTAGACGCTCTTCGAGGGTACATGAAACACAGGTCGTCCGACCTGGACCTTGGCCGTGTCGAGCGGGAATGCTTGACTGAACCGAAGCTGATACAGTGGCTCGCTAGTGGGTCCAAATGTCTCAAAAACCTATTATGCCACGACCTGAGTACCCTCCAGAAGAAAAACAACTGGATGCACTCACATATCCGAGCACAGTGCGATCTTCGAACACCAACAGGGTTTCGGAGTCTAATGCTCTCTCAGAACCTCGGTTGGCAATTGGTGAAGGCAGGCCTTTAACAATTGCGACCTTGTCAAAGACACTGAAGACTTCCCCAACGCGCTCCAGGTGCTCTTCCGGCTCGACCTTGGTGATCTCGGGAACTTTCACGTCGACATCGACCATCTCGTTCTTTGTCCGCATTTGTGCGTCCGGTGCGGCGACGGGCTCTCCTTCGTCGTCGTTGTCGTCGACATCCACTTGTTTCTTCGTTGGTTTCCGAGGCCCGCGAACTGGTTCTGAGTCTGAGTCCGAGTCCGCGTCCAGTCCGCCTCAGAGTCGGAGGATGAATCTGAATCGCTCGAGGACTCAGAAGAGGGTGCCCTAGAATCCATTGGAGTAACAGTAACGCAAATGACGCGGAGACTCACCTTTTCCCAGTTTCTTCTCCAAGTTCGGCGGTAATATCCGCCTCGACTTCCCCTTCGCTGTCTGTGTCGCTGTCTGTCCCATGCTCATTCGACGCAATCAACTCGTGAGGTAGCTTGCTCATGGATGGTTCAGGGAGGTCGCCAATGATGTCGTGGATCATTTGCAGATCTTGAGGTACTGCCGAGGGCACGGCGAAAGAGAATGCAGCAGCCATGGTGGAGGAAGTAATGCACAAAGGCTTCAGACAGCACTCGTCTGCGAGAAATTTAGCCGCCGGATGGCTTCAAGACTATCGGCGGCCCGTTCGCCGGACCGCTGAGCGGACGACGTCGTAACTTAAGTCGAGTGGAGACGGGAACGAGAATTATGTCTATTGGGTCCTGTTCAGATCGAGACTCTCGCATGCAGTGGATTAGAGCGTGGGTTGCGCCCAAGAGGATATAATAGATGACATTGAAAGTCTACTATGGGGAAGCCTGTGCACCTCGCCCACCCTTGTCGAACTTTTGGACAACCTCCATAGCACGTACCCTCCCATTCAATGTCACATCGCCGTTCCTCGACAACATCAACTCCGCAAGCTTGGTGGGTCCCAGCGCTCCGACTTCCATATTCGGATAGAGGGAAGGCACGTAGCGCGAATACTCTCCGGCCTTGGACTCCAAGAACGCTTGAACAACTGGGTTCGCGAGGGCTGTCGACTTGACCGCTTGTGATGGACGACGGTCTACGGGGGTAGACGACTGCTTGGAGATTTGCTTGAAGAACGCATCGAGGTCCTCGAGTTGGACATGAACAACTGGTTTCGGCGTGGCGATAGGCGCGGCAGAGGGGGCAGGGGTCGTCTGTGCTTGGGAGGTAGAAGCGTCCGCAGCTGCAGCCGGAGCGGAAGCGTTCGTAGCCGACGCATCTGTGGCTCCAGCGGCGCCAGTGCTTGGTTTGATCGTCTCCGCTGAGGGCGCAGACTGGTTTTGCTGCTGGTGGGGACGACGAGGGCCGTCATATTTACGCTGCTGCTCCCGGGGCCTGAACTGCCTGTCCTGGTCTGAACGTGGCGGCCGGGGCGGACGCTGGTAGTTGTCGCGGTAGCCTTCAACGTTGGCCCCTTCCGGGCGAGGGCGGCGTTGCCGTTGACCATCGCGCCTGGGAGGGTCTCCTTGACCATCTCCTTTCCTCGAACGGGAGACTGAAGAGCCAGCTGAGAACCACCACGGCATAAGGAAATGTCGGTCAACTCACAGATATTGATGTCCCCCAGAGAGTCCGCGACGGGGACAGACCTCTTCTTCGTCGCCTCCGGCTCAGTAGACTCCGTCACCTCTGGTTCAGCCAAAGCGTCGGTGGAGTTGAAGCGAGCAAGGCATTTTAGAGCCGGCTGATTGCGCGCGGCGCGTTTGACAGTAGCGGACGCCGCGGACGGCAGCGAAGAAGAAAGGCGGAGGAGCATGCTAAGGATGGACGCTCTGCCCGAGGTGGGAGGGAGGAGGAGGGTGCGCTGGATAAAGAAGCGCGCGACGAGCGCCCCGACACTCCGCCACGCCGCGCGGATGCAAATCCGGTGAACACACCCGGACGACACTTGGACATACGCGTACTCCTTTTCTCCTTCTCCCATCTCCTGGACCCCTTGGATTTCTCCCGCCATGGGCCGCATCACCGACAGGCTCTTTGTGGTGTTTACGACATCTCTCATTGGATTCATCGCGTACTCTTCCCAGATCTTCGTCATTTGGCCATGGTACGGACGGGTGCTGTCCATTGAGCTCATACAACTACTGCTTCCATTTAAGTGGGTCCATTGCCGTCTCTTCCTCTGAATCTGGCTTATATTTGCTGCGATGCAGTGTTTTGGTGGGCCTGCTGCTGTGGAACTATCGTTTGTGTGTCATTACGGAGCCTGGTCATGTACCATCGACATGGGTGCGTTTGTCTATCGCTAGACCCACCGCGCGTTCTCTACTCCGGTATTGATGCACACTTATCGCTTGTTAGAGACCGGACTTTCAGGATGAAGATGGCTACGAAGTCAAGAAGCTCACCCGAGGGCCACGGTACTGCCGTTCCTGCGAGAACTACAAGCCACCCCGAGCGCATCACTGCAGACAGTGCAAACGGTGCGCCATTTGCATAGACGGGGTATATGCGTGGTGCTTAACTACCATAAACTAGCTGTGTCCTTCGGATGGGTATGTTCCATATGTGCGGAACCTTGTGCCTAGCTCATACTCCTTCACAGACCACCATTGTCCGTGGGTCAACAACTGCGTCGGTTACTTCAACTACGGCCACTTCATTCGCTTCCTCTTTTTCGTCGATCTGGCTTGCTCATATCATGCCGTAATGCTCACCAAACGAGTTCTTTCTGCATCGAACGCCTTCTGGGTAAGCAAGCTATCTACCCTACAAGAGCTATACTCATGCGACCTGCAACATTAGGATGAACCAAGTGGAACGGAAATTATCTTTATTGTTCTCAACTATGCTACATGTATCCCAGTACTGCTTGCTGTCGGCATCTTCAGGTACGTTGCATCCTCATATTGTGGATATACCAACTAAGCCCTCCCTAGTCTTTACCAGTTCTACTCTCTGATCAGCAATACTACCACCATTGAGGGATGGGAGAAGGACAAGGTTGCGACCCTCGTCCGTCGCGGGAGAATACACGAGGTACGTGCACTTGCCAGATGGACGGCATGCATCTTGGCTGAATTAGTCAAACAGATCAAATACCCATACCACCTTGGGATGCGCAAGAATATCGAGTCAATGCTTGGCAAGAACCCTTGGTTGTGGTGTTGGCCTACCGTACCGTCCGGGAAGGCCTGAGGTACCCGCTTGCCGATGGTGATGGTAAGTGGGTCAAGCTCGCGAAGATGAGCATGGACGATACGGAGGGTGCTTTCGATGAGGATGGTAGCTATTTTCCTGAGCCATGAGTCGGCGCGGGCACGTCGACCTTGGCTTGTAAGCATTGAGCTGTACGATTGGTTGACGATGTAAGCGTGCTCAACAATCTTTGCAATTCTGCTATGACGTTTGCTTCGAATTTACCTTCCTTTGCTTCAATCGTGTCACCCTAGCGTCTCATCGCTGACAGCCCCGTACAGGTACTGTTGGTGTAGAATGGCCCCCCAAAGACCCAGAGGCGTACGAGTACCCGGACGAAGATCCCCACCACCAATTCGAACTTCCCGACTCTCCCTGGACGTACGAGAATAACTCTGTCAACCCCCTTTTGCAGCCGACCCAGACACGCCGCCGGAAGAACGCTCGTAACGGCGAGCACTCCGCCGTTCCCCCGTATCATCCGGACTACTACCACCAGGACACCCCCGCACCGTACGCCGCGGACTCCGACGGAGAAGATGACGAGGACGAGAGGACGCCTATTCCGTGGGCGCGCTCCGGCCGTCCGCGGGAGTTCGTTCGGCGCGGCTCGGAGGATATGAAGTCAAACCGATCGACCGGGAGGCAATGTTGCGACACTACGTCGAAGACCGCACGACAGAACCCGGCCGGTACAATGTTTATGTGCCAGATCCGCCGAGCGAGCCCGATACCGAGGTGGAAGACGAGGTCCCGCTGACAGTAAAGGTCGAGCAATGGCGCGCTCAGGACCTTGCCAGTGTCAGCGCGTAACCTGGTGGAGATTGGAGGGGCGCATGTGGGGGACGCGGACTTGCATCGGACTTCGGAGCGCACTAGGCTATCTGCTAGAGATTAGACAGGATATCATATTGTACAGCAGCTATACCAACGAACATAACGGGGGAAATATTAAGCGATAACAGATCGAGAAAGCATGAACGAAAGTCGAACAAACGCACGTCCGCACAATGTGCTCACTGGACCAGAGACCTGTCCAAGTACACCTTCCACATCATTCCCCCCTTCTCTCCGACTTCAAGAATACTGGAACCTACGCCCACGAGGACCTCCCACGTTCCCGCATCACGTTCTGTGACCGACACACCGTTAAGCTTAACCTCTGTCTCTCCCCGAGGCGTTTCTGCCGCCTTGCCCTTCCCAGGGCTCTGTTGAGTCTTCTTCGCCGTGCGCGCCGGTCTCCCTCGTTTCCGCGGTGACCGTGTGCGCCGTCTTGAGGGCGAGCTGGAAGATCTTTCCCTCTCGTCAGCTTCCTCTTCTTCCTCTTCCTCACGCCTCGGGTGAGCTTCGTCCGCACTACTGTCCCCGTCATCCTCCTCCCTGGCCCTGGTCTTGTCCTTCTCGATGAATGCGACATCGGAAACAACCACCGTGGCTTCCGACCCATCCAGCCTCATGGCCCACGTCCGAACGCCGTCTCCGTGATCGAGAACCAGCCGCCGGTAGAGCGGGAGGGTCGTGATCACCACGCGCCTCAGCGGGTGCGCAAACACCGTCTCGGCGACAGGCGGCGCGGCGGCGCCGCGGCTGGTGGCGCAGAAGTGCGGGCTTGCGCCAAAGACTGGGCGGGGCCGTGCTGCTGAATCTGGGCCGCAGGCGCGGTGCCGCCGTCGAGCGCCGCGGGCGATATAGAGGGTGCTTCTTCTGTGGCGCTGGGGCTACCACGGCGGGCATCGTCGACGGCGTGAGCGGCGGCTGGAACGCGGCGTTGTGGTGCTGGCCAGCGTGCACGAGGCCGTTCGCCGTCGGTGGCGCATGAGAAGGGGTTGCCGCCACCTGCGTCGTTGAATGCGCCGGCTTCTTTGCCTGAGAGGCCGTGAGAGGCGCAAGTGGCGTTGCAGGAACCGCGGCTGGGCGTGGGGGTTTCGCGGCCGCGGCCGCTTGGGAGGGAATGGCCTGCGGAGGCGCGGGCGTAGGAGTAGATGCCGGCAGGATAGCCGGGATGACAGGAGTGGTTCCACTACTGTCGCTGAGGGTTTCGAGATGGTGCGGGGGCAGTTAACGTGACACCGGTTTGGTAGGAGCTTTGGCAGGGCTCTCGAAGGGATCACGATGGAATTAGATGAAGGGAGGCTGGGTGTCGGTGCCGCGACCGGTTGTGGAGGGGGTGGGGGTGGAGCTGGGGTACCTTCAATCTGATCTTGGTAGAATGTTGACCAGGGTTCTCATACGTAGGTATTGTGTAGGGCTCTGGAAGATCTGACATCAATTTCCTGAAGTGTTCCTGTATGTCGTCGAGGTGAGGCTATTCAACAGCGAGAATGCATCACACGCACCCGGAGTACCACCGCGTCTTCCCAGATCGGTGTATGCTCTGATTGAACTCCAAGGCGTTTGAGAAGATGAGCTCGACATCGTTGGCGAAGTCCTTCGGCGTCGGGTATTCCTTCTGCTTCAGCCGTTTCTATAGTTGTCGAGTATAAGAAAGGAGCGAGGGACGGGAAGATCTACGAGGCATGTCGCAGAGTAGGGCGTGCAGAATACTCACGAATATATTGTCCAAGCATTGCGGCTTCTTGATGATCTGGTAGTACATCGGCCAGAGTTGCGACTGGGAAGAACCATGAACTCTGTGGAGAGTGCTCGGCCACTGAGGAGGTTGTTATCATTCTGGTTGAGCACATATACGGAGCCACACATACTCGTTTCCTTCTTGTCGACCAACTTCTGCAGCCTGGACTTCAGGAGACGGTACATGGAGGGAGCTTTCTTCTTCTCGCCATCGTCATCAGATCCCTCGCCGTCCCGATCCTCCTTGCCGGTGAGCTTATCCAGCTCCTTCGCGGAGAGTTTCTAGTTTCCGTAGGTCCCTCCGAGGTGAGAAGGAGGGAGGATGCAATCAGACCGCAACAGCAAGTACTCACATGCAAGAACTTAGCGTCCTTCCAGATTTGACTCTCTCTCATGTTGTAGCGTTTGGCATTGCGGAAACAGGTGTCGAATCTTGCCTGAGGTCCTCCAGTGACGCATACTCCCGCCTTTCGAGCTTCGACTTGATGTCATCGAGAGCTATGGGGTGCTTGATGATGTTGTAGTAGTCCGCGTACTGTCGTCTTGAGGGCAATCGCATGAACTGGAACGAGGCGATTTGACCGCTGGTTGCGGGAGAAGGAGGTGGTAGAGGATAGTGCCATGATGGTGGGCGGAGGCAAGGAAGGTCGCGGGTCAAGATCAAGCGACCAGAGCAGGCCGGAAGTCACGCACTCTTTGTTCACCGCGTCCTTGAGCGTGTTCCATACCCCGAGCCCCTTCTCCTTGACCACCGCCGGATCCTCCACCGGACTTGCCCCGCTTTCATCGCCAGCCGGCGCGTCGCCAATCGGACTCGCGTTCACGAGGGGCTTGATGGTGATACTGGTTCCGCTGGTGCTCGTGGCGGAGGCCTCCTTCCGTCGTTTGGCGCGCGGGGCGTCGACATCGACCCCAGACGCGGCGAAGCTTCGAGTCTCCCTCTTCGACATCTCCGGCGTGCGATAACAACGGGGGGAAGTGGGCGCTGCGAACGCACTAGTGGCTGGGAGTGTGCAGCAATGCTGGACGGCTACTCTGGCCGCTGCACGATGTGCTCTGGTCCCCGCGGGGCGGTTACAGCCGCGCAGCCCAGTCAACACGTCACGTGCCGCGCGCGTCGTGGCTGGCGGTCCGAAATCCGTCAAGCGCACGTCGTCAGTCTCGACTTGACAAGAACGTTGATCCACGTTTGTTATACAGATGATTGGTGAATTTCGTACGAGAGGTATCTATGTATCACGGGTATAATGCTGGATCCGCGTCGCGAATCGCGATATCCGCTCTTTTCCACTCCACCTGACTCCGGAGCTCCGAGCGTCACCGCTCTCGCACCACAACAGGCAGCGGTGGTCTCGTCAGGATGAAGTAATCCCGGAGCGCGTCCTCGTACGCCGACGGCTCGAAGCCGTCCACGAACGCCAGCTCGAGCTTCTGCACAACCGCGCACACCACCATCCGCATCTCCAGCAGCGCGAGGCCCTTCCCGGCGCAGTTAGCGGGGCCGAACGAGAACGGAAAGAACGCCGCCGCGTTGTGTATAAGCTTCCCGCCCAGGGGGCTCGGCTCCCCGCTCGCGGCGTGGATCCAGCGCTCGGGCCAGAACTCGTCTGGAAGGGGGGAAAAATTGCGCGGGTCGCGCTGGATGGTGTACGTGTGCACCGTCGAGACCGTGCCCTCGGGCAGGAAGCTGGTGGTGCGCGCGAGGCGACGTCAGCCACCGCCCGCCGGACGGCCGAGGGAGGGAAAACGCGGCACGGGGCACTCACTCGTTCCCGACGACGCGGCCTCCGCTTCCCGCTGGCACGACGCGCTGGCTTCCGTCGCTAATCGGTGGGAAGAGGCGCATGGCTTCGTTACTGTGTATGGGTCAGAGAATGTCTGGCATGAGAGAGGGCGGAGAGGACGTGCATGGCGGCATTAAGGTATGGCATGTCTCCGTGATGTCTCGGATTGAAGGGGTCTTCTCCGCGAGGGTAGTAGCGGTCGACCTCAGCTCGCAGGCGGCTGTACGACTCGGGGTGAGAGAGCAGGCAGAAGAAGACACTCGACAGCACGCTCGAGGTCGTGTCCGCGCCGGCCACTATCGCCAAGGTTCCGTCAGCGACGACCTCTGGAAGTGGCGGGGTCGGCTCCGCGCCGTCTTCGTTGTTCTGTGGGCGCGGCCAATGCATATCAGTGCAACAGGGCGAGTAGCGGCAATGCTCACGAGGTAGTAGAAGAGATCCTTGCGCGTGGTGCTGCCGAGCATCACACGCTGCTGGGTGCGATCGATGCAGTACGCGCGCATCTGCTTCATTTTGGCTCCAAGGAAGGGGATGGAACGGGTGTAATCCGCGAGCCATGGTAGGTGTCCAAAAGTGTCGGAGTTCCTATTCGACGCGTGATGAGCCGGAAGTGAACGTCGGAAATGATCGAAGCCACTCACACCAGGCCGACTTCGAGCAAGGGCCAAACGCTCCCGTCATCTCCGTTCAACATCATCTCGGAAGAACCGCCGCCAAACCTGACGTCAGATAGAACTCAGCAGTTATCCAAGTGACTCGCAGCGCCGCACTCACGCCATATCGCTCATCAAGTCATAGCTGCGAAAACTGCTGTGTGAGCACGTGTCGATCGCGGCCCACGGGTGACGTGGAGTACGTACGTGAACCAGCTGAACCATTGCGCCAGGTTCACGGGTCCGTGCTGCTCCGGCAGTACCTTGAGCAGCTGCTGCGCCCGGTGCGTCACAAAGGGTTCGAAATCCTTGACACTCGCGACGCTGAGCGCTCGGTTCCATGGCTTGCGTCGGCGCAAGTGCTCCTTAGGGTCTTTGATGGCGATAAGTGGGGCCACGCTCTGTGTCGCCACCCTTCCATCCCACTCTGCAGCCGCATTCGACGGCGTCAGCGCAGCACACAAGCACACACATAATAGTGGAGGACACGTACGCGGACCCTTGTGTAGCCCTGCTGTGCCCAAGAGAGTCTGAATCGCTGAGGGCTGCTGATCGACACCTCGTTCGGCCCTGTAAACCGAAGGTCATTAGACATTGCAAATTGCCGCTATATACGCCGGGCCACGCCTCCTTACCTACGCGAACAACGTCGCCGTAGCGGCGGTGAAGCTCTTGCGTGTACAAGTGCCGCTTGCCGCCGCGAGAGACCCATGCCATCGAAAGCTTGGAGAGCCGGAGGAAAAGGGGTCCGGGTTGTCGAGATAGGGGGTGCCATGGGGAAAGGCGATAGAGAGCAACTAATGTGGCCAGAGTGGCCCAGTAGGCGGTGAAGGTTACCAACGCCGCATTGACGACGGGAAGACGGCCAAGGAAAAGCGCAAACAGCGAGGCGGGGACGAGGACGAGGAGGGTAATATGGATTCTGGCCTGCTGGGGTTCGTAGCGGTTAAATATGTAGTGCACGAGCTACAGAAGCTAGTCAGAACGACGGCGTGCACCAAAATGGGACACGAAGCACTCACCAGCGCGGAGAGTGAAGCGGCGAAGAGGGCATGGCGTGCGGAGGGTTCGGAGAGCAGCATTGTGTTGCGCGAGGGGACCGAGGGCTGAAAACTGGTCGATTGTCCTGCGCGCTGGTGTGTTCTTATACCCCGCATCCCCCTCAGCCACCCACCATTCGGAATAGACTGAGCAAGGGTTCCGCTGGTGGCGCGAGCGCGCCGGAGGCAGCGGATACCAGAATCCTAGCCTTCCACGATATCCGTTCCGCGCTCCTGAGAGTGCGATGTTCTGGCCCGAGAAATCTTCCGCAACGTCCCGACAGCCTGTCACGGCCCCGCAAACCGCGTCAGTGAAGCCGCTTCGGGCAGGCAATGCTATCAGATGTCCACAAACCTGGCACTCGTCCCCCGGCGCCGGACGCCCACAAAAGTCCACCGTACCTGCGCCATCGTGGCTTGGGCGGCGGACCATGCGCCAGGCCTGGCACCGAAAGCGGCGGCCGAGGGTCAGTTCTTTCGCAGCGAGGCATGGGGCGGAACCCGCGCTGCTCACCATCCTCGCGCAATCGGCCACCGCAGCAGGAGCGACGGCGCGGTGGCGTCGAGCACGGGCCGCGGCCCTGGCCCCTGGCCCCGGTGACTAGAATCGTGTGCCGCCACCCGCCGGTCGTGCACGCATGGCGAATTGACCGGTGTGAAGGGCGCGCGCGCGGCATGTCGCGCGGACCTGTGTGGCGGGAAGAAGGCCGGGCGGGGCCTCCAGCTGACCGGCCTTCGCGGCTTATTGGCCGGGCGGTCGGACCAGGGTTCGTCAGATCCCTTGGAGAGCGGCGCGCATCTGAGCCTGGTAGGTGGGAACGCCAGGCCGGGGTGTGTCGGTGTGTGCGCTGTTCCCAGCATCTGGCCCACATCCGATAACATGAATAACGAGCGGGGGGCCGTTCGCACGGATGACCCGCTTGAGCCGCCAGGCGAAAGTATCTGGATAGATGTCCGTCCTTTGGCGGCGGCATTGAACGCGCTGTCGGACACCAAACGGAAGATGGCGAGTTGGTAAGTCGCCGGAGAGTGGTCAAAGCTGTCTCGCTTGAAGCTCGATGCGTTGACGTGTCGCCCGCGCCGATTGAGTCCTTGGCGCCCGTTTTCACCCACGGCCCACGAGGCATGCGCGTGCGGTCCACAAAGCTGTACAGACTACTCAACTCTGCTAGCACCGTTCCTCCAGCCGGGGCGGCGAGCGTCGATACTGTACCATTGCGTGCTTCCCTCGCCATGGCCTCTTCCACACAGACCACAGAGTGAGCACGAGTGAAGGCAGCGAGTTATAGAGCCCGACGGTGACTGACCTCTGGTGGGAAACCCCCGCTTCCAGCTGCACGGCACTATCCCCGCCCTCCGCCGGCGCACCGACTGCAGCACCCGAGCGTCACCCCGAGCTCTACTTCGACGACGAGCCGGGAGCCGTCGTCTTCCTCGTAAGTGCGCCCCTTTGACCCCTCCCCTGGCCGGGCCCCCGCGCGCGGCCGCCCGCTGACCGCAGCCACCACCAGGTCGAGCAAACGCTCTTCAGGGTGCACCGCTACTTCCTCAAGCGGCACTCGCCCGTCTTCGCCGGCATGTTCGCCTCTCCCGCCCCACCCGTGCCTGGCGCGGACGTCGACGACGAGCAGCGCCCGCCAGGGGCGCACGGTTCGCCCGAGGGCGCGTCGGACGCGCGGCCCATCGTGCTCCCCAGACGCGCGCCGTCGACTTCGCGCGGCTCCTGTCCGTGTTCTACCCGAGGTGAGCGATCGAGCGTCCGTTGGTCCCGCGGGCACGGATGCGCTCGGCCTTCGCGGCGGGGCCCCTCGACGATCTCGCACGCGCGGGGCGGCCGCGGGGAGGGGCGCACGTCGCTTGCCACGACGGTCGGCCGGTTCCCATGCGTGGAGGGGAGCTGGGGATGACCCAAAGGCCCGTCTCCGCCGCTCAGCCTGCTGCATTCTGCGGCCAGATCAGCGGGCGAGCGTGTGCGTGAAGTTGGACACACCGGCACCATGGGCGGCGGGTTGCGGTGGCACATGCAAAGGATCGTCCGCTGACGACCGACTCCACCTCTGCCAGAAAGCTGCACGACACGGCGGGCCTGCAGGCACGTTCGACGAATGGGCGTCCGTGCTCCTTCTCGCCGACAAGTACGTCTTTGAGGAAGTGAAGCAGCTCGCTATCGCGCGGTTGGCCGCCTTGGATCGCCTGTTGACCGCCTGGCCGTCGCGCGGAGGCATGACCTCCGTGATTGGCTTCCTCGAGAGATCACAGAGCTCTGCATGCGAGAAGAGGCTTTGACCCTCAAGGAAGGCTGCAAGCTAGACATGCCGGACGTCATCATGCTTGCACGCCTCCGCCAGCAGGTCCGTATTAGTATCCAGGGCAAGATCCAGGTCTGGCCCGAAACACCGGTTAAATACGTTGTTAAACAGAGTCTGGTACATACATAGAGACAAGCGGGGTACTCAGTACGAAAACATACTACAGTGAGACAGTGAGCAGAACAAAGAGGGTGAACAACAGACGCGTGTGTTAATTGTTATCACATACTGTAATGCTACTGCACTTTGGCGATGCGAAGCCGGCGCATTCTCCTCCTCGCCGCTTGAGAGTGTTTGTTGATACCACCGAAGAAAGCCCAGTTCGCGTCATGTGTGTCCTCATTCAAAACATCCGTATCGACTTCGGGACTTGTGGCCCTAGCGCCGAACTGCTTCAGGTAGTGGCTGCCACCGGCTGAGAGACGATGAAAACAAGGCCGGTGAGCTCAACGGGATTACACGCACATGCTCCTCGACATAGTCGGTGACGTCCACAGCGTAGCCGCCAAGGTGGAGTATGCATCGCTGCGCATTGGCCTTGACGAACTCGTTCAGCTCCGCCTTCGTCCAGATGTCGCCTGTCCATCGGTTCTCGGAACTGCCGTCCTCATGGGCAGGAACGGGACTGCTGCCGCGCATCGTCGCGGCTTCCTTCTTGACCATGTGCTCTCGGGCGGCGAGCACCTCTTCACCTTGGCCCTTCGGAGATTGGACGCGAGGCCGACGGAGTCCAGCAGAGCGATCGCCCATTTGGACGGGTCCCAGTCGTACGGGGAGGGGCCAGAACGGTAGTCATGCGGAAAACTATGCTGCACGAACGGACTGTTGGCATCGAATATACGATGTGTCATAAGTTACTCACATGCTGTCCGTGGGAGCAATGCGTGCCGAAACATTTCAGTAAAAACCATGTCACTGATGAAGTAAACGCACGAAGTTGTGATTGCCCTCCCCGCAGGTCAGAAGAGCCAGCACCTAGATGGAGCACGCAATCTAAGCATATTGAACCTTGCACGAGAGCCAGAAACATACAAAGTTAGATTTCGATGTGTTCTCATCAGAGTACGGTTGGAGCCCGTCCCAGTGCGCGAGACTGAGGCCGATATTAGGTCTTTCCGCGCGTCTCGTCTACATGTACTCACGAGTTGACAAGGAATGTGCAGTGCCATACTGTCTGCATGTCAGTGACGCTAGCCACGAGCAATGACTTGGAGACGCACTGAGTAGCCTGGATACAAGCCCGCCATATATGAATGCTCCCACTGGGTCACCCCAAAGCATCCCGGTGATAGGCGGAATATAGAAACCCATGGTAAGGGCGAGCGGCACTGGTCAAACGCGGAGAGTATGAGGACGTGTCAGGGTCCAGGAGAATTCGGCGCCTACCGTAGTATTTGTGCTGGAGCCGAACGACTGGTGTGCAGGTTAGTCGCCGAATGATGCAAGACAGTAAACATACCTATGTCGTCTTCCAGGTCATCGCGGTCAATGCTCGCCATGCGTTCGTACTGTGATTTGAAGAAAATCCATCCCATATGACTCCACAGCAATCCTCGCGTTGCTGCGTACCTAGCGGGATGGCGTTTGCTGAGCGCACGAGCGCACATGTAAAACGTTTGACGTACGGGTCATGACGTGGGTCGTCTGTAAATCGCTGTGAAACTTCAGTATCTGCGGGGTCGATATACGAACCGAAAGTCGCATACATGATGCAATCTATGCCGCAAGCACCTAAATGCAAGCTGAGCCGCGAACGGTCTCTATGGAGCGAATTGACATACCACCACTGGGAGTTGCGCAAGGTCGTATCAAAATCTGGGGGAAGCGAAGCGGTACTATACTTATGCGCACCTTGATAGACCCCTGGAACGCGCTCGCTCCGAGAACGGCCACGAACATTCGCACAGGCAGGGTCGCGCGGAACGCGCGGTGCGAGTACAGGCGATGGTAACCAACGGTAATGCTGCGTCGCCTTCAGCGTGGGGGTGGGCGCGGAAGACAACGAACTCACCCCATCGACGCTGCCTGCCACAGCACCACAGCGAGCACCAGCGTGTTTCGTGGCACTTGAGAGGGAGGGTAGTACCACATACCGGCCGCGCCGCTATGTGGACCAAGATGAAGAATGTGCCATTCGACCACCAGACTTGGCTTGAAGGAGCCGTTCCGTGAGACGTTTCTGCGGGTTTCTCCGTTTTTGCGGCCGCGGCGCCCATGATAGCGCGTGGAGAACGGAACGTCGGGGAGCGAGTTCGAAGGGAGGACGAGGGGGAGAGGAGAGGCTAGCGTTGCGAGCGACGAGTGCCGGGTTCTTATGCGCGGTGGTGGCTGAGAAAGGGTGCTCCATGCAGTCCATGGCTGGCTCGAGTGGGGCGAGATCTGATGTTCTTCAAAGATCCGCCTAGCCGGGACGCCGACTGCTGGCCTCGGACGCGTCTCTAACGGAAGGTGTTGACCAAATTCTGGCATCCCGTCCGTGAATTGATCCCCGTCGCGGTCACGTGGCCGCGGCTCCCCACATATACGGAGCGGGCCGGAATCGCCGAAGCACGTACCTTTCAAGCTCTCCCCAGATGATGCGCTCGTAGCACAACTTCGCTCCGCCCAACAGACCGCAGACGTTCGAATGACAGATGGAGTGAGCACCTATGTCGGATTCTTGACAAACAATCCAGGACTTCTGACGCTGACGCCCAGGAACGGTATCCTCATCGAGGTCTGTGTAGACTCTCCTGAGTCGGCCATCGCGTCGGTGATTCCACTCCCTGCCGCCGCACATCTGGAATAACACCCTCGAGCTTCGATCTGCTACCAGTGCACGCCGTGGTGGGGCTGATCGACTTGAACTCTGCGGAAACATCGGGCTGGGCGGAGGCACGACCCCCAGTCTCGGGCTCTATCGCCAGGTCCGCGCTGCGGCTCCCGACGTACCCATCATGGTGCGTCCCTTTCAATTCTGCCCGTCTTCAACGAGCCTGGGGGACACTTTACGTCACTAGTGCATGGTTCGGCCCCGCACGGGCGACTTTCTCTACACCGATGCGGAGTGTAGTGTCATGGAGGAAGACATCAAGGTGTTCAAAGAGGCCGGGGCCGACGGCGTCGTCTTTGGTCTCCTTGAAAGGAGCGGCAAAGTGGATCTAGAGCGCACCGAGAGGTCAGCAGCTCCTTCTGTCCGGGCTCCATACCAAGCTAACCTCGGCCGTACCAGACTCGCGAAGGTGGCCCATCCGATGCAAGGTCCGCACAACCCGACTTCGATGATGGGCCGTCTCTGACGAATGTCACCAGTCTGCTTCCATCGCGCATATGACATGTGCAGCCAAGATGTTCTAGCAGGTACGAGAGATGTTCCTTGCACTCGCATCCATCTGACTCACATTCGTATTCTGCTGCAGCTCACCTTGGCATCTCTGGCATCTCGGAAGTAACGCGCATCCTTACTAGGTTCTTGACCCGATCACGGAGTATAAGAGCGGTTTCTTATCAGTGATATGTCTTTGGCAGCGGTCAAGCCTCAACAGCGTCTTCACCGGCCGCGCTACCCAGATTGCGAACTCTCATTCGAGCCGCTTCGCGCATGGCGGCATCGGCGACCATCCTTGTCGGCTCGGGCGTGAATGCCCTTACGATTGGTCCCCTCCTGGAAGAGTTGCTCCCATGTGGGCTCCGCGAGGTCCATCTCAGCGGTGGTCGCTGGATCCAAGGTGATATGGACTTCCGCAGAGAAGGAATGGGTATGGGAGTTGGAGACGATGGGGAATGGGGGATATGGCGTACAGATGGGGAGCGGGTCCAGGAAGTGAGGCGGATTGTGGACGAGGCTTGGGTTGAGTTCTCGCAAAAGCACAATCAATGACTCAGGTTGGCTATTATATGTGCATTCATGATACACTCGTACATATGGCCCAGTATGGTACACGGAGTAAAAGAGAACGACATGCATAACGGCGGGGGCTCTTACAATAGTCCACAAGGTATGTCCGAGTGCGCGGAAGGAGGGCATGGATAGAGTCTGTGCTGGTCGTTCAAAGCGCAAGCCCTTCGAAGAACTTCACAATCCCCTTGATTCCAGGGCAGAGAGCAAGTCTGATACGCTCATTCTCGCGCCACATGACGGCCCGCCCGTTGCCTTCCAACCACTTGTTCAGGCCTCCGTTCTTGACCATATCGCTCCTGTCCTTGACGAAGTGCGCGAGATGATCGCGCTTGAGGGCCCATCGAAGCCGGCGGACCGCAGAGACAAGAGGGGGAGAGACGGTGGTCGAAGCGGCGTCGCGGGGAAGGACGCGAGACCGGTAGAACGCGGTGCGCGCGCCAGGGTTGGAGGAGCGAGCACGGAGAGTATGAGAGAGGACGTTACGCGCATGGGTCCACTTCAGCCGCATCGAATTCTCGTATTGGGTGACCATCTGAAAGCAGGCTCCATGATAACTTAAGAGGGGGAAATGAAGGGGGAGACTTACGAGGGTCGTGTAGAAGTAGAGACCATCTCTCCAGCGGCGTTCAACGCCTACACCGCGAATTATCCCTCTATGCACGAGCTCTGGAAGCGTGGAGCGAAGGGGAAGCCCAGTAGAGCTTGTGCCAAAAAGGGAGTGAGAAACGCGAGACGGGGCGACTACCAAGAGCCTCTCGCGTCGAAGAACTGGATCCTCGACCAGCGGGAGTAGTTCGGGGCACGCTTGAGCCAAGGACGCTAGGTCGGGGAGGTCAAGAAAAGAGACTGAAATATACAAATAAGCAACGCGGGTTAATATCGCCCAAAGACTGTACTAATGCTCACAGATGTACAACCAAGTCTCTGGAGGGAGAAAGTAAAGCATCGTGAAGTCTTCCGCGCGATTGAGAGCGTACTACTCAGGGTCGATTGGGTGTGGATGAAGAGGTGCTGCCGAGATGACGGAGTATATGAGGAAAGGTTGGGTAGCCAAGGGGGTTGAGGGACCCCATTAAGGAGGAGACGGCATGCGGCGCAGTTACCTGCGCGACCTTGATTTCCCGATGTTGGCGACGTCATCGGCTCCGGGCCGCCCCAAAGCAGCGCCGTTCTGTGTTCGCCGGCGTAGACGGCTGCTCTCTCCCTCCCCCTCTATCACAGTCTGCTTGCGTACCTGTCGAGCCTTCGCGCTTCAAGCGTCACCCCAGTGCCAGGTCATTGTAGGATCTCACAATGGGCCTCGTGGCTCCGGTACAACCGAAGCACTACGAGTTCACCAACGTACGTCAATACTTCCTGTGCAAATTGCACGTATGCTCATGGTCACCTCTTTCTTCAGCCAGCATTCGACTGCTCAGGGTGCCAGTCCACACAATGCTGCATACGGCAATGGCAATCCGTGCGATCTCTCTTACGTAGACGCACCGGTGTTGACGGTCTTGGGGCTTCTTGCGGCGTCCCGTGGTGGAGAAGTTACCCACAGAATCAAGTCGTACGCACACCCCACCCACATGATCAGAAGGCACGCCCTTCCTCCCTTCCATCCATGCGCCGTCTTCGTCCGGAGCCTAAGTGGCGTTGATACCTCAGAGTTTATCTCCTCGAGGATGTCGAAGAAACCCTTGTGCCTTTCTCATGTTTGTTTTATTCCCGTTTTACGCCCTCGAGGCGGCACGCACAGGTACTCTACAGTGCGCACGGGGTCTGGCGTAAACGGGGAGGAAGACATGCCGGTCCTCCGAGGAGAACCGGAGCCTTTCTCATCAAGACCGATGACCATGTATGTGCATGCGAGCTTATCTTTGCGCGCGCTCTGACGCCGCATAGCCTGGGGTGGGCAGGGGTCAATCTCTTTGAGGGGCGGAATTAGGCCTTTCGGAAGGAAACGCACGAGAGGGGGTGCAGGCTGATGAGAAACTAGGGATGAAGGGGAATTCCTTCCAAGGGGAGGAAATGCAGACAGACGGGGTTTCCTCCCCGTATGCGCTTTGGCTAGTTGGCTTCTGGTCGAGGTCGCGCGCTAAACGCTCCCCTGTTCCCCCGAGGGGAATATTTGGGCGTGCGTTGGGTCACGGGTGAACGGTACCAGTTACCTACATATTCACGTACTGCACTCGCTCCCGACGACCTACATCGCCCGCAAGCCGTTTCTCATCATGGCGTTCAAGCGCAGTCTCCTCCTTCTCGCACATGCTCTGCTAGCCCTTGGCACAGAAAACCCACTAGTCGCTCACACAACATCCGGAACTTTCAGCGGTTCTACGACCTCAACTGGGCAGGACCGCTGGTTGGGTATACCATTTGCCCAACCTCCACTCGGTTCTCTCCGCTTCAAAGCTCCGGTTCCTGTTATGAATCCTGAACCTGGCGTTCGGAACGCGACGGTCTTTGGGGATGCCTGTCCGCAGCTACCGTCAAGCGTGTCGGGAGTACCCATCTCGGAGGATTGTTTGTATCTCAATGTGAGTTCCTCTCGGGTTCCCGCGCGCTTGCGTTCATCCAGGGTGCAACTTCTAGGTGTGGCGTCCAAGTGGTATAAATGCCGACGAAAAGCTTCCAGTGCTGGTATGGTTCTACGTGAGTTGTTCACCTTCATCGCTAGTTTCGCGATGTCAACGCACGGTTCTCACAGGGCGGCGCTTGGACACACGGGTCAGTTCTTCATGAAGTGAAGTCGGGAAAAGACTCAGTTGGTACGCAGATACACCGGTGATCCAGAGTTCAACCCAACCTGTCAGTGATCATTTCGCTCGCTCATTTGACCTGATCATCGCTCTGACGAAGATCTGACAGACCTGCTTCAGCAAAGCGTTGCAATCGGGAAGCCGATTTTTTCGTCTCGGTGTATGTTCCTTTTACCCCTCGATAATCATATGATACATGTTAATCAGGTGGTATTCAGGGCCTATCGTGTCAACACATTCGGCTTTGTGAGTGAACTTCCGCAAAACGGTATACACTGTAACAGCACCGACATGTGGTCAGCTTGCTAGCCGGTTTGTTGCACCAGAAGACTTGAATGCAGGACTACATGACCAGCGCGCTGCCCTGGCATACCTACAAGACAATCTACACGTGTTTGGAGGCGACGCATCCAAGGTAAAAACTCTTTTCAGATCGGCGGAGACTGTCCTGACAATTTGTGGATAAGGTGACTATCTGGGGACAGGTGTGTTAAAACGAAATTAGTGGACATATGTGGTTCCTGACATTTGTGCAGTCGGCCGGCGCAGGTAGCTCCGAGGCGCACGTCCTATTCCCTCCTTCGCGACCACTCTTCCGAGCTGCCATCTTCGACTCCTCCACTGGACCATTGTGCGTAATCTTGCCACCCTCCCGCATGCATCCACTTTCAGTCTGACGTGACGGATTGGGCTAGCAAAAATTCTCCCCCAGCAGCCCGCTATGATGATCAGGGCATGCCGTACGCACGTTTGCTAGCCAACGTCGAATGTGCTTCTGGTCCAGAGTCGCTTTCTTGCCTGAAGAACGTTCCATTTGAAGTGAGTTTGTCAGTGTTAGGTGCAAAGAGACACGATCTAAAGAAGACAAATAGGAACTGTGGAACACCACTTCGTCCATGACAGTTGAGATTGTCAACAATCAACTCTGGGAGCCTGCGGTCGGTCCACCAGGAAGCTTCGTCACCGAGCGGCCCAGTTTGCGCGTGCAGAGCGAGAACTTCCTTCGAGTACCCGTCCTTGCCGGCACAAACGTGGGCGATCCATGTTGCCTGCGAATCATTCGCCCACTCAACTCACTCCAATAGTTGAACGAGGGCACGCAGTTTGCCCAAGCGGTGCGCAACCTAAGCACCCCAACTGACCAAGAGGACGCCGCATTCGACGCATACATCAGGGCGCTCCTCATCGACCCTGCCCCGGTGACCCAAGACGTCCTCGACACGATCCATGCGCTCTACCCCGCGAACGACCCCAGCCTTGGGGCACCATTCAACACTGGAGACTCGCTCTTCGACCGCGCCTCGGCCTGGTACACGGACAACATGTTCCTCGCACCCCGCCGTCTTTTCTCCGAAGCCGCTGCGCCACATCAGCCCGTCTTCGCGTACTTCTTCACCGAATTCATACCCGGACAAGACCCCACCCGCGGAGGTGCGCCCCTTCTTCCTTCGTGCTTCCTGACGACAATCGCTCATGCGCATTTTTGAGTACAGTGTTCCACGGCGAGGAGCTCCTCCTCCTCTTCGGACAGTTCCCCGACGTCGAGGCCGATTTTGCGGCACAGCTCGCTCACTTCTACATAAACTTCGTCACCGATCTCGACCCAGGAGGTAGGCCTCGATCCGTTGATCGCCCAATCTCTCTGCTGATCTTTTGTTTTGCAGCTCCGTGGCCGCGGTACGATTTGGAAACGCGCAGTGTGTTGCAGCTTATGCGCGATAACGTTACCGTCATCAAAGACGGTGAGCGATTTCCATGCACCCCATCGTCTGTACAACGCGCTGATCAAAGGTGCCCTAACGCAGACTTCTTCGCGGAGAAGATCGCGTTCTTGAACTCGCCCCGGGTGCTCGCGCAGTTCGAAAAGTAGTCATCGGGTCTCGCGGCGGAGCAGCTTTATCCATACTCTACGTGAACCGCCTATCATCTTTGCCCACTGCCAAGCGCGACCCCACAGCGACAACTCCGTCGAACTGTGCATGTCGCACCCGTATCAGTTTGGATTGACATAAGCTCCGCTTTTCACAGCCTGCCGGGGCTCGCGGCGCTGCCGTCCTCGCCCGCTGCGCTCCAGAAGGTCCTCGTATGCGGGCGGGAGCGTGCCACCCTCCACGTCCTCCACATCCTCGCGAATGCTTCCGGCGTCGACTTCGCGTGCACGCTCTGGAGTACGCGGTGTTGGCACTGTTGGCGGCGGAGGTGTGGACTGCGCGATTGATGTGGCTGCGGGAGAAAGACTGCGAAGTGCAGCGTGGAAGAACCTAAGCGTTTGGATGGAGACTCTCACCTAAGTCACAGTCAGACCCCGGCTGAAATACCATTGAGTTGATTCCTGCTGTGATATTGGGCAGCGGGACAGTGTTTGATTTATAGGTCGCATTGGGGCTGTTCACATGAGGTCCTGCGTTGCCTTAGGCGTGGGTAGGGGGAATTCGGCAACGGTACGGGCGAACTCACCTCTTTCTGTGGTAAGGTCGCCGGGGACGAAAGGATGCACAAGAAGACCCTTCGCCGCTGCACGCTGGCTTCGACGCCGGCGCCGCATGCACAAGAATGAAACAGTTCCCGCCCCACCCGCGAGCAAGATTGCGACTGCCCCTACTACCGCGCCTGCGATGACTCCTTTTGAAGGTTTGCTCAGAGCACCAGGCGCAGAAATCGAAACTGCAGTATTCCTAGAGCTATCGGTTGAGGTCGAACTTCCCGACGTGGTTGTGGTCGGGTTAAAGGCGCCCGTAGAGTGAAGACAAGTTGTGTTCCCTCCGTCTACGATTGTGTACGATTGCGCTGAGGACAGAGGAGCATGAGCGAAGCTATAAGGAGCGGAACGATACGCGCTTACGTGACGCCAGAACCAGTCCTGTGTTTGTTGTCTGAACATACGTGAAACTTACGACCTGTCCTGGCGAATGACCATATGTGAGTTTGCGGGGCGTCATGCAAACACTGAAACGACTGGACCTACCGACCGGTAGGAAGTTGGCTGCCCAGAGCGTGCTCGAGCCAGTGAGGATTCCAAGGTCCTCCAAAATCGGACCACCTGCGGTGATGTTGCGGCCTGGAACTACCCAGACGTGCTTGGAGCTAACTGAGCATATCGCATAACTGACTGCTGCTTAGGGTACGTACAACGGGTGGCTGGGTGAAAATGCTCAGTGGTAGCATGGTTGGGTAGATAACGTTCTCGTACCTTGTCTGACCACATCAGCTCTACGCTCGAGCACTGTGGGATGGTATCATTTGCAGGAATAATGCTGAATGAGGCGTGAACCACCCCAGACACTAGAACGACGATAAGGAGGAGGAGCATCACTGGTACGGAGACAGCAGAGTGGGAATGACCTTGCAGGCTTGCCCATACTAGTACTAACGGGGGTATCATGGTTAAAAGGCTCGTGCGTGGGCCCCAAACAATCATCGCAGCATGCGTATAATCAAAGATTCAAGTTTTGCGCAACGGCGCTCTGACGACATGCCATAAGGGCCGCCTGCAGTTGATGGGCCGTCCAATGGCAACCATGTGCATTTGAAGACGACGACTCACGGCATCCCAACGCTGAACACGGATGCTATGATCACTCTGCTCGCAGGCGTTCTTCCTCGTGATGGCAATGTTTCCGGATGTGCAGCGCAAGGCGGAGTGGGCGGAGCTCCTACATTTGAAGACGACGACTCACAGCATCTTAACTCTAAACACAGATGCTATAATGACTGAGGGCTTTGATCATCCTCCCAAGTCCTGATATAGAGGTTCCACGGGTGAGAGAGGAAGCTTGAAGCTTGACCGGCGCTTATGGGTTCATACATACGCACCAACCAAAGTTGAAGACTTGCTCAGACTAGACAGAAGCATTTTGATTGTATTCCGTGGATGGCACGCGCACTGCATAGGGGGGTAGAGACCCATCGAGACAAACGGTCGCGGTTAACCTGTCAAGAAGGTGGCGGTGGTGGATGCAGTGAGCAGGGGTTTCATTCTGTCAGTGTCAAGCTTGAGTGAGTTGTCAGCCGGCGGGCCGGGCCGCGAAGTTCGGCGCTTGCGACTGCAATGTCAGCGAATCTGACCTTATCTGGCAGCACCACCGACTTTGAATCCCAACATACGGAACGAATGGCTGAGCCAATCTGAAGCAGTGAAATATACATAGCTGCAGCTCGAGTGAATAATATTGATAAATAGCCATTCTACCACCGGCGCCAGGTGCGAATCGGGACCAACGACTCGAGATAGCAAACAAATGTTCAACGGCTCCTGGTCTGAACGTTGTTACTAGACGACCTCGCCTCATCGACTCACGCCTCGAACGTTCGTTCTCCACAGCGCGCGGTAATCCATCATCACCGTCTAGGCTTGCGTCTACAAACTACCACACTCCATCCGGTTAAGGCTGCGGGCCACGCTCTCGGATAGGCAGGTCTTCGTACGCTGGCGGAAGCGTCCGCGCGTTCGACGCCTCTTCCACGCCCATGGGCACACTACCACCATCTGCTTCGCGGGTGCGCCCCGAGGTGCCGCACGTGTAAGTCGCCGTTGGATCCGCGTACGGGCCAGGGACCGCCATGGGGATATTGAGACGCGGAAGACAGGGACGGCTTCTCGCTGCAGAGCTCGCCACGGCCGCACCTAAGAAGACGAATTCAAGCCATACCCGGGCCAAAAAGTGCCTAGTGCTACGTACCTCCATACACGCCCACGTTCGATGAATGCTGACCATATCGGCTCGGGCCTCCATACTGGTCCGACACTGAGCTGTTTTGTGATTCTGCACACAGACGGTCGGCGGGTGTCTGTTCGACGTCAACCGGAGCGAAACACGCACGTCCGCAGCACCGTGATGTCCTGGCTGGAGTTGACGGCTCCGGCGCGTACGTCATTTGTGGCCGATGTCTGAATGTGTTAGAAGCGGCGTCTGCACGACGTTCAGCACGGACTGCGAGTGCTACCAAGTTCGAACACTCACCGCCAAAGGTCGCAAAAGGGTCAATGAGCACGCTGCTGCCGGCCTCCCGGCGCCGGCGCCGTCGCCGCACATACACAAAGAACACTATTCCCGCTAAGATCGCGGTCAGGAACGACGCCCCTCCTGCCGCCACGCCTGCGACGACCCCTGTTGATGGCCCATGCTCAGCGTTTGAAATGAATGTCGTGTCGGAGGGTGAGCTTGTGGTGGGTTCCGTTGAAGAGGAAAGAGTGGATGTGGAGGTGGAGGTTGTCGTAGAGGTAGAAGCATTTGTAGAAGTGGAACCGGCCGTAGAGGTGGAGATGGTGGTAGTAGGGCTGGACGGGCTACCGGGAATGCATGTGGAATTGTCTCCTGAAACTACAAGGTACGATTGTGCTAGAAGCCTGCGCATGAGGTAGATGAAATAGAGACGGAGAGACGGGCTCCTAGACACTCACGAGAGGAAAATACAGTCTTGGTGAATACAGTTTGAACATACGTGAAACTAATGACAGTTCCTAGCAGAGATTTCTATGTGAGCGGTAGCGCCTTCACAAATGCGCAGCTTGAACATACCAATGGGCAGATCTACTGTCCACAGGAAGGACTGCTGGCTGATGATCCCAAGATCCTCCAAAACCGGGTCGCCTGCCTCAATCTCGCGGTTGGGAACGACCCATGCGTGCTAGGAAGTTGATCGGTATCCCGTTCCAATAGCAGTAATACACAACGGCACGTACAACGGGTGTCTGAAAAAAGGAAGTCAGCGAAGTCTCAGAGTGCAGAGACATGCTTTGTGCTCGTACCTCCTCTGTCCATCTCTAATCTATGCTCGAGCACTGAGCCACTGTATCTTCGGCCGGGGAAATTGTGAACGAAGCACGAACGACACCTGACACACCAATGAGAGCGAAGAAAGAAATGAGCATTGCGAGGAACCCGAGCAGCGAGGTCCCGCGATAGAGGAAGGGAGGCAGAGAGGGGATCGTGGCCTGCATTGGGCGCGAGGACCTTATGACTGAGAGCCGGAATCAGAGCTAGATTACGCCGCCAGAGATGATATCGTCCTTGAACACGCTTAGGTTTCTAAGTATGTGAGAGCGGCCATGGGAAAATCAGCATCATGGAAATATCAAAACGTCGACGCCATACCAAGCCGCAAGCTCAGTACAGCCTCACAAGTACGGCCTCGTTACGCACGTCGCATGACTCCGGTGCCAGTGTGCATGGTTCCTGTTATGACATACAAACATTTGAATATGACGAGGATGAGTAGGGGAATGACGTACAGGCTGAGGAGGGTTTGTGCATGAGGGACGGACACACGCAAGCATGCTGGACCAATGCGACTCGGAGTGGAGCCGCGTTGTCATCGGGACTCGACTGAGCGAGTTCGTGCTGCTCTGGAAGCACTTGTACTGGCACATCTTCCCGTTCCCGAAAAGTCCGAAGCGTGTTCAGCAGACGCGTCAAGCACGGCCTCCTCTTCCGGTGTGACGGCCATCATCTTCTCGAGGTCTTTCTTGACATCACACAATGTGATTTGAGACGATCGCGGCCACCTAGGGCAGATGTTGGGGAGTCGTACAACATTGAATAGTACGGCGTAGATCACCCTTGTGGCCTTTGAGGAAGCATAGGGAAAACATGGAGCGTGGAGACTGCGAGCGAAAGCAAAATCTGCACTGGGCGCGATATTCTATGGTTGTGGCATCACTCACCGTACGTAGACTCCAAAGCTTAGTGCGGCAGTCGAGACCGCGTCGCGCGTGGGCCACTCCTCAGGCCACAGCATATGGAATTCAAACGTTCACCATGTGGGCTTATGTTCGGCATGCACACTGGAATTCCGTTCCGAAGAGGTTTTGACCACATTTGACGGTGATGGGGGGTCGAGGAACGACATCCCAGCTTTGGTTGCGGATGGCAGATGATGACACCTCGAAGGGAGGCGCTCGCGTGTAACGTCAGCCTCTTTCGGCGCCTATATTTGGTACAATCTTATCTAATCATGAGTACTTATGAGTGCCGTTCATGTCTTTGATGCATAACAGATTGTTGAGTCGCCAACTCGCCACAGCTCGCCACGGGTCTGAGATTAGTTGCGACTTGCATGACAGTCCGGAGAACCCCACTTACAGCGCGTGAAGTATCGAACAGCCAGGCTCCGCACAAAGCGAATTGGAATCAATACCTGAGGAGATAATATACTGCAGTCTGATCATATAGTCCATAACGGCTCCTGGTCCAAATTTCAAACCTCGTCTCACCCCTCAAAACTTCGTCCTTAATGGCGCGAGATTGTCACCATCGGGGTTCGCGCCCACAGACGACCGCGCTCCGTTCGACCCAGACCATGACCGCAGCGGGCCAAGCGGCGGCACGTTCCTCTGCATCGCCCGCTGGTGCGCACTCTCTGGCAGGTCCTCGTACGCAGGTGGAAGCGTCTGCCGTGCGCTTGCAACGCCTTCCGCGTCCATGTGCACGCTGCCCGCGTCGACCTCGCGGTTGCGCCTCGAGGTACTACTGGAGGTGGGAGACGTCGTGGCAGTTGCGGATGGGCGAAGGGGGGCTGTTGGAGTGTTCTCAGCATCATCCGCGGAAGCAGACGGGGCTCGAGGCAGTGAAAAGATGACGGGTTGGAAAGGGGGTGTCACGAGGAGGGACGCAGAAGACGGGCGGATGGAGACGGGGACTCACCTGACGACCCAGTGTCCGACCCATACGCCAATGAGTAACTGAAATCCGACATCACGATCTCCGACTCGCTCATGCGGCTACCCATCATCGCAAGACCGGATTGTCGTGGATAGGCGTTGGCGAGACTGTCTCCGCGTGGCGACAGAGGGACGTTGGCCAATGGTCGTGGTTCTGGGCCTACCCCTGAGTTTGACACGAGGTCGGCTCTGCTTCCCGCTATGGAGCTCGCTACTACTGCATCTGAGATGACAATCTTAACGAGCAGTTGGTTTCAAAGTAGTTGCTGCCACGTACCACCATATACGCCCACGTTACCTGCATGCTGGTAATATTGGCTCGACTCTCCATTCCGGCCTGGCACTGAGGTATCCTGCGATTCTGTGTACGGACGGTCAGCGAGTATTCGCTGGCGACAAGCGCAAAACACGTACGTCCGCGATAGTGTGATGCCTCCGGGGTTAGCGGCACAGGTGCGTACTTCATTTGTGGTCGGTGTCCAAAGTCGCTGGAAGCCGGATCTGCGCGGTGTTGAGCAGACTGCACAAGCTACAAAATTGACAGAAATCTCACTTGGGGAGATCGTAGTATGCTCATTGCCGAAGGGGTCCACGAGCATCCCGTGGGTGGCCTCCCGGCGCCGCTTTCGCATACAGACGAACACCGCTATCCCAACGATGAGCGCGACGAAAAACGCCGCTCCTCCAGCTGCCGCGCCTGCGATGACTCCTGTTGATGGTCCACTTGGGTCTTCCGCGTTATCGGACGAGGGTGTGCCTGTGACACCGGGGGTAGAGGATGATGTAGATGTTGATTGCGGAGTTGTTTGAAGAAGGGAGTCCGAGCTTGCAAGGGTGGTACTGCGAGAGATGGAACTCGTCGCTGTATTTGAGGAGGTTCCAGTCGTCAGGCCAGTCTTCGGAGGAGTCGATGTGGATGTCACCGGGGTGGACGTCGTTGTTGGTCGGGAAGGGGTGGACGTCGGGGTGGTAGAAGAGGTAGAGGTAGAAGTTATCGTCGAGGAAGGAGTGGTGTTGGAGGTAGAAGGATCGGACGGGTTTCCGGGAACGCAATTTGAATTCTCTCCAGCAACGACAGTGTACGATTGTGCTTACAGCCGACGTACATAAGGATGATGGCAGAGAGTGATACGTTAAGAGACACTTACGCGAAGAGAATACAGTGAATTGATCTGCAACTCGAACATATGTGAAACTAACGACTTGTCCTAGTGGATCTTAGCGGCGATGCTTTCAAACATGCACGGTGGACATACCAACAGGAAGATCGACTGTCCACAGGAAGAACTGCTGGTTGATGATACCGAGATCCTCCAGAACTGGGTCACCTGGGGCAATCTCGCGGTTCGGAGCGACCCATACGTGCTAGATTGAAGCCGTTCAGCTGCAGTGTGAATGATCGTAGTGCGGAACGGCACATACAACGGGGGACTGGAAGGAGCTCAGTGACATTTCTTGGGGCGCAAAGACCTGCTATATGCTCGCACCTGTTCCGTCCAGACCAGATCTATGCTCGAGCATTGAGCCACCGTATTCCCAGCTGGAGAAATTGTGAACGAAGCCCGAGCAACACCGGACACGGTAGCGAGGGCAAAGAGGAAAGCGAGCATTGCGGGCAACGCGGGCAGCGCGAGGAGACCCCGCGATGGAGGGAGGAGGAGAGGGGGGAACGTGGCCCATATTGGGTGCGAAGGCCTTATAGTTGACAGCCTGGATCAAGGCTCGATGAGGACAGTCGGTCGACAACGGCGGTCGTGCTTCCGCTCCCCAGCGCTCCCATGGGCGGCCATCTGCAACATTGAGAAAGTCACGCGGAATGTCGATCTAAGAAGTTCGATGCCATGTCAGACCGCGGAAACAGCAGTGGTCCCTCGTTCGCGTGAAGGTGGAGATGGAGGGTAAAGAAAGTGAGACTTGGCCACCATTATCCTGATGCCTGGAAATACACCTCGAGCTTCGAAGCCGAGAGCTGAAGCGCTGAAGTGCGGACGCAGTGGGTCTGAAAGCTTAAGGTTGGACATATCACTGACCGTGGTTTTGATCATCGACATACCGGCACGGCCGCTCACGTCCAACGCCAGGGGCTGCTCCTTCGCCTCGCATTCATCAGGCGCGCTGTGCTCGATACTTCTAGGGGCAAAGCACTCACCGGATAACTAGACTTGCGCGTTCTGAAAGAACCCGGCCCAACAGATACGTAGAAGCGTGTAGTAGTACAAGGAACGATGTTCAGCGCTCAGCGCTTCAGCGATGTTGCTACCCAAGCGCACGTTCCTTGCCGAGGTCTTATCTTATCTTATCGCCGTGAGAGGATGTAGTACTTCCAGTAGCTGAGGATTGTGGAAGTTCGACAAGCCTCCCAAGTCCCCATGATTATTGTGAGGAGCTCAACCGAGTGACGGAATATGCTGAAGACAAAAGGCTCAAGCGTCTCTCAGGGGTCGCATACAAGCGAGACAAAGAGGGTGTCAAACCTAGTCATTACGACACAATAAGAATGGTATGGATACAGGGATGGTTCGTCTACAGATGCGACGAGATGCGGATGTGATGCAAGATAATAACCTATGAAGATGTCGTGGTATGGACATATGCCGTATGCGTGGGGGAACAGCCAGGAACTCTGCGAGGTGACGAGGTACAAGAAGTGCGGCGGAATACGAGTACACAATACGCGCATGTGAAGACTCCTTCTGTCACTGATCCGGGTCGAGGTGGCCGAGTCCACATCCTGCCTCCTTCGGCCACCTCCGGGCGCGGACGTCGCGCAGCAACGCCGACAGGCACTCCGCCCCAGGAGCCCCATCGCGCGTGGCCTGACGCGGTGGCCGCCGCGACACCCCGCGCATTGTCGCGGACAAGCGCGAGTGCAGCTGGCGAGCGCAAAGTGGACGCAGCCGTCGTCTACTTGGAGTGCTTCTTCCGGAGCGACGCCGCCTGGTCCTGCTGCTGGCGCTGGCGCTGGCCCTCGGAGGTGTTGTGCCCGTTGCTGGACGCGAGCGCGGCGTACATCGCGTGTGTCGTGCGCGGGTCCTGCTGCCCGAAGGACGCGAACGCGTGCGGGGCCGCGGGCGCGATGGGGAAGAAGCCCGTGAGGGGCGAGGAGGGCGGCGAGGAGTAGAAGGAGGACATGATGGTGCTCAGGCGTTTCGTCGTGATGGGCAGTGTGTGCGCGCGGCGGGGCCGGGCGGGAGCGCGAGGGGGCGCGAGGGCGGCGGCGGGGATGAGAGGTGGTTCTGCAGGCGAGGCGGAGCGGGGCTCGACGCGTCGGGGCTCGTGGTCGTGGGGCGGCGGAGGTGGAGGTGGGGGGAGAGGTGGGTGGCTGTTTGTGTGGCAAAGCAAAGCCTAGGGCAGCCGCATGATGATCGCCGTCTTTTATGCGAGGTATGGTGAGGAGGAGGTGGGAACATAAGACCTTCCTTTCCTGTACTCGAGCGCGCCGTCGTGGCGAGTACAAGGATGTTGCCATATCGGGCATACGGGCTCCTGGCACGCGCCCCGCGAGTTGCCTATTGCGGCTCAAGGGAGTGTGCAGATATGGGATCGTGTGCAGGTCCGAGAGGCCATCAGACTTCTTGCGGGCACTCAAGTGGACGCAGAGGACTCATCGCGCCGTACGACGCGCCGAGACATTGCTCGAATTGTGCACCTACGATCTACTCAACGTAATCATCAACCTTGTACTCGGCAAGCTGCAGGGAACCCGAGCGCACTCACCTTCATCCGGACCAGGACGTTGACTCGAGAAGTGAGTAAGGCTTTTACCCGACGACTGGTCTTGTCTGGAGAGCCACCTGGCCTGACGTCTACTTTCTGAGGTTCTTCACCGCCCTTGTATTCCAGGTCAATGGGCAGTACGTGCGGGTACCGCCGACCACAATCCGTACAATTCGAGTCAAGTTCTGTAGGCTATGGTAAGCGGTGTATACTGTAAAGCGCGTGGCATCGCGATTAGCATCCGACAGGTAGGATTATGTGTATCGGACAAGACAAGCGGTGGACTGGGAGGACGACGACGATGCAAGCCAGAGGAAACCAGGGATATCCGGATGAGAGAAACGAATGATATCGACAAAGGTAGATGTGGCTGGTGGAAACACCGAGGATACAACCTAACCAGTATGCAGTGAATGTGGGCGATGATGCGGATGCGGATCCAACGAGATCGAAAGCGTGCGTCTATGCGAGATGCGAGTGAGAGCATATGTCCATCGAGCAACACGTTCATGAAAGATGCTACAGAAGTGCGGAATGCTGCTCCCCAGATTCGACCAACTTGGCCCAGTCTTGTCTCCATCCTGTCATATCTGATCGAATCTTGGGATCCCGAAGAGCCTTCTCGATCCAAAACATGACGCTATCTTCATTTTCGGGGACGAAGAAGGAGGAAAGGAGGGACAGAATGGTCTCGAAGTTGGCGGTAGCGGAGGTGATATAATCTAGTAACGTCGTTGAGATTCGCGCGATGCAAGATGCCGCAGATGGGCTCACCTCGATAGACCCACACAATCGCGAGAGCGACGATGACGAACAAGTCATGCCCTTCGAGGAGGAAGGCGTCCCACAGTCGCAACTGCATTTGGAAGGGCACCGAGTTGGCGAACAAGGTGATGTACCACTTCGTCGCATACGACGTTGTGGACACCGTGTGCTTCTTGAAAGCCGCATACACGGGAGGTATCATCTGCTCCGTTAACCGCTCCTGGACATAGATGGCCTCCAGCAGTCCTGGGAAACCCGGACTGAAGATCGAATGCATGTTGTACGCGTCGTGTATGTGCACGAGGGATGCATACGCGCGTTCCGGCTCGAAATAGTTGAGTAGAGTCGCTGCTAAAGGTCCCATGCCTTGACAGTAGCCACACGCCTCACAGCGCAGTGACAGGACATGAAGGACGTGGAATAATGATCGTTGACTGGTTTTTCACCGATTAACACCGAGCTTGTAATATGCCATGGAACACTTACCCTTGCCCATACCGCGTCCTGAACATGACATGGCCGCTGATAGTACGTGGTACGTCCAAGTCTATCTGGACGTCATAGGATGACGGCTTGTCCAATCCTTCCCGATACTCCCGCATCAACTGCCTTAGTTCCTCCTTGCCCGTGCGCGAGAAGCGACACATGAGCACCTCCCAAGCAGCGCTTCGCCAGCGGTCAGGAATACCTTTGTATACGCGCTCGCGAATTTTGCGCTCTTTGGAAGGCTTGATACCCCAGAAGTCGATGTTGCCACCAGTGTCGCGAGACGCTGGAACTAGCATTCTCCCCCACTTGCCCGTCCGCGAGGTCTCCTTGGCCGGCGTGGGGCTATTCGGCTGTCGCTGAAGGAGAGGAGGACTAGACGTCCCAGACGTAACAGTGGTGTTGGCGATCGCGAGTGGACGTTGGAGCGGCGGCGCAGCGAGGAGCAAGAGGCGTTCGTGAGAGGGGATTGTAAAGAACCCATACCTGTGTAAGCAAACGAGCAGTCGTACGTCGAGCAATGAGACAGGAACGAGACAACGGATTAGTCCACATTGTTCATAGGTACCGAAAAAATATACGTACCTATCCAGGCTCTCCAATAACTGCAGCTCCTGAGGCGTTAAGTCACGGGTTTTCTCGCTCCCGTCCGCCAGTGCTTGCTGAGCGCGAATTTCACTGGCACGGCTCCCACCGACGCGCGCCCGGGTGCGCTCTACGCCCTCTTCATAGCCATCGCCCCTGACCCCAGTTTGATCAAGCTGCGCATACGTGTTCCGGACGTGGAACGCGTCCGCATCTTCACCGACCGAACGCACGACGGCGGAGTGCTTGCTTTCTGGGATACTGGCCGCCGATGACGAGCTTCGTGGTGACGAAGCTGCCGAAAGGAGTCCGGAAGGTGGGACGCCGAGTGAGGGTGTTGGGGAGGGCGATGGCGAGGGGTATGCGGCTTCGAGAGGGGATTGCACGGGCGTGCCAACGGTGGACGGGGGGATCACAAAGGGAGACAGTGGAGGAGGAAGGGGGAGAGGCTTGTGGTCGATGGAGTCCAGAGAGAGCGGTAAAGGGGCCTGCTTACTCTCCGTGCTTGCCTGAGAGTCAGAAGCCTTGTGCATGGACGATGCTCTGCTCCGGGCACCGGACGGGCGGCGATGGGTATCCGAACCTGCACTGCGCCGCGACGCGACCCCGTTCGCCATGCTCTCCACGGCCGAGTGCCGGTAGGTCGACGGTGGTCGACTTTCCGCGTACGCAAGTTGCACGGAGCCGTTTGACGAGACCATGGACTGTCGGGACTTCTCCGCGACACTGAGTCGCTTGCCCATGCTGGCGCTCCGTCGGTCATATGCGGAGGAGTCGGAGAACGCACTGTCCTCCGTAGATGTAGGGTCCTGGTGTAAAAACGAGCCGTGGTAAGCCGGAAGGCTCTTGCTGCTCGGAAAGTGAACGCCAGAGTCCTTGAGGGCGCGGCTGACTGGGCGAGACTGGGAGGCCTGGCTGACTGCGGACGCGGCGGCGGCAGACCAGCTGCTAGCGTTCTCCTCTTCATACATAGAATAAATAGTGACGATGGTGGCGGTCTCGGAGGAGCTGCGTACGCGATCCGTTGATGACGAGCTCTCACTTGAGTGGGTGAGCTCAGGGAGGGCGAGGGCGCGGTCGTCTGGTGGGGGACGGGGTGAGGGCGGACCCGGGGTGCTGATGGGGGTGGGGGGGACGACGAGCACGTAGGATGACATAGAACGCACAGCGGTGATGATGAGGAAGGCAGAGAGCTTAAGGAGCGACGAGAGGGTGTTCAGGCATGTAGGCGTCGCTTGCAGAGCTCTGCTGCCCGACGGTGCCGCTCAGCCGCTCTCGGGTAGTGCATATATAAACGCCTTGCCACAGCGTCATGCAACACATCGGCTCTGTTTCACCTTTTTCTTCCATCCACCCCTCTCATACAATACGTCGCTGCTTGTTTCCAACACGGCGTGGGGATCGGTGGTGCCGGTGAACACCCACGGCGGTAACGCCGCGAAATGCAGCCTGTAGCTGCCGTCCCCCGTCTGCTTGCCGGATTTCTCATGTCCAGCCGGTCCAATTGTCACTTCGGAGCCATGCCGACAGCAGCATGCCCATTGGAGGCCATCAATCTGTTTGGTAGCCCCCATCGACATCCCTTGAAGTGTTGGCCGTCGTTCATCAGTCAAAAACAGTGATGATGTTACATCTTGTGCGCACAAGAAATCTCCACTGAGACTCAAGGCGCGCGCCTTGCAGGAACACAGGATGGACATTGAGAATGTACAACATTGACACCGTGAACATTTGAGAGGTGGCCGATGGGGCCGGCCGGCACGGGAGAATACATACCGACCGGACCTGAGATTCGGTGATCTCAGGGCAAGACCGGCAGACGTACGCATCGGCCTCGAGGGCACCTTTAGCCGGACATATCGGCATCCTACACGGAAGTCGGTCACGGCGACTGCCATCCAAGGTATATTCCGTCGGAAGTCAGCAGGCTATGGATACAAGACCCCCAACAACGTCACGCGCGGTGAGACTATTCACAAACTCCTCCACCGTCCGAGACGGACTAGCGAACGGCGATCACAGCGAGGTCTCAACCGTGCAGCCGTCTTCCTTCTGGCACACCGCCGTTCGGTTGAGGTTCTTCGCGATCGGACCTGCAGGCACGGCGAGCAAAGGATTAAACGACACTTGGCATGCACGAAGCAAGATCGAATCTCACCAGTAGGCCCACTCGAGAAGCGGCACTCGTTGACGAGGTCGCCGATGACGATACAGTACTGACCGTGCTCGAGGACGCGGTACTGCTCGTCGCCCCACATGCCCGTGAAGCTCAGCCAGCTCGCGCCCTCCGCGTCGATCTCCGCGCCACCGGAACCGGCGCCACCGGCGCGGTGAACGCGTTCGCGGCGGGGTCGTACCAGAACGCGCGGTAGTTGAGGGCCGGATCCCACAGGAGGCCGGCGTCCGTCTGGTCGCAGAGGAGGTCGCCGGGGAGGTCGTGGCAGTGTTGGCCAGGGGTCGCGTAGTTTGCGTGCGTGCCGACGCCGATGTAGTTCGTGGGACGCCGTTCGTCTTCTCCGTCGCATCGAAGGTGAAGGCCGAGCCACCGGAGTGGGCGGAGAGGTAGAAGGCGGTGGGGGCGCCGTTCACAAAACGGACCATAGTGTGCTCCCAGTCACCGACGTGATCGCCGAACTCGATACCCAAACCTGAGATTTCAAGTGTGTTAGAGTGAAGCACAAAGTGAGTATAATGCGGTATATGGGTACCTTTCCTCCGTGATCATACGAGTAGAAGTAGAAGAAGAAGGCATCAAGGGTGTTGTTCGCCTTCTCGACCAATACGATGGTCACAGGAGCAGCACTATGGCCAGTTGAGTCCGGGATGCCAACTTGGCTCGTAATCCACGATGGCTGGTGGTCACATCATCCACCGACGTCAGAAACACGTCGCTGCCGAATGTGGAGAGTGTCTCCAGAGTAACCGATGATGCAACGCGAGTGAAGTTGACCTCTGGGACGACGTGTTTGACATGTTCCGAGACGTCGGACGGCCACCAGCTCTCGTTGGAGTAGAGATGCGACAAGGGAGCGTTTGCCAACACAAACGCTGGAACCGGGTCCGCGCGGCGCGAGAGACGGACCGGGAGGCCGTGGCGGAGACCGCGAAGAGGAGGTCGAGAGGATGAAAGAGTGAGTCCAATCATCTGACTACGTCACGAGTGCCGGGGCTGGGGGCGGAGCGACGGTCGAATGAGGTCTCAAGCCTTCTCGATGCGCAAGTAACGTTCTTTTATACCGCATGCTTGCAACGGCGACTTGCAAATAGGTCGCTTCCGCCTTCAGAACGTGGACCCCGCGCGGGGTTCATAGGGACTGCGAGGGAACGGGTGATGCGACGGGTGAGACCTGGGGGATTTGCGCACCCGTTTAGCTCCAAACGCGGGCACGTTTCCTGTACCCGTGTGCGTCCGAAGTCTGCACTTGGAGAGAAGAAGAGGAAGCCAAGAGGGAGAAGAACGTTGGTGGTGAACCATGTGCTCGAATCCACGTGTGGGTAGCTGGATGATATACCTGCAACCCTCTTCTCTGTCATATGCGATCCGGTGAGCAGCATGGCGTATAGCCTCTTAACGTCAGCTCACATGTAATTCCGAGATTTTGTGCTTGGCTCGTGCTGCATCACGCTGAGGAACGACAACCCAACAATTATAGGGATGCTCGAACAACGCCACATCTCAGGCGGCATATCTTGGAGTATTTCTTCGACATCCACTGCCCATCTTAATCGCAAAGTAAGCACCGTTCGGACGATGCGAAGGGTGCCAGACTGTCGGTGTAGGTTACAGCAGCGACGTGATGGAGGGAGAAGGACGTAGAGATTGCGTGGTAAGACGAATGGAATGCAGTTTCCAAAGGTCCGGTATTTGTTAGAATAGAGTATTAAAACATCATGAGTCTTCAAGGCGCTATAGCCAAGTGGTTACGGCGACAGATTAGAAATCTGTTCTCCTTTGGAGGCGCAGGTTCGAATCCTGCTGGCGTCGGGTATTTTGCTTCTTACATCCGGACAGATGTGTTTTTCGTAAGTTCTAACTGGAAGATTTTGGATAACGAGCCTATCCATGCTCACCTGGTTCTTTACAAGCGTGGATGGTATTCTGTGCTGACGACTCCTGCCTGTTTCTGATTTGCACCCTTAGCGCTCGGCGAACTCGTCGTCACAGTCACCGCACTTCAGTGTTTGTTGCGCAACCCTGGCCACCAACCGTCAGCCTCCACGCTCCTTGCTCTCGCCGCAGTGGCTCTGCACATACTCAGTGGTGTTGTGGCAGACACGAGCTCAGCCGCTCAAACTTCAATTCACTCGCTAGGCGACTTCAGCTCCCTATGTGACTTCGAGGTCAGTACACTTTGGTATCCTCGTTCCCTGCACATGGTGTACTCATCAAGCAGATCCTGCGACAGTGACGTCCGTTACGTGTTCAATGCGGGTCACTGGTCGATTCTTGAAGTCTGATGTTTCCCGCACCAGGTTCTTCACTGCAGTATATTGTGAGGCGGGTCTTGCGGCATCAGCCTCTTCTTGGTGGCCTTGCAGGGTGACGGACCGAACTCGACGGAAAACAACGAGTACTCCTGGAATGATCGCGCCAACGTTCTTATCTAAGCTGACTGTGGATAGGAAATCGTGCGTGTTTCGTACATATAGTGTCTCACACGTCTTATTCTTCGAACACCTCATCAAGTTCAGGGCCGACCATTTCATATGGCTGGCGATCTTTCGGAGATACCATGAAGCTCAAAGTTGTGCATTCTGAGGGTCTCTACATTGTGCCACTACTAAGTATATGCGTCCACCATCTATGAGCGAAATGCGCAGCGACGAAGGTCGGTATGGCGCCAATCAGCCTTAAGACCATGCTTGTGAGAATTTTGGCTTAATGCAATCCGGTTTGTTCATGCATATTGCCACTGTCCTGGCAGAAAACGGCGGTACGGATCTGTGCAATACTACCTGGCCTTCTATCACGATATTCAGTGCGTCGATCATTCATGATTACCCCGCGGAGCTATGTTCCACAACGCTCGCAAGTCGAACACTGCGTGTTCCTGCTTGAACGCGGCGTCCACACCATGATCTTCGCGGGGCTCTGCACCGGGGAGGGTCATGCACATCTGTCGCTTGGTGAGTGTGTCGAATGATGGCTAAAACGTTTCATCGGAAGGTCGGGATCGAGCTTACTACGTTCTCGCCGGAGTGGTGGAAGGATGAGACGAACCGAAGCGCTGATATGAGTGAATGGATGGTCGACGAAGCACCTGAGGGCAGGACGAGGAGAGGGGGTGGCGCATTTGCGATGATCTACGGTGCTGGCCTGCTGGGCGCATGGTCATTGGTGAGTTTGCCTCGCTTGGACGGGCGCACTCACTTTGATTGTCCTAGACGCCGTACGAGAACCACAACGCTCGCTCGCGCTGGCGAACAGATGGCTCTTCGGTTCGGAGCCGCATGCGGCCTCTGGTACGCTTGCCGCGGGCCGCGATGAAGCGACTCTCCGAGAACCCCTTCGTCGGGTAGAGCTGAGAGAGCTCCTGACCCTAGGCCCTGGGTTCCAGGAGTCGGAACCCGTCTTCGTGCTTTTGCATTCCTTGATGGCCGATTTTCCAGAGGCGGATGGGCGACCTGGGGGCGGGCAGGTCGGGGGAAGCGGCAGACGTTCGGCATGCGATATGAGAAGAGTCGTGCAAACAGGCTTCCAAATTCGCCGGATCAGAATCCAAGGGGCAACCGGTGCCTGTACATGCTGGTTGAGAGTAGACGTTGACGACCGGCCTCAAACACGAAGCAAGTGCAGAATATGACCGGTGGGAGGCTGGAGCCCCCCAATGGATTTGGAGAGAGCCCGAGGCTGCAAGGACGACCCAGGTGAGCCCGGGGCAGAGCTGGTAGGGATCAAATGCTGACGGGGCTTGTTGATGCAAAACGAGCATTCCGTGCTGGCTTGATCAGGGACCCAAGGCTCCGGGAAACCCGGAGGAACGGGCACACGTACAAGAGGCACGTGGACGATCGTTGAGGAAGTAGCTGCCGTGCCGATTGGACGACGGTGTAGGCTGCCGGGGCCCGTGCACGGCGCGCCGGTGCGGGATGCCTGAAGACGGAAGGCGGCGACGAGAGCGCGCGCTGCTGTGGCCGAACGTCCAACTTGTGATCCCGGTGGCGCTGCCAGGCCAGCACGGCGGTGATGCGCCCGGGAGGCGCCCGGCTCGTCTGCGGCGCCGCCGCGACGCCTTCCGCGTCCTCTTCTCCGGTGCATGAATATCCTGATGTTCTACCCGGGCGCCGCACTGCTGGTAATTATGTTTCTTACTAGGTCTCTCTGATCTATCATGCTCTAGGATACTCTGGCCTTGTTTGAAGATTGGCTGGAGTCACTGTCACCCATCTCCAGACACCATCTGCAAGGCATTGCAAACCCTCGATGGAATGCGATGAGTTATCCCCCATCTACGCCCATTCGAAACACGAATGATTGTTTGGACTGTGCTAGGTCGTATCCCCGCCCATCCTCATCTCCCCGCCCACTGTGTCTAGTCTCTGCCCGCACCGCCATTGACGAGTCCGAATTCCCATATGGTATCGGCACCGGCAGCCCGCCGGACGTGGCGCCTCTTTGTCAATTGCTAGCGCTGTCGACCCGAAACCGTCATGGGCTCTCTAGCTTCCCGCCGTCGCCACGCGCTCTGTCATCCCTGGGTCGATGTCCCGCTGCACTGGGACCGCTCGGCCACCCTCCGCCCCTGATGCTCGTTCTCCCTGGTGCCCGGCGCTGCTCCCGGCCGCATTCGACTGATCCCGTTTCTCGACGGCCGTTCACGCGACACGCCCCCGGGTATAAAGTTGTAGGCAGGTCCGCGTCGACACCCACTTCCCCCCTTTCGTTCGTTCCTCCTTCCCATTCGTTCCTTCCTTCCTTGGCAGCTGCGCTGGCCAACCGGTTCAATCTTTGACTCCGTTCGCCTCGACTTCACTTGGGCTCTTCTTGCTAGCGATATGTACTTCTCCACGGGTTTCATCGTTTCCCTTGTCGCGGCGTCGAGCCTGGTGTCGGCCGTCCCGCTGCAGCGCCGGAAGACGGAGATCATGAGCTTTGCGAGCTCCTCCACCCGGCTTGACACGTCTGGCGCTGTTTACTGTGAGTCGTCCCTTTCATCGACACGGTCCAGGTCTAAGCGTTTTCTGTGTTTCAGTTATAACCAACGAGGGTGACAACAACCAGATTGTGGCCGCCAGCATCAACACCGATGGTACCGTCGTATGTTTCGATTTGTGCAGCTATTCTCTTATGACAGGAATCACTGATTCTGTTGGTAGAACCTTGATCGCGCGACCACCACTGACGGCAATGGCGGCCATGGTAACGCGAACGGCCCTGATGCGCTCTTCTCGCAAGTACGTTAGAGTGTGGTACATGATTCCATAATCACAATGCTGACATCCATCAAGGGCTCCGTCAAGGCGTCCTCGAAGGGGAAGGTCCTGGCTACAGTCAACGTGGGTTCACCTTTATACCGATCAGTGCCGCGCGACATCGATCCTCATTCGCTGTTCGCTTTGCAGGCCGGCTCGAACACGCTCTCCCTTTTCTCGATTGACGCAGCGGACCCCACGAAAATCGACTCTATCAGCAACCCGATCTCGTCGGGCGGTGAGTTCCCCGTCTCGCTCGCGTTCAACAAGAACGGCGACCGCCTCTGCACTCTCAACGGTGGTGCGGTCAACGGCGTTGCGTACGTGCATCCCACTACCGTGTCTCCCGTGCATAGCGGATCTGACCTCGCGCTCGCCGCAGCTGCTTCGATGTCGACTCAAAGAAGGGCCTCCAGCCAATCGCCAACTCCGTCCGCTCCCTCAACCTCAAGCTGACCACGCCCCCGAGCGGCCCCGCGGACACCGTCTCGCACATCCTCTTCTCCGAGGACGAGAAGCAGGTGATCGCCTCTGTCAAGGGTTCCTCCGCCAACAAGCCCGGCTTCCTCGCCGTGTGGGACGTCGCCAACGACGGCTCGCTCTCCGAGAACTTCAAGAAGATCGACCCGCCCTCCGGCGGAGGCCTGCCCTTCGGCATGTCGATCATCCCCGGGCAGAACGCGGTGCTCGTTGCGGACCCCGCGGTCGGCTTCACGATCATCGACCTCCAGGGGAACAAGAGCAGCGCGGTCAAGGTCGACGGCCAGTCCGCGGTCTGCTGGACCGCGCGCTCGAGCAAGACAGGCAACTTCTACCTCACCGACATCGGCACCGCGATCGTCACCGAGGTGAACGTGGACAACAACCTGAAGGGGACGGTCGTAAAGCAGTACCAGCAGACGAAGGGCTCCGCGACGCTCGACGACGACGTCGCGAGCATCAACGGGGACGACTTCCTCTACGTCCTCGGCGCGAACGCGACCGAGGTCCAGACGCTCTCCATCCAGAAGGCGGGCCAGGGCAAGAACCTCGACCAGCTCGACGTCTCGGGGCCCTTCAAGGCCTCGAACATCAACTTCAGTGCGTGTCCGCGCCTCTCGCGTGTCCTCCCCCACACTGACCTGCCTTCCCCCCTCCTTCCCCCCTCCGTCTCTGCCCACCCACAGGCCGGAACAACCTCCAGGGCATGACCACCTTCGTCACCCAGTGAGCGCCGCGCCCGCGCGCCGAAACGGCGCCCTCACGGCCCTCTGCCACTCCGTGCGCCGCCGCCCCCTGCCGCTTCTCCGCCGGCGCACGCACGCCCGCCCACCTCGGACCCCGCTCTCCCTTCGGACACTTACCGTTTGACCCGCCCCGTTACCCCGCGGACTCTCGATGGACCCCCGCCCATACCCCTTGCCGCGCCCGCACACCGCGCGCCCCCACGCTGTTTCGCTAACTAGCTCGCCCAGCCGCCCTTCATTCGCTCACTCAGTCGTTCTCGCAGGCCTCGGATGTATCTTAGATTGTACTCGATTTGGGTCGAACGATAGGGAAAGTCACGTTCCGGTTCCAAAAAAAGAACGCGCGTGCCTGCGCGCTCTCGCACGCGCGCCCGGGGGTTGATCGTTCCTGTGCAGGTCGTTCATGAGCGCTGAGCGGCGAGCGTGACTTAAAGCACTGACCACATGCTCGGTGCCGCGATGGGCCTGAGTGGGCGCGTCCCCAGTTAGCGGGGTGCGGGGTGATGTGTACAGTAGCTGGTACTATGGCAGCCGGTGCGATGAACAGCGCTGGCATCCAGTGGCATCCTGGGCCGCATGGCCAGGTGCGACTTCGGAATCCTAGGTATCTACCTCTGAGCACACAGTGGCATTACCAGAATGCGGGCACCAAGGACCTCCGCTACTGCACTCGCTATATAGATCGGTCTATGCACACGCAAGCAGCGACGTCGATCTCGCTCCCTGACAACGCACGTACGAGATGAGAGGGCGCCGCTGTGTCGGTAGCGCGCAATTCTCCACGGAGGCCGCGCCATAAAGCAACGGAGCATCCTCTCGGAGTCAATCACACGGAACATATGATGCTGTGCTTCAAGTATACATTGGACCGCAGTGCGGCCTCGACGAATGACTATGGATACAGGCTACTGGTACCACACGCTCCAAGAAACGACTGAGACCCCTTGTTACCCCCGTCCGAAGCGAGTCTTGAAGGCCTCCTTGATCATCAGCCACTCAAGCACCGACATACCGCGCACGCGGAGCATCTCCCCCAGCTCGTCCCAAGCGGAAGGGAGGGCGCAGATCAAGTCAAGGTCGGCATCGGTGACGAGCCCGAGGGCATGCATGTGCGGCGCGAGGTGTCCGAGAGGCCGTCGAAGTCCGTCGAGGAAGGCGCGAGCCCCGCTAGAGCCGAGCTCTGGTTCGCGTTTAGGTTGGACGGTGTGGAGGGGGGTGAACGTGGAGGCGGACGGCAGAGCGAAGGTAGGGTTATGTTCCATCTTGACGAAGTTGCTGTGCCAGACATGAGAGGTACTTGGAGGGGAACACTTGAAGCTGGCGGAATGCTGAGAAGGCGCCGGAAAGGTACGAGCAAAAGAGGCGTCGCGAGCAGCCAGGTTATGCGGAAGCATCTGAGGTGGCTGGGCGCACTGCGTCCAATTCACGGGTCGAAGAGTAGCACTGCGTGGTTTCTTCAGAGTGTGGTCCTGAAGATGAGAAAGATAAGCTCCAGGAGTTTCGTGGCCCTCCCGCGCTGTTTGGGGGCGAGGAAGGAGTGGTTTGGGAGAGCAACGGCAACGGGTTGGTCCGGATACTGCAGGACCGATTCATAAGGGTGCTTAACGTCCGAGGATTCGGCATCTGCAGACTGCTGCGGGCGAGCAAGCCCGGTCACAACTACAGGAGAGGGATGCGCTACGGATGCAGGTCGACGCTCGTCCTATACAGAGAAAAAAGAGAACGCACCTTTGGTCGATCTCCCGTCACAGGTTTCTGGAGGACCACCTTTGTCGGCACGGACAGAACGGGTTGAGGATGAAACTTCATTCACCGACGGGACCTCGGAAATGAGCGTATGAGTCGCATTTATTTAAAACATGATCCTGTGAGTATATGCGCAGCGTCAGAGCCATCAGACGTAGAAAGCGCAAAACATACTCGGACGTGCGTGGCCAGGTTTGAGGAAAAGCTACATTTGGGGCAGTGGAAGCACTTGGAATCCGGGTTGCGCCGGACAGTGAAGGTCGCGTCGGGACTTTGGTGGTTCTTGAACGAGATCTTGGTGTAACGCTGGTGAACAGCACGTTTGTGGGAGACGGCAGAGAGATGCTTTTCGCCGCAGCAGAAAAGGGACTTTTCTTTGACTTTACGTCTGGGAACCGGGGTGAGATACGACGTTGTCAGAGAGCAAGGAGCATGGCGACGCACAGCGGGTCTTGGACAGTCCGGAAAGGCGTTGGCTCCAATGGGTTGTTTGGGAAGGGGGGTGGTGGTCTTGCAACGGGAGGGTCTGGTGCATTGGGAGCATTGGTTGGGATGGGAAGGGCTAAGGGAGGTGGAGGTCGGGGGAGAGAGCGTCGGGGGAGGATGGGGCTGCTGGGGCGGCGCGCCCCATGGCAGCGCGAGGGCAGGTGCAGGCGGCGGGCTGCTGGTTGGCCAGCCATCGTCGGTGAAGGACGTTGAGCGTAGAGCGAAGGGCGACGCACTGGGGGCAGACCTTCGCGTCTGCCTGCGGGTCGATCCCGCCGCCGGCCCGCGCTCCGCCGCCAGAGTCGTTGCTGCGTCGGACTCGCTCCGAGCCCTGCGTTGGCACGATCACGTCTCCCACCCGCGAACACTCCCATGCGGGCGGACTAGTCTTCACATGTGCCCGTGTTGCCCAAGAATGCTCATTCCTCCGTCTGTTACTATGCAGGCTCTCACGGCTGCGTCCACCGGCTCTGCCACAGGTTCAAGAATCTCGGTCAATGCGCGGCGCAGCTACCCGCAGCCCAACATACTTACTCGGAGCAGCGCCGTCGGGCCTCAACTGTCACGGCTCCACGGCGGCGGAAGTCATCGTCTTTACGCGTACAGTCAAAGAAGCATCCGTGGCAGACAACCTTCTTCGCCTATATATACTCGACGGCTGCCCTCTCCTCCGCCTTCTCGTCCTCATTGTCCGCGTATGGACACTCTGCAAGTAGTCGCTTATACATCTGCCTTCGTCCTCGCCGGTCTCGCCTTGCGATGGTACATGCATCCGGTGAGCGTATCTCCTGTCGTTCGAATTCGACTGTATGCTGACAAATTCCAACAATGAAGCTCCGTGCGATTCCCACCTTGGGAGGCTCTGACCTACCCATCTTGTCGCATTATGCCGCGCAGAACTTCATGCGCAATGGCAAAACCTTGCTCCAAGAGGGCTATCGGAAGGTACTCAGACGGGACTTATTGCGCCAACAGCTCGAGACTAAACTGTTCCAATTTTCAGTATCATGGACACGCCTTCAAGGTCCCTCTCTATGACAACTGGCTTGTCGTCGTCTCCGGACCAAAGATGGTCGATGAATTGAGGAGACGGCCGGATGATGAGGTATCCTTCCTGGACGGCGTCGACGAGGCATGCAATTACGCTCATAGTGCCCCCTTAAATGCTAATGCTGCGAAAACAGACTCTCCAGATGCAGCACATGATCGGTCATGACGAGGAAGAGCACCGCCATGTGCACATCGACATCATCAGAGACAAGCTTACGAGGTCGCTGCCCGCTCTCATGCCCGTCATTATCGAGGAGCTCAAGGCAGCTAGCGACGATTACATCAGTGTCACCGGAGATGGTGCGTCATTGCTACTGCTTACCGCGTCGCGGAGAATAACTCACCACTCATTTCCGCCATCCACATTCTGACGGATCCAGAATGGGAAGCCATCACCGTAATGCCCGCTATGCAGAAGATCATTGCTCGTATCTCGAACCGCGTATTCGTGGGGTTGCCGACCTGTGCGTGCTCATGTCGCCGCACGGATTTGCGACTGGCTGACCCCGTCGATATAGGCCGGAACGAAGATTTCCTTCGTAAAGGTATCATGTTTGCCGTCGAAATTTTCCAGGACAATGACAAACTCAAGCGTGTCCCGAAGTTCCTCAAGCCGTAAGAGCATCTATTCAGCGGGGCAAGAGCCATGCTGACCATTCCTTAGACTCTACGGGCCGATGATCAGCAAGGCGAGAAAGACGCTGAGGTCTGCGACTGCCGAATTGGCGCCGATCATCGAAGAGAGGAAGTCTCGGATGAGCGAGTTTGGCGGGGACTGGACGGATAAGCCGGTGAGTTAATACAGCTCTGGGTCTTTCTGTATGGCTGCTAACTGTGGGGCGTAGAATGACTTCGTCCAGTGGTTGCTCGAACAGACGAACAATGGCTTTTCAGCAGCTGAAATTGCCAAAATTGTTTTGGTTCTCAACATGGCCGCCATCCACACGTCTTCCAACGTGCGTATTGCTCGTGGCTACACCGGGAACTCTGCAGTCAAACTGATTTTTTGGTCTCAGAGTATTACTCACATCCTCTACCATCTTGCCGCCGAGCCCCAATACCTTGCCCCGCTTCGCGAGGAGGTCGAAGCCGTCATCGTCGAGGAGGGCTGGACGAAGGCTGCCATGGTCAAGATGTGGAAGCTGGACAGTTTCATGAAAGAGTCGCAGAGGATCAACGGGATCAGCATGAGTACGTGCTACGTCTACATCTGATATCCACCTACTCTGACGCACAAACGTTCTCGCAAGCTTCCCTGACGCGCAAGGTTATGAAGGATATCACCCTGAATGACGGCACATTCCTCCCGAAGGGCACCCTCGTTGTCGCGGATGCCTTTAACACCCACCATGACGACAACGTTTACGCCGATGCCGACACGTTCGACGGTTTCCGCTTCGCTCGGATGCGCGAAGGAGAGGGCGAGGGTACGAAGCACCAGTTCGTGAACACCTCGGTCGAGTATGTGACCTTCGGCCACGGCAGGCACGCCTGGTACGTTGATATGTCTTGTCGCTCCATGATATCTTGATTCTTTACTAAGGTTCTCCGTCTGATAGCCCTGGTCGCTTCTTCGCGGCGAACGAGCTCAAGGCCATGCTTGTCTACATCATTATCAACTATGACCTGAAGATCGGCGGGGACGGCAAGCGTCCTAGCAACATTTACCACGGAGCCGGTGTTACCCCGGCGTTCGGCGGGCAAGTGTTATTCAGGAAGCGGCAGGACGCCCCCGTCATCTGAGCGTTGTGTACGATGTACTTTTTTGGGTGGATTGGATCACAAGCTACTGTTTATTATGTCCCTAGTCCCTGTGATAGGAGATCTCGTATACCTCGTGGTGGTTACCATGCTAGGAGGAGACTGCATGCGACCTGATGGGCTGTTACCGCAGATCTTGTCCCAAAACATCTAACTGAAGAGGCTAGCTTCATTCGCTCGTCATGGGATTCACGATGTGCACGTAAACCGTGGCCAAAACGTCACCTCTTCCCGTCTCTCAAGCAGCTTCCGTGTCAGAGGCTTCACCACCTCCCGCTGGCGTCGTGGACATCGCGCTCCTGGTTTGGAAGGAAATGTGCTAACGAAACACCGAATATGAGAGTCATTCGCAACACATGAGCGGTTGCCCTCACATTGAGTCCACAGTAGAACATCCTGCAAGGTGGAGGACGCCGTGCAGTACTTCCAGCCGTTCAGCGGGTATTCACTGGCGCGATTTACATTGACGGCACGAAGGAGTTGTGACTAACGGTGAAATCAACACCACGAGATGGAGATGCGTAGAATCGATGGCGGCGTACCTACCTCATGAGAGGCTCATATCCATCTCTTGGCACATGCTGGGCGGTGGCTTCGTGTGCGTTTGTATGGTCCTTCACCCACCTCAACGCCTTCAACCGCGTTGCGGGCGCGAACATCGACCTCACCAGGGGCCCACGTAGGGCAACGCGCGACACGACGCAAACCTTTCACGTCCATCAGGCCGCGCGCACATCTGACTTAACAGGGCGGGTCCTGTGATGATAGACATTCTAACTCTCAGCTTCCACGATCGTATGGAACACGAGAGACGCACCTACGAAGTTTTAGGCTTCGTCTTGACCCCCCTCCTCCAGTAGCTCATAGCCCGCCCATACCACCTCAGAACAGCTCGTGCAGCCCACAAGGTGCTCCCCAACATCGAGCATCGTCTCGACGAAGACGTACGTGCCTCCACACCGGCACGGATGCGTCCACCTCCCATCGGACTCATTCGCGAAGTCTTCCAGGGACACGATCTGGGCGGGTCGAGGAACTTGACGCGTTCTCTCCGTCATGCGAGCCGCGTCGTACGCCTTCCTGAGCTCCGGGGAGTGTAGCGTGGTGAAGGCTTGCTTGAGTACATCGATGTCGACGGGGTTCGGCCGGGGAGTTGATTGACTACGCTTGTCCGGATGGTGAGCGAGCAGAGCGCGATGGTAGGCGGCTTTGATTTCGGCAGCGTTCGCTGACGGCGATATGGAGAGAACGCCGTAGAAATCATCGGAGAGGGTCATGAGGGTAGAAGATCTGTTCTGGGCGTAGTAGGCGTCTTTTGCGCTCTCGTGCCTCGCGCCTCGCGCTCTGTCAGCGGCGGTCGCAGCAGGCAAGTCCGTCACTTTCGGGGTCGCGTCGCGTGCTAGCGTCTCTCTTCCACGACATCATCTCATCCCATTGCGCATCCACCTGCTTTCATTTCCGACTCACGCTTCACGCGGCCCTGTCCCCCAGCACCACCGTCGCTTTCGAGTGATCGGTTTAGTTACGCTCTTCTGCGGCGGGACTCCTCGAGCTTCGTTTCAGCCCGAAGTTGACGTTCGCCGTGCAGCGAGTGCAGTCCCTTCAGGTCGCGAGCCCTGTTCGTTCACCTCTGTCGACATCTAGCTCCCTCTTTCGCTTGACGACGTGTCTGTGCTTGGCCGCGGGACCGTCCACAAAATCTGGCACTTCGGTTTCCGTCAAGGCACTCCCGATTCTGCCTCTTCGTTGGCTAGCCCCTCCTTCTCAGGACTCGAGTCAGAGTTGCAGGCTTGAATTTGTGCTCCGATCCCAACTTTCCAAGGTACGTTTCCATCCGTGTGAGTCGTTTTGCGTCCCTCAACATTCGATTCTACAGTCCTCCCCCATATGCCTCGGCGCCCACAGCGACCGTCCGCGTTTGGTGTGTCTTTTGGGTCGGACGACGGCAGCGACTTGTCAGCGCACCGGCTGTCGGTCGGCTCCCAGGATGAAGCAGCATCCTCAGATACTGGCCGTCAATCCAAGGAGGTACGTGCTTGCACTTTTGCGATCGAATGCGCCTCGGTGAATTGTTCGTCCATGGCAGAGGCGAAAACGGCCAAGAGAAGGGTCTGACCCTGCCCCTGTAGAACCTCGGAGAAAGCTGGGAAGCACTGTCGTCGGTAGGCCATTGCAACCTTTCTTGAACTGGAGGTTTACCGTGGCGCACTTGTTGTCAGACGTCTCGTATCACCCTACTTCGACTGATATACCAGAAACCGCAGCCATCGAGGTCCTCGGAGAAGACCCGGACGACCTCCACGATGCCAACAACAAGCCCGTGCGGGCCCTCGACAATTTCGAAGTCTTCAACCCAAGTAGCCATTTCAAGCACGTCGGTATAGACGAACTACACCGGTCCTCCGGTGTTTGTCAGGCGGCCGGATTCGTTTCCCCGGTATTCATCAGCGAAGAAGATGCTGGGCAAGAAGATGACGGAGAAGGAGGAGGCGACGACGACGACCCCACGAAGGGGTTGCAGCATCTCCGAACGGAGTCGCTCAAGGGTTACTCCCTCGACTACTGCAAGATGGATGAGTGAGTGATCGCTCTCCAGTGTGGATCATACTGACTTGTCTACTTCTCAGCCCTTTTTATATCGAAACCCAATTTGCATGGTACTGCCTGAAGAGGCCCTCCCAAACTTATCGTCGGACCTTTGTGCAATTTTATCGTCCCCACAGGATTGTCCAGCTAATTATCTCAGTCGCATCTGAAGGTCGTATCATGCAATATGGTGACTTCGAAGAGGAGTACATCGGAAGTTGGGACCCGGCTCTCGACGAGCATCTTCAAATGGAGGACTTTATCGGAGCTGTGGGTGTTTGCCGCCGTGTATCGCCGCGATTCTGACATGCCCTCAGGTACCACTCCTTGAAACCGTGCTCAATGACTTAGATCGTGCGCTACAGACAAAATTGCGAAAGTGCGCCTTCGTGAAGCACATCCTCAGTTCCCAATCCTCCTTCCACATCCCTCTCCCACCATCAACTCCGCTTCCGCAACCTGCTGCTCAGCGCATCCTTCGACTCTCCATCGGCATTGCCGCTTCGCTCGATCTCGCCGTGCTCCAGCCTCAGAACCAAACCCCAACCCATGTGACTCCGCTTATTGATGCTCTTGCTCAAGGCCTCTTCCACGAGCATCTTCAAGTTGTCGGTGCTCAGCTCCCACTCCCGACCAAGGGGGACCTCAAGAGAAGACAGAAAGCCAGATTTCATTTTCTCGTCAAACTCCTCTCTCACCTAGTCAGCATTGAGCAACACAAGATATCTTGGGCAGGCAGGCATAGACTGAGTCAACAGCCGTTTTGGGGTGCCGTCACTATTGATGGTGAAGAGTACAAGGTGAGTGACCTGTTCGTCCGCTTGAACACGAGCCTCATTCAATCCAGGTGGGAGATTGTGTGCTCATCCAGGCGGGGCGCTGGAAGGGTCGATCAGCAGCACGGATACCCACCGACCTTGAAGATATCCCGGAAACCGCTTCTGTGGCAGACTACTTTTGGTACGCATTACCTAGCTGTACGGTAATCCCAGGCTGAGTAATATATATTGCAGGTTTGCGAAGATCATCTACATCAACCAACAGAATGCCGAGCTTCACGTCCAATACTTTGAACACAGTTCGAAGACTATTCTGGGAGAGATCTCGAACCCACAGGAGCTCTTCCTATGCAACATGTGCAGTGACCCTCCAATCTCTCTCAAGAGCTCCTCCATAGCGGGAAGGTGACTGTTCATTACAACCACCCTCAAAACAAGCTCTTGAATCCTGCAGAGTTCTTCTGCAAGTGAGTCCTCCCCACAGAGCCTGAGTCTTGGTGAAATGAACCCTTGTTACTCTAGCTTCATCTACTCTGAGGTGGATGGATCCTTCTCAGACATCCCAGAGTTTGCTCCCCTACCTGCTGGAGACAATTGTCCAGTCTGCTGTGCAGCTTATCAGCTCTCTCATGAGACAGCTGCCACTGCATCTGACCATGCACTCTATTATTTAGGTGCAACCTACCACCAGGATGACTACATCTTGTTCAGGCCTGATGATGCTAACCAGCAGAGCAAGCAGAACCTCCCTGCTTCAGTTGGCAGGATACTTGACATCCATACCCCTATAGCTGCCAGAGCAGCTTTAGATCCTGAGGCCACACAGGTTACTGTCCAGCTTCTAGGGAGAGTGGGAGTTGACCTAAAGGATCTTCCAGACAGCCTTTATAAGCATGAGGTACAGTTGTATGTTTGAGCTGTATTCCACATTTATATATGACATTCTGCCTCAGAGAGAACTCTTTCACACCCGACAGCAAGTGACTATTCCAGCAGTTGATATCCTCAACAAATGCTATGTCCTCCATCACACTAGTTGTCAAGAAACCTGGCTAGCCAGATCTCCTTTCCACTTCTATTTGAAGTACACCCTCCGTTCCCTTGGTGCCAGCTGGAAGCACAGGACTGAGCTCAAAGCATCAGAAGTGCCAGTCTGCCCACCATGCCATGAGGAGCAGGAGGATGCATTCAGGGAGTCTCAAAAGCTCTTCTCAGGACCTACCCCGAAGGGTTGTCTGAGGGCATTTGACCCCTTTGCAGGGATTGGAGCCTTTGGCATGGCCATGGAAGCCACGGGATCTGTCAAGGTTACCCATGCAGTTGAGATCAGCCCCAGTGCAGCCACAGCATTGAAGTGAGTCCCCATTACTGAAGTGGTGACTGCTACATACTGAGACTGCAGATTATAGGAAGAACTCTCCATCTACAACAGTCTACAACCAGTGCTCCAATCTGGTCCTCCAGCACTCCATCAAGACTTACCAGGGACAGCCAAGTGGCCGGCTCAAGGATATCAAGGAAGAGAAGCCTCTTCCCCCACCACCCACTCCATCCCAGATCGACTGCATCATTGCGGGCTTCCCATGGTACGTCCTCTGAGTTTCTTCCCTCTGAACCAAGTGTCCTGAGCAGAAGGATATCTTAGCCAACCACACTCCACGCTAAACATGTTCCAGAAAGCCAACGACCGCAAGAGCCATCTCATCTTGAACCTCCTCTCATGGGTTGATTTCCTCAAGCCGAAGTTCTGCTTCTTCGAGAACGTCAAAGGCTTCCTCAGTTACCGCCTTCACGCACACCAAGCGGGCAAGCACCGGCTCAAAGGTGGTATCAAGTTGGGCGGTCTCAAGTTCCTTGTCTACGCCCTTGTGCAGCTCAAGTAAGCAACGGCTCCCACCCGTCCTGCTGCGCGACTCACATCTATGTCTATGCAGGTATCAAGTTCGCTTCGCACTCCTACAGGCCGGGCACTACGGCACCCCTCAGAGTCGCGTGCGCTTCTTCCTCATCGCCGCGAAGCAGGGCCAACCACTCCCACAAATGCCGCAGCCGACACACAGCTCGCTCTTCAACGAGAGCCTCGAGATTCACCTCCCAGACCCGGACATCACGGACCCCATCCGTCCAATCCTGACGACGAACGGGACCGCCGCGCACCGGTATGTGTGCATCGAGGACGCGATCGGGGACCTCCCGTCGTTCGATTGGTGCGTCTTCTCTTCCCTGTGACGGTTCGGGGTGCAGGATTTGAGATATCGGATCAGGGAGCACCCACAGCACTTCAACAAGAAGCGGCCGCGACGGAGGCAAGGCCACCGGACGGTGAAGAACGACCCCGACGAGGCGGAGTGCGGACCTACGCTCGCGCGCGGGCGGGAGTACGACACGGAGCCGCGGACGTCGTACCAGGCGCGGTGTCGGGAGCGGCCGACCACGGATCTCCAGCACGTCACACGGACGTACAAGCCCGAGACCGTCGAGAGGTGCGTGCGAAGCACTATTGTGTCACCGTCCGCGACTCCGTCGCGCGCAGGAGCCATGCTGACCCGTAGTCTCTCGCCGCGCACTTCAGAGTCGTCAGCATCCCTGTGAGGCCGGAAGCAGACTATCGAGGTACGAACCTTGTGTTCGTCCGCTCGTGGGTCGTCGATCTGACGCGCTCATCCCTCGCAGACCTGAGTGTCGAGCTGTTGGACTGGCAGAGCAGCAACCCGCTCTCCGCCATCGCACGCGAGGGTTATCGCAAGGGTCTCTACGGCCGCCTCGACCGTAACCGCTGGTTCCACACCACCGTGACCAATGTCGAACCGACTGCGAAGCAAAGCTACGTGATCCATTATGCGGTGCGTAACACCTTCGCGCACCACGTCCTTGTCCGCGACGGATGCTGATCGCTATTGCCTGTACAGGACCACCGTACGCTCACCGTGCGGGAGCTTGCGCGCTCCCAGGGCTTCCCAGACTGGTTCGTCTTTGTCGCGGAGGACGGCAAGGTCAAGACGGTACGTCCTCAGGTGTTTACCGCTTCATCTCATCCGGTTGATGGCCTCCATGTCGCTGTTGAACAGATGCAGAGACAAATCGGGAATGCGGTACCGTGGCAGATTGGGGAAGCCCTGGGGCGAGAGCTGAAGAAGGTGCTGATAGATGCTGAGATTGCGCGGAAGTCCACGGCGATCGAAATTTCGGACGAAGAGTGAGCCCGTGACGACGGCGGTCTTCGATAGGTGCATGTCTTAGTTTATGCCACATAACTGTCGATATCGGTCAAGATTATAGGGAGCACATTTGAGGGCGTAATGTACACTGAACAGGAGTATACAAGACCCGCGACAGATCATAAGAACACTAACACACACGCTGGCGTGTTCATGAGTCCAAGTTGTACGCTCGAAACCCAAGGAAAACGTACCGCTATACCAACAAAGCACGACCGGAAGACCGCAGGTCCCTTAAGTGTTCTTCGCACCAGCACGTCCTCCAGCCGCACGCTTCTTCCCTCCTCGGTTAGTCCTTCCGCGATTCGCGCGTCTTTCCAGGCAAGTACTGCAGAACCACTTGGTGCCTTCCGGAGGGAACTGGAGATCTACGCATGGCAGATGGAACTATGCACAGATGAAGTGTCAGCGTCGTTCTCCAGCGAGCAACTGGACACGTACCCATTCGCGCTCGCACTCCTTGTCGTCGCACGCGATCATCTCCCCATAACTCACGCCATTGCAGAAGCAGTAAGTCTTGTTGTCGTCCACCTCTCCTTCGCCCTCTCCAGCACCACTGACAGCACCCGGATCCACGTCGTTCGTGCCTATGAGCTGCTGGAACGCGCGCGCGACGGGCATGCCCGGGCCTTCGAGTTGTCCATGGGGCCAGTCCGGAACGTTGCTCATAGCGCGCACTGCATGCGCGTCGACCATCGGCGTGCCTCGAGGCGGAGGGTACGGTGCTGGGAGAGATGGGTGGCTCGAAGGAGGCGGCTGAGCGGGATAGGCAACACGGCTGACGGAAGGTTCGACATGGTGGGGGCGTTTGTTCGACACGCTGTTGTTCGCGGCACGACTAGACTGGCCTTGACGGGCGGAAACAGAAGGGGGTGGGGCGGAAGGGCTTGTGGAAGGTGAGAAGCGACAGACGCGATGGACTCGGTGGGGGACGCTGCTCTGTCCGCGACTCTAGAGGGTAGACTGTTAGTCTCGGTTAAATCGGGGAATATGCAACCACAAAAATATTGAACTAGGGCATCCACCCCGACACTTCCATCACGAAGATAGAATATGTGGGGGGAGTAGCGCCAAAGACGACCGAAACTAGGACGTATGCAGAAGGATAAGTAGAAGCACTCACTTCTTTGCTCTCCCTCCATTCCTAGGCCGTTGGGCTGGTGCGGCGTCGCCGCGTTCCTTCTTGGTGGGCGTTCTCGTAACGTCGACGTCGTCGTCCTTGGCGACCTTCCTCCGTTTCGCAGGACTAGGGTCCACACCATTTGAGAGGAGCTGACCATAACCGTTGGATGCGCCTGGAGCCCGTCGGGCGCGACGGCCTCCCTCACCGGTCATGCCAGGGGGGTAGAACTTGTGTGTGGCGACGTGGGGATACACGGTCTTGCGCGCGAGGGCCTCGGCGGCGGCAGAGAAGTCCTTGTCCGAGGCTTGTTCAAGGAGCGCGTTCATGTTGTTGCGATGCGCACGAAGGCCATCGGCGGCGTGGCAGGCGACGCGGATTTTGTCCTCACCACCGAGCTTCAACCGGCCGGCCTCCTCCGCAATTTCGGTGAGGAGGAAGAGGCGGTCGTCGTTGGTGCCGGTCTTGGTCTCAATCATGTGAATGAGCTCGTTGATCTTGGCGGTGAGGAGAGTCATGGAGGAAGAGAGGACAGCGTCAAGTTCGCGGAGGTCTCCATAGCTGCGAGAGAGGTCGATGGGAAGGCTGTCGAGAGTATGGGCGTACTCTGAGAGGCAGAGGAGGGTATATGCGGTGTCAACGGGAGACATCATGGCCGGAGGGTAGTGGAGGGCTGATGTCCGGCGCGACATGCTGGACGATGAGCTGAGGCAGATGTCGAAGATGGGGAGAGAAAGGGCGGTGGACGTCGTCCAACGCGGGGCTACAGCTCGCCTGGCAATCCCCGGGCCGGCAAGAGCCGCCTCCTCCGGCGGCGCCTGCGCGGGCCTTCATAGAAGCTACTACTTATATCGGTAACACCGTCGGCGAATACATCAGGTATGCAAGCAATGCACCATGCGTACTCTCGCCACCCGAGGCAACCACTTGCCGATCGAACACCGTGTTGTAGGCCGTGTATATAGTGTACACGGCTGCTTATATTCGTCACAATGACCACAGTGTCTTCTTACCGCAAGCTGTACCCATTTGATCCAACATGCACACCTCCGATCATGGCTCCGGGGAAAACGACGAAAGGTAACTTGTATAGTATGTGACAAAGCTCAGACGAAGGGGGCACCCTCACGCTTCCTGAATATCATTTGCCCATCGAACGCGGGGATGATGTCAGTTCCGTTGTGGATGATGCAGCGCCGTTAGCCCGTCTCCACCAACATCCATGTCGGTGCAGTTGAGGATGTAGACAATCATTACTTTTAGCTCGTTTGCGGCGGAGAAGCGACTGGTGCTGTCAGAAGACACAACATGTCACTTAGTAAACCTATCACAATGCAGGAGATAGGAACAACATACCACGCGTGCCTTCCATGAACGATGGTCACATAGTTAACCGAGGCGTTGACAGACTCGTGCTTCGTCCCCTCGCCCTCACGCACCCGGGCAAAGTGGAAGCCGTCAAAGGTGATGCCACCGTCGTTCCGCGTAACATGCGCGACAGGGAAACTGCTGGGGCAGTATCATCGAGTTGCGTGGGCAGAAGAGCAGGCACAACGCATAGTCATGCTGATCCCGTTTGGCTCTGCGACTCTTTCGTGAAATTATCGAGCTTCCACATCTTGATCATAGCCGCCTTGGTCCAACCCTCTTCAGTGATGACGGTTTCGACTTCCTCACGAAGCGGAAAAGGTACTGAGGCTCAGTAGCGAGACGATGGAGGGTATGGATGGTGCTCTGGGAAGAATGGGTCAGGATATATGCAACGTTGTTCCCATATTAATTAGATATACGCACATTAGACGATGTGCCATGAATGGCCGTCATGTTGAGGATCAAGATGGTCTTCGCGATGCAATGGGCCGAGGGTGTTGTAGAATCCATTGGGCGGGGTTGTTCTGTTGCACTGTTAGAATGCATACCACAAGAGTCAGGACCTGGAGCAGGCAAGACCCATCGGGCTGTCCGGCCAGTAACCGTCAAACTCCCTCATCTTGGCCTTGCTCTCCTCGATAATCGGTACGGATTGGTAGCTGAGGGGTGCAACGTCTTTCTCGCCTTGCCGATGATTGGCCCGATAATTCTGGAAAAAATCCATTGTCAGTATCACCTCCGTTCTGTTACGCCAGTTGTCTTGCGGTTTGAGATGATCATCATCTTGCCATTATCCTGGAATCTCGGCGAAAAAATGTGTGCTTTGGCAGTAAAACCATCGTTCCTGATGGCATTGTCAGTCGTTCCCAAGTGGCAGTGGTGTGACACGGAAGTACTCTCACCTCGGCAAACCGACAAACACGCGATCCGAGAAATCACCTTGCGAACATCGATACGGAGACAGATTGCCATTCTGACCCTGCCGGAAGACAAAGAGCAGTCGTAAGTTAGCTTCCAACTCGGACACAGAGACTCGTGAGCATGCGAGCGCGCGGTGCGTCGGGTGCATGTCGAGACTCGCATAGATACCTACCGTCCCGTCCTGATTACTCAAACTTTGGCGCAGATAAGAAAAAAACTTTATGCGTCCTTAAAAACAGAGGGCCAGGAGCAGTTGAGGTTGTGTGGCGTCAAGGCAGAAGGCTAGGTCGACGAAAGCAGGCTGCGTGTGGTTCTCATGGCCGGTGGCGAGAACATCTGGGCGGTGCTCAGCGCAGCAGCGCTGCCCACAACAACCACGCGTAGTCCTGCGGTCCGCTACATCGCCACCTTTCATTCGTTCCTCGGGCGTTGACCGCCCCTTTCATCTGTCGGGCCAGCTTCTTCAATACCTTCTTCTGGATGCCTCCTTCGACGCCCATTCCGGAAATTGTCGTTACCTCCCACTCTGACTTCTATGACCGTTCGGGAGGCCTGACACCTCGGACTCCCCACTCCCGCGCCGGCCGTGCGGAGGAGGGGTTCACCACGGAAGAACGCGAGGCATGCGACGACGACGAAGCCAACGACTACCGCAGCCAGCTCATTCAAGAGTCTCAAGGGCTCCTCTACCCCGGCTACAGAGCTCGCGGCGACAACCACGATGCCCATGAGCAGGACAGGCAGTCCACTACCACCTTTGTGTTCACATTTCTAAAAAGGATGCCTATTGCTGCTGGGTTCGTGGTCGCTCTCCTCCTTCTCGCCGCCACTTTCATTTCGTGGCGGGATCCTGGCACACTCGAAGTCGCCCTCAATATCGGTAACGCCACCGACCTCCTCGGAAATTCAACGAAGAACGGCACCGCGCCATCGGTTTCCAAATCACTCGGACAAGAGTCTACTACAGTTGTTTCAAACGCTCAGTCAGTGTTTCCCTCCGCCTCTGCCACCTCCGAAGTACCCCCGGCATCGACGTCCTCCACAAATCCTGAGACTATTCAAGCACCTCTGCGTCTCATATCCTACGAGAACTACACCGAGTTCCCTCTCACTCCCGACCAATATCGGGATGAATGCCACAAGTTGATGGGAAGCTTCATGCCTCACGGAGCATACTGGGAAGAACCCTTTGCGGGCCCTCTCGACGTCGCGCATTCAAAGCCGGAGGCCAAGACCGAAGGCGACGACACGCCATTCTGCACGAGTACCATCACTTATATGCTCGACGGTACTGTTGGTCTTGCCGCCGACTTGGCTCTACTGGCCCAAGTCGCCTCTTTTGCTCGCGAGGTGAGCACATACAGAACCTATGGCTGGCTAACAACGCTAACAACACATATAGCGCAACAAAACTCTTCTCATCGAAGACAGGCACTGGAACCGTGGCTCGTGAGTACTATTCATCTTACCCTATCTTCTCTACCTCGCGTGAACTTGGTGCTCAGGTGGTCGGATCACTTCCAAAACGTTCGCCTGCTTCAACGAGGTCCGGAGCCTGGCTGCAAGCCACCTCCACCGAGTGGTGAGTGACGTGGAGCGAAATTGAGCATATCTGATTAGTATTCACCTACTCAGAACTCGTTGCATGTCCTAGAACTGCTAGGTGAGCTATTAACGTCTAACTTGCATACAATAGCTGACACTTTTTCAGGCATTTGGTGAGCACGCAACATGTCGGAAGTTGGAGAGACCCCTCATAAGACAAGCGTAGATAATCAGCGCCAAAACATCAGGGTTTCACTTCGGTGAACCGTTTTACGAGGAGTATGAAGACCCGTACGTCTTCCTTCCACTTGTGCATTAACATTATCTCATACCTCTAATAGCTACGGCCATCATATGAATCGGGCTAAGCCAATCTACAACAACGCTCGCGCCTCATTTGAAGAGGTCATTCGTCCCGGCGCCCGCAATAACTTCCTCATCCGTGCTGTACGGGACGAGATTGTCTCAACGCTTTCTCTCACTTCGCCGGACCACCATGATCGACGACACGGCGACCACAATGTCGACTACGACCCTCAGCATAAAACTCCCCACCCGCGCCTTACATCGGCGTACACGTCCGTCGGGGAGATCGTCGAGCGGATGGCATCAGCTTTTATCCACCTAAAGGCCACATCCCTCTCGAGAAGTTCATCGACGGGGCGCGCACCACCTGGGACCGCTTCTACGGCAACAAGTCCCATTCGGTGCGCCACGAGCACGACGAGCCCGCCGGCGTCGACGCTCACGACATCGCGGAACACGAAGTTCCTACTGGCCTCCGTCTCGGTCACGACGACAAGTACCCTGCACCGCCGATCATGTGGTTCGCCTCAGATTCCCCAGCCGAAGCGAAGGATTTCGCATCCGCGTTTTCGCCCGCCACTGCCATTTTCTCTTTGGCACGAAGCACAATTTCCGCCGTACGCGCGCTACAGTCGGAACGCGAGTACGTGCAGCTGGAGTTCAACCAAGAATCGCTAGAAGACCGCATCAGGCTCACCCGGGGGGCCATCGTGGACCTCGCGATGCTCGGTGGGTTGTGGGCGTACCCCGGGCAGATCGTGCCGGGAGCGACGGTGTGCATGGAAGGGTGGGTGGACATCTGTCTCAGCTGACCGCTTTGTTGACTCTTCTCGCCATCTAGGTCGAACGTCTGCAGAATGGCGGCCTCGGATTTGGCTTCGAGCGCGCGTTCGGGTTCGACGACAACGGGACATTATTCGGGTGACCCGAACCCGGAGCGGGCGCGCTGGGTGGACGTGGACCTAGCGGGCAGGGTGATTCCGCCTGGAGGCCGCTGGAGGCCCACTAACTTATTCTTTTCTATTTGCGCGAGGGATGTATGCATGTAGTTTACTGCGTTGAAGGTTGATAGATACGTTTGGGTTCTACTGGCGACTGCTTGCCTCAACTCGCTAGATGTACGAACTGATGAGTCTGCCTGGCCAGCGGTGTGGCTATCGTAATCCACACGCGGGTCCGCGACCAGAGATGTCTCTGCAACCTTTCCTGCACACCAACGCTAGCTTTTATGACGGTCTAGTTCTCTTGTATACCCATAAGCTGCAAGTCGTACATGGTCACTCTACCGAAGAAATCCGAGCTCTCCTCAAAAACAAACTTCAGCCCGATCACCGCCCAATCCTCTCCAGAAGCATCGAGCGGTAGAAGTTCGAAGCTCTGCTTGCGGTTCACATCCTCCGGATATATGCGCGTCAGCACCTCCCACTTGCGCTCTTCGCCCGCTCGAAGAGCCTCCACGGAGCACTTTGTCCCGACGAATCCGCCCTGGAAGGTGAGTTCTGCATGCCTTAAGGCTATAGGTGCAGGGAAGGAGAGCTGGATGTACTGCGGTGTTCCCTGGGCAGGCTTCAGAGGGCAGGGATGGCGCAAACGAGAGAAGGGGTCGTACCTGCTGGGATGTCCAGCATGTCTCTGGGCTGCCATCTGTGAGGTTCTTCTTCCCCACTGACTTGTCAAGCGTCGAGCTCACTCTGCAAGCGGACTTACGGTCAGACTCCATCCCGCAGATCTGGCGAAGACACACACTTGATCTTGGTCTCCGAGTTAATCAGCGAGTGCAGTGCTGCGGCCATGGAGGTCGTCAAATTGTTCCAGCGAGGCTCGGGGTATCGGTTCGAAGGAGCGTCTAGGATTATCAAGTTTGGAAGTAGAAGAGCACAGTTGTCCTGGAGCAGAGTTACACAAGAGTAACAGACAAGTCCAGTCATGTGACGCAATGTCATCATAATAGCCAGACCCACATACAGCCTGTTCAGCTCTCTCCCACCTCCCCCATGTCCGACGACTACGCAGGGATCCCGACATGGCTTGTCAACGCCCACAACGCTGAGCACCTCACCGACGTCATCCGCACGCTCGGCAAACGCGAGGGGCTGCGCTCCGCCGCCCGCGCTGCCTCGCTCTATCAGGCGAGCTCGCAGAAGAGACACACCATCGCGCAGATCGCGTCGGCGATGAACACGAAGGCGGCCCGCACCGACCACTACTCGATCTCGGCGGGCGCGGACACGGCGAACGCACGCTCCAACCGCTACGTGGACATCCTCCCCTACGACCGCACGCGCGTCGTCGTCTGCCCCGGCGCGGTGGGCCACGCCTGCTCGAGCGACTGCGCCGACGGCCGCTACCTGAACGCGAACTGGGTCCGCGAGCGCACGGGCGGGAAGTGGTGGGTCGCGACGCAGGCCCCGCTCCCGCACACCGCGCACGCCTTCCTCAGCGTCTTCCTCGACGGTGTCTCTCCGCCCCCCTCCTCCTCTCCCTCTTCCTCGTCCCCCTCTCCCTCCGCTTCCACTTCCACGGGCGCAGACCCAACCCACACCCTCCGCGCGCGCGCACGCATCCGCACCGTCGTGCAGCTCACCCCGAACATCGAGCACGGCAAGCGCAAGGCGCACGTCTACTTCCCCCCGCTCCCCGGCCAGTCCTGGGTCGTCGAGCCCGACCCCGCCCCCGGCATGCCCGGCGCATCCGCGCCCCCGGCCGCGAACCGGCCGATCTCGGTCACGCTCCTGCGCGCGCACGACGTCCCCGCCGCGCACGCCGCGCACAGCGCCGTCGCGGTCCAGGCGCTCGACCCCGCGTCGCGCGCGCCGGTCGGGCCCCGCGTCGTCTTCCAGCACCTGCTGTACGCGTCGTGGCCGGACCACGGCGTGCCCGCGCGCGAGGACCGCGAGGGGCTGCTCGCGTTCGCGCGCCTCGTGCACGACGTGAACCGCGACCTCGCCGCGCACGCCGAGCTGGAGGGCGGGCAGGGCGACGGAGGCGGGGGAGATGAGCTGGACCCGGACCCGCCGATGATGGTGAACTGCTCCGCGGGTGTGGGTCGGACGGGGGCGTTCATCGCGCTGTGCTCGCTGCTCCGCCACTGCGGCTTGCTGCCGCCGGTCGAGGGCGGGCCCCCGGGAGAGCTGCCGCCGTCGCCGCTGGGGGCGCTGCAGAGCGACTTGGTGGCGCAGGAGATCGACGCGCTGCGGGAGCAGCGGCCGGGGATGGTGCAGCGGGACGACCAGATCCTGATGGTGTACGAGACGCTGATTTCGGCGTTGGTGGACGTGAAGGGGAAGGAGGGAGCGAAGTAGGTTTGTTCTCTGTGGGAAATTCACGCTTTTTATGGCTATGTACGTGTGTTGTGTTTTACAGCGACTGTATGAGGGACGTACGAATTGGCGACAAGTGTTGTGGGTGTGCAGTAGGAAGTGACGTCATCCTCAGGGCGTGGGACTGGAGCGCTCTGATCCGCGCGGGGTCCCGACAGTTGCCCACGGACGACGACGGTCATCTGGACGCCATCCCTTGGCCGTCGAAGCTCTGAAGCCAGCGATGTCGAGGATGAATCAGCAGCCCTGTGGGAACTCGCAGTTGGTGGCGATATATCACCCCCATGTGTGATCGCTTTCCCGATGGCTCTGCGTTCCTCTCTTTGGCAGCGCCAGGCCACACCGCTCCAGGTCGACCGTCTCCTTCGCGCTTCGCTGGCTTCCTCCCGTCTCGGGCTGCTCACACGCCATCTCTCAGGCACCGGTACTTTCGCTCCGTGCGCCAAGAACGATACATCGCCCGCGATGTCCAGCTTTCCAGAGACGATCAAGGCGATTGCGATCGACAAAACGGGCGACATCAACGATGTCCTGGAGGTGAAGACGCTGCCTTTCCCCGCGCCCACGCCAGGAAATGTCATCATCAAGGTATGTTGCCTGCTAAATGGTCACTTCGTTGTGCTCATCCCTGCTCGTGTGCGTGTGTGTGCACATTAGGTCGCCTATTGCGGTATCAACTTCATCGACACTTACTACAGGCACGGCGACTCTGCTCGCGCTTGCGATGCGTCCAACCAAACACTGACTTCGCCTGAAGGAAAGGCCTGTACCCCATCCAGTCCTTCCCCCAGATCCTGGGCATGGAGGCCTCCGGCACCGTCGTCGCCCTCCCTCCAGACGCCGCGTCCCTCCAGACCGAGTCCGCCGAGTTCCAGAAGCGCGGCCTCCAAGTCGGCAGCAGAGTCGCCGTCGTGAGCCTCCGCGTCCTCCGTCCCGTCCCACCCACCGATTGCTCACGCCTCTCCCCCACACAGAACTTCCTCGGCGTCCACGCCGAATACGCCTCCGTCCCCTGGCCCAAAGTCTTCCCGCTCCCCGCCGCCGTCTCCCTCCGGACCGCGGCCGCTGCGACGCTCCAGGGCCTCACCGCGCTCGCCTTCGTCGAGGAGGCGCACCCCGTCCGCGCCGGCGACCGCGTCTTCGTCCACACCGTCGCCGGCGGGTTCGGCCTCCTCGTGGCGCAGCTCGCGAAGCGCGCCGGGGCCGCGCTCGTCCTCGGCACGACCTCGAGCGCGGCGAAGGCCGCCGCCGCGCGCGCGGCCGGCGCGGACCACGTCATCCTGTACAACCGCGAGGACGTCGTCGCGCGCGCGCTCGCGCTCACCGGCGGCGAGGGCGTCGACGTCGTGTACGACGGCGTGGGCAAGGACACGTGCGTGTCGTTTCTGCCTGCAGTGTCACGGAGAATCGGGTGGAGGGCCGTCCGGTTTCTGTCGTGAGAGCCGCCATGACGCGCTCTCCTTTTTTCTTGGCCTACGGGACCACAGCGGTGCGCCGCGCGAACCCGAGGCCACGTCGCGCGACGCGCACCCACGGTGTTCGGATCCAGCCAAGGGAAGTCAAGGCTGACCACGCTGGCTCGGCAGGTTCCTGGACAACTTCAAGATCCTCCGCCGCAAGGGCTCACTCATCAGCGTCGGGAACGCGTCCGGCGCGGTCGAGCCCATCGCGCCCCTCAAGCTCGTCGAGAAGAACCTCAAGCTCATGCGTCCGACGTGAGTCGCCGTGCGCTCGATCGTCTGTCCACCCCGCGAACTAACGGCCCGCGCTGCCCAGCATGGCTAATTACATCTACACCCCCGAGGAGGCGCGGTACTACGGCGAGAAGCTATTCGACATCATCCCAAGGACGAGCTCAAGATCAACATCTACAAGGAATACCCGTTCACCACCGAGGGCGCCCGCCAAGCGCAGACCGATCTGACCACCAAGGGCGGCAGCACCGTCGGAAAGCTCCTCTACAAGATCTCGGACGAGTAGCGGAACCTAAGAACAAGCCAGACGGCAAACACAGTGGTGTACGATACATATCGATGGAACGACGTTCACGCCAATTGCGACGCTCTGATCATCCGCGGATCAGACAAGCCCCCATGAGTGTTTGTCATAAATCGTCATCATCGTCATAGTCGTTGCGCATACTCTAAAGGTTTACAAATTACGTCCGTCGACAGTCCTCTCCACGAGCCCAGGAACGAGTTGGGTCCGTAACACCCTCCTTCAACGCGTTCGAGTTGGAGGTGCCATCGCGCTGTCTTCAGCGGGGAGGCCGCTGAGAGAGACGACTTGCGAGTGGGCTTGTGCAAGGGCGGTGATGAGGGCGGAGAGCTGGGCCGGGCTGGGCGCACTAGCAGCGTTCTCGGCCTGGACGCCGCCAGCGGGCTTCTGCTGCAGGTTGAGGATGGACAAGATCGTCTTGACGAGACCTTCGAGGGGGCCACCGACGGCAGGGATGCTGCCCAGAAGACCGACGAGGTCCAGGATGGGAAGCTGTCGGCGGTATTGCGAGTGCTCGTACTCGTCATGGTACTGGTACTTGTCGGAGTACTTGTCGTCTACAACGACAGAGGTTGAGAGAGGCGATCACGGACGAGGAGCGACGCACGTACCATAGTGGTCTGAGTAAGCCTTCGAAGGGTACTCTACCGCCGACCTGTCCTTGCCGGGCTGCGGATGCTCAGGGCCAGGTCTCGACCGATCTTGAAAGTGCTCGGAGAGCGTGCCATGACGGAGTAGTCGGGAGCGTCGGCGGTGGGAGCAGCCAGTGCCGAGGAGGACGCGGAGACGGCAAGGGCGGCGGCGAAGACGAAGGACGAGCTGGAGGTGACCTTCATGGTGGATAGTGATGTGGGGGTGGGTCGCTAAGCGGCAGGACAGCGGTAGGAGAGCGTAAAGGGCGGTCTCGTCAAGAGATCGTGGTGGAAGGAGAATGAGCGCGGCTGGGGGCATCGGGGGCCCGCGAAGGGCTCTTATACGCCCCCGTCGCCGGGGTCGCCGGCTGACGGGCCTGGCTCTTGAGGCTGGCGGCCTCGGTTCCGAAGGAGTCGGTGGTGGAAGCCGGGCCCGGATCGAACGAGCTTGGGTCGAAGGATCGAAGTCGACGGGGTGCCAGCCTCTTCGCGTAGGGACGTTCCGAGGATGGCGGCGTGCGAAGGCCCGCTGAGACCGTCCTCGCGTGCTCTCGTGAATCAGAACGCAAGCTTGGACCCGACAAGAACTGCACTCCATAGACACTGCACTGAACGAGACAACGCTGTTCCATGAATACAGAAAGTGCGGGGCCTTAAGGACGCTCCGGAAGCCCGCTGAACACATGTCAGTTGACGAGGGCGGCGCCGGAGAGCCTCGCGAGCTTCCCTCCAGCATCCGCAAGGACCTTCGCAAGGGCGGCGAGTTGCGCGGAGGTGAGCGCGGCGGGGACGCCGGCTTGGGGCTGAACTGGAAGCGCGCCGGTGGTAGCCAGGATCGCCTGGAGGAGCTCGCTGAAGGTCGGCCCGACGGCGGGGACGCCGCCGAGGAGGGCAAGAATGTCGCCGAGCTGGACCTGGCCCCGTCGGGAGATCGAATGGTCGTTCGCATCGTCCACTATCAAAGTCCGTCAGCGAGGGGTGTCGGAGGGTATAGACGGGATCGTAACGTGCTTGGGAAGAAGTCTCCCGTGGAGGCGACCAGTCCTCCGGCGTCGTCTCTAGCGTGGACGTCGTTGTCGAAGTCTTCGTGGCGTCCGGCGAGAGCCACCGACCGATAGCTGGACGACGAGGGAAAGGCGTCCCGCTCTGCGAGATCGGGGATGCTGGGCGCGGCGAGCGCCATGGTGGAGGACGAGACGGCGAGTGCGGCCAGGAGGAAAGATGAGCTGGAAGAGACCTTCATCGCGGGTGAGAGGAGGAGAAGTAAAGCTCTTCAAGAGCACGTCGCGGTGAAAAAGGAAAGAGTGAAGAGAAAAGACGAGAAGGCAAAGCATATCACGCGTCTTGTCGCAATCCTGGCGGGGGCTGACCACACCATAGACGGCTGACTTGTGGTCGCATTTAGCAGTTCGCCGCCACCTCGCGAGTCGAGTGCAGACGAGTTCGTCGCTCATGTCGCTGAACATGGCTACGCTGCCGAGTGATGCCGAGGTGCTGACGATCCGACCGCCGCAGGTAGCCAAACGCCGAGCGAGAGGCCGCACAACGCCGCACAGCCGCGCAGGTATGACGAGGGACGGTGTCAAACGAACCAGATTGTGGGCATTAAAGCAGCGTCAGCCGAGACAACAATAGCTCTATAGAGTAATACACACGAGCGAAGCTGGCAGGCCGGGAAAAGGTCAGCCACGTGCTACGTCAGCAGGCCGGACACAACCCACCGCGTGTGGCCGCACGCGACCGAGTCACATCCTCGATCGCCCCCGATACTCGAGCTCGAGCAGCTGCAGATCGTCATCCTCCCATTCGGAGCGATCCTGGCGACGGCGGACGTAGGCACCGCCGGGAGCGGCGCGTGCGCTGAGGAGGATGAAGTCCCAGAGGTCGGCGAGGGAGGCGACGATCGGGCGGCCGAGGCAGGAGGAGAGGAGGCACCACGCCAAGAGCGCGAATCTGGCGGGGGAGAACGTTGGGAAGGCGTGGCGGAGATCGGGGCAGAAATAGCGCGGCTCACATCAGCACGGCGAGGAGGGCGAAGAGCGGCAAGAGGGCGCTCGCTGGAGAGTCCGCCATGGCGCGGTGGACGACGCGACTGGGAGCGTGGGGATCGGGCGGGGGAAGGGTGTGAAGACCGCTATCTGATAAGATGCGACGTGAGTGCGGGGCGTGGAGCGTGGCAGAGCTGGCGGAGGTGGGACCGGGGCGGCGGAGGGCGGGCTGGGCAGCGTCGCGGGCAGCGTCGCACGCGCACGGACTGGAGCGGAGGGGGCAAAAAACGCCGGGCCGAGAGGCTGGAGCGGTGGAGGCGCCGGGGGAGATAGGCGCGATGCCAGCACAGGGTGGCGCTGTGTGCTCCTTGTCTCTGCCCATCACCCAGCCAGCAGCCCCGACACGCGACCGAAGGTGAGTAGCCGTGGCCGCGGGCAGATCGTGCGGGGAACGCAGATTGGATTCTGTGTGAGATGGCGACCGAGGGAGCGGGAGCGGGAGCGGCGCCGTCCAGAACAGAGGATCGAACCACTCGCGCCTAGTACCGCTCCCTTGGGTCCCGCATGTCCCTGCCCATTTCCCCCCCTCCTCCGCCCACCGAGCTCATCCGCGCCGTCCCAGCCCCGGCCCTAGCCATGTCCAACACCGCGAGCTCGTCCACCGAGGGCCCGCAGCCGACGCCCGCCCTGCCCCCCGCCAACGCCGACTTCAACGTACGTCGTTCTCTCTCCCTTGCTCGCCTCCGTAGTCACGGCACGCCCCAGCATTCCGACACAACGGTACCCGATCTGCTCCAGCAGCTCGACGCCGTCGAGAAAGCGTCTGGGCCCACCACGCCCGTCGACGACCGTGATCCGTTCAAGTTTCGCGGCGCGTACAAGTCCCCCGACGAGCTCACCGCCCTCCGCAGGCGGCGCAAAGGCAAGCCCTTGGAGAGGTACCACCGGCGCCAGAACAACGTCAGCCGTCCTCATCGTCCCCCACCACCCGCTCCACACGCACTGACGCCTCCCAAAATAGCTCATCGATGACCTCCTCAAGACCATGGACGAGCATACAAACGAGGCTCGCGAGGAGGAGGAACAGTCTCGCCTCGCCGTAAGCGCCCATCCAGCACCGTCCACCGCCCTCTTGGCGGCTAACACATACCCGCTTCTAGATCCGCATCGCTGTCTGGGCCAGTCTGGTCGCCAACCTTAGCCTATGCATCCTCCAGAGTATGTCCTCCTCTCGCCCCGCCCCACGCCACTCACCTCGCTCCACTCACAGTGTATGCCGCCATCTCCTCCTTGTCGCTCTCCCTCCTCGCCACCGGCATCGACTCCGTTTTCGACATCGGTAGCAACGTCCTGCTCGTTTGGCTCCACAGAAAGGCCAGTGCCCTCGACGTCAACAAGTGGCCTGTCGGTGGCTCCAGGCTCGAGACCATCGGCAACATTGTCTACGGTTCGTGAATCAATGTTTATCCCATGTAAGATCGCTCGCTCAGCCAGTTCGCAGGTTTCCTGTAAGCGCTGCTGCCCAACGTGTGCCCTGGAATATTCTGAAAATTTTTCTAGGATGGGTTCCGTCAACCTGGTCGTCGTTGTCGAGTCGGCTCGTACCTTGATTGATCACTCGGGCGACGACACCAACTCACTCCATGTGCCCTCACTCATCGCTGTCGGCGCTGCTCTCGGTGCGTTGATCCGGATTTCCCGGCGGCAAAATGACTGACAACGACACAGGCGTCAAGTTCTTACTGTTCCTCTACTGCTTGGGGTACCGTGGCGCGTCCAGCCAAGTCCGCATGCTGTGGGAAGACCACCGAAACGATTTGTTCATCAACGGGTTCGGTAAGCACATCAGCGCTTCGCGTCGAGCAAACACTCACGGTGGGGCCGACGCACAGGATTGCTCATGTCCGCGGGTGGCAGCAAGCTTGCGTGGTGTGAGTATGCGTGTGAGGCTATCCCTAGCATCATTCGCTTATATCTCTTCCCTCCTAGGGCTCGACCCGATGGGAGCGATTCTCGTAGGCTCACTCTCTCCCGGAGAAAGTACAAGAATGCTCACACGAAAATCCTCGCAGATCGCTTTCGGTGTCATTGTCGCGTGGTCACGCACAATCTACCGCCAATTCGAGCTCCTCGCCGGGAAGTCCGCCCCACACGACTTCCTCCAGCTCCTCATCTACAAAGCGATGACTTTCAATGATGAGATCGAGAAAATCGATACTGTCCGCGCGTACCACGTAAGATTTACCGCTATTTCGGTTCGATCAAGAGTGCACCCCTAAATGCGCGGTTCCTGCAGAGCGGTCCCGACTACTATGTCGAGGTCGACGTCGTAATGGACGCAAACACCCCTTTGTGGAAGGCGCACGACGTCGCCCAGAACCTCCAAGATAAGATTGAAGTCCTGCCTAACGTCGGACGGGCCTTCGTGCACGTCGACCACGAGACCACACACAGTCCCGTACGCGTCTTAACGCTACCTTCTGGAGTCGCCATTGATATTCATTCCACGCACAGGAGCACCGGGCGAAGACTCTGTAGAAACGACACCAGGGTGTGCGCCGGCTACAGGGACTGATACCCATGAAACGCGCAGCGCTTTTTATCTCCCTCCCTATATCACGCCCTCCAACGACAGAGCTATGACGAACAAAGCGCGAGTGGTGCGCACGTGTAATATGTCGCATTAGGCGCCTACACTTCCCCTGTAATGCTTGGTCACGGACTGAGTCTACGTTTGTATATGCTATCATCTCGGCTACTCATTGCGTTCAACGGCAGCTCGCGGCGTGTTGTCTGTCATGTCGGCGTTCGAAGAACTCGGAGGAAGTTACAAGCATAACGCCCGGCGTCCCTTCCATCGTTGACACCCAAAATCTCGACGTTCCAGATGCTAATGTTCATCCGTGAGCACGCTCTTCGGTTTCCTTTGTATTTAGACGTTGATTGCATCGCTGTCTACAGTTCTTCCTGACATACCGTGGCTCTCTGAGCCGCTTTCCAAGCACCGCGCAGACGCCGGCGTTCTCCTCCCAAGCCCATTGGTCGATACGACATGTTCCGGGCGATTCGCTCTCAAGAAATTGAACAGCGCGCTCGGGTGAGTGTATTGGCTCTCGAAGTCCTCGAGGCTTCTTCATTTGGCTCTACAGCATGTGGACGTCACAACATCGGTGTTATACTCCTCCGCCGACGTCGACGTTGCGCCCGTCGGCGTTCTCTGCCGAGTTCCGGCCGACGCGGAGATGCGACGCTGCTGCCGCGTATTCTAAGGATCCTCGAGGGCGCGTCGCGTGTTCGTTCACCACCCGCTGCTCAATATCCAATGTCGACGCGGTCGAAGGCCGCCGCTCTGGCGAGTCTGCAAGCGACGGACACCGCAACACCGACGATAAAGAGGCCGCTGGGCACGACTTGTGCAGGCGTCGGCCGACCCGGACGCGGCCAGCACTCTGCCCGTGGCTAAGTACCGACCATACCGCGGCACCTGCCACCGACCATGCAGGGGGCCGCGACCCCGGCGGCTGCGCCCGCCAAGGAGCGCTGCCGCACCGCCCGGCGATAGATCCCCTCCGCCCTCCGACTCGCCGAGCCCACGATCTTGCGCGGTTTCGTGGACGCGGCCACCAGTGCACCACTGCCACCGCCGCTGCGCGTGCCGCCGCCCTGCTCGTGCCGACACTGCGGGCTGCTGTGCGTGCGATGGGCGTGCGCGTCGTGCGGCACACCGGGGTCGGCATCGTGGGCGCAGTCGCGTGAGTACATGGCTGACTCCGTCGCGCTTGGGCCCCGCACACACTTCCCGACCTTCACATCGTCCTCGCCACCACTGTTGAATGTAGACCTCGGTGCGTCCAGACCTCGCGGCCTGAAGGCGTTTGCATGAAGTAGCCGCTTCTTCATGCATCCTTCTCTGAACTAAAAGTGCGCGAACCCTGGACAAGGAACCCGTTACAATATTCTTACGTGCCTGCGTCTCGTAGGTACTGCCCCGCGTCCTCTTCATGGGCTTTGCGCGGCCATCCTACCGTCACCGTCCGCGGGGCCATCGCAGACATCCGTGCTCGCGACCACGACAGGCGTTCGCGGCCGCCGAGCGGGCGAAGGAGTCGCTCGCCGGATTCGTGCGGCGCTACCTTCGTCAACGTGCGTCGTCGACATGATCGCGAGCCTGCTCGGGCTCGCGTCCGTCGTCAACCCGGTGTGAGTCTCCGTGTCCCCGAGACTTTGCCGTCGAAGCCTCGCCCGCCCGCCCATCCCCGTCCTGCCCACTTCCGTTCTGGGAGGGCCAGCTGGGGGCACCTCACTGCTGGCTAGGATGGGCGGTTCAGCCTCTAGTGCGACGTTGTTCGACACGTCCGCGCTGCGAGACCGGCTCGACACGAGCGAGCACCTAGGGTGACGCGTAACGCGAGTCGGTCGGCCGGGCCCGTCCGCGGTCGCGCGTGAAGGGGGAGCTTGGCTCGTTGGCTTTTCACGCGCCTCCAATGTGGAGCGCCGGGATAGGGTGTCAGGTCGATTGAGAGCCTCGCACGGCGTAGATGGGAAGTGGAGAGGCCGAGGTCTCGCCTGGGCATCTGGATCCCTCGGCGGAGGAAGGCTAAGGAGAATGCGGGTTTGTTTGTTTTTCAGAGCGGGCGTCCAGAGTGCGGGCACATGACGCGTGGCGAGCTTCAGTACGACCGTGCGCGATATGTGAGGGGAGGACCCCGCCGCTCACTGTGCGAACAGTGAAGGGCTCGCGCCAGCTTCCAGCCGAGCAGAAGAACCGGGAGATGGTCTTAAGACGTCCCCCTCGCCGTCTCCATCCCATCCTACCTCGCGCGCATCCCCCACTCGCCCCAGACTGCCTCGCTGCGGTGAGTAGTGACGGCCGACTCGCAGCACACGCCTTCCTAATCCGGACCCCCGAAATAGCGGAGTGAGAATCGGCCGTGGTTAGTTGCTACAGCTACCGATCCCTCGGTGCCCCGCCCCTTGCTCCCTCCCACGTCGGCCCGGGCCCTCGCTGACCGCGATGTTGGTAGATCATGGCCCTCGTCGAGTTGGACGACGCCGACTTGGACTACCTCGCCGCGGCGACCCCAGGCAGCTCGGTACGCGCCAACCATTGAGCGCTTGAGGGCCGATCTGATCTCAGTGACAGCACTCTGGCTCCGATCATGGCCCACGCAGGGACGAAGAGTGCGTGGCGCCGGACGACGCCCTTGCCTCCGCCCACCACGATCCCTATGCCCTCCGCCGCGGATACAAGACTCGCCATGAGCTCGATGCCATCAAGCGTGCCCGGCGCAGCAAGAGCATCAATAGCTTCTACGAGAAGCAGAACGATGTATGCTGTCGTCTGATTCGGCTGCGCCCTCATTTCAAGTGCTCACTGCACGCGTCCATAGCTCATCGTCTCCCTCCTGAAGCCTATGGAAGAGCACACCGAGGATGCGAAGCAGCTCACCGGGTCTCTCCAAACTCAAGTGAGCACCTTTCTCTACCGTCTTGCGCAGTGTCTCACATCTCGCGGGTCACCAGGTTCGAATCGCTATATGGGCAAGTCTCCTGGCGAACATCTTTCTATGCTTCTTGCAAAGTATGCATGCATGCATGCCTATCTACACGCATATAGCCACTTACATTGCCTCAACTAGTGTATGCGGCTATCGTTTCTGAGTCGCTGTCTCTTCTGTCTACTGGCATCGACGCCGTGTTCGACATGTGCAGCAACATGCTGCTTGTCTGGCTCCATCACAAAGCGCTGAACATGGACAAGGACAAGTGGCCTGTCGGAGGTGCTCGGTTGGAAACCATCGGAAACATCCTATATGGTTAGTCACCTCGCGAGCCCTTTGGTACCGAATTGGACGCTGACTTCTTGGCAGGGTTCCTGTAGGTCCTTGTTTGCCTGCACCGCTCGACGAGTCTCACTTTCCTGCAGCATGGGTACCGTCAACATCGTGGTATTCATAGAATCCGCGCGCAGCATGTTTGCGAGAGAAAGCGAGAAGGACACGAACGCTCTCCACCTTGCTTCGCTCATTGAGGTCTCCGCAGCATGGGGTACGCCAAGCGGCTTCTCGCAGGTTATCGCCCTTCTCACTTGGCGTGCTTCTAGGCGTGAAGTTCATTCTGTTCTTGTACTGCTTTTCGCTGCGCAAGCGCTCTAGCCAAGTCCAGGTCTTGTGGGAAGACCACAGGAATGATTTGTGGATCAACGGCTTCGGTGCGTGGGCATGCAGATGCAGCGACAGCGATCCCTCATCCTTCTCCAACTTTCCAGGCGTTCTTATGTCTGCTGGTGGAAGCAAGATCGTTTGGTGTGGGTCTGCCTCCTTAGAAATGCCATCGCATCGTTGACTCAACCTCACCGTGGTCAGATCTGGACCCTCTAGGAGCGATGATCGTACGCGTCAACATAACTCAGTCCTTTTCCTGATCGCTTATGTTTCATAGATTGCGCTCGGCGTCATCATCTCGTGGGGAATCACTATTCATAGCCAGTTTGAGCTCCTGGCTGGGAAGTCTGCGCCGCACGACTTCATCCAGCTCATCATCTACAAAGCTGTCACCTTCAGTGATGAGATCGACAAGATCGACACCGTCCGGGCGTACCACGTCAGTCCCACATCCATCCCACATCACCTCATTTGCACCCACTGACTTGGCACTGCTTCCCACAGAGCGGCCCTGTGCGTTCTCGCGGGTTTCTTATCGATCCCCCTTGCACCGAACTAACGTCCCGTCACCTCTCGTATCAGGACTACTTTGTCGAGCTCGATATAGTCATGAACGCCGAGACCCCGCTCTGGAAGGCGCACGACATTGGTGAGAGGCTACAGGACAAAATAGAAGCCCTCCCAGGCGTGGAGCGCACGTTTGTCCACGTCGACCACGAGACGAACCACGCTCCGGTGCGCGCCCTTCATTTCCGCTTATGCACCGGTCTTGCTGACCAAACGCCGGTGATTATTCGCAGGAACACCGCAGAGCGCACTGAAGAAGTTCGATCGGAGTTGAATCCACGGTCTTGGCGGGCAGTACGGTACAACGGTACACATTTGAGTTGCGAACGCACCCTTGTTACGTCTACGAATCGGTCTCTGTTCCCTCGAATGTCCATACACGCACCCTCGCTATGCCCTTGTCGAACTCCTCGAGGAGATCCATTCCCTTCGCTTGGGGCGTCGACCCGTCCTGAGCCCTTGCGTGACGTGGATGTGATGGAAGGACGTGGGGCATGCCCGTGGCCCATGGCGACATTGGCACGGCGGATGACGAGGACATGGGGAGCGCGGTCCACGCGCTGCCCGGTCCATTGTAAATACTCCCGGAAGCGTGCGACGACATGGGCGCATGCGCATCCCAGAGCAAGCCGTCATCGAGATCCAAGTGGGACTCGTAGGCCAAGTTGGCAAGCGCAGGAGACTGGGAGATCATGAAGGGACTGGCGTGGAGCGCTCGGCCGCTGGTTGCGTTGTAGTTACGGAAGGCGGGCTGGCTCTTGGCCCAGCCGCGGATGCTTCGGAGGGTGGGGAGACGATCGCTCGGTCAGCGGTGCGTGGAGGCGTGGGCGACACTGAGATATCTACCATTGTCGGATTGCATCGTGGCGGGTGAGGAAGTGGGACGCGATGACCTCCTGTGAGAGAAGCCGTCAACGGCGCACATGTGAACGGGAGGGAGGACACGCACGCCCCAGACCCCGTTCTTATGCTCGTCTTGGAGCCAGTCGACGATGGCCCAGCGCGTCGTCTGGAGGCGGATGTTCTTGTTGTACGTGATGCTCGCCGGGCTGCTCTCGACCGCCTTCCCGTACCCCGGTCTGTGGGAAAAGATACGTCAGTCACATCCACACACCCTACTCTTCCCTGTACTCACTCGTTGAAGTACGGCAGCTCGACCAAGATCATGCTCTGCACCGACACGAGCACCTGCAGGAGCGTCGACCGCCCGGGGTCCCACATCTCCTCGGGGCGCCCCGCCCACGTGCCGAGCAGCGAGAGGCACACCTTGCCGTTGTCGTACAGGTTCGGGTTGAAGCGCACCGCGCCGCGCCCGGTCGTGCGCAGGTGGAGCAGCGGCGGCTTGTGCGGGTACTGCAGCGGGATGTGCGCGTCGAACTCGAAGAGCCCGCCCGCGTACGGGGTGCCGTCGGGGCCTGCGATGAGGACCTTGCTGCGCGCGCAGTGCAAACGGTGAGCGCGTGGGGCCGAGACGGAGAGCGTTGAAGACGCACATCATGTCGTTCCGCACCTCGTCCACCCGGACCCACACCCCGGGCGGGAGGCTCGTCGCCATCACCGCGAGCTCCTTCGCGAGGTGGAGCCGGTCGCGCGGGGCGCGGGTCCCGTTCGCGGTCGCCGCGAGCTCCGCGGCGTACTTGTAGTTCGGGAAGGCGAGCCCGGACCCGGACGGCGCGGGCTCGGACAGCGCGCAGTGCCGGAAGGCGAGCCGTTCGCACTCGCGTGCGTACGCGCGCGTGAGGTCGATCGCGGGGTCGCGGCCTTTGCCTTTGCCGTTGTTTGCGGGTGTGGTGGCTTCGCGCCCGCCTTTGCCTCTGTCGTGGCCGCCAGGTGACGAGGGCTCCGAGTCCTGGGACGGCTCGTCGAGTTGGGCGAGCACTTTCGCGGGATCCTTACCCACGATTCTCATCGCTCGCTCGATGTCGTCTCGGGCGGCGACGATGTCTCCGCAGAGAGACGTCGCTATGACCGCGGTCTCTCCATCCTCGTCCCCCTCGTCTCCCGCGAGCATGCTTGTCGCTCCAGCGAGGAAGGCCGTGCATTGGCGCGTCAGCTTCGCAAAATGGGTGTACAGCGGCGGGTCGCGGACGGGGGCGCCGGACGGGTCGCGAGCGCAGACGATATCGGACTCTTGCCAAAGATAGCTTTCGAGGTCGGTCGGTTTGCAGATCTCCCAGCGAGGTCCTACCAGCACCTGACAATTTCGAACATGAGCGTAGCGAGACAGGTGAAAGAGCAGGTTGTACTTCGAGGGTCAGTTCGCAGTCCGCCAGACGGCGCAGCAAAGAAAGCATGGCGTGGTAGACGTCGATCCGGGCAATCCAATCCGTTATTGAATCATTGCGGAGGAGATCGGCCAAGAGGACAGGAAGCTGAGATAAACGGATGAGTGCGTCGAGAGATGGGTGGGGCAACATGTCGTAGATTTGAGGGTCGTCGGCATAGGGGCTGGGCAGAAAGCCAGTGACTGTGTTCAACGCACGTACGATGATCTCGTCAAACATGAGACCCAAACCGCTGGTGGTCATCTGCGGCTGAGTATGACCGCCTCCTCGTCCTCGAGCGCTGCGTCCTCGCCGCGCCGGATACTCAACGCCCCATCCACGGTTGTCCATCCCGTACCCGGTCCCTCCAGGCCCCACAGTGCCGACTTTGTTCTTCTGTGCTTTTGCGGCGGCCTCACGCGCTCGCCGATCAGACATATCGCGTTCCGCAAGGTACTGCTTGTCAAACCCGCCAAGAGCTTCGAACAAGGCGACTGCACGCACGTTGGTGCAGCAAGTGGGGACAGGGCAAATGCGATTTCCATTGTTCTCCTCGGTGCCCTTACATGTTTTCGAGCAGGGGACGGGGGCCATACAGCCCCGGCAGTGGTTCGTTTTGCATGACGTACAGTAGGCATGGAGGAGCCGGATCAAGGATCGTGGCGGCGTTGTGGTGGCGGAGAACACGACCTGACCTGGGGTAAGTGCGTCGCTGCGGGCTTGTGAAACGAGGCACGTACCTGGCCACGGGGAGACGGGAGCGTCGCACCGCAGGGGCAGAGCTTGTCGCCGGTAAATACGTCTCGGTGCTCCTCTAACTTGGCCATCGGAGGTAGCAAGTCAGGGCAGGACGCGTCGTCTTTGCCCTTGCCTTTGCCTTCTGGGGCAGCGCTAGCGGGCGGAGGGGGTGTAACGGGCAACTGCACCTGGGCATCGTCTTCCAGCTGCCACTCGCGCGCGAGGCGACGAGCCATGGCCTCATCGTCTTCGGGCTCCTGCATTTCTTCAAAGTCATCGTCGGACAGCTCGATGGCGTCTGGGGGTGCGACACGATTGTTGTGGCGACTGGAGCCACCGCGCACAACGGTACGCGAGCTTGAGGCGCGACGCGACGCGTCTGCCGATGCCGACGCGTTCCACTCGTTCTGAAGACGGAGCGCGAGGGCTTCGCTCTCTTCCTGGGCTTTGATTTGCGCGAGGATGGACTCAAGCGAGTCCTCGTCTTTGTCCTCGTCGCGCTCGTCTGTCGCGCGACGCTTGGCCACGGGGGGCAGTATGGGGGGAGCGCGGCGTTTTGGAGCCATGGATGAAACGGTTACGAACGATCGGGCCGTCGGGGGAGGTGGAGGGCGAGGGCGAGGTATCACTGGTCAGCGGGAGAGGCTGAGACGGGAGGCGCCGGGGATGGCGCGGGACGAGTCTGGGCCGGATTTGTCGATACCGCGGCCTACCGCGGCTGGCGTCGAGAGCGACCACGGACTGTTCGCTCTGTTCTCCGGCCGCCCTGCTTTCTCGCGCTCTCGCTCCTGCTCTCGCTCTCTCTGTCGTCCCTGACCCGGACCCGACAGCCGCTCTCCATTCCACCCTCCCTACCACCCTCACGACCACACACGCCCACTTAAGCCTCTCACGACACTTTCGTCCTCATGGTCAGTGCTCTCTTTCCCCCCGCGCCGCGATGCTGGCCCGATTCCTCGGGCTGCTCATCCGTCGTCCACAGGATAGCCGCCAGGATCCGGAGGAGTTCTATGTCAAGCAGGACAGGATCGGTGCGCAGATCCCCGCATACATTCACCGTTCCCCGCCTGATCCGCTCGTTGGTTTGTAGGCAAGGGTTCGTTTGGAGAGGTCTACAAAGGGTATGTCCTCTCCCGCACCATCCGCACCCTCCCTCACGCGGCCGTAGCTACGACAAACGCACCCAGAAAACGGTGGCCATTAAGATCATCGATCTGGAGAGTGCGGAGGACGAGATTGAAGACATCCAGCAGGAGATCCAGATTCTGTCTCAGCTAGACTCTCCCCATGTCACCAAATACCACGGCTCTTACCTAAAGGGATCCCATCTGTGGATCGTCATGGAGTACGTCCCCCACCCCCCGTCGCACACGATCTCCGCTCACGCGCCCCCGCAGATACTGCTCCGGCGGCTCTTGCTCAGACCTGGTAATGACATCACTCTATGTCCCGCCCGTGCTGACATATGATTATCATCACAGATGAAACCTGGCGTCTTTCGCGAAGAGTACATCGCCATCATTGTCCGTGAGCTGCTCAGAGGTCTCGAGTACCTGCACTCCGAGGGCAAGCTGCACAGGGATATCAAAGGTGCGTCCTCGCGTCTCGCCCCCCGGCGGCATGCTCACGCGCCGGTCCAGCCGCAAACATACTGCTGTCTGCGAATGGAGAGGTCAAGCTGGCGGATTTCGGTGTCTCTGGGCAGCTCTCAGGCACACTCTCGGCCAAGAAGAACACCTTCGTCGGCACGCCGTACTGGATGTCGCCAGAGGTCATCAAGCAGAGTGGCTACGACCACAAAGCGGACATATGGAGTTTGGGTATCACCGCCATCGAGCTTGCAAAAGGCGAACCCCCTTATGCTGAACTGCACCCCATGAAAGTAAGCCGGTATCTGACATCTGCTAACTGGTTGCTGTACTTACATCGGCGTTGCAAGGTGCTGTTCTTAATTCCGAAGAACAGCCCACCCACACTAGAAGGCCCGTTCTCCAAGTCGTTCCGTGAATTCGTGTCCTGTTGCTTGCAACGCGATCCGAAGGACGTACGTTAATCTTCCAGACCCTGCTGTTCACATACTGAATGATTTAAACTAGCGTCCAACTGCGCGGGAACTGCTTAAGCACAAATTTGTCAGGATGGCCAAGAAGACCAACTACCTGACTGAGCTCATTGAGCGCCACGAGCGCTGGAAGGCGGAAGGGGGCGACAGGGTCGAGGAGGAAGAGCGGCGGCATGAAGAAGAGCTGTACGTTACCCTCAGCACTCCATCTATTGTTCGCTTTATTCACGTCCAGCCCCCCTCTCACTTTTCCATGACAGGAATGGTGCCTCCGACCCCGAGGATCTCTGGGACTTTGGGACAGTCCGGCGCGGCGGCACCGTTGGCCGCGCAGCGCAGAACTCCATCAAGGTGTCTGGCCCACCCCTTACGTGGGAGAACAACGGCACCACCCGCTCAGACGAGTCGTCGAACTCAAGCGGATCCGGTTCATCGTTTACTAGACGTGGTCCATCGGATGACTCTTCAGCAACAGCTACCCCAACGAATAAGAGCGACCTGCCCCCTGTCCCGAGGAAAGGATACGACCGTGATCAACAAGCGACCATTCGACACGGGCTTGCTCCAAACGGGCGTGAACCAAGTGACGAAGATGACTATGGCAACGCGTACGCAGGTCGGAACGACGTTGACGATGACTTGCCGGACACGACCATGCTTGATTCGGTCGTCCTCCCCGCCATCGCCTCGGTGAGTATTCTACCTATCCCGTGGCATTGTATTTCGTGCCACCATCTTTCGACTCTCGCAGCCGCTGACGTATTGGCTGTCAGCTGTTCCTCGCGTTTCCACGCAGGAGGCCCGCGTTGCGCTCGCCGCGCTCCAGCGTGCCTTTACCGATGCGGAGCGTATCATCCCTGGGGTCACCCTGGAGCTCATCAACGAAATTGTTGACGCAGTCGAGCGTGTCGATGACGACCGATGAAACCCAACCCGCGATGCCAGCGCCCGCGTCCGGGTTTATGAGTCCCGGACCCCATGCTTCTTCACCTGCCTGTCTTTTTAGCATTTAATAGCACCTTTTCCGTCTCCCACTACAACCACTAGTTCAGTCCGCGGACGACCACGATCCCAATTTCATCTGACGGTCCCTATCAATACCACCGCTTCTCCCGCCCGTGCTCATCTACTGGCTTGTTTTCTGCTCATCTCCGCTTCAGACTCCCTTGCCTCCCAGCTCCGATTCAACCACCATCCCGTCTGTCCGCTCACATCGTTCGTGCATCCCATCACCCCAACCCCATCTCCCATTGCTACACATACCTATTCGTCATGCACTGCTAATCCTATCGTTGCATGTATCACCCGCCAGCGCACATCCTCTCGTGTCCTCGCTCTCTCGTGTTGTGTTATCCTGTCTCCATCTCACCCTCAGCGGCTAGTGGCCGTCGGGTTCCATCCACCACCACCATCTCCAACCCTCCAAGTCTATTCCCACTCCCGTGTCTTGCTTTCTGCCCGCCTACCACATCCCATCCGTCGTCTCTCCCGCTCCCTGTAGGCACCGTAGTATTGCCCCGATGTATACCATAGCGTCTCAGCAGCATACCATCCCCACCAAGTAATCTCAGCGTGTATTCTCATCCTTCCGCGCTTTGGTCTATGTGGTTCTCATCATCTCATTATCCCCGCAAGTTATACGTACAGCGACATGTGTGCATCTCGTGGCTCTCTCAAGTTCATGTCCTCAACCAACCGACCGACCGACCGACCAACAACGCCCGATACCATGCATTACGCCGCCGGCGCGGTCACCTTAGTCCGTCTCTTCTTCTCCTTATCCTTCCCGCCCTTCTTCTTCGCGCGCACCACCCGGATCGGTTCCGGCGTGCCCGCCCGCGCCGCAGAGCCCGCGTCCGCGTCCGCATCGTCGTACTCCGGGAAGCGCGACGGCGTGCCCGTCCCGCGCGCGACATGCCGACGCCTCCCGCCCCTGCGCCCGCGCCGGCGTCGGCGAGGCGATCGCAGAGGGCACGGGCGAGTACGGCACGCCGGCGGGCATCTCCCCCGCGCGGTCGATGACGAAACTCTGCGGCGAGGGGGCTGGGGACGCGCGCAGGGCGGCGAGCCGGGGGCCCGGCACCGTGCCTGGTCCTGGCGAGTATGGGCGCGTGTGTTTCCGGGCGTCGCGGGAGCGGGTAGGCGTTCAACGTTGCGCGGGCGAGGGTTTCAGGAAGGCGCGCCGGCGTGGCGGCGGCGGCGGCAGGGCGGCGCGGTGGCGCGACGGAGAGCGGCGAGAACCACACCCGTTCGGATGGATATTGACGGAGGAGCGAGCGGTGGCCAACGAGCGTTGGTAGCGTGCGGGCGGAGTTGAAAATTGTGGGTGCGCGGTGTGTGGGCGAGGGAGAAAAGGGGAAGAAAACAAGGGCGTTAGCGGCTGATGCTACATGACTGCGGGACCGAGACCGGAGGGGCAGACTAGAAGGCGAGGAACAGGGGCGCGCGAGGGGAGAACGAGCGGGGAGAACGGGCGAGGACAGACATGAGGCACGTACCCTGTGCGAGTGGCGGTAGGTCGTCCAGACGGACCACGGGGATGGAGTCGATGTCCTGTGCACTTGGTCCGGAGTCCAACCTTGTCGGCGGGGCACGGTCGTCGACCAAATAGTATGGATCGTCCCGAAGACGCTCCAGACGCTCCGCTTTCCTCTGTGTGTGCGTGGGATATATCAGTAGGTGTGACAGAACACAAGCTGAGCAAGGGCGACGAGGGTGGCGGGGGGAAAGACGGAGATGAGGAGGAACCACCCCGCAAATAGCAAGTATGGCATGAATAGAACACCGCCATCGATCCCACTCCACGCAGAAACGGATGGATGGCACTCACCCGTTCACGCTCAGCACGCTCCTCCGCCGTCTCGACCGCGGCGACCGGCTCCGTATCGTCGTAAGCGTCTTCCAACGCTTTGCCTTTGCTTTTGCCCTTCCCCTTCGTCTTCCCCGTCCCATCCTTCTTCTTGCCCTTCTTTCCCCTCTTCCCTTCCGCGCCCTCGTCCGGCACGCCTTCGGGCGGCGTCACAGGCTCCTCGGGCGGTGGTACGATCCATGCGTCGAGGTCGAGCCCCTCGGGCACCGGCACGCTAGCCTGCGCCGCAGGGGCGACCGCGTTCAGCTCGAACGCGCCGAACAGAGGCTTGATGAGGTACAAGCTCTTCGGGAAGCGCGGCTCGGAGCCCGCTGGGGGCGCAGCGCCGAAACCCTCGGTGCTCGCGTCCCCGAGGTCGAGGGCGCCGTCCACGCGCGCATGCGGCTTATACGCGGCGAGATCGGCGCGAATAAACGTAAAGAGCTGTAGGAGCTCTGCAGCCTGTAGCACGAGAAGCGTACGTCGGGGACGGGAAAAGGACGCGTGAGTTACGGCAAGCCAGGGTAGACGGCGCGTAGTGCGATGGAAGACGGACGCACCCGTTCTTGCACCTCGATATCCGCATGGGTCACAAAACCTGACAGACGCTCGAGGGTGTCGTCGACGGCGCTGCGGACCCTCGGCAGGTCGTCGTCGTTCCAGCGATCCGCGATGTCCGCTGCCCAGGAGCCGAAAACCTTCAAGGACGCCTGAAGGTAGACAGCGATGATGTCAGGGGACAGTGATGATATGCGTGGTTGCAGAAGATGCGTCAATAGTTTGTGGGGCTCCGCCAATTCGCTACGATGCACAGATTCGGTCAGCCAGGCGCCTCGCTCGATTTAAAGCCAGTACAGCCCTACCCGCAGTATTCGCCACAAATCCATGCTGCGGCCCAGAGTACTTCAGGACACCCGCCGACTTCCGAGGCATTGTGCAGGTAAGTGTCGTCGCTGAGAAGCTTGACCATGACTTGCACCGCGTACCGTCGAACCCGCGCACGCGGCCGGTGATGTCGACCAGTTGATCGCGGATCTCTGCACCGACGTTCGCTCGCGCGACATACGCCAGGTCGACAAGTACCGAAACATACCACTCGAAGTCGGTGACGTGCTCGTACATATTTTGTGCGCCGAGGGACAGGAGGTTTTGAGCTAGTGTCAACCGGTAGACCGGCGATTGGGATGGAAGCATCGCAGGCCGGGAAGCCGCCGGATCCGCGCTTGAGGCGAATTGAGAGAGTGCCTCCGATGCCGATGGCAGGGTGGAGCTCTCTGACTTGACCAAATGCGAGAGGAGCTGTTGTGAGATGTCCTGCAGATTGTGTCTGCTGACCTAGCGGGGATGTGGTAAGCATAGCATGTTTCAACCGAAGAACAGAGGCCAGACCATAGCAGAGACAAGTTTGAGGGCGCCCATCCGAATGCTGATGTCTTCGTCATTTACGCTGGATAAGATCATGTCTTGATATTCAGCGACCAATTCAGGATATGTGGGTACGATCTCGACCATGGCGAGCAGGGCAATGTACTTTACTACAAAGACGTCGTCAACCAACGTCATGACAAGTGCACCCATTTACGCTCACGATTTTGGTCGGGATCTTGTAGGAAACCCGCAAGCTTGCTTACGCATGTTCGGGCCAAGGAATTCCCTGCAGAACCCTCCAACATGCCCCCGATAATACACGTTCGTACACATTCATACAGCAACGAGATCGCTGACGTTGTCGAGATGAGGTCGGTGATAGGTGGCTGGAGCTTCTTTACGAGGCGACGCTCGTAGGGAGTTAGAGTCCCAAACTGAATGCGGTATTAGAGGAGCACTCCCCCACAGGAAGGTAGCACGCCTCACAAGTTTGATGATTTTGATCAACATCCAATTGTTCGACGTCGTAGTCAATAGGTGGAATAACTGAGGGGCCAACGGCAGATAATCCTGAGGATTTTGGTGGGCCAGCTCGCACAGTACGTTGACCGTCGCAGCAACAACACCTGATGGCATCGTTACGTCGGCTTCATTCAGAGGGCACACACAACTCACTTGGGTCATCATCATCAAGCTTGTCCTTGAGTCTACTCATGCTCTGTGGCAGAACCTCGGGGTACTGGGTGAACACTTTGTACATTGCGAGAACGGCGCGCTTGCGTATGTGCGGCCGTGAATGGTTCAGCATTGCGATCAATTCCGGAGAAAGGTCGCGGGCCAGTCCTGGCGTGACAATGTGCGAGAGGCCATTGAGAGCCACAGCAGCCTCGTCTGGCCGCGAGCCGAGGTCCTAGGATCCCGGTGTAAGGCTTGGAGGAGCGGAAGGGTGGAACGACATACCTTCTTGAGGAGATTGGTAGTAAGCATGATGACGTCGGTGTCCTGCTGGAAGGATTGCGCGGCGGCCAGATATCCGACCGTCTTGAGATGTATTCGAGGAGCAGACATGACCTCCACGACATGAAAAGAAGCCCAGTTCATGTCGTACCCCAGCATATGTAGCTGCATGTCCCACATTGAATGGCCGAACGTCGCATAGTAGCACAAGACTCACGTATGTCAGCTTCAACACCGCAGCCGCCTTGATCTCCATGTCTCTGCTCTTCATCTCCTGCCGGATTTCGTCTACAGCCTGAGCGATGAACTTGCTCTCATCTTTCTTATTTGCGCGCAGCCCACGGATGAGATCTTGCAGAGTCCTTTCCACATCCCGCTTCAATTGTACGTTCCGGCGAGGCCAAGTGAACTGCTTAGAGTCGATTGGGAGATTGACTGTGGAGAGCCCGAGGCTGAGAAGCCACACAGTCGCCGAATGCGCATACAAGTACCGGAGTCCCGAGGAGAGTCCAATAGCAGAGAAGTCGGTATCCAGATAAGCAAGGAGAGCGGTATAGGAACGAAGGGGTGTGCGCCGAGACCGGTGAGGATGACGACCTGCTCACTGTGGGTCGCCCATATGCCGCAATAGTACTCGACTGGCGCACTGGACGAAAACGGCAAGACATTCGCAGCCTCGGTCCCCGGCCCGCCGTTTGCTTGTACGAAGCGCCCCTTCCCGTCCACGTCTTCTCAAACACTTCCTCGGTACTCAACCGGCAGATCTGCGAAAAAGCGGCTCGGATACGCAACATCTCAGTGACATGTCGCAGCACCTGACTCTTCTTGCAAGGTGAACGCCTTCTCCAGCTTCTCAACCGACTGGAAAACGAACCCACACTCCCATGGACTGCCCGCAATGTCCGTGCAGAATGCCGGTGGTGCGGATCTTCCGGCTACTTTTCCCAAGACGTCTTCGAGACGGAGCGCAGATGAACCGCAGTGTCGCCACCCGGGGGTCAGACGATCGTCCATGGACTATTCCGTCCTCAGCATGGTCACCGGATGGATGCCAGTACGTCCACGAAGACACCTCTTTCTGCAAGCATTGCCTTACGAACCCCGTGGGGTTCCCAGATTATGCAAGTCCGATGGGCCCAATTTTTAGCGCATAGCATATGCGTGGGGGGAGCGTCATGGACCCTTTTCTCAAGAGGTCATGTCGACGAGGTACGGTCTAGAAATGGTCTTGGTATGATCCCATCTCTCATGTGCCGGCCACGCCGCAGCAGTTCAGTGACCTCCCGGTTACTCAGCCGCGACAGTCGGAATGTGGGTCTTGTCTGTCAGACCGCCATACAGTGATTGATAACGGTCCCTACGCTAGCTCTATCCGGCTGTCTTGTTACATACCAGCCCGGCTCTCCTTGGCCATTCTCAGCTAGCTCGCGCTGGCATGGGCAAGCGCGGGCGGATACTCCGAGGAATTGTACGGTCAACATCTTCCCCGGGCCCTGTCGCTCCACCGGGTTCCAGGCGCGCACTAGCGTTGACAGGGTCTCCAGTGTGGGTGCGGTCCTCATCATGGGCGCCACGGTGCATTCCTGTGGCTCGGCTCGGCATGGATCCCACCCGCCGTTCCTCGCCCCCACCCGGAGTCCACACTAGCCCCGACGTCCGATCGCGCAATTCGTTACGTACCCACACCGGACTATCCTCCAGAAGACCGGAGGCGGGGTGCACTGCGCGCGCACCTGTGCGGTGAGCGGGGGCTGCGGGTGGCCGGATGGTCGCCAGTCCCTGCACAGTTCGTGCAGGCCCGCGCGCCGGCAGCGCTTCTCAAAGATCCGCTAGATCTGTGTCTTGTCTCTGCGTCCGGCAAGCGTCTCGCCAACCGCGCCGGTCCCTGGACGCCTCCCGCCACCGCCCGGGTACTGCTGCCTTGGTTGGGTTGGGGGAGTATCACCAAGCTCAAACCGGCTAGCGTTCGTTCCTAACCCGTCCAGGCGCGGTCCACTCGGTCATGCTGTCCTTTCCTTCCCGTACAAATAAAAGCCGAGCCTGCTTTCTGCGTCGTTACCCCGCTGCACACCTCGCGCAATGCCCGGCCTCACCATCCCCCCTGCCTTCCCCTCCAACGTCCCAACCAGCTCGCTTGTTGTTCTCAACTACGAGCTTCTGCGTGCTGGCAACAAGGATGAAATCGCCAAGCTCTGGCACGTAGCCACCCATTTGGGCTTCTGGTAGTGAGTGTAGCTTCTTTTAGCGGTCCGATGTCTCCGTTCTCACGCACGATGCTTCTCCAGCCTCAGCAACCACGGTGTCGACGACGAGGTCGATGCCATGTTCGAGATCGGAGCGGAGACACTCGCGCTTCCATTGTCAGAGAAAATGAAGTTCGAACAGGGCGACAACGGCGACTCGTTCGGGTGAGCCTCTCGCCTGCCTCATCCATATCGGCTAAGGTCTCGCAGAACGCTGACCCGAACACGCAGCTACAAAGCGAAAGGAACCATTGCCACCGACCTGAAGGGCACCAAGGATACCGTAGAGTTCCTCAACATTGCCCAGGACGATGTACTATCTTGGCCCCGCCCGAGTCACCGGACCTACCCTTCGACGGTCAACGCACGCATGGCCAACGGCATAATTCCCTTCGTTCGTAAATCGATGGCGGTGAACAACACTATTTTGGACATCCTCGAGCGTCGATTGTGTCTTCCAAAGGGAACGCTCGAGGCGCTCCACGACACTTCTTCAATGTGCGGGAGCGAGGCGCGAGTCATCAAGACGCCCCCGAACCAGAGCACCGCCGGTATCGGAGCGCACACGGACTTTGGGACGCTGGTAAGTGCCCGTGAGCCGATGCCATCTCGGTAACTAAGCATCCGGCCATCCAGACCTTCCTCCACAACCGACTTGGGGGCCTGCAGGTCATGCCACCCGGGACTAACGAATGGCTGTACGTGAAGGTGAGCCGTCCGCTCAGCTCCCATCCGCACTACCGCCTGACTGAATGCGCCTGCGGCCACTCGCAGCCCCTGCCCGGCCACGCTATCTGCAATATCGGCGACGCTCTCGCGATCTTCAGCGGAGGCATCCTGCGCTCAAACCTCCACCGCGTCATGTACGTCACCGCCTTGGTCATGTCGCATCGCCCTCCGCTCACTCACTCCCTTGTCCGTCTTAGGCCCCCACCTGGCCCACAGGCCCGCTTTGAGCGCTACTCGGTGGCCTTCTTCACACGCCCAAACAACGACGTCGTCCTGCGGCCCATCAGCGAGCACAGCGCCCTCATCGCCCAGGCGGCAACACGCCATCCGCGGGAGGAATTCTCCACCGGTGCCACAGCGGGCGAGTGGACGGCGCGCCGGATTAGGAAGCTCAGGTTGAAGAACCGCAAGGTGCGTGTGTTCCTCGGCGAACGTAACGCGCCCCCGTTGACACCTATTACAACGCCTCAGGGTCCTGAAACTTGGGCCGAGAGCAAGGGCACCGAGCATCAGCCACCTGCGACCGTGGGGCGTGTTCAGGGAGTCATTTCTGCGGCAGCATGATGTAGGAAATCCAGTCTCCTTCGTCTTCGTCTATTCTCCTCGACCAGACCTTCAAGCTTATAGCCCACTTATCCGCTTATCATTATGTCTCACACAGTGTGCTCACGCTACGCTGCTATTTGTAGTATCACTAGTAGTCTGTACCAATAGTTGCACCTTCATCTCTGTTGTTCACTATATTTTAATGTGATATTGACATGTCCTATCCATGCGCAATTAATCTCTCGCCCATAGTGTCATTAACGTAGTCCATTTTCCTACAGGCGCTTGGTAGCGTGTGGCTGTGCAGCCGCAGAACGCCGCGGCGGCGCCGGGTCCGAGAGCTTGCAGCGCCGACTCAACTTGAACCTGACCGCCATCTACTCGAGTCCTCGATACTCGTCCAAGGATATCTCGTCCAAAAACTACCTTGAAACGGTACCTTACGTCTTCGATAACGTGTGCACTCTAAATTTTGCACTTGACGCACACCTGCTCATGTTTCTTCTGGTAGTTCGCATACCGTCCGACAGCATCCTCCGGGTAGTTGAACGGCAACTGAAACACATCCCGCGAAAAAAAGGATCATTCGGCTGCTTGCTTAAACATGAGCACGTTGACGACAAACGAGTCCGTTCCCCTCTCTCGCCCTGCGTTTCATTCCCACGAACTGACCGGGCATTTCGCAACACAGCATCGAGATTGCCACTCGCGCGGCGGACAACTTCACGCGCCTCTACTACACAACGTACGACTCCGCGACGCGTGTCGAGGACCTGCCCAATTTCTACCGGCCGACGTCCGCGCTCACATGGAACGGCAAGCCCTTCGAGGGCGTCGACGGCGTCCGGAACCTTGTCGCCGGCATCCCCTCCACCAAACACGAGGTCCAGTCGTTCGACTGCCACCCCATCCCAGGTACGCCCGTCCTGCCCGCCCCTCTCACATCCTCGCCACTCGGCTAAGCGTTATCCGCCCCACACACAGGAAGCCAGCCGCCCTCGCTGCTTGTCACCGTTCCGGGATCGTCACACACGGCAAGGGGCCCGCCGCGAACCCAGCGAACACGCCCCGCTCCGTGGTTGACGGCCTCCCCCGCGTGTTCTCGCAGACGTTCATGCTCGCCCCGGACCCGAACGCGCCCCCCGCGAAGGCGGCGAGGTCGCGAAGTACTACATCACCGCGGACGCGCTTCGCTTCGTCGGCTGAGCTGAGCCGGCGGGTCCTCGAGCCTCGACCCAGGGGCTCTCCGCCGCCGCCGCCACTGGAGCGTGCGGGCGTCGTACTTGCGGGGTAGGCACGGGGTGCCGGACTATGAATGTGCTCGCGGAGATCCGTATCTCGCGCGAGGCTATCTGGCGGTGTCAACGCAAACTCAGATTGTACATTACTCTGCCGACGTGGCTCGTCGCTCGTCTACATCTTGGCCATACATGGACTTTCAGCATCCTCACTTTCCCTTGGTTCCATGCTACCTGGCGTCAAGCCTCGCTGCCGCGTCCCACGTGGGCCATGTGTCCAGCACGTTGTAGCGACCGTTTGTTCAATAAGGTAGAGAAGTTCGCGCAAAAGCACACTCCGAAAGGGTGCGGCGTGTGGGCGAGAAGTCTGAAAGGCTAACGCGGGGAAGTCTTCGGCTCGCACCACGGGGTTCATGCTAGACCCGAAACTTTGGATTATCGCTCTTGCTGCCACAGACGGGATATGCACTGTCAACACCCCAGATAAAACAGCGGGCATAGCCTCCCGGCATGAATAGGCATTTAGAAATTAGCATTACAACCATGTACCGATACAACACGTCTCCAATATGTACGAGCAGCATAAGCCCGAACCAATGCCGTAGAGCAACTAACCGAACGTTTGACTCTGCGAAACCAAGTCAGCACAAGCGCCCGTGTGGCAAGGTTGAACAGTGAACATACCGAACGCGCACTCCGCTTGACCTTCGACAATCGCCACTCGTCCGGTTTCTCGTACTTGTTGAACAGCGGCTCGATCTTCTCCTGGCGCTTGCGCTTCGAGATCTTGTTTGCATCCGCGACCTTGAAGAACTGCGGTGCGACCTCCACGAGCCACTTGGGCTCGATCACGGTCACATTGTGGCAGTACTCGCGCGTGGTGAGGATGAGCTCGTGGTAGATGCACCACTCCGGGTTCCGGTTGAAGAGCGCGGAGGAAGGGTGGATGTAGACGGGCGTGCCCTCGACGAGGGTTTTGTAGCCCTCCTGTGGGTCCTTCTTCGCCGCGTTACGGAAGTAACCAGAGCAGATCGCGCGGCGGACACGATTGTAGTCCTTACCCGCGGAAAGAATGTCGTGCTTATATCTAGGGCGGTGTAAGCAAACTACTAGGTGGCTTTCAATAACAGTGACATACCTGTCCATGATACCTAATAACTGCTTCCGAACATCTTGGGCGCGACGCATACTTCTCGCTTGAATGAAGTTCTCATAGCACCACGGGTTGGAGAAGTTGCTAGCCTTCCATCCGTTGTAGACTGTCAGGAGGGTGAGGTGGTCGCCCTCAGGTTGATGGAACTTCGCCTTTTTGGAGTCGGCTTGGCCCTGTTTCTCCTTCGGCCGGTAGAACACGCTCTGTACCGACAACATCGCCACGACGGACAGGATCTCCTCAGAGCAGCCAAGCTCGACCGACGCAATCAGCATCTTGGCGAGCGGCGGTTCCATGGGGAAGTCGGCCATCTTGCGCCCCAGACGAGTTAGGAGGCCCTCGTCGTCGAGAGCGGAGAGCGCATAAAGCGACTCGAGAGCGGTGATCATCGTCGGTGCCGGCGGGGGATCCATGAAGTCGAAGCTCAGGAGGTCGTTGATTCCCATCGCCTTGAGTACAAGGATGGTGTGTGTCAGGTTTGTCCTCTGGATATCGGGGATAGAATTGGGCAACATCTCGTTCCGGAAGGCGGCCTCCGTGTAGAGGCGGTAGCACTTTCCAGGCCCCGTACGCCCTGCTCGCCCGGCCCTCTGACGCGCCTGCGCCTGCGAGATGGGCATTACGACGAGCGAGTCCATACCGAGACGCGGGTCGTAGGCGTTCTGCTTGGAAAAGCCAGGGTCGATGACGTAGTAGATACCAGGGATAGTTAGACTGGTCTCAGCAACGTTGGTGGCGACGACAACCTTGCGTGCTCCAGGCGGCGTGGGCTCGAAGACGCGAGATTGGACTTCTGATGGAAGGGCGGAGTAGATGGGCAGGATGATGAGCTCAGGTACCTTGGGACCTAGGGCCTTCATCCGCTCATAGAGAATCTCACAAGACGTGTCGATCTCTTCTTGGCCAGTAAGGAAGAGCAAGACGTCGCCGGGGGGCTCGGAAAGGTGGATTTGCATGACCGTGATGAGTGACGCATCCAAGTAGTCGGTCTCCGGTTCTTTCGTGTAGAGCACCTCCACAGGATAGGTCCGTCCAGGGATAGTGAAGATAGGGCAGCCGTAGAAGTACTTCGAGAACTTCTCGGCATCAAGTGTGGCTGAGGTGACAATAAGTTTGAGGTCAGGACGGCGTTTGATGGCCTCTGTGTGCGAAGTCAACTCGGGCACGGTGCTGTCACAACATTGTTACTTACTCTTCAACAGGCCAAACAAGACATCGGTGGCAATGGTCCGCTCGTGCGCCTCATCAAGCATGACGACCGAGTACTGGCTGACGTCTGGGTCGACGAGACACTCGCGTTGGAGCATACCGTCCGTCATGTACTTGATGCGTGTCTCGGGACTGGTGCAATCCTCGAAACGGATGGTATACCCGACTTCCTGACCAAGCCGGCAACCGACTTCTTCGGCCACACGCTTCGCAACGGACATGGCAGCGACACGTCGTGGTTGAGTGCAACCAATTTTACCCTTATCCGCGAAACCGTCTTCCGCCAGGTATTGTGTCATTTGCGTAGTTTTGCCTGATCCCGTGTCCCCGACGACAATGAGGATTTGATGCTACACTGAAGTCAGCAAAAAGTCGTTGGTAGACTAAGTGATGTCGACTCACCTCACGAACGGCTTGCAGCAAGGCGTCACGAAGCTTGTAGATGGGGAGACTCTTGCGCTGGTCTTGGATGCTGAGCGAAGTGATCTCACCGAAGGTTGTAGCCTTGTTGAATGTCGCATCCTTCCACTTCGGTTGCTCCCCAGCCTTCTGTCCTCGCAGATCGCGACGGAGATCCTGAGCAAACACACGATCAGCGTCCTTCGCCATGGGGTCAACCAAGGTGCGCTGAAATCGCGAGCTTCCGAGTCGGCCTCTTCGTTGGCCTCCTGTGTCCGCAGCTCTCGTCGCTCCTTCGCCAGGGAAGCGCCAGCGAGTGCAGCTCGGTTGAGCGAACCATCAGGAGCCTTGACAATCTTGACGGACTGAGTTCAAGCGTCTTCTTCGTCTGCCCAGACAAGAATGCGGGCTCTTCTTCGCGAACCTCTACATCCAACTCTTCTTCCACTTCGGCGCGAGCAGAGGGTTGGAGAAATCTTCGTCGAGGTCCGGATACTCTGACGCGTCGAGAGCACCAGACGATATGAGCTGCTTGATCTCCCACCGCTCCGGAGAAGAAAGTCGCTTCGCCGACCTCGTGACAATATCTTCTTTCATGCCCTTCGAGTTGAGAGGGATAGCATTGGCACCATTGGCTGCCCGTCGTTGTTCTTCTTCCGCAAGCTCCGCTTCAGACTTGATGCGCAGATGGGGAGTGAGGTCGCGTCCACTGGCCTGATCGGCGTCCTTCATGAAAGGCTGATACGAGACCCGCGAGACTCATAACTTTGACTTTGACGGACTGGCCGCGAGTCAACAAGTCAGCGGCGGAGTTTGCGCGCGCGCCTTGTTGGATATTAGAACATGCACCATCCTGCAAAGAGTCAGAGAAACATCAGGATACCAACCTGGAGGCAACGCACCTTCCACTCTCCCAGCGACGCCCTCGAGCTGCACAAATGCCCCAAACTCCTTCATCCCGTTGACACGTCCGCTGTAAATCTTGTAGAGAATTGGGCGTTCATCCACCTGCTGACCTCCTCCTCTTCCCCTCCTGTCTTCCCGGCGGTCATCATACCCTCTTCCACCACGATGCGGGCTCGGGCTGCGGCGTCGCGGAGGTGGGGGAGGCGAACGCGAACGCGACCGGCGCTGCCGTTTGGGGGACCGCTCGTCCCGACGGTCGAGGTCTTGCACGCTTCGCCGCGCCTTCTAGCTGGGACATCATATCATCGACCTCCTGCATGATCGCATCCTTCGGGGCCAACGGCTCCCACTCCTGGTCCCTCATCGAGAGGCCGGGGAACATGCGTTTGCGCTTGTCCATCTCGTCGGGTGTCGGAGCGTCCCCGGTGGCATTCTTCGAAGCCTTAGACTTCTTCTTGTGTTTCGGTGGAGGGTGAGATGAGGCGGTCGACATTTTCTACGAAGGAATCTGGGAAGCTGGCGCCGACCTCCTGCAGCTTGTTCTTGAATTCTGGGAGGGTCTTGGACTGGTCATGAAGAGAGATGACGAACTCGGCAAGGGTCTTGTCTGTGATACCAGTGTAGTTGTCTATCTCCTGAGTGATTTTGGCGACGAGGGAGAGGAATTCGAGGTTGTAGAGGTCGTCGTCGGCCATGGTGTGACAGCGGATGGAGAGCAAGCTGCCTGGAGAGCGCCCAAGTGATGCGTCACACTAAGGATGTAAGTTCAAATAGAACCGAACCAATAGTTGATCTTAGTCAGCGCTCGGCCTGGATCAAAGAATCAACGCGTGGATGGGCGTCTATCTGTCTTCTCTTAGCTCTATGCCTCCCAAGAGAGGGATCGTCAAATCTGGCAATGCGGGGAACTCCTCTAAACCCTCTAAAGCCCCGGTGCAAGCCGCTACAACCGCTGAAGAGAAGCCTCTTTTCCCACCGGGATCCAAGTATCCTCTAAGTCTCCTCCATGAGAGGTGAGCACCGTTGCTAGGCGTAAGTTCATAGCGGATCTGATCTAGCGCACAGATGCCAGAAGAATGGCTGGGAGAAGCCCATCGTCGACACGGTAGACGCATGTCCATACAGGGCGGCCGGGAAATCATAGCTGATGGTAAATTCGTTTAGCGGAGGCAAGCAGATGGCTACTCATTCGTTGTCACCTTGAGTAGGATGAACAAGAAGAGCTCCGAGCGCGAGTTCGTTCGCTTGGAGCCCCATCCACCATTCATCATGCCCACCGCTCTTGAGGCTCGTCACTGGGGAGCTACGTACGCCATGTACCGCGTTAGTGAGTCGCTTCGCTACACGGGGATTCTAACGCAATCTACTCCGCGCAGTTCTGCAACACCATTCAACTAAACCGCGTCCTCCCGCCTGGCCCCCGTGAATATTGGAACCAATTGGCCTCAGAGCATAAAACCGTGCCGGAACATCAAAAGTGGATGTACGACGTCGACCCCTTCGCCGCCAGGAAGGCTGTCAACTCGAGACAGGACCAAGCTGCCCAGAAGAGAGAACAAGCGAGTCGTCCCCAAGAGAACTCAGTGAAGCCCGTCGCAACATCCCCTGAGTTTGCCAATGCACCTGAGGCCAAGATGGCTTCCTCTTTACGCGACTTCGTGGAAGACGCTCTCAAAAAGGTGAGTGTATGCGCTTTAATCCGGAACCCTGCTGACACGATGTTCAGGGGTTGGCCATGTATCCAGATGCTGACGACGCCGAACCGACGAAGTTTTCTGCAGAAGATCACGTCAAGCTTACGAAGGATCTCACCAAGCTCGGATTTTCCTCTTCACAAACACGCAAAGCGGTCACTGCGCTATCCCAGCAAGGGCCTATAACAGCGAACCTCCTCAGTCGCCTACCTCCTCTTCAAGCATGCATCGAGTTTTTGATCTTACAGACGCCCGAGTGCGACCTCCCGAAGCGTTTCCTTCCTTCGTTCACTTCCTCAGATCCATTTGTTACTGCGATGCACTCAGGAGCCGACGACCTCAAACGCCGTTGGATTGAAGAGAAGGCGATGAAGGAATGCGGATGGCCTGCCCATGTCGTCAAAGAGTGCCTTGCGGATCAAGAAGCGGGCCAAGACTGGGCCGAGCTCATCTTCGCGCTTGACTCTAGGCTCGTCGGCGCTGACTGGCAAGGCCCGGTTACCGATGAAACGCAGGGCCTCGAAGAGGTTGACCTGGACGAGGTTGAGTCGTTCGGTGGACAGATGGGGTCGAACGGGGAATGCATTATTCCTCTTCCGGTCGCTCCTATGGCCCTCCACATCATCCTTCCAGACAACTACCAGATCGCAACGGCAGGGACGCATCCGCCTATGTACTTTACCTCCCCCACCGTGGCTGCATACGTCCGCCTGCACATCCTCTCAAGGATCATCAATGCTTTTAGGACAGGAGCTCTTCTCGAGGACTCGGAGACGGTCATCATGGCCATCATGCGCATTGCGGAAGAGGAATGGGCCATAATCGAGGACGACGGGCCGCCGAACATAGTCGAGGTGCTTCAGCACCTCCTTCCCAAGAAGACAACCGTGGCCCAAGAATCTGGTCATGACATAGCAGCGTCGGTTCCCACAAGATCCCCTAGGAAGCGGGTGAGGGGCGCACGGCCGGACGAGCGTTCGGACAAGCAAGTCAAAGCAACCTTCGAGGAGCTCATTCGTCGCACCGACTACTCCAAGATGTTGGCGAGCAGAGAGAAACTCCCTGCTTTTGCCTCGAGGAACGAGTTCCTGACGATGTTACAGCGCAGCCGTTGCGTCATTGTTGTTGGCGAAACAGGTACGACTACTCCGTATCTCTCAACCTGTGAGCTCACTGATGGGCGTGCATGCAGGATGTGGGAAGACGACGCAATGTATGCATGCCAATCCATACCTCAGATGCGGCTTAAACTAAAATCCATCATATACAGTGCCCCAGTTTGTCCTCGATCAACTTATCACCGCTAACCGAGGCTCGCGCGCTTCTATCATCGTAACCCAACCTCGACGTCTGTCAGCCATAGGCGTAGCCGCCCGTGTATCTGCAGAACGTCTTGAGGATGGCTCAGTCGGCTACTCGATTCGTGGGGAGTCTAAACAAAGCACCCATACCAAGATCCTTTTCTGCACGACGGGTGTCGTACTTCGTCGCCTGGGCTCTGGGGACAAGCTTCAGGAAGTCACGCATGTTGTCGTCGATGAGGTTGGTGTCCCATATTTCTCTGATGTGTACACAAACTCATCCACCTGATAGGTGCACGAGCGTTCCGTGGATGGAGACTTCCTTCTTCTTGAGCTTCGCGAGCTCTTGAAGACACACTCAGAGTTGAAGGTCGTCCTCATGTCCGCTACTATCAATCATGAGGTTTTCGTGAAGTACTTCAATAACGCCCCCCTTTTGACCATCCCCGGCTTTACCCACCCTGTGGAGGATATGTACGTCCAATTGCTTACCGTTATTGGAATTGACTTCTCACTGCCTGATGTCAGCTACCTGGAGGATCTCTTGCCTAAACTCAGCTATCGTCCGTCCAGCGGCAGGTCGCAGAAGCAGAAGAAAGGTAGTGATGACGAGCTTCCGAATGTGGACGAGGACGTACAGAAGGCAGCCCAAATCATAATGCGGAATGACTTCTTCGATTTCGATGTAAGTGTCGCTGTAAGAGGGTACATGATATCGCACCAATGATTTTTGTAGCTTATAGTCGCCACTGTTGACTACATCGTGGCCAACGCCAAGAAGCGAGGCGCTATTCTGATCTTCCTCTCTGGCGTCCAAGAGATTCGACAGTGCATGGACAGGCTTCGCAGTGTTGCCGGATCCAAGGTATTCCCTCTGCACGCAAATTTGACAAGCGATGAGCAACGGAAAGTTTTCGAACGCATCCCTCAATGGAAGATCATAGTCTCTACGAACGTCGCCGAGGTACGTAGGTCCTCCTAGTTCCACTGATCCATACTCTTATACTGTTTCTGGACCCCGGATAGACTTCCGTTACGATCGACGACGTCATCTATGTCATCGACGGCGGAAAAGTCAAGGAGACCCACTACGACGCGGATGCAGGTTTGACGAAGCTCACCGAGCAATGGGTAACCCGAGCTGCGGCAAAGCAACGTCGCGGTCGCGCCGGACGGACGCAGCCCGGGATCTGCTACAAGCTGTACACTCGCGCGAAAGAGAAGCAGATGAACGCCTTTCCCGTCCCTGAGATCAAGCGCTGCCTCTCGAAAGCATCGCGCTCACTCTCAAGGTTGTCCACAAGACGTTAAGGCAAGTCATGCGGGCAATCATCCGTCAATGGTTCAAGCTGAAGCTTCTGCAGCCCTTTTTGGCTCGTGCCGTTGATCCTCCAGAAATCACTGCGATTGATAATGCGCTAGAAGTACTTGAGGAGCTCTCGGCCATATCAGGAGATGGAGAATTAACAGCGCTGGGACGGCATATGGTACGTATCACAATTCGTGAGCTGCACTTCTGATCTGACGGCGCCCCACAGGCCATGCTCCCTATGGATCTTCGACTTGGGAAGGTAGTCTGTATCCGCCTTTGACATGTAAGCCCTGCTCATGCCCTACAGATGCTCGTCTTAGGCACTGTCTTCCGTTGCCTTGGCCCCGTGTTGACGGTGGCGGCGTGTCTGTCGTCGAAGCCGCTCTTCATGAGTCCCATGGACAAGCGAGAGGAGGCGAACCAAGCACGCGCTCGGTTCAACACGGCAAACAGCGACCTCCTGACGGACGTGAACGCATACGAGGAGTGTCTCAAGATGCGCAATGACGGCGCTTCTCACAGCGCAATCCGAGCCTTCTGCGACCAGGTGCGTCTCCACGCCCAAGCACCACCGTGACCCACGTCAGGCTCATGCGGACCCACAACAGAACTTCATTTCAGCTACCACGATTCGCGACATCACATCGCTCCGGAACGACTTCCTCTCCTCGCTCGCGGACCTCGGTTTCGTCCCCGCCCACTCGAAACCCTCCGATCCCGCGCTCAACGCCCACAGCGCGCAGCCGAACCTCGTGAAGGCCGTCATCCTCGGCGGAGTCTGGCCACGCGTCGCGCGCGTGCACCTCCCCAAGTCCGCGATCAAGTTCGACCGCGTGCAGGCGGGCACGGTGCAGCGCGAGAACACGGCGAAGGAGTACAAGATGTACGACCTTCGCGAGGGGCGAGTGTTCGTCCACCCGGGCTCCGTGCTCTTCAACGCCTCGTCGTGGAAGTCGCCCTTCCTCGCCTACTTCCAGAAGCAGATGACGAGCAAGGTGTTCTTGCGCGACGCGACAGAGGTCCGTCCGAGCGCCTCGCCAGTCTCTTACGGGTGCTGATGACATCATCCGGTCGCTCGGCCCACAGGTCCCAATCTACGCGCTCCTGCTCTTCGGTGGCCCGGTCACGGTCAACCACATCGGCGGGGGCCTGACGGTGGGGGTAAAGGATACGACGGTCAGGATCAAAGCTTGGCCGCGCATCGGCGTGCTCGTCAATCATTTGCGGTGGGTCGTGTGCCCGGTTGACCTCTCCTCCGAGCTGACGCGGAATGAATGGGGCGTGCCAGCCGCCTCCTGGATGCACAGCTGCTGCAGTGCATCGAGGAGGGCACAATTTTGGATATGGGCGCGGGCAGCAACCCGGTCCTCGAGGCCATTCAGGCGCTGTTGGACAACGACGGGCTCTCGTCGTGAATCGTCGTGATGGAGAGGAGGAAGGCGACTCGACCACTTGAAGATCGGGGCCGGAGTGACGAAGTATGCGTACGTACCTCCAAGGAGGAATGCCCCGGGCCGAGCCCGGTCGAGAGAAGGAAGAAGATTCGGAAATTGGCCAATCGCCCACAGAAAAGCCGTCAAGTCCCCGAAGTACCATCCTTTCGCGCGTTTAAGGCATCTTCCTGGAAACTAGGTTCCGTAAAGACAGGCATGCTCGATGTTGTCCTCGTGAATCAAGTGGAAACGTGCGCATATCTGTTCGCTCGTCGCTCGTGATAAAGTCGGCGTTCGGCTTGGTCGTCGCATCCTCGTAGATGCCTTCTGCATCGCGTGCGTGGCGCGCTGACTAGTTGACTGCTCGCATCGATTCCAAGAGCTTTATGCCGAGCGAGTGCCGTGGCCCATGTGCTCGGCATGAGATCAGGTGCGGAGGGGCCGATCGAGGGTCGCCGCCCACAATTCCTCCAATCTCCCAATACACCTCGTCGCTGGCCACTGGAGGGAGTGGGCTCGGCGGGCACCGTCTGGGCACACGAGCTCGAGCAAGCGAGGAGGCGCCAGGGGATGGGTCGAGGGGAGGGCGTCGACTACGGACGGGCGGATGGTGTCGGACGACATGGCCGGCTGCGGGCCCGGGCGCGTCATAGCAGCGCGTGGGACGATGTGCAGTCTGCGGACGGCGAGGGACGGCGTGAGTGTTCTCGGACGGACGGGCCACGCCGCGCCGGGCGCCTCGCTGTGCCGCGCGCGTGCTCGGGGCCAGGATGTGGTTCGACTTTTGCAAGTTGTCGGACAGGCTTTGAGCTCGGCAGCTTCCCGTGCTTTCTTCCCGGACCATGTAAAGCCCTTCCCTTGGCCGCCCGCCCCAGCTGGCTTCTTCCCGCTCTCGCCCATCCAGCGTCCGCCGAGCTCGTCGCCTCCACCCCGCCACTGCTCTCCGCGCGCTTTCCGTTCAACAGGCCGCAGCCAGGTCTCGCCGCCCGCGCATACACACAGAAGCCTTGGCCCGCAGTCTCTGCCCGGGTGTCCGCACATAAATATCCACTCCATCGACCCGCCACCGGCCGTCATCCGCGTTGGAGGATCTGGGCATGCACATTCTGGGGCCCGCATATTCCTCCACGACCTTTCATGAACGCATGCTCCTCTGTCCATCCCCCACGCCTACCCATCGCTAGACGTCTCTTCATCCCCATGGCGGTCCTCGCATGGGCCTTTGCCTGGTTCACAACGGTACGTCGTGTCCCCTGTTCTCTCCCCGCACCCTCAGTCCTGATCGCGCCGCCATAACCCCACGCCACATCGCCGCTCTCGCGCTCTCGTCGCGTCGCCTCGTCCAGAGCGTTCTCATCTTCTTGGCCGGCCGCCTCGTGCCACAACTGCGTCCCAAGTCGAAGCCCGCCATCCAGCTGCACACCGTGCCGACGCGCCCACGCAGTCCACCGCGCAGCCTGTCCCAGACGCCCGCAACATCCCTAGACCCCAAGCCCCTCCCAGTCGACCCGGACGATGCCCAGTCGTGCAAATCCGTCGCGAGCGAGGCGCAAGGCTCGAGCGTGTCTGAAGTTTCTGCCTCCAAGCGATCGTCTCCCAAGCCGCGGTGGTCTTTCGGCAAATCACGCCGCACGGAGGCCAGTCCGAACCTGGCCTTGCTCTCGGATGCCTCTGGGAGTGGTACACTCGTGGACGTCTCTTCGCCCGCCGCGGACGGGTCGTCTACAGAAATCGGGGCGCCGTCGGCCAGCTCGTCGCTCGATCAGCCTATCCCTACGTCGGCGCCTGCGTCGCGAATATACGTCTGCCGAAGGTGTTGAAGAACTTCCGCCGCAAGTCGTCCGCCAAAGCACGCTCCTCTCCAAATGCCTCCCCCGCCCCGACATTTTCGTCTCTTTCTGCTCTCGAAAAACCGACCGCCGAGGAGGAGGTCGACGAGTCTCTGAGAAGCCGCACCATATCCCTCGATCAGCCTAGGCAGGTGCAACTGGCCGCTCTCCGGTCACAGTCGGAACAGCCTGTCACCACTTCATCTGGCGAGACGTTTACGAGCACGTTCGTCAACCCATTCCGACTCAAACCCCGACGACCCAAGACGCCTGGTACGTGACTTTTACACAGTGACTACTGTATGATGTCACGGACTGACGCCTTCCCTTGTTTTGTCTTAGCTTCAGCTTCTGCAGAGTCTCCTGCCATTACCGCGTCCGAGCCCGGCCCATTGGCGTTTCGTTCTCCAACCATGCCCACTCCTCGGCGCGCATCCGGGCCACGACGTGTTCTCAACTCGCTCTCCCTCGCTCTCACGCCGTCCAACGTGCATCAACAGCCTGTACCTGACTCTCCCAGATCGAGCTTGTCCTCGACATCGACATTCTCCGTGCCCTCCACTTCGACCTCTGTTTCGGCATCTTCGCTCTCTCCGGGGTCCCCTCGCGCAGCTCAACGGACACAGCCATACGGGTACCCCTATTTTGCCCCAATGCCGGTGGTCACTTCTGCCGAGACTCGCTCCCGGAGCAGGAGTCGCTCACGTAGCGGCAGCGGCGCCGCGGCCGTGAAACCCCTTCCACGACGCGCAGCCTCTTTGGAATCCATACGGTGTCCTGAAACGGTCGCGGAAGAGGTGGAGGCCGAAGAGTTGGCGGGAGCGGGTGGGAACTTGCTCGGCTTGGAGCTCGGACAGGTGCGTGTGCAGGAGGTGCGCACGGTGCCTGTCGCACGGCGGAGAGCGCCCCGGCATGGGGCTACGATGAGCGAAGGGATGCCGATGGGGAGCTAGTCTGCCGGCGAGGAGCTGCAGCGTTTTTCTTGGATACCTCGGGCTGTTTGGGTTCCCGTATTCTCCGGCAGCGTCGTGTGCGGGGAGCGCAGGAGAACATGATGACTGACACGAATGAATGATGATCACGCTGTATCATACCTACGCCACACCTGCATCTTCGCATCGACACGCATTTACTATACACTCACCACTACACCTAGACGAGCCTCGCATAATCTTGGCATTGGCTGTGGTCATTCACTTGCACGTACGTTTCGTCGCACTTCGTATTGTTATTTGCACTATCAGTAAACGTATTCGCAATGTCATCACACGTTCACTCACGTCATCTCGCATTGGATCAAGGCACTTGTCCCCAGCTTTTTCCGTGCGACTTCAATGACGCTGGCGGGTTCCTTAGCTGACGCTACTTGGTTCGAACCACTGACTACGCTTGTGTCCCCGGGCCCGCAATCATCCAGCTATGAGGCGCTTCGACTTGTAATCGAAACCTTTGTACATGGTGCGAGCTGTTCAAATGCTGCCAGCTAAAACGAAGCCGGACGCTGGTACGAGTCTATGGAATGATCATTAGCTGCCAGTGTACGCGTCGACATGGATGGCGAACGAGTGTACTTAATAAATTTGGGCGTAACAATTCGGCGACTGGTGGCCCTTGGACGGCGATGAAAGTGATTGCGGCTTGTGGTCAGAACATCTGTAATTTCAACACACTTGTTCATCGCGCTGGTTCTTGATCGGTACAACCAGGGACGGGCTGGGACGGGCGACTCACGAGCATGACAATGCCCGTCGTTCGTACTACAACGGTCTACAACGGCCGAATTTGGCGCCGATACTACAAATCGTGTCATGTGATCGTGACGCGAGCTCGGACCTGACGCGTCGCTAGATCTGCCTCAAGGCTCATGCGCCCACGATGCTTTCAATCCTGGACGCCTTTGTCCACTTCCCGCGCTGCAAGTCTCCCCCAGTTTGTATGACTCGGCCCTGTTTCTGACTCAGCCCCCAGAATGACCTCGGATGACGAGTACGACGCGTTTTATCCCCCGCTCGACCCCGCCGCCCTCGCAGAGATAGAAGAACTCGTGTCCCATCCCGTCCGCTCGCCCCTTCGTCCCTCTGCAGCTCCGTCAAAGGTTCCCCATACGCCTTCACCCATAAAGCCCCTTCCGGCGTCCGCCTCCTCGACCGCCTCGAGCGCAAGCCGGCCACCACCACCATCCCCGCCAGACGTCGAAGATTTCGACGACGATGATCCGTTCTTTGCAGACCTCACCGACGCCGACTTTGCGGCGATCGACGCGTGCGCCCTCGCGGCTATTGCCGTCCGTGCGCCTGCTCCGCTTCCTCCCCCACCCGAGGTGGGAAGACGCCCCAGAGCCACTGTCCCCCGAGCCGGGGGAGGAGGAACAAGTCCAGGACGCGGAGGAGGGGGCGCTGACGGGCACGGAGGTCCTCGCCTTGAAGTCGCCTTGGAGCAGGGTGCACGCGCTGACTCGTCTCCCCGTTCTGTTGTGAAGGCTGCCCCGACCTCAAAGCCCACGTTGCCTCCTCCCGCTAAGGGGCCTCGCGCCAAGGGCACGCCATACCAGTTGTTCCGCGGCTGGAAGCGCCCGCTGTCCGTCACGGATCTGACGGCCCCATCATGGTGCGTGCGCTGAATCTGTGGGATTGGAGAGGCGGGGACGCTTACGGCGGGGACTCGGCTCGGGCTGGAAGGTGCGAGGTGCAGTTCGACTATGGGCTGCGCCAGAAGAGGAACTTGAAGATGGAGCAGCGACCGACGTCGTTTACTTCCGCCGCGGGCAAGCAGATCGAGGTCATCACTACGGTCGCGGAATCAAACGAACGCACGACCAGCCGGGGCAAGGTGCGTGGCCATGTCTCTGCCTTTGTTCGTTCTTGAACCCTGCGTGCAGTCGATACATAAGGCTCTTGAGCTTGAACTGGCACCTGATACGGTCAAGGTTCAGATCAAGTCGGCCGAGGAACGATGGGCATTGCGGTACTTCTCTTCTTGCACGGTTGTTTGCGCGTGCTCACTGGGATTGGCAGCGTGATCAACATGTATGCGTCATTCCAAGCTTTGTCCGAGGTTGGCGTATGCGTAAGTGGATCTCACGCTGTATGTGCGTGTATGCTCACCGCCATTGAATATCAGCGCGAGATGCCTGTGTTTGGTTTTGTAAACGACCAGCTTGTAACAGGCATCATTGTGGGTCTCCCGCCATGTTATCTCCCTCTGACGCTGAACATGCTGCCAGGACGAGGTTGTACGCAAACCAATGCCAACACTTGAACCTACTAGAAGCAGCCCATCCAAACGCTCAGCCTCTGGTGCTTCTCCGGCAAGTAGCTCGCCTCACCGATCGAAGAGGATTCGACAAGACCAGCCAATCACTTCTTTCTTCTCCTCGCCCTCGAAGTTGACTACCCATTCGAGTACTCTCCCCAAGACACCATCAAGTAGCGCTTCAGAACTACCTGTTTTCGATGATTCGCCTGACGGAATGCCACCTCGCTTCGCTTTGCATATTTCCGATACCAAGAGCCGAACCAAACCTTACCTACCACCAGACGAGGACACTGTTGCCTCGCGCCTCCAGCTGATGCTCTATCACCGCCTGCTCAGTTCCCTCCTCGCTACCGCTCATCCCCACCGCTCCTCATCTGTTCCCCTCGACTTCAAATTCCTCTGGGAACGCGCTGGCGTCGACCCTGCCAAGCGCTTCTCAGACACTTTTATCGAGGACGCCGGCATCGGACCTGCGACAACCCAAGACCTCGCCAATTACTCAACCCAGTCGCTCGTCAACGTGTCCTGTCTAAACGACCTCATACCACACTGGACACATTCCATAGAAGCGCTCTACATTGCCGGCGTCGACGAGAATCTAACACTCGTCTATCGCCTCCAACCATCCACGCGACGGGGCAAGAAGGGTCAACGTCACTCGCGTCGGCGCAACGGGGACGAGCCTCTGACTGAGCAGGAAGCCCACGACCTCGCGGCCGCCATCCAGGCGAGCGTGAGCGACCTACGTCCCGGTGAGGGAGGTGAGGGCGACTTGGCGAAGGCGATGTTCACGAGCCTTTCGGACTCGCTCGCGTCGGGCCGTGTGGCAGATGGCGATCTGGGCGTGCTCACGCATCCGTTCGGCCCTCCTCTCGAAGCCACCGGTCTAGACGGGAGCTTGGGTGGCGACCCGCAGCTTGCGTGGGCGCTACAAGAGTCCCTCCTCGCGCAGGCGAAAGAGGTCCCGGTGCTCAAGGATGCGATTGCAGACGCGGAGGCCTCCGCGTCTGAGGACCCATCGACGGAGGAGTCGCTGGCGCCCGTCCCGGAGGAAGTCGAGCCAGCACCATCCAACTCAACCTTGGTGGGTTCGGAGCCCCCGAAGACCGCGCCATCATCTCCGCATGCCGCACAAGATGAAGACACGGAAATCGCAGTCGAGGACGCCCGAATTCTTGGGAAAAAAGAGTTCGTATATGACGATGCTTACCTCGATTCGTACATGGCCCGCGTGCTTGCGTGGTGGCATGGCGAGCGTGCGCCAGAAGGCGTGGAGGTCGGGCTCACGAGGCGTTGCATGTGAGTAGTTGCTTCCTTGGGCTATCTTCCTGGCGTCCATGCTGATCGGGCCTCTATAGGACGTGCGAGTACCGCGATGGCTGCGAGTGGAGGGAGAAGAAGGCGCAAGAGGCGTTAGATCAGTATCAAGATCATAGCCAACCTGCCGCAGCCGTGTCTATCGCCGCGGAACCTTGGTTGTGAGGACCACCGTTTGGACAGTTGGGTATATGCTTTCCGAAACAACAGTATGTAAAGTACATCTGCCGTATTGTGATGTTTCTGGAATTTTGGATAATCCGGTATCTTCTCGCTCCGGTTTTCCTACACGCTGTCGGTGTTTCACGCGTTTGACCAGTCGAGCCTGGGTCGCTCGGCGGTCGGCGCTAATCTGCAGTCACGCCTTAGCTTCTTACACCGACAAGGCCCCAAGGGCTCTTTGCCACGTCTGGACTAAAAATGCCAGCTTCTATCTGAGTGGGTGAGTGTCGTAGTACTCGCTGTGTCCTTAAATTAACTGACGGGACGTTTGTTTGCAGGGCGGGCAATTGTTGCATGTCCGCGAATACCGGGAAGTTCTCAGAATCAGACCATGCAGCAGTGGTTGCTCCAGTGCGCAAACCCGCCTTCGACAGTCCACTGAGTCGATAGTGGAAGCTCTTCTCGTACGTGCTTGCATCCGGTTTCAGTGCGAGACTTGTCAGATACGCCTTTCTCTGACGGAGGTGAGGGTGCTTGGCGAAACATTCTCCCTCGGCGTTTCTCTCCCAATGCACATCTGTAGCTGATACCCGCGAGCGAAAGCGAGTCGCTGCCGCCTGAAGCAATGTTGTTGGTCTGGCCTGCAGGACTTCGGCCGCTGGCCACACGCTGTCTCCTTGACACAGCGCGCACCGGGTGCATCATCGCGCAGTGCAGTCGGCACCGAGGCCCTCCGAACATTGCGTTCCGGCGTTCGTACCACTCTCCGCTTGCGCGATGGTATAAAGGTGCGTGCTATCTACAGTGACTCTCCAGTCTCCCAGTCAGCTCACCCGGACGTAGAACATCAAGCCTCGCCCTGCTTTCGCTTGTCTGCGCTGCAATCTGTTTCTACGAACGTCTCTCGGTTTCAACCCTCTTCCCCCTGTTTGTCACCATGGTTGCCTTCAGTACTTAATTCGTTTTTGCCGTCGCCCTGGTTAGTTCCGCCGTGGCCACTCCTACTCCTGATCCTGAGGCCGCGCTCGCTCCGAGGAGCGTTGTGCACGTCGGACGTGTAGGTTTTCTTGTACTATTCGGGAGTAAGCAGGAGAGCGCTGACACTTTTTTGCAGGGCACCTTCTTCCACGTCGGGCTAGGAGCGTGTGGCGAGACGAATGTCGACAGCGACCACATAGTCGCCATCCCATCGTCGCGCTTCAAGAACGGCAAACACTGCGAGCAGGTATTGTCCCTTCAGCACAAATGTGCGCGTGTGAAAGCGTAACCTCCCTGTGTTGGTAGTTCGTGCATATTGTCAACACGCAGACCAACAAGAAGGCGTTCGCTAAGGTCCGCGACTCTTGTCCTGGCTGTGGCGAAAACGATATCGGTGAGCACAGCCATTGCTGTGCACTGGGACAGTAGGCTCATGCGCACACGACCGCTTTTCAGACATGAGCCCTTCGCTCTTCCAAGCTCTTGGTGCGAACCTAGCCGAGGGTATGATTCCTGTGAAGTGGGAGTTCAGGAAGAAGGGCTTCCACCCCCTAGAGGGGCGGTTCGGACAAGTAGGACGTATCCCCTTGTTGTGACATTCGAGGACTGCAGAGATGAGGTTGCCCTCTGCAATGGCACGCAGCATGGGAGCCCCACGAACATTGGCATAGACCACTTATGATCAATGCTACACGTCCATGGCCACTTGCTGTGGGGTCAGCGTGCGGGTCTGGGGGTCATATGTGCGATGAACTCACTCATGGCAATATTGACGTGAGGGTCTGCAGAGGGAATGAGATGAGGTGGCGGGGCGGATGGTGGAAGTGGCACGGAGGACTCTCAATAGAGCCGTTTGGAAAGTTACGATAGTGAACCGTAGTAATCGTGAGTTGGAGCGTTGGAGTCCCTGCTCCACGCGACTGCCCGGCGGGTGTTTGGCCAGCGGGCCGATATCCCGTGGAGCAGTGGAGGCACCGAAGTGGCGTCAGGTTCGTGCACTATAGTGCATTTCCAAACAGCTCTAATGTGGGTCGGAGGTTGGGTATCCCAAGGAGTGGCGTGTCCCAAGGAGCCCAAAGCGCCCCAGCCTCGGCCCGTCCCCTCCCGGGGGCCGCCCGCGAAGCAAGTCCAAACAGGTCATGGCTAGAGGAGGTCTTGAGAATCTTCCATAATTCTGTTTTCGTGAGTCTCGAGGCGGGCCGTGGCGGACGGTTGAACGGCTGAACGATGAACGAATGGTGGGGTGATCCGGGAAGCGAGATCGGGGATGGAATATGGCGAGACTGGGAGTCCGAGATTTTCGGCATCTGAGCTTCGCTGCGCTTGTTGGCAGGCCCCAACCCACTTCGCGATCGAACACCGCTCTTTCCCCTACCATCAAGACCCCGCTTGGCCCTCGGCGCGCGCTCTCCTTCCGTCTCTCCTTCAATTATCCCCCTCCCTACTGTACACATCACTCCTGGTTTCTCGCAAAGATGATGGGCAATGGCACTGGATGGGAGGACCACCTCCACTGGGGCCTTCTGAGTGAACACGTCTTGGTTGCTGGGCTCAAGCTCGACTCTGGGTGGTCTTTCTTTGTTGCATCCCTGCTCACAATCGCTGTATGCGTGTCGGAAAGGTATGTCGTTGAGTCCATACGCCACGACGAGCGTCTTGTCTGAAGATCTTACGCGCAACAGGATATTGACCTATGCCATCTCACAAAAGTGGAATCCTTTCCTCCCGCGTGGCCACCGGCCAACACGCTTATCGAAAGCGCTGTGGCAAGCGATGCTGTACTGGCTGGTCACTTTAGCGAGACTGTATGTGCATGATGGGGAAGGCGAGCAAACATCGTGTGCTGATAGGGGCGGACAGGATGTACATGCTCATAGGCATGACGTTCAGCTTTGGGTGAGCGAAATATCATCTGCACCCCTCTAACGCATCTTAATTCTGAGTCTAGGTTGATCATAATCGCTGTCACGACGTTGGCGACTGGCCAATTCATCATCGAGCTGCTCGACCATACACCTTTGCCTCCGCGCTCGCGCGATGAGTACGTCTCGCTCCTCTCTTCCTCACACCCCTTCTCACTCGCGCACAACCTCCCTATGTCCTCTTAAGTTCCGAGCACTTCTACAAGGAGCCCCTCCTCCATTCGGACGAGGATGCGTTCGGTCCTGAGCCCAGCCCCGTCTACCCGCCGTCCCGCCCCAGCCTCGGCCCGTCCCCTCCCGGGGGCCGTCCGCGAAGCAAGTCCAAACCCGACGCGATCTTCATTCACCCGAACGAGTCCAACCTCGCGCGCGCCGATGTCGCCGCCGCCCAGCTCGGGCTCGGGGGCGACACCGAGCGCGTCCGTACGGAGGTCTTCCGTGTCAGCGCGGACACGGAGGCGTGGGAGCCCGGACGTGGGCGGGACGTCGCGCGCGAGCTGCTTGGTCGCTGACGGTGACACAACTGCAGACGACGGACGACGGAAATGGTGCGCCCGCCATTCGCTCTCACTCTGCTGGCTGCAGTTGTCCCCCCGCGCACCATCTCCGGGTTCACCGCTCTGCTCCCACGGTGGGCTTGACGAGGACGGATGCCGTGCCTGCCATGGCTATGGGAGCGTCATTGTCGCTAGTCTTGGGGACCGCACTTGGATGCTGGACGGGAGATACATCATTCGCCTATGTTCGCTCTCTGGATCCTCTCGCGCAGAGCATCCAGATGTTGTTTCGCGTAACTTATATCTGTATTCTTTGGTCTTGCCTTTCTCTCCTTTTCTCCCTCTCTCACCGAAGCCTAGTGACAACCAGATCAAAGTCCATGTAGAGTATCGGACCCTTGATCACTAGTATTTCAATATTGTATGCTAATGACATCCCAAGCCACGGATAATCATAGCCTGCTATCACATCATTCTCCATACTAGTAAGCCATTGTCTAGACATCTTGGAAGAGCTGAGGGTCAGTCTTTAGCATTTGCGATCTCGGGGGACATGAGGTTTTCTCGGAAGTGCTTAAGTACATTGTGTTGGGGCAATATTCCCCGTTACTTCAAAACAGAATACAGGTCATGAACTGATACATCTCCTCATACAGTTTTTCACTTCTGCTAGTACAATTGTCTCTGTCCGTTCCCGATAGCAACCGGTCTTATCTAGAAAGCTGCGCGACACACTTCACTCCTCTTTCTCGGGTACAACCTTGCCGTGCTTTGAACTGTCGAACGCGTCCAGGCCGGAAGCGACTCGTGCTCCAGCAATCAGGGAACTCCAGTCCAACACATCGAAGTGCGCATCGCCGCGCTGGATTTGGGCCTGGTGAAGGGCGCGAGCCGTGAGCAGATGCTGGTGGGCAGCGTCCTGTTCCACCAAAGTAAGTAGAGCGTCAAGGGATCACTGGCTAGATGCTGATGCACCCACCAGGGAGGGCATAGGAGAGTTCAGCTCGGTCGTCAGTCGTCGAATGTGCTGAGAGTCCTTGATTCCGCCGTCAATGGCGAAGCCCTTGGTCCCGTCGAATTTGTCGTGCAACATCTTGTCACCGTATGCAGTGAACCTGTGGGAGGATTGGAAGGAGGGCTGCGTGCATCGTGAGACAGAATGTACGCACAATGGTGCAGGAATCAGCTCCTTCATGAGAGAGTACGTCATGGGTGCCCCGATGCCGGCCTTCTCGCCTAGAGCGAAACTTTCTGCGATAAGCTCTAAAGAGCCCAGGATCATGCTGTTTCCAATGAGCTTGAAAGTCGAAGCTGGACACGCGGTCAATTATTCCGGTACGACGCGCGAAGACAGAACGGATTGTGCTACGCACCTTTCTCAATGTTTCCACCGAGATCTATGACCTTCCGACCAACCGAGGGGTACATAATGTGAGCAACTTCCTTCTTGGAGCGGTAGTCTCCAGACATAACGATGAGAAGTTGGGCGACTTCGGCCGTCGCTGGAGGACCGAAGACAGGGGATGACACGAATGTTGTGGAGGGAATACTGCTGAGGAGAACATCGAGTTTAGCTGTTGCAGAGCCCGAGTTTTCAGAGAAGTGCTTTCGTGAGAAAAACAGTGATATACACACCCGCCACGGTCGGGTAGATAGTGCTCGTCTCGACAAAGATCCGACCCTTTGCTTGTTTCCCGTCCTGCATTGGCGGACGAATGAGATGTAGCACAAGGGCGGATAGGGTAGAAAGCGCACCTCTAGTGTCTTCACGAAGGTCTGGTACACACTCAGCACGACCTCGTCGTTGGAGAGGTTTGTGAAGATGATGTCACACTCAGAGACCACTTCCTCGAGGGACGCCGCTACCGAGATGATGTCTTGCCCAAGCTCCTTGGCGAGAGCATCTCCCTTGACCTTTGTACGGTTCCACACGACGACTGGGAGCCCACCCTGGACATGTTCTTTACGCCACTTCGCCATGTTGCGTGCCATGGGATAGCCCATCGCGCCCAGGCCGCAGAATCCGATTTGCACGGCATGATGCCCGGGGGTCGCGGGACGCGAAAAGGGGTTGGGCTCGGTCTGCTGGAGGTGGAGGAGGTGCGCATCCTTGGGTCTTGCCATGGTCCAGATGAAAGAGAGATAGACGCAGATAGCAGCAGGAAGGGGAAACCGAGGGACTGAGATCGGCGCTGCTGCATGGGGAGCCCGCGGGCGGCGGCGGGCCGGAAAGACGGATTATGTCAAGCACGTGAACTAACCCTAATATAGGGGCGCGTACGCGTTATTACGGTTCGTCGACGCGTTCTCGAGAGGCGCCCGGCGGCGGCGGCAGGTGCCGAGCGCGAGCTGGTTGTGGTCGGCTACGGCCAGCTATCCACTGCACCTTCCTCTCTCCTCCACTGCTACGCTTCCCGCCGCGCCTGCCATGCAGGCGTACCCCGCGGATATCCCGCAGCCCAACAAGGGGACCCTCGTCCCCGGCCAGAGCATCACCGTCAACAAATACACTGTTGTCGTGGAGCGCTACCTGAGCCAGGGTTCGTTCAATCCGTTGCTACATCGTCCAGCCATCTAATCGAAGCCCGTCTGCAGGCGGGTTCGCTCACGTCTATCTCGTCAGGACCGCTCAGCCGGTCTACAACACGACACATCATGTCCTGAAGCGTATTGCCGTTCCGAATGAAGCGATGCTTTCAGAAGTCAAGAAGGAGGTGGACATTATGGTCAGTACCACTTTCTTTCTTAGTTCAGCACGTAGATGCAACAAAGCTTGGAGCATAAAGCGAATGGATGGAGTGCTCATGGCAGATAGTGCCGATCATCTCGGCTTATGCACTATGGGCATGCATGTTCAAGGAGATGACCGCTGGGTTAAACACGCGAGTCTGTTTGTGACCCAGGTCATGCATGAGCACGTATGCGCCACGTTATGGATCTTCCGCATGTGCATGTGGTGGATCTCAAGCCACAATTGAACGCAGTTAGCAGAGGGTGCTACGGGCTGGACGAAGCATGTGTTGTTTGCGACTATACTGACCGAATGCTTAGAGAATCCTCAAGGGGCATCCCAACATCGTCTTCCTCATCGACGCAGCCTGGCACCGGATGACCAACGGCACCTACGAGGTTTTCATTCTCATGGAGTTCTGCCCTGGTGGAGGAATTATCGACATGATGAATCGCCGGCTCCGAGAACGCCTCACCGAGCTGGAGATCCTCACCATCTTCGTTGAAGTCTGCGAAGGCCTGGCTGCCATGCATGCACTTAAGCCCCCAATCCTTCACCGCGATCTCAAGGTGGAGAACATCCTTCAGGCGTCTTCGACCTCGTACAAGCTATGCGACTTCGGTAGTGCCATTCCGGTGCAAAAGATCCCCACCAATACGCAGGAGCTCCGCATGCTGGAGGCCGATCTTAATCGACATACAACTCTGCAATATCGCGCGCCGGAGATGATCGACGTTCATCTCAGAAGACCCATTGACGAGAAGAGCGATGTCTGGGCATTAGGTGTGCTCCTGTACAAACTCTGCTACTACACCACCCCCTTTGAAGAGCATGGCCCCCTTGCTATCTTGAACGTCCAATACAAAATCCCCCCATACCCCGTTTACTCCGCTCAGATGAATAGTCTAATCGGTACGTGTTGCCCTATTTTCGCACTCTCCCGCGCAATTTTGTTCTCTGCACCGGAGGAATGCTTCTTTGACCATCAAGCTGGTTTACTGAACAGTCGGACAGGGTCTATGCTCAAGGAGCACGGCGCGCAACGCCCGTCTGTGTTCGAGGTCCTCCAGCACGTCCATCTGCTTCGCGGGACGAAGTCACGCTTCACTTACAACATCCCCGTCAAAGAGCCCCTTTCTCCTCGCTCCCTGGGCGCACCTCTTCAGACCCTGTCCTCGAACATCGCGAACCCTCTGGATGAGCTTGTCTCATACAGGTCGCAGCAGGCTACTAACAAGAACGCGGGCGTGGAAGCTCGAGAAAAGGTGCTGGAAGCCATTGCCCCCATGCGGAGAGGACGGCCAGCACAGGGCATTCCTTCGTCGAAGACACCTTCACGACCGGGAAGCCCGGAGAAACCGGTTGCCTTCGAAACCAAGTTTGGCGACGACGAAGACCGCTCGTGGAAGGGCCCAGCGCGGTCCCCTCTACCGACGCCTCGCAACGACGCTGGATCTGCGAACAGCCAGGCTGGATCTGCGAACAGCAAGACCGATGGGGACGCTTGGAGTGTGGATTCTCGTCAGTCAGCGTTCAAGCCCAGTGCGGGGCGCGGATTCGACAACGACTTCTCGTCGGGCTTCGGAAGCAAGTTCACAAGTAAACCACCAACTTCTACCGCTGACTTTGGAGATGCATTCGACCCAATGAAAGCTGTCCCTGTCTCGTCTTCACCATCGGCGCCTCGAGCAGGATCCAACTCACAGCAACCGCCACGGCTCCGCCAAAGTCGCTTTGGCAAAGACGCCTTTGAGGGCCTTGGATTGCCCTCTCAGCCGCCGCCGCCGCCGACTCTTGGAGAGGCGAGGATGAGTCGGACAGGACTAGCGAGCTTCGGCGGCTCGAGTTCCCAGAGTGCAGGGTACAACCTCGCCACTCCCGCCGGCACCGGGCTAGGGACTTCCAACACGTCGTACAGGCCGCCCAGTATCCACGCTTCTCGTCCTACGCCGTCACCACAGCTACCACAGTCCCAGATCCAGCCACAATCAACCAATATGTCACCGATACCACCGCCCGCAGTGCCGTCGTGGAAGCCGAACGCCAAAGAACAAGACAACATGTCTGCGGAGGAGCGTTTCCCGTCGCTGGAGGACCTCGACAGGACATTTGCCTCGCCATCACCAGCTGCACCGTCGGACAAGCCTCCGTCGATGTCTTCGCGACCTACCGAACGTCCTCCGTCACGAAGCAACTATTTCGCAGCGCTGGGGGCCGGTGCAGGCTCGAGTGCACCAGGGGTCAAGGGCCGTTATGATGGCGTACGCTCCCAACAAGTTACTGGAACCGCGATGCGCGAGGCCCGCCATACGACCTCACGGCAGTCCAATTTCATGCGCAGCGTCGATCCGATGCCAACGAAGACGGAAGACGGACCCGCAGGGTGCAGCGACCCCTTTCATCGCATCCATCGCTCTCGCGCAAGCACCGAAGCTCTGTCACAGTGAAGTCTTCGCGGGACAACCCCGTCGACCTCCTTGGGTCTGCCACACCGGCGCTCCCTCCGCGACCTTCTGCGCCCACATCCAAAGCAGAACCCCAAGACTGGCTCACAGGCAACGACGAAGGCATGGGTAGCACGCTTGCTATTCGTACCACTGGCCTCGGCGCTCTATCGAATCCCCAGCCCGTCCTCCGCGACTCCCCTAGCAAGCGTGCGAGTTATATCGAGCGTAGCCCAATCTCGCTTGCGAGGCCTCTAGAAGCAGAGAATGTGCTACCACCAGTGGCCGCGCCCCAGTCGACGTCACTTGAACGAGAATGGGACATGGCACTCGACCGTTTGGACAACATGCCGATGGGGAAGAGCGAACGAGACAAACGCAGGGCGGACGCGGCAAAGCCTTCAGGAAGCGAGCGGAGGCAGCGCTCGAAGTCCCCTCAGGCGACCAAGGCGTTCATCACCCGTGGCAACGTCGATATGGTTGGATTGGGGCTGCAGACTCCGACTGCTTCTGGAACTGGTTCACGTCTAGCACGCACACCTTCGCCTGGGCCTAACGATAACTGGGGCCCGAATCCGTCGTCGAAGCATCAGAAGCATGGGAAGCGAGGATCTTCGTCCAGCAGCGACGGAGAACCGGAGGATTTGAACGGCTACACGTACATGGGTGACAAGCCGGGTCTCAAAGGCGCGAGCTTTTCGAACGGGACTGCCGATGCAAACAAGCGGAGGCCTCCGCGGGCCAAGGGTCGGCAGAGCTCTGTACACGACCTAGTCGACCTGTGGGGTGGGAAGAGCCCAACGTTGCCTAACGCCCCGGCTGTCAACAGTCCGACGCTCCCTCCCCCCGCGAACAAGCGCAGTTCTGTCATCGTGCAGTCGACATCAATGAAGCCCCCCCAGCTTTTGAGTAAGCCCAGGGCAGCATCTCCTCAGCCGATGATGGGCCCCCCATCACCCAGCAAGGCCAAGGCGTCCGGTTCTGGCTCGGGTTTCAAGCGCAGCGACATGGGTCCTCCAGCCATTTCTCCTAATACTTCGGAGTTCGCATCAGGGCGCTCACGACCAGCGTCCATGTTCATCAACCCCGTCACCGCCTCTCGTTCGACTCAGGCGGACCTTGGTGTTGTGTCTTCGTCAGGGGCCGCGGCTTCGCTCGCGCAGGCCGTCTCCCCTCCCTCGGACCCAAGGCGTCGCACCACACGCCGAAGCTCCATCACGGACATGGTTCAACACTACGAGACGATCACCAACACCACGACCGGTACCACAGCGAAGCCAGCCCCAGGCCCGCCCGCGAAGCCCGCTGGACTGAGCGTGAAGACCGGTCACAGGAAGACACCCAGCGCGTCTTCATTCGACTACGCGTCGCCCTCCGCTGCGGCGACCCGCTTCCCCAAGCTGTCGCCCACGTTGTCGCCCGAGCTCACCAAGGCCAACCTCGCCGTCCCAGACGACGGAGGGCGCGCGGCCATGGGACGTGACTTCTCCAAGTACCGCACATCTCCCACTGGGCTTCCTCCACGCTCGTCGCCTGTGGGTCGCCTCGACCTACCGTTCTCCTCAAACTCGAACTCGACGGGAACGAACATCACTGGACCATCGATCAACGGCCTTCCTGCTCGCCGGTCGCCAGTGCTCATCGAGCAGCCGCCGTCCCGCGCGTCAATGCGCGACCAGCCACCTCCCTCTCCGCTCATGGAGCGTAAGGTGTCATCATCGTCGACTTTGGACCTCCCTGTGCCCCATGCGAACGTGCGGTCGCCGTCGCCAGAGAAGCCGTACCAGGGCGTGTCGCGTTTGATCGACCGTTGGCAGAAGGCGGTGGACGACACGGGCCCCGCGGGTGGACGTCGGCCGGTGATACCGGTGAAGAAGGCGGGTGTTGTCAACGGGGGGTCTGGGCGTGCTTGAGGGGACGAGGATGCACGGAGTGTCCGTGACGGACATGGATTTGCTTGGTTAGTAACCCCCTCATAGTAATTGTGCTCACGTCACGACATGTATGGACCGATATGACACCGCGCTACGATTGCTCTCGGGCCTCGACTGTGGCTCCGGTTAATGTATGAGAAGTGGATATCTTCCCTCGCCGCATACGTTTAGTATATTGACATGTGTATACCACGCTTATTATCTATCTCTGGTTGAGGATCCCTTCTCGGAAAAACGTCAACGACAGTTGGTGAGAGATGTTGACATGACCAGGAGAAATGTTTCCGCAAGCCTGTGCTCACCACCAAAAGCATAGCAGGCGTTTGGTAGACCTCCTGCTATATTGAGCAGCGAACTTTCGTAGGCGCCCAGAGGCCACCAGCTGCGTGTCGTGGCTGAGCTCTGAGCGCGTTGCCCGCTCTGCTCTCCGACCTCACCTCGTCCGCTGGCCGGGATGATCGCCTCCGTCTCTCGGACACCTCTGGTTCGGCCAGTGCTCGTCCCTTCACGCAAGTATGCCCTCTCCATGAAACCCCCGATCGTTTGGAAGCGTATCACGGGAGACACTCGCCGCTACCCAGAGCGCAAAACCTACCTCTACAACCAGTACTCCCGCCTCCTCCAGGGTGCAGACACGACCCCCTCATCCTCTTCGAGCACTCTGGCTTTTCCGCGAAGCGGCTCATCCAGCTGCGCGCCGACATCGCCGCCGCGGTCACCAAGCACGCCAGCACGCAGCCCTCGCTCTCCCCCAAACCCAAGTCCAAGTCGTCCACACCCCCACCTGTCGAGCAGCCGACGTTCACCATCATGCGCCCCATCCTCTTCGGCGCCGTCCTCCGCGGCTCGCCCGACATGGACCCCGTCGTGCGCGAGCGGCTCGCGAGCACCGTCTCGACGTCACTCGCCGCGCTCTCTTTCCCGCAACTCAACCCGCCGCAGCTCAAGGCCGTCCTCCGCGTGCTCGCGCGCACGGTGCCCCTCGCGCCCCGCCGACCCCCGCGCAGATCGAGGACGCGCGCAAGGCCGCAGAGGCCGCATTCGTGCCAGGGCGCCGCCCGAAGCGCGTCCGCCCGATCCCAGTCCCGGATCTCAAGCTCCTTGGCGCGGTGGTGGAAGGAAAGGTGTTCATGGCGGAGGGCGTGCAGAGCATTGCGGAGCTGCCGACGTTGGACGCGCTCCGGGCGCAGATCGTGGGGCTGTTGAGCGCGCCGGCGATGCAGCTCTCGATGGTGCTCAACGAGGCGAGCGGGGCGAAGCTATCGAGGACTCTAGAGGGGTTCAAAAAGAGTCTGGAGCCGGAGGCAGCAGAGGGCGAGGCTCCGCCGTCGTAGTTGGTTAATTTGTAGCGTTTAATTCCTGCATACATCCATCCACACTATTCCGGGAGTAGAGTGCATGCGCGTGAGGGGTCCCAGCACTGCAGAACAAGTCGTTCTACGAGCTGCAAGTCGACGAGTAGAGGGCAAGTGCGAATACAAATAAACAGTAAAACCGAATGAGTAGAGTAGATAGGATAACGTCCTCTCCAGATCACCTTCGTTTTGAGCTCCTGCTTTCTTCACGGTCGCCTGGGGATGCCCTCCGTTTCCTGCGCAGCGATGAGCGTTGCAACTTCCAGCAGAGGGTGAGCGTACACACCTGCTGCTCCTATCACGCTCGTCTAAGTCGGGAGTGCCTCGCTCCTTCCTGTCACCGTTTCGCTCGCTCCGTTCACTGCGTTCACGATCCACGGGAGCGCTGCCACCACCACCTCCGCCGTAGTCCAAGCCGTCCACGGCAGGCGCGCTTCCATCAATATCCTTATACTTGTTTTTATTACGTGGACCAGTAGGCACGTTCGGAGGCAGCGGCGACGCCGGACGGACGGGCATTCCTAAATGGATTCCTCGCGACTCAGGTACCGCTCTACCACACGAAAGGCACCGACGACATACCTCGTCCCCGACCAGCGAACCCTGCCCCGCGTCCACGCGGGCCCATACCCTGCGGCATCCCACGTCCGCGGAACGGTTGCTGAGGCACATTCCGAGCCGCAGCTGGCGCGACAGGCCCAGGGGTACCGTTCCCTTCCATGCCCGGGTACATCTGCTGGCCCATGGCATTCGGTCCTGTATCTCGATGAGCGACCGCTGCGGGAGATGAGGGTGCGAGGACCGAGAACGTTGCACCCACCTGCATCGCGAAGTCGGGATTCATGTTCATGCCCATCATGCCCTGCGCGCCGCCGCCAGGCCCGAAGCCCTCGCCGACCATGCCCATCTGGCCCTCGGGATTGCCCTGGCCTGCACCTTGGGGCCCGCCGCCACCAGCACCGCCGTCCTGCATCATACCATATCGCCCATGCCCATGCCCATTCCACCGTCCATCATGGGGTTCATCATAGGGCCCATGTTCATCATCTGGTTCATCATGGGTCCGCCGTTCATGGTCATCATCCCTCCCCCGCCGGCCATGACGGTCGTAGCTCCAGCCAGGACGGCTTGACGAACATCCTGAGGCAAGGCGAGGAGTTGCTCTTCTGGGAGACCGGAGAAATTCTGTTGATCAAGTAACAGCGGTCAGAATGCGCCGAAGCAGGGAGAGAGAGAAAGAAGGCATACAAGGATACTGTTCTTCAGCACTCCAGCATGCTCGACCATAGACTGCCGTTGGTTGCAGTACATTTGCCAGGTCATCTCATCGAAACCGTAGTTGAACCAGTCGCTAAGGTCGGACCCTGGTCTTCTCCACGGCTTCTCCGACATCGCGTTCAGATCATACTCCAAGATAGACTGTCCGTCTACTACTCCCACTTCGTTCAATTTGATTGAAGGGTGTGAGGGGGCCGCCTTCGGAGCCGGCAGAGTATTGGGGTCAGGCCCTGTATCCTTTGCTGCATCCTTTTCACCTTCTGTGGTCTTCTCTGCAGCGGGAGCACTGGGCGTAGCAATTGCACCAGGCTGAGGAGTCTGAGATGAAGGCTGGGGGGTTGAGGTGATCTTATTAATTGCAGCCCGGTCGCGGGGAGTGTACTCAGTTGTGAGGGAAGGTGGAGGTGCTGAACGAGTATTAGCGACAGTCCGACGCACGGGTATATATGCCTACTCACGTCTTTGGGAAGTGAACTGAGTAGAGCTTACTGCGCGAGGTTGCGCTGGTCTTGTGGCACTGCCAGAAGGTTATATTCAGAGCAGTGGCAACGTAGAAGATTGGGACTCACCGAAGGTCCAAGGAATGCGACTTTATTGGTTCGTCCATGATAATTTCTACATCCTGAAGATAAAGTCAGACAGCTGCAAAGAAACAAAGGACACAATGAACGCACATCTTCACTGTCTTCATCTTCCTCCTCTTCGTCCTCCTCCCCATTTTCAGTAGGCTCTCCCTCTGCACTCTCCTCTTGCGTGTCATCGGCAGCTTGCTCTTCTAGCTTTGCAACTAGCCCTTCTGAGATGGAGCGGGTCTGCTCCACAGATATTCTGACGCGTCACGACTATGAGGGGGCTTACACAGTGCCAGCGTAGTGGCTACTCACGGTTGTGGCACTGGGCATCACGCGAGTTGGGGAAGAATCATGAGAATTTCCATTGGACTCATGAAGACGGTACAAGAAAGGTGTACGGGATGGTAGCCCTTCTTGCTCATGACTAGAACCTCACCAGATGTCTCTACCGCCGGCTTGACGAGCTCCTCTGTTGTTGATTCTCCGTACAAGTAGCTGTCGTCGTCATCCATGCTGGCGTGGCGTTCAGTCTTCAAGCTTTTGAAAGCATGCATATACTCACCTGCTCCAAAGCGTACGGTGACGGGTATGATACGGATAGAAGTGGGGAGTATCCGAGCGAGGCAGTAACAAGAACAAGAACAAGACGTCCAAACGCCACGCGCGCTTCTGTTCCGGGCCTCCGGCGTTGGGACGTACGCACGTGACCCAGATCTCAGAAATTTCGTGCCTCAGAGGCTCAGCCTCTCATCGGACGCATTTTGCGTTATCTCTTCCACTTCCTCTACCCCGTCTGGTCTGCAGTCATCTCACAATACGCTCGTGCAAGAAGATTCCGGGACCGACATATTGCTGTCTGCTACGCGCACTCCAGTTCAACGCTTGCACAGGAGAACACCCAAGGCAAGGTCTCCTCCACATATCATCTCGCGGACACAGCGCGCGCGACAGCAGGATGGGAAAGTCTCAGAAGAAGCGCAGCATGCGCAGACATAACCCAATGCGTGTTCCAGACTCGCATCTTGCGAAAGGTCTCGCCTCCGCATCCGCTTCGTCTTCCAAGGGCGAAGCCATCCTCCCAATCATACAGAAAGTGAGGATCATGTTCAAATACCGTGCATGCATCACATTAACGCAATACATCATACAAAGCTTGACAGCGTGGACACTGCAGACAGAAAATGGGCCTGTGTCGCGGTCTCAAATTTGATCCACAACGATCCATCTACGAGGCGATTGCTGCAGAGCAAAAATATTGTCGGCGCGTTGATCACTCGCCTGTCGGATAGTGAGGAGGAGGTTGTCGTAGAAGCTGCGGGATCTCTGCGGTACGTTGTTACGATCTGTAGCCATTAAGTTCACGGTACGAGAAATGTTTTCAGAAATCTATGCATCGATGGTGGTTTCGACATCTGCGCCGAGATGTTCAACAAGAACATCCTGGCTCCTCTAAAAACTTTTATACCCAAGGTACGGCACCTACGGTGTACGCTTAGCGATTCTTCACTAAGTTCTGAAGCCCACAGATCTCCAGCACTCTGTCGCAATACCTCGCTTCGCCCAAGAATGCACCTGAAAATGCGCAAAAGCTTGTCTACGAGTTCGCTGACAATGTAATCACAATATTGTGGTGTCTATCGTAAGTGCGCGAGTTTGTGCAGCGTTACAATCTGCCATGTGAGCTGACGAAGCCTAGAGAGACCTCGAACAAGGCCTTGAATGCGATCAACCAAATATCCCTCGTACCTTTTCTGATGTCCTTCTTGGCGTCGAGGGGACAACTGCCGATATCGACTACTACTTCGGCAGGTGTGTTGTATTGTAGTCACGCCCCACATCAGATGCGCTCACCATAGTAATAGCACAGTGTTTGTACGTGCTGACAGATGAAAACCCTTCTATCATAAACGAGGTTCGCACGAACGCCGAGTATACCACATGTTTGCTCGGCGTTGTGCGGTCTGAAGACACGGCCCCAAAATCGAACGGCAAAGAGAAGGACAATTCTGATCCGAGAGCGTCTGCTTTCCGTGTACTCTGCTGTGGTAGGTTCCTTTATGGCAAGTCCGTCGAGTTAATGGCTGAACGCTTCCCTAGGCATTCTCAGGAATGTCTCGCCTATCCCTCCCCCTTCGATAGCCGCTACCGTTGATCTCGACCGGGACGTAATCATCCCGAATCTAGAGCCGGTCTTGACCTCGATAGACCTACAGGAAGCATCTCAAGCTGCGCACCATGCTTTGGAGAATCAAGTTTGTGTCCAACAGCCTCACTTCCAGCCGATGAGCCCGTTACAGCGCTGATGCGTCGTCTGGTTAGGAGCCCATTCCGCAAGTCGAGAACCTTTCGCCGAAAAACGCACCCAAGTCCGATCACAAGACTCCATCCGAATTGGAGCTCGAACGACTCGAGACAAGACTGCGCACGGTCCAGCTCGCTCTAGAGATTCTCACAGGCATGTGCGCCACACTGCCCGACCCAGAAATCTTCAACGGCGCCGGCAATGACGAGGAGGGCTTACAAGATGGAAACCAGGGTGATACTCTCAGCGTCCTTCAAAACCATTAGCGTGGTACTTACGTCTTCCCTCGTCGATGCAGACGACGAAGGAATGGATGACGCTCAGGACATCGATATGGACGAGTCCACGTCCACCCCAGCGGCTCCGCCGCCCGCGTTCTTCACGACGCTCGTCACGTCCCTGCTCAAATTGATCCAGCCCACACCGCTCTCCTTACCTCCCGTGGAAGCGCCGTCGCCACATCCGCCCACAACCTCGGTGCTCGGCGCAATACACGTCAGTGCACTTGAATGCCTGAACAATATTTTCCTCTCTATGGCAACGTCGCTCAGCGGTCGGCCGTCAGGTCTGGCGGCAGAAAACGGCAGTGCCGTCTTCGATGCGGTTTGGAGCGCGCTCGGGGCGGTCGGCACGGACATTTCTGGCCCCGGACAAGAGCGCCGCAGAGATGTGTGGGAGACCGGCGTCGGTGTTCTGTGGGGTGTTGGTAATGTGTGGAAGGGGGCGCTCGCGCCCACGGCAGAGCAGGTCCAGGTCCTCATTCAGTACTGCAACGCATCCACCGACATCGGGGTAAGGGTCAAGGCGATCGGAACGCTCGAGTGTCTCGCGCAGCACCCACAGTCCATCGAGGCAAACAAGGTACGTTCCGGCGGTCGTCATGTGGATCCCGCGTCCTACCCCTTTTCTTTCCTCGTTTGAACCGTGGACGTCCTCGGCTAATACTTGTGCTCTGCCCCGCGCTCGAACCCGTCGACGCGTTTCAGACCATTTCGTCATTCCTGTTGTCGCTGTTACCGCCTTCGGCGACCCCGCCAACTGCGACCGAGCCGCTACTGCAGGCCGCGTCTGCGCTCATCGATATCTACTCGGACGAGACACTCCCGTACGACACCAACTTCCGGCAGGGGCACTACCTGGACGCGCTCGTCCGGTCCACCGAGGGTATCCGGCGCGCGGTGCGCGGGATCGACCGCAAGAAGGAACGCGAACTCCGCGTCCGCGGCGAGGAGGTCCGCGACAACCTCGTCGCGTTCATCCAGTACCGGCGCGGCCTCAGGCTGTGACGCAACCGCTTGGCACTCACACTCGCCGACGCTAGTTTGGAGCGCGAACGGAGCGGAGGGGGCGCGCTGGGACTGGCTTTTTGACTTTGATGTGCTAGAGTTTCGGGTCTCCAGTCTACTCGAGCTTCACGACGACGACCTTTCCTTTCCGGGGAGATCCGCTCGGGGGACGATTCAGAGCAATGAACGGCGTTGAAGGCTCCAACTCCGAGGGAGGCGCCACCACGACGCCACACATTGAAAGGTGGTACATGCATTCCTGGGGTAAGCAAATAACTCGGTGAATGCAAGTGTGAGACAAGACGTTGGTATCGGGGAAGAGCACGATAATTGATAAGTATGCACAGCGGGTGTCATGTGTGTGTGGGCGTGCGCTTGCCTCGTGCTGAGCTGCGCAGGGTCCTGTCTAGTGCAAGCTGTGCTGAACCGTCATCTTGCTCAATATATCCTCCGCGCAGGTGTGGCCGAGTGCCCTCCCTGAATCAAAACCGCGCAAGATACGGAGAGGCCCGGGGAAGGCCCAGGTGATTTCAGACGTCCGTCTTCAGCACTCGACTGCGGGTGCACTTGATCCCCCGCCGGGGTGCACAGGCACGGATACGACGTCTATGACGTGGGTCCCACACGCAGGAACATCGTCGGCGACGGGGCGAAGCCGGGATTGAAGGCAGCAGAACACCCTGGTACGATACCGCCTGGCGCACGCAGCGTTCGGGGCGATAGAAGGTCGAACTCGGCCGACACGAGACCATCCCGCAGCGCGCAGACCCTCCGAAGCTCGGCTGCGCGAAGACGGGTGGAGGGCGCGTGCGCGTGGACATGGGATATCGATGCGCCTCGGGTCTGGCGCGTGCCCTGTCCGGCGGGCGTTGAGGATTGTGGTCACTCGTCAGCGTCGGGCACGAGGGACTGATGGACGATGGATGTCGATGTCGATGACTGGCGGTGCGGACCGGGAGAGCCGCACTTGCATCCTCCCGCCACCGAGGTGCTGGCCACAGGAACGCCTCGAGGTCGCCGGAGGTGCAGTCAGGGGACCACTGTTTCGCTCGGCGTGTTCACATGGCGGGATGGGTATTCGGAGCGCCGTACTGACGGGCTCGGAGCGGGTGTGCAAGTGACGGCAGTATGAGCAAGGGACCGGATGCATGAGGCCATCGTGCGCTAAAGAGTACCTTGGGCTATGACACATTGGCATCCCATAGTCCATGTCCTCTGGCTTCGAAATCGCAACCCACGTAAATCAAACGTGATTGGGCCCGAATGGAAGGAGAGGCTCCTGATAACATGACTGCACGGAGATCACAGCTCCACGTCAGCGGTGCAAGCTTCGAAATTAGTCTCACTTGTTCCAGCTCCTGAGAGGTGAGCTGCATCTTTGTGCTGGTTATCTGAGAGATTTTGCAAGACGAGGGAAGGCTAAGACAAAGGACCGTTCACGCACGACTTACATGAATCGTTGATCAGCGTCTAAACTCGCGTAGATCGCAAACGATCACGTGGTATTTGGACGCGTCAAGACTTCCCACGGTTGGGGCCCGCGACAATTGCGGGTGCGGGATCAACTCGGTGGCTTCCTCCGCTCCGTCTCCCACTGCATCCCGACATCCCATCTCCTCAGCCTTTGCTTGACGATTCCAAATTTTGTGGCGCCTTGCAAGTGTCGACCCAAGCTTCATCTCTTTACAAACCACGGTCTTATCAGGTGCGTTCTTCACTTGAGGCTGCACGGAATCGGGGCTGAAGGAACCATCGAAGGAGAAACAAGGCATGGGAGACCTTAGTCTGCGCCATCTCCCTGATCTCTCGGACATGTCGGGTCTTGGGAACATGTCCGATACTTCTTTTCAAATCCCCACTACAGCAAATGACTCTGGCGACCTTCTGCTCGGCGACCAGAGCATGGGCTTTTTGTCCGGTCCAGATCAATCTCTCAGTACCCCAGCACCCCCACGCCGTCTACAAGCGCAACTTCCATTAACTCTGGCAGAGCTCACTCCTCACGCGAAGCCTTTGAGATCATCACCGCGACGACCGGCCAGGCAAGCTTCTCCAAGTAAGAATTCGGTTGCGGACGAGCTCTTCGCCGCTCTCTCTGAAGATATGTCTCCTCTGCGCAAACCATCTCCTCTGCGCGAACCATCTCCTCTGCCCCTCTCTGCGCGAACCATCTCCCCTTCGCAAATCATCTCTCCCTCCACACCCCGTTTTGCAAGAGCGTCTCAATAAGCCCGCACTTGAAAACGTCTGGCCCCAAGAGCCGCGGGGAGCCCGCCGCGAAGCCTACCGCCAGCAAACCATTCCGAGCTGGTGGTCTCGCCAATACCCTAATGTCTTTCGGCCAGAAGTTGATGAGCAATCCCGAGCCGTGAGTGTCCTCTAATGACGTCATTTTCGTTTCCTAATGGTCTTGTAGACCTGAGTCAGCCGAGGCTGTCAACGCTCCCATGCCACGATTTCGCGCTCCTGCCATTGTTCACCCTGCAACGGTGGCTAGCACTTCTGTCATTTCCGAGGTGCCCAAAGTGCCTATGGAAGCTCCCATGATTCAGGAGGCCCCGGCGGTACCTCCTCCCAAACCTTCGGAACTCACACTTTCGCAGCTTTCTCCGCGGAAGCCAGACATTCCTCCACTTCCGGTGTCCGTCGAAGTGACCGCTATCGTAGAGCCTAATTCCATCTCGGCTCCTCCGCCCATTCCTACCCCTCCACTTCCGCCTCCCCCTCCTTCGCTGCGCCATTCGAACAAACGCGCTGGGTCGCCTGGACCCGACAACTCTACGGAGCATAGACGCAAACGGGCGAAGGTACAAGTCGAGCCCCCTAAGCCGTCGTCCTCAAAGCAGACAAATCTCCGCAAACCCGTGTCACAGCCTTCAAACACGAGATCAACTCGCAGTCGGAATGCCCGAAACCCGCCTCCGTCAGCTGCAGCGGGTACCTCACGCGCCCGACGCGTTGTTTCCGCGCCTTCCACCAAGCGCACAGAGGGACCCGCCGCTTCCTTGTCACGCTCCGGCACGTCCTCGCGATCACAAAATAGCAAATCCTCAGCCCCATCTGACACTCCCGTGCCCGAAACCGCCATCGCCGAAAATAACCACGACCCGGTCCCAGCCACCAACACGAGCGACTCCGACAAAACCGGCGATGCTCCAGCCCTCGGCCAAACCCAAACGGGCAACGATGGCCCCCCGCTTCGCCGGTCCGCCCGCAACCACGCGCCCATCCCAGACTTCAAGGCCATCCACGCGCTCCAGGCCTCCGCGCTCGCCCAGAAGCGCGCCGAGCGCGCCGTCCAACCCACCATCCCCGTGGGCTTCGGGTTCGCGACGGACGCGCGCGCCGCGGAGCGCGAACGCTTTGAGGAGCACCGCCGCGCCCGCGAGCGCGAGCGCGAGGCCGCCGCGGAGGCTGCCCGGCAGGAGCGCGAGCGCGCGGAGGAGGAAGAGGTGCGCGAGCTCCGCCGGCACGCGGTCCCCAAGGCGAACGAGGTCCCGGAGTGGTACGCGCATGCGCCGAAGAGGACGAGGACCGCCGACGCGCAGTAGCCTGCCCTGGGCTCTGAGCTCCCACGAGCAGTGTTTTCGGGCTCGCGGTTCTCGGGGCCTCAACCCCGGCCCCCAAGTTCTCGGCACCACGTTCCCCTCTTCAAGAGCCACACGGCCCGTGTTGCATGCTGTCGTCGGCGCTGTGATCGCTCGCCCCGGCCATCGTCAAGCTCGGAATAGCTTCCGCCAGAGCCAAATCATACCCGGTCGTGACGCGCTCACGTGCGATGCTTCTGGTCCCTGAACGTACAGCAACGGGGAATCCGAGGGGGGCTTGGGTGGTTGGCGTGGTTCTCCGGAGCGTGAGCGGGCCGTGCCCTGGCTATTTGGGTTCAGTTGGATTTCATTTCGGTCGCAGCACCGTGGCTCCTCGGGATCGCCCGTGCCTGCGTCTGGTTCTGGTTGTATCATTGTTCTTGTAAGTTCCTCTGTACCACTGTCCCTGTCCAATTCAGCCGCGCATTGGATATACGCATCTGCATCCGACACCTCAGGCCTCAGGTCTCGGTTGCTCTTCGGCGTCTCCACATTCGCGTCAGAACATCCAGCGGCGAGGTGCCAGTGTTTTAATGCGAGTGAAGAGGTCGATCCCACACCCTGGGTCTCTTTCGGAGTATTCTTCTCCATTCGACTGGTGATTCAGTTAGGGAGCACCCCAACGTCGTACACCAAACATGACTTGACCGCATGATGCACATTGAGCAGCGAGAACGTGCGCGAGGATTCCAATACATTGAGAATCCCCGTATCCCAACCCCGAACTCTCTTGGACCCCTACCCCGAGTTCTCGGGCAGGGTCGCCCCCGCACCGTGTTGATGCCCCGACATTCGTCGTTCTAGGGCGCGGCTGGCCAAACCAGAAGTTCGTTCCGCAGTCTCAGCGCACTGGGAAGACGGAGAGCGTGGGCGAACGTCGTGTTCCGATAGCACAAGTGCGCACTTCCCGGCGGGCGCGATGAGTAAACGGGCTCGACAAGTTCCGATCGGGGCGCAGAAGCAGCTACCAGCCCTCTATAATCACCCGCCTCCTCCTCCTTCTCCTCCTCCCCGACCATCGCAGCACCGGCTGGGGCTGCGCGCGCTCCAAGCGTACTCATATACTTAGCCACGCCAGTCTCCGCCGGCGCAGCCATCGGCCGTACTTACTTACGTGCGGAGTCCTCACGTCGCGAACGTTCCCGCACTCCGAAAAGAAAACGTGCTCGGCCGTGCGTATTTCCGGGACACAGCCACGCACGTTCCCCGACCGAACGCACGCCCTGCGGGCTCGCAGTACTGGTGGTCGACACTTACCTCCCAGCCCGCACGGCGACTCACACTCCACGCTCCAAGCCCCACACCCGAACCCCCACGAGCGCGTCGATACCTCCGGAGGCTGTGCTGGGGCGCGCACCAGCTCGAGGCTCCTGCGCACTCTCGATGATCGGTTCGAGTTGCTGCGCCGTCCGCGCGCGCGGCCGCCGCGAGGTTGGGGGGCCGCGCGCGACCCCGGCCTCCGTCCGACGTGCACGGTCGCGATCGCGATCATGGATATCCACAGTGTGGCACACGAAGAGGGTACGCCCACCACCGTCGTGTCCCGGAGCCGGAGCGCGCGCGGTGACGGGGCCAGAGTATGTGAGAGTGTGTGTGCGACACCTGTGCAGGGTCCGCGGCCCCGATCGGGCGCGGGCGCGGGCTGGGAAGGATGCCACCCGCGTCCGTCGCAGCGGGCCCGTGTCCACCACGCGTCGGGCGGGTGCGCTCGTCGGTGACGGTGACAGTGGGAGAGGAGGGGGGAACGCGCGCGGCCTGCGGGTTTCGGAACCTCGCGGCGGCGTTGAACTCGGTGCACAGTGCGAGGTTCAAAGCCGCGCCACACGCGTAGTCGAGCGACCGGCGGGCTCGGACGACGGGGATTCGGGCGAGTGCAATGCGTACGTACAGACCACGGCGGCGCACACGTAAACGCGGCCCGCACGAGATGGACACGGCTTCGAGTCAGCACGCGGTCCCGCCGTCCGTCACGGCGCCGTCAGAGCCACCCGGCAAGTGCGCTCAGAAAGAACGGCGCGCGCTGGAAGTCCGGGATGCGGGATGCGCACGTGCGGCCGGGGAGGCCGCGGCCACCGGCACGCCGTGGCAGCTCTGGCAGCCCGCTCGTGCGCGGGTGGCCTCGCATGTGTCGCTGTGGGCTCCGTGTGGTGTCCGGACGAGGAAGGGTGTGCGATCCCCTGCGTCCCCCCAATGCAACCACGGTGGCCCTCTGCGAAGAAGGCTAGTCAAGTGTAAGCTTTTTCTGCCGTAAACGAGGCCACGAGACCCAGTGTGCGATGATGAATGCATGACGATCGCGCTTCTGCCGCCAGGGCAGACCGTGTCGTTGAGAAGAAGCAACCCCGTCCTTCTCAACACTCTGCAGACGTGCCCCCGGACCCTGCCCGCCGCGCGCTGGCGCCCGCCCGCAGCGCCTCGTGCGCCGCGCAGAGAGTCAGGCTTGACTCACTCTCATCTCGCATAACACCCGACGCTGACGGCCCCGGGAGTTGTGGTGGGGCGCGCGGGCCTGCGTCCGCCATCGCGCAATATACCTCGCTGGCTTTGAATGCCGCACTAAAACGCGCATCTGTCGCCACGGCGCGGTGCGCGTCGCAGTGCGCACGCGCGAGGCTCTGTGTCAGGCGCACGCGGCCCAGTCGGGTCGAATGGGCGGGCGAGAAGTGCTGGTGCTGGTGCTGATGGGTGGGTCGAAACCGGTATCATTAATGTGAAGCACGACCGCGAGCGACCCGCTGCCCACCTGCAGCTGCACCTGCACGGGACGTCGACGCCGCCTTGGCGATCTCCCCCGCGCGGCGGGACGCCAAGGACGAAGCCGACCGGCGCGGCGGGAGCCCATGGCGACATCCCGACGCTCGATGGCCTCGCCGCGCGCCCCCCGTGCGCACGCACGCACACAATCGATTATTGTGGGCCCTGGAATAACGGCACCCCCTGCGCGCACGCAGACCCTGTGCGCATCCGGCGACGTACGGGTGCTAATGCACCGCTCGAGAGCAGGTGGCAGGAAAAATGCAGCGTACACACAGAGGCATATTGGTTCCCGCTCGGGCCCGATCCTTGAGCTGGCTCGGGCTCGGGGACGGTCACGGCTCGCGGCGTAGTCAGCACAAACAGCGCGGCTTGCTTGGTGGGGCGCTCGCGCCCCGAACGAGCCGCTTGGCCGTGATCAACGCATCGCGGAGGCAAATGCGCACTGGCCACAGGCCACTGCGCCCGCCGCGCACGCGAGATGGGATCGCGCGCGTGCGCGATCGCCCCTGCGTGCACCCAGGCACGGCGCTCGCACTTGCAGGGCCGTGCCCCGACCCGCTCGGAGCGAAGGGCGCTGGCCGCACCGTGCTCGTCCGCGGATTAAATGGTGGGCGATCGGGGATCGAGATGCGTACGTGGTCGGATGCGGTGTGGGAGGGGGCGGGGCGAACTTGTCTGCTGGAGGAAGTATATAGCGAAGGGACCGCGCAGCGCTCGGAAGTGCAAGTGTCCAGATCTCTGCACACGGGCAAAAGACAGGGTCTAGGCGGGGCTCGACTGGCGTGCTGACCGACCGCTCACGGTGACGCAGGAGAGGACGAGGAGAGGGCGCATGATGAGTGGGGGGTGCGGATGACGAATCCGCGGCGGCTGAGAAGGAGGACGGGCCAATCGCGACGCACAGCGGCGGGGCGGCAGACCGCTTCGCAGTCCCCGCAGATGCGCGAAGACGAAGCACGGAAGGCGAGAGAAGACAGAGGGGGCGGCGGCACGAGCGGCAGAAGGGCCAGCGAACGCGCCCTTGGGACTCGGACCAGCGCGACGAAGGGAGTGCGGGGGCGGGCGGGCCCGCAAGTCCTAATCCGCCACAAATGCGGGCCCAGGGCGCGCGCAATATCGTCGTCGTCGCGCGGGACGTCGCGCGCGCAGCGGGAAGACGAAGGCGAAGGCGAAGGCCCCCGCCGCGCAGCGCACCGGGCGATCTGCCACGGGCACGGGAGGCGGAGAAGACGCGAGCGAGCGTGGGCGCCGCGCTAGCCGCCTTCGGGAGGAGGGCGCCGGTGCCGCACCGCGCCCCCGCCCCGCGCCCGCGCCCGTGGCCCGCCTGCCAATGCGGGCGCGCAGTCAGGGTACCTGCGCGGGACGGGTGGAGTGCTTCGGCCTGGTCTGGCCCGTGGCTGGCCTGGATTGAGGCTGCTCGCATTCGGAGTGCGTGGCGGCAGCTGTCGCCCGCCGCTCGATGGCCCTGGCGAGCAGCGGTGGAGGAAGCTGGGGCGTGGGGCGGGCTTCAGGGTGCGGCGGGGGAAACGGCGGAGAAGGAAGGGATTCAGAAGGAAGGAGATACAGTAGCCCAGTCCACGGGCGGCGCAATGCGAACAGAGCCGCGCGCGCGCGGCGGGCTTGGTGCGCCGGCTCCTGGGGCGACGAGTAGACTCGGGCTCTGTGCTGTGTTGCCGCCGTCCGGGGTGGCGTCCGGCGTTGGGCCTCCGAGAGGTTCGTCGACGTCCCATCGCGCCCCACGCCAGGCCCGGCGGCGAGGCGGCGAAGCCTCGGACGCAGCCGCACAACGGTCGCGAGCCCGGTACGCCCGCTGTCGTTGTCGCTCGGTCGGCCATGGTCGGTGTTCGGTGTTAGATTGCGTTGCGCGCGCTGCGCCAGCTTTCGCGGGCCATGGCATCGAAAGGGACGCGATCCCGAGAAGCTCGCCCGCCAGGGACCGCGAACAGGCGCCGGGATAGCAGCTCCCTGTCCGTTTTCTGTCTTCCGTCTTCTGTCTTCCGTCTTCCACAGGCTTCGCTGCCCCACCAAGTTCATTTGCGCAACATTACGTAGCAGCGACGCCTTCTGGCTCCGGGCGTGCCCGCCCTGCCAGGGGCTTCCCTGTGGCTTTGGGTTATAAGGCGGGTGATGCGCCCTGGGTGTACACGATTAGCCTGAGTCGCAGAAACGACGAGGGTCGCGAACGACAGATGGCGCACACGCGCCACGCACGCATACATACATAGCTAGATGGGAGCTGGAACCCGCCCACGCACGCCAAGCCCGCAAACCAGCTAGTGGGCAAGGCAAATCTCGCGCGGTCCCGAGGCACTGGCCGGGCACCATTCGCGAAGAGACTCCTGCAGCAGCCTTCCAAACCCAAACGCCCCCGTCGCTCGCCCGCGCAGCCCGTGGCAACGCTGGCGCACTCAACAGGCGCACCCATTCGAGTGTGTTGTCGGCGCTGTGCCGCGGGTCCGGGCCAGGACGGCCGACGTCTGCCACAGCGGGCGCGGGAACGCCATATCGAGCGGGCGCGGCCGAGGGGCGAGGACGCGGACATCGCGACACGGGCGCATCTCTGGATGGGGACACCGGCGCAAGATAATACGGCGATGCGGTTCGGGAACAGGGTGCGCGCACTGCGGCGGCCCTGGGCGAACAAGCGTGCACATACCGAGACATACGGGGACGGAAGCTGAGCGCGGCGCGGCGGTGCTTGATATCCGCGGGCGTGATTGTCTGCGGGCTCGTTCGGCGAGATAATCGGGGCTGTGTCTGCGTGTGCGGTCAGCGCACGCCTTCTGGAGGGCTGTTGCAGGCTTGGTGGATGGGGGGTGACGCGGGTGGGAGGCGCGATCGGATCTGGAGACGACGAGTGATACGTACTGGGTAGTTGTTCTGGTCGTCGAGAAATACGACTTTGAGTATAGATCCTTACTTTAGCTTGGGCTTGAGGACAGGCAGAGCGCACTCGGCGCGTGATTATAGGATACGGGGTGGCCAGAGCAGCATAGGACGAGCACTGTACAGCCCCCGCTCGCGGTCGATGATGTCGAGGGTGGCGAGAGCGGGCCACGTTCGAGTGCGCGAAGCCCGGGCGGCTCCCGTGTCTCGAGAGTCGAGGTCCCACAGCCGGAGTCCGGATCGCGGAGGCTACGCACGTCCTCCAGCGGCCGCGGGCGCAGACCGCGGCGGGGAGTGACGTCGCGGAGCGCGATATCTGGGTGGGCGAGAGGCTAGATCCAAGCCGGGGACTAGCTACGAGAGCGACGGGCGCCACGAAAGCCGGCGTGCTCGCGCGTCACGGGCCGGGCCTCCGTCCCGCGCGTCGAGGCGTGTTTCCGAGGCTCGTCAGAGAAGCCGGCGGGGGCACCGCTTCGCGTGCGCTCCGACGCCGTTCTGCCCTGCGCGCGCGCGAGGGCGTGACGCATCGTCCGCCGCACCCTCGACGCCCCGTGCTCGCGCAGCCGTGGCCGGCGACGTCAGCGCGATCGAGCGGGGACGCGCGCGAAGCGGCACTGCGCAGGGTTTTATAGCGCCGTGCGATGGAATGTGTCCGTCTGTCCTTCCGTTGCGCGGGGGCAAGCGCATGCAGGGACGCAGGGACGCCGGGGTACTGCAACCATATTTTTCTATTTCGCAGAGCTCATCAGACGGCGACGTGACCGCCGGGACGTCGCACTCGATGTGGTCCCTCCTGGGAGGCTGTCCAGGCGCGAGCCGACCAAAAGTCGGGAGGGAACGCCAGGACCGGGGGAAAGCTGTCATGGTCAAGGATAGAACGTGCTCGGAGGGCGTTCCTGGCGAGCACTGACGGCATGGGGGGGGGCGCGCAGGCGAATTCGGAAGTGCGACGACGATGCTTCTGAGAGCGACAATCCTCCCCAGGGCGGCGCGCGCGTCCGCAGGCCCGCCGCAGAGCCCAGAGCGGGCTCAACGGGGCGTGCGCGGGGGCTGGGCCCCGCCGCGGTGGGGACCAGTGCGCACCGCGGGGGTAAACGGGACGCGCGGAGCGCGACGTGCGCGAAATTGGCCGGCAGCGGCGTGGACACGTATGCGAAAGGGGGAGTCGCGCTGCTTCGCGCGCGCGAAGGGGGCCCAGGAACCCCCCAGCCCGCCCCAGGCAGCTCGCGCGCGCCGAGTGCGGTCCTCCGCGGAGGCGAAAGAGCGACCTCGACGCGGGCCGGACGCGGGTGGGGGCGTCGCGCGCAGCCACGGACAGCGTGCAGTGGGAACCGCGGTGTCGGAGGGCAATCCCCGCGCGCGCGACCCGAGCGGGGCATCCCATCGACCGAGGGCGAGTGCGGGCGTGGGGCGATCGTCCTCGCACGACGCCGTGCGCGAACGGGCGAGCGAGAGACGAAAAATTAGAAGCGCACGTCGACTTCCAGCCACCCTAGCGCCATCCGTGCCACCCATCTCCCCCGGGCTCTTCCTCCACCTGACTCCCCCCGCCCGCGTTCTCCCGCGGACAGCACAAAGCACCAGGGGCACGGGACGCGCGCAGAACACGCGCGTGGCTGGTGACGGTGTTCGAAGGCGGCGGCGGAGGGAACTGCCCGGACGTGGCTCGCTTGCCGCAGTGCGCGAACCACGGCCGTGCTCGGTGCGACGCCTTTGTGCCTTTGTCACTCGCCCAACGGGCCACCCGCTTGCCCCCCACGCTCCCCCTCGGTGATCGAGCGGACGGACGGAGCGCACGACGCGCCATTCCGCCCCGCGTTTCTCTACTGGGCCACGGCCAGCCGGTGCGGTCTTGCCTCGCGCGCGAGACAATGGAGCGCGCGATGCGATCGCGGAGGGCGGTGTGGTTTCGAAACGTGCTCCGCGCCGTTTGCGACACGGTGGGACGGGCAGAGGGCTTTCGTCCGTCTGAACAAAGAAATTGGTGTGGAGCGTGGCAGACCAGACGGGCACGCGCGAGGTCGGCGCGGATGTGCAAGACTTGGCAGGCGGCCGGCGGGGCACAGAGGGAGTGGGTCGAAGGGGTGAACGTAGGGGCAGGCGGACAAGGCGTGCGACGGGCGGGGCGGGGAGACGAGAGAGGACACGGGGCGGGCGCCTGAGTAAGTGTGGCCTCCGCCCAGATCTGGTTAGCGTCCTGGTCAGATCTTGGGCTCGCTAGCCTCTTTCCGGCGTCGATTGCCATCGGCTGGTATTGGTTATTTATTTAGAATTCCCTTTCCCCCTTGCCAACCCCAATCCGCATTATGCAGGCGCAACCAGGCCGACCTACCGCTTTGGGACGCCATTCAAGTGGACGCCCCTCCTTGTTGCCGGACTATGCGGATGCTGGTCGTCGGACATGCATAAAAGCTCCTCCACTCCTCCGTCTCCCCTCACCAACCCGCTCCCCGCACTCAGCCCTCCCGAGCACTTCTCCTCCACCGCTTCCGAGCTCTCTCAACCACTCAACTCACCTCCCTCGCCACCTCCACCTCAGCCCTCGCGTCTTCCTCCGCGACCAACCCAACCACCAACCACCCCACCTTCACCTCCACCCTCCTCATCATGCACGCCTCGTCGTCTTCCTCCTCCGCGGCCCACACCTGCCAGCGCTCCGCGCCGTCTTCCACTGTCGCGATCGCGTCCACCCCCGTCTCCTGCGCGGTCGTCTCGGAGCCCGCCCCCGCGAACGCGGGCTCGCCCCAGTGCTGCCACTGCGGCTGGCGCGGCGCTCACGCCCCGACGTGCCCCTTCAAGTAAACGGTGCCCCGATCCTGTATCCATAGTGCTCTCGCAGCTGACCTATGTGAGTACCTCCTCCGTTCCTCCGCGCCCCACCTCCGCGCGTCTACCCCCAGCCACCGGCTACACACGCGTCATGCCCCCTCCTTTTCCCCCCCGCGTCCCCCCATCGCCCTCCCCTCCCCTCGCGCCGCCCCCGCCCCGCCTCGCAGCGTCTGCACACAGCATGCTGACGCGCCCCCCTCCTCGCAGCTGTCTCTTCATAATCGACCCATGCTCTCACCGTTCTCCCCTGCAAGTTGTATCACCACCGCACAGCACGTCCCGAGCTTCACGCTCTCCTATTCGTATTCGGTCCCGTATTCGAGCATCCCCACGGACGGAGTTGTTGTACGAGAAGCCGCCTCACCCCCTAATATTGTCGAGCGGAGAGAGAGTAGAAGGAGGAGGGGCCGCCGCGTGCGGTGCCCCACGGAGGGCGGAGGATCTGCCGCTATCGCTTGTACATATTCCCCCCATCATCGCTCTCTGTATCGTCGCACGCACACTGCAGTACTCTGAATATCCCGTTACCCCCCATCTTCTCTCTCTTGCGCGAGCCCGTCCGACGACTGCGACACGTCCCAGCGCGCGCACAAACACAGCCCGGAGGTCTCGAGAGCGCTCCGCACCGCGCGCGCGCTCTGCGGACGAGAGCGCTCTTCGGTTTGTCGCAGCAGGCGTCTCGAGCCGCAGAGGTCAATCAAGCAGGTCCTCGCGAGCGGTGCGTCCGTCCGTGCTGCGATCGCAAGTTTCGTGCTACCACGACTCGCTCTATCCCGCTTTCACGGACCTCTGCTCTGCCTCCGTCTCCGCGATCAACACGTTCCCCCCCGCCGTCCGGCGCCCGTCGGTCGTCCTTGGCGTCGGCGGGAGCGCTCGCCGCCGTACGGCCATGCACGCACGCACGCCAGCCGCCTGGTGAGTGGCCGCTGGCCACTGGCCAGCCATGGATGAGACCGCACGGCACGCACGGCACGAGCGTATGTCCTTGGCGGGCGGGCGGGCGCGAGCGATCTTATCTCGCGTGCATCGGCAGTGAGCTGTAGCAGCGCGACTCAGGCTGCTCGGACGCGCCGGCAGCCGCTCCAGCGGGCGCGCAGATGCAGAAGATAAAGTGGAACCCGCGGCCCTGGCGACGATGGCACCCGGGCCCGGGGCGGACGCGAAGCTCGCGAGTGTAGGCGGGCGCGGTGCGGGGAAACAGGCCTGCGTCATGATCACGTTATGGCGTCGGCGGGCGCGGACGTTCCCCGCTGACGAAGGTGAAGGCGAAGGCGAAGACGGGGGTGCCCGTGCGGGGTAGAGACGATCGCGAAGGCCCGAGCGAACAGCACTTGCGCGGTTGTGCCTAGGGGCATTCAGTCGACGGTGTCGATGTCGACGAGCCCCCGCGCGCGCGGCGCGTCCGCCATTGAGACCCGCGGCGCCCCACATGCTTCGGTTCGCCTTCGCTGCGCGCGAGCGAGCGGACACTCTCTCGTTCACGCGCGTGCCATCGGTCCAACACAAACGCGCGCGTGCAGTCGACCCCCCCACCCTCAGCCACACCCAAACCCCACGCAACCCGCGCACGGCCACGCGCCTCGGACCCCGCGCTCCCCGAATTCGCATTCGCACCCGCCATCCGCGCCTCCATCTGCGTTCCCTCCCCCGCGCGCTCTCGTTTACTCTCCACGGCCCCGGACGGACGTGCGCGCACCGCGCACGCCCCTGTTATCGCGCGCCATCGGCGCGATCGATAACGCCCCACCGACTGAGAGGACTCGCCTGCCGCTGCAGAGGTCATAACGTGCCGGTCTCAGGGCCCCCGTTCGGTCGTCGAGGGCTCCGGATCAAGCGCGCTGAGTCTTGAGATCATCGACGCCTCCCCGTAGTAGTCCCAGATGCGATCTGTCTCGGCACGCGTCCGGCAGGGGACTGGAGAGCGTGTTCTCGCACGCGCAGAAACAGACGTGTGCGGGGGCGATCTGCAGCGTACGTACGTACCGTTCTGCCCCACAGCTGCAGAAATTTTCGCGAGGATCCTTCATGTGACCCCCGGGGGTGGAGCGCGCCCGCGCGCCCACTCACACACCGATAAGTACGGCTGTGGAGAGAGCGAATGAAAGATTTATCGCCATGACAATTGGAGGTGGACGACGGGTGCGCGCACAAACGGCGGAGGAGACATCCGGCGCGTGGGTGCGCGTTGTGGCCCTGGACGAGCGGTGAAGACGTCCGGACGCGGGTTCGGATTGACGTTAGGCGTTTTGCCCTCAGCCCTGCACGTCCGACGCTGCCTGATCCGCGCGCGGGCGCGCACACCACCGGCCCAGCAGGCCGCACGTCCGCACCTCGGCACGCGCGGCGCACGGAGGACTTACGGGACGTTCCAATTGTTCATGAACGACGTCCATCACGCAGATTTTCCCCGCAGCTGTCATATGCGTACCTGTGCGAAACGTTAAATTTTCTGTCCACGAAGGTTGTAGGTTGATCGGGAATTTCGTCCGCGGTGGAGGAGTGCTAGAGTATAGGGCAGAATTGTTTTCGGCCAATTCTGCCGGGCAGAAGTGGCACAACGGCAGTTGCCGGAATCGGCGAATCACGGCAGAATGCAGACGCCCATCTGGTGTGAGGGACGCGTCGCCGCTGCTCAACGCTCCCTCTACCTCGTATCCTCGACGACACTGCATGCCGGAGACCCCCTTTCGATTAACACCAATCAACTAGTACTCATCCCTGCATTCATACTGCTCGATTTCCCGACACTAGATCTGCGATGTCCCATTCTGCATCGTCCCCGGCATCCTCGATCACCTTCAAGTCGTCCTGCAAAACCTCCGGGGCAACGCCCTTGTTCACGCGATCGAGCTCCTCGAAGCTATAGGAGCGACCTTCAAGGACACCCGAGCCAGCATCGCTCGGAGGCTTGTCCCGGTCTGCGTTCGGGTCGTTGGCCTCGCGTTGAAGCTCGCCTTCGAATTCCTTGAATGCGCGATCTAGCTCGTCCACCGTGATGTCCTCTGGGGCTTCAAACGGGTCGGTGATTCCGCCTTCCGTCGCCAATGGCGGTTTCCATGTGAACGTCCTCTCGAGTTCCTGTGCGAGCACGACATTCGACCCACCCTCCTCTCGTGTCCGCATGTGGGCGTGCTTGCGATGCACTGGCCGGCCGATGGACACCATGTGCGAGTGTAGGTGTGAGTGCAGGTTTGTCCGGATCTTCCCAAGCTTCTCGAATGTGTCGAGGTTGAGGCGGCAACGCCGGGGAGACTGAGTGCAACCGAGACCTGAGAAGACTCGTTCAATCTCAGCAGCGTGCGGGACAATGTGATGGATGGCGAGTGCGAAGGCCTTGAGAGGATGCTGCTGCCCGTCAATGCGTGAGTTGTTCCACCACTTCAGCGCGTCTGGATCCCCGCCTTCAAATGGCTGTTCCGAGCGGTGGTACTTGATGAGGTCGGCTTGGAGCCCCTTCGCCCTTTCTATCGACCAGCCCCACTTCTTAGCGATGGTCAAAGCTGTGACCTCCATCTGGTGGTATGTTCGACCGTTAGCCGCTTGGCTGACAGCAAGATGGCGGCACAGCGGGTGAAGGTAGAGAGCGAGTCCATGGTGCTCGGTGTCCATCTCGTGGAATCAACGATTGAACACAATCTTGGCGTGGTCCCAGAAGCCAGGATCATCATTGTCGCCAAGGTCAAGCCGCATCATCGCTTGCGCGCAGCGGAGTAGTTCAAGCATGCAGTCTGCGAGCCCGGCGTTCCGGGACTCGACGTTCCCGATGGCATCAACGAGAGGCTTGGTGGTGCGAACAAGCTGAGCAATGCGAGGCCAGAAGTTGGTGTAGTCGAGGACAATAGCACGGATTGTCGGGGGGATAGGGGACAGATTGTTGACCGCGCGCTGTGCGTCTTCATGCACGCATAGATTCATAAGTGCCTGGCTGTTTATAACTGTAAGCATCCCGTATGACAACTTATAATAGTAGATAGACCCTCACCAATAATTCAGAACACTCATGCAATGCACAATGAGCGAGTACCACCGTGTGTCACAGTGACGCTGGAGCTTCCTTGTCACTCCTTGCTTGGTGGCTTCTTCAGTGAGTTGTCCGCCCCAGTAGTGCGAAGCATTGAAGAATGTGACGATTTGCGTAGCCTTTTTGACGGCCTCTTTCATGACTGTGAACGTTGAAATCTCGCCCACAATGGTGTTCATGCCATGCAGAAAGCACGCAAAGAGCTATGTAAACACATGAGCGTGGAATATAACATGCTAGAAATGCGAAAACACACCAGAAGCCAAGTAAACTTCTTATTAAACTCACGACGGAAGGCGCGCATCGTCGTTGGGTTGTCAGTTGTGACAGCTATGAAGTTCTTCATATTGCCAACTCCCATGTTGTTTGCGGCACCTTGGACAGTCGCCAGCAAAGTCGGAACATCCCCTCGTTTGCCTGTGAGGTTGTTGAGACTGAGGATAATGGGGTGCTTGCCAACTTCAGCCGCAACAGTGCCGTATAACGCCCTCTTGACAGCGTCCTCCCAGCTGTCAAACAGCAGAGTCCAGAACGTACCCTCCTTCAACCGGACTCTATCCTCAACATCAACTTGGGCGAACTCTTTATCAAGGAGCTCGTGGGATAGCACATAGGGCGACGCTAGGTTGTATGATGGCCGTATCTCTTTGACCCAGTCCTTGAAGTACCAGCTCGACGAGACATGAAACGGGAGATTGGAATAGACAACGGCGCTGTTAAGCGATGTGAATGTGAGAAATGATGGGGGGAATGCTGTAAGAAGAGAGCACACTGGAAGAACTTCACGTTTGCACGTCCCTCCTGCTCCGGTGTCATGGAATGGTCAAAGAACCGCTCGAGTGAATTGGTCTCGGTTCGCCGCCGCTTAGACACGGGTGCTGACAGCGTGGGTGAATCCGACTCGTCATTCGCTGCGGGGTGCTGAACAGGGGCAGTGGTGTCTTTGGAGGGATCACCGGGGGCAGCAACAGTATCGGGGAGAGCAACATCGGCGGCATCAATCCCTTTGGCGCGTAATGCAAGGATTGCGAGCGGGCGGACATCAGCTGGGGTGTTGGGACACTTCTTGAACTCGGCAAGGTGCTTAAGAAGGTTGTTGTCGCGATTTTGAATCTTCTTTCTGCAGTGTTTACATTTGTAATAGTTCCTGTTGGACTTGTTTGGGACAGCTTCGCGCTTCTCAAAGTTATCCTGACAGATAGAGGCGAGTTGGCGACCAGGTGCTGGCATGAGAGGCAAGGGTGTGTCGAGACTGAAGCAGTAGAAGGAAGCATCATATCATTAACGGGCCCATGGGTTGCTATAGGCGTCGCGACTCGCAGTCACGGGAAAATAGACCCATTATATTCAATAAGCGCTCTATATACTGCCAAATTCTGCCCGGTGCCCTCGGCGGCAGGATGGCAACTGCCGGTGGCAGACGGCGAAATGGCAGAACGGCAGAGTTCTGCCGCGAACACTAAGGAGTGCGTCGTGTCCACGCACCGCCCGCGAATGCACACCGCACGCGAGCTCGTCCTCCCACGTTTTCCCTACCCGCATACCAACGTGCTGGTGGCGCCCGCTCCGGTCTCTCAGCGCTGGCATGCCTCCGGACAATTTTTGAGTTCAACGGTGGGGACGAAATGGAGACTCCGCGCCCGCGTGGGCCCCAATGAAGCTCATTGATGGCCGCAGGCGGGGCGTAACCAGGGCGTCCGCCGCCGAGGCACGTCGCGGCGGCGTCGAGAGCGGCCGGGAGCCAGGATGGGGAAGGGACAAAGGAAACGGGCAGAGACGCGTGCGGAGAACGCGGTGCGGAGGAAAACAAGCGTGGGCGCCGGCGGCCGCTCGTAGAACGGCGGGGTGCGGGCTCGGAAGGTCGGCCACAGGCCCGGCGCCAGTACTGCAGGCCTGCAGACCTGCTCGGCGGTGTGCTGAGACGCTGATTATGAAGATGTGTATCGTTCGTGGCCGAAAGGCGGCGGAGGTGTTTCATGAACAACAAGCACGAGGCGGACGGATGACGCCATGCAGGTGGCCCCGCCCAATCCGGCAGGCCGGCCACGGCGCTTGCCCGCGCGGAATTGGCAGGGGCGATACTCGACGTCTTCTCAGTTCTGCGTCCTCCGGCGTTCGGCACCGCTGTTCCTTTCCCCTCCGCCCACACAGTCGCCCGCCCGCGCCTTCTGCCTTGCGATCGCCCTGGAGGCCTCGCTTAGGTGGTGAGTCGTCATCATTCCCGCCTCCGCAGCCCCACGCACAGAGCCGGGCCATTGTTCATTTCTCCGCTGCCCCGCCCCCCGCGCGCCCCGTTGCCAGAGCAGCCCGCGCTGTCGCTGATAGAGTGAGGCCCGAGCGCGCAGACGGCGAGCCGAGCACGTCATTCATCTCCGCTCGCCCTCCGCCCCTTGACGTCCTCACCGGCACCGGCACGCGCGCCCGGTGTTCCCCCGCTGCTGCCACCCGCTTAGCCGCGCGCAGCCCACCGCCGTCCCAATCTCCCAGCCTCCCCGCCGTCATCGTCGGCTATGTCGGAGGCTCGCTTCCGTCCGTTCGTCGTGAATCGTGATGTCTGTTTCTGACCGGCACGCGTGCGGCACGAACACGAGGCGGGCGGCCTATCGCACGCCAGGCGCCGCGATTATCCTCCACCTCTGGTGTTCCTGCAGTCCCTCTCCCGTTTGTCCTGTGCCACCCCGCGCGTCGCGCATCTGTTGATGTCGACGCCCGACGAGCGCGTCCCAAGGCTCGCGTCGGCGCCGTCCTGGCCCTGACCGTTGACTCATCCGCCCTCCTGACCTCGCCTCGCGATATCGCTCTCGCAGGCCCACCCCCCCCTCCGCCCCCGGCGCCCCGGAACGTCCACCCGCCCTCCGGCACCGCCCCCGCGCGTCTCTGCGCGCGACTCCCACGCACCCCGCGCGCGCGTCGCTGGTGACGCAAACGTTCTGAGAGGCGCCTCGCACGTCGTGCATCATGCATCATGCATCGTGCCCCATCGCGCGCGCAAGCCGGCTGACGGCGTCAGGTGGCCCCCGCGCGGGCCCTGCGGGCACTCTCCGCTCGGCCGCGGAACAGTGAGACTCTGAGAGTGAGAGCAGTTGGGAAAGGGTCCCGGGGCGGCGCTGGCCGGAGCGCCCTCCCTCGTGAAGCAGGGAAGCGGATTCGATCGCGGCGTCGTGCGTGTCGCGGTCCACCACACGGTGTGCGCGGTGGGTGTGTGGGATCGAGTGGGATCGAGCGCGGTCGCTGTGTGCCCGCGCGCGCTGGGGGGAGGAGGGCGCACTGCGTGCTGGCAGGAGACGCACGCGCGCTCGAGTCGCCGGGGCGATCAACGTCAACCCGGCGTGTCCACAACTCGCCGCAGGTCGCCGGACGCCACGACGGAGTCTCAGAGTGCGCGCGCCCTTCGACGGAGAAGGTTGCAATTTAGCGTGAACGTTCCGGCGAGCGCGCCCGGCGACCCGACGACGCGCGCGGGTTATCGACGGGATAAGACGGTCCCGTCGCCGTCCCGGGACTTATCGCTGTCCGCGACTTATCCGGAAAACTCGAGGCGGGGTCGCGCGCGTGGGTGCGCGAGATAGCATCTCGCGCAACCTCGCGCAGCTCGCGAACACCGGCGCGGTCAGCATGGCAGGCACGCGCTGCGCGCTGACACACATTTGTGGACGTCGACGTCGGACGGAGGTCGATGATGACCAACGTGCATGCTCGATGCCGGTGAGCGGCAAGCGCGGCCGTAACGGCCGACGTCGAGGACGTCAGAGGAGTCCCGCACGGGCGCCTCTTGTCCAGCGACTCTCGCTCCGTCCACCGTGGCAGCGTTCATCCGCGGTTGCGATCTCAGGCGCTGCTCCCTGGCCGTCTTCTCTTCCCAGGTCCTCTCTGCATAGAGTTATCTGACATGCGCCATCTGGCATCTATCCAGTGCGCCACGTACAGACTTCCAGCCAGTCAGCCGCACAACCGCACGTGCCAAGGGCCAGTCTCAGGTCCGGGCTCATTCAACCACACCGCACGAGCGTTTTGCCGTCGGTGCGTGGCGATATTTGGCAGTGTGGCCGCGTCGAGTCGTATGGAGGGCTCAGGCTCCGTTTACAGGCGCCGACACTGCACCGAGTCGTGCGAGCTCGCTCGGACTCGGACTAGTACGCCCACTTTCATCGCACCTGGCCAGCAACCCCACGCGCTCTTCCCCCGCGGTCACGGTGAGCGTGAGGAGAAGCCGCGAGGCGCGGGTTACGTACTCGGTGCGTCGCTCGCGTCCCAGCAAGCACGATGATGCTGTGCCGCGGCCCAAAGCTTCTAGCCTCCCTTCGTCCGACGCCGCCCCCGCAGCGTCGTACGAGGAGAGGCTCGGAGAAGCCTGCAGGCAAGGCAAACCCCGACCGGCGGCGGCGGGCAGGCGCGACCGGCGGCACCCTCGTTCTCTCGCAAGAACTTGCACGCACGCCGCGCCCGGACTCGAGCTTGAGTGAGCCCGCTTCTGCGCAGGCCGTCCGTGCTCACGGACCAGGGCTGGTGCCATACAAACTAGCAGGGTTCGTACGAGGCGTCGGCCCCCGGCAGCAGAGCGAGCGCACGGCCCGGCCGGATGCGTGCACCCATAGTACGTACGCTCCCGCAGTCTTCGGACTCGGAGGTGCGCGCGACGGCGGGGCGTGACCGCGTCGTGCCCGTCACTTTGAACCGCGCGCGAGGCGGTCTGGGCTCGTCCGCGCGCGGATTCGACCGCGGACGTGTCGGACGTCGACTCGCTCGAGGACGCGCTGGGACTAGGCTCCCTGCGGGAGAACCGGCGGGAGAAGCGACGAGAAGCGCGAAACGCGGGCCTTCGCCCAGGGGGGGCAGTCAAACTGACGTGGGCGAGCGGCGAACATCGTCCCGGGTTGGGGCACCGTCGTTTGCATGCAGAAGGCGCGGAAGGCGCGGGCGCACGAGGGGCCCGTGCCCGGGGGCTGCTCGCCCTCCGTGGCCCCGTGTCTGCTCTTTCTTTCTTGCGCTGTCTCGGAAAGAAGGGCTGCCCGCTCGCAGAATTCGCGCGGCATCCCCCGGCGTGCAGGGTCGGCCATGGGGCACGGTCGCGGTGACGGCCTGCAGTGCTGCGTGGGCTGTACCAACGAACCGTTCGCGATGCGTTCCGTCGTGGTGGACAAACGCCGCCGCCGCCGCCGCCGTCACACACAGCGCACGAGCGCAGACCCGCACTATGTACGCCCTCAAGGCCTCACCGTTCGCCGCTGGCTGCGATGCCCGCCACGCTCGGTCACCGCCGAGCCAACTCAAACTGCGTCCATCCAGCGTCCGTCTATTCCTGAACGGGGGACCTCCCTCCGACCCTTTCCATTCACCGCTCCGCCCCGAGATAACCTCGAACGGGATATGACAAGCCTATTTGCGTTCCAACGCTACGGCCCGGCCCCGGCCACGTGCGCGCGAATATTCTGTGCAGCCCGTCGTCGGTGCCCTGCATTCTCCGCCGTCCGTTCTGCGCACCTCGCGCCTACGTACGTACGTGCGAGTGGCTCTCGCCGGCGGCCCGCGCGCGCGTGACAAAGCAGGATCGCCCGGTGGTTATTTGCCCATCTGCGGCCTCGCCTATGCCCCCTTCTTCTTCTTCCTCCTCCTCCGCCTCCTCCTCCTTCCCCCACTCGTGAGGCAGAGAGGGGCCCGTCACCCGCGCTCGCGCGATGTCGCGGGCCTGCTGAAGGTCGTGGGGCGTGGAGGCTACGGGGGCACTTCAGCCCGCAGCTCCGGCGTGAGCAGGCGCCCCTGTCGTGCCCCGGGGTGTTTGCAACGTCGAGCGAACGTCCCGCGGGGCTTGGCGGTGAGATAGATTGCGAGGCCCGAGGACGCGTTCTCGGGTTCCGGTTTCGGTGCGGACGTCTGCGGCGACGAGTCCAGACTCGTGGGCTTCGTCGGGAGAAGGCGTCGGAGCCCGTGCCCGCCGCGTTCCCAGCTGCACTCGACTTAAACTCCTGCCCGCGGGGCGGGGCCGGAGCCGTGGCCACGATTCGGAGTTGAGTATGAGAAGCGGGCTCAGCATGACAGTGACGTGCGTGTGCGCACACCTGCAGACGCGGTACGGGCCCGTGGTGCTGGCCATCGTCGGGGGTCGTTGAAGCCCATGACGGACGTCGCGCACTCCAACGCCACCAGCGCACGCACGCACGCCGCCCAGGCAAGCGGCTCGAGGGTCGACGTCGGGCCCAGACGGGCCTGCGCCCCGCCCCCGCACAGGCAGATGCATCCGCGGCGGCGGCGAAACGCCCCGATGGCGACTGATGACGATGACATACGCGGCCAGGCAACACCCCTCCGCTCGCGCTCGTCGGGCGTGCCACCGGGTCGGCAGACGAAGGACGAGTGCAGGACGAACGGCTTCGCGTGGGAGGGCCGTCGTGCGCGAACAGAACGCGGGTCGGCGTTCTCGATCGCGGTCGGCGTACGTGCCCCCCCTTCTCGCATGTGTAGTGCGGTTCTGCAGATTCACGGCGCGAAGCACGCGAAGGAGAAGGACGAGTTCGAACGCGAGGGCGCGTGGGGGGGAGGGGGCATCGACGGACGCTCCCACGGATCGCGCGGCGCGCGGCGCGGTGCGCGACGTAAGAGAAGCGCGTCCCCGTGACCGTCATCGATGCGCGATGCCGTCGATGGAAGCGTCGGGATCAGCTGGAGGGTCGAGGGCCTTTGCGCACGAGCGCAGAAACGACCGACTCCAGGGCGCCGCGGTGCTGGCCAGAGCCCTTTTGCTGAATCAGGCAGCGATAGCGGCCACCCCGCGGAGTGGCTCCCGTCGCGAACGCGCGCATCGTGCGCGCGCGCCGTTCTCGAATGCGCGGGTGTTGGGCGGATGGCAGTCGGGATGCGTGGATCGTGCGCGAGCGCGCGGACTCTTCGATGCTCGGCCGTTGGACGACCGGACGGTGCGATGGGCTCCGCTGCGCCCGCAGCGTCGAGGACCATCAGGTGCGGTGTCGCGTAACCACGCAAGCCAGGGTACACACCCACATCATGTATGTGTGTGCATTGCGTTGCCGCGCCACCGGACGTAAGGAATGCACAGTGTCTCGCGCCCGCGCTGATGACCAGAGCTAGTTTGGCAGGCCGCCCCGCCCCGCCGCCGCCGCCGCCGCCGCCGAGCACCGCACGCGCGGGAGCGGACCCACCCCGAATCGCGGGAGGGCACGCGTCGCGCGCGGATATGGCTCGCACCGGCGGAGCGGCAGGAGGCGCATTGACTGCCCCGCATTGAAGTGAGTTGACTCTGCGGCGTTCTGTTCTGCTCTGTTCTGTTCGTGGCTCGCTCGACGATTACATACGGCATACGTAGCGCGTCCCGGCGCGCGGGCCATGGTGGCCGTCCTTCTGCAATGGGCGTGAGAGACTTGTCGAGCGAGAGAGAAGAGGGGGGGGGGGCGTCAGAAGGACGAGAAGGAGGGCATGCTCGTGGGAGGCCACGGTGATCCACCCCGCAGGCCCGGGTGCCCTGTTGCGCGACGGTCGAGTGGTGGAAGGATGGAGCACGCCGTGCGCGCGCGCGGGACAGCCTATCGCCGGGTGGAGACGACCTGCTTCCGCTCGCGGCAGTCGTACTCCATAGATCCAACTTGTGCAGTGACACCGGGGGCATGGGCCATGTAACTACATGTTCAAGCGGAGTCAAGCTGTAGTTATGGTCCAATTATAACTCCGATAGTCCCCCTAGGTCAAACTTTCCTTAAAACAAAGTAAATCGCTAAATGCCATCCCAGTTACAATCGGTCCACTACTACGATTTGACTCCGCTGCAGCCCGCAGTTACACGGGCCTCGGGGTGAGTATCGTGACCGTGTGCTGCTCCTGGCCAGCTCGACCTGCGGGCCTGCCTCGAGATCGATTCGATGCGTCGACGGTCGCCGCTTCTCCGTCCCCGCCACGCCAACTCGGACCTGCAGGGGCCGTCGAAGACGGAACGAGGGCCCTGCACATCGATCCGTCCACGCCTGCGCCACCCCCTCGCCGCCTCGGGAAGTGCGCTCACCACAAGGATCGAACGTTCGCGGGTCGGTACACACGAGGCCGGTCCCAGTCGCGCGCGCGCCCAGCGCCCTGACCTGGATCCCCACCGCGTCTCCCGGGCCAGGGTCCCACCCCGCGCGCGAGCAGGGCGCAGGCGCGGGCGTGGGACGCGCGGCGCACCCTGCTGCTTCTGCCGCCCCGAGGCCCCAGCTGCGGAGATACGAGGGCGCGAAAGCGAACGGGGTGCGGGGAGGGGTGCGCACGGGCGCCAGCGAGACTGGCCAGGGCCACAGCGTGCACGCCGGCGGCCCGGACCCTGCCTGCAGCTGTGCTCCGCCTTCGCAGGCTTCTCTTCCGCGGTCATCATGATCAGGACTTGCGAGCGCGCGCCTGCGTTCGCGTCCGGGCTGGGGCCGATGGCGTGCGGGCTTGCCATGCATGCGTGCGGTCTGGGTTCGAGGGACTGCGGCGTGCGTCCGTGCGTGCGTGTCGGGGCGAGGGCGAGGGCGAAACTTGGGGTTCCGCGCGCGTGGCGCACACAGATCTGAAGGGATCACCAGACTTTCACGGCCAGTCAGCGCTGGGGTGGCCCGGAGGGTGTTGAGACGGGACACACGACCCAAAACACGACCGACCTCGCTCCATCTGGAACGGCGACGGAGAGGGCTGACCCCCGGACGACGCAGACGCACGGCTAGTGCCAGTGCCGCCTGCCAGTGAGTGCCTGCGAGTGTCGGACTGTCACTGGTCGGTCAGACAGCCCACAGCCCGGCGAGCCTCATGTTCGTGCCCGACACACCAACACAGAAACGTCGACCGCGGACTGTTCGCCCACTCGTCCGACCCGCGTCGGATCCGCAGGCCCGCCGAGCACGTATGGGGCCCTGAGGCTTGAGGAGCCCCCTCGGCCAACCGTTTCGTGTCGCGACCCATCTCGCCGCAAACTTCGATCGCGCGCCCCACCGACACGCAACACGAGGCGTGCCGGACTAGCACGGGCGTCCCACGTACGCCCCCGTGCAGATCGCCTGCTAGAGGTCCGCACATTTCGTGCGCCGAGCGGCTTGTACTGGAGCGTTCGACATACGCTCCGAAGAGATCGAAAGGACGGACGCGGCGGTGGGCCTCCCCCGGACACGATGCCCGCTGGCAGGACGCAGCGAAGACTCTGGGCCACGGCTTCTGTGACGACGCCGCTGCGCGCTCAGACGCGCAGCTAGCATAAGACGAGCGGGGGCTCGGCAAGGCGGCGGCCAACAGAGGCGCAGGGAGGCACGGTCTCGATTCGTGTGTGTGTGACGCGGCACGACGGGCCCGGCCGCCCTTCCTTCCCTTCCCTTCTCCTTCCCCGTAGCCAACAGTGGGCCCCGCGCGCAGCCCACGCACACGCACTCCGCCACGGCGAGGGCTATTTTCGACGCGCGAGAGGCGGGCGCGCCGAGAATAGCGCAGGCGTGCGTGCCGGGTCGCGTTCCCAATCCAAACCCGACCGCCCCTCCACGCCCTGGAGCGCGGAAGGCGGGTGCGGGAGAAGGCGCGACGCGAGGGAACAGAACAGAACAGACGCGGGGCTTCGCGCGGCCCCGTGCCTGTCCCGCCCCCCACTGCATCCGCGGCGCAGTGGCCGCTGGAGATCTGGGGAAGTCTGGAGGAGCGAAGCGCGAAGGCGGGCCCAGGTCGTGGAGCTTCGGAGGGCGGGCGAACGAGGAGGCCTACAGCTAGACTAGGCACCTGCCCGCCGCCTTGAGGCGTGCTGAAGCTGGGTGGACCCTGGGGCCTGAGGCCTGATGTACGCCTGAGGCCTCAGGTCCGAGGGACGGCGGAAACGGATCCTGGAGGACTGACCAAGGTCGGGAAGGAAGGCGCAGTGAGAAGACCCGCCCGTGGACGGACACGGACGCCTCCCGGCGAAGCGGGTGCCCCAGGCTTGCTCCCAATGCCGTGGCGCGGAACGAGCTCAACCAAAGTTCGCGCCCCGGGCGATGGCGTCCGGCGCGGCTCGTTCGAACTTCGTGCGCGTTGTCCAGGGGAAAAGGTCTCGGGGCCAGTCTCTGTCAGCCCGGGCCGTGGCCGAGTGTCGACGCTCGAACGTGAGAGGCTGGCGGGCGAGCGCTGCGTAGCGACTCCACGAAGATGGGCTGCGAGAGCGCTCGTGCTAGCGGGTGGCCGGAGCGCCTGCGATGCGATAGCTGAGAGGGGAACCGGATATCCTGAATCCTGATAACTTGGGTGTGACGACGTATCCACCTACATACGACGGATGGAAACAACGTTAACAGAAAAAGGGGGGCTTGATCCAAGAAACACGTCACCGACGCACCTGCAATGCGAACCTACTACTCTGCACCGACCCATGCGGAGGAACGTGGACTCCCGGCGCACTGTGGTCGGCCGAGTTCTCGTGTGGATCGCCCTGCTGCCGTAGCATGCCTGTCGGCGCTTGCCGTGCAAACCCGGTGCGCGCGCATTCCAAGGGGCCCGAGCGAGCCAGGATGCCGGAGAAGGCGAAGCAGGGTGGTGACGTCGCGCCCGACGTCGAATTTGTATTCCACACGGTGTTGCGTGCCTTGGCGGGTGCCACGCCGGGCAGAGCTGGGGCCCTGGGGCGTGCCCGCGCACACTGGACGCTCAGTGGGCGGACGAGGACGGTGACGAGAACCTGACCTTCTCTCCCGACCTCACCTGCGCCTGCGCCTCCTCCGTCGACTGTGGATCTCGTGGCCGATCGGACGCGGGAAGGTCGGCGAATGGGAAGCGGGGCTGCGAAGGACTCCCCGCGCGAAATGAGATCTAGGGCGAAGATTGGCTGTGGGTGCGCTCGCGCCGCGCGGACGCGCATCGGGCGACGCTCTACGGGCGCACACTGGCGCGCGGCTGTGATCCTTGGGGGGGCCGCGCAGGGTCGCCGTCGCCCATCGCTGTCGGGGGTTGATGGTGTCAACGGTGAGGAGGGCTTAGGCTTGCGCGGGCCACTCACCGTCGCGCGCATTCCAACCTGCACGTTCGCCGCCGCGCCTTGGCGCATTCAGTCGTGCCAGGGCTGGCGGTGAAAGATGCAAGGCTCGACATGCCCGTTCGGGGCTAGCGGAGTCAGTGGACGTCGTGATGGTCGGCCGGTGGGCGACGTTGCGGACGCGAAGCCCCATGTCCGGGTCAGCTGCACGCACGGTGGGCCAACCTGCGAGGCATCAGCCGACGAGAAGTCGCTGCGGGCGACATTGCGAATGAGCACCTCAGCAGGGTTCCCGGTGGCGGCCTGGGAGGATGCTGAGATGGCGCGCCCGTAGCTCGACGCAGCGGATCAAGCTTAGCACCTCCGGCCACCCAACGACCGCGACGGGTGTGAGAGCGCGGGTGGAGAGCGTTCCGAACCGCGTCTGCGCACGGCGACGGTTCTGGGGTCGTGGATCCCGCCGCCGCCGCAGCCGCGACCGGAGACGACCTGCAGACGGTGGAGGAGGCGTCGGGCAGCGGCCGTGCGCCGTCTCGGCACGCAGTCGCGACTTACGAGTCTGTGATCGTCTGCGCTGTATTCGGACCCGCGCCGAATGGCGTCACTCGTACGCGGACACCCACGCTACCGCTGCTTCTCGCCCTCTCCCCTAGCGACCCCCGACGCCGCTGTGCGCCCCGCGGAGGGCCATTGATCAGAAGAGATGCACGCTAGTAGCACGGGAAGCACGCACCACCGAGCCCTGCGATCTCGAGCACAATCGACTTCCCACCCGCCGAAATCGCGATCGCGGCTAGACGATGCGGAAGTACTTCTGCGGCCCAAACACCTCCGCGTTCTCGACCTGCCGCCGGCACCGTGGTGGGTCAGCGGGGCCCCGAAGCCGATTTCGACGGCGCCGTCTGTACGCACCCAGTCGATGAGCACCCCAAGCACGAGCTCGACGCCCTCGCCGCCGCGCCCGACGGACAGCACCTCGGTGCGCGCGTACTTTGCGTAGTCGTTCCCCTTCGGCGCCTGGTACGCGAAGAAGATCCAGTGGTCGCCGCACGTCACCGCCCCGCGCGCGCACTCCTTCCTGCGTGCAGCACGAAATCCCGTCAGCCGCACGAGCTTAAGGAAGGTCGGAATGGAAGTGGAAGGCTGCCCACTGGTTCTCCCGGCACGCGCTCGCGACAGCAAGCACGGCCTGTGCGAGCCCGGACGCGAGCTCGGAGAACGCGCGGGCCTCGAAGACGTTCGACGTCCCCGCGTGCTCGAGGTCCGGCCTGCTCAGCGCGCCCACCGGCTCGGAGAGGATGAGACCTGGGTCGGGGTGAGCGGGTGCAGTGGGCGCAGAGAGGCGCGACGCACTGGAGTACCGCTTCGGCCGCTTCGCGACGAGGTAGTCGGCGACGCCCTCGAGAGGGCGCCGGCCATGCGCGAGGCCGGACCAGTCGGGCACGATCGACACGTCGTCCTCGGCGGACTCGGCGCTCAGGACGGACGCGAGGCGGAGGAAGAGGACGTCGATGAGCATCCGGCTGCCCGCGAGCGACTGTGTCGGACGACGGTCAGCGGGTGGATCGGGGCGGGACGGGGCGACGTACGGTTAGCGACATGTGCTTGCGCACGAGGGAGAGGAGGGCCTTGGTGTTTGAGAGTGTCATGAAGCCCGCTTCGGAGCCATCTGAGGACGGCAGCTTGGAGTCGTCTGCGCCGCGGGCTCGAGCTTGGGCTTCGGCGTCGGCGTCCTTGAAGTTCAGCCCGTAGGGGTATATTCGCTGATCCTGTAGGTCCAGCACGGTGGTCGGCGCGAGCGACGGTGCGCGCTGGAAAACAGTGTCGCGAATGATCTTAGTTCGGAAGCGGGACATGAAACAACTGCCTCCGGGCGCAGAGATTGTCCTGCGCCTGGAGAGAGCACCGACGCACCGAGGGCGCCTTGAGTGACGCAAACAGGTTCTCGATGGCTTCGACGACGGTCGCCGTCCGGGGGTCGTCGCGGTCAAGCCCGGCGACGAGGGGGACGAGCGCCTGGACGGCCGGATCGACGTCGTCCGGGTGAGCTCAGCCACGGTCCGCAGGGTGCCGGCCATCGATATAAGCTTATTGGAGCTACGACGGCGGATGGAGGCGAAGGGTGGCTGGGCTAGCTGTCTTGGGCGGTATGAGAGCGGCGGACCGACTGCTGTCGTGGCACTGGAGAGAGCCGCGCTACGCAGCGCGCGAGAACTCGGGGCTGCTCCTCACCCGGCATCACGGAAGGTGATGCGTGATTCTCGAACGCGAGCGGGTGGGGTAGCGCAGCTGCGTGGAGGATCGTTTGCAGAAGCCGGGATTCGAACCGAGGGAGAAGGAGCCGGGGAGCTGCACAGACTTAGACCCTGGTTGGCGTTGAGTACAACGCTGGCGAGTAGCGAGGATGGCCTACGTCATGGGCGCTTGAGCGGCCGATCGGAGTGCGGCGAAGCATGGTCTGCACCACGAGCATACGCCTCCTCGTCCCCAATTACGTGCTGGAACGAGGATCCTACTTCTCGCTGCGATCCTCGAGCATACGCACCAGGACGAGAGCCGTACGTAACCCTCAGTGGGCACCGGACCGCTGTCCTTGCGATTGGAATCTAACTTTTCTAATAACCATTCGCAATTCAAGTTTTAGACAATTTCCCCCAGCCTCCACCACACTGGGAAAACGTCGCGCGCGCCCAGAAGCATATCGTAACTCATTCCACCTAACATGGAGGCAGTCGTCAATCCATGGTCATGGCTCACGAATATCGACGCGGCATACGGCATCCCGTATGGGAGGGCTCCCAGCACCGGTCTGTCCAAAGAGGAAGGTTCGTGAGATGCCTGTGGGCAGAACACTCGTGGCGCCAGCAGGGGCGGGCGAGGGTACGTACTAATGCGCTGAGGAATACCTAACCTGACCCTGTGGCGGCTGTGTGCGCGGGTTCTGATCTGGGAGAGCGCACCCGCGAACGAACTCGCGTTCAACTTGCACCAATTGCGGGATCCGCCCACAGCGCCGCAGCGGCGAGCCACGTCAAACAATTCACTGTGCGGGACAGTCGGAGCGCACAACGCGCGCGGCGTGGCGCGCTCACTGGATGCACATGTGCTTCTCTGGAGCAGAACATAATCATTACAGGTGACAGCATCTTCCATCTGCAACGCACCACCGCCCCCACACATACCAGTGCCGGCACAGAGGACGCCATGCACCCCCGCCCTGAACCACAAGGCCCACCGTCCGACGGCACACATGGCCACGAGCCTTCTTGCGCGCGGCGCGCGGCTTGTGCGGCGACGACTCCAATGTGACTGGAACCCGGCACCGGCAAGCAAAGAGCGAACGCCAGCCCGTACGTACCCGAGTCCGTGCCTGGCGCCGAGCGACCGGCGACGCTGCAAATGCAAAAGCGAAACCGGTCAGACCAGGCTGCCAGCCAGACGACCTGGCGATTGGCGGGCAGCACCGAGCTGTCAGTATGTCACTGCCAGATAGCCTCGCGCCGACACAAGGGCCGCACTGGCTCCCCGGCAAATCTGCGTGAAGGCTGTCCGGAGATGTCGGGCCCATTCGGGAACGCGACTCACAGACTTCTGGTTCGCTGTGGCCCGTCCGTGCCTACGTCGACGTCGAGAACCTGTCAGCATGCACCGCGCACCTGGGGCGCAGCTGCTGCCACAGTGTCGGACCCGAGTCCCACTGTAAATGGAACATGCAGGAGGGGTTGGCGGGCGTGGGTAGTCGGCGGAGGAGGCTCAGGGAAATCTGAGGGCGAGCCGCTGGCGTGGACCCTATGCGGTGGTGGCGTCTGGAGGCGTGGTATAAAGCATGATATTACAAGAAGAGATGCAAAGACAGGTACAATACAGTCCGTGTATGCAATATGTGAAGTGCATGCGCCTCTTGATAGATGGCGTCAAGTGAAGGTGGCGGGTGCTATGCCGGGAGTCGGGATAGAGTCGTGGGGTTCTAATCGACCTTGACGGTTCCATCGAGCATGTACATGACACCGTTGGACGCCTGGCGGGAGAAGAGGAAGTCATCGTCCATTACTCCCATCACCCGAGCTCCCGGCGCCGCACCGAGAGGCGTGCGAGAGCACAGAAGCGGAAATGCAAAATAATGTGTTCAGCCTCACCTCTTTCTTGCCAATGAGCCGTACGGAGCCATCCAGGATAACACGCGCCCACCCGGGGACGTCTGCGTGTATGCGATCGGCAACGTGGGTGAAGGTGACATTCTTGTCCGCAAGAAGTGTTGCGAAAGTAGTCGGATCAGACGAGGCGAAGTCAATTGGAGAACGCTGCACCGAGTAAGAGGGTCTATCATCAGAAGATGCGCCATAGCGACAAGACCAGAGCCACTCACCGGGATAATGTGCGCCGAAATCCACCGCTCGACGTTCTTCTTCGACATATTATCAAACTCGGCCTCGGTGAGGATCACCGTGTCATCCTGCGGCTTCGGGTCCTCGTGTCTGATGGCACAGCCCACGCCACATTGCGGATATGTTGGAACTTGGCGACGGTATACAACCAATGACATAGGACTTACGGCTTGTGAGGCAGCGCAATCACCGCCTTGTTTATGGGGACGAGCAGGGTGTTACGAGCAGCCTTGTCCGCCAAAATGGCGCTGAGCTCGAGTTCCCGGGCATAGGAGTAGAAGATGGATGCCGAAGGTTCGATGGTGAGGAGATCGGCGAGCGAGGGCTTGTCGGAGGTGACTGGGACGAAGACTGGTCGCTCGAGCCAGAGTCGTGCGAGGCGGGGAATACAATCTGCTCGTCCATGGAGGCGAAGGCCAAGAATGGGAGAACCAGCAGAGAGAAGAGTTGCACACGCATCGTAGAAGGTGTCTCGCAGAACTAGGCAGTCAAAGAGCCGCAGTGGCCAGGGATGTCGGAGCTCGGAGAGCGGCTGGCCAGGAGGGCCTAGGCGAGGATGCCTAACCAGGAAAGTCTTTCTCACGAGTGACGGCCTCCATAATCAAGCTTGCGTCTATTATCCGCACTCTAGTCTCTACTAGTCCTTAGTGCTTCTGTCTTTCATCCTTTCTAGCATCTAACCGCCCTCTTCTGCGCCGGTAGCATATAAGGCCCTCTCAAAACAACGAATGCACGTGCAGCTGATTCCACACGTTGCTCCGAGGTTGTGAGCCATGTGCAACTTGGTACCCAAATCCGCTCCCAATTATCGTGGTACGTTCGTCCAGTTCACAAATTGGATCCAGTACGATCGCACTGCATTGCACGGAACTGGATCATATTCAGGAACCGCGCTTGAAGTGGCACCCACCCACACCAAGACCGATTCGCTCACCTCACATCGGCCCTCGATGTAACGCAAACCGATGATGACGTCCCGTTCAGACTCATGGATGCAATTCTAGTGGACTGTAGTTGGTCTCGTATTGTTTCCCACAGCTACTAGATATCGCGATCGGATTGCTTTCTGCTTATGAATACTCTTTCGTTCAGCTGCTTAAATAACTTGCACCATCGATTCTCATCCACATAGGCCTTTTCCCAGCCCAGCTCCGTCCAGGCCACGTCCACCGATTGAAACCAATCTCGCTGCCCCAACATGCCCTTCACCTACGAACCGAAGAACATGCTCTTCCGGAGGCTGGGCCCTAGCGGCCTTCGCGTGCCCGTCTTCTCCCTGGGAGCCTGTGCGTCCACTTCCTTTGCGAACGATCATGTCTCGTTCGACAGGATGCGATACTGACACGATATCGCATTTGCTCAGGGTTGACTTACGGCGAAACAGTCAATGGAGACCCCGTGAAGGTCATTCTTTCCAGTCCTCCCTGTCTTGAAAGATTTGACTTCAGGCCCATGTTGCAAATCTGTCTGTAGGAAATTATCAAGACGGCACTGGAGAACGGCGTCAATATGTGATTGCTTCTGCCGATGTTCATTGGCAGCCGGTACTGACGCGGACGGACGATCAATCAGGTTCGACACCGCAGAGGGTTATGCTGCCGGCAAGGCTGAGCTCGAAATGTAAGCTCCCGTTACTCATCATAGATGCATTCCCTGAACTATTCTTGTAGGGGACGCGTCTTCAAAGAACTTGACGTACTTCGGTCTGACATCGTGGTTACGACCAAGATCTTCTGGGGTGGAAAAGGGCCCAACGACACGGGTTTGTCCAGGAAGCAGTGAGTGCCACGTCCACGCCGCCGCGTGAAATCGTGCATCATCGTTGCATCCGACAGCATCATTGAGGGGACAAAGAAATGCCTCGAACGTCTGCAAATGGACTATGTAGACGTCCTCTTTGCGCACCGCCCAGACCACACCGGTTCGTGAGGCAGCTATTACGTCCTTTCCCCGGCGACTCCGTTCTCATTTCCGGCGGCACCTATCTACAGTGCCGATGGAAGAGGTCGTCCTCGCCTTCAACTACGTGATCGACCAAGGCTGGGTGAGTCACCTCCTTGGCATCTGTGCGGACATAACTTCCGTCGCCCGGTGGGACGCCCCTCGCTATAACGCCGTCGGGTGTCCGTGCGGGCTCTGGGCCAGAAGCCGTGCTTCCAAATATGACGAAGGGATCCGTGCCACAGTTCTCGTCCGACGGGTTCCCTTGTGCTGACCCGCGTTCATCGCAGGCCTTCTACTGGGGGACCTCCGAGTGGTCCGCGCAAGAAGTCGAGGAAGCGTACCGTGCGTACTCTGTGGCGGCTTCCACGCCCGCCCATTCGCTGCAATGCCATCGGCTGACCGCCGCGCTCGACGTGTTCTAGACGTGGCTGCGAAGCTGGGGCTCGTCGCTCCCATCGCCGAACAGTGCCAGCACAAGTGCGTCCCCGGACCCACGGCTGCTAACGCCGCTGATGGTGCTTTGGCGCGAACAGCATGTTCCACCGCGAAAGACCCGAGAAGGAATACGCGTGAGTATCAACGCGCTCCTGCGGTATGAGCGCATGTGTCTCTGATCTCCCACACATCCCATGTGTGCAGGCCGCTCTACGAGAAGCACTCTATCGGAACGACGGCATATTCACCCCTGGCCCGTGGCGTTCTCACTGGCAAGGTACGCACCCCGTTTCCGTCCTCGCTTTCCCGGACGTGAAGGATTCCCTGCTATGTGCAACACGCCTCTGACCATACTGCGCATCCAGTACAACGGTGGGGTCGTGCCTGAAGACTCCCGCTTCGCGGTTCACTCCGGATTCTTCAACGCACGGCTTGAACGGTTCAAGACAGAGGAAGGCAAGAAAGAATTCGAGACCGTAAAGCAGCTGAGCGACTTCGCCGGCAAAGGTGAGCGCTCGCACGCCCGCACGTCGTCGCTCCCAGGCTCTCCTCCGCCGAGTCCCATCGACGTGGCGTCCTGCGCCGCTTCTGCTCTCTTCACCCCGCGTACGGATGGGCTCCGGATGTGGTCGCTGCGCTCCATGCTTCCCTTTCTCCTGAATTCGTCTTCAGTCCTTTCTGCACCTGCGACGGTGCGAGTGTGTTTGGTCCCGGCTGCTTGCTCACACCGGTGCTCCCCAGAACTCGGGTGCTCCATCACGCACCTCGCGCTCGCGTGGCTCGCCGCGAGTCCGAACACGCACACGGTCATCCTCGGTGCGTCCAAGCCCGAGCAGGTGCTCGACAACCTCAAGGCGCTCGACGTGATCCCCAAGATGACCCCGGAGGTCATGGACAAGATCGAGAAGATCCTAGACAACAAGCCTACTCCATGGGTACGTGGTTCTGATTTCAAGATCGCTTGTAACGGCTGATTTCTGACCTCGGCAGTCGTCATACGGCCGACCGAAACTTGATACTGCTGGAAAGTCGCTTATGTTTGCTTGAGCTTGTTGATGTGCATATAGAGCAGTTAATGAGACGTGTGTGAATGAATACGACATGATTGTCTCACATACAGAAACTGTATATAGATGCTTGCAAGTCCCGTGAAGTCATCTTCTCTGTTAGTATATCGGTTAGTACACGCGCCTGTCACGGTGATCGCCACCGGTGCGCGCGAAAGCGGGGTTCGACTCCCCGACAGAGAGTCTTGCAATCACTCCCATTTTGCTCTTCTTTCGGGCTCTCAAGTATGTCTTTTGCCAAACATCCATTCAACAAAGGCAGACAGACTCACGAGTGTCGCCGTTTCGTCCAAAGAGCTATACGCTCCGAGTACGTTCGAGAGGAATCGAGTCGCATGAACGGTTGACCCATATGATACTAAAGAATAATGACAGCAGCGTTAATGCAAACCGCAGAAAGCAAGAAGAAGTCACCAAGGTGATATGAGGCAAGCGTCGTTCGTAGGCTGGTCATGTCGCGCAGATCAGAGATAATAGACGCCCATGAGCGACACGCTGCCGCTGTTGCAGCAGACTACTGCCGCCCATCCACTGCCCTCTCCCAGCACGACCATCCCAGACGACCCAACCTCTCTTGTTTCTACAAAAAAGCTTGTGCTCCTCTTCTCAGCATGGTATGACTTTGTACCTAGATAGCATACGGGACAGATCGTAACCGGCACAACAGGTCGTCCTTGCAGCCTCAATATGCACAAAGGGTGGAAAGGGTACGCATCAGTCCATGGATATCCCCGGAGGACGTTACTGAAAGCGCGTGTAGCTGTTATCTCGCGCCAATTTCGCGACATGACAAGGGCGAGGATAGAATCTCTGCTCGCATCCTTCCCCAAACTCATCCCCGCCGGCACACAACACACCTCCGTTGAGACCGCCGACGTCCGCTATGTCTATCAACCACTTGAAGACCTGTATATACTCCTCATCACCAATAAGGCCTCCAACATCCTCCAGGACATCGAGACTCTACACCTCTTTGCCCGTGTCGTCTCGGACCTATGCCGAAGTCTGGAGCAGCGCGAGATCCTCAAAAACGCATTCGAGCTGCTTGGCGCGTTTGACGAGATCGTGAGCATGGGCTACAGGGAGCAAGTCAACCTCATGCAGGTCCGCAACGTCCTCGAGATGGAGAGTCACGAGGAGAAGATCCAGGAGATCATCGCCCGGGTGCGTCCGACCTCTCCCTCACCCTCCCTCTCGCGCGTCCGTCCTCACAGCGCCCACTTGGCGGGACACAGAACAAGGAGGCGGAGGCGAAGGAGGAGCTCAAGCGGCGCGCGAAGCAGCTCGAGATGCAGCGCCGCGAGCAGCAGCGGCGCGCCGCCGCGGGCGGGCCTTCGGGCGGGAGCAGCTACCTCGGCGGTGGGATCTCGGGCTACTCCGCCGTCCCCCAGCGCGAGTTCAACGCGCCGACGCCCGCCCGCACCGCGTCGCCGAAGCCGTCCAGCCTCCGCACGCCGGCGTTCAAGGGCAGCGGCATGAAGCTCGGCGCGAAGAAGTCGCAGCAGTCCGCCCTGCTCGACGCGCTGGGCAGCGAGGCGCATTTGTCGGAGGACATGTCGGCCCCAGCGACGCCGGCGATGGGGGGCACGCCGGAGCCCGTTGCGGTCCCGAGGAACGATCGCGGGAGCCTGCCGTTGGTGGACCCCGAGAGGTGCGTCGTTCCGCTGTTTGCGACGATGCACTTGCGTGAACGTGGCCCGCAGCGTGCATATCGTCACCAAAGAGTCCATCAGTCTCGAGCTTTTACGCGAAGGCGGCCTCAACAACCTCGAACTGCGCGGTGACATGAACCTTCATATCTCCGACCCTGCGTTCGGCCGCGTCAAGCTTGTGCTTGCACCTGCACCTGTGACGTTCGGCCCCGAGCTGCAATTCAAGCAACACCCGAACGTTGGCAAGTTCGTCGCCAACCGTGACCGCCTCGTCGCTCTCAAGGACCCCTCGCGGTCGTTCCCGATCGGTCAGCCGTTGGCGGTGCTCAAGTGGAGATATTCCGGCAAGGACGAGACGTACGTACCGTTGTCGAGTGAGTACAGTTCCAATCGAGCTTTGGCAGCCTGCTGATCACGGACCAGTCAACTGCTGGCCAACTCCGTCCAACGACGGGAAGTGCGACGTGAACATCGAGTACGAGCTCGAGAACGAGGGCGTCAGCCTGTATGATGTCGTCATCTCTATCCCATTGCCGTGCGTCCCCGTTCCCGGTTGTCCGGATGACTTGATGCTCATCCTGTCCGACGTTCTTTAGCGACGGCTCCTATCCCACCGTCTCGTCCCACACTGGCGAATGGAGTCTCAACTCGTCTAGCCATTCGCTAGACTGGACGATTTCCCTCATCAACACCGACGATCGCTCCGGGTCGCTCGAATTCTCAGTCGGTGGTGATGATGCGAGCGCTTTCTTCCCGGTCAAGGTGTCGTTTGTCGCACAGGGTAGCATTGCGGGAGTTAAAGTTGCGTCGGTGACGAGCGTCGAGGGCGGCGAGGTGGTGGAGTTCTCGGAAGACGCGACTGTGAGCGTCGAAAATTACACTGTAGTGTAGGCGTAGTGGGAGTGTCACTTATGATATCGGCCGTGAGACATTGTGTATTCGTCACAGAGGGGAGCAGGTTGTATCAATCGGATCAAAGCCCTTCTACTGAGAGGGAGTGCGGGTGGGATGCGCGAACGAAAAGAAACCCGGTACATGGTTGTGTTGCTACGGAAGAGTGATTTCATGACTCGTTCTTCTACGTAGTCGCCTCGAAACCCGGGCTGGAGCAGACACTCGAACTTCTAACCCGTTCAGACTTCAGTACTTCAGCAACCACTGTGTTGTCCGACCAAGTCCGCCTCAACGGGACCTCAACTTCATCCTCGGCGACAGTTATAATAATAATCTCAACAATAATAGTTGTTTGTGTGCTACTAGAACCAAGGAGGGGTGCCATGATCATCTCGTAGGGTCTATAGCCTCTGCCTCCTGAATCATTACCACACTGGCGGAGGAAAAACGCCAAATGCATCTCAAACGATGTGAAGTGCTCAAGTGTTGTCTGCGTGAAACCTCTGAACAAGCTCCTTGAGATAGCGTGACGTCTCCGGCCGCTTCACCGGCCTTCTGTCCATATCGCCCACTCCTTCCCATACGGCTGCGTCCACCGCGTCCACGAGGTCGTCGACCGTCTCCTCCTGATCCTCGAGGGAGACCCACTCGCCTTCGTCGGACAGGCACTGTGATATCTTCGCCCGCGCAGCCTCGAACTCCTCCAGCACGCGGGCTTCACTCGCCCCGCACGCCTCTGCCTCTGCCCCCTCCAACACGTCGGCGATCTCCGTGGTGGACTTGAAGGTGCCCGCGTCCGCGCCGGGAGGCCCTCGGAGGCGCTCCCAGAGCGCGCGCGCAAACCACGCGTGCGCATACGTGTCCTCGAAGCACTTCAGATGCAGCCGGCGAAGGCCGCAGGCCGCGGCGAGGAGGCGGGGGAGCGCGATGGGGGCGCGGCTGGAGCGCAGCAGCGTCGTGCGGCTACCCGCCCACCACCGGCACCAGGATGGCTCGTAGACGCAGACGGTGTCGTCCGCCACGTACCACGTGTGTCGGTACGTTTGGCACATGGGATCGTCGTACCGGCGGTGGAACTGGACGGGGACGTCGTCCCACCAGCATCGCTCGAACTTGAGGATCCCGATATGGCGCAGGGCGGTCGACTGGCCGTCGGGAAGAGCGACGTGGGCTACGATAAACTCGCGGGGCTCGCCCTTGCCGGTGTCCACGAAGTGGTCGAGCCGAGTGACAACGGCGGAGAACAGAGGGTGGGGAGACCGGACGTCGTCTGCCAAGATCGTGAAGTCGATGAACCTGTTCATGGCTATGTGGAGCCGCCAATAGAGGCTGGAAAAGGGGGGCGAATCGTCTTTGCAACCGGTGAGGAAGGCTGGCAGAGTGGGCAAGGCTGGCTCAAGCAGGCTGAACCATGTGATCTTCTGGTATAGAGCGTTGAAGAGCTTCATGAGACGGCACAAGACGGAAGGATGAAGGTGAGGAGCAAGCTGGGCTGACTCCAAGAACCTCACCGAGCTCCGAGTTTTGTGCCTCCGCCTCGGTCCTAGGGGCCTTGGACGGCAATGCAGGGTAGGGGTAGCGGGCCGCATCGTGACGTAGCCACGCCGGGCCTCCAACCTCTACGCCGTAGAGAGACAGACTGGAATAGAGCGCTGAGCGTCTACGCCAACCGCTCTTTCGTCTGCCCACGTGCATCGTCGCTCTTCGCGCTCACTGGATCCTGAGTTCCCAACAACCGACGAGCACTTTTCCCCCTCGCTCAATCTTTTTTATCCCGCACATCTAATGCAGGTGCGGCAGCCGACTGTACAACCTGGGTGCTAGGCCAGTACCCACATCATCTAAAGGTTACTTATATCTAAGACGCCTCATCGCGCCGCCCGGTGAGTTCGTCTCGTTCTTGTTACTGTCGGTCTCACTGTGGGGTGTCCGCGGATGTGAACGCGCTCCTGTTCTTGAATCTTGCTCAGGAATGCGTTGGAGTCCCGGTACGCGGGATGACGCTGCAGGAACTCAATTTCGTCCCCGCAGCGCCGATACCAGAGGCACTCCAGGAGGATGTGCGCCCGAGTCTGCAAGACGTGACAAGTTGGGCACTCCGTGGGCTCGTTCCGGAATCCCGCCCAACACTCCATTCTACCTCTTTCCTAATCGCGCGCGGTTTGTCGTACCCACCTGGCGGGCCGCATCGCGAAATCCTGTCGCGCCGCCTGTCGACGATTCGTGTGTCCCTCCCTCCCGTCGGGACAGAGCGCGCCTCGAGGGGCTCGGGCTCTGTAAGTTGGGAGATCCGGCGCGCGACCATGGGCGGTCGCGGCCCAGCGGACTTGGCCTACTGCTTCCTGAGACGTGATCCTTGGAAGGGAAGCCGCTCGTGAGTCGCGATCCTCGCAGCGGCCGCCCAGGCAGACAGCACCGCGCGACGCAGCTCAGTGTTGTGCGGTATATGTACACGTCTGGGCTCTTGTGCCAATCGATCCCCTTTCTCCTCTCAAGGCCTCAACCCACCCCTTCCCGTTCGACCGCCGCCAGTCCGATAGCCGCCCGCCTACCGACGCCTCGCTGATCTCTTCATCACTCGACGACATACTCCAACAAGTGGTGAGTCGTGACAGTCCGCCCTGCTCGATGCGTTGGGCAGAGAGGCGCTGTTCTCTGAACACTTATCGGCCCCAACAAAACCAGCGATGGGGAGCCCCGCGAGGTGCGTCGTTCCGCTGTTTGCGATGAAGAACTTACCAGAACGTGGCCCTGCAGCGTGCATATCGTCACCAAAGAGTCTATCAGTCTCGAGCTTTTACGCGAAGGCGGCCTCAACAACCTCGAACTGCGCGGTGACATGAACCTGCATATCTCCGACCCTGCGTTCGGCCGCATCAAGCTTGCGCTTGCACCTGCGCCTACCTTCGGCGCTGAACTGCACTTCAAGCACCATCCGAGCGTTGGCGAGTTTGCCGCCAACGGTGACCGTCTCGTCGCTCTCAAGGACCCCTCGCGGTCGTTCCCGATCGGTCAACCGCTGACCGTGCTCAAGTGGATATACTCTGGCAAAGATGAGGAGCACGTACCGCTGTCGAGTGGGTCCAGTTCCTATCGAGCTTTAGCAGCCTGCTGATCATGAACCAGTCAACTGCTGGCCCACCCCGTCCAACGACGGGACGTGCGACGTGAAAATCGAGTACGAGCTCGAGAACAAGGACATCACCTTGTCCGACGTCGTCATCTCTATCCCATTGCCGTGCGTCCCCGTTCCCGGTTCTCCGGATGACTTGATGCTCATCCTGTCCGACGTTCTCCAGCGGCGGCTCCTATCCCACCGTCTCGTCCCACACTGGCGTATGGGCTCTCAACTCGTCCAGCCATTCGCTAGACTGGTCGACTCCCCTGATCAACACCGACGATCGCTCCGGGTCGCTCGAATTCTCGGTCGGTGGCGAGGACCCGAGGGCCTTTTTCCCGGTGAAGGCGTCGTTCGTCGCACAGGGCAGCATCGCGGGAGTCAATGTTCAGTCGGTGACAAGCGTCGAGGACGATGAGCTGGAGTTCTCGGAAGACGCGACCGTGAGCGTCGATAATTACGCTGTCGTGTACTAGTGCGATTATGGTATCGGAAGCGAGGCATTATTGTGTATTCGTTATGCGGGTTGTACTATCGATCGGATTACAGCCCTTCTAGAGGAAGTCCGTCAAGTCCTGGGAGTGTCGCAGCGAAAGTCCCAAACCATAGGTATGTGCGTTACGAGTCCGTGTCGAGTCCTTGTCGGCCAGAAAAAGCGCCACTTTAGAAAATGCGGAAGAAGAGAAAAGATACCCAGTCCGTGATTGCGTCGTTACCGAGTCGTGACTTCATGACTCCTCGTCTTCCAACTATAGGCCCGGGCCTAGCGCGACTGCGGGAGCCCGCGCGAGTCAGAGGTCCGTGCCCTGACATGCAGCCCGCCCATCTGCTCGCCGAGCTCGCTGACGCCCCCGGCACCGGCGTCGTCCTTGTTGAGATCGTTCATCGAGCTGACCCGCGTGCGCCCAGGAGCACGCCCGCCGTGCATCGTCAAGGGACCCGGCGCGCTCAGCCGGTGCCCGTCCCCGCTCGCCGGGCGGTGGTTCGGGAAGTACGACGCGCGGCTGCCGGCGCCGTCATGCCCGTTCACCCCGTTCACGAACCCGTCGGGGACGAGCCCGGTCGGGAACGGCTGCGCGGGGACGCCGATGCCCCTGCCGATGCCCATCCCCATCCCCATCGCCGGGTACATCGGCATCGACATCGACGGCCCGAACGCGATCCCGGGCGAGGCGGAGTGCATGCTGCGGCGCGCGTGCTGGGCCATGCCCGCGAGCGCGTTCGCCGCGCGGGGGGTCGGGTGCGGGGTGTCTGGGGCGAGGAGGAGCTGGAGGGCGAGGAGGGCGGTGAGGGCGGCGTTGCCGGCGTTGTGCAGCACGCGCGTCGCGTCGAAGCCGAGCGACTGGAGCGTCGCGGCGAGCGTGAGCGGGGTCGCGGGGTCGCGCGGGCGCCCGGAGGGTTCCTGCATCGTGCCGCGCTGTCCGGAGGCGTAGAGCTGCCGCTCGAAGGCCATGGTGTCGAGGATGAGGACGTTGTGGGGGAGCTCTGTGGGGACGGTGGTCAGCGGTATAGTTCCCTCGGATGTGCATGGAAGATATAGGCCACAGGTCTCGAACGTCTGCTATGTGATCCAATTTTCTTCCCCAAACGAGGACGAAACTCAAAACCATTGTGGAGCAACAAAGCCCGAGAGAAGGCCCCACCCCCAGTGCACGACGGGATGGAAGTGAGACCACTGGTGACCAGCTCTCGATGCAACACCTCGTTCAGTAACAAACGCACTCACTTATTTTCAGTTCTTCCAGCCTCCGGAACTCCCCCGGGGTCCCGTGGGTGACCAACACAAGAGTATTGGCCACCAGTTCCGAATCCGGGCTCATTAGACTGCTGTGGACGGAGAGTAAATGCTAATGCATTGGTAGATGCACGAAATGAAGGGCGAAATACCTGATCAGAGCATTCACCACCTGCCCGAGCCTCGCTTTCGGAAGGAGCTGGCTTTCACCGAACTGTCCACCACTGTCGTCAGCCATGAAATTTCATGATACTCTTGAGAATGGTGTTTACCGCATACTGTGAAAGACGTCAAGTGAGCCTGTGTATGCGCGAGATAGAAGACGTCAGGACTGCACTCACCGCCCTTGGGAAACTCGGCTTGATTTTGTTGTACACCTTGTCTACATACTCCGATATCAGGTAGTGCCCACGCCTGTCGGCAGCCTCACGTCAGTAGGGCTGCCAGCGTACGTCACGAGCGTTCAACTTGCCTATAGTTGGGTTCTGGATCGGGGGGCCACGCCCCAGCGCTGTGCGCAAGGTTGAGTTCGAATTCGACGGGGGACGTCACGGAGAGAGGAGCCTTACGTGCTCAAGTGACCGCAGCGGACGGCGGAGTAGCCCCACTCGATGCACGACGCCGTGTTCCGCTCCGACCACTCGAAGTCGAGCGCGAGGAACGTCTTGTCGCGCCCAGCCCAAAGCTCTCGCACCGCCTGGGGCTCGCCGCTGCGGACGCGGGTCTTCTGAGCGGCGAGGACGACGGCGGGGAGGGTGGCGTAGATCTTGCGGTACGTGGTGTAGTCCGAGATCGTGCGCATGTGGCGCTGCTGCGTCTCGAAGGCGGCGACGCGCAGGATGTTCTCCACCATGGGCACCGTCTCGCCGAATCTGGACGGACGGTGTTTAGGGTCCGAGAGCCACGCTGCGCAGTCAGGATGAGGCGCACCTTGTCTTGAGCATCTTGAGGAACGCACTGATGGAGGACGCGCGCACGACGATGTGTGCTCGCCCCGTCCATGTGTCGGTCACGGTAATCGTCGGCCAGGAGAAGGTGAGGAACTCTTCGAAGGTCTCAAAGAAGACCGCCCATGAGCGATCGTACCTGCATCAGTGCGTTTGGTACGTCCTGTGTTTGCGGAGTCTCGCACTCACCATGCCGTGGCACGTTATGCAGTTGGAAGTGACCCATGTACGCAGAGTACACCTGATCCTGACGTCGGTGAATGCAGAGGGCGTCGAACGGCATGTCACGCACCGACTGGAGGTCGCAGTCCCAACCCTTTGGGTCTACCAACGTAAAGCCCGACATCTAGGAAACAATTCCGACGAATGGTTGGGAGCCGTGAGTGAGATTGACGCCAAGTCCTTGTCACAGCAGCCTGGCGTTGGCTGGGGCTCCTGGGAGCACTAACGGTGGTCGAGGAAGGCGGCGGAATTGAGCAGACAGGGTGGGACCTCTATTGAGCAAGCTGGGCGGCGAGAGACGAGCAGCAAGATGGCGCCATCACCCGACGCGGCGAGAAGAAGCCACCGTGGTCCGAGGCCCCGGTTTAGAAGACGACAGAGCAGCTCTGTGACTCTCTGTGCCCTCCATGGCGACTGCTGCCCGTGCGGCGTCCACACCCTCGCCCGTCCACGCGCATACACCTCCGCGGGCATCAGTTACATCATCGCCAAGCCCTCTTGAGCGTTCTTTCACATGCATCTCAGCCCTACACCGATACCAGCGACACCTCGAAGTGGATCACACGGACCAGCGGATGTGTACGACTATTATCTGCCTTCATGGTAAAAGGACATTACATGGCTAGGCAGCACAACATCTACTACAGCAGGGGACCAGGACGTATGAGGGCTCACCTACAGGCGTGCCCATCAACCAGACTTGGTCGAACACATCACCTGCCTGAACAGGTGGTCAGTGACTGCAGTGCTGGCGCAGGAGAACAACGGAAGGTGAACAGTTCAGAGACTTGAATGGTTCCAAAGGAATCGCACCCACCGTGCCAGAGCACGTCGTGAAAATTGCAAAATATTTTCATCCGGCAAAGCGATGCCGTAACAACAACAATGGTACAAAAATGCTCACCTGCCTCAGTCTGCGTCCTGAGCCCAGCACATCCTGAGCCACCGGAACACATCAATGGGTCCTGGAATGAGAGGTCAGCTGTGTCCAAAGCACATGCATATGAGAATGTCAGAATGAGGAATTCCTGAAAGATTGTGTTCTCATGACCGACGTGTCGGCATCGAAGTGAGCTGAGTAAAAGCTCTCATCGTTCAAGAAAAGAAACCTCGGAATCCGACTTACCTTACATCATTGTTCACCAACACGGTGGAGGAAGAAACGTGGGTAAGAACGTCGATCGTGGCGAGAAGCAACCTTTGTAACCCGTGGCCCCCGCGGCTAATAGCACACACGTGATCGTGTTTGAACCTGCCCTGAACTCAGCCACGGAATAGACTGCTGTACAGTTCTTTCCCAGGCCCTCTCACACCCTCAGCGACCAGAGTAAGCGCGACATCCTCAAGCTCACGATTCTCGACGTTGACCGTACGTGAAGATGCAGATCTTCGTCAAGACCCTTACGGGAAAGACCATCACCCTTGAGGTGGAGTCTTCGGATACTATCGACAATGTCAAGGCCAAGATCCAGGACAAGGAGGGGTGAGTGCTCTCTCAGTCAGACCCCCGGCGCTGCAGCTTACGTGCTCCCCAGTATCCCCCCTGACCAGCAGCGCTTGATCTTCGCCGGCAAGCAGCTCGAGGACGGCCGCACCCTCAGCGACTACAACATCCAGAAGGAGTCCACTTTGCACTTGGTCCTCCGGTGAGCCTTCATGCCTGATCGTGCGCCTTCTCCCCATCCTCAGACACGGATATTAGTCTCCGTGGCGGCATCATCGAGCCCTCGCTCAAGGTCCTCGCCTCAAAATACAACTGCGACAAGCAGATCTGCCGCAAGTGCTACGCCCGCCTGCCCCCTCGTGCCACCAACTGCCGCAAGCGGGGATGCGGCCACTCGTCTCAGCTCCGCCCGTACGTCTTGCCGTTACTTGTTCCTATCTCCTGGCTCATGACTTCGTGACCTACAGGAAGAAGAAGCTGAAATAGTGGTTGCGCGCCCCACTGCTGGTCGACACGTCGGCCGTCTGGTTCAGGTACGCCACGAGAGCGGGGACTTCGTTGCATGTACTGCACGCCATATGCACCACCACATCATATGCATTCTCCATGCGCATGTAACACGCTGGTTCTCCGCTGTATGATAATTCGAGGCACGACAACTACGTGAGGGTTGTGTCGAATCTCGAGAAAGTGATCAGGAGCGTCTAGGTATCATTCGCCTAGAGACATCCGTTGTTTTGGTTCTCGCAGCAACTGCAGAGAGCTCAAGGGGTGAATGTCCAGTACTCCAGTATCGAAGCACGCCAGCGCTCCAAACGGTCGTCAGCGCATGAGCTATGTTCAGTTCCGCATAAGTCTTGTTGACGCTTCACGAGCGTCCATCTGGGCGGTGAAGTTCTCCAGGGCCGTGGGTGGTATCCCCTGGTATGCGTGGTCCGGGAGATCTTCGGGGGCGCCGGCATGGATGAACAGACTCCAGAGGCAGGACCACAGCGTTCCGCATAGGCAACCCATATTCTCAAAGTTTGCGCTGCGCAGTCATAGCAATAGAGCACCATGTGCCCGGATGGTTTATATCGGCGTGTCGATCCTCGCAGGAAGCGTTTTCAATTTGATTAACTGGCGAACGGACTCTACAGTCAGTAGAGGGTGATGTGCTGAGTACTGGTACGGGGGTTCGCCTACTAGTCCAAATCGTAGGCGCTTCCGTCCTCGTCTCGAAAGGCCACCATTCCGCCACCCAAGGTGATAACTCCCCCTCTGGGGCGGCCTTCAGCAGCCACTCTCTGTTGGCTTCGACGGTCCCTTTGACTTCCTCAAACTCCCTAGCGTCCACCCAGAGGTTATCCGAGATGAGCATCGCCTGCATTAACCGCTCCGCACGTCTCGGGCCTTCCTTCTCGACAGCCTGCAGCGTCCTGCTCATATCGTCGGGGTCAAAGCCGACCGGGCACGGCAGGCCAGACACGGCGTCCCAGCCCTGTGCCGCAGCGTACAACGCGAGCTCGCGGCAGAGCACGATCCCGGGGTCCATGAGCGCCGCGGCGTACCCCTTGTTGCACCGCTTCAGGTGGTCGAGGTAGTGCCAGTAGCCGAAGAACCGCATCCAGTACCGCTGGTATTCTGCCGCCCCGGCAAACGCAGCACGAGAGGAGGTCACGCTGTCCGGCGGCGAAGTGGGTGGCGACGTCTCGTTCTCGGGGTCCCGGAAGCCTTGGATTGGGTCCTCGTGGAGGAACGCCCACAGGTGTAGCTGAACAACGAGTCGTCGTGGTTTGCGATGCCGGAGATTGCGCGAGATGATTGGTGCTTCAGTGAACGAGTAGCAGCCGAGGCGCAGCGCTGCAAAGAGGCAGCCCGGCGCAACGCATGTACAGGAAACTCGCTGGCTGCAAGTCGTGCCAACTTCGGTGCCACTGTGCCCCGACCGAACATGACGGGGATGATACTGTCTTGTACAGGGACAGAGACGGTAGAGAGAAGCAGAGTCCCAGGGGGATGTCAGGTTGGTTACTAGCGCACCAGCGCAACTTATATTCGCACTGCACCGATCTGGGCGAAACCGCCTGAAACATGCAGCCTATAGCTAAAACCTGGGGATGAGCGCTTGAGGGCGAAATAGGAGCATCAGATATTGGCGGAAAACGCCGATTTGCGCTCAGCGCTTGCGGTCCTCGGCCTGAATTTCGAGTCGTGCCGTTGTCTGTACACTCTCCCAGCCTCGCTTTTCCACCTCCAAAACGCCGCTTTGCTGCTGCTCCGAGTACGCCTTCTTCCATGGTGAAGGGTCGAGGTCCAAAAGAAGCCCCGCGGTCGCGCAAAACGGCATCCACGCTTGGATACGCCAAGCGCCAGAGTCTCAAGTCCAAGACCCTGCGTTCGCAAGGCGTCTCCGATGTGTACGAGTACCAGCAGGAGAAGGTGCGCCGCGCCAACGTGAAACCGCTGCTCGCACGGGACGAGGAGGCAGAGATGGGCGGCGGGGCTGCGAGCGAGAGCGACGACGGCGCCGCGCGGAAGAGCGCGCGCCCGCGACTCGTCGGGGAGGACGACGGCGACGAGGGGATCGGCGAGGACGAGGACGAGGACATTGATAGCGACGAGGCGTTTGAGGAGAGCGACGAGGACCGGTTCGCGGGCTTCAGCTTCGCGCAGAAGGTGTGCCAAGCAATTTGTTCTGTCTGAGCGGGGTGTGGGTAGAGCTGAACACACGGCTTGGAACAGGGCAAATCGCAGTTGAAAGCGCGGTCTAAAGCGAAGAAAAAGGATGAAGGCAAGAGCCGCGCGGTGCGCTTTGCGGATGTTAACTTGAACGAGGACGACGAGTCGGACGAGGATGAGCGAATGCAAGATGGGCCGGGGGATGAAGAAGAAGAAGACGAAGAAGAAGAAGAAGGTGATCCCGATGAGTTCATAGACGTCTTGGACGTCTTGGATGGACGGGGTGAACCCGACCTTGGAGAGGAGGAACAGACAAAGAGTGCAAGGCATAGAGGAGAGCATGCGCAGGAGGATGAGGAGGAAAAGGACCGGATGGACGGAGATGAGGACGGGGATGGTGACGATGAAGACGACGAGGAAGAAGAAGACGATGAACACCTGGAGGCAGACGGTGCGATATCGGCATCGGGCTCTGAGGACGAAGGAGGTGCCTTACAGGACCTTGAAACCTTCGTTACCGGCTTGGACGCTGGCCAAAAGCGCAAAACCCTCCACGACGACGAGGTCCTAGAAGATAGCGGCAAGACCGCACGCCCAAGGAAACGCAGATTGTTGCCGGAACGCACGGAGGCCGGCGCAGAGAACGAGTTCATTTCGGGGACAGGTACACCTCCATTGTCGTTCTTACACGAAATCATACTCATCTCTCTCTGCAGGAGGCGGGAAGCTGGGCTTCGATGACCTGCTTGCTCCTCTTGAGGGACAATCCTCGAACCTCGCATCGCTCAAGAAACCGGCCAAGATCCTGACATCGACATCCGGCAAAATCAAGACCTTGTCCGCACCTCTGCCCACACGAGTCGCAGAACGACTGGACCGCGAGGCTGCCTATGAGCTGACGAAAGAGGAGGTCGACAAGTGGAAAACGACCATGCAGCGGATCACAGACGTGAGTTTCGATCTCATGTTATTGAATCTACTCTAACACAGTGCACTACAGGCCGAACATCTCAGCTTCCCTCTACAAGCAGAACCGAAGAGTCGGACGTCCAACCTCGAGCTTGCCGCCAAGTTCAAGGTACTGCCATGTCTCCTCTCGCTCGAGCGGCGTTCTGACATTTATCCATAGCCCTCGAACGAACTCGAAAGCGCCGTAGACAAGCTCCTCAAGTCCGCGAAGCTGCGCGAGGACGAAATCGCGCAGACCGAGGCGCTCAAGATGAACCACCTCTCCGTCGAGGAGGTCTCCGCGCGCCGCGCCGAGCTCACCAAGATGCGCGACCTCATGTTCCGGGCCGAGGCCAAGGCGAAGCGGCTTGCGAAGATCAAGAGCAAGACATACCGCCGGATCCGCAAGAAGGAGAAGGCGCGCCTCGCGGACAAGCTGCACGAGCTCGGGGGCGAGGACGATGAGGACGACGAGGAGAGGAGGGTGCAGCGAGAGGTGGAAAGGGCGAGGGAGCGCGCGACGCTGAGGCACAAGAACACGGGCAAGTGGGCAAGGCGATGCACGCGAGGGGCGAGCTCGATGAAGACCAGAGGAGGGACATCAATGAATGCTGGACCGAGGCGAGAAGTTGCGGAAGAAAATCAGGGGAGAGGACGGGAGCGATGAGAGAGCGAGGACGATGAGGACGACGACGATGAAGGAGATGGGAAGGGTTCTTTCTCGCATCAAGGCCAAAGCTTTCGATGAACTTGCGGCACTCGATACTGACGACGCTGAAGCACCCTCAGCAAGACGGGCAAGAGATCTTCGATATGAAGTTCATGAAGGACGCCATGGCACGAGAAGAGCGAAAGACCCGTGGCATCGTGGACGACTTCATCAAGGAGCTCGGCGGAGCAACGGCGACGAAGACGAGGATGCCTAGAATCCCCGGAACAAGGCCAGGCCGATCCAGTCACCGTTGAACGGTGGCGGACGTGTGGTCTATCGTCCGGGCGTGCTCGTAAGTTTCCGCCGTTGTCATTGTCGGAAGCTAACATACCCGCATAGACTGGCGGTGTACGGCCTGTCGGCTCTCTCGCCTCCGACACCTCCAGCGTCACCCTCAAATCCACCGACCTGCTTCTCGAAACACGGGCGAGCCGTTCTCCCCCCGACTCCCCCGACTCGCCGCGCCCCCGTCCTGTTCCTACTTCAGGCGAGCCACAGGAGAACCCCTGGCTCGTCGGCGCGAGCAGTGCCGCCACAGCCGGGCAGACGCGGCACGAGGTTGCAGTGAGCAAGGGCAGCGCCGTGGCAGACAAGTCCAAGAGCAAGCTCCGCAAGCGCGTGCAAAAGCGGGCGGAGGAGCGGGAGAAGGCTCAGGCGGACGCCGAGGTCGACATCGAGACAAGCGCGACCATGTCGCTCGCCGGACCTGCATCGTCCTCGGCCAGCGTCCAAAGGGGCCGGGGAAAGGGTACAGCCCCCGCTGCTAGAGCTCCTGCGGGCGACGAGAGCGACTCTGACGCGAACAGCGAGGTCGAGGCCCAAGAGCGCTCCGCTGCCCTCAAAGCCAAGGGTAAGGGCAAAGTGAAGGCCAAGGGCGATGCGAAAGGCGTCAAGGCTTTCGAGCAACGCGACCTCGTCGCGCTCGCCTTCGCCGGCGACAATGTCGTGCAGGACTTCGCCGACGCCAAACGGCGCGAGGTCGCCGCGGACGCCCCCAAGGAGGTCGACACGACGCTCCCCGGTTGGGTCAGTCTATCTGTTCTGTGCGCTTTCTGCCCCCCGCTTACCGACGCATTGCACAGGGCGCTGGGGCGGCACTGGCACAAAGAAAGCGGCGCCGCGGCCACACCTGGTGAAGACCCGACCGGGCGTCGCGCCGGCCGCGCGCGCGGACCACGGCAAGGCGCACGTCATCATCTCGAGCGGCGTGACAAGAAGGCGGCGCGGTACCTCGTCAAGGACCTCCCGCACCCGTACACGAGCGCGGCGCAGTTCGCACGCAGCATGGAGGTCCCGCTCGGCGCGGAGTGGAACACGCGCGTCGGCTTCCAGCGCGCAACGCTGCCCCGCGTGGTCACCAAGGTGCGTCGCCGTGGCTCCGAGCGAGCAACGGGCTGTGGAAACGAGAGGCTGACACGCGTGGTTGCAGATGGGCACGCTCATCGCCCCGCTCGAAAAGCTTCAATGAAGCCGCAGGATTTGTGTCTTCGCATATTCAACTGTTCCTTCCATCGCTCGCACGTCTGTTGTATTTCATGGACATCACAATGCATTCGCTACACATTGGCATCCGCTATGACAATAATCTAAGCCCTCTCGATCGGGCTATTAGGGTGTGCTGAGGTCGGGAATCGATACAGGGGTAATAATCTACAACCTTTGCAGGCCATGTCCATGTGTAGGGGTAATGCGTGTCGTAGAGTATGCTACAGTACGAGTCCTTGGGTACGGGGCTATCAACCGCTCATTCCTCTCCTCTCGCCAGGCCGACGATGGCGTAAATGTTGGCCATCACGATAACAATCCATATCGCGTAGCCCACGACGATGCTGATCTTCCCGTTTGAGAAGTGTACGATCTCGTACTGCTGTTCGGCCTCAACGAGGGTCCTGTCTCCTTGTTGTGACGCCGAGTGAGGTGTTTCTAACCGTGCACCGGGGACGAAGGGGGCGTGACTGGCCTCTTGATGGCCATTACGGTCTTGGATGACGTGAGCCACATGAGAGGGAAGACGACGAATGGGAGGACGATGGACAGCACGACCTGGGACGCCACGAGGAGCGTGTCGATGCCGGAGCGGCCGAGCCCGGCAGCAACGGCAAGAGCAGGAACGAGCCCCAGGCAGCGGGTGAACAGACGGCGCATCATGGGCTGTCATGGAAGAGGAGAAAAGAGGGCCACGGAGCGCGGGAGAGAGCGCCGACAAAAAAAAGCGGGGCTATTAGTCGTGGGGGTTTGGCCAACAGTATGGAAGTGGACGCACCGAGAGCCTCCAGCGGATAAAACCTTCCGACACAATTTGACCGGCGAGCGTTGCAATAATAGACGAACTCTGCCCGGCGGCGAGGAGAGCTAGGGCAAACAATATGGCGGCGGCTGTCGGCGTGAGACGATGTGAGTAAGCAAGTGCGCTCCAGAAAATCGCCTGCGACTCACGCTTGCCAACGATGCGCGTGAGGAGGTCGTACGCGTCGAACAGGCTCGCCGGATCCTGGGTCCCGGTGTCACCGTGGAAGAAGACGGCACTCGACAGAATCAGGATCCTGAGTAAGACGAGTGAGTAAATCGCACGGAGCTTATTTTAGAGACCAAGTGTGGACACGTACAATGAATTGATCACGACAGCGAGTCCAAGCAGGCTCACGACCATGTCGACGATGCCATGGTACAAGTGCGCGCGAACGAAAGAGTAAGGGTTTTCTCTCGTTCGGCATGTGACTTGGGTTCGTCCATGAGGGCATCGCGAGGAAGGACGCGGAGATGCCGTCTAGCCGCTGCCAAAAAGCGTTCGAGGAGAGGTCTAGAGTCTCCGTGTGGCGGAGTGACTTGTGTTGAGGTAGACGAAGTAGTGAGGTCGGAATCTGCCGAAACTGTCGACTCCGTCGCATGGGATTTAAGCATCTTCTCGGGCTTAGCCTCCGACAGCCTATCTTGAGTGGCCAAGGCGGAGCCCAAGAACAGACTGTGCGGCATGACGGTAGCCCCGATGATCCCAATCGCTAGAAAGTCGGCCATTAGACGGAGATCACCATGGCAGAAAGATGATGTTACATGTATAGAGAGCGCCGGCTGGAATAGCGTCTTTGAGGGCAAATAACCTCTGAATGCATCCGCCCACACCGGTTGTGCCTTGGATATGATGTACGCCATACAGATCAATACTGTGAACACCTGCAATCATCGGGGTCAGCCTCTGGTGGCAGCGGGACAGACGGGATGGGCGGACCAAAATAGCGATGAAGAGCTCGAAGATGCGGACCGGCTGGCCTCGGATCGGGTCCCGGAAGGCAAGAAGCAGGAGGACGTCGGAAGCGGTGATGACGACGCCGGCCCACAGCGGGAGGCTCGGGAAGAGCATGCAGAGGGCAATGGCCGACCCGAGAAGCTCCGCAAGGTCCGTGCTGATGATGGCGATCTCGGAGAGCACGTAGAGGGGGTAGAGGAGGAGCCATCGGTACAGCGACTTGTGTTTGGGCCTGTCGTAGAGAAGGAGGCGGCAGTGAGAGGCGAGGTCTGTAAACGATCGTGTATGGGTTCAACGGCGCATATATGGACGCAAAAGGCGGTACACACCCAATCCGGTGACACAGCCCAGGCGAGATGCTTGGGTCTGTATCGTTGGGTCAAGGCTGGGTCATGCAGACAAAGGGAAGAAGACTACTTACCTGGAAGAAAATCGCGAAGATGCCGGAGAGGAGAACGACAAAGAGGAGTTTGTAGCCATACTGCGAGCCAGCCTGAAGGTCGACGCCCCAGTTGCCCCTGAGAGAGAGGAGAGGTCAACGGCAGTACGATCGAAAGGAAAGAAAACGCACGGGTCGAAGTACGCAACGGCGCATACGATGCCCACCCCCGTGTGCTTGGTGTGCACGGCGACGAGGGACGCGCAGTCCTTTGCCTTGCGGATCCACCGTTGTGTCGAGCGAGAAGTTGAGGGCTGCTGTGGCTGCGAGCTAGATTGCACGGCAGGCGAGTCGGCGTCCTTCGCGCGGAGGAGCTCGGGCGACGGGGGGTCCATGGGGGGCGAAGGGAACAGGGAGGTGAGAGAGCGGAGGAGACATGAGCTGACGGGGGATGAAGAGCGAGGCTGAAAACCAACGGAGCGGACGCAGGTGGCGGGCAGGGAACGGTGAAGTGGTACTCGCGCCCAGCTCGCGCCCGTGCCCGAGGGCCCCTCGGCCGGCGCGCCGGCGTAGCTGGCAGACGCCTCCTCGAGCCGGCTCAGCGGCTTCCGGCCGAGCGGAAGCGCTCGCTCCGTCACTCCGAGCCAGCCTCAAACCGCATACTTGCATTTAATGGCCGTTGCACTTCTGTGCACTGCTGCCCATGTCACTTTGAGCTATTCATACCCGCTTGAGAATATGGTACATGAAAGATACACCTCGCACCAGCGCATCCAGCCCCCTCCCAACCAACGTCCTTCCGATCCACACTACTGGGCCCCGTACTTTCGGCGCGCCCAGTCGAGGTTGAGGCGGTCCAGACACAGGAGAGCCGAGCGGGTCGCCGCCTAGGAATCATGCTCCAGCAGTTGATCAGCGGGGCCTTGGCTGACCGATGAGCCTCGTTCGAGGAAGGCGTTCTTCTTCCAGCGGCGGACAGTTCAAGGCCGTCCGACAGTCGGTCGACACAGAGGTTGTTGCAGGTCGACAGGCCGCGTCTAGAAGCAAGCCATTTCGTCCTGTAGACCCTAGAACTTTCACCGAGACCGCAAGTACGGAACCCAAGAGTCGCTTTGTCTTCTTCCCCATCGAGCGCCGAAGCTGCCGCCAACGCGCTGCGCCCAGACGGGAGTGATCGTCTTCGGGGCATCCATGGTGTCGGTCGCGCGCGGGGGCCGTCGCCGTAAGCACCTTCAGCGGAGAAGCCTTTCGACCAGTCGGAGGTTGCTCGATTCCTAAGCCGACGGCGCCTGGGACACCCAGCATGTCCATGACTGCTCTAGCATTGGCGTTGCTTTCGGCGGGTCGAATGAAGGGCTCTGTCAACCAACGCCGCCGACCCCCGTCGTTGGCCTGGTACCACATCTTGCACGCCATCCACTGTCGCTCACAAGACCGGCAGGTGAACCCTTGATCAAGTTGTCCTAGACAGCACCGGTCGCAGGAAGGCACGGAAGGCACGGGAGACAGGAATCCAGAAGCCGGAGTCGCCGTAGGAGAACCACAGTCAGATGTTGTTGCTTGCATGTATTTGCGGAGAGTGATCGGAGAACGCGGCCGAAACACAGGAGATTGAGGTAGGACGGGCGTGGGTAGGGTGAGCATAATCGAAGGTGTTGACATCGCCAGAGAGTCGGGGGAATCCAGACGATACGGACATAGGAGTGAAGTCGCAGAGGGGCCAGGTGCAGTTGGCTCACTATCGTTCGCTGATTCGAGTAACGTCTAACGTTGTGTGAACACTGGATCTATGGTATACCTGCGCAAACATACCTGGTTCGTACGAGAGAAGACCAGTTCGGAGTTGTCGTCTGTTTGTGACAGCTCTTCCGCCGAGCAAAATTCGTCGTAAACAGACTCCTGAGAGGGTGCCGTGTGGTATTGAGAAAGGTCGCTGCACATCGAGTCGTCATGAACGATCGTGGCTAGCTAAGAGTCATGAGTTCACGGTACTTTCTTGGCATTCTGAGGTGCAGACATACGTGAACATCGGTTTCACAACAGCTTTCGGGGGACTCAGGGGGATGCCACTGTAACAGCCGCCGTGAGCGACCAACAACTTGGTAAGGAGCTTGGCCGCACTGACTTTCTCCGATAGAACAAGCCTCCCGTTCACGACACACTGCCAAGAAGACACGATTCAGATGGACACACCACGGGTGAGAACAGATTGGCCTACCATGTGCTTGGAGGTCCTCCGAAGTGTGGGGAAATGCGGACGGGAAACGGAAGTAGCGGCAGGATGGAATGTCTCTGAAGGATGCTGCGGGCCACGGTTTGAGGCTCATCATCATACATACATGTCCAACGTATTGTACTCACATGAAGCGCGGCGCATACGGTGGCCTCTGAAGCTTTGCTGCGCTCTTTCCTAGCCAAAAGGCGCGGTTTCTGTACACAGCGCGTCAAGGCTATTCACACAGTGCGACCGGAATATACTAACGGGATGTGTAGGCAGGACGTTCTGAACAACCCATGCGAGCGTTCTATTGGGTGCGCGCGTGAAACCATCGTGATTGGCGGTTGAGGCGGCTTCATGTCGGCGAGAGTTGCGTCCCATGAGTTCGTCCGGTGGTGGTTGCCGAATGCTATATGTTTCGATGCGAGAAGTGGGGAGGGAAGACCCGGAGCTAGTGTGGGGTGGAGGTCGTGGTTGAAGCTGCAACTCAGGCGCTTTCGATGGCGGCCGTGCGAAGAGCCGTCTGCCTCATTCGCATGCAGTGCGAAATGCATCTCACGCTTAGCCTGTCAGTGTCACTTATTCTAATGATCTCACCTCTTCCTGGACTCACCCTGCTTTTGCAGCTTACAGCAACCTGCTCTACGAGAAACCGCCATCGTTCCGAGTCGCAGCAGAGACATGGAGGGTTACATCGACTTCAACGGCTTCGAGGTCGAAGAAGAGGAGCAACGATGGTCAGCTCTTGAGGTGTACTTCGATTCGGTACGAATAACCCACCTGTGCATGCTTCAAAGTGTCCATTCAATACTGCACCACAGAATATAGAAGTATATGTGGAGAGTGCGGTAGCACTCATTGGACGCGGTCGACTTCGCGAAGGCTCACAAGCCATTGTTGCAATCAAGAGCGCGTCTCTAGACCCTCGGATATCCCACCAACCACATGACATTGGCAAGGAGCTACGCCTCCTTAAGACGCTTTCATGCGTGAATGTGAGTTTGCTTGCGGCTTTGTGTTCAGTTCGCTGATGGAAGACAGGTGGTCGAGGTGTTGGGCTCCCTCTACGAGCAGCCCGCCAGGACGCTTCACTTCTGGATGCCGCTCATTCCTCACCATCTGTCGGACATCCTCAACTCCCCGATGTTCTCCCCGTTCCATGCGCCAGGATAGAAGGCCCCAAGTCCCACAGACTTTATAGTCGTCTTCAAGTCGCTTCTCTACCAGATGCTATCTGCCCTTGCGTACATCCATGCACACGGCGTCGCGCACCGCGACATGAAACCGCGAAATATCCTCATCACGGACGAAGGCCTCGTGAAGATGATAGATTTCGGCGTGTCTTGGACAGAGGCGGTCGATGAGCACGACCTCTGGCCCGAGCCTCGCGGGCACATGTGCTTTGACGTCGCGACTGGGTACGGCGTTTCTGCCACTATGTACCGAGGAGGTCGTGGCTGACACTCCGTCCAGGGCTTATCGCGCCCCAGAGCTACTCTTTGGACCCGCGATTACGATGCGCAAGCAATCGACCTGTGGGCGATGGGAGTCCTTACCGCGCACTGCTTCACGCCCTTGCGTATACAACAACAGCACGAAGATTTCGACCAGTACGAGTCCCCGAGGAAGAAGATTCAGACACTGCAGAGATGCCAGCGAAGTCGCCGTTCATTATCCCTAAGGGCTTCTCGCCTGGCCAAGAAGGTGTTGAATGGACACGGGACGAGCTGTACGACGGTGATCGAGGGCAAATCGGACTCGCCTGGAGTATCTTCAAGGTCCATGGCACACCAAACGAGCAATCCTGGCCAGTGAGTGGAGGTCCCGTTCGTGGTCACATTCCCACTTAGTCTACAATACATACAGAGCTTTGGTGACCTTCCGGATGGGCAGAAAGTCAAGTTCGTGGACGTCCCTCCTGTAGACCTGCATGCTCTCCTCCCGAATCTACCGCCTGCGGGATGCAGCCGGATGCTCATCATTGTTTCGACCTGGTGTCGAAATTATTGGTATACCCTCCCGAGTCTCGTCTCCGAGCCCAGGACGCGCTAGACCATCCGCTGTGCACCCAAGGCCATCGTCCACTCCTTCCTGTCGGTTATCCTGCGGGCGGGCCAGAGTGTGAGGGGGAGAGAGCGGACGGCACTTAGCCGATCTTTTGAAACCATACTGGGAAATCGACGATCATAGACACCAAGGGATTGATGTAATGTACAACAGAGGTATACAACAGGTGGACAGATACAGCCTACAAGGGCATAACACTCAGCTCGCTACGGAAAGAGAGTTCAAGGGAATCGTTGCCAGAGCGTGGTTGTCAATCGCGATGCCTACAAGGCGCTGGTCAGTACGAGGGGAGCAGAGTGACGAGAAACATACTTCTAGTGGCATTGGCAGTCTTGTAGATGCCGATCAGTCGATGACTCAACTCGAACATGTCATTACTGTTCGCACCGTTGTGAGCAACACGGTAGCATGGCTTTCTTAAAACTACGCACCGAAGAGAAATGATGATGAATTGCGCGTTCTTCGTACGATCCTTGACATAGTTGGCCACAATGGAGACGTTGCGGAAGTCGAGAGCGGCATCAATCTCGTCCATGAAATAAAGAGGCGTAGGCTTGTAGACGTGCAGGGCGAAAACCAAGGCTAGTGAACTCAGGTCTGGTAGCAACATGAGCATGCGTACACATCGGATGACGGACTATGGGATCTCGTACCTTTTCGCCACCTGACAGGTTGGATATGTTCTTCCAGCTCTTCTTCGGCGGCATCACACTGAAGATGATGCCCTCAGAGAAGGGGTCCATGCTGTCTACAAGTTCGAGCTCGGCGTTGCCGCCCAATGTAATCATCTGTGCACCGGTTAGAGCCAAACAAATAAGACTATCGAGCAAGACGCACCTGATACATTTCCTTCAACTTCAGCGAAATCGCGCTGAAGCCTGCCATGAACTCATCGAGCCTCTTCTTCGTGAGTGCATCGTACTCCGCTTTGCTCTCATCGCGCAGCTTCGTGATGGCCTCAAGGTCGTTCGCGCGATCCAAAAACTCCTTCTCGCGCTTGCGGTAGTCCTTCAGGACGCTTAGATCGGGATTAGCCCTCTTGATTTGTTCTGTGGCATGGTAAATAATCTGTCTCGGGTGCAATCAACGGGCTACGGGCCACGCACCATCAAGGAACTCTATGTCCGCCAGCAATGCGTTTTGTCAAACGTCTTGACGACAGCGTCGGGGAATTCTTTGAGCTTATGAGGGTCTTCATCTCCATCTGGCTTGCGGGTGTCCGGTTCCTTCTTGACTTTCTTGCCGCTCTCAGCATCTTCGCCGCCCTCAGCATTGGGATCAGCCTCGTCGTCGTCGTCGTCATCGGACTCATCACTGCTTGTGTTAGTGCAATGCGGACGCCAGCTTCGGAGTCACTTACTCGACATCCTCAAGCGAAAGTGTTTCGTGCTTTTGGTTCCAGTGGTCCATCGTCTCCCTGTTGTCATCGGCTTTCTTCGTCACCTCTGCGATGTCCTGTTGAAGCCCCATCTGTATCGCAGCGCTGTCAGTCAAAGTCGCCCTGTTAGTAGGACGACAATACTGACCTCACGCTTGCGGAAAGCCATGATGCTCTCTTCCATCTCCTTGACCTCGGCCTTCTGTGCAGCGACTTTGTCTGCCACGTCTTCCGCAGCGACCTTCGCCTCTTCAAGCTTTTTGGTGAGCTCTGACATCAATTCAGAGACATCCGCGCACTGCTGGGTCAGCTCCTGCAAACTCTCCTCCTCGCCCTCGAGCATAGCACGGTTGGTCTCGAGATTCGCCTCGTACTTCTTGATATCCTTCTCTGCCTGCGACTTCAAAACCTCGTTCTTGGTGAGGTCGCCGTTAGCAATCTTGATGTAATTGCGGCAGCCCTCAACCGCGGATTTCTTGGCCAGCATAGCAGTTCCACCTATCTCGAGAATCTTCTTCTCGAGGGCCTGGATCTCCTTCTGGATCGCGTCCACCTTCCCCTGAAGCTTATCTTGTTCGGCGGTGGCAGATACGATCTTCTTGTCGAGCGCAGCGATACGAGAGAGGTCCCCCGACTCCGGCTTGCTCTGCGCCCTGTTGAGGGTGAGCGAAAAGCTCACGGATCAACAGGTGACGGACTCACTGGAGCTGCTTGAAGGTCTTCTCAGCCTCCTCGATCCGCTTCTTGATCTGAGCGATGCCCATGTTGAGGAACTGGAACTCATCCTCTAGCTTCGGGTGGTCCTTCCGTAGGCTATCGAGCTTCAGCTCAAGCTCTCCACACCTGCCTACAGCAGTGTCGAGTGCTCGCTGGTCTTGATCTGAGTCCTGTTGGTACTGGCGGAGGACATCAGGTGAGACGATGTCTGCGGCGAACTTGGAGCTCATGGCGCCGCGCTGAGGCCGACCCCCACCGCCCGACATAGCACCGGAGGCCTCGATGAGCTGACCGTTGAGCGTGACTACCCGGCAGCGGCGTGCACCACCGAAGGCGATGCGGTTCGCCTGCTCGAGATCGTTCGCGACGAGCGTGTTATGCACAGCCTTGTAGAACGCGGGAGCGTAACGCTTGTCCTTGGGCTTGATGAGGTCAAAGAGACGAGGGACGTTCTCAGGCGTCTGGATAGGTTCCATCCCGCGGTCATTGGTGAGCTTCTCAAGCACTGTGAAGTTGGCGCGCCCCAGCGATTGTTGGCGGAGATATTGAATGCATTCCTGTCCTTGCTCGACGGTGTCGACGACAAAGTTATTGAGAGCACCACCAGCGGCCGTGGAGATGGCGATGTCGTACTTGTCGGGAATGGTTCCCAGAGCACCGAGACGTCCCTGTGTCACAACGGAGATAAGCAATGAAGCAAACGGGGACTTCGCGAAAGAACTTCACATGAAAGCCTGAGAGGCGGCCCTGCGTCTTGAGGCGCGTCAGACCGTCGAGAACGACGTTGTTGCTACGCGATTGCTCCTGCGAGGCCCTTGCCTCGGAGGCTTTACGGCGAGAAGCATCTGCCTTCTGACGCAGGTCTTGAACCTTTCCTCGCAGCGTCTACAAACCAAAATGTGAGTGATCTGCCAATGAATCAGACGAGGACTTGCATTGAGCTCCTGCTCTGTGGCTTGGGTGCGGCGCTCGTTGTCGGCTTTCGACTGGTTCAACTGGGAACCTCGGCCGTCTTCTTCTGCAACTCCCCACGAAGCTCTCGAGCGAGGCCTCGCCTCAACTTGGGCTCGCTTGCGGTCTCAGCCTTCATCTCAAGTGCATTCCGCTCGCTCGTCCACACGTCAATCTCGCCTTCTTGGAGTTGATCTGCGCGTTCCAAGGCTGGAGTTCCTGCTGTTTATCTCGATCTTATCGTGGAATACTTGAGTCTTGTCTGTAACATCGATCAGTACGACTGCGTGCATTTGTGCAAAGCCCGCAACGCATACCTTTCAAGCTATCAACAATTTTCTCGAGAGCGGCTTCTTCTTGCACAAGCTTCTGTTGGAGCTCCTTCAGCTCCCCGTTGACCTTGTGGATCTTGGCAGTGCTATCTTCGATATTCCGCTTAGCCTCATTCCTGGCGCGTTCGTCCTGCCAGAGAGAAGTCATGAAAACCATCCAATTACTTGGGATTGAACTTACCTCTTCGATGCTCTTCTTCAGCTTCTTGGTCTTGTTCTTACCGTGCTTGCACTTCTCTTCCAAGGAAATGTGTAATTTCTCTTGTCGCTTGAAGTCGTGCTCGCAGGCGTCAGCCGCTTCCTTGACTTCCTGTAGACTACCATCAAAATCCAGCACTAGCCAGTGGAGATCAAACTACTCAAACTACGCACTTTGTACAATGCTTCGTTAGCCTCAAGTTCAGCCATTGCTTCCTCCGACGCATCGATCTTGTCTGGTTGTCCTCCCGCTCCTTTGAGAGCTTCTGGTTGAGCTCTTTCTAGAGTCGAGAATGAAAGGATTAACTCGTGGAACCAGGACGAAGCAGGGAGCAGTACGTACCAGCTTGCGCTGCAGGTTCTTGTCGTTCTCCAACATTGCCAGACATAGTACTGCCAGAGTTTAGACTTGTGCCGAGTGAGGTCGTTGAGCATCCTGAGGTAATCTTCCGCCTCTTTCTTCTTGGACTCCAGAGACTTCCGGTCTTTGTCCACGATACGCAAGCGGGTCAACTTCTGTTGACGTTCCTCCGATAGACGCTCCACCTCCACTAGTCCGGCCTCTATTGGCTGCTTGTACTGAGCGGTGCCAATGATATCCTCGAGGTACTCCAGCAAGCCGTCGTCGTTCTCGTTGACGCCCTTGGGTTTCATCTGGGCGATGGACTCGACCTCGCCCTATTGCTCGCTGAGCCAAGTGTCCGTGAGTCAAACATCTGTAAATCCGCACCTGCAGGATCAAGAAACGGTTGTGGTCCAAGTCAATGCCGCGGCCTTTCAGGAGAGTTTGTACTTCGCCGTAGTTACTTCCCCGCCCGTTGATGCTATACCGGCTGCTGTTGTTCTTGTACGCAGTGCGAGTCACTGTGAGCAGGGAATCGGGGACCACTTCGAAGGCGTCTGGACCAGGCTAGAGTGGTGTCAGAGAGAGTAAGAATAATAGATGCAATACCTACCAAATCAAGAATCTCCTTGAAGTGCACTTCGACACTGCACTCCATGAGGTCGGGGTAGTTGGCGGAGTTGTGGATCAGTTCCGACAGCTTGCCTTGGCGCATCTTGGAAGCACGGTATCCGAAAACGAAGAGCAAGGCGTCGATGGTGTTGGACTTGCCGGATCCATTGGGTCCAACGATTGCGGAGAACGACTACAAAGATGTTATTGCGGCGCATTTATTCATTGAAGCGATACATACCTTGTGGAACGGTCCGATCTCCTGCCTGCCGGCATAACTCTTGAAGTTGACAAGGACGAGCTTATGTATGACGAGGCGTGGCGTAGGACCCTGAGGTTCCTCCTGCACGGGTGCTACCTGCGATTGCTTCTGGGGAGATGTGGGGAGGGGGGGATCAAGGAAGGAATGCTCTTCTTCGAACTCCTCTTCAACGGGGGGCGGCGTCGCAGGCTCTCGTTTCGGGAGAACAGCCGCAGATACCGCCTCCGTCTCTTCCTCTTCTTCGTCCTCATCTGCTTTTGTTGGAGCGGCAGCAGGCGCGTCCTGGTCGTCCTCGCCGTCTTCGTTCGCTGGCTCCGGCTTCACATCCTCCAGTTCTTCTTCGTCTTCCTGAGCCACTTCCTCCTTGACCGGAGTCATCGCCCTCTTCACCTTCGGTTTCGCCTTTGACTTCGAAGGAACTTCGTCCTCTGAGTCGTCAATGACATAGACCTCCTTCTCCTTCTTGACACGAGTACTCGACGCTCGTTTGGGCGGCGGAAGCTGCCGGATTTCACCATCTTCGTTGAGCTCATACGGCGCCTCGTTCTCGCTATCGTCAATACGATAGTCGAGGTTGACTTCCTTCCAGGGGCTGCCCGTTTCGCCTTAGTCTTAGCGCAACTGTCTTCCTTCTAGGAAGAGAGGCTTCCGCAGACTCTGCATTGATGCTGGTAGCGGAAGATCTACCCCTTCTCGTGGTAGTTGAAGAAGATGCAGGAGTCGGGGCAGAAGACTTGGACGCAGGCTTACGAGTGCGGGTATTGGGCACCTCCTTAGGATCGGCTTCCTCGTCCTCTGTTTCCAGCGATGGGCGCGACTTCTTCCTTGCAGGTGGCTGGGACTCCTCCTCGTCCTCCTCGTCCTCTTGCACCTCTTCTAGCGATTTCCTCGAGCGCGTAGATGTCCTAGTCTTGGCTGCTGGTTGGGTGGAAGACGAGCGGCGCGTCCTGGCAATAGGCTTCGCGTCTTCCTCGTCGCTTTCGACCACCGCGGGCTCGTTTCGCTTGCGTTTCGGCGCTGCGGCCACCGGCTCTACTGACGCGCGCGATCTTGAGGAGCGTCTTGGAGGCATGCTCGTGGTTGTGGGAGAAAGATGGATGGAACGACCGTCGAGAGTAAGAATGGAGAAGAGTTCGAGGCTGAACAGTACGGCGCGGCGGCCACAACGCGTCGCGTGTGCCACGCACGTGACAGGCGTGTAGACGCCTGTGCTCGAAATTGCTCATCCTCGCGTACCGCGGGCAGAAACTCCTCCGCCACCATGGCCGAAGCTGAGCGCATATATTCTATATATGAGCCGTCATCGTCTCTCGCCGCATTCAATTCTCTCGGCCCCCTTCACCCTCATGACCGCTTTCCCTGTCCCTCAGCCAGGGGCATCCCTCCTCCTCGCCTTCCGTCCTGTGAAGAAAATAGTCCTTGTAATCGGCGGAAACCAACTCGCGGCCTCGCGGCATTCGCCGCTCTTGAAGCTCAAGCTCTTGTTACCGTTGTTGCGAAAGGCGGCCGGCCGTTGCTGCGAGGAGCTTCGATGGCGTGCTGAGCAAGGCCAGCTTTCCCTCGTTGACCTCGATACCCTCCCCTGTTCTATCACTGGCCCCGCCGACCACACGCGTGACGGCAAGGCGATCGACACCTTCGTCTACACCCTCCCTGACCGCGTGGAGCTCGTCTGCATCACCGACACCGTCACCTCCCCCGCCTCTGGCTTCCGCCGCGACTGGGACTCCGCCGAGCACATCGTGCGCCTCTGTCAACATCGCGGGATCCCCACCAACGTCGCGGACATGCCGGACCTTTGCAGCTTCACCTTCATGGCCTCCCACCGGTTCCCCGCCGCTGACTCCAAGAGCGCCTCACCTCTCCAGGTCGGAATTACGACGAACGGTCATGGGTGCCGCCTCGGGGGCCGCATTAGCGCGACATTATCGCATCCCTTCCGAAGGAAATAGGAAGCGCGGTAGAGAATACGGGCAAGCTCAGAGCGCTCGCGAAATCTTCCGACGCCGATGTCCGCGACCTCTCGGACGACCAGGAGCTCAGCGAAGATAGCGCGCCCGGGACCCCAAATGAACCCATCGAGCAGAGGACAACAGTGGCCGAGACGCGACCGAACATATGCGCAGGCGGATGAAATGGGTCGCGCAAGTGAGCGAGTACTGGCCTATCTCGCGCCTGGCGCGGTTGACAGACGATGGCATGGGCGCGGTTCTCGACGGCGAAGACGGCCTTCGTTCACTATCTGCTCCAGGCAGGATTTCGCCTGAAGACGCGCTTGTCACGCCGGTCCATCAGCTCACCCTCACCCCGCCGCGACAAGGCCGGATTTTCCTCGTGGGCTCGGGACCTGGTCACCCTTCCCTCCTCACGGTCGCCACTCACGCCGCCCTTACGAGACACGCACAGCTCGTTCTCTCGGACAAGCTCGTGCCAGCCGCCGTTCTCGACCTCATACCATCCGGCGTGGAGGTCCGTATAGCAAGGAAATTCCCCGGCAACGCAGACGGAGCACAGACCGAACTGATGGAGGCCGCCGTCGAAGCTGCCCGGCGCGGTCTGACAGTCGTCCGCGTAAGCATCCGCCACGTCCTCTGTAACGCTCATCCATCCATTCACTCACCCTCGCCCTCTGCAGCTCAAGCAAGGCGACCCGACCGTGTACGGCCGTGTCGGCGAGGAGATCCTCTACTTCCGAGCGCACGGCATCGAGCCCGTCGTCGTCCCAGGCGTCAGCTCCGCCCTCGCGGGCCCCATCTTCGCCGGCATCCCCGTCACCCAACGCGGCGCCGCGGAGTCCTTCGTCGTCTGCACTGGCGTCGGCCGCGCTGGGCGCTCCGTTTCTCTCCCCGGCTACGCGCGCTCCCGCACGCTCGTCGTCCTTATGGGCGTCGCGCGTCTTCCCCAACTGCTCCATGCGCTCCTGGCGGAGAACGGAGCGCGCGACGGCGCGCCGTACCCTGCGCACACCCCCGTCGCGCTCATCGAGAGGGCGTCGATGCCGGACCAGCGTGTGGTCAGCTCGACGCTTCGCGACATCGCTGCGGGACTGGAGAGCATCGGGGAGCAGCGGCCGCCGGGGATGTTGGTCATTGGGTGGTCCGTCCCGTCGTTGTGGGCCGAGGGCAACGTCACGGTGCTCGAAGAAGGTGCAGAGGCGCACGATGAGGAGCGCGTCAGTGTTTGGTTAGAGGGCAAACGTTGGCGAGTTGCCGAGGGCCTCGAAATGCATTGGGGAGAGTGGTGATGTTCTCGCTCAAATGACGTTCATGTATCGCTATGTATCAGTAAGCTGCTATAGAGTCCTCTGTTGTATTCCCGTTCTCTCGACAATAATATATTTGAGGTAACCCCAGCTTTCCTGGACTGCGTACCTTCATGGTTGGTTTCAAATTTGGTTCTCCTCTCTACATATTGCTGAACAGAACACGGCAGTATGGCCGGCCCGGGTTCTTCCGCTAGCCAAATATCCTCGCGTCTTATACAATCTTGACTGCGGATTCTTCCCCTTTACATGTCCCATCCGAAGCGTCTGCGATGTGCACCTATATGATGCTAGTTGAGCCACGCAGCAGACCCGCAAGAAGAAGGTAATCGAGACGTTCAACGTCCAAAATAAATATTGCCAGCCATTACAAGGAGTGAAACATTCATACAGCGCAACCATGCATGTCGCCACATGAGCCTGGATGTCATCGTGAGTGTGGTGACACGCACAGCGTCGTGACGGATCGACGAGCGATCGGCCGCCGCGCGAGTGCCCTCCCCGCTCCAAGTCGAAAATCCGTCCCGCCCGTACGTCCTCGACCTCGCTCCTAGAACCCGCCCAAACACCCCTCGTCCGACGCGATGTCCGGCGAAAACGAGCTCGCCCGCCGCCTCCGGCCCCGCGCTATCCTCTCGAGGTCCGACGCGCACTCGACGACAGGCTTGCGATGGCGCGCGGGGCCGCCGCCGGGCGGCACCGGCAGCTGCAGCGCGATCGGTGGCCCGGACGACGACAGCGCCGCCGTCGCGTCGAACTCCCCGCGCGGCGGCGGCGTGACGACCGTGTCCGACTCGTCCGACGGCGAGTCCTCCCGGCGGTGCACGAGCGCGGGCAGCGGCGGCAGCTCCGGGCGCGCGCGGGGCCGCCGCTTCGGTGCGGTCGCGAGGGGAGGGACGGGCGCACCAGGCGCGGATCGCGTCGAGCTCGAGGGGCCCGCGGCGGCCGGGGAGGTGGAAGCGGAAGAGGAAGGAGGCTCGGGCACGCACGCCTCGTACGCGCGCGGGTGGAAGTAGCTGCCTATGGGCGCGGGCGGCTGGTAGGCGTGCGCGCTGCCGCTCCGGCTGCGCGTGCGCCCCCTGCGCTCGACGTCGGGCGCGGGCGCGGCGAACGCGTGCGCGGACGGGCTCGCGGGGGGTGAATGCCGCTCGAGGCGGCGCGCGCCGCGGTGCGGGATCTGCACGACGTTCGGGGAGACGGCGATCGGCTGGCGATCGTACGTCGTGGGGGAGTACGCGGGGTACGTCGCGGCGATGACGGGGGTGGGCGGGAAGTGGACGTGCGGGGAGACGAGTGTGATGCGCGCGGAGTGGAAGGGGAGTACGGGCGAGCGGAATGGCGAGGGGTCGCACTTGAGAATGGGTCGAGAGGACTTCATGGTCTGTCGAGGTGGTGGGCTGGGTGAGCTGAGGAGAGGAGAGGAGAGGGAGCGCGCTGCACTGCGCTCAGTGCAGTATGTCTGGGCTGGGGGCTCGAAGTGAGACACTGGGCCGGCTGGCGGGCCTGGCGAATCGGCAGGAGGAGCGTGCGCAGGGAGTGCGGAGGTGGAGGAGGTGGAGAGGGTGGTGGGTATGCGGCGAGGAGAAGGGCGGGAAGCTGTCTGGTGTCGCTGCACGGGCGGAAGGCGGCGTGCCGGGGGGTTTTATGCATGCGCATGCGCATGAACGGCCCCCTCGGACGGCAGGAAACATGATTTCATGCGCCACCAGCAACAAGCAGCGACAACGCAGCGCTGGGACTGGTACTGCCCCACTCGCCCACGGACGCTCCACCCGGCATGCATACTTATCCTGTTCGAGGATCGCGCTCGGGCTGGATATGCACGCCAGATCCAATTCTGGGGTCGAATGGTTATGTGCTCGTTCGGATCGCCCCGGCCGCCTCTGCCGGTCTGCCAACCCGCTGTGGCCAGTGGCAGCGACTATGCAGGACTGGAGGCGGCCACGAGGACGCCGTGGGGCAGGCCTGCGCAAGCCACACCCAAGGTGGAGCTCTCGAAGCATGGCCGTCTCCGTCGTGCTCTTAGCCACCCCGTGCATTCTCTGCGTCTGCATCTGCCCCCGACGCTCGCCGACGAGTATCGACAGCGACCGGTTGCCTGCAGGGGGCGAGGGGGCGCAACGGGCTGCGCAGCGCGCACCCGTGCACGGGGTCCATCTTATCGCAAATCAGTCCATCCGTCCGGGTGACGTCTTTGCCCATGCGCGCCCGACGAGCGCAAGAACTGTATACATAGCGATCAGGAACCCTTCATCGATCCGAAGACGACGCGAGCGAGTCCGAGTGACGACGTCACCGTCTGAGTGGGCGCTAGTTCTAGAGCCGCTAACCGTATGTGACCGTGGAGTGGAAGAGAGAGAGGAAAAAAAAAGGAATGTCGAGAGGAGGAGGGGAAGACGGTGGAGGGAAGAGAGACAAGACGGGCCGCGAGGCGGGTAGCCGCCTCCCCGGACGCTCCACGTTCACGTTCAACTCTGCCACGGGTTGAGGTCGAGCGTGCTTGACTGCGCGCCTTTCTTCCCCGCCCCAGCCGCGTATGGGTTCCCGAACTCCCACGCGCTGCGCCCCCCTTGTGTTTGTGTCGAGGACGAGAGCGTGATGGACCCGTCGGACGCGCCGAAGGAGAGCGACGGCCCACTACTCGGAGGAGGCGGCAGGGGGTTTGCAAACGGATTCGCGTTGAAGACGTCTGCAGACCCCAGTGCACCGAAGCCGGATGTCGACGATGCGCCAAAGTTCGACATTGACGACGCGCCGAAGCCGCCACCATAGGGACTCGCCGCCGATGGCGCGTCCCAGGACGGGCGGTCGCTCGACCCGAACGAGAGAACGGGAGGACGTGACGTCGACGGGAAGGACGAGGACGAGGAAAGTGAGTTTGTGCCGGCAGACGCGAATGACGTCATCGAGGCTTCCTCCGGGTCTGCCATGCTATTGAGAGAGAGCGATCGCGATAGCGTCGAGGACAGGTCCGCACGCGCGCTCGAGCTGGCTATCGGCAGCTCATCCTCGCGCGCCAGTGGCCTCGCGTCGAACGAGGGGCGCAGCTTCGGGGTCACGGGTTCTGCCGTCTCCTCGGCTTGTGGTGGGGGTGCGGACTCGGAGCGGGTTGGCGGGGAGTGAGGGCGTGGAGGAGGTACCGAGACGGCTTGTGGGGTAGGAATTGAGCTGACGTCCAGGTCCGTCTTGCCTAGCGCCTCCTTGATCGCTTCAAAGTTGAATCCAGCGTGGATCGGCAGTTCCGACTGGCCCACGTCGCCGTCCTCCGCGGGTGCAGAGGCGCGAGTCGGCGATTTGGGAGACGTCGCCGTTTGCGCAGGCAATCGCTTCTCCGCCGTCGGCGTCGCAGCACCTTCCCGGGGAGGGAGGTCGTCATCGTCCCGTGCGCTTGAAGTGGAGTTCCTGATCTTCGCGTCCCCGGCCGGAACATGAGAGACGGAAACGGAAGGCTTTGACGATTTTTTGCGTCCGAACCATCCTTTCTTCTCTTGCTCCTCTCCTTCCCTGATCACTACACGTTCACCCTCGAAGTCAGGCTCCTAGATATTTCGTGAACGGCATGAGCGACTGTCATCACAAGAGAGCAATTGCGTGGTCACGCACCTCAGGCTCGTCAAAATAGTCGGCCGAAACCGGGAAACCCAGCTGATCAAGGATCAGCGGCATGAACGTCCGGTAGCTCATGTGTCCAGAAATCTTGTCCGTTACGTCCACGTTCTCCAGCCCAGGGACATTCTCCACGGGACGCAGTCCGGCCAAAGTGTTGAGCCCGCCGCTTGTTGCGCGGAAGAGGTAGTTAAGGACCCAGTCATTGCGCGCATAGCCATTGACAAAGCGCCCCGAGACAACCGAGCGTACCTCGAGCCAGGTGCTGAGTGGGGCGGTGACTGTAGCTCCAAGGATGAACACGTCCTGCACGATACCGAAAATGCCCTTCTTCGCGAGAGCGAGGAGCGCGTAGAATATCACCCTGGCGCCCAGCGAGAATCCGATAAGGGTTATCGGTCGAACTCCAAGGTGCCTGTTTATGAGGACGTCTGCGAGGACTTTGCCAGCTGCACTTGCACGATCAAGGGCGTTGGACCACGGGTTGTCGATCAGGTACCCGAGCTTTGTAAGGACTGTAAGGAATCACAATGAGCTTGAGCTTCATCAGAGGGCTTGGTTGGGATGGAGACTGACTAATGGGCCACTGAAGTGCACTCATGAGCGCCGTCATGACTGTTGCTTGGAGTGCAGTCTGCGCCAGCTGCGAGAGAACTTCGGACGTCAAGATCTTGAGCGCGCTTCCAGTCTCCCGAATCATCTCCGGCTCCCAGAGGATGCTGAAAACGTCGCCGACCACAGGGTCGAGGACGCTGAACGGCAAGCGAACGTCGTCCAAAGTACCGGTCATGAAGCTGGGGCGAATTGTCAGTAAGTACGCCAGTTTGAGCGAGTACAAGACCCACCCAGAGACGGTGAGGATGGCATTCACTCGCTTGTGATTGTGCAGCGGCAGGATGTCGAAAGTGCGAACGTATTGTGTTCTCCGCGCCATCCCACGTACAGCAATGCCTGACCCGGTCAGAACGCCTCCAGTAGTGATCACCGCTGCTCCGCCGGTGCCCGCGAGGAAACCAGTGGTGCCGGTGATACCAATCGTCGTGAGCGCAGTGCCCAAGCCAGCTCCAATGACAGGGGCGAGAAGCCCAGCGGAGAGCCCGATGACGAGACCTCCACCTTCGTCATGTTAGTCGGTATCTCACGCAATGTAGCGAGCACACACACCGAGAGTAGCAAGACCGAGCATCACCATTCGCCGCCTCTTGGTGTTCTTCTGGACATCCTGGATAGAGGTCTGCTGCTCGAGCTTCTCCACGCTCTCCTGGATCTCCAGTGCCTCCGTGACTCGAGCTTCAAACTTTACGACATCCACCCAGCCCAGACCGAGCTTCAGAGCAACACTCTCCAGTAGCCCACGGGACCGTGCGTCGTACACACTGTCTGCGATGAGGACGAGGAAGAGGTCGCAGAGTACGGTCCACCGAATGTCGAGCGTGACATCTCTGTCGGCCGCCGAAAGGTGGGTACTGACGCCGGGCATGGCCAGTGCAGCCGTCTCCTCAAAGACTCGTGCGGTGGTTTGGTGCGGTTTGGGCGGAGGGACGGGGGCGACGGGGGAATATGCCGGGGGCGGGGTAGAAGGGGCGGAGTCGTCCGTCTCCGAGATGTCCGCGGACTCCTTTGCGGCCTCCTCTTCGCGGATCTCAGCCTGTTTTCGAGCCTCGGCAGGGTCGTACTCGGGGTTGGCGACTGTATGCGTGGTCATGAGTGCGGGGACGAGATCCTTGGCTTCGACACCGTGCTGTCCAAGGCTCTCGATCATCTTCTGCTCTAACGGCCTGGTTTAGCGTAAGGCCCATGGCAGCAGGGTAGGAGTAGCAGCGATGCTTCACCTTCAGTTGCGAGCTCCATATGATAGTACAACCGTCCCATGATCTTCAGTGCCCATAGCTCCATGCTCTGGATCGCCTTCTTCAGCTCCTTCCGATTCACCTTCTTCAGCTGGTCCGCCATCTCCTTCGCCGTGAGGTGACACACGCCAACGTAGGCGATGCGCTGGGCCTCAGTGAGCATATCCTTCGTCTGCTGCATCTGACTGAGCGGAGTCATCGCCTTGTCCTCGTCGAAGAGATATCGTGTGCGGAGGTGGACCTCGTCTGACTCGTCTTCCTCCTTCATCCGTATCCGAGTGTATTCGTTCTCATTCTGATCTGCCTTCGTCCGCCACTCGTTTCCGCTGACATCCACGTCGAGGACCGCACCCGTAGCATTCCCCACCGCCGTTCCCGTCACGGCGTCCGTCTTCGATGGTGCGACGTAGTGGTACTTCTTCTGGTCCTCTTCGTCCAGGCCTAGGGCGAAGTCATCGTCGTTCCGGACGACCGGCATGTCTTGCCAGCCCTCATCATCATCGTCAAAGATGTCGGGCTCTATGGGGGCAATCGGCGGCGCAGAGACGACAGGCATGGTGGCGCGACGGGGAGGTGAGGGTGGGAGTAGGCAGGAGCCAAGGGCAGTGGTATTAAGCGCACAGGCATGCATGGACGATGATCCGACACAGATCGCCGCGCTCTGCCGCGCGCCCGGTGCATGGGTGAATGGAAGCCGTAACGGGAACGAGCAGCGCGACTCAGAAGACGCATGGAATGTGCGGGGGCGTCCTTGATTGTACAACAACGAGCGTCCTGGAAAGACACATACACATACAGACTGCATCGCTCACGGGTCACGGTGCTTTTGCCCGTGCCTTTGCCTCCTCCCTCTCCTGCGCCCGCTTCTTGGCCTCCTCCAGCTTCTGCGCGGCCTTCATCTTGCGTTGTCTCTTCCTCCGCCCCGCCCCGCGCTTCGGCCCCTCCACTACGATCTCCTCCTGGAGGCGACGCTTCTTGAGTGCGGCGGCTTCTGCACGCTGCTTTTCGCGCTTCTTGTCCCGTTTTCGGAGATTGCCCATGGAGGACTTCAAGACAGCGCCGTAAGAGGCGTGGAATTTCTCGAGGTCCGCGGCTTGCACCTGGCGCGATCGTCGAAGGCGGAGAAAGGGGAGCGAGCATGGATGCACATACCACAGTGGAGAACTTCGTCTCCTTGCCGTCCGTCGCGTGCACGAGACATGGATATTCCTGGGAGCCGTCATCTTCCGAGGACATGTGGGCGTCGCCACCTTCGTTTAGTACTGCAGCGCAAGATGAGCCCTCAGATCCGATCGTGCGATGAAGTACTGCGAGAAGGCGTACGTCGTTTATGCGTAAGCCATACCGAACCGGATTTCGAACTCGACTGAAAGAGCGTCGAAAGCTGTTTGAAGAACTGGCGCAATGTTAGGACATGCACAGCCCACGGTACCGCAACTCACTGTCTCGTTATCGACCAGCTGCATCGGAGCTGGGAGGGCAGGCCCAAAGAATTCGCAGGCGCCCAAAAGTCGTCGTGACGAAGAGCATGTCACGAGATGGGCGTGACGGAGACACGGACCGAGAGAAGCGAGCGCTTGTTGACTTGGAGTTGGCGCGCGAACCGCGAACATGCCGATGCCTTGTGGCGCGAGGGAGCGGTAGCTTGCCCTCCTCACGACCACTCCTCGCATCCTCTCCTGTTGAATTAATCACATCCTTTATATCGATATGCGGCGCGCTCAGACCCTCAGGAACTATGGGAGGGGCTCCACCCAACTTGGAGCCGATGATCTCGGTATGTTGAGAGAGGACGAATCGGTGGAGGATGTTCTCCGACGCCAGCTGCTCGAGAAGCAGAAGGAGTGCGACAAGGTACGGTCATATTCTCATCCTGCTCATCGGCACTTCATACTCATACGAAACTAGCTTCAATCCCAAGTACAGACGCTGCAGGCTCAGTTGGCTTCACGGCCACCTCTGGACGAAGTGCAAGCATTGGAGAAGGAGTATAAAAACCTAGAGCTCATATTGTTGGGGACGCAAAGAGAGAATGAGCGCTCCATGAGTGAGATTGAAAGGTGAGTCTGGACATAAATCGACATGCAACATGATCTGAGATCATTCCGTCGTTCCAGTCGGAAGGCGCGAGAGAAGCTGCTCGAGAAGGAGCTCGAGAGGGCCTATGGGTCCAACTGGCAGGTGAGTGCATATGCTCTTCGGTGTTTCCCCACATCAAGCGGTTTCTCATTATGCACTGTTACGGGTAGGCCAACCTTGAGTTGGGGCCCTCCTCCGTCTCAGCGTCCTCCGCCTCCGCAATCATCGGAAGGGCCAAAGCAGCAGCCGCACCCCCGCCTTCCGCCCCAACCTCGGAAGCAGATACAAACGCTACACGTGCATATCTTGAGCAAGTGCGACTCGCCATTCTGGGCATGGAACAACGTCTCCAGGCTCGGGAAGATGTTCTTGCCAAGCACATCGAGCGTGCTGAGACCGAGGGTGCTAGATACGAAGAAGTCCGCCAGCAATCTCTCGTCGCTACTTCCAACTAGTCTTTGCACACTTACGACGTTGTGACGAATCCACTGTATCCCATACCACCAGATTCCTTCCATACCCGCTCTCTCTTCACGGAATTGCGATATCCCGAGTATATTATAATATGAATTTGTACTGTGCGTCGTCTACAAATCATCACAGCCATGAACCGGCAACAATATTGCTGTTTGAATGTCTCTTTTATAGGTGCTTACATCCTATGATACTCAGCATACGTTCAATCAGCGAGCTCAGACGGGCGTCGACTCGGAAGAACCGATCAGTAGCGTGCGAATCCCTCTGGCCTATGCAGTGAACGAAATTTCGCCCGGCGCCCCATTTTCCTTGCCTCCCTTCTTCTATGACTCAATGTCATTTTACTATTCTTCTTGATTGCAAGCTCTGTTCTGGAATTGGCTGTATGAATGCTGTCTTGTCCGCTGCGCTGGTCAGTGTGTGCTTCACCAGTGAGTCCGTCCTAACTTTTCCGCATCCCACGTACCAAGTCAAGGCCCTTCACACAAATCTCTACGTGTTGTGTCTGTTACGGTCGTGGAAAATTGACGCTGCTCAGTTCTTCTGCCTTGCGGCTTCGTCATGAAGTCGTGGGGGTCACAGAAGGCTGGGTTAGCTTCGTTGTAGTAGAGTTGAGGTCAGCCCCGTTCTTGAAGCGTCTACTTGGCTGTTCTCGTAGTTTTGTGACATACATCTCCTAACCTCGCCCGTCTAATGTAATCAAATGTAACATGTTGTTTACGCGTTGCTTCACACGACCACGCCTTCCACCTCCATCCGCCTTCGTCGAGCATCGAGCCAACGCACATATGCGACACAGATCCCCGACGCCAGAAGTTAGGCGCCGTCGAAAACCGCTGCGTCGTTGTAGCGCGTCCTCAGACCGTCTACCGTCACTACTACTCCCCCGGGCCCCCGACTGCCTCGCCACGGTCGAGACGTCGATCCCCGGCTTACGCGGTACCCATAAATCTATATTCGCAAGCCCCCATCACTGCATTTGGACAGCGCTCTGTAGCGGGCAAAATACCGTCTACGTCATAGATGGGGCCCGCTCCCTCCTCTAGATTCTAGAAGTTAAGGTTCGGGGCAAGTCCTCTCCTCTCTCCATTTGCGCTTCCCCTTGCTCACAACCCACCCCCTTGCTCACAACTCACCCCCTTGCTTATCACTCCCTCCCCTCTTCGTCCTTCTCATAATGTTATTCGATGTTCTGCATCAAACGCTCAGCTTGGTCGGGCTCTCTACGCCAAAATCTGAACCCATCCCCGCTTTGCCTGCCCTCTTCGACGGTTGCAAGAACGACATACGTCGCTCTCTCCGTCTCTCTTGGCGGCTCCATGTACTCATGAACAGGTTCATCGACCACACTATCTCGGTAGACGATGTATATTCCCCCTCAGAGTCGCTATTCTCTTGCGTCGTCACTCAGCTCGACCATTTCATGGACACCAAGAAGGGCGATCCCCGCGAGTATGTCGTCGTCCACGTCGCTCTTCCCCCCGCCGCTGCCACCGCCGATGCACCCCCCGCGTACGAACTCGCCGCCTCGCCCCCTATTGGGTTCATCAAGTTCGAGCGCTGCTGGAGCACCTACACCCCCCTCGAGGCCTACGACAAATGCTCCACTCACCGCGAAGGATACCGTCACTCGTGGTCTCACGCGCATGACACCGTCTACATCTCCGCGCCAGGCGACGCCCCTTTGCTGGCGTTCCGCCACCCGACGCTCCTGCGCTCCTACCACAACGCATCTATCCCACTCCCCCGCGTCCTCGTAGCGGCGGGCGTGCTGCGCCGACTTCACTTGAAGTGCTGCGAGGACACGTACGCGCACGCGTGGTTCGCGCGCGCGCTCTGGCAGCGGCTCGTGCCCCCCGGCTCCGCGGACGTTGCAGTGGGGGATCCTGTGCGGCCCCGCAGCTGGCTCGCAGACTACGCGTACGGTATCTGGGAGCTGCTCGCGCCCTTCAAGCCAGTCACAGCCGTGCCACCGCAGTTCGTGGATGTGCTGGACGGCCGGGAGGTGGAGGCGTGCCAGGAGGCTGAAGACAGGGTGCTCCTCGAGTTCGCGGGCGCGCGGGCGAAGATCGCCGGGTGTCTTTCCAAGGAGGGCGAGTGGATATCGCCCGAGGATCAGGCCGAGACGGTTGAAGAACTCGGGGACGCGGTGGATGCGGCCGTTTGGCCATGGTTGGATTATGACCACAGGGTGATGAACCCAGGGGAGAAAGAGCAGAAGAAAAGGATGCGCGAGCTCAAGGCGATCATCGTGAACATGAAGGAGCACCAGCCAGACAAATACGCGCGCATGAAAGAGCTTGACCCGGACATGTTCGCGCTCGTGAAGAAGTGTTTCCCAGACGTAGAAACGTGAGTGCTTCAGTACGTCTGGAGTACGCATGCATTCTGACTCGTGCCGCGGTGGTCCAGTGATTGAGGTGTTTTCCATCCTGCTGAACGCTACATTCCATGGGGTGTATGTCTCATTCCTTCCTCATAGCATTGACTTCAGCCTCTTTGTTGTTACAACTTTGTAGTCCCATTCTAATGAGGCTTTCGGGGTGCCTGTGTGCTTGTGTACGTCCATGTGAATACAGTTAATACCATGGTTTTGAGCCACACCGGGTATTAGAAACGCTAGACGGGAAACGCGCTCCCCATAGCAGCTCACGCGCCCAAGACCTGACGCAACCCGACGGCGGCCCGCAGGCGGTCGACATACACACCCGCGCTCGCCGCCGGCAGTCGCGCACTTTCTTCTTGGTGAGAACGCTGGATATCGTGTATGTCCGTGACGGCTCAGGCTTAGGCACAGAGTCAACTTCTTCTCGATTGAGCACTGTGGCCTCACGGGAAAGGTTTTCGACGTTTTCTGCATGTTTGATGTTCGAGAGGGTGCGGAGACCGATATCGCCGTGACGACCACGCTCATCGCGGCTGGAGAGCAAGGCGGAACGCCACTACGTCCAAACAGAGCACAACACCATATTGGACGATCGGATTTGCCACACGCGAGGGGCCCCAGCGCTAGCGGACGCTTGCTTCACCCGGGCGCTGAGCGATCCGACTTCGACTTCACGCTCCATTTCCCCGCTCCCCACTCTGGCTGCATTCGCTCTTCCCCCCACTACCACTTCTAGACACCTACGCCATGACCGAAGACCCGCCGCAAAAGCTGCCGGGCCAGAAGCTTGGGGAGTACACCGTTGTCGGGGAGATTGCGGAGGGGACGTTCGGGAAGGTCAAGAGTGAGCCCTCCCCCGCACCGAGTCCGCCGCGCCGCGCCTGACATGACGGCGTGCAGTGGCCATCCACACCGTGACCGGGCAGAAGGTCGCGATGAAGTTTATCTCCAAGCAGGCCATTGCGAAGCACCGCACCAAGCCGAGGGTCCACCGCGAGGTCGAGTACATGCGCGCGCTGCGGCATCCGCACATCATCAAGCTGTACGTCTCGCCTTCCCGCGTGTTTCTGCGCGTTTCTGCGAGGCTGACGCGGCTGGCCGCAGGTACGAGGTCATTCAGACGACGACGGACATCATCATCGTGCTCGAGTACGCTGGGGGCGAGCTCTTCAACTACATCGTCGCGAACGGGCGCATGCACGAGAACCAAGCACGGCGGTTCTTCCAGCAGATCGTCTCGGGGATTGAATACAGCCACCACCTCAAAATCGTCCACCGCGACTTGAAGCCGGAGAATGTGCTCCTCGACGACGACCTGAACGTGAAGATCGCGGACTTCGGGCTGTCGAACGAGATCAAGGACGGCGACTTCTTGAAGACCAGCTGTGGCAGCCCGAATTATGCCGCGCCAGAAGTCATCCGTGGCGGGCTCTACACAGGGCCGGAGATTGACGTATGGAGTGCTGGGGTAATATTGTACGTCATGCTCTGTGGCCGGTTACCGTTCGAGGACGACGACGTACAGACGTTGTTCACGAAGATCAGTCGTACGTATCGTCGCGCTCTTTGCTCTGCTCCGCACTCTTTCTTATGGTTCGCAGAGGGTGTCTACCACCTCCCCTCCTACCTGTCACCCGACGCCAAGGGTCTTATCAACGGCATGCTCGCCGTCGACCCCGTCAAACGCATAACCATCCCGGAAATCATGCACCATCCCTTCTTCACCACCGACCTTCCCGCCTATCTCAGCCCGTTGCCGACTCAAGGGCCTGTCCTCGGCACTCTTTCGTCACTTGTCGCTCCCCCAAAGGCTCTCGAATTCGAGTTCATCGAGGGACTAGGCCGGATTGAGGACGAGGTTGTGGAGGAACTGGCGGCACGCATGGAAGGAGTGGACAAGGAGGACGTATGGGACGGCTTGCGCAGGGACGATGGACCTGGAGGCAACTCGGTGCGAGTAGCCTACATGCTCCTCCGAGACAAGCGGCGGGCCGGTCGAAGTTGTGAGTGCTTTTCGTGGCAAGGGTGCTTGTAAGGCTCACGAGAAACAGTGGCAGAGTACGAACAAGAGGAACGGGATGCTAAGCTTGCTGCCATGGACGTAAGTGGTCAATACATGCAAGCGGTGAAGCGTCGATCTTACGAGCTTAACACTGCAGCCTCGTCACCCCCTCTCGCCAAACGCTATCACTCCGGGCGGCACGGATATGGAGGAGAATCCCTTCGACTCGGAGTTCAACGACTATGAAGACGACGACGATGAAGACTTTGAATTCTCCACGCCGCAGAACGAGCAAAGCGATGTGGATCCAGCGGAAGTCAACAACTTCGCCGTTCTCAACTCCTCTCTCCCCGACCAACTTCCCGAACCGCATCATCTGCAGTCATACGCGAGCGCGAAGCGCGCCGTCCCGGTGAAGGAGAAGAAGCAGCATCGAACCAAGTGGCATTTCGGCATTCGCAGCAGATCGCCGCCGATGGAGGTGATGCTCGAAATCTACCGGACGCTGAAGGCGCTGGGGATGGAGTGGAAGGAGAAGAACGACCTCGGTGGACTGGGCGCGAAGGCACTGGCGAAGGAGCGACGAGGGGGTACGAAGATCGAGCGAGCGCGCGAGTACGACGACTACGTCGACCTCCGTGCAGCGTCGGCCATCTACTTCATCGAGACGCGGGCGCGTGTGCAGGACGTCGTGGTCAGTAGCGCGGCTGTCGTCTGGCGAGATGATTGGACGCTGACATTGACGGACAGGTGCTCATGAACCTGCAACTGTACATGGTGGACTCGATCAATTACCTCGTCGACTTCCACCACAAGAAGACGTACAAGGCGTCGATCGAACCCGGCGCGGGGAAGTTCGAGATGGCGCACCCGGACTACAACCTCTCGGAGACGGCATCAGAGTCCAGCCGGTCGATCAAAGACTTCAACATGCGGGACGAAGAAGTCGTGTCACCGTTCATTTTCATGGACGTCGCGTGCCGGCTGATCCTGGAGCTCGCCGGCGGTGGAGGTGAATAGACGGGAGGCGGTGTGGATGTCGCGCGTTGTCTGTATGTTTTGCTTGTGCGTGCCCGTGTTTTGAGCTATCCTGCTGTGTTGTGCTTGTACCACTTATAATTTCCTAGCCCGTCGTCGGCAGCGGCGGGGACGGCGGAGCGAATGTATCCCTAGCTTGCACCTTGGGCGTTCGGCCGCCGACGTGAAGGAAACGTTGGCAAGCTCTTCGGCGTCGGTGACGGCGATGCCATTTCTCCGGGCAGTCGGCTCGTCGTTCAGGCATGTGCAGCGCATTTCATTCCGTCGTCATCGATGCGCATCGGATAGCCGGGGGTGCGGCCTTCTAATTGGGCTTTGCAGACGATGCGAGAGCGTAGACGAGCAGGATGCAGTTGGGCGGAGGATGCAGTAGCCTCATGGCCGGTGCGGGAAGTCGCCACGGTCGATCAATGCGGTTCGCGATCTTGGACGCAGCTTCGGCGTGCGGCTCCAGATCCCTCTTCTCAGCCTGCCCATTTCGGCCCTCGCCCGAGGCCTCTCCTCGTCTCGCTGCCGCCCGCCTCCTCTGCCCCGCCCCGACGAGCACATTCCGCGCCGCGCGCATGCCACACAAGCTCCTCGGCCGGTCCGTGCGCACGACACGACACAGGCCGATCTCCAGCGCCCCACCCGGGCTCCATCGTCTCGTCCCCACGGCGGACTTCCACGCGGGCTCGTGAGCTTGCTGTCAAAGCCAAACGTTGGGCACGTCTGTTTTCGTGCTTCTCGCCAGAAGCGTGCTCCCGGCTTCTGACGAACGTCCTCGTCGCTCACGCCGCGGCTCGCCTCGTCATCCGCGCGCGCTCGTCGAACCCCAGGCGCCCTCTCCCGCGGACCGACCCGAGGCATGGTGATAAAGCAGGTTTCGTCTGCCCCTGCGAGCATGTCAATGACCTCGAGAGTGCCATTCGGCGAGCGCACGAGCGCGGCGGAGGGCAGGGAACGGGCGAAGAGAGGCTTCGCTGCCCTGTGTATCACGCCGACGTGACAATCGAGGAGGGACGCTTTTCGGTCCCCCGACCCGTCGCTCTTCATTCGACTCCCCGGCGTGCGAACGCTCAGAACTCGCTCAGATCGGACCTCCTCCGTCCAGAACAGGAAGTGCGCCTCCCAAGTCGCCCGACCCTTCACGCTGCTCTCAAGGTCGCCCACCGAGGCTAAATACCCTCCAGGTGCGCCCTCGTCGAGCCCATCCCCCTCCACCGCCCCCGCATCGCTCACCGACCGCTATGGACTCGCATACCGCCGCCGCATCCACTGCTTTCGTCCCTCTCTTCGACACGCTCCCCTCGTCCCGCACCTCTGCCGCCTCCATCTGGGCGCCCCAGCCTCAGCCGTCGGACACCGCTTGGGACACCTTCAGACGAGGCAACTTCGGGAACCATCCCCCACCACCGCCTCCTCCGGGACGCCTTCGTCCGGCGCCCTTCCGGTCGTCCTCTTTTCCCGTACACCACGCCGGTGAAGATGTCTTCGGACCCCTCGGCTTCGAGTTGTTTGGTCGCCAGGACGTCGGGGCCATAGGCGACGGCCGCAAAAGGCTCTCGCCCAACTTCGACGACTCTGAGCTGGTGGGTTCTATTGGCAAATGCACGCGCATACACCCATTGACTTCGCATGCAGCACGTCGAGCAGCTTCTCCGCTCTCTCAACTTGAACTCCCCGGGCCCTCTGCCTCCCATGCCGAAGATGCGAAGCGACGTTCCGCGTTCGCCTACGTCTCCCGATCTATCTCCTATCTCTACCACCTCTGCTCTTCTCACCCCAACCGACCTCTCTCCTGCCAAAGCTTTCGACCAAAAGCTCCCGCCCAACTTCGACTTCAACGCCCCAGTTCGGTCCGGCGACAACAACTCCTTGATGTTCGAGACCGGATTCCGCGATGGCCCTCCCCTCTCTCAGGCTCATTTCTGGCCACAGTCTCAAGCTGTCAGCCCCGACACCGGCTACTTCCCTTCCTTTGAGCCGTTTCCCGAGAGCGCCTCGACGACTTCTCCTCGTGCTGCGAGCTCGTTTCCTCAGGCCGACCGCCGCCGCTTGGACACCAATGGCCTCCCGACCACGCTTCCTCCTCTGTCTTGGGGCGGCCAGCGCTTCCGGACCTCGTCGGAGTGGGTGAAGGCGGACGACATCGGAGAGCGTTCTATTCAACTTAATGCGAGCGAAAATATCCTCCGTTCTGCGACTCAACAGATGCCGAGCCCTCCGCGTTCTACGACCTCTCAGGTGCACGAGGCATGTGGTTACGAGGTTACCTTTTGAGCGATTCTGATACGTTAGGATAAACAGCCTATCAACTTCCTGTCGCTGCTACATCCTTCTTCGTCGCCGCCATACGACCTCTTTGTGGCTCGCATCATCAAGTCCTCCGACCAGCAGGCTTCTATCTTTCTTCAACAGAAGCTCAAAGTGGCCGATGCAGAAGAGCGCACGAAGATCGTGGACGCTATTTGCGCGAAGGGCTTCGAGATGATGGCTCATAGGTCGGTCGCTATCCATCCAATTTGACCGTCACTGACTAACGGCTCTTCGATAGGTTCGGGAACTGGGCCGTGCAGAGATGTCTCGAGGCCACCTCAAGTGTCGATGAGCGCCGCAAGATTGTTTCTTGCATGCGGTACGTTTCGTTTCGCCGTTCAGCTCGGCCGTGTTCTCATAGGGACTCGTAGCACCCGTGTTGTTGAACTTGCCACCAACTGCTACGGGTGTCACGTCCTCCAGAAGGCCCTCGATTGCGAAGAGGAAGTTCGTCTCTTGATCGTGCGCGAGCTTCTGCTCGGCGATCCGGCTCAGACGTTGGTGAACAAGCATGCGTCTCACGTCTGGAGCAAGGTAGAGTTTCCTCGTTCTCGCATCATCCTAGTGGATGCTCAACGTCGTATAGATCATGGAGCTCAGCTGGACGCCTCCCGCGCCGCCGATTTTTGCCTTGTGAGCATCTCGACGATGCGTCTACAGAGTGCCGCTGACCAGCTCTCATCTCGGCAGCGTCAATAAATCGCTCAAGGGCAAGTGGGCGTCCTTGGCGTGCCATGAGACTGGCTCGCTCGTCGTTCAGGTAAGCAGACCTCGTCTCAGTCGGTGTTTGGCCTTATGATTCTTCCGTAGCACGCTTTCGAGAACCTCGAGGAGTCTGCCAAGGACGGCATCGTCGACGAGCTATTGAAGCAAGGGCCCCTTGTGTTCGGAGAGGTCGCCAAAAACCAGTGGGGCTCTTACTGTATTCAACACAGTAGGTCTTTGTGAGACAATGGCTCGACTGTTATTGATGATTGTTAACAGTTCTTGAGCACGGTTCTCAACGCCATCGTTACCTTGCCTTGGAGCATCTCCTTGGCGGCTTGCTTGAATACGCCACGAACGAGCAAGGTATCAAGTCCATCACAAAGGCTCTTAAGGAGGGAGGGAAGGAGACGCTTGACAGGATCATCAAGAGAATGTGTGAACCTGCTAAGACGTGCGTGTGCGCTTCACCTCACCGTTCCGTATCACTCTGACCTCTTCTCAGCGCTCGTAGAGCCATGATTGTCGATCTCGCGCTCTCCGTGACGGGAAGCCAGCTCATTGCAAGCGTTCTACCCAACGTCAGCTCGGATGCCTTCTCTTTGTCTTCTGTCTTCTCAACTTTCCTTCTCAGGCCGACAAAGACCAACGTGCGCTCCTGTACGAGTCTATTCGAGGACACATCGTGACTCTGCGAGGCTGCAAGACTGGCTCCAAAGTAATCTGGCTCTTGTACGTCTTTGTCTCCAAATGTTCGCTGCCATCAACTGACCGTGATTCTACAGCGACCGCATGGTATGAGCTCTCGACCGAAGCCCCACCCCCTCGTCTGACGCACCCTTCAGCGCGCATACTACGGATATTAGATCTTGTTCCAACTGCAACATATCACGGGCATATCTCAAGGCATATCTCAAACATACACAACACGTATTTGACAACAACAATATCTTGCGGCGCGGCCACGTACGGACGCCATACTTCCCTGAACACGCTGCATCCACTCTGCATTCGACTTCCCTGCAATAGATCCGGCACCGCATCAGCATCGCAAGTACCACGGCAATATCGACCACTCGATCTGGACAATGCATCCCCTAGCATACTTTCATTTACGCAAGCGCCTTTCTTTATTGCTCCTTATTCGCATCATCTGCACAGTATCATATGCGCCGAGCTTCACCGCCAGCCGCGTTTTCCGCTATGTACATACATGCACAACCCCGCTCTTGTCAAGCGTATTTGTACCATGTAATTGACTCTCCTTCGCTATGCAATAGACACATCGCATCCAGCCGCGAACGACGCGTACCTCGAGTTTTGGCCCAGAGCGAGACATACAATGCCTCCGAGGGAAGCCTAGGATTCATTGAGATGACATCCTTCTTGTACTCTAGAGGATGATGCTCGTGCACGGCGAGTATGATATCCTCATGCGAGCATGGGTTCATGACGTGTCGCACAAAAACCGTGGTGCGACTGAGAGCAGGCTAGAGTGAACCATCCCGCCCAATCGTTCCTTCAGACCCGGGGAAAAACGAAGAGGCAAACTCATGTAATTATGACAATTTTTGACGGAGTACTAGGGGCAAAGGTTAGAGATAATGAAGGATGAGAGACACAAGAAGGACTGACTCTAATGCAAACCCGCTCCGGTCCTTGTCTCACGACGTGAAAAGCTCCTCCTGAGTCTGGACACCTACGTGTCTGAGGTTGAGGGAGCGGAAGAGAGGCGGAACGAGCGTTCGACGTACCAAGCTCCTCCCGGACAGGCTTGAGCTCATCAAGATAAGCCTGGTACTGCTGCTTGTTCTCGACCTTGGCCTTAATACCCTCGAAGACGCGGACAGCGGTTGCATAATCGTTGACGCGACGTGCAGCGCGGAGGGCGGCTTCGACGACGGCGGGGGCGGGGACGAGGTCGTGGGCGAAGCAGTTGTTGAGGCCGCGCTGGACCTCGAACAGGTCCTCCGCGGACTGGAAGAAGGTGACGTAGCGTTCGGTGAAGGACTCGAAGGACTCCTCGCTGTGCGCGCTGGACGACGGGCGGGTGAACGCCGGTGCGACGCGAGCGGCCGTAGGGCGAGCCCGGAGAAGAGAGGACGCGACACGGGCGCGGAGCATGGTGTCCTGAGTGGAAGTGCGGGTGTCGGAGGAGAGCGGCGGAGGGACCGTGAGCGGCAGGGAGGATGTGGTCGCGAAGAAAAGGTGGGAGGAGGAGGGCACGGCCGGGCGCGGCTCAGCCGAGGCTCGTCCAACGCCATCACTCGAGCCGGGTCAGTCCGACTCGCGCCGCGCCGCTGCCCCGCCGTTATGCCCGCACTGCACATGCTCCTGGCCGTGTATTGGACCCCATTGTCATGCACTGGGTGCTCGCCGCCGCCCCCGCCGTGCTGGCCGCTGTACGCCACACCGCCTACGGACGAACGTGGCTGCCGCTGATGCGCTGGGGCAATTTAGCTGGACCCGCGGCGGGACGCCCGAAGGTGTGGTCGTGTTTGTTCGCGGGGGCGTCTTTAAAGGCAAATGCGCACTGCCGTCTCTCTCTCACCCCACCGCCAGCAGCCCGCACCCGCCCTGAACCCACCCGCCACGCCATCAGTCCCGGCCACGCACACAAGCACCATGGATGACGGTACGTGCTCAGCATCCACCGCACCGCCGACCGCGACCCGTCCCCTTTCAATTCCGCGTGTCGCTACTTTCCGCCGTCCATCCCCCACCCTGCATCGCGCCAGCGGTGAACGCCCTGCGTTCGTGGTCCGACGCGCTCACCGGCACCTTTCCCCACTGCGCCTGCGACGCCGAGTTTCCGATGGCTGAAGGCCTTCGCCCCGACGAGCGACCGACCAGTCTTTCGTCCCCTCGCCTTCCGGCAATGCAGCGTGGCACTTCCTGGGCCCTGCTTCCACCCCAGCTCGTGTTTGCGAGCCCAGCGGCCACGCCTTTCCGTACTCGTGCCAGCCGTGCCTCCAGCCCCAACCCGCTCGAATGACACGCAACCTGACTTGCTCTTCTTCCCCCACCTCACCCTCCGTCGCTCCTCCCTCTCCTCAGCTTGGCAATCGCAAGACATGGCCCCGCCCAGCAACGGGGGGATCAGCATCCCCACCAACGACGCCCCCATGTCGAATGCAGGCCCTGCGGACGACCAGAACTGGAACGGGAACAGCCGCTCCCCGCAGCGCGACGGCCCCCGCCGCTCCAGTCGAAGCCGGAGCCCGGGGCGGCCGGCTGAGAGGTGTGTCTCGTGTTCCAGCTCTAGTTTGCGCTGGGGCTGAACGGCATCGCGTCCTCCAGGGAACCCCAGCACCAGAACCCGGGGAACAACCTCCACGTCTCCGGCCTGAGCCACAAGGTCGACACGCGCGACCTCGAGCAGGCCTTCGCCAAGGTTGGAAGGGTGAGTTGGCGTGGCACGAGGCGTGATTCGCGCGCGTTGGGCTGACTCGGCTTTCGGCAGGTCAAGAAGGCCCAGGTAATGTATGATCCTCACTCCCGCGAGTCGCGCGGGTTCGGGTTTGTTACGATGGAGAGTGGGGAGGAGGCGGATGCCGCCATTACTGCGATGAACGGTACTGAAATTATGGGCAAGAGCATTTCAGTGGAAAAGGCATGTTCGCTCCGTTTCCGTGCATTGTTGTCCGTGCATTGACCTCCATTGCTCCATTGACTTGTAGGCGCGCCGTGGCCGTGCGAGGACGCCGACTCCTGGTCGCTACTACGGGCCGCCGAAGAGGAATGACTGTAAGTTGCACCCATCTATCACCCTTCGATGTCAAGTGCTGACTCAGAAGCCAGTTGAGCGCCCCTACGACCCCCGCCCTTTCGACGGCCGTTACCGTGACACGGACGACCGCAGGGAACGCCCGCCTTACCGTGGTGAGCCGCGCGAGTACCGCCGCGACTATGACCGCGGCGGATACGGCGGCCGCCCTGAGTATCGCGAGGAGCGCGGTCCACGCCACGACCACGACCGCCGTTACGACGACCGCCGCGACCCCGATCGCCGGTACTGAGCTGCTTCCTCTCTGTCGACTACTGCGGACAACAACCCCTAGTCGACGCCAACATATAGCGTGCGCTGCATGTAATATGTTCCATGCCTAGTTCCAGTCCCGGCCTTCCAACCCCCGTGCTCAGTCGTGGCCGCCCCTGTGCGAGGGGTGGCCGAAAATCCCGCTGCCTGCTCCTGTGCCAGTCGCTATTCATGTACCGTTTGTCTGTCGGATGCGATCTGTTGCTATCGGTTTTCCTTGTATGAGTCGTCTTCTCGGTAAAATAAACATATGGTGCTATGCCAGTTAATCCATCGTGATCGAGGGACGTTCACTGTATCATCCACAGATCTACTGCATGAGCCGTAAGTCCACAGGCACGGAAGCACGATCGAGTCTATTTCGTCGATGCCCCGTTCCCCGCACTCCCAATCCCCATTTCGACAACGTACTTCTCCCGCCCGAGCCTCCGCATCTCCTCCACGACCTCGCCCACCTTCTCGAACTCCTTCCACTCACCGTGTGTCGCCTCAGCGCCTCCGGAGCCAGGCCGTGCTAGCTCGGGCTCGGGCTCGACGAACCGCAAGCGGAGCGCGAGCCACTGCATCGCGCGCACGCGGCCGACAAAGTCCTCGACCGCGCCGCGCGCGCCCGCGCAGTAGATCACGCCCGGGTGCCCCACCTTGGCGAACCCGCGGAGGGCGCCGGCGTGCGCCCACTGCGCGAGCGCGCGCCGCTTGTGCGGCGAGCGGAGGTGGTGCGAGACGAGCAGCGCGTGGTAGGACGGGCTCGCCGCGCCGCCGTCTTCGTCTTCGAGCCCGAGGGAGGAGGCGAGCGTGGGAGGGAGGAGGGGGTGCGCGGGGTCGGAGGCGAGCGTCGCGCGTGGTTGTTGCGGGTCGGGGGAGTGCGCGGCGGCGGAGGCGGCAGCGAGGGAGGCGTGCAGGCGGGGGAGGAGGTGCGTGGAGATGAGGTCGTACGCTGGGTACCTGTAGGGGGGACGTGCGGGGTCAGCGCGCGACTTCGTGCTGGTGCGGGCGGGGTGGGGACGAGAAGGAAGGGACGCACTCGCTGCTGCGTACGGCTTCTAGCGAGTCGGCGACGGCGTGCTGCCACTGCTCCTGCTCTGCGCGGCCGAGGTGGTCGCCCTTGACGAGCACCGTTGGGCGTCCGGGCGCGTCCTCGTCCTCGGGGTCAGGGTCGGGGTCGGGGCGGTAGTCTCGGGGGAGCTCGACGTCGAACCAGATGGCGGAGGACGCGCTCAGCTTCACGTGGAACCGGGCGGGGGGTAGTTGCATATCCGGAGCGTCGAGGAGGGGCTCATCGTAGGCGTCGAGGAGGGCTTGCCAGCGCGCGGCGTCGTCGGTGAAGACGATGAGCTCGCCAGGGAGGAGGGAGCAGGTCAAGAGGTGGAGCTCTTCGAGCGTCCCATAGAAACTTGAAGGTGGGGATATCGGGGTGCACATGGCACTCGTTGAATGGGCGAGAGGCTCGACGTCGCGAGTTGCGATGCCGCGGACACGGTGAGATTCACGGACGTCACCTTCCCACGGATCCGGATTTCCTCAGTGTTCTGCGAGCTGTTATTCCTCCGCCACGGGTGGTGGGTGAAGGGAAGTGTGTCTGCGGTGCCGATCTGAAGGACGAGGCATGCACTGGGAACTGAGAACGGGGTGTCATCCACCTGCAGTACGGTGACCCTTGCCAGTCATACAAGACGGTCTACGCCGAACCCAGTACTTCGTTGGAGAGTGCCAACTTCAGGATTCGTTTGAAGAACCGTGTAAATGAGGATTTAGGTTTCAGTGTCAGATTAGAGGGAATAGCAGCTGTGTGTGGAGGTCCATGTTCGAATAGATGGTGGTACCTGGGAGGTAGGGGATCGCGGGTAGATAAGATAGCCTTTTCGTAGTCGATGATCGGGCGAGTCAGCTCCTGCAGCGGAGGTCACACGCAGAAATCCTCTCCCCCGGGCGGAAGAGGTCGAATGCTCCGGCACGCCCTCCCCGTTCGCTCTCTCCTCTCCTGCACCCATCGATCGCCCAGATCGCCTCTTGCGCTCCTCTCGCCCTCACCCACTCCCACCTCCCACCGACGCATGATGGCCAGCGCGGCAGGCCAGACTCTCGAAGCAGTCGAGGCCGAGGTTGCAGCGCAGAGCGCGCTCTTCACCGAGCTCCGTAAGACCAAGGGTGATAGCCCGGAGGTCGAGGACGCGAAGAAGAAGCTCGGCGAGCTCAAGCGGAACCTCGCGATCATGAAGAGCGCCGCGAGCGGTGGTGTCAAGGAGAAGAAGCGGGAACGCATGCTCCTCAAGACCCCAAAGGTACGCGACGTTCCGTCCCCTGCGCGCACCCTGCTCAAGCTCATCGCGAAGGCTTCTCTGCGTTCCCTTCCCGCGTATCCACCCCCGTGTGCGCCTCGTCACGCGCGCCGCCGTGCCACCATACTCTCGCGTCGCAGGGCACCCTCGACTATGGCCCCGAGAAAATGTTCTGCAAGGAGCACATCGAGCGGATAGTCAAGGAGGTATTCACCACCTACGGCGGAAGCCAGCTCGACACTCCGGTCTTCGAACGCAAGGAAGTCCTCACCGGTAAGTACGGTGAGGACCAGAAGCTCATCTTCGACCTCAAGGACCAGGGCGGAGAGGAGCTCGCCCTGCGCTACGACCACACCGTGCCCCTCGCCCGCTGGCTTGCCATGTCCGGCGGAATCACCACCCAGTCCAAGCTCTGGCAGGTCGGCAAGGTCTACCGGAGAGACAGCCCGGTGGTGAGCAAGGGGCGTATGCGCGAGTTCTCACAGGCGGTGAGTCAACTCGGCCTTCGTTTGCGCTCGCGTGTAGAGTGCTGAGCTGGCGGGCACAGGATTTCGACATCGCGGGTCCATTCGACTCGATGATTCCGGACGCGGAAATCATCAGCTTGATTTGCACCATTCTGTCACGGTTGGACGTTGGCGAGTTCACGATTAAGGTACGTGTCTCCGCCTTGTCCCCCCTGGTCGATGTATGGTACCGTCCACATTCCTCGTAGCTCAACGCCTTCCGTTAGTTGAACCACCGCAAAATTCTGGACGGCATCTTCGAGGTGTGCGGCGTGCCCACAGACAAGATCCGGAGCATTTCCTCCGCGGTCGACAAGCTCGACAAGTCACCGTGGTCGGAAGTGAAGCGCGAGATGACGGAGGAGAAGGGCCTCGACCCCGCCGTCGCCGACAAGATCGGCGAGTACGTCAAGCACAAAGGTCCGTCCGCCTGCTCCCTCTCGTGCCCCTGCGCGACTGACACGCCCCCCTCCCTCAGGCGGCGCGGCGCTCCTCGACACGCTCAAGGCGGACGCGCCGCTGATGGCGAACAAGAGCGCACAGGCGGGCATCGCGGAGATGACGACGCTGTTCACCTACCTGGCCGCGTACCAGGTCCTCGACCGGCTCTCGTTCGACATGTCCCTCGCGCGCGGGCTCGACTACTACACCGGCATCATCTACGAGGCCGTCGTCGAGGCCTCCGCTCCACCGGCTTTCAAGGCCAACGCCCTTGCTCCCGCGTCTTCTGCCGACCCCGACGCTGCCCCCGCACCTGCGGCGAAGAAGGACAAGAAGAAGAAGGCGAAGACGGAAGAGGACGAGGACGAGGAGGTGGACGAGTCGCAGGTCGGCGTCGGCTCGATCGCCGCGGGGGGCCGGTACGACAACCTGGTCGGCATGTTCACCGCCGCTGCGGCCGCGGAGGGCAAGAAGGCGCCGGGGCTCCCGTGCGTCGGGGTGAGCATCGGGATGGACCGCATCTTCGCGCTCGTCTGGCCGACGTGGGGCGCGAAGGGCATGCGGAGCAAGGAGACGATGGCGTACGTGATGGCCGCCGGCGACGGGCTGCTCGCGGAGCGCGTCGCGCTCGTGCGCGAGCTCCGCGAGGGCGGGATCAAGGTGCGTGCCCGGCTTTTGGACGATCGAGACCTGCGCTGACGGGGGCACGGGGCAGACGGACTTCACGTTCAAAGCGAAGCCGAAGCTCGCCGCGCAGTTCGACGCGGGCGAGCGCGACGAGGTCCCGTTCGCGATCATCATCGGCGCGGACGAGGTCCGGGACGGACTCGTCAAGGTCAAGGAGCAGCGGTGGGAGATCGTCGACGGCAAGAAGACGAAGATCGAGTCGAGCGAGAAGGGCGTCACCGTCACGCGCGCCGAGCTCGTGCAGTGGATCAAGGACAAGCCCGTGTACAAGGAGTGGTCCACGGGCAAGCTCATCGCGTGACGGGGGTCGGGTGGTGTGCCAGTAGTATACTAGGTTCGTGTACAAAGACATTGATAGATGCTTTCCCCTGCTCTCGTTCGATGCGTGCGGCGCGAACGGCGTATCGTCCGGGACCGCGATCAAGTCCGATGCGTGCGTCTACGTTGCAGCGTGGTGCGGTGCGTACAATAAGTTACTCGTCGTCCGAACCGGACCCAGAGCCTTGCTCGTCGTCGTCGTCGTCATCTGCAGGAGAACGAGAACGGAAGCCCGTCAGCGGGTCTCGTCGAGAAGAGACCACATCGCCGGGAAAGACGCACCGTCCGCGACGTCCCCGCGGTCCATGCTCGCCTGCGCTTGCGTCTTGCGGACGAGCTTGTGAACGGCCTCGTCGGACGGGTCGACGAGGTCCAGCACCGTCTCGCCGTTCTTGTCCTTGATCCTGTCGGGCGGTCAGCGCCCGCGTCCCGCATGCGCTCGTCTTCCTCTCAACCTCCGTGCACACGGCAATTCGGGAACGGGAACGGGAAGGGAGTAGAGAAAAGAGATGAAGCGCGAACCACAGAGGAAGAGCGGAAAAGGAAGAGGAGAAAAGGGGATGGGGGAGGAGGGGCCGCTAAACGCACCGAGTGTCCGCGCCGGCGTCGAGCAGGCTCTCGACGACGGCCACCCGCAGGTCCTCGTCCTCTATCCGGAGCGCGAGGTGCAGCGGGGTCGCTTCTCGAGCCGGTTCTGCGGGTCGACGTCGCACCCGTCCCGCTCGAGCAGGTGCTCGAGCACGTCCAGGTACCCGTTCTGCGCGCTGCCGGGAGAGGCTCGGGGTGAGGAGCACGGGTTCGCGCACGGGGCGCACTCACGCGTAGTGCAGGGCTGGGGGGCGCGTCGGACATGGTGAGCGTGAGGATGAGGAGAGAGGGGAGGGGGGAGGGGGAGGTGCGCACCGGTGTTCCCGAGCCTGGTCGGGCGGGGAGGGATCAGCGAAGGCTGCCGGGGAGCGCACGGACGACGCACCCGTCTTGGGCGTTGATGTCAAAGTTGCCCTCCTCGAAGACCTCGAGGAGCATGTCCTCGTTGTCTGACCGGGCCGCGGCGAGCAGCCTCTCGTCTGCGGGGTGGGGGAGGTGAGCATGGGCGCGGACGAGCGCGATGGGCGATCAGGGCGGCCGGGCTTACTGTTGCTGGCGCCTTCAGAGGCCATGTTGTGGGACGCGAGACGAGGAGGGAGAGGAGTGTGGAGGTGCGGAGGGTAAGGCCTTAAGGCTTGAGGAGACGAGGTGGCAGAAGAGCTGAGACGGGCACGGGCCCCAAGGCCATCCGCCGCGATCGCTGCACGCGGATATGGAGGCGATTAGCACCCGTGAGAACGGACTTGGTCCCATCCGCCCGAGCGAGGTGAAGCCAAAAAGATAGAGTATATTCTAGAGGTGGTACTAGTACTATGTAGTGGTATCCCATCGTACTTTTGTCCGCGCTCGTCAGTGTAGTCGTCCGAGGCCAGGTCTGTTCGTCAGCGGTCGTCAGTCGTGTGTTTACTCGTCAGTCTATCCCTCTCCCGTCTCCTCCTCACTGCTTCTTCCCGTTCACCTCCGACGCGGCAACCCACTCCCCCGACTTGTCCTTCTTGCGAACCGTGAAGCACGCGATACCGAGGTAGTTCGTGATGTCGTTGATCACGAGGTAGCAGAACCGAGCGTAGGACAAGAACGTCACCGCGAGCGTCACGTAGACGAAGATCGCGGTGCGCTGCATGTTGTATTGGATGATGGGCGGGCTGCGAAAACATCATAAATAAGTCAAACACAATAATGGCACCGCAAGGACGCACCGGTTGATAAGCAATGGCAAGTTCGCGTCCACCGCGCCTGCGATGCTCCACAACCACATCGCGTCCCACCACGGGAAGGACTGCTTCGTCACATGCGCGAGGATAATGCGCGAGACTTGATGCGCGAATTGAAGGCCCCAGCAGCACAGGAATGGCACGAAGAGAGCGGAGTACAGGATCCGCGACTCGGTGAGCTTGGGTGAGCTGAGCCAGAAGAGCTCGATCGCGACAGAGATGGGGAAGGGGAGGAGATACAAGAGAGGCGTGACGGGGTTCAGCTTGGAACCTATCCGCGCCTTGAAGACGTTGTAGGAGCTGTGGTCGTTTTAGATAGAAACCAAATGCACGGATGAGACAGAATGCGCACCTATTGACAATATTGACGGACGTTACAACGCATCCGAAGACCATGCAAACGTCGTTGAGTCCCATTCTAGGAATGTATTGGAGCACAACGGGGTATCTCTCTAGTCGCGTGAAGGTGAGGAAATCTTGGTCCCAGAAGCCAGTGCCTGGACATCTACATGAATGAGAAGTATGAGAACCCCGCTGGATTGTACATACCCATGCATCCAGTGACAACGTATATTGCGACAATGACAAGAATACCCTCCACTGGCCCGGAGAAGTGGCCCAGGTAGAGTTGGCCTGACCATGCCTCCCTTTAGAATATTCGCATGGAGATGATACAAACTGACGTACCAGTGTGGTACTCTTCCCATGTAGTCAGGTAGAAGTTCGCAAGCGTCGCGATCTGGGAAGACACGGTCCACCACGACCTGCCCAGGTTCAACGCACGCGTACAGAGGATGACCTCAAGCTGGACCCACAGCCGTCTCAGCTCCAGCAGCCCGCACGCGTACAATCCTCAGCAGAAACAGACGCACCGTCGTGTTCAGCGCATCGCACCCATGATCGAACATCTCTCCCAGCGGCCCCGCCATCCCCGTGCGCCGCGCCTGCTTCCTGCAACCCGCACGCGTGAGCACCCGCGTGCGTGCGCAAAAACACGCGCGCGGAACACGCACCCGTCGATCGCATCCAGGCTCTGGTACATGAACAGGCCCGCGGCCCACCTGCACGCAGACGTCCGCAGCGATAAGCCCGTGCGCTTCCAGCCAGCAGGGCGCGGAGACGGCGACGTACGTGAAGTAGACCCACTGCGGGGGACCCTCGGCGCCTTCCTTGTCGGTGAGGAACTTGGGGTCGAAGTAGAGGAGCGTCGCGAAGTTGGTCAGGACGAGGCAGAGGCCCGTGAGCGTGATCTGCAGTACACCGCGCGGCATCAGCATTCTGAGGACCGGACGAGACCCAGGCTCGAGACGCACGGTGTTGGGCGCGACGGAGGTCGGCCAGAGGGTGACGAACCAGGTCCAGAACGGGTTGAGGACATAGCGCGAGACGAGCGACCTGGGCGAGAGGAAAGAGCAGGTGGACGTGACGGCGCTGGTCAGCGAGTGCAGTGACGGCTGCCCACGGCCCCGAGCCCCGAGCCCGCGGGGCGCGGGGAGCGGGTGGAGTGCACGCACTTGTCGACGCCCTTGTAGGCGTACTTGCGGAGGTTCTCGAGCGCGTGGGAGGGGATGTAGCCCATCTTCGCCCAGGCGGCCTCTGCTCGTGTATGGGCGGAAGAGTCGGAGGGGGAGGTCGCAAATCGATGCGGGGCCACCGCGCGGTCTTGTAAACTCTGGTGGGCTCGCGCTACGTCACACGCGCACGTGCGTCCGTCGGCCTCTGCAACGTCGACATCATGACGAGCCTCGTTCGAACCTTCGCCAGACGGTCTAGAGCATACGCACGTAACGAGCCATTACATCTATAGCAAGATGGACTATAGCGTACACACACAAGGACTTCTAGAATACACGAGAACACATTCGCTTCGCCACCCCCTCGAGACTCGCAGAAACGAACGAACGAAAGCCGACCCACCCCCAACTCAGAATCCGAGCTGCTCAACGAACGCCTGCCACGTCGCATCCAGCACCGGGGCCCGTTTCCGTTCAGCGCGAACCCATTCGACACCGCCGGCTGCCCCATCTGCGCCGCCCCTGGAGCCGCGCCCTGCTCGTTCATCCACACCTCCGGACTCGATGCCTGCCCCGCGCTGCTCGGTGTGGCCGTCGAAGGGCTCTGCCCGTTCGCGTTCGCGCTCGCGCCCGCCCCACCCCTCGCTCCCGGCGGGCGGGGAACGTGCTGGCGCCCGCCCCGAAGTCGAAGTCGGGGAAGAGCGAGAGGTCGGAGGTCGAGGGGTCGAACGTGTCCGAGCCGAAGTCGAGCGCGAACGCGGCGGAGCCGATCCCGTGCAAGTCGTCCGCCCCGAGCGTCGACACGTCGAACGCGCGCATGTCCTGCATGATCGTCGGGTGAATCATGTCGGGCTGGACGAGGGGCGCCTCGGGCGCCGCGGTCCCGTTGGTGCTCGCGGCCGCGTTGCGCGCCGCTTTTGCGTTCTCGGCGACCTGCCGCATCACCCGAAGCCGCTCGGTTTCTACTCGGTAGCGCTCTGAGTTTCCGCACCCGCCGAACTCGTCGTCGTCGTCGCCGTCGGAGCGGTTGGGACAAATGAGGTGGGTCTTGCCGCCTAGTCGGTCGAGTTCATTGTCCATCCGCACGGACTCTTCAGACGCGCTAACCTTGTTGAAGGCGTCGTGCGCTTGCTTGCGCATCCTTCGTACCACGTCCTGATAGAGGATGAGACGAACACCAAGAAAAGGGAAGGACGAAGTACTTACGACATTGTTCGACGCGATCTGACTGCGGTTCCCTGCTTCCTCGAACAGTTCCGTGAGCCGGTCGAGCTCGGCGAGTGAAGATTTCGCCAGATTCGTCGACGGGGCACGAATCACAAGCAAGCACATCACGATCTTTTTCAGAGAGGTCAATGCTTGATGTTCTACATACATGATCAGAGCACTTACGGCTGCTGCCAGACTGTACGACCACACCAGACCAATGCGTCCAGCGATGCCGGGGACCAATTTGTACGAGCACTTGGCGATAGCAATGATACGCCACGCGGAGCGGTAGATAGCCATCACGGAAGGCCCATAACGGTGCTTGAGCGGGTCGAGCGGCATGTCGTTCACCGCTTGAGAGAAGTATGCACGGTGCAGGTTGAGCAGCGCTGTAGGCAGCGGTGAGCGTCATTCCTAAGGAAGAGAACACATATACTCACTAGTCTCCTTCAACAGGGTTCCTACCAACCTCTGCAACGTTGGGACTTCAGCGTCCTTGATAGGCATGTCCATTGACTGGTATGTGACCCGCAGTGCTTCGGGCACCGGGAAGTCGCGGACTCTTCTGTCGAGGTCCATGACTGTGGCGTAGTTGGGGGCCTTCGCGCCGAAAGCAGTGTTCATGATCGAATAAAGTAGCTTCGTGTATTGCCATTGCCAAACGTGGACTACAGCGAAGCCGCCATTAGTATTTACCGTTGCTGACATTTAGAAACGGACTCACACACTCCTCCCGGGCCCTCTGCGCAAACATGGTCACAGTCCCGAGGGACCTCACAATCAACGAACGCCAAGTTGATTGTAGGGGGCCGGCCAAACCCGAAGCTCTGTGAAAGAATCAGCTATAGGTGCGTATGTTTAGGTCGAAGCACCCACAAGCCAAGTGTCCTGGAAGAAAAGCTGCCAGAAGACATGGTTACGCTGGTTGCGGATATCATCGCTTAACCGCCATCGGTCGCTGTTCATGTCTGCAATACGTATCAGGGTCCGCTTCGTAACGTCGTTTGGACAGCGTTCCACTCACGCAGCCCGATCTGTAAATGATGGTGAGTTACAACAAAATCACTAGTGGTTCTTTAGACGTACGCTGTGGCCAAGCTTCACCGCTTGGCCGATCTGCATCCACGCCTTGTGCGACTGCGTATGCGCTGGCTCGCAGTCGCTCATTTCTAGATATTGCGCCATGTAGATCTGTGTCACTCTGTCAAATCATGCCAACACTGAGCAAACTGATGAACGCGCACCATGGTTTGGATGGAAATCAAGGTGGTATCGTGTGCTGGGGGTGCGAACCTCAAGGCGAGGCGCGCAAGGAGATAATACTCGTGCGCCTCTGCAGCGTATGGCGGCCGGTCCAGGTCGAAGAGTGTGCCCAGAGCAAAAATCATCCACATAAGCGCCAACTGGTGCGTGGTCGCTATGTTACATTTGTGCCTGCATATAGGGTGAGATTCCACGTCGAGCAGAGAAAAATACCTCTTTGCACGCACTTCCATGTTTGATATGCAAGCGAGACGATATCATCGAAGATGTACTGCCGAGGAAGCGGGTACCACCTTAGTAACAGGGTTCAGCATGAAATACAAATTGACCGTGTTGGAACTTACAAGAATGCTCCAAACTCGAGGAACTTCTCACACATAGCGCATGCTTGTGACAGCGGAGGTAGGAGGCCAAGAAGTTCCATACCGAGTTCCAGGCTTTGGCACTGAACATCGAGCTCCTTGTTGGCTTCGTCTATGAGCTCTTTGGTGAGTCGAGGAGAGAAGGCCCGCCCGCGGTCACTCGCTCTGGGCATGGATGAGATACTGATAGCTCGAAGCCTCAGCAAACGCGCAAGTCTGTGAATGTGAGATACGCACCTCTGACCGGGACGTTTGCCCGAAGAATCGCGTCTCGCCCCGTGGGCCAAGGGTAAGAGTACCTGTACACAATGAGAACCCGCCCGAAGCTGACGAAGCCAACCACGTACCGAAAGCATCGAGAACATCCGCCTCCTCACTCGTCAGGGAAGGCCCGTCGACATTCGAATTCGACGAGTCCGGCGGGGTCGCCGCCGAGGTGTTCACCGCAGACGCGTCGATGAGCAGCGGGTGCGGTTCGTCGGAGATGGCGGCGTGGATCGTGCGCAAGGCGTTCTCTAGCTGGGATGAGCGGGTCGAGAGTTCCGCGATCTTCTTCTTGAGATCTTCAACGTCGGCGACCGCTTGTCTGCGCTCAGAGTCAGCCACGGATCCGAAGGCCGGGATATACGAGGACGACGCACCGAGTGCCCTTGCCGCCGGTGATGAGGAGCCTACATGCGCCTCCGCCCTCAGACACGACGCCAATCGGGGCGCATACGCTGGTGCTCACCGTCCGGACATAGCGCGGCGCACCCTCTCTTCGTGCACGTTTCGCACGGAACCTGGAGCCCCGCCCGTCCACATCAGCACTGAAGCCCACGGTGCCCCACAGTCCGCGAAGGCGCAAAGCCCCACGGTGCGCGCGCGAGGGAACGCACCTTCCGGTCGCAGCGCAGCTTCAACCTTTCTCCAGCCACGGTCCGCGGTTAGCCACGGCGCGGGGCGCGAGGAGCAAGCGAGGGGGGGGGGGGGGCGGGGGCACGTACCTCCGGCACTCTGCGCACGAGACGGGCACTCGCCCTGGCCGCTTGCGCTGCTTGGCCGGGACGTCAGGGCTCCCCGCCGACTCTGGTGAGTCTTTGTCGGTGCGGTCGGGGGGCATACTCCGTGAGGTTGGCGTCCGAGCTCAGAGTTGTGGGTGAGGGTCTGGGAGTGAAAGGCCGAGCCGGGGTAGAGGGGGCGTTCGGATGGTCGAGGTGCGGATGAAGGACCAGAGGGCTCGAGAGTCGAGAGGCTTGGTCAGCGAGTGTTGCGTGTCGCTCCTGCAGCCGCCCATGATCGCTGAAGATCCCATCTGCAGTTCTCGATCGGCCCAAAGCAGTGCTACAAGGTCCAGTTCGCAGTTCGCAGTCAAAGTGCGCCGGGCAAAGACAGTTCACATCACCGGGGGTTTCGTCGGCGACGTAGTATAACGGTTCAGAGCACACTCCGGTTGCCGTCGTAAAGGTACATGGGACGTAACCCAATCTACGACCGTTGTTACAGACAAAACATAGAACAAAACACGGTGGGAACCTGGTGATGTTTCGTACACACTCCATGACTTCTTCACATGGCGTCGAGCACCGACGTGCGGTCTGAAGAGACCCCGCCAAGAGACAAACACCGACCACGTCTAGTGATTGTCAGCCCAAATGAGAGCCAACCAAAGCGGAGAAAGACACACCTCGCCCTTCTCCAGCATCTCCCGGGCGCATTGGTCGTCCTTGATCCCTTCGCGTGCCCCCTTCGTCAAACTCTCGAGTTCGTTCACAGCCCAAGCCCGTCGACGAGCGACTGCCAGTTCGCATCCACCTCTGCCGCATTGGGCAAAGAGTCGTTCGCCGCCCCCGCGGCGCTGTTCAGGAACCCATTGATCCAGTCAAAGTCCCCCGTCTGCCGGCCCCCGTCCCCGAGGTGCTCGGCGTCACCCCCGCGGTCGCCCCCGTGCCCGTAGCGCCCATCCCCGCGCCCATCGACGCGTCCATGAACGCAAAGTTGAAGTCTGCCGCCGACCCCGGAGCAAACGCCTGGGTCTGCGCCGACAAGTGGTCCTCCGCGGGCGGCGGGGGCTCCTGCGCGACGACAGTCTGGAGGACGCCGTTCGGGTTCGAGCCGGCCTCGAAGACGGACGGGAGGAACATGGCCTTCTCCGGATCGAGGACCATGGTTGCGTACAATGCGTTCTGGCCGCGGAACGAGTGCGCGCACGTTGCGATGCGCTCACCGATCGTCTGGATCAATTGTGTCTTCCCCCCGAGCCGGTCGAGCTCCGCGTTCACCTTCGCCGCGTCCTCGGGCGAGAGGTTGTTGATCGCGGCGTGCGATTGTGAACGCAGCTTGCGGAGGACGTGCTGTAGACCCGGTGTTTCAGGAGGGTGAGAAGGTTAGGAAAAGGGATTCGAAACGTACAATGTTGTTGAGCGCGATTTGACTCGTGCTGGCGGCGTCCTCGAAGAGGGCGCAAAGCTTGTCGAGTTCGGCGAGCGCCGAGGTCGCGAGCGCCGAGGTGGGCGCGCGGGTGATGATGAGCGATAGAATTATCTACGCCGCAGAGAATGTGAGAAATGAAAAATAGATAACAAGAAGCGGCACTCACCGCGCACGCGAGAGTGTTCGACCAGTGCAGACTCAAGCGCGCCGTCAAGCCCGGCGCGACCTTGTATGCCTGCTCCACCGCATTGATGATCCTCCATGCCGAGCGGTAGATCACCATCACCGACGCCCCGTACTTGTGCCGCAGCGGGTCTTCAGGCGCATCCTTGAGCGCCTGCGAGAGGTACGGCCGATGAAGGTTCATATGGGCTGCGCGACGTTTATCTCTCAGGTCAACACACAAAGGAAGGAGCGTACTCATTTCCTTCATCAACGTAACTCCCATAACTTGCATCGTCCGCGTCACTTGATCGTTCTGGCCGGCGACGGTTGCAGGCTGAGCAGGTTCGGTGAGACAAGGCGGGTCGGGGAAGTCCCGCACACGCTTGTCAAGCTCCATGATCTTTGAGTAAGTAGGTGATTTGGCCGCAAACGCCTCGGTCGTGATAATGGCCATCAGCTTGGTGAATTGCCAGGTCCAAACGTGGTCTGCAATTGAAATGAATAACGGACTCTGCCATAAGAGAGGGGTGCACGCACATCCTGTTGACCAGCGAGACCCGTCCACGGCGGTCACCTCTTCAGGCTGAGGGATCTCGCAGTCCACGAAGGTTAGCGAGATGCTCGGTGGCCGGCCGAAACCGAAACTCTAAGAGTATGTTAAACTTCGCCATAGAAGCACTACGTAGAACGAACCAGCCATGAGTCAAGCGCGAACATCTGCCAGAACACTCGGCCGCGGCGTGCCGCTGCGTTGTCGTCAAGGCGCCACTTGCAACTTGACACGTCTGGGTGAAGTGTGAGATCTGTGCAGTTCGGCGATAAAGATGCAGGTGTGTCAACGCACGCAGTCCAATCTGGAAAGCAAATCGAAGTGCGTTAGGAGGAGTGGAATGGTGGTATAGACGTGGAACCTACACTCAGACCCATCGAAACCGCACGACGGTTCTCCATCCAAGCTTTATGCGAGCCTGTATGCGCTGCCTCGCAATCGCTCATTTCAAGGTATTGTGCCATGTATAGCTGTAATGATGAATCAACTCCAGATTCGCAGAAGAGTGTTATGAAAAACTTACCAGCGTTTGAATGGCGGGCAACGTCGTATCGTAGGCCGGCGGCGCCCATCGCAAGCAGATGCGAGCGAACAAGAGGTATTCGTGAGCCTCGCTGCAGTAAGGAGGCATGTTAAGGTCAAAGAGCGTGGCAAGCGCAAAGATCATAAAGAGGAGCGCCATCGCGTGTTTGCGTGAGACATGGCAGTAGTCGTCTCCCGGTCTACAGAAAATATGAGTGCATGTCGTGAGCGACAGCCACCCGCAAACGCACTTAGGTTGTTGATAAATCGCAGAAACGATTTCCGTGTACACGTACTCCCTGGGTAGAGGGTACCACCTGGCCGAGGATCATTATCGAGTAGGGGAGAGATGAGCATTAACACTCACAGGAATTTCGAACATTCAAAGTAAATCTCGCAGAGGCGCAATGCCTCCTCCATGGGTGGAATGCATGAGAGCACCTCCTCGCCCACAGTCATACTGGTGCAGAATACATCGAGTTCTTTACAAGCCTCTTCGACGGTGATTCGTGTTACTCGAGGCAATTTGATGTTGATGTCCACAAACGGCTTCAGCCTTTCAGGAGCCTGGGCAGGCTGTGAGCATACGGTCATGATTTCCAGAGTAAACGTTATACATGAATCAGGTACTAGACCAGATATTAGCCGAGGAAACTCAGAGTGATAAGAAGGACAACGTACCTCCGTGCGCGAAGTCTGACCGAAAAACCGAGCCTCACCACGATTTCCGAGGGTGAGGGTACCTGCAGAAACAAATCAGCAGACATCGGCGTCAAAATTGGATGGGACAAACCGAAGGCGTCGATTACGTCCTCTTCATCTTGTGACTGAGCTGCGGAGGGTGACGATGACGAATTGCTGTCACCAGCGGTCGTCCCCGGTCCGGTTGGAGAATCTGCTGTGGTCTGTGCAGCCGAATACCTGTCGATGAGAAGAGGATGAGGCTTGTTGGAGACCTGAGCCTGGGCGATCGCGAGGGCAGCCTCCAATTGATTGACTTTTTCCCTCAGCTCTTCAACCTCAGCGGCAGCTTTGAGCCTAAGAACCGGGCTCAGTAGTGTTCGTGCGTGCAGAAAGCTCTGAACGTACTTTGGGCCTTTGGTGGTGGGCAGCGAGCCTATGCACGGAGGTGGTCAGCGGACGGAAGCCGGATGGATACGGGCGGAGAAGAATGACAGACCATCGGGGCAAAGAGCAGCACAGCCCCTTTTGGTGCAAGACTCGCATGGAACCTGTTGGCACAGGCAGGGTGCTTAGTACACTTGGGCCCATACACGCGATCCGCGGTGGTGGGTGCTCACCTGGCGATCGCATCGCAGCTTGAGGCTGGAGGCGAGAGTCAGAGCGGCGATCCCTGCTCGGATATCAGTGGGAAAGGGGCTACGTACCGACGACATTCAGCGCAGGAGACGGGGACGCGGCCTGGCTTGCGACGCTGCTTGTCGGTGGCAGCGGCGGCGACGGACGAGGAGGCGGCCGAGGAGTCTTTGTCGGCCGCTTGGTTGTTACGGACTGGAGCCATCTGAGAGTCCTCGGGAAACGCCACGGCCTGGAGGCTGCTTAAAAGACGACAGTGCGACGCGTGGCATATTTGATCTCAGACTATGCGTGGGAGCACCAGAGGCGCCCGTATCCGCACGACGCTGACGCGGCCCCTGGCAACCCCACATTGGCGTTCCGATGTGCGAAGTCCGCCCTGCTGCTCGGCGTGCATTCGTAAGCAGAAAAACCACTCCCAGGCCTATGTAGCAATGACTGCTCGGGTATATGGACTAGGTATGTGGGTTTGGCTCCTAAATTTCGGTGGTGACTGGGTGTCTGATCTCAGCTTTGCCAGGGTTCACAAGCGCATAAGGCGCCATCGAAATGAGTAGCTACATAGTAACAAAATGGGACTCAATGCAAACTCGAGTGTGAGCTGTGCTCGACTCCTGAGACTACCCCGGAGCCTTACCGGCGCCGCAACCCGGTTTGCAAACTACCTCGCAAAAGTAGCGTTGCTGCATTCGATCTCAGGGCGACTCCTATGCGGCTCTCCATCTGCAGAATACAACAGAATGCACGGGAAATCTGTGAATTGGCGCATCCAGCAGAGGGTAGAAGGCGAGGTAACACCGCCCTTCGGTCGAACTTTCGCGAAAGAACTGACTGACTGACCATACTCGGCCAACAGGGATTTTGGTCCCCACATGCGAGAGTGGAGAACCGATAAACGTTTCGCATGTCTCATTTCCAGGCCTCACGGCAATGCAGAGTGTAGGATCGATTGCAGGACGGCCGATCCATGGCCTTATCACGAAGACGAGAGGACGTTCCGAAATGTTTGCCCTTAGCGCGGAAGTGCGTTCAAAATGCGGGTGTCCTACAGGGTCGTTAGCCTGCTCCCCTCTCCCACATGCTGCCGCCATTGTCCTTCGGTGCTATCCTCTTTGCTCTGCTCCTTGCGGCATCACCTCCGACTGCTACCGCAGTGAATCATACCATCGACGACACTTTTGGCGATTCATCAACAGGCTTTCGGCCTCAATACGCTCCTGGCTTCCAGTGGTCTATAGGGGGTCCCATTTGTACCAACTGTCTTCCCACTTCGTTCGATCTCGACCCCAAACAGCTCTTCAATGGGACCTATCACTTGGCACTCTCTCAGAATGTCACTCTCACGCTCAACTTCACCGGGACGGCGATCTACGTTTACAACGTACTCGTCAACTCCATCGCCAACTCTCCCAACTTTAGTACGACCACCAACCTGACATTCGCTCTCGATGGCGTCCGTTCTACCGCATCCACGAGTTTCGTTCATGCCCAGACCAACCTCAACTCCAACATCACATACAACGCACTCGTGTACTCCACCGCCAGTCTGCCCTACGCAAACCACTCTCTCGTCATGACCAACATCGGCCCGCTCTGCTTCTTCGATTATGCCATCTACACCACACAAAACGCGTCCGCGTTGCCCAATGCGAGTACTCTCCCGCGGGTCAGCCCTCACCTGCGCTGACGCGCTCCGTTCTGTCGACAGTCGACTTCCTCCCCTCTCGTCGCAGACGCCGCCTCTAGCGGGAGCCACAACGGCGTCCCCCTCGTAGCCATCGTCGGCGCCGCGGTAGGGGGAGCGCTCCTCCTCGCGCTCCTCGCGCTCCTTTTTACTTGCCTCCGCCTCCGCCGTCGCGCCGCCGACGCACGCGCCATGGCCGCCGCCGCTGAGATGCGCGAGCGCGCGTCTGGCAACGCCGTCCCCATCCTCCCCGAGGCATACCCCTCCCGCCACCCCTCGCGCACGCCGTCCAGAGCGATGACGAACCCCGAGGCGCACCGCAGTGCGCTCTCCCTCCACACCCAGCGCACCGCGTGCTCGAGCGCCGCCGCGAGCGCGACCAAGGTCAGCGTGAGCGCGCGGGCGAGCCCCGCGCCCTCGTACGGTGCGCACCACCGCCACGCGGACCGCTCCCTGCGGCGGCTCGTCGGCGCGCACGACGCGTACGCGATCGCGTCCGCGCCCGCGTCGCCCACGCAGCGGTACTACGGTTCCCCGCTCGGGCCGCTCTCGCCCGCGGCGTCCCGGCTCGACTTCCGCTCGATCTACTCGACCGCGTCGCCCACGGGCTCGGGCACGGACCTCAAGATCTTTGACTACTTCGGGATCCCGAACATCGCCGTCGCGGCGGCGGCGATGACGGACTCGACCACGGCGTCGTTCCCCGAGCAGCTAATAACCGGGGCACCTACGACGACTACGACGACGTTGACAACGACCACAACGACGACGACCACCACCACCACAGCAACCCCGGTGGTGCCCCGGAGCTCGCGAGCGTGGGCACCCCCAGCGTGTACTCGGGCACACACTTGGAGCACGCGCCGCTCCCGCCGCCGCTCTCGCGACAGCGCTCGGTGGCTTCGAGCACGACGCGGCACGCGGAGACGTCAGCGGTCTTGTGCAGCAGATGGCGCTCATGCAGCAGCACGTCGCGGAGGTAGAGGAAAAAGTCGCCGCCGCGGTCGCCGCTGTGGGACAACACGACTCGCCGGCGGAGAGGCTGGAGAAGAAGGGCGACGTGGTTGGAGTGGCGGGGGAGGAGGAGAGGCCGGAGGGAAATGCGGCGGGGGAGGAGGACCAAGATCTGCTGGAGCAGAGGCCGAAGAAGAAGGTAGCCGCGGCGGTGAAAGACCAAGACCCGCTTGAGCAGAGTGTGGAGGAGAACGGCGCCGTAGCTGCGACGGCGGAGGAGGGGCACAATCCGCCGGCGGAGCAGAGTCATGAGGAGGTTGGAGCGACGGAGGAGCAGAGGCCGGATGAGAAGGTTGCCGCGGCGGCGGTGGATCAAGGCCTCCTGGAGCAGAGGGAGAACGGCGCCGCAGTCGCGGCAGCGGTGAAGGAGCATAACCCGCCGGCGGAACAGAGGCAGGAGGAGGAGGTTGGAGCGGTGGAGGAGCATGACCGGCCGGAGCAGAGGGTGGAGGGGAAGGGCTCCGCAGCCGTGGCGGCGGTGGAGGAACACAACCCGCCGGCGGAGCAGAGGCATAAGGAGGGTGTAGGAGCGGCCGAGGAGCATGACCGGCCGGAACAGAGTCTGGAGGAGAATAACGCTGCACCGGTCGCAGCTACGGAGGAGCAAGACTTGAAGGAGCGGCGGGTGGAGGAGAAGGGTGATGTGGCCGTCGCGGCGGTGGAGGAGTACAACCCACCGGTGGTGCATAGGCAGGAGAAGAAGGTCGAGGAGGATGCAGCAGCGGCGCGATCGCGGGACTGATCCCCGCGCGGCTATAAGCCACGTCCCTTGTCCCTCGATACCGGTTTTTTTTTTCATATTATGCATCTGCATCATGTATGGTCTCGTCCGCACCGTCACGCTAAATACAGGAGCCGCTCGTTGTACCACGCCTGCCAGAGCGAGGCCTACAAGATTTTCGAGACACTATCATCGGAGTTTGACCAACATTCTGAAGGGTGTCGAATGAGAGGCATTTATCTGTGATGGGGAGGTTGTCAAAGATTTTTTCATCTCAGTGTCTCAAATAAAGCTCCATTGGCCTTCCTTCTCCGCTCCGTGTATGGCAATGCACTGCGCCTCAGATGGCGTCCGTGCGGTGGAACGTCAAATGCAGAAGACTGAGGAAAGCGGCATTAGAAACCAGACGAGCAAAAGAGCGTCGAGTATACATACATCATGATGCCCTGGGCCGCGCTTAAGTCCGGCTGTACGGAGGCAAGCTCTCGTCGTCGTCTTCCATCCTTCGTGGTTGCAGTGCTAGCCGCACCAAGGGCGACATCGTGTTGCCCTGTTGTGCTCGCGCCGTTGATGCATGCTCGCCGCCTGCCGTGGCCCGCTGGGACTCCGCTGTCCTGATATCTTCTGCTTCTCCGTCGCGCCCGCGATCTTGGAAGGCAAGTTTGGATATGCCACGTCGCGGCCCTTGCGACGCCTCGACAGGTTCAGGAGTTTGGAGCGCTTCGGAAGGCACTCCGACGGTGGCAGAGGCAGTGGCACTCATCGTACCGAGTGAGCGCAGCCACCAGCGGCCGTCATGGGCTCGAGTCGGCGCACAGCTAGTGATGGACTGTCGTTCGAAAGGGAGGTTGCGATGGGGGGCGGAGTCTTCCTCCTGGAGCGCAGCAAAACACTCAGAAGGTACCCCACGAGAAGAGCGCCAATGGTGCCGCCGGCCACGATGCCTGCGATCTGAGCCTTGGGAAAAGACACTTTCCCGACCGGCCCGGAGGAGGGTGAGGGTGATGGCGAGGTGGTGGAAGGTGTTTTTTGAAACGACGAGACGGAAGGCGATATCATGGGAATGGGAGATGTGATGATGGACGTACTAGTCCTGTCTGCGGTTGTGCTGAGAACGGACTCGGAGACTGTGCTGGTGTGATCCGGGAGTTTGATCCTACTTGAAATATTCGTCGAGCTCGTTAGGGTGCCATTTGGGCCATTCGACGTGGTCGACGTGGTCGTCATTGACTTCATAGAGGGGGGTTTATTCACGGGACCGTCTGAGCCGTCGTCGACTGTGTAGATGGCATGATCGAAGAGTATGAGTGAAAACGTCGTCGTGTCCGCCTGCATGACGAGTGTGTGTGGCTGGTGGGGGAGTCCAGACTTGGAGAAGACGGGAACGTTGTACAGAACTGAAGGCCCCTCAGAGTCCGGTTCGTGCAAGTACGAGCCTGCGAGCGCGCCGTCGAGGAAGAAGTCGACGCTGGTGTTCGTGTTCGTCTGCTCGACGCCGGCGTTGGCGATGAGGTTGAAGACGACGACCGCGGTACCGTTGAACGTCAGCGTGACCGCGCACGGTGATCCGTATCCCGATAAGTAGGTAGCGTCATGCCATGTCCCGTGGAATGCCTGGCTTGCCTGGACTTCTCCCTGTGGATATGCGATGGATCTGACACCGCATCCGGTGCACGTGGATCCTTGGGTCCACAAGCCCGTGTCGGGGCTATATACTGGTTTTGCTCCGGTGATGTCGTCTCCGAACTCGTCGTCGATAGTAACGTTGACTTGTCGACTAGAAACACGGAGGAAGAAGGAGGCGAGAAGAGTATATGCGGAGACACGGAATTCCCATGGTGTCATCATGGAAGGTAGCAGGATCCCTGACAACGCAAAGAGACGAACGTCGACACCCTTAAGTATAAGTACTGGCTGCCCAGGGTTGAGTGCCGAGATTGCCGGGTGACAGATCCTTGACGAGACGATGTGCGCACTTTGCAGCATGATAGGATCGACGCCGTGCAGTGCATCTGCTGTGTGCCATAAGATTGGCAGGAGTAATGAATGTAGGTATCACGGTCTCACCTCATTTTATCGTGTTGCAAACAGGCTTTCTACCTTGTTTCCACCGCAGTTGACCAGGGCACTAGTCATTGCTGTCAAGGGGATTCTGTTGTTCTGTTTTGAACATTGGAACTATTTCATGGTGCGATACAAGAGGCGATGCTTCGGAGCGAGGTGCGGTTACCTCGTCGTATCTATCGAACATCCAGGTTGGTTGCGATCGAGCCGGGTAACCGTGTGTCACGGGTCGGGCCGGCTCCGTCTGCCAATGCATCGGCCCTAGCGGGAGGCGACAAATCCCGACAAGTCAGAATCTCCGCATCTCCCACTTCTGCGACTGCGACTTCAGAACTTTGGATTCCATATTTTGGGGAGCGTATCGAGTCGAGTAGTGTCCCGCGAGTCGCCACCAACCTCCCACATCGAGAATCGACGCAGATCGACGCCTACAGAGTACTACTCAGCTGAATTGTAGAGGAGTCGACTGTTTGAGAGTTGCCAACATCTGGGAGGGATGATACATCATCCGCTCGTCGATTCCTCCGATAAGAAATCTCTCATGATACTGGTCCGATGTGAAAGGGTTGTTGTCACGTACATACAAACAGGGGTCTAAAGCTACACAGATAATCCAACAGTACACATGCGCGCCGCTTGACTCTTGAGCAGAAACACGCGCCGCCTCACGCGCCGTACTGACACACGACAGTGTGAGATGGACCGTCGCACACGAAGCGCACTCAGAGACTCGCTCACCTTGACCGACAGCGACGTGGGCCAGTACCGGGCACGCCAACCTCGTCCGTGTACATGTCGTACTTCACCCGAACTTTTCATCGTGATGCGGTTGATCTGGCCCATCTTCCCGGGGAGCGCTGCATGTTGGGGATCTGGAAGACGGCCTTGACCATCTCGAGCACGAACTGTCCATCGCTGTGAGCACTCGACGGGACGGTGTGGAGAAGAGGGGGGGGGGGGACGTACCTCCTCGCCGGCAGCGGTGCCCAGGCAAGCGTAGTAGCTCGCCTCTTGCATGGTCGTGTACGACGCCGCGGGGCGTGAGGGGTTGACGGTCAGAGGCTCGGGGAAGTCCTTCGGCTGTACGACGCTCTGGTCAGAGAGCTACTCCAGCGCAGGTGGAAAACATGATCTCACGTTGACGAGGGCAGTCGCCATATCGAGGACGTACATCTGCTTCGGCTGCTTCGCCGGAGCGTCAGCTTGCTCCCGAAGCACGGCCGCGAACTGGGGCGCGAGACCTGTTGAGGGACGGTATCAGTGAAGATGCCTCGGTGAGAGCGAACGGTGGACGCACGCTGGGCTTCCCGAACGTAACCGCGCAGGCGCCCGCGGCTCGCGGCGTCCTTTGCGTTCGCAAGCTTGATGACCTCGGCGCGCTCCTTGGAGTGCGCGTCGTCGAGGTAGAAGTCGACAATCCGTGCCACGGCTAGATACAGTGTGTATGAGTCACTGCGCACGCGAATGAAAATACGATGTACACACTCTTAGCAAGACCCTTGGCAGACGAGACCGCGAAACCGAGGATGTCAGAGACGATCTCCTTGTGAGACGCCTTCGAGGTCGCGATGAGCTTCAGGAAGTCGTGCGACGGCTCGTGCGACGGGAAGAAGAAGTTCGTGATCGTGGCCTGTGCGCACATAGTCAGCCTCCCGCATTCACGAAGCCTGATAAAAGAGATTGGCGCACAATGCCGAGGTGCGGAGCGGCGTCGTCCAGGCTCTTCTCGATGAACTGGGTCAGGACCTGAGCAAGGTGGGACGCGCGCCTGCTCGTAGACCAGCTGTTCTCGGGCGTGACGTTGAGATAGACCGCACTAGGAGAGGTCAGCACGAGCATCCAGTGTACATGCTCTGTCGAGGACGAACTTGAAGACCAAGTCAATCGCGTCGGTGACCTCCTGCGGCGTGAGCAGGCCGTCGGGCCGCTGCGCCGTCTTGAGAGAGATGCCAAGCTACAGAACGGATTCAGACCCTGCCGTCATCAGAAAGGGAGACGACGCACGATGTACTCCGACACCCAGTGGACCGGCGCGAGGTTGACGACGTTCCCGATTACGTCGAGCCGCTTGCCCGGGACGCCGTCGAGCACGTACGAGTGCGCCTTGACAAGCTCCTGCACCTTGCTCCCGAACCAACTGGCGTGTGCCGCGACCGCGTCCGAATTCGGGAACAGCCCCTGCGTCAGCGCCTTCTGGCGGGCTTCGGGGCTGCGCGCGCGCAGACAACGTCAGCGTCCGGGGTATGAGTAGAAATAGGGGCAAATACGCACACGTTCGCGACCACGGAGAACTCGCACGCAGTCGTCTTGAACACGCCGCTCTCGTACGTGGCGTACTTCTTCCGGTCGTGTAGAGTCGCCGCGATGTCCGTGAGGGTGTTCACGATCTTTGCGGGCGGGAGCGCGACTGGGCGCGCGACGTCGTAAGATGGCAGAACTTTAAGCTTCGTCAGGTTCTTCTTCGTCACTTCCGGGGTGAAGAACGGGAAGAGGCCGTAAACGCTGTTCTGCAAAGAGATTCAATGGATCAGATCCTAACCAAGAGCCAGCGCGTGGAAGCGGGAGTCTCACTGCCGGGTAGTGCCGAGGGAGGTGACGGAAAAGCAGCCGTGGGACCGCGGCACCGAACGCGCCGTTATTGGGGTCGCGCGCGCAGTCTTGGAAGCCCCACGCAGTGAGGTTGTACGCTGCCAGACAGATGTCAAATGTCAGCGCACGGGACCAATCCTCCTGGTCGCCACGAGAAGACGTACGGGTGTAGTCCGTGGTGTAGAAGCGGTCACCTGAATGGAAAGGCAGCGTTCAGCGCGCGCGCGTCCGGAGCACGGCAATAGCACGCTCACCGCGAACAAGCGCGATGGCGTCGCTCAGGATGGCGCGGGTCATCGTGTAACCGGCGCAAAGACCCTGGGCAGGACCAAGGGGCATGATTTGCTACAAATCCCGGGTGTCGCGGCACAGTGAGTAATGGGGTCTGACAGCTGAGGCGCGAGCAGAACGCATGCCCGGTGTACCACCTCGGCCTGCAACCCGGGGTAGAGCTCCAGGTTGTCGATGTGCCATACAGTTGACGCGCAGTGTTCTGCAAATGCCCGCGAAGACCGCCGCCACATCAGCACATCTTGCCTCCGTGGGCGGCGCAAATCAAGCGGGCGCACGCACCGCGATCTCCGGGTCCGAGTTCCACTCTTCGAAACTCTCGAACCGTTTCAGCTTCAAGAACTCACGGAACTCGTTCATCGTGCAGACGCCCCACTTGCGCGCCTGCGTCATCCCGAGCACCTCGACGAGGCGCAGCACGGGCGGCGAGCCGCGCGCGCCGTACGAACCCGCCATCTTGTCCGTCGCATCGTGTAGGACGCCTGCGAGCGCGTCGTCGTCGAAACGGCCGTCGGGGCCGCGGGTGAGGTTCGCGAACGTGCGCTTACGTGGGTCGGTTTCGACGGTCATGAACGTGGTGAAAACACCGGATATGAAGTCCTCGAGCGTGAGATCTGCGATCTGCTTGCCGGAGCCTTTGAAGGCATTGGTGAAGATGTCTTCCGTCCACTTGATGTCTTTCTCCGCGATGGTCGGATGCCACTGTGGCGCGGAAGACACAGGTCAGCCCAGGATGTCAATTCAAATTTGGAAGGACATACGCGATACAAGACGTTGAACTCGACGGAGCACTGGTTTCCTTCTCCACGGCCAACAGGCAAGCCGTTCGAGTCGGTGATTGGCTGCAATTGCGTCATGCTTAGTGCGCGTAGCGATCCTCGAGTTGAAATAAGCTCACGTCGAACGGGTTCATGCTCCAACTACAACCGTCCCGTCCGAGACCGAGGAATCCGGCCACATAGTCGCCGAAGATCATCGCCATGAAGTTCCCGCAGCTTGTGATAGGATGCATTAGCGTTCGAAGTGCAACAGCCGTCTTTTCTAGTGCTTACTTGACAAGACGCGCCGTCTGGAAGATTTCTTCATCTTGGATAGCACGCTTGCCCGCATCTTCGGGAGGCGGGTTTGTCCAGCGTCCACACTCGTTGAGCTGGAGGAGCATGTCCGCAATGTACTAAAAGCAAGTGCGTCAACGGGAAATCCGCGCGTCCAACAAGGCAGATGTGCCCACGTTATGGTTACGGCTGAAGAGAACGAGAAGCGCCGTGGCAGCAGGAGGGATGAAGACCAATCGGGTCTCCGCGAACGCATCGGGATACAGCAGTCCCTTGCCCTGCGCTTTGTCGCGAACGCTGTCCTGTTCGGTCTGGTTGATACCGTAGAGGACGGACAGGTCAAGGTACGACGTCGTGTTGTTCTTTGTCATATCACTAGGATGGGTCCTGAAAAGTTGGTGCGTGACCAGGGAAGCGAACGCAAACGTCATGGAAGAGTTTCCTCCGGGGTGGGGAGTGAACTATATGCCAATGTTCAGTCGACAGACGGGACGCTTGCAATGACCAGCCTACCTTGCGAGCCTTGAGCAACGAATCAAATACATCCTCAGGAGAGGGAAGCGAGGCTGGAGGAACGGGGTACTTGTTTTGCACAGAGCGGGCATAAGGCGTACCCGCCTTGCCGAGGTTGGGCAGATCGGGACTGTTGCCGGTACCGTCTGCGCTGCGGAATGTGTATGGCAACCGTGGGGTAGCTGCTATACCACTGGCCGCAGCGGGACGTGCAGGGGGCTGCTCGGCTCCCGCAGGGTAATCTGTGCCTACGTATGTGACGGGCGGGTGAGGAATTGTGGTGTATAGCTGGGTGATGACCACATCGTTCAATTTCTTGGAAACATCGGTGCCCTGGGGTAGGTGGCAGAGGATTGAGAGCATATTGCAAAACTGCACATGTTGATGCACGTCAGATCGCTGACTCTGCACAGGACCGAAGAGCGCTTACGAGATTCTTGCGGTCATCGAGGCTGTCCCCGTTGAGAGCACCATCAATGAACGCGGCGTACGTCTGTGAGGACAAGGTCAGAAGATGACCACAGACGAGCGCGTGCACCGACCTCGGGTTTGAGCGCCTCTTTGAGAAGCGGGGCGGCTTGCTTGAGCGAATCGCTGATGTTGTGTGTGACGCGGTAAAGGTCGGAGTGAGGATCCTGGGGAGCGGTGGCACCAGTGACAGGTCGGACTTGGTCGTCGTAACGGCCATCGAGGGCAACGGGGAGAGGGCGGTCGGAAAGAAACTGGACATCGGCAAGAGTCTGTGGGCAAAGCAGTCAAGATCGCGTGCAGGGCTGTGAAGATGGCGGGAAGCGCGCACCACGACGTCCTGCAAGTCGAGGGCCATGTTGTGTGCAGAGTGCTCGAGAAGGTGAGTGTGGGTGTGTCTGGGAGGGAGGTGTGGGGCGGCGGAGGAAGACAAGTGGCTGATATAGCGGCGAGCGGACGGTGGCCTGGCCGAATCTCGAGCGAGATGGAGTGAAGTGCGCCGGGGATTGCAAGCTCCGCGTGCGTCCTGGCCGGCGCCCCAGCAAAGTTAATTCAGATCAGAGGCGAGATCTGAGCAAGGCGCACCCCTGGCGCTATCGCCGCCCCCGCTCGCCCAGCCAGCGTGCTTGTCGGCCTCGCGTGCTTCTCGGGTCCTCGGCGTGCGCCCGGGCGGGCGGGTGGCATACGAGCCGGCCGTGAAGGACGCTGGGAAGGCCCCGGCCGAGAACGCAGGTCGGCGGAGTCGGAGGCGCATCGCAGACAGCCTGGCGAAGAGCGGGGTGTTTGGGGTCGCCTTTGCCTTCACCCACGTCGTCTTCATATGCCGCCGAGGGCGAGGACCGGCTCCGGCGTCCTCGAGGCTTCGTAGCGCACGCTAATTGATGCCAGCACACCGCTGCACAGGGTCTGGCACCGGTTTGGCTCGCATCCATTCCCACCTGCGGGCTGCCACACTGACGGATGGTCAGAGAGCATGAGCGAGAGACTGCGCGATCCAGGACGCACGAGGGATGTGATCAAAGCATGGAACCAATCCCGCCGCCCGCGTCTCCCAGGTCCGACCACATTCGGACATCCATCACCCGATTCGATCTCTCCTCCTTTGCATGAGTAGTGACTCCAAGGACTGCGTATACTCCGAGCATCAGACGGAACAACAGGCCAAGATGCCCGCGACTGTCCACGGCGACTCGAACAAGCAGAGCTCAAAGTGAATGGAGCACATGATTGGCTTCGAACTCCGAACTTGCGGCACTTGGGACCCTCACCGTTATTACTTACCTCTCTCATAGGACCACATCTTAAGCTTTAACCCTTTGGCTCAAGCACGCCCATGTTTCAACACTGTGCAATTCCCTGCCCTGTGCAAATAAGAACTGGTCTTTGTTGACAGAGCTCCATCTCTGGGATCACCCTCCTGTCCATCGTCATCGCCCTCGTGGCAACGTCTCACTCAAACTACTGTTCGACGTTCGGCTGTGGCCACCCCTGCTCCACCTCAATGTCTATTCTAAGCGATGGGCGGTTTCGTAGCCTCGTGCCCCTCAAACGTGCCGAGAATGCAGTGGCAAACGTGCAGTGCTAATCCTATGAAGAAGTCGATGTTCGGCGGAGTCTTGTGGTGTGCATCTGACTCGTCTCTTCCGTCTATGCTCGGAGTTGGTGGTCCCGGAGGACGAACACGCCGGTACACGTGCTACAAGTCCTCCTTGTGTATTCTCAGCCTGTGGCTTGGCTTCTGCTCCCTTCATGCGGATTTCCCTCTATCGGTATAAGATGTCCTCACTCGTCGGCTCTTTTCCGGTTCTTTATCCACCATCCAACCACTTTCTTCGTCGCTGTACCTCTGCATTGCACGTTCTCGTCCACTCAGTCAACTCCAAGCTTGGAGCACGGATCACAGCTCCGGCATCGCTTGGCTTCCTCCGGCTCGGGCGCATCACAGCTTCTCACATATCGTGATGACGCTTGCCCTTATGCGTGCGCTTCTCTCCAGGCTGCTTATATTGATACCCCGCGTCCTTGTCCCCATCTGCCACGCGTTCACGACTCTTCACGACCCGACAAGGCTCCTGCGCACCTTCGCAGCCCTACGATCCAACATGCCTCCCCGTTGCGAAACCCGCCCTACCCCGCCAACCTCCACTACACCCCGGCGTCTCCTCGAGCGTCGTCGGAGTCCCGGCGCACGCCATCTCCACATATCCGTCCAGGTACTCCCTCTAGCATCCACTCCTCTTCCAGCGAGTGCGGCGACAACGACATCATACCCCCGTACCATCCCCTTGCTCCTCGAACGCTCGTGCTCTGTTTCGATGGAACAGGGGATCAGTTTGATTCCGATGTGAGTACCACTTGTATGCGTGTACTTCGGCCGTACTCATGCTTTTGGTTTCTCAGAACTCCAACGTTGTCAAGTTCTTCAGCCTCCTGAAACGAGATGATCGGCGGGAGCAAATGGTTACTACCAGGTGCATAAATTCATCCCCTCTCTGTACGATCGCGATCGTAACCTGTGCCTGCCTCGTGCCGCAGACTGGCATTGGGACCTACACCAACCTACAGATGGTCACATCCATCGGGGCCTCTGTTGCCAAGACCCTTGACGAGGCTATTGCGTGGAACCTCGAGTCGCACGTCATGGAGGCTACGAGTTCTGATGCAAAACTGTGCGTTCATGTCTCTTTCTCTTGCGTACTCCGTCCAATGTCCACGCGCAGACGAAGCCGGCGACAAGATCTGCCTGTTCGGTTTCTCCCGCGGCGCGTACACCGCTCGCGCCCTCGCAGGCATGCTGCACAAGGTCGGCCTCCTCCCGGCCCACAACCGCCAGCAAATCCCGTTCGCGTACAGATGTACTCGCGCACGGACGAGGTCGGCTGGCAGCAGAGCACCGCGTTCAAGAAGGCGTTCTCCGTCGACGTCTCCATCGAGTTCATCGGGGTTTGGTGAGTCCGTCCTTCCGCTCGCCCGTTGTCCACCGCCCCGCCGCCCGAGTGTTTCGTCCGGCCCACTGTGGTCTCGCCGTGGTGCGAATCGGACAGACTGCCGCCGGGGGTCCGCACCATCCTGGCGCGGACGCGCCTCGGGCTTTTTTTGGCGTGACGCTCCACGAGCGTTTCGTTCTTCGCGGGCTAACCGGGCTCATGTCGGCAGGGACACCGTCTCGTCCGTGGGCCTCATCCCGCACCGGCTGCCGTTCACGACGTCGAACACGGCGATCCGCACCTTCCGCCACGCGCTCTCGCTCGACGAGCGCCGCGCGAAGTTCAAGGCGAACCACTGGAACCGCCCGACGGAGTGGGAGGCCCGCCTGGGCACGCACCCGGGCGAGATGCCGCGGCCGGTCGCGCGCGGGAGCGTCGCGCTCCGCAAGCAGTCGCACGCGCGGACGACGAGCGAGGGCGGGAAGAAGGGACGCGCGATGTCGCCCAAGCGGATCGCGGACGCGCTGAAGATCGTGACCGGGTTCGGAAAGGGGGACAAGGAGGAGAAGGCGGGCTCGCCCGTCGTCGCCAAGGCGAAGCTGTTGAAACGGAGTCCCCGGACGGCGTTCGCGCCTCCGTCGTCGCCGAGGTCGAGAGCGACAAGGAGAAGCGGTGTGTCGATCGAGAAGGAGCCTCCGTCGGACATCGGAGGTCGCGGAAGTAGCGGCCATCGTCGAAGACGCTGCTGGGGCTGCTGCGAAGGCGGCGAGGCGGTGCGGACGTGTCGAGAGGGGCGGAGGCCGCAGCACAGACGGGCAGCAAGTTGTGGTCGGGAGCGCGAGAGCCGTGAGCACGTTCGCGCGCAAGCCGACGAGGAAGCGGATGACGGAGGAGGAAGAGACGTTCGACCGCACGGCGCTCCTCGCCGGGGAAACAGACGTGAAGGAGGTGTGGTTCGCGGGATGCCACGCCGGTAGGTCTTCCCTTCCTCGCATGATTCCCCTCGCATGTTTCTTTCCACGTTTCTTAGCTTCTCGACGACCCTGTGCTGATCACTTCGGGCCCCCATTCCAGACGTCGGCGGAGGATCCGTCTCTGACACCGAGCGCCACTCGCTCGCGCGCATCCCGCTGCGTTGGATGGTGCGCGAGTGCTTCCGCACGCACACCGGCATCCGCTTCCATGCCGAGCTCCTCAAGGACATCGGCCTCGATCCTGCCGCCTTGTGGCCCACCGCGACAATGCCACTTGAGTTCGGCCCTGGCCTTGCGCACGCACCCCAGCTGCCCCCATTGATTCCCGCTCCGGGTATAGCACTGGAACCGGCGACCCCGCCCGAGAGGCCGCGCGAACACGTGGAGGAGCTCGAGCAGAGGGTGCTGCTCGCGATGCGCGCAAACGCCCACGGGCCATCGCCGTACCCGACGTCGCACCAGGTCTCGCATCGCATCCGCACACGCCCCCGCACCACGCGCTGCACCACTGCCAAACGAACCCCTGCCCCCCCAGCGACGGTCACGGCACGGAGAAGTCAGAGTCGGGGCACATGCGCACGTCTCGGTCTCGACGCAGCGCACGCTCGTCAACACACACCGGTGGCCCCCGAGCGGCTTCCACGGCGGCAAGCCATGGACGACGCGGACACCGACCTCGTTGTGAACGAAGTTGAGGAGGAGCGCCGGGACGCGATGTGCCAGCTCTACGACCAGCTCGCGCTCAAGTGGTTCTGGTGGGTGCTGGAGATCATGCCGCTGCAGCAGCGCATGCAGCGCAAGAACGCGACATGGAAGAAGTTCCGGACGTGAGTCTTCGGCTCCTCCTACTCATAAATGCTGACGAGCGGCATGTAGGTTCAACATGGGTCGCGGACGTGCAGTCCCGCTGGACCTGGAACGGCCGTACGCCTACGTTCATAGGAGCGTCAAGCATCGCATGGAGGCCGCCAACCTCAAGGGCGGCCCTTACAAGCCCAAGGCCAGCTTCGGCGACGTGAAGATGGTTTTCGTCGACTGAGCAGGTCGCGCCATTAGCACCTGATCGTTCTCATTATACTGGAGCGCGGCATTTGTCCGCGCCTCCAGCTTTCTTGCTATCGCTTTAATGACTCACGTTTCGGATGGATGTATTCTTATTGTGTATTCGTTCTAGACTACGACTCTTTCTTGACCGTAAACCGATAGCAGTAATGATCATAATGATTCACCCACCGGGCCCACCCCGAGCGCGCATTCTGCGCACAAGACTGCATGCTGGGACCCCGGCTGACCGCGACCTTCGGTGGATGCCGATGGAGCCTATCCCAGGTCCGCTCGAACGGGGAAGCCGCGTCGTTTCGCCCATGCACACCACGGCCGATGTTCTCGGGCGCTGGCGCTCCGACCTCCTCGACATCATCCGCCCAGGCCGCCACGCTGTCGACACGAAAGCGCACCTTCTTCGCACCAGCTGTTCCATCGACTGCCGTCCAATAAAACGCGCGCGCGCTCCGTCACGGTGTACTTACAGAACGGAAAGGCCTTGCCAAGCACGGCGTTGTGTGGTACGGGCGCCCGGCCATTCCAAGAAGTCCAAGCACGATTCGCGAAGGCCTGACACGCCGCCGTGGTCGCGCCCGAGCAGCCCAGGCACAGCGCGGGCTTGTTAGTCCCATGGCATTGTGTCCTGCAGGGCTTGATTTGCAATTTCGCGCGCGCGCGCATCGAGAGTTAGCACCTTGTCATGTATGTCAGCGCCCCCAGCGCCGACACGGACGGGGTTTCAACTTGGTTTGAACGGCCTGGGATTTGCAGTCAATTGGTGCCTGCCGATCTGCATCGTTGCCCCGCGTGAGGCCGTGAGAGCTTGAGACGTGAGCTTGAGCGTGCCTGTGCGGCGATGGGATGGGCCCGAAGAGGCGGCGGCGGGCGGTGTCTCCCCGAGGTCGGGGGTACCACCCGCCGGAGGGAGTTGCCGCACGAGTGTACGTATGTACCAGCGGTTGGCGCCGCGGTTGCCCACAGCTGTGTAGTTGGATAGTAATGTGCGCGAGGGAGCTCGGGGTCCTGCGAGAAGGGAAGGAACGTTCCGCATTGTCGAAGCGAACGCATACCGATATACCTGAAATACATACACGTCCGTACAGAGAACAAGACCCTATACAGAAGCGTATGACATAAACGTCCACGCCATCTCAATCGCGTAAAGCCCGAGAAGTATGAAGACACGGGAAGAGTTACGACGCGAGGAATGGGGGTGTCACAGTTCTCTGCGGGGATAGTGACTCGATCCACCTTCTGAGCGAACAGAACCACAGGCTCCTGAGAGAACGCTGAGAGCGCGGTCGGTATCAGACGGCGCAGGTGGAGGGTTGGGAAGCGCGAGGGCACAGAGTGTGCCGAAGGCGAGAGTGGGAAAATGAAGCCGAGGGTTGCCGAGTGCGTCGGCTTGCGTCGTCCATAGAATGACTATCCATAGACAGTGTGCGGAACTCTTCCTCGCTGTCGACGTCGTGTAGGCTGCCGGGGCCCGGCAGCAGGTTGGGCACTGAGCGCCCTTTGCCAGCCTTTGCCCCCACCATCGTAAAGACATTTCCTCTCCACCTGGCGCCGGCTTTGGGAGTCCGACGAAGAGGGCGCAGTCGCAGTGCGAGAAAAATGCAAACCGTGACGAGGGACATGCTAAGACTGGTGCCCGAATCGTCCTCCCAATGGGAAGCATAGTCGTCGCCCTGCTTACACCCAGCGTGGCAGAGGAGGCTGTCGAAGACTTACCTTGGGATGGGAAAATAATGTTGGTGCCAAAGCAACGATCATTGAAGAGTGGTTACCGTTGAAGTCGTCAAAGTCCCGGTGGAAAAGCCCCGGATTTGAGAGTATCAGAACACTCCCTCCCGGAGATCGTTGTCTATAGCAAGTTGGTCATGAATTCGGGTGGGATTTCTACAGTACCTACGTCACTGTGGTAAGCGTTTGAGAGGTAGAGATGCTACCGGAATTGCAGTTGGACTCGCTGTGGTGGTTGGTAGCGGTGTCGTTCTCGCAGTTCCTGCCGTTGAGGAAATATTCGAAACTTGGCTCTTTTCTAATGTCGTACTGCTCCGGCTTGATTATTACTACGAGTAAGATGAGTTTCATTCTGTCCGAACATCTATGCACGTCACTCACGGTCGCCGTGTTCCTGCCTGGAGACGAAATGGGTTCCGGGTTTTCATCTGAGAAAGTGCCAGTAGATAGCACAGTCGAACACATGTCATGACGAAAAAATGGTCGGTGTTCTCGAGAGCTGCACTTCCGTCCAAAGAAGGACACCGACCTTGTACCTCCGTACCACACCATGCCTTCCCCTACCTCCGGAGTCCGCGAGGCGAAGATAGAACAGACAGATGTTGTGTAGGACGCGGCGTGTCGCGTAGACCTTGTTAAGTTCATTGATGATAGCCTGTTTCGGCGGGAGTCCCAACTGTGATGAACTTACGGCGACGTTATCCTGTCGAACTCGGAAGACTGTAAACTGATCACAGATGACAGCGGGGGAGAGGTAGAAGAGGGGAAGGGAGTCGACTCAAAGTGCAAGCCTTGCCATAAGCCGGCCGGGCCGGGCTCGAGGCTGCGGCTAATCTAATCTTATCTCTCCCAAAATTCAGCGCTTTCAGCGCCAAACGACGCGACGCGATGCGTGCTCTGAGTCGGCTTGCCCTCGTCCTCCATTAATTCCCGCCCCCCCAGTCTCCTCCTCCTCCTCCGCCCCTCCCCTACGTGATGGCTACTTCCGCGTCCCCCGTCATTAAAAGCAGCTGGTTGCCCCCCAACTCCTTCCACTACCTCGTCGGGGGCGGGTGAGTGTATGACGTCGGGCCCTCGTAGATGTGTCTGACCCGCCTCGCGCGCAGCTTGGGGGGCATGTGCGGCGCGATCGTCACAAGTCCATTCGATGTCGTTAAGACCCGCCTCCAGTCTGATCTTTTCCGCGGCAGGGTCGCTTCCGTCACCCTCGAGGCCAACGGCGCGGGCGCGGTCGCCATCCGTCGCAACGTCCTCTGGCACTTTGTCGAGACAATGGACATCGTCCGGTCCGTCCTGTCGCGCTCTTCTTCGCGATTTATCTGACACTTTGGTTTGCAGCGACATTTACCACGTGGAGTCCCCGCGCGCGCTGTTCAAGGGCCTCGGACCCTCCCTCGTCAGCGTCGTGCCAGCGCGCTCCATCTGCTTCTTCACCTACGGCAACGGCAAGCATATCATCGCGGATAGGTTCAATAATGGCGTCGAAAACTCGTACGTCCACCTCGCCGCTGCGGCAATCGCGGGGCTCGCGACCGGCACCGCGACGAGTCCCGTATGGGTCGTCAAAACCCGCTTGCAGCTGGACACCCACCCCGTCGCGTCCGCGACCGCCGCCACGTCAGCTCCGGCAAGTCGTAGCCTGTTCGGCGCGTCGATGGGCATGGCGAAGAAGATCTTGCGCGAAGAGGGCTTCCGCGGCTTCTACAAGGGCCTCAGCGCGAGCTACCTGGGCGTGCGGAGACGGCGATCCAGTGGACTCTCTACGAGCGCTTGAAACGGTTAACGATTGGAACGCAGGGCAGGGGTGGGGTGCAGGAGTGGCTGGGTATGATTGGGAGCGCAGGGTCGGCGAAGTGTGTCGCGACCCTGATCACATATCCGCATGAGGTGCGTCGGGTGTTCGTCTTGCTGCGTGCTACCCCTCATCCTGCTCCTCGCTAGGTCATCCGCACACGACTACGACAGCCCCTGGTGAACGGTAGGGTGAAGTACACCGGCCTCGTCCAGACGCTGCGGCTTGTCATACGAGAGGAGGGCGTCGCCTCATTATACGGTGGGCTCAGTGCCCACCTTATGCGTGTCATCCCGAACGCTGCCGTTATGTTTTTCATCTATGAGGCCGTGCTACGAATGGCGTAGTCTCTATTCGCTTCTCCGCCTCCTTTTCCCAGCCCCCTCATCACATCTCCTCACAAAATCGCTGCCCCTCCTATCCCCCCCTGCTCCCTCTACTTGCAGCCCTTCGTCGATTTATGACGTTCTCTCGCATTAAATGCGCTCTTTTGCACCGCTATCGATAACGCTTTGTCCGGGTATAATCCACACTCACCCATTCACCGTACACTATCGCACATATCAATGTACACTACACTCTCATGGATATATTTCTAGTATGCGTATATAGATAATCTGGTCCCAATCCATCCTCGTCTTCACGGAATCCCGTTCTTCGCACTGCGAGGCTCACTAAAATAATCAAGATACGTGATGCCGCCGATGGACGGTCGACTCCCAAGTCCCAATCCCTTCATCCGCCGATTATTCGCATAGCCGTTGATTGCTACTCTAAGAATGTCGTTCTGCTTCAAGAATCGAGAACGCACGATATAGATCCTAAGACGCCAGGCCAGTGACAGACTCCTCCCCCTCCCCCTTCTCCTCCAATCCCGCCTGCGCGCGCCCGACGCGCTTCTGCAGCGCCACGAGCTGCTCGTAGAGCGCGCCAGGGGTCGCCGAACGGACCTTCGAGCTCCTCTGCCACGGTCACGGCTTGAGCGGCACGAAGGGAGTGGGAGCCGCGTGGGACGCGACCTCCGTCGCGTCCGCGACGCAGGAGAAGCACGCGTCGTGGCGCGCCGTCGGCTCGGCTGCCGGTGCGCCGTCGCCGAAGGGCGGCCCGCCGGCGAGGTCGATGTAGTGGGGTCGGGGACGCCCGGCGGCGGCGGCGGCGGTCGACGGGAACGCGCTGAGCGAGCGGCGCGCGGCGGCGTCGCGCTTGTGCGCCGGCTGCTGGCGGCGGGCGACGCTCGCGGAGTCGCCGTCGAGGTCTCTGCGCTCGACCTCCGCGCGGTCGAAGGGCACCGGCCGCGTCGCGGCGAGGCGTCGGTGGCGCCTTCGAATGAGCCAGGCGAGGAAGGCGGAGAGGAGGACGATGATCGCGCCCCCGGTCGCGCCTCCTGCGATGGCTGCGATGGGACGGTTGGGCGAGGGTGGGGTGGCGGTCCCGGCGTCGGACGCTGGAGGGGTAGGAGACGACGCGGGTCGAGAGGATGTGTTCGCGGCCGAGGTGAGCTCTGAGGAGGTGATGGTTGGGATGTCGATGATGAGGGCGGTGCGAGCAGCTGTAAGAACAACGCCGCTGTGAGCTGCGGACTCCTACCGAAGCCGTGGATGCTATGGACGCACCGGCACGGAAGAGGCTCCTGAGAGAGTATAGGCGCTAGGGGGGCTGGGAACGCTCGGGTTGTCCGATGTGCTTGAGTTGAAGGACACCTCCGGACGGTCGTCGGAAAATGTGTAGAGCGCATAGTCGAACTGACAATTACCGACCATGCAAGTGATAAGGAGCGAGTGATTGACGTTGGCGAGCCCGGTCTGCGAGTAGGTGAGCACGTTGTAGCAGATAAATTCGCTGCAGAGGTCGCCGGGAGCGCGAAAGAGGGTGTATTCGGGGGCGTCGTCGAGTTCAAACGAGATGTTGTTCTGGGTCAAAAACGGGCCCCCTTCGTACTGTGGTTGTGCGAGCTTGTCAACCATATTGAACACGTAGATCGCCGTCCCAGTGAATTCCAACGTGATCGTCTTAGGCTGCGGGTCCAATCCCGCCGAAACGTCGTGCCACGTGCCATTGAAGACTTTGGAAGTGTTGACCGGATACTTGGTTCCAATCAAGCAACCCGTACAGTTCGGACCTAGCATCCATGCATTCTGAGGAGAGTATCGAGGTACGAATTTCGTGAAGTCATCGCCGAGCTGGTCATCGATGGTGCGGTTCATGGTAAGCGCGCTTGATGTTCTCCCATAGATGAAAAAGACAGTGGACAAGGATTGCAAAAGTATGTGCAGGAGTGTCATCGGATGACACGAAGCTAATAGACAAATGGCATGGGTGCGGCAATTCTCGTCAGTAGGATCATCCTGTGCGCATAATGAGCAGAATATCGAGATTGAGACGTACTAGTACGTAGAAGGCCGCAGAAATGACTCTGGGAGTACGCTCTGCACGTTCGATGACACTGGAAGTGAACTTAGATGGGATGATGTTCAAGAGAAGGGAGTCATCCGCACCTGAAATGTTGGTGGATAAAAGCTCAGAGTTGTGAAGTTATGCGTAGCTTTCGCTCGGCGGCCTGCTTCCCATGGATCGACCGGGAGGGTGTTGAGGGTCGCTTTATACACCTCCAGTGGTACTCATACATATGTGTTTCACGACCGGCAAGTGGCAGGGTCTCGGGGCTGAAAACAGGTAGTGAGATGATAGTGCCGAGGATATTGTTTGGAGAACAAGATACACGCACATGACTCTGCTGTTCCGCACACGAGGAACTGAGATGCTCGTACGAACAGCGCTCCGGACGTTATCGATGGACATCACTTCATCTCTAGAAGCGGATGTGTCACTGTTACCCTCCCCACGTTAGCATTGGGAGTCGATATAGAATGGGGTGAATTCTCCACTCCATCAGGCCTTACTTCGGCATCGAGGATGTCGTTGGAGCGAAGGCGTCTTGTATTGCGAATCGCGTGACGAACCCGACGCATCGAGGTCAATGAGGTTGATATCTGTCCTGCTGGCTCCACTAGCGCTGCGGCGCTGGCGTGCGACGAGGACGGCGTCGGCGGAGAAGAATAGCATTGGCATGGTCCATGTTGAGAGATCCCGTTGCGATGCACTTCGCCGTGGTTGAGGGACTGCCTGTGTCTGGCGAAGTTGAGGTGATTGAGGATTCCTGTATCAGCGACGCACAGCGTTAGGGCAGTTCTCGAAATAAGAGCCTACTAGAGATCGAACTCTACGCACCATATGTTCGCTAGAAAGCGCAGGAAGTCCACAGGTGCGCGAGGTGCCGCAACGACGGCGCCAGTGGCGCGACAGAGGCAGACGACCGCGAGTTGAGGGTCTGGGAAATGTGCCTCGAAACACGGAGTCATGTATGCCACAAGGAGACAGTGGCAGATGCACCGCAAGCCGGTCAGAAGAAGGTTGTTCTTGGAAGTACTTCGAGCATGCGGTGGGTAGGCGGCGCAGGCAAGTCGTCTCAAGAGGGGAGGGATGGAAGTCGCCGTTCATTCATCGAACCGACATCGAAATCACCCACGTCAACGAAGATCGGCCTAGGTCGGGCGAAGCGGAGGGCGTCTATACGCCAGTTCTGATGACTTGAGATTATCTGGGATAAGATTTCGAGTTCCGCCCAACTCCGAGGCCGGTCGGGCAAACTGAGAGCGAGGTCGGAGTCGCGTCCACGTTCTGTCTCTCCAAGCTCAAATTTCAAACTCGCTCCTCGTGCGCAGTGCTGCAAATCCCTTGTGTGGCCGCCTCCAGATCTCATTCTCTCTGTCACCCACTGGCAGATGAGGCGCGCGACACGTAGAGCGGCGCCTCCAGATTGGCCAATCATCATCATCCCCCGAAGCGTCGGGAAGCACTTGAGTAACAAGCAGCTTCATGTGCTCGGACAGCCGGAACCTGCCGCCACATAACATAACACGCCGCCTTCGTCGCACTGAGCGATGCGCGCTCTCAGGCACGGGCTGAGTTTCCGTCCACGATCTCAATTTGTCGCCCTTGTGCGCCTTGTGTGTCCGAGGCGGAGGCAGGCGAGTATGTTTCGCTTCGACGGGCGCGACTCCGGCGCTCCATCCCCCGGAATGGCGGTAATCGCTCGTTTCTCAACACCCTCCGTCAAGGGCCGCTCTCGGGCGTAGCCTGCGCCGTTCGACGTGCGTCTGTGTTCTCCTACCCTTGGCGTGTCCTGTGCTCATCGTTCACGGCGTCTGCACCCGGGCGGCGTTCGCCCGGACTCGGGGCTTCTCAACGTGGTGGCCTGGCTTCCATATAGCTGCCAGCTGAGACAGCATGCCCGCAATCCACCACATCCTTGGCTCTCTGCCAGTGCGCGACCGAGCTTCCCCGCTTCTCCGGCTACTCTCTGCTCTTCGGCACACTCCTTGCTCTCACCCCCTTCCCTTGAGCGCCCGTCACCTGCATCCATCCTGCTATAAGCTCTCAACCCTCTCTCTGCCGTCCCATCCCTCTTTCATCACCACCACCCCGCACCGACATGTCTGCCGACAACGTCCCGCCGCCCATCCAAGTCCCTCAAGTTTCTCGCCAGTCGTCCGCGCCCACCCGTTCGCCATCGACTGCGCACTCCTCGTCTGGAGAAACCGGCGACCGCGACATCGTCCCTCCTTATCACCCCGCCCGCACCCTCGTCCTATGCTTTGACGGCACCGGTGACAGTTTCGGATCTTATGTGCGTGCAGCTGCATCGCCGCCGATGTTTCGACTGACCGTTCGCTTAGAACTCGAACATCATCACCTTCTTCAGCCTTCTCAAGAAGGACGACCGCCATGAGCAAATGGTTTACTACCAGGTATGCTCTTCTGTGCAACATCCATCCACATCATTGACTCTAATCCATCTGTCTTTCCCAAGCCCGGAATCGGAACATACCTCACCACTAGCGAGGTGTCGCAGGTGAAAGCCACAGTACAGAAGGTTCTCGACGAGATGGTAGCCTGGAACTTGGGCGCGCACGTCATGGGTGGGTGGGCGATCTCTGCTAGAAGTCGAGTCGTGCTCATCCTCTTCATCGCAGCTGGCTACGAATTCCTGATGCAGAATTGTGCGTGTGTCCGTCGTGCATATTAACGTATGAAATTGATGTGCATCCAAACACAGATCAAGAGGGGGACAAGATCTGTCTCTTTGGATTCTCACGAGGCGCATACACCGCACGCGCTCTTGCTGGGATGCTCCACAAAGTACGTCTCCATTACACGACGATCCTTTGCGCGCCTGATCGTGGGAGCGTACCAGGTTGGTCTCCTCCCAGCGTGCAATCATCAGCAAGTACCGTTCGCCTACAAGATGTACTCCCGTGAAGACGAACAAGGTTGGGCGCAGTCCACGGCTTTCAAGAAGGCATTCTCCATCGATGTCGACATCGACTTTATTGGCGTATGGTTAGTAGCTCGTGATCACCCGTTTGCACCCGTAGCTGACATGGTGCTTGCTTTGCAGGGACACTGTCTCCTCTGTCGGTGTGATTCCCCACACCCTTCCATTCACGAGTTCAAACAAGGCGATCCGCGTCTTTCGGCAAGCTCTCTCGTTAGATGAGCGCCGAGCTCGCTTCAAACCCGCCTTATACATCCATCCAAAACCGCGCGATAAGAAGCACGGCACCCAGCCAGGGGACATGCCCAAGTCAGACACGACATGGGCCACACAGTCAGCATACCGTCGTGCTGGCAGCAAGCAAGCCTCTGTCCGCAAGTCGCAACGGCAGCATGAGCGCGATTTCAACGCCACCGATCCCGATCATCCCGAGGCCGTAGGAGAAACGGATGTATACGAGGTTTGGTTCGCGGGAAACCACTGCGGTATGTAGAGCGCCCCGATCACCACCCCGAGCCCGTCCCTGACACGGATTCCTCGATCAGACGTGGGCGGCGGGAACGTGACGAGCGACGTGCCACACAGCCTTTCCCGCATCCCGCTCCGCTGGATGATCCGCGAATGCTTCAAGATGGACACCGGCATCCGCTTCCACGGCGAGCTGCTCAGGCGCATCGGCATGGACCCCGCCCACCTCCACCCGCGCGTCGCTTCGCGTCCCCCCCGGTCGCGCCCGCCAAAGGAGCCCACCTCGCGGCGGAGGCGTTGGGCCCAGCGCCCGTCGCAACTGAGGAAGAGTACGACGCCCGCGACGCCGTGATGGAGGCGTTCGACGAGCTCGTCGCAGCCCGTCGTGGTGGGTCCTCGAGTTCGCGCCCATGAAGCAGCGCGTGCAGGGTCCCGCTCCAGAGTACAAGGAGGAGCGCACGACGACGTACGTGCCTTTCGATGCGCTTTCGTACGACGGCTGACGGTTCCGCGTTAGGATGAATCTGGGCCGCGGTCGTCTTGTCCCAAAGCACCACTCGCCGTTCCACGTCCACCGTAGCGTCAAGATGCGGATGGAAGCCGAGGGGTTGAAGGGGGGGAAGTATCTCCCGAAGGCCAAGTACGCGCATGATCCGATATGGGTCGACTGAGACTCCGCTGTTTTTCGCCCGATCTACTTCTCATGTACTGGAGCTTGCTATGATCAACACCCATGTGAGTACATGTACGATTATTTCTAGGCGAGTCTACATGCATATGCTATCACGTTATTCGTTTACTTGGCTTTTCCTGGCTGTCGTGCCTCACACATCATGCCCGACAGCCGCGGGTAACCGAGCTGCTGAGGTTATGCCGAAACTGAACACAGCTTACGAACACCGTGGCCTTGTCGCTTGGCTGCGCATTGGGAGCTTCAATGTCGCTGTCCCAGGCCTCCCACGGTTTCTTGAAACTTCGGCTCAAGGCCACACAGGTCCAGCTTCGAACGCACACTCTATGTACGCAACTCGCTCCCATCACCGCATTTGGATGGTGCATTTTGGCGGGCAAAATATTGTCTACGTCATAGATGCCCGCTCTCGCCCAATGCCTCTAGGAGACTGGGAGCAAGCCCTCTCCTCTGAGCTCTCTCCATTTGCGCTTCGCCTTGCTCCCAGCCCTCACCTTGCTCACAACTCACCCCCTTTCCCATCACTCCCTCCCCTTTTCATCGTCATCCCCCGACTCGACGCCTTTTCGTAATGTTGTCCGATGTTCTGCGTCAAATGCTCGGCTGGGTCTGGCTCTCTACGCCAGAGTCTGAACCCATCCCCACCTTGCCTGCCCTCTTCGACGGTCGCAAGAACGACATACACCCCCCTCGTCTCCATCTCCGTTGGCGGCTCCATGAACTCATGAACAGGTTCATCGACCACAGTATCTCGGTAGACGATGTGCATTCTCCCGCAGAGTCGCTGTTCGAGTCTTGCGTCGTCACTCAGCTCGACCATTTCGTGGACGCCAACGAGGGCGACCCCCGCGAGTACGTTGTCATCCACGTCGCTCTTCCCCCCGCTGCTGCCCTCGCCGACGCACCCCCCGCGCCCGAACTGGCCGCCTCGCCCCCTATCGGCTCTATCAAGTTCGAGTGCTGCTGGAGCACCTACACCCCCCTCGAGGTCTGGAACAAATGCTCTACCCACAGCGAGGGATACCGGCACTCGTGGTCTCACGCGCACGACACCGTCTACGTCGCCGCGCCCGGCGACACCGGTTCGCTGGCGTTCCGCCACCCGACGCGCCTGCGCTCCTGCCGCGGCACCTCCATCCCGCTCCCCCGCGCCCTCGTGGCGGCGTGCGCGCTGCGCAGGCTTCACTTGAAGTGCTGCGAGGACACGTACGCGCACGCGTGGTTCGCGCGCGCGCTGTGGCAGCGGCTCGTGCCCCCCGGCTCCGCGGACGTTGCAGTGGGGGATCCGCCTGCGCCGCCCCGCGGCTGGCTCGCGGACTACGCGTACGGTCTCTGGGGGCTGCTCGCGCCCCTCAAGGCAGGCCGCACCGCCGTGCCGCCGCAGTTCGAGGACGTGCTGGACAGCGGGGAGGTGGAGGCGTGCCGGGAGGTTGAGGACAGGGTGCTCCTCGAGTTCGCGGGCGCGCGGGCGAACATCGCCGGGTGTCTTTCCACGGAGGGCGAGTGGATATCGCCCGAGGATCAGGCTGAGACGGTTGGAGAACTCGGGGACACGGTGGACGCGGCCGTTTGGCCGTGGCTGGGCTACGACCACAGGGCGGTGAACCCAGGGGAGAGGGAGCAGAAGAAAAGAATGCGCGAGCTCAAGGCGATCATCGTGGACATGAAGGAGCACGAGCCAGACGAATACGCGCGCATAAAAGAGCTTAACCCGGGCACGTTCGTCTCGTGAAGAAGTATTTTCCAGACATAGAGACGTGAGTGCTTCAGTGGGCCTAGAGTACGCATGCATTCTGACTTGTTCCGCGGTGGGGCAGTGATTGAGGTGTTTTCCATCCCGCTGAACGTTACAGTCCATGTGGTGTGTGTCACATCCCTTCCTTGTAGCATTAAATTCAGCCTCTCTCCGATTCCTGTTACGACTTTGTAGTCCCGTTGTAACGAGGCTTTGTGCGTGCGCTCGAACCCTTGTAGGTTTACGAGGTGCCTGTGTCGTTGTGCACGTCCATGTGAATTGAGTCCAAACCATGGTTTTGAGCCCCACAGGATATTAGAAACGCTAGACGGGAAACGCGCTCCCTGCTGCAGTTCACGCGCTCGCGACCTGTGGGCTCAGCACCGCGTGGAGGTCGTGGACGACGACCGCCACTCATCTCAGCTGGTCTATAAGCCCGTTGAAACCGCGGGAAAGTTATGTAAGCGGCGCGACTGACACTCCCTATTAGTATTACTTACCACACCCCGCCACCGCCTACATGGCCATCCTTCCCCCTCGTATGCCGCATTCTGGTCCCAACACCGATTTTTCGGCCCTCCAGGGCGTTAAACAGGAGACAAACAAACACCGATTTTATCAACGAAATTTATGCTTACAAAACAGGAACACATAACAGAATATCTCAAGCCCTTTCTGCGCCTCACTCACGGCTGTCAGTTTTGGCGACACACTTTCGTCGATAGCGTCACTCGAAACCCGCATGCTTACCACCGCCGCCTATGCGGATTAAGTACTTTAAACCAACTTGTATCCCCGAGCTACTTGGTACTGACGCCCTTCCAGTGCTGAACATACTGCGGCGCGTCGAGATACGCTTCAACCCTATCGATGTCCTCCTGCACCCACTCACTCGCCCCAAATTCTTGCGCAGGCGGCCAAGGGCCCAATTCAACCCAACCAGACAACTCGCGGCTCTGCTCCTCGCCGGAGAGAGGGTCGGGGCGCTGAGAAGAGACAGCGCACACGGAGGGGACGCTCTCCGGACGCTCGTACGTCCACCTCCACTGCCGTATTTCACTCGCGCCTCCGAGCTCGCGGGGCCCGCGACACTCGGCGAAGAGCGCTTCGATCGGGCGCACGCTGCGTTCCGCGCGCGCCCGCACGAAGTCCGCCTCGAACAGCGCCGCCCACCGCGCCGCGACGTCCGCCGGCCCCGTCGGACAGTCCCCGAGGTCGACGGCGACGGTGCGGAGCGCGGGACAGAGCGCGTCCACGCCCGGCCCCGGCGTGCGCGGGTCGAGCGCCTCGAAGAGCGGCAAGAGGAACGTCTGGAACGGGCAGGCGTGTCGCCCTTCCAGCGGCGCGCCGTCCGAGAAGGAGAGGGCGAGCTCGTCGAGCGCCGGCATGCGCGCGAGGAAGAGGAGCAGGGTGTCCAGCATCATGCAGCCGCGCGTCGCGGCGTCGCGCGTCGGGGCGACCCTGAGCGATGTTATGGACGCGAGGGGCAGGCCGCGCAGGTCGCGGGGACGGCTCTGGAGGGAGAGGTTCCGTATGTGGAGGCGCCCGGCGGGGCGCATCGACTCTGAATGGAGGGGTGGGCCGTCGAGAAGGATGGAAAAGCGCTCGTGGAAGAGGCGGAGGGACAGGTGGGTGCAGGTGGAGAATAAAGGGCGTTGAGGTGCGTGCCATTCTGAATTGGGGTCGAGTTTCCGGTTGAGATTGAGGATGAGGTGCACGTGCGCATTCGGTGGAAGTGCGATGCTGTCGACGAGGCGACGAGCGCTGTTGAAGTCGCAGCGGACGATCGTGATAGCTCTCAACGATGGTAGAGAGACAGGATCACTTTCCACGTTCGTATCGCTGGCGCAAACGCAGTCATTTTGCGCCGAGTTGTAACGAAGGAAGATGAATTCTAGGTGCAAAGATGAAGCAAGAAGCGCCCGAAGCTCCTCAAGATGGTGGTCCTCGTAAGGTGGAGGAACGTCCCGGAATGACAGCGAGAGATGGGTGAGTTTTGGGAAAGGGCCGGACGGAATCTTGATTCCCGGTGAGACAGCGAGTGCCCGTAATTGCGACGGAAAAGCGGTGGGGAGGAACGTTTCCGATGCCTCGGCGGGAATGGAGCGATTTCTGTGGCCCCAGGGTTTTACCACGCAGTGCGCAAGGAAGGCAACCCCGAGAGATTGAAGACGGGGTGCTTTGAGGGGGAAGATCTCGGCGAAATCATCCCACAACTGGGGGGCTTGGATAACGTGGCTGCCCATAGGATCGGGAGAGAGCATGATCCGAAGGCTGACAAGGCGAGATTGAATGTCGGGATCAACAATCGCCTTCGTGAACGGATCACCCAGAAATATGGAGATATAAAGGGGAGATGTCCCGGCGCGTTGAAGACAAGTCGGGAAAAAGTCTTCCGGTGCATATCTCCAGGCACTAGCGTGGATGTATGACCATAGGTGAGGAGTGGTCGTCGCAAGCAAGCGCCATGACTGAGTCGGAACTGACAGACATGAGATATGCTGAGAAGGGTCCTAGTGCTGCCCCTCGCGGCCCGACCTGTCTCCTCGGTGTCCTGGTGGAGAGTGGCGAAGAGAGAGCGCATTGAGAAATTGGACGGTAGGATGGCTTGCTCATAGATTTTGAGTATCAACTCTGCGGGAAGTTTCTCTATTCCCGAACGAGAGTTCACGGCGAAGTAGATTCTGCGGACATAGTTGGTCCACATGTCTGCGAGAACGAGAAGCTGCGGGTCAATTGTCAGTTACTCATCTGTGCTCTCATTGTGATGACACAAACATCATTGGTGCTGCAGATCGTCGAGTCATGAATACACAATTGCAGCAGATCACGTTAAAACTCTTACTTGAGTCTCGATAGATCAGTATCATCTTGAAGGGTTTGATGACGCTGGACAAGCTGGTCGAAGTCTCCTTTGTTGCTCATATTGCTACTAACGGTAGATTACGTAGAGCGGCGTGTTAGAAAAATAAACAAAAACGGGGTTGGATGAGCATGCCTGAAGTGAGCGGTAGAACAGAGTGAAAAGGCGCTGAGCGTGGGACTCTTCCGGGCGTGGTGGAGAACGCACCAACCTGAAGCTGAGGTGCTTCCCCAGCCTCTGTGGCGTATATATACGTAGATAAACTACTTTACAGTACCACGAGGTGAATACAAAGACCGCGATGATGCACGCGCGAGTGGCTGCTCGCGCGTGCTGCCCTTGGCTTGGGCGCGATTCAGATAATCTAGTAGCCGGAGCGGTCCGTAGGCGCTCCGCGCGCGCAATAAGATCTTACATGCGGTCTCATTCCTTAAATACTAAATTTGAGATCTCGTCTTGATCAGGAGGTAAACGGCCGTTCTTCTTCAATACCACATTTCCCTGTGCCCTTCGAATGAATGTCCTAACACTTACATCTCATTGGCGCTTTTTCTGGCCTATAAATTAGTCATTACGACTTGCGCGCAGTGCGACCGCCAGAATGGGCGTCAAATCCCAAATGTACACATCTACAAATACATTGGCGGGCATTACTAGCCGGGCAGCTCAATTCTCAGCTCGAGCAGCCAGCTCTCGTGCGCTCGAGGTCCGTCCCCAGTCTCAAGCTACCGTGCCGCCCAAGCTTGCCTAGATCGCTCTTGATGTCGTTCACTTACACGCCTCGCCGCCTGACCCACACCGTCCACCTCTAGGCCGTGGATCGTCGCGTGCGGTCCCGCCACCATCGGACGAATACCGGTCGCGCTCGTGGAGCGGCGAACTCGACGCGGCTACGAATTCGGATAAGAAGGCATGCTAAATGTTAACCCTTCCCGTGTGCAGGCCGGAGAGAGCATCGCAGGGCGTGCTAACGGCGGACGCATACAACCAACACGGTCGCGATGCCCGCAGCGCAAACGCGGTGAGTACATACCACGATATCTCCCATGCAGCGCCTGACACAAAGTACAAAAGGCCATCCATAGTGCTCGTCGAACCTCATCCCACAACCACGCAGTGGCTCTTCCAACCGTCCACCACTCTCACCCAACCAATCGCACGCACTCCACCATGAAACTCCTCAATCTCGTCGTTCTCGCGGCCGCCGCCGCCATTCCCGCCCAGGCTTGCAAGTGCATCGACAGCAATGGAGGCCAGAACGCCGTCAACACTCAGTTTTGCTGCGCGTCTCTCGACGGATCGTTCCAATTCGGCGACGACTGCGCCGCCAGCTCCATTTCGCAGCACCTCAGCAACTTCAGGTCGTGCTGCAGGATCCGCGGCAGCCAGACCTCCGACTGCAACTTCCCGAGCAAGGTGAATGTCTGGGTTGTATCCGCGCACAAATTTCTGCTGACGGTTGAAATGATAGGAATAGGGCCATTGGCCGGGCGCACTGGCATATACTTTCAGAACCCCCCGTCATGTTGTTCAAGAGATGTAGGATGGGCCATGGAGCAGACAAAAATGTGGATTTTAAGAACGCCCACGTTGTAGAACTCGTATCATGTAGTACTATACATGATCGAATCCCCAATTCGTGTTTGGTGGAATGCGATGCCACGACGCCTTCAGCGACGCCGTGGTTTACATTCCATATTTGCAGGCAGTCGTTTCTGCTGTTCGCACACGGCAATGTTCACCGAACATCTCGAGAGCGCGATGACCGCGCCGACTCACGTCGCCGATAGCCACCGTGGTCAACGCTTCACTGGCCCTACCGCACACCCGCTTTCACGCACCTCTTCGTATTTTCCCGGAGCGCGTCCCGGGTTCCGGCAGAGGATGTCGATGACCTTGTGTCCGCCCCCCTGGCCTCGCACTACGGGTCTTCGCGCCGCGCCTCAAGCTCGCCCGCTGAACTCGGCGATCACCTCGTCCTTTGGGCTTCACCATCGCGCGGAAGATTCCATTTCCTCTCGTGTGATCGTCGGAGTGGCAGTACCAGAAGGAGGTATGAACTCTGGAGGCCCTCAGGGATACAGAGGCGGAGCTTCATTGCGTAAAACCGAACTTGCTCTCGAGCCATGTCCTGCGTCTGTGGAGTCCTTCAAGGCTCCCAAAGCGATCTGCAGCGGTACTTAGCATGAGTCCCATGTACGGACAACACGAGAACAAGCAAGACTTCTCCATGATAACGATACTGATCATCGTCAAAAGCGGCCGTTAGAGGCAACCTCTACGTGACCGGACAAACCTAGTCGAAGACCACGACCGGTCGAAACGAGCCGGTGATCAGACGGCGGATACCATGCAAAGAAATGATTAGACAGTCCGTTACGCTAGTTGCCAGGGAAAGACAGACTGCTGGTGGGGTGAGGGGGTTCGTGCGTGCGCGTGCAAGTCCGTAGATAAATCAAGCGTACGGTGCGTCCGAAGACGGGAGGGGAACTAGCTGGTAAGTTAGATGCGAGTGGGTGCGAATGCGCAGTGTGGTGCGGTGAGATAGGGATATATAGTGTCGATGCGTAGGCAGTCCATGGCAAGGGGGCAGAGTTCGTGCTCTCGTGAAGGCGGCAGTCGGTCGGTCCGCGCACGAGAGGGACGTGGCGTCACAGTTCGTCTCGAAGTCTCTCTCAGACACGCGCGACGGCGGCAAAGGCGCCAACGAAGGCACCGACGACCCCAACGAGGAGCGCGGAAAGCACGCCAGCGGGAAGTGCGGGCCGCGGCTCGCGCCGTTGAACGGCACGAAGGGGTCCGAGCTCTGGCTCGCACTGGAGCCGTCAGACGAGTTGATCCTGTCGCCGGTGAGGTTTGCGCCGTTGGGGCCGATCGGGCGCGAGGTGTCGGTGAAGGCGCACGAGTCCGACGTGCAGAGGCACTCGCCCTTGACCGGGTCCCAGAACGGCGTCGAGCAGTTGGACGCGATGCGGACGCGGGGAGCGGAGGACACCGTCGATTGTGCGGGGCTCGGGTCCGAAGGCGTGGGGTGGTCCGCAGGGCAGCCATACTGTATCAAAGTCAGCTCACGATCGCAGAATGTCGAGTGCTGGACGACATACGCAAGTGTAGAAGGGGAAGTCCGAGAAGGGGCACAGTTGGATCAGGCCAGCCTCGTGCGAAGGCATACCGTTGCAGATCTTGACCGAGTCGTCGATCGCGGGAGTGGAGCACTTGAGAGGCGCGAAGTTGTTGAGGTCCGAGAGCTTGGTCGGGTTGCGGACCCACGCGAGGAGCTGCTCAGAGGAGACAATCCAAGCTGTACAAAGGATCAACGGAAGGTTTGAACAAGTATAACACAATCCGACTGACTGTTTGGCTGCTGCTGTGCCCAGTCAAGGAACTGGTTGATCATCGCGATCGTCTTCGTCGAAGCGGTGGAGCCCGGGACGCTCAGCTGATGGTCGTCATAGGTTAGCGTGGCAAACTAACTAATATCTAGCCAGCGACCCACCGAGACGTGGATGGGGTGAGTGTAGAGACCGAAGGGTTGGCGCTTGGCGTTGTAGTGGGCCATGAAGGTGTTCTTGAGGTACTCGAGCGTCGCAGTGTCGTTGACTGCAGTCTCGCCGTTGGCAGCGTCACTGTATGGTGAATGAGAACGCGATGTCACACAGCCTGTGGTGAATGCTCACAGCCAGGGGTCCATCAGATGGGGACCGTTGATACCACGGTTGTCGAAGGTGGCGTACATCGGGAGCTCCCAGAAACCGGGGAGCTGGGGTTGGCCCTTGCAGAGGCCATCGACGGCGAGACAGTCATTGGCCATGCCATAGTCCAGCGTGTACGGCCAGTAGGCATCAGTGTCTGATTCAGTGACGGGGATAGACGCGCTAGATGAGGAGTCATAGGTGAAGCCCATGCTGGCGAGGAGCTTGAGGGTGTCAACCGAGTAGTTGAGGAAGGGCGCGCGGAAACCGATGATGGACGAGAGCGGGATGCCGGCGAGCTGGTTGAGGGCAATGAGATTACCCGCGACCTCGTTCTCGGGGGGCGTGCCGACGTGCGTCATTCTGCGGATATGACGGGGTTTACACGAGGCGATTTGGCAGGATATGACAACACTCACGTGTGGTCCGCAATCTCGTTGCCGGCGACGTACCAGTCCGTGACGAGTGTGAAGTTGGTGTAGTCGATGGAGTTGTAGTACGTCATCTTGGGCTGACAGCCGTTCGGGTTTTTGCGCTGGGCCAGGAACTGGTTCACAGAGTCAAGGGTGTAGCTCTGGATGGCATCGTCGGCGGTGAAGACGATGAACATGGGCGTGTCTTCCTGCATGGCGAGAGACCGGGTCAGCTCGGAGATTCAAACAGGACGGGCGGAAAAAAAGACGTCTTGGGCACAGTGGGTGGGGGCGAAGACCTGAGCAGTGAAGACATACAACAGCGAGACCACCCGGAGGATCAGTGCTTGCACAGTGGCAGTTGGGCAGCTGGCATTTCGAGGGATCGCAAGAGTAACCGGCGGCGGCAGAGGAGGTCGTGGGGCCAGAGATTGAGCCTTCCTCTGCGAGGACGAGGCCAAGGAGGGGGAGGACGGCGGCAAAGAGGGAGGCGGGGCGCATGGTGGCGTCGGGGGGAGGGCAAGCGACGGCCGGGGAGGAGAGGGCCAAATGCGAAGAAGGGCAACGAATGGGGGAGACGGAGAGAGTATATGTAAGACGCGGGCCAGAAAGCGGGCTCGAACCGTGCTGGCTGCTGACAAAGCACCTGACCCACCCGGCCTGATCTCCCCGCGTATCCCCAGACCTGTCACGGCCGCTCTTGAGTCTCCTCCACGCCGCCCACAGCGAGCGCTGCCATTCTACGAGCCCGACACCGTCCTCCGCACCGCCAACCACTGCACCTACCGAATCCGTCCCCCCGTACTCAGAAGCCGCCTCCGCAGCCGCTTCTCTATTAAGCGGGCTCACACGAATGCGCCCAGTGTTCCAGGCGCTCGCTTCGTCCTGTTCGCGTCCGTCACAGAACGTGCGGGCCGCATCCTCGCGCACGGGCGCATGCAGACGAAGCCCAGGTGATGACCAGAGCCCTCCGCCCAACATCGTGGATTCATTCCGAGGCGCCAGCGACGTACCGGTGCTAATTCCGGAACTCCGCCCGGCGACAGACGCTGGGAGGCGTCGATATGAAACAAGAACTCGCCTTCAAACCCGGCCGGACTCCAGCATTTTGAAGAACGAACGTGCCGGGAATTGAGGGTGCTGTGTGGGTCCGTTCCTTCTTAGTTCTTGGCTCTTGTGCTCAACTTGTGCTTTACACTTCGTTTGCAGTACCTTCTCTGTACAAGCAAAAAGCACGCATCTATGGCTACCCCCCGAGTATCTTCCAGACGAACTCGCTCAGTACATCGCGTGCATCTGCATGGCGCCGTAGTCTGGGCGGGAGTACACCGCGTCGTCTTGCTCGCGCATCAGCACCAGGGTCCCGACTACGAGGTGGTCGAAATACTTGTGGCCCAACGGCTGGAGCGACATCGACCGCGGCGCGTCGAGGTAGAAGATGGCCAGCTCATTTCCCTTCATCATGGCCTAGGAGCCACCGTGAGCAGCGCACTGTCTCCTCTCCAACGCCGAGCTCACCTTCCATTGGCGCTTGCTCTGTTTCCATTCAATGGTAGATCCGTCCCCGACGCGGTACACACGAGCTCTGGTTCATTCGTCAGCTTCGCACGCAGCGACCATGTGGTCCTCGCGCGTCTCACCCGTTGACCAGATTCTTCGAGACGACGTCTTTCAACGGCCTCCCGGTCTCGCCCATCGTCAACGACGAACCCATCGACACCGACGCAGATCCGAACCTGCAGACGATGGTCTCGATGAGCACCCCCGCGCGCGCTCCTCCAAACACAAGACTCACTCGATCGACGCGACCTGCGGCCCGTCCTCCGTCAGCCCCCTCCTCACCGTCACTACGCAACACCGCGGCGCCCACACGTTCACCCCCACGCTGATACAGTACCTCCCGAGCCCCGCCGCCGCCTCCTCCCCCGCCCCCCGTGCCTGTGAGGGCGACGAGAGCGTCATCGCGAACGGCCCGGCCTGCGCGAACCGGTACGACGCCGTCCCGCTGGGGAACGCCGCGCTCGCGTACGTGGGCAGCCCGTGCTCGTCCACTTCCCGTCCGTGTCCTTGTTCTGGTTGGGCAGCCGCGTCCTCCGGAACCCCCTCGAGCACGCTCTCGCGCCGCCGTTGCAGCTGCAGCTGCGCGCTCTGCCGCCGCGCGGGCGCGGAGTTGCGCCGCGGCCCAAGCGCGATCTTGCCCGCGACCGCGCTCGCGAACGCCGATGGGACCGTCGACGCCCGTCGTGAGTTCCCGCGCTCGCTCGGGGCGGGCGGCGTGCAGTCCATCGTGGGCGTGGGCGTCCCAGGAGAGGGGGAGATCGCGCGCGGGTCGTCCATCTGGCGGCCCTCGAGCAGCGCGAGTGCGCGCGCCCGGCCGTCGGCGGAAGCGGAGAGGCTGTCGCGCTGGGGCTCGGAGCCGGAGTCGTTGCTGCGCCGTCCTGACTGGAACGTCGAGTCCGAGTCGGAAGCGACGTCCGAGCCCGGCGTTGGCTCGGAGCCTGGCGGCGAGGGCGGGTATTCGGCTTTCGGGCGCGAGTACAGGTCGTCGTCTGCCGCTTGCGAGCCCGAGACTGTGGTGGCGGGGGTGGAAGGGTGGGGGTGTCGGCGGGCCGGCGAAACAGCGTGAAGCGCGAGGGCGAGGCGGGCGGGGAGGGGTCCTGCCCTCCGAGGGCGCGGCGGCCGAAGAGTGACATGCGCTTCGAGTTGGAATGCTTATGAATGGCCTGGGTAGACTCCATAGTTCAGTCGCGGAGTCGCGGAGGGGGCCAGGTTGGTGGTGGCTTGGGGCTCGGATCGGGGAGTGAGCGCAGGAAGGAACGAGGGATGGATGTAGCTTGACCGCTTTTCTTTGCGCCCGCCGCGCGTTATGTATCCCTCGTGGCCCTCGAGCGCAGTCTGCTATGTTTGCGTGATGGGCGGGTGCAGCGCCTGGTGTTCCAAGTTTAAGGTGCTGCGGGGCCCCTTGGTGACCGAGGCGCGCAGCAAGGGAACATAGAAGACATACGGCATCGGACACTCCAAATAGCGATTGAGAGCTGTGCGGATCACTGTGGAGGCGGGGAGAGTTTACTGCGCTGTGCTCAGCATGCGGGTGATAGCGTCGTACGACTTGAGCTGGGCATAGAACGCTGGGTAGAAAGGTGGGAAAAGGGGAAGGGCGAGAGGGCATTCCAGTGTTTATCATGGCCTTTATGTGCGTACCATGAGCTCTACCGGGTGTATACTTGGGAGAAGGATTCCTTCCTTTCGGACGATGGAATGGTAGGTCATGACGTCATTCAGTGGCCTGCGGAGGCGGTACGTTCTTTGTAGTTATTTGCTACTCATCGAGCTATGTGAATTCTTCCAGCAGAACCATCGAGCCATAAAGTAGTATTTCGCATCGTCCGATGCAAGGAAAATCGCGTGTCAACCACCGCCTCAAAGTTTGCTTCCTACCCAGAGTAGTTCAATTGTTGGCATGGAAGCTGCGCGCCGCTTTACTTCTTCTTTCAGACTTTCAGTGCTTACGGTGGTAAGACGACAATCTAACTGAAAAGCCGCGGGTTTCGATGGACCGAGTTGATGCGTAGGAAGGTAAGTAACGGCAGCTTCAAATCGTTGGAGCTCAGACTGTGTGCTGTTTGAGATGTTGATCAAGCTGTGGATGATTTTTGGTGCCGTTTTGGCGCTGATGATCTACGGCACGTGCTCTGAGAGTTTACATATAACGCGCGGTTCGTGTCGGCTATTCCGCACGCACCTCACGTCAAATTGCAGACCGACCCACCCTCTGTCCTTGCGGCAGAGCTCAATGGCAGGTCTGTGCCAAAGCAGGGCGGAGAACGACCGGATGTCTTAGTGCTCGGCCTCGGTCGCGCTGCTCGGGCCCGTCCAGGCTGGAGGAGCAGAGCCGGTGATTCGTACATTCCTCTCCCTTGCCACCACCTCTTCCCCGACACGTCACCGCCTCGTTTCCCTCTGCACCTGCCTCTGTGTACCCCTTTCGTAGCCGTAACATGCTCTATTCTTGTTCACAACGTGATCGTCAGTGGGTGATTCCGCTTGCACCGCCCATGCGGTCGGAAGAAGTACCATGGTGAGTCCTCGAGGCCGTTCACAAATCCCGACGCGGCCAATCATCCCCACTACCCACTTTCTCCTCCTTCACGACTGTACGCCAATGAAAGCCATACGACGGCTCATCGGCCAGGAAAAGAAACCAACGACTTTTGATACGCAGGAGAGGTCGATTCCTGCGGTACCTGCCGACGAAATCGGTCAAGAGCTCAAGAGCTGGGCCAATAGCGTCGGTGTGGTGCTTGCACCCGTGGATGCAGTATGGTGGCAACTACAGAACAAGCAGGACCTGACGGTTGAAGAACGAGTGAAGTCGGGAGTCGTGGGGCTGCAGTTTCATGGTGGAGGATACATGCTGGGGAGGCGAAGGAGACCGAGTCGGGGTTCTCTCGTACGTCTTTGCTTTGCTTTCTGCGTCACTGTTGTAACCTATGCCCCGCTAGGCATACCCCGAGGGCTGATTCAGGTGAATCTTGCGGTCGTGAACCGTATCGCGTGCTCATATTTTCTTAGCACGGAATATGTGCATCGGTCCTATGTGAGTGATCAATACTGTCTGTTGTGTCCGCAAGTCTTATTTCCGCTCTCTGTAGCTGTTGAGTATTCCCTCATCGGATTATCAGAAGATGATGAAAGCCGTCCCTTCCCGACTCAATTGCTCGAGGCGGTGTCGGCGTACCGATATTTGCTCAAAGACATGAACGTTCCCGCAAGTCGCATTGTGTTCGTTGGCGATTCTGCGGGAGCGCATCTGGTGCTCGCTCTGCAACGCTACCTGTGCGAGACACAGACTCTACCTTTTCCCTCGGGATTATTCCTACACAGCCCGTGGTGCGATCTCTCTGCGTGAGTGGTCCAAGTTTGTGAAGTGTGTTAATTGAATAACGTGCATGTCAATCCATCAGAGACGCACAACGCCCTCAAATGCCGCGTCTGCTTGGCTCGATGACTGCCGACCACCTATCTTCGCCTTACTTTTCACCTTCACTAAACCCGGCACCCCGACACTGGCCACCAACCTTGATATACTACGGCGAGACCGAGCAGTTCAAAACCTCCATCGTGGCACTAGAATCACAGCTGAAGAACGCCAACGCCAAAGTCACGGCCTATGCGGCGCCAGGGATCCCGGAGTACTGCAGCCACGATTTCCTCATAATGGCAAACGTTGAGAATGGGTTCCCTGAAGAAGTACGCAAATGCTGGAGAAGGGTCAAAGGATGGGCGCAGACTCTGGAAGCGAAGCGCTAGTATGTAAGGCGCTCATCGCACTCCCGACGAGTTTTTGGCTTACAACTCGCAGATGTAGACGGACTATATGCTGTACCGCCGATATGTTGTTGTAACAGAGTATGTGCTGCTTCTTCTTCTCCTGAACAGGTTCAGCGAGCTTACCATCCACTTGGTCAGTGGTTACTCATTACGAACAAAGGGACAAACTCACCGCTCCGTCCCCGCGTAATCGGCGGTCACCGGTATCCCGTGCCCCGCATTGCACTCCTTCCGCACGACGTCCTCCGAGAACCGCCGCGCAAAGCCGAACAGCTCCTCCGTCTCCAGCGGCCTCTTCGCCCGCACCAGCCTCTCCCGCACCAACGCCCTCAACGCGTCCGCCACCCACGACCGGCAGTCCCACCCGTCGTCCTCCTCCCCCGCGCGCACCGGCACCTGGCACAGCACGGGTCCGCCGCCCGCGCGTCCCGCACGTCGACCGTCCCGACGCGCACGCGGCCGACCATCACGGGCGTGCGCGCGCACTCGACCGCCCGCCGTTCGAACGCCCACAGGCCGTTGCGGCGCGTGGCGTGGTATCGCGTGCTCGGCCGTGCCAGCGACCGCGCGTCCTCCCTTTGTGGGGCCGGGGCGAGGAGGAGGGCCCAGTGGATGCGGAGGTGAGGAGTAGACGTGCGCGTGTCGTCGTAGCTGGCGAGGTAGAGGTGGAGCTTGCCCATGGCCGGCGCTGGAGGGCGGGGCTGGCAGGGTGTGGTCGCTGGGCGAGGACGAAGCAACGGAGGAGGATGACACGAGAGGCGATTTGGATGCAGCCTGGTTGTTCCTTCAGGCATCCGCCTGCTTGCAGGCAGCTTTTGTGCGTCCGTGGTGGGTTGGGCATGTGGGCAGCGTGTGCAATGTGCGGCTTATGCGTCCTAAAACCCTTTGTCTCCGAGCAAACCCGTGCGTATCGTGCGTCGACGTACCTTTATCGCCCACGCCTCCCCGCATCTACTCGTTGTGATCTAACAAGTCGACCACACGCGGCACCGTTGGTCCCATGGAAACAATATTCTCGACATATTGCAACAGCATCTCAGCTAATATCCGCGTAAATTCTTACAGTCGTTGAACGTATCGAGGTGAGATCGCAATAGCATGCGCTCTCCTACTGTCTGCCTCCCCTCTTTACCTTCATATCTAACATCTGCCCATCCCTGTTGCATAAGACTTCTGTTTGCTCACCATAAGTTGCACTTGAATTTGTTGATGCTGATAATATTATATGATGGGCACATATATGGGCCCTTGGCACAGTGGTAGCGCGCACGCTTCGCAGTAGTTGGGGACATTTCGTCCTTGAGCAGTTGTTTGCGTGAGGTCCAGGGTTCAATCCCCTGAGCGTCCATATTTTTGTTTGTCTGCACCGTTCACACCACACTACCCACACGGAGCATATCAATATCACTTTGAAAGCAGGCTCAGTGGAGGTCTTTTCGTTGCGGTGCGGACGAGCGCTGAGCGCAAGTGTGAAAGAAAGCACTGTTGCTGGCCCTCGGAATCTCGTGAATCGTCACATCGCATTCAATCATGTTCCCACCTCCTCCACAGAGCACATCGAGACCGCTGCCCTACGTAAGAAATGCATGTCCTCCACGCGTCGGCTCGAACAGGCCATCCCAGCATTTGAACCCCACATTGGAAGTGATCTGAGCAACACCCACGATGAGCATCGGCCTCTCATAGGAGTGAAGGAGCAGCATACCGTGGTCGAGTTACACATGGCCATGACGGGGTCGCCGCTGAGCGTCTTTGCCGAGATGTCGGACGCGAAGACGTTCGTGGCTAAGCACACACATGAGCGAGCGCATCTCGACGGGTTTGCGGAAAACGGACGCACCAGTGTCTGGGTAGAGGTCAAGGATGATGACCTCCTTGCCTGTCGCCCCTTCGACGGCGTACCTGGAAATGATTCGTCAGGGACAGATTGACCACATGGCAGCAGGCGACGTGCCAGCACGGGTCCGAGATGCAGGAGCCTTCGACGTATCCCGGGGTGCTACAGATTGAGGTGCATCAGGGAAGGGATGGTAAGTCGTCATGTAAGGAACGCACTCGTTGATCGTCCCGGAGAAGCCTTTGAACACAAAGTCCTGAATTCGCGTATTGTTGGGGCTGCTGGTGTTTGGCGGGGCGCCAAGCTGATCGGATTCGAGTTGTTAGACAGAGTTCTGTATATGTAAAGGACTTAACCTACTCCCTGGTCCCAATAACTGGACCGAGATGATCAGTATCAAACGACGCGTCAAAAGAAAATATCCATCTACTTTTGGGTCACATAGATCTACGTGGGAGGGCAGTCAGTAACGATGTAAGCAGATATAGGGTTGCGCGTACCGGGAACATGACGTTCTTGAACAAGATGTTCTTCCATGTGATGCTGGGACGACGTTAGATCAACTCGGTTGAAAGATGAAGGTCGCGTACTTTCGGGCAAGGCCATTACCGCCGGTCCAACTCTTGAATCTTGCCGCGTATAGCGAGTTGACCTGGAGGCCCATGAGCTCATCGTCGGTTTCAAGAACGTCGAGTCCCTACCATCACAACGTTCTCGATGCTATTATGTGTATGTGAGCAGAGTACGATTTGGGAGAGAACAGTGCGCACTTACAGGACGTTCTGAACATCCGCAACAGAGCCACCCTTTCCGAGGGAGCCGATGGACAACCCGTGGCCTCCTTCGCAGTAGTTATTCCTGGCATCCACGTGAGCGGAGATTCACCATGAACTCTGCAATATCTCACCTCCAATGGATATTCTTTGCTCCGCTGCCGACGGTGAGGCAGTCATCTCCGTTGACGATATGATTGCCTTCGAGAAGCAGGTCGGAACCACCGGCGGAAAATCCTGGAGATCAAATATGTGAGTCCATGAAGCTGACTCGAACATGTGTTACGAACCGTCCCTATGAGTTTGGATGGCATGGGGCGTCAAAATGCAAGCCTTGGTTCAGACGCAGCACGTACGTGTTGAATGGGAATGACTGCCGTGTAATGTAAGTTCAGGTCAAAACAAGGCAAAGAGGGCCTCACATCGGTGTCCGACTTCGCCAGGATGATGTTGTTATAGACATGGATGTTCGACGCCCCACTCGTAGCAAAGTTCCACGCGATAGGCTGTCATATCTGCTTGATGATATGTGCTGATAATGACCGAGGGAGCTTACCTTCCATAACTTCATATTATGAATTGCGCCGTGCGAGATTTTGCTGAAAGCCCAACCATGGGGACGGTTGGTTTGCTCCATCGCGTCCCACCACTTCGAGGTGCTCAGCAATACCGAAATGCAGTCAGGAGGGCACATACCTGTTGGCCATGACCGTCGACCCAACCCCATTCTGGATCCGTAGTTCCACGCAATGTAACGTTCGTTCCACCTGAGAAAGTCACCCTGGAAAGTGCTGAGCACCGCGAACATGCTGAATAGGAACGGGAGGGCACTCACCATGACCCGGGGAAACCCTAGCGTACGCACAACCTCGTCAACATTGAGACTCCTCCACAAGAACAATGACATACAGACGACGACACAACGCTACCAACCCGCAAATGAGCGAACGTGTGGAGATTTGGAGGCAATCGACAGACCTTGAATGGCAGCAATGTCATCAGGGTACGTGAGGTTCCCTTCGATGGCGACTTCGACATTCGTGAAGGAGGGGAATTTGATGCTCGTGAACAGGTTGTAGGTCGTGCCCTTCTTGAAGAGGATGGTCGTGTTTGCCGAGTATTTGCCCGTCGCCAGCGCCGCAGTCAGAGCAGGAACATCATCCGCTCCGTCCGTGTGTTGCACCGTAAACGTCTGCCAGGCAACCACATAGGTGGTGAGCAACAGGAGGATCAACCAACGCGGGAGCCAGCCATAACGGAAGTACGGGGGGTCATAAGAGAGACCTGTTACTCACCGGACGCTTTATACTGCTCTACCAGCGCCGCAAGACCAGGTGGTCAACGCGGTGCATCATAATGAGAGCTAGGGCCCGCTTGGATAAATGAGCGGGGCGGTCAGGTGGGCGCGTGGGCGCTGCGTCCAGGGAGGAGCTGGGCCGTCGTCGTCGGAATATCGAGACAGTTCAAGCGCGGCTGATGCAGAGAGAGCACCTGACCGGGTTAGTGCAGAACAGGGAGCAGAGGCGAGCGGTGAACGCGACGCTGCGACTCGAGCAGCCGCGGCGCGAACAGCGAGGTTTTTGCGGCCGGCAACGTTCGCGCCGCAGAGCGGCCCGCCACGTCCCGCCGCCGCCACCATCGTACCCTGTGTGCGCGAGCGTGACAGACATCTCATGCCAGTTTCCCCATCTCGCCAACTCCTCCGTGTTAACCGAACCTGTCACCAACTTGGCCTTGCATGGCACGCGTCTCTTGTCTGCGTCTTTGCCAACAAATCCCGCGCACTTCATGCAAGTTGATGGGACCAGCTCCGAGAGAGGCATTCTCTTTCTACAGCTCTCCTTCGAAGACCGTTGGCATCACCGCATCACCCTACCCATTTGAGCACACGCTTCTCAACCCGTAAATATCGCGGCCTATCGCAGTCAGTACTAGTCCCCAATGCCGACTTTTTGACGGGTAAGCTTCGATGTGTTTATATTACACAGACAACCGTTGCTACGACTACCTCGACAATCGCAGCTCAACCCTGGTGAGCGACGATCAGTCGCTACACCTCGAGTGGAGAAGCGACTGATCGGTGGTAAAATTCGGATACAGTTTAGTCTTCAATTATCAAGTGGCTCAACAACACGTGTAAGCAGACACTCTCCGAATTTTGATGGCCGGGGTTGCGCTCTTTGCCCTCACCAACCAGCAGCGATGAGCGACGTCCGAACGCGAACGGCTCTCAAGAGGGAGACTCGAGAGCCCGTCTAGCGACGTACCATCGCTGACGAGCTCTCCATTCTCGGGCCAAGACGAAGCAACGGAGACGTAGGGGATAATATGGAACCGGAGAGTGAGATGTCTCAAGACTGAAAACTCCGGCTGACATCAAACCTGCGCAATGAGAGTCTCCGACTTATCATATTCTCTTTGTGGCTGACCACGACCTCAGTTCCTCTTCAGCACGAATGCGATCTTGTAGATCCGGACTGTTATCCGCCTCGAATCATCGTCGATTTGCCTGGTCACCGACAAATTCGAGCTGTCTGGTGCATTTTCAGTCTCGGCGAATAATCTGTGGACACCCTTGTGGCTGAGAAGCTGCTCCACCAGCGCAGGAACCGATGCAGAAGTCGATTCGAATCACTGAACGAAGTTCGGTCTTCCTGGTATCACGGAAGCTGCGTCCGAGTTCTGCTTCCGACTTGCGTCAATACAGATTACATGGGATCAGTTCGTTGTGCGACATGTACGAATTTCAATTGCCTATTATGTTTTGTAAGATGGCTCCCAGCTGACTTACTCCAAGCCGCAGTGGCTGTCTCAGCTCGGTCAATGAAAAATAGTACTCGTTTTGACGATGGGTGAGTAGTCACGCTCATCAGGGTCGAAGCTTCTTTGTTGTGATCCTCGACCAACGCTGCTTGTGAGCATCCAGATATCCACTTCATCTAATGCTAATCACAATTCGTATACACAAACACAACACATATGCTGGGGATGCAGCTGAATAGCGACAATGGACACTCGAAGGCGTTCTTTGAGGGAGCCCTCGACTTCACTACCATCGGAGGCGATTCCACCACCACTTTCCCCGCGATTTCATGCGACTCTTCTTCGTCATCTTAGTTGCAATCCACTCTTTCAGCACCTCCCACTTCTCCTCACGGCTCGAACTCTTCCAGTTCTCAAACGAGCACCACATCGTGATCGTCGCCGCTATTGGTTTCCTTGCCTCGACTGGCATCCTCTCGGGATTCCTCAGGCTCTGCGGCGCCGCCATGTTCCTCATGCTGCCAACCAACTTGTCAACCGCGAGGAAAGCCGCTCTGAGCACCCACGACATGTTTCCGACGACCCCCTCATCTCTCATCTCACACACCCCCAAACGTCCAGAGTACGCATGCGAGCACTGCAATACACGGCGTTTCGCCCTCCCGGTCGAGTGCGGTCTACAACGATAGCGGAGACGGAGCCTCGGACACGGACCATCCCACTCGGTTGACAATTCGACCAAACACCCGAGCCCTGGAAAAGGATATCCCGCAACTCCCCACATCATCTCCTCTCCCTAGGTACCCTAGACTGTACCTCATCGCCGTCGGGTCCTTATCTGCTGTGCACACCCTCTCCCCGACCAGGTCCCCGGTCCCCCGAAGACACTACGAATCCATTCTTGCCCGAATCGTTACAGGCCGAGTTACCTCGCTGCGACCAGACATCTCCGGGCCAGTCGTGCGCGTGCGATGCCCTTCCTTTGAAGGCCGTCGATCGACGCGTTATCTGGGACCTCCGCAGACCGGAAGTCATGCTGGAAAACAGGACGACACCGCCGTTGCCACTTCGCCATCGTATCACAGTCTGAGCGATGTGAAAGGCAAGTGATGTGTCTGCTCAATCACGACATGCTAGGAATTAATCCCGGCTTAGCTTCGTCAGGTCAGTATCGGACGGTCATTACTTCTCTTCTTCGTTATCGCTACTTGTACGGACCGCCGTTTCCAGGCTGTACCACTACCACGCCATCTACACCCTGTACGGGACTTTTATCGCAGGACGATCCGCGGGGGCTTCCTTCACGCGTTCCCTTCTACGCTCCCACCCCTTCGCCGATAGCAAATGCATCCAACCATGTACCATCCGCCTCACCGTTCGAGATCCTCTCCCAACACGCTATCCCACCCTACCGCCCCCCTCGTCCTTATATAACCATACCACAATCGAGCAGTGGAGCGTCCCGCACCACAGACTCAGCCTCCGTACAGATCCCAGCCCTTCGCGCAACCACGCACGTTCTCTAGTCAGGGACCGCGGCGCGTCGCAGCCGCTCAACGTCCCCACTTCCCTCCTTCCTTACGCTCTCCCCAAAGTCTCCGCACCGACGGCGCGACGGCCTTCGCCGCAATCGCATGAGAACGCCGAAGCGGCGCAGGCGCGCAATACAGATAGCGGCAGGCCTATCGCTGCCCTGCAGTGCGCGACGGCCGTCAACATCTCGAACCGGTCGCGCGCCGAATCGGGAGGCCCGCCTCGATCGATGGCGGCGCACCCACGCCCGCGCGAGCGTGGACGCAGCGTTGCTCGTCGTCGGGACGCGGCGGATGGATCTCTGATGCCGCGAACAGAGCACAGAGAAGGGAGCCGGGCCCTGCCTTGTCTACCGTCCAGGAACGGTGCACATCGCGCACCGGCGGGGGCCTGCCGCGCGAACACAAAGCAGAGAGAGAGTGGCACCGCAACAGCCCGAGCCCCCACCCAGCGGACGGACACTCGGCTCCGTTCACAGGCAAAATGCTCGTCTTCGCCGTTTTTACCGCCACCGCCGCCTGCGAATGACACTGATAGATTTGCCGACCCCGTCGGCGCGAGCGCGCCCCTCCCCGCGCGAAGGGGCACAGGCGAGCGTTGCTTGTCTGCGCCGCGCCATTCAGTCGCACGGCGAGGACGCCGTCGCGGACCCGCCATCGGCAAACGCGACCCGGCGGGAAGGAGCCTAGCGAATCACCTGGGACTGCACGATCGCCTCGAACGCCGGCGCGCACGCGCAAACGCCGCGTCGAAGGGCGAAGGGAAGGGGAAGCGTGCTGCGCGCGCGCGCGCGCGAGATACGGCGGTCGGCGAGAACGCGACGTGCGGCGCGCGCAGCCTTTCGCACCTTATCGCGACGCTTCCGGCTGAAGTAAATTTTGTCGGGAACGCGAGCCGTTGCGGAGCGAGCGTGCCTGTTGTGACAATGACCTGGGCTCGAGCCGTAGGTGCTACCCAAGTCTTCGCGGAAGAATGCGAGGGCGCGGAGATCCCGCCCGGCGGTGGACAGATCCTGGGGACCAACCCTCGTCTGGAACAAAAAAAGCAAGCAGAAGGGAGGGGAGGGGGGCGGTGTCGACCCCGGTGTAGAGCCCAGGCGCGGTCGCAGGGACCTCCCGAGCTCGGGGAAATCGTCCTCGCCGCTCAGTCCAAAGCGGCGGCTTGGAAGTCGGAAGGCGAGAGCAGCTGGCCGGCCACGGGTGAGGACGGCCAGGGCGGGGGTCGGGCGCGGAGGGGCGGCCCGCGTCCTTCTGGGCGATCCGCGCCGGCATGTGGAGGCGGGGGCGAACCGATGCTCGTCGCCGGCGGAACCGTCGAGCTGCTGGGGAAGGCAGCGAGCTCGCCTCGGCGCACACGGACGTACATTCGTCCGCGTATGTGTGCGTGCGAAGGACCCGGGTGCCCACCGCCTCCGGGCCCGCCCCCGGTTTGGGGCGCGGACGCAGACGCGGCGGACGCGCGCGGACGTCGGAATGCCGACGTCGCGACCCCGGCTCTCGTCCCGAGTACACATATCTGCTAGCTGCTGTGCAGGGCCGTCCGGGCGTGCGCAACGTAAGTGATAACAGGAATACGCACCGAACCTCGCCGCGAGGCTTTGCGCATCTTCGCCTGCCGTTGCCGCCGCCCAGGCGTCCCGCCAGCCACGGTCGCACCTGTCGCGCACGGGCGAAAAATGGAGCGGACGCCTGCGTGGCGGGCATCGAGGCGGGCGAGCGCGCGTTCCCCGCCGGCGGAATGCACGCATCGTGGCTCGCGCATCAGCGAACCGTGGAGCCCGCGCCCGGTCTCCGAAGGCTTACGAGAGCTTGGAAAGAGACGAAGAGGCTTTGGGTGAGGTAACCGGGCAGATTGTGTGTTGGACAGCGACATATTGGGAGGATCTGCGGCCTGGGCGCCAATTTGTTGGCAAGTTTTCGCGGCGCTCAGCGCTCGGGCTTGGGAGAAGCATCGGTGCCCGGTGCGGACGCCGTTGAGGGCCGTGCTACGTTTTGATGCATCGAGGAGGGTAGCCGGGACTGTTGGGATGGGCGCGGTGATACGGTGGCGAGGATGCAAAGGACGTACCGAGACGGCGCATGTAACCACGAGCAATATGGAATGCGTCTATGAATTCCTACTCCACTTGTGTCCTCTGCCCATGGCGCTCCCTCGTCCGTAGTCCTCGTCAACTTCCTTTTCCGAAAATGCAAGGGCTGCAAAAGAAGAAACGATCGACGTACCCCGCACTTTAGCGCAGCCCCGAGGTCTGGGGAACATCCTCGAGGACTGAAGACAGACCGAACGTCCACGCAGAAATCTCGGCGAGCTTCGCAACAGCCGGTCCCCGAGGATTGGGTCCTTCACGTACGGTTGCCGTGGTATCGACCGCGTGTATGGAAAGAGAACGGCATGCCGCACCGGGGATGCGTGATGGATTCATATTCGGGCGATGCCAGGAAGTGTGGCTGACAGCGGTATCTATCTTCAAGCGCCTATGAACTGTACACAAGAGACGAGAGACGCTGCGGAGCGAGCGCACATTAGCCCAACAAAGAGATCGTCGAACAACGAGAACTCACATATTAGCCCCGCCAACACTGCACCCTCTCCTAGCGCCCGAGGATCGACAGCAGCTTCGCGACGCGCCGCACGCCGCAAGAGACGTAAAGCGCGACAAACACGGCCCCTGGCGCCCCCGGCGCGAGGGACGGGGAGGCACGGGCGCACCGCGGCGTACGGCGGACGGGCGAGAGGACGAGAAGAGGGGGGAACGTCGCGCCCGCCTGCTTTATAGCCAAAAGCAACGATCGGCACGCGGGCGCCCGCAGCGCCCGGCCCGCGGCCCACCGCGCCGAGCTCCCGAGTGCGCGAGCCAACGGCGTCGACTCGGGACCCGTCCCGTGGGCCCGATCCTGCGCGCGCGATTGAATATTTGGGTTGTCGACGACGCCGCCGATCCGTCCCGCCGCCAGATGCTGGCCGATGGGGACGCCGGGCCGGCGGGATCTCCGGCGATGATCGTCTGTCTGTTGTGAAGCCCTCGGGGTCCCGACCCGTCCATGACGGTATCCGGCCCCGGGCTGATCGACGTCGCGCGCGGTGGTGGGCCCGCCTCTGCGCTCGAACGGGCAGGTGCGCTACGAGCCGCCTCGCTCCGAGCTCTGCGTCGACGATCGTCCGCCTGCGCTCCCCCACGTGCCGTCGGGTGGCAGGCCCGGGCCCGGGGGTGCTTGTTGGCGCGTCCGGCGACTTGTGCAACACACAACATGTGGATTTCCGTTTTCGGACGGCGACGAGCCTCGTCGATAGCGAGTGCTCCCGCGCGCGTGCGCGCGTGCCTTTTCTCTTCATCTCCGAGCCGTTGCGTCCTCCGTCCCGTCTCCGTTATCCGCCTTCCGTCATTCGCCTTCCGTTCCGTCTCCGGCCCCGTCGTCCGCACCCTCAGCCTCCACCCGCGACCCGTCTCGCGCGATAACGGCGTATCATCGCCTCGCGCGTACGTACGTGCGTGGGTCCTCGGCCCCCGGCCATTGGCCCTGCGCTCGCCCTTCGTGAGAGGCGGATCGCGTCAGACGGGGAAGCGGGTGTCGGAGCGGGCTCTCAGACGTCCGACGACAGATCCGGGCCCTCGCCGTGCGCTCGGGCCTAGCAGAGCGGCGGCACGCTCGCGAGCGTCGACCGCGCGAGGAACAAAAAGCTGTAGCCAGACCGTCGACCAGACGCGAGCGCCGCCGCCCGCCGCCGCCACTGCGCTGGACGCGGACCGCTGGCTCGAGCGAGAGCGCGCGCCTTCCGACTTCAGGTCGAATCCACTGCGGCAGCGAGGCCTTCTGCCGGCGGTGCAGCCCTTCCCTGGCCCCCACCGAACATTGCACGATAACAAGGCGTCTTCTACGATCACCTCGCCACGGAAATCCCTGATGGCCAGAGTGGACGCCATCCCGAGGCCAGAAGCCATCGAAGCCCTGGACGCGCGGCACACGTTCCTGCCGCTCGCCCGCGGACGGAGGGGAGCGGCGATAGTGGACGCAGGCTCGAGAGGCCCCCATGGCTGCTGCATATCCCCGCTCGTCGCCCGCGGTGCGTCTGGGGAACCCTTGCGTCTTGCACGACCGCGTCAGGTGCCGCGGTTCGGGGCTTTGGGGTGGCCTGATCGCACGACGCGCCCCCGAATGGCACGCGCGCGCGGAGGCCGGCCAGGCCAGACTGCGGCAGGTTCTGCTCGGCGTGCGGGGCGGCGGCCGTACGTCCACTGCTGCCGGCGCTCCGTCGACGTGCGCCCCCCTCCTTCCGTCTCCGACCCGTCGGCGGGTCTAGCCCGCGCGCGTGCCGACAATGCCACCGCGTGCGAGTCGGGGGGACAAAGGAGCGGAGGCGCGTGGGATGCACGAACCCGAGAAAACAAGCATGCGTGCTTCGGGCAGACACCTCCGGCAGTCACGGCTTGGGCATTGGGCATACACATGCAGCGTGCGCGGTGCGAGGCGGGCGAAAGCCCGCAGATCGAACTGGCACGAGCACTACAGTGCCGCGGATCGTCCAACGGCACGGGCAGTCTGGGGAAGCACGGGAGCCGTTAGCGGCGGGGAACGGGTCCCTCGCGCCTTCTGATGCACGCGCAAACGCTGCGGGGGAACGCGCGAACCCTGAAGAGAACGTGCACGCCCGCGAGCGCAGTGTGGCACGATCTCGCGCGCGCACTGTTGCCATCCCCGTCCGTTCGTCCATTCGTCCATTCATCCGTGCTAGTACGTGCACCGCCCGACGCACGCTCGCGCTGGGACCGCGGACGCCATGCGCGGCGAGCGCGGGCGACCAGAACGATCGAGCAGCGAGCAGGTGACCCGCGCGTGACGCCCACGGACGGCCGTTCGTCAAAGCGAGCGAGTGTGAGAGGTCGCCCTGTACCCCTCGAGCTCCGACCGGTCGCGACGGCACCGCACCGCACGACACGGCACGACGCGCGCGGGAGGCCGTGCACAGATGAAAGCCAGCGTGCCTGGCGAGGCTGCGCTGAAGTTCCGTACGGCGACGGGCGTCTGCAGGCCAACACCGTTCCCCCAACGTCCCGAAACGGAAGCTCGGCCACACTCCATTCAAGCGCCCGTGAGATCGGAGTGCGAGATCGAGGTTGGCCGTGCCCGCTTCGCGCGACATCTTCCCGCGCGCGCGGGTCGGCGGGCGAGCGTTTGATGGCGGGTGACCTCTCGCTGGTCCCTTTGGGAGCGCGTCGGGCGGCGAGGCCCTTTGTCGCGCGAGCGGCGAGAGGCAGGTGACGGCCTCGCGGGAGTCGACAATGGACATTTGCCCGCGGTGCACGTCGTGTGCGCTTTGGACGAACGTCACGAAACGGCCTGAGCGAAGGGTGAAAGGGGAGGGGGTGGTCACATCGGATGCCCGTCGTGCAGGACCCTCGGTTGCCGTTCGTGGCGCGCAGGCTGCTCAGAAGCTCGCGAGGCGCTCTGCGGACGGGTCTCTTGACCCCGCTTGACCCCGCCCTAGCGACAATGCACCCACCGCAAGCAACGAGAGCGATCGTGCACGCTTCGCGAAAGCGAAAGCGTCCAGCTCTGTCTACGAAGCCCAGCGGCCTACGAGCATCGTCATCCGGCGTCGTCGACAGTGCGTCATAGTCTGCCCTGTGAGAGCGCATCGAGCCGCGGGCTCGGCCTGCTGTTCTTTGTCGCGCGCGGTTTACGTGCGTGTGGCGTTGTCGGGAAGGGACGTCGTCGTCCATCGCGGCTTCCACCAGTGCTTCGCGTTCTGCTCGCGCGCGCGAAGCGTGTCCCCCGACGACAGCCGCGGCCACGAACCCCCCTGCGGCTCGCTTTGGCGGCCGTGCTCACGTTCATATTGCGAGGGACCCTGTTTCCTCAAGATCGCGAGTCGAGCCCGTTCGTTACACGTAAATGATGGGGGGTCCGTTCGCTGGGATCACCGTGAAAGGCGGGGAGGTCTCCTGGACGGCCTGCGCTTGTGCGGGTGCATAATCCAGATGCACGATCCTGAGCCACATCTGCATAGTTGGATGCATGGTATCAAGGCGAGGCAGGATGCTTACCGGGCGATGCGTGCATGCTCGCGAGTCACCAGTGGGTGCTGGTGGCCACCCAAGGCCAGGCCTCCTCCGCAAGCGGAGCTCACGCGCACGTCCGGACGGAGACGGGTCCCCTCGTCCATCTCGTGCTCAGAAACCTCGACGGTTCCGGGCACGCGCACGACCGCCGCGGGCGATGTCGGACGGCGAGCGCGGACGGGGTTTGGTAGCGTGTGCCCCACTTGCGGACGCCTGCGAGCGGGGTTACACAGACCAGGGTCCCCCGCACCAAGCGTGCCTCCGCCCCACCGATCTGGGAGCGCGCGCGAAGCCGCGGCGGTCTCTGGAGAAGGAGGGGGGGGAAGGGGGCGTGGGACTGCCGCGACGAGCTGCGTGCGAGCGGGTGCGCGTTTGGAGATGGGCGAGGGTGGCACAATGGGGTGCACCTGCACTTCGAATGCTTCCGCTGCCGTTATTGCTGTTGGAGCGCGAGCGACGCGCGCGTGCCCCGCTACACCGACGCCCACCGCGGGTCGCTTGGGGCGCAGCCGATGTGTGCCCGGAGGACGTGTGCACTTACGCGGTGGCCTCGGGAACTTGAGATTCGCGTGGCGATCACACCGAGCGGGCTGGGCCCTGTTCTGTCGAGTCCAGCCGTCGTCAGCTGCACGGTCCCCCAACGTGCCGAATGAGATCAGGAAAACGGGGGTTGTCGCTCGGGGACGTCACGAGACCGGACTGGACGTTGCAGAATGCAGGATACGGTATAGCGCGGGGACGTGTCGAAAGCGCAATGAGCGTGCATGCCAACGCCGAGGCTGGCGAGGCGCGATTAGGCGCGATTGCTGGAAAGGGGTCCCCAGCCTGGCGCGTTCTCGGCGGGAGCGTGTCCGTCCTGTCCGGGCCTAGCCAAGGCGGTTTGGACCGCCTGAGTGGATGAAGATTGCGAGGGTCGTCGAGAGGTGGACGAGGTTCAGTTCAACCGTTCAACGTTTGGGCGCGGCTCTGGGTAGTGGACCTGAATATTTGAATGGCAAGGTTCGTGGGCACGATTGGCGAGTGGTGGGGCCGGGATGGCGAGGCTGGTGAGAGCGCAACTGTGATGCAGACGAGATTGGCGGGGCGTGGGACGAGTGGACTCCGGCGGTCGATTCGCGCGGTGGATCCACCGCGGTGCGCGATCGCCTGGGGTTCGATGTCCACCTCGTCGGTGGGGCCGCCGACGCCGACGTCCGCGCACGGCGACTGGAGGGAACGGGCCGGGGGAAACAGCCAAGCCGTGACAGGCGCGCGATGGCGCCTCGAGCAGCGATCTGTCAGGCAATCTGGGACAGGCGCCCGGCTAGTCAGCGCGATCGGGACGGCCAAATGGAGAGATCCCATCGTGTGCCGACCGCCGCGCGCGCGTCCTCCAATCGTGTCCGAGCCTGCGCCTGCGCCTCCGCGCCCGCGCCACGCGTGGGGAGTGGACGAGAACGCGAGACAGGGTTCACGCGAGTCCCCGTTTGCGCCCGGACATTCGGTGGGTCGAAGTGGAAGCTTGGCCGCTGGCGGAGGACTCGCGGGCGAAAGCCGTGCACGAAGGAGGCTCAAGTTACGGGAGGGAGTCCATCAGGGACGACTGATCTGCCTGTCGGCGTGGACGCGTGTGGGCCGGCGGTGTGCGCGCGAAATGCAGAGGGCGTGGCGGCGCGCACGAAAGCCGGGAAATGGACGAGAACTGGGCCAAAGTTGGGAGGCGTCGAGGCGCTCGCGCCGCCGACCTCTCGGGCTGCTCATCCGCATACGGCCAAGGGCGCCCGATAGGAGGTCGGACCTGGGCCAAGTGGAGTGGGGAGTGCACCCAGACCGAGGCGAGCCCAAATCTTGTGCCTCTAGCGCCTCCGCCGGCCCTGCCCAACGCGCGGCGGGGAGGACGGGGCAGGGAGCGTCGGAGGGGCGGACGCGGCGGGCAGCTTGGCCGGGTCCGCACCCACGTACGGGGAGTGACATCGCGGAGGGAGGGGCGGAGGAGGTTCGAGACGCGTGACATCATGCCCGAATATGGAGGAGATATAGTGACAAACGCCGGGTCGGAGGACTTGAAATCTGCGCACACGGCCGCTCCCGCTCTCCCTCGCCCGCCCTTGCGCCTCGCCCCTCTCTGGGACTGCGTCCCGCGTGCGCGATCGTTATAACCCCCGCTTCGCCCACCGCGCTCCCCCCCAGCCGCCATGCCCTACGCAGGTCCCTCCTCCGACCCCTCCTCCTCCGCGACCGCGACCGCGTCCTTGCCACGCCCCTTCCACCGTCGCTCGCGCTCCTCCGGCAACTTCTCTGACGAACGCGGTCCCGGTGCCTTCGCTGGCCTCGGGCAGCTCCCCCGCCTCAACAAGAAGGCCGTCTTCCGCATCAACGACGACAACGACGACGACAACGTCCACGACGATGAACGCCCCTTCTCCCCGTACGCCAACCCATACTCCCCCCTCAACTCCCTCCGCCTCTCCATGAACGCCGGCAAGTTCTCCCCCTCCATTCAGCCCCCGCCCAGGATCGAAATCCCCCCACTCGAGCCCCCGGCTGCTGTCCCCTTCCCCACCTCTTCCCCCACCTCCCCGTCATCCGGTCCCCTCCTCTTCGCCACTTCGCTCTCCAGGGAGTCGTCGAGGTCGTCCACCGCCTCTCTCCCCCGCACGCCCTCCACCCCCATCATTCTCTCCAATGGGAAGCCCCTCAAGTCCTCCCTCAAGTCTTCCGCCTCCTCGCCAAACATCTCCGACCTGCCCATCAAGCACATACGTGCCCAGTCCGCTCCCTCGACGCCTAGCATGAACAAGAACGTTCACTTCGCCGAGAAGGACGAGGGTCTGGAGACTGTCCGCGTTTACAACAGGACCGGCAAGCCCGCGTCCCTGTCGAAGCCTCCTGGCGAGGAGACCGAGACCGAGACCGAACTCGAGAACTCGTCCTCCTTCCCCTTCCCGATTCTCCCCTCCTCCCTCTCCTCCACCAGCTCCGCAGCCCTTGTCCACGAGATCGACCCGGCGCTCAACCGCACCAACCCGATCCCGAAGTCGAACCCCTCGCCGTACGCCAACGTCTTCCTCGAGACGCTCTCCCTTCCCAAGACACGCCCTCCCACCCTTCGGGGGACGATCCTGGCGCGGAACGTGTCCTTCGAGAAGACCGTCGCCGTCCGCTTCACGCTCGACGACTGGCAAACGACGAGCGAGGTGATGTGCAAGCACGTCGTCAGCCTGCCGGGCCTCCCGCCACCCTTCCCTCGTGCACGCACGATGGGCGACGTCGCCGGGAACCTCGCTACGGGTCAGCCGAAGGACGAGGAGAAGGAGCCGGCCGGACCGACTTGGGACCGCTTCAGGTGAGCGCAGATCCTCTCCTTGTTGGGCCTCCCGGCTGATCATCCCGCAGCTTTACGATCCGGCTGGAGGACTACGAGGCGAAGCTTTCCGAGCGGACTCTGTTCCTGGTCGTCCGCTACAACCCCGGGTGCGGCGGTGAATGGTGGGACAACAACGACAACGCGAACTACCGTGTCGGCTTCCGCCGCGCCGCTGTCTCCCCGCTCCCGTCCCCCAGCTTGGCGAACTCGCAGCAGCGCACGTTCAGTGCTCCGAGCACGCTCCGGGCCACGCCGACTACCGGGGTCGTGGGTTCCCCGTACGCGCCTCCCACGAGGCAGCTCGCGCCGGCACCCCCTCAACTTGTCCGGAGCACGTCGTCCCCGTACCCCGTTCTCACACCGTCGACTGCCGAGCGTGATCAGAAGGAGCGGGAGAGGATGAGTGAGAAGGGGTTGGGCGCGCCGACGGCGGCGTATCTGGCGCGCAAGCTGAGCTTTAGCAACTACGTGTCGCCGGCTTCGGCAGGGACGTCGATGGTCACTCCGCCGACGACTCCGCCCGGTACGGTCCGGATGCGCAGTGCGAGCTTGCCTATGGAAGTTGGGATCAGTGCAGACGGGCCGAAGGAGGAGGAACCGAAGGAGAAGAAGGAAGAGGTGAGCGGAACTTTTATCTTCTTCGTCGATGAGCATCCAACTGACACTGTTCAAGGCACCGACACCCAAGGTGGAGGTCGCCCCCGAACCTGTAAGGCAACGCACACCTTCACCCCCCAGGAAGTCTCCGCCCCTGTTGTCGCCGCTGTAACTATCCCGGGACCATCGCCAGACGCGCTCTCACAAGCGCGGACGTCGTATGGTTTCGAGTATGGTAGCCCTCGACTTCGTTCGGCTACGCGCGGCCACAGCTGCTGAGCCCACCACGGTCGAAGGAGTCAAGCCCGGCGTCTTCCGGAACGGCGAGCCCGAGGCATTCACCCCGCTCATCGCCGAAGAACTCGCGCGAGGGCAGCCCCGACAGGAAGCAGCCCCCCCGCCCTGGCACTCGGCTTCTCCGTTCCGAGAACGAGCAGCCCGCGACCGATAAGCCCTAGTACGGAGGCGCAAGCAGCCGTCGAGTCGATCAACACCGCCGTGCGCGAGCTTGGCCTGGGCCTCCCCGGGGCGCTTCCGCCAACGCGCGCGTGGACACGAGCGACCCCAGCTACGCAGCGCTCTCCGCCAGTGGTGCTTCGCCCAGAGTTCGCCTCCTCCGCAATCGTTGGCGTCGACGCCGATGCCGATGCCGACGCCGAGCGAGGTCCCGATGCTCAAGTCCGGCGAAAACACGCCCAAGGCGGGGTTCGGGTATGGGTTCCCGGGTTTTAGTTTTGGGGGCATGCAGGATGCTGGTATGGTCGGAGGTGAGTTGTGTCGTCGTCGCCGCTCTTATCTTTTCCGTCTGACGCGACGCTTTCTAGCACGTATGGGATGAGTTGTTGCTGAGCTGGCGGTCTGCCTCCCTCCTTGCCGCGCGATAGGCGATCAACGGCGTTGGGAGTGCGCTCGACCCTGGTGTGTCGCTAGACGCCGAAAATGTCGCTGTCCGCGTCGAGCGCATGGTGCTCGACGGCGTCGACATGTAACATCAGGCTTTCTAGTATGCAACTCTTTTCTCACTCTCTGCCCCCTCTCCTGTGTCGCGTGATAGCCCCCGCGCCGATCTATATATCATTATCTGCCGTCCCGTCCTTGCGTCTCGTCTGCTCCCTTTTGCCATGCCGTCCTTCCCCTTCGTCTCCAAAACGAGCGGCCGACCATGGGCCGCGGTCCCCGATCCCTTACGACTTTGCTTCATTTGCCGTTACTTTTTGGGCTCGGCGCCGGGACGCGCATACACGATAGTGGCCCAGCGCCTCAATTCTCCCCCGATCCTGCACGTCCTTGTTCCCCACACGCAATGTCTCACCATCCCGCATTCGCCCCCATCCCTGCATCATCCACGCTCGGTGTCTCCCCATGACCCCATCATACCTCCCCGTTGTCGGCCATGTACTTGTACGGCAATCGCGCTCGCGGCCGCACACTCGGCACGCCCCCTGTTTGCATATCTTCGCATCCACCCACGTCGCTCGTTTGATAGGTTCCCGGTTGGTTGTTTATTATTGGTCGCGGACTGTCTCTGCACGCACAGCCCTCTCTCCTCGCACTCGACTCGATCCGCCTCTTGTTTTCGGCCCAAAACTCCCCCACCCAGCTTTGGTCTCGCTCGTCTCGCTTGTCTTACGCACTGTCACGTCGGTCCTCGTTCCCCTTCGCATCCCCATGTATCTCCACCACAGCGAGACCCCCCCATCTCCATCCCCTCCCCGTTCGCGCACTGCCTCGTTCTCGTTCTCGGTCTCGTTGGAATCTCATCGATCATATATGCGCAAGCCATCTTGCCTGCCGCCCGTCTCCCCGCATCCGCCGTCACCCCGATCTCGTCCACTCCGTTTCTCGCAGGCACTCGATCGTGGCGTAACTTGTATCGCATTCTCCAACCGGATCGCCAAGGTGCGCATCCGTTCTGCGCGACGCGGTGTTCGGATTCACACGCTGACCCGACCCCACGTCCGCAGCGCCGTCGACTGCGAGCAAACCTTACAATCGCTCCAAGATGAAAGTTGGTTCCTTTCGCTGCGCCCCCGCACTACCCCAGAACGACGGTCTCCACCACCAGCCACCACCCCACGCGGCGAGGCTTATCGTCGGCGACGTCTATTTTCCGCCACGGGGCGCCTCGTGCGCGGAACGTGCGCAGGTGGTTTAAATGGTGGCCGCTGCAGCGGGCGGTGGCTGCGCCAGCCAGACTCGGGCGAGGCCTACCGGGCTGCAGAACAGCTTGGCCTTGGGACCCCTCCCTCCCCTCCCCTCGACGTCGCCGCTGTCGTTCTCGCCCGTCTCTCCGTCGCGCTACGGAGCATCGCTCCCGTCTTCTATCTCTACCGCGGCTACGCATTTGGATACAACCCCCGCCTCGCTTCCCCGCCCCGGCTACGGACGCTTCTCTCCCATCTCTCAGGATTCCTCGCCGTGCCCGAGTTCCTCTCTAGATCTCTCTTCTTAGACGTCTTCGGTCGTTCGGTGTCTGGTATCCGCGGTCGCCTACTGGACTCCACCGCTCTCCGCGCCGCCCGTTCGCACATAGATATATCTGTATACGTACGCGGCCCCGCCCGCCGCACCGTCGTCTCCCGCTTCGCCGTCTCCTCCCACTAGAATCCGTCCGCGGCTCCGTCACCCACAACCCCCCATCCCCGCCTCCCGCACAATCACTATCAATTATAACTTATTTGCCCGCTCGCTCGCCTGCCTGCGTCCTCGGCAAGAACCCAACTCGTCGGCAGTGCCGGCACCACATCGATCGGTCCCTTATTATTATTATTATTATTCTCATTCTATCCCTATGTGTCACATATGCGCGTGTAACTACACAGCTAAGAACGTATCCCGCATTCGTTTGAGTACATGTGCTATGTAACGGGCCTGCGCCCGTAGGCAGTTGCAGAAAGTCCAGCGGCCGCAGGCGCCGCGAATCGTTCAGACGACCGAGTCGTGCCACGGCGGAATCGCCGCGAGCGCATATGGGATGGGGTAAGTGGGCTTGTCGGTTCCGTAGGACGGAGCGCCGGAGCGCGACGAGCTCTCACTCGACGTGGAGGAGGTGTGAGACATGGGGCGTGATGAACCGAGATGGGACCCCGCAGGCGACGCGCGTTGGTACGACCGGGTCAAGCCAGGCAAGGGTATGTAAACGGAAGGGGCAGGCGACGCGCGTGGACTGTGCCGCGACCGGGTCAAGCCGGGCCCGCAACCGGTAGGTGCGAGTGGGGGAGGAAGGGGGGGAGGTCGGGGAGCGTTTCGTCCGCGTCCGAACGTGGGGGGACGTACGTCGGGCGCGAGGGTGTTCCACAGCGCCTCGAAGTGGCGCGCGTTATGGCGGTAGCGGTGGCCTCGCGCGCGCGCGCGCCTCGCGTGGGTTTTGTAGCGCTTTGCGATCCCGGCCTGGAGGACGTCGGAGACGGTGAGGCGGACCTTGGTGGTAATGGGCGCGACGAGGTCGAGCGCGGTGAGGGAGGTAAAGGGGCGTCCTCGCCGGCGATGATGTCGTCGTAGCGCTCGTCGTGGTCTGTGAGGTCCCAGCCCGAGGTGTCCGGGGGGCAGTCCGACGGCTCGAACGCGGTGTGGTTGAGCGCTAGGAACGCGCGGATGGCGGGGAGGGGGTCGTCGGGTCGCGTGAGGAGCGCCGGTACCATGGGGGTCTGGGAGGACCCGCGCCAGTAGTACGCGCACTCGAAGAGTACGTGTTGGCGGTCGTGCAGTGGGGAGCCGCGCGGGTAGTGTCCGCACGTGCAGTCCGTAGGCTGGGCGGCCTTCGGACGGTAGCGCGCCCGGTAATCGCCCGTGAACGCGTGCCCAGTGAGGACGCGGCAGAGCTTGGAGTACGACCGGATGGACGCGTCTCCGAAGCGCCGGATGAGGGACGCCGACGACGCAGGGTCGAAGACGTGCAGCGCCGGGTGGTGGATGTAGTTGCGTCCCCACCACTCGGGGATGGGGCGAGGCGGCTGGCCAGGAGTGTGCTCGAAGGCGAGCTCACGCCACATGTTGCACGTTTCGACCGCGATTGCGCGCTTCGCGTAGGAGAAGTGCATGCGCGGGTGGGGGTCGGGAGCGACGTCGCCAACGAGTTTGTCGACGGCCTCGTTGCCTGGACGCCTTCATGCGAGGGGACGTACGACAGGTGGAGGTGCGCGTCAGGGGAGGAGGAGAGCCAGAGGCGGATGAGGGACGCAGCGAGGAGGAGGTCGCCGGAGCCGGATTTGGGTTTAAGGAGCGACTGGAGTGCGGCCAGCGAGTCCGAGAAGACGTGGAGGTGGGTGGCATCGGCGCGCTTGAGCGTAAGTGGGGAGAAGAACACGAGGGACGCGGTGATCGCGCGGATCTCGGCGTCGGTGGAGAAGCCGCGGCCGGAGGGCGCAGCGTGCGACGCGCAGAGGGTGGCCTCGTCCGGGAAGTACAGCATGTACCCCGCGGCGGTGTGAGAGCCATCGTGCGTGGCTGATCCGTCAGTGAATACGACCGCGGTGTTGGGGTCGGCGTGCGCAGCGGCGATGCGCGGGAGGACGACGTTCGCGAGGAACGCGGCCTGGGCGTCGGCGTCGATCTTCTTTGGGTGCTCCAGGTTGAAGTGGATGCGGTCCGCAAACTCGTCGAGGATGCGGGCGCCGGGGGTGGCCTCCACGTTGAGGACGTCGAACTGGGTGTCCGACAGGGGGCGCGTGAGGGCGTCAGGGTGGTGGGGGAGGAGCGAGGCGGCCCCGACGGCCGAGTGGTACATGTCATGCGCAGGCGCGCGCGTGGGTGGGTATGCGGGGAGCGGGAGGGAAGTGGGAGGAGGGGGTAGCGGCCCGGGAAGAGGAGGCGGACCGGGTGTGACGCCATGAGCGTGTCGATGCGCAGCCGGTACGACGCCTGCATCTTGCGGCAGAAGAGGCGAACCGGGACGACGCCCGCGAGTGCGTGGAGCGCGCCGGTGGGGGTCGTGGAGAAGGAGCCCGTGATCCACCGGAGGGCGTGATGCTGGGCTGTGGCGAGGACCTTGAAGTTGTCCTTGAACCCCTTGGGGCGGGCGTACACCTGGCACCCATACGTGAGCACCGGGCGGATGCACGAGACGTACAGAAGGCGGCGCTGCGAAGGGTTGACGCCGCGCGCCGAGGAGCCGAGCATGTGGGAAGCCGCGCAGGTGGTGCGTGCGCGGTGCGCGTAGTGGCGGATGTGGGCGCGCCAGTCGAGTTTGCTGTCGAGCAGGAATCCGAGGTGGCGGATTGCCGTGGGGGGCTTGAGAGCCGTGAGGAGTCCGGGCAGGGGGATGGCGCGTGTGGCATGGGGGCGGTGTGCGCTGTGTGGGGGGATGAAGTGTATGCCCTCCGTTTTTTCGTGCTCGAGGAGGTACCCAGCGCGTCCGAGGGAGGTGGTGAGCGTTTCGTAGAGCGGGCCGATCAACTCGAGGTTGGTGGAGATATCCGGGGACGCGACCATGAGGTTGCCGTCGTCGACGTAGAAGTGGTGGTACGGGCGTGCGCCCCCCAGTGGGGAGGGGAAGCGGCACGCGCGGTCGAGCGCGAGCAGCACCGGGGTGAGGGCGAGCGCGGAGAAGGTCGGGGAGAGCGCGCTGCCCTGGCCGACGCCGACGCGCGGGCAGTCGAATGATTCCGTAGTGAGGTCGTTGAACCGGAACGACGACCTGCGGGGGCCGAGGTACGCGCGGAGCCACGCCGTGAAGGGGGCGCCGAAGCCGCGGCGGGCGCAGACGGCGACGAGTAGGTCGGGGTTGACGGACGGGAAGAACTGGCCGATGTCGCATCCGACCATCGTGACCACCATCTTCTTCTGCCAGGCTTGGTGTATGTAGTTGACCGCGTAGGCCACCGCATCGGTCGTGGAGCGCTGTGAGTTGGACCCGAACTGGCACGGGTGGAGGATCCCGTGCTTGTGGGCCGCGAACTGTACGCGCGCGTTAATCACCTTCTCCATCCATTTGGCGATCGTGGAGAGGAGGACGATAGGGCGGTATGCCTTGACCTTGGTGTAGTCAGGCTTGGACGGTTTGGGGATGACAACGGTGGTTGCGCGGCGGAACTCCTCGGGCCAGACGCCGAAGCGGAAGCACGCGTTGAAGAGCGTGCGGAACCCTTCGAGGAGTAGGGCACCGGTGGTGGCGGGGCGGCCGTTGTCGACTACGGAGGGGGTGGGTGGGGGGGAGTGGGGAGGGGGGTTGGAGGGGCGGGGGAGGGGGAGGGGCTCGGAGAGTCCGGGGGGCCCGGCGGTCCGGGCGGGAGTTCGTCAGACCGGATGAGCGCCTTGAGCATCTTCCACGTGAGGTGGTCAGGGCCCGGTGCGGACTTGGGGCTGCAGGTGGCGAGGGCGTCCGTGAGCTCCAGGGCAGAGAACGGCGGCCAGTCCCGGGCGGGGTCGGACGGGAGCTCGTCCACGATGGAGAGGTCGCAGGGGCGGTCGGCGGCCTTGTGGAAAGTGCGGTCGAACTCCTCGGCGAGATCGGTGTCCATGGTGATGACCGAGTCGTCAGCGCGACACATCCCCGCGGAGGAGGTCATGCGGCGGGGCTTGACCCAGCTCAGGAGGTCCCACACGCGTTGTGAGCAGGTGGAGACCTCGAAGAGGCGCTCTTCGAAGTGCGCGTTGCGCTCGCGGTTGAGCAAGCAGTAGTACTCACGTCGGGCGGTGGCGATACGGTCTGCGGCGGCTGCGGGGTTGAACTGGTGACGCGCGAGGAACTCCGGGGAGAGCCGGGTGCGCGCAGAGAGGCGGCGGGCGGCGTGGCGCTTCTGCCAAGGTGGTGTGTTTTCGGCCGTGATACGGGAGAGTTCACGGCGTGCAGCTGTGAGGCTCTTGGTCCACCAGCTTTTGGACGCGGGGGAGTAGCGGCGCGGGGAGGCTCGGGCGGCGTACTCGCGCTCGATGACCCCCATCACGTCTGAGGCGAGCGCGGCGGTCTCTGCGGCGGAGGAGGGGGGGTGCGGTCGAACACGTCGAGCAGGCCGGCGGCGACGTCTGCCAGCATCTCGTCGACATCTTCCTGGGCGACGCGTATGGCACATATAGTGTGCAAAAAACATTGGACGTAACTTGGGACCAATACAGCTCAAATGTCGTAGCTTGGAGACACAATGTCGTAGCTCTGTGCACACATGCGTAGCTTCGGAGCATGTTCATCATGCCGTAGCAAGTTTTTGCACATCGTAACTTTGATATGTAACTCTGGAATATGTTTTTTGCACACTGCAGCTGTATACACCACATCGTAACAGGTTTTTTGCACACTGTAGCTTTGTGCACCATGTTGTAACAGGTTTTTTGCACATTGTAACATCACCATCTGTAGACGTAGCATATTTTTGCATACTGTAATGTACAATCAGTCAAGTGTAACACGTTTTTGCGCTCTGCTCCAGCGGCTACGGCCCTGATAGCAATAAGCTATGTTCTGGTGGACAGATAACCCACAGTTAAGCACCAACTGCCAGTATTATTACCAAATAACCCACTTAACATATCCTGCACAGCTGCCAATAAGCAGCCACCCTCTTATCTCTGCTCTGCCATCATGTCCACCTCTCGATCCCCTCATCTCTCTGGTGACTCTGTTACCCAGTTTTTTATTGAAGCCAATCGGGTCATCACAGAAGCTCGTTTTCTCATTAGCTCTATTCCAAATGCAGACCGGGTGGCAGCCCTAGGCTTTATTAGGCAGCTCCAGATGGTTCACACCATTCTCCAGTCCTTAGATGATCCTCTCACCACATCAGAAGAGAAAGAGAGCCTTTCAGCTCTTGTTTTGTGGCTATTGAAGGCTCTTGAAGACTTTGTCTCTGCTCCTCCTCCTCCTCCCAGCTCTTTTGTGCCACGTGAAGAGCCAACTGGTTACCAGGGACGTCCCCGATACATTCTCAACCTCCAGCGTGCTCAAGAGCTACACGGGCTTGGTGCATCATGGGCATCAGTAGCAAAAGTCCTTGGTGTCTCCCGTCGAACTCTCTACAACCACTTCGCCGATGCTGGTATCACCACGCGACGTCCTCAGCACACAGTCATTAGTGACGAAGACTTGGATGAACTGGTGGCTGAAATCTCCATCACACATCCCTTTGTGGGTGGGAACATCATCTTTGGCCATCTCCAGGCCAGAGGCATCAAAATTCCTATGGAACGTGTCAGAGAAAGTGTCAGACGTGTTGATCCACTCGGAGTTCTAGTCCGGTGAGTATCTCACCCAATCCCCTACCTTCACTTGCTCAAGCATCCTTTACAGCTGGGCAGGACTTATCAAGCGACGGGTTTACAGTGTCCGTGGAGCCAATGCTCTACATCACATGGATGGAAATGAGAAGCTGAAGCCATGGGGCTTCTATGTACACGGCAGCATCGATGGCCACTCCCGACTCATCATCTATCTGGTCTGTGCTTCCAACAAGCGTGCAGCCACAGTCTCCTCTATTTTCATGCACAGTGTCTCCAAGTATGGATGGCCCAGCCGTGTTCGAGGAGACTTTGGCACTGAGAACAACGATGTTGAGCGGAAGATGATAGCACATTGGGGCCCAGCTCATCATGCATTCCTACGTGGACGGTACGTGGCAACAAGCTTACTTATCCTATCAAAGCTAACGCACCATTAGATCTCTGCACAATGTTCGGATCGAGCGTCTCTGGCGAGATGTGCGCAAGGACAGCCTAGAGACCTTCCGACAAATCTTCATGCACCTGGAAGCGCAGCAACTCCTGGATATGAACAACAACTCCCATCGTGTCTGCTTGTTCCTCGTATTCCATAAGCGCATCCAAGACTCACTTGATCGCTCTCGCCAAGCCTGGAATAGCCACAAACTCCGCACTGAGCACAACATGTCGCCCCATGCTCTGTATGAGCTCAGCAAAGAAGAGGCCATCCAGCGCGGTTACTGGACAGGTGACCCCGGTGACCCAGCAGAGAATATCGACAGTATGTATGGCGTTGACGACAGCGCTCCCATTCCTCCAGCCGACGACATCAGAGGGGATCCTACTGCTCCTCGCCAAGAGCCTAGTGCCACAAACCCAGATGCACAAAAGAGTGCAGGCATCATGCTCAATACCGACGAGGAGATAGAGGAGGCTAGGAGGGTACTCCATGATGTGGACATGGAAAGGGACGACAGCAACTGGGGGATTGAGGTATATATTGAGGCACTAACAGTGTTTATGGCAAGGGTGGGCTCGATATAGGTATGACAACGTGCAGAACTTTGTGATTACTCTGCTCACATAGGTCTATCAGTGGCAAGGTTTATTTGTAAACAGAAGACACTCACTGTAACTAGCGCACTGAGAGAACAGGAGGAGTGGGGAGGCGGCCAAAAGCATCCACAAAGCTTTCCACATAAAACTTGATCGCAGCCTTTCGAACCTCGAAGAACGTCTTGCGCCTTTTTAGAGTAGAGGCGGTAGGGCCTACCAGCGTTGATGGGCATTTGGGCCACCGTGACACCACCGTTATGAAGGTGATCAGCCCATCCACATCATGTTCCGTGTCCTCCCACATCGACCACATGCCCTCTGCACGAGAGGAGGGCAGCAGGTTGAGACCTGAGGTGCTATCAGAGCCCCATACTCGGGATATCACCGCCTCTCGAGTCCACTGTTCAACCGTCGGCCACTCTGAGGACTTCAGAAGATAGGAGTCCAAGGCGAGCAGCTCGCACCGCCAATTGGTCTCGTAAATCTCCCATAGGATCTCAAAACGGATGCCACGATGTGTCTTCAGCATGTCAAGGGTTACGCGGCGCCCTTGGAAGACTGGCCTAGCGTCCTGCTTGAAAGAGGGCTGGCCACCAAGAATTGCAAAGGTACGAACAGCCTCCTCCCGTGTGTGAACCCTCTTCATCGCCCGCCTCTGCTTCTTCGACGTCTTCTCCAAGGGCACCTGAGGCTCCTCCTTGCTGAGCACCGTGTCGTACGACCCATGCAACACATCTCGCCACTCTTCCTTGGCCAAGGGACGACTGATGCTCTTGTCGCAGTTGAAGATCCGTGACCTGCAGAAGTCGCGGACAACGAGGTACTGTAGCAGCATATGGGCCTGCTTCTCAGTCGAAGGGCTGACCCCTTCTCCAGCTAGGGTGTCCACTAGTGTAGGTGGGGGAAAGAACCAAGTGGAGGCGACTGACGGCTGGCCAACCATCTGGTGGGCATCTAAAACAGCCATCCAGCTGGGGGACATTTGGACTGTGAGACTGCAGTAGAACTTGCGAGTTGGGGGTGGCTTCCACGTGCTCTTATCAGCTGCCGGGGGCTTTGTGAAGGCCTTCCGATTGAAGGGTCGAGGCCCTGACTGCTGCAGGGTGTGAGGGAGAGCTAGAGCGTTCTCGCGGGTGGAAAGGTCTGCCGTGGTCGAGCAAGAGGAGGGTGCCCCTTCCATATCTGTGAGTCGTAGTGATAGGAGCTGTTGGCGGGCCTGCTCCTCCATAGCCGCCTTCCACTGCAAATTGGTGTTCAGAGCGCCAGAGAGGTCAGGTGTGGCTAGCACCAAGCGGGGAAAGCCTGGAGTTGTTGACCAAAAGAAGGGGAGCGCGGTCGGCAGGACAACCTCCCAGACTCTAAGCTTGCTAGTGACCTCTTGCTGCAGCCAGACAGGGATGCCAATGGTGTGCAGGTTCCCTGCCTCTGTGGCGTCATTGGTGTAGGCTCCAACCACAGGAAGGACTTGATCTCTGAAGTCCTCCGTTGGGAACCCCTCCCGACCACAGCCCCAGATCTCCTGAACAACCCTCCCAAGTATCTCTAGGCAGAGGCGTTGGACGTGGGCCGCTACTGCCAGGACAACGGGCTGCTGCCCTGGATGAAGGCGGAGGCGGTCTATAGCACGGATGACGGTGCAGCGCAGTTGGTCCCAGTAGGGGGTGTCGCACGGAATTTTGGTGACCATGAAGTCTGTCCAGACCACCGTGAAGGCAGCATAGAGTTTATAAACGAGGCCGTCTTTGAGAAGGCCAGTTTGTGCCCACCGCGCGGATACGAGTGACCAGTCTGAGGGTTCAAAGTGTTGCCATAACACCTCGTAGTCGGCCTCTTCACGTAGAAATCCATGGAGTGGCCTGGTTCGATGGCCTACAAGCTGGACTGCTGCCGTCGCAGACGTAGGGATGAAGGCCAGCCATCTGGTTTCGGCGTTGTAGAGCTGTGGACGGCGAGAGTATTCGTGGAGACCCCAAAGGCCGTCGGAACCTGCAATGATCTCACTTAAGGCCACCGCAAAGACTGGGATGTGGTCCGCATTGGGTGTAGTGAATGCGAGGTCACCACCAAAGCCAGGGGTGGCAAGGACGCCATCAAAGGCATGGATTTCACTGGGCTTTGGCTCTGTGATATGGATTAGTCCTTGTATCGCCCAAAATTTTGCATAATGGACGCACTTGGTAGCCTCTCTGTCACATGGAGGGGGTGGTTGCCTTCAGGAGGTGGGAGGGTCTTACGAGAAACTATTGCAAGGGCCAGACGGAGCATTTTGAGGCAGCAGGGGATGCTAGACAGGGAAGGGTGGGTGGGGGATGCTGAGACACCGTCTCGCAATGAACACAACAGCAACAAGGGCCGGACGACCGTCCGCCTCAAGCGTGTGGTAGGTGGTAGGGAAGAGGGAGGAAATTGCTGCACAAGAGAGGGCAGATGAGCTGGGCTTTGATCGAAAGCAGTTACCGCAAAACTTACCCACAAGGGCTTGAAGGAGTGGGCTTGGCGTGGATGGTATCAAGTAAAGCTAATCCTCCTATTTACTAGGGGCGATCAGTTGCTGCCGTGGGCTGGCACAAACGGCACCCACCTGCGTGGACGGATTGTAGTGAAAATGGGTGCTGAGACACCGTCTCGCAAAGTAACAGCAGAGGGACGGACGACCGTCCGCCTCCAGCGTGTTGTGTGGGAGGATGGGGGAGGGGGCTCTGGGAGCTATTATAAACCCCGTGGCTCGTACACAAGAGGTGGTTCAGGTGCACTCACCAGTCTCTACTAATGGGCTTCAGACGTGCCGCAGGGATGGGTTTGGGTGGTACTGGGGACTGGGTTGCTCCTCAAGGCTTATCCCGTCTAGCTGTGCATCAACACATGTTGGCAACGTGGCAGGGCAGCAGATGGCAGCATAGCAAGGGTGGGATGTGGGGACCGCTTGTGCTGGGCCAGCAATCCTCTACTGCGCGACACGCACCTCTTACTGATCTTGGCGCCTTGCATGGGCACCGTAGACAGCGAGGGGCAGGGTGTCGTGCAGGTAGTGGTGTGCTTTGAGCAACAACGCAGGGCATTGGGGCATTAAGCAAACAGGAAAACTTTGGGGCTCACCTGTTTCAGGAAACTACTTCAGGCCAACTCTTCTGCGGTGGATACTTGTAAGGGGGGTTGCTTAGGCAGTGTCAAGTGCAGCAGGAGGGTGGAGGACGAGGACGAGGACGAGAGTGGTGGTATAGGGAATGATGAGGTGGTGGATGACTGGAAACCCTGGGCGTTCTCGCGCTTGCTCGCCCTTGTGGCGCTTGTGGCTCCAGCTACCATGTCTCCGAATCTCTTACGCCCCCTTCAGTCTGATATTTTGGGTTCCCTGCTGTCCCAGAATTTGGTTGGAATTCCAGTACACAATGGAAGGGGTAAAAATACATGGGACTAGTAGCTATCGCCCACTGTCTGACTATCCGCCATATTCCACCGTTCGTCCACAATGCGCACTGCACGGTTTGTGAACTTCAGGAATTGGTGACTGCCAGGGGGGAGCTGGATGGTTTCAAGTGGGTGGGAGGCGACACTCGTCAGGCGAGACAGGAAGAGGGAAGAGAGGGGACTCACCGGGAACTGTACAATGCACTTTTTGTCCTTCGTCCCTGCCTTCCCGGGTCGGACACACGAGGCGCAGCACGCGGTAGAGCGCGTAGAGGACGTCGCTGACAGCCACGTACGGCGCCGCCAATAGCGCGTGCGGCGTCGGGGTGATGGTGCGCATCCAGGGGAGAAAGTCGCATACGATGGCGAGCGTCGGGAGCGTGGGGTGCGTCGCAGGCTTGCAGACGACCTTGGCGTGTCGGCGGCGTAGTACATGGCGGGAGCCGGGACGGAGAGCCTGAGGGTGGCGAGGGAGGCACACACGCACAGCTTGAGCGCACGCCATAGAGCGGGGTCTGCATCGCTAGCGCGCACGGGAGTTTGAGTGGGAGGAGGGAGCGCAACAAAGGGAACGGAAGGAGTACTTGCCAGGGTATGCGGGAACACCGTCGGGCTCGGGGGGTCGAGAACGGCATAGACGCGAAGGAGGGCGGCGCGGAGGATGACAAGGTGGAGGGCGGTGTAGATGGGGGCGACGGGCGCGCACGCAGGGACGTGAGGAGCGCGGGGGAGGAAGGTGAGGAGGCGTGCGGGTCTCCGCTGCGCATGGCATGATGGGGGTCTGCGGGGCGGAGCCGGGGGCGAACGTCGAGTGCGCAGGGGCGTGCGGGACATGCAGGGAGAGCTGCCTGAGGCGAGCGACATGGTGGGGCACGGATGCGGTGAGGGTGTCCGAGGAGCAGGTCAAGGTGGGTGCGGAGAGCGAGCCCGATTGCGGACGTCGACGCGGACAGTGGGAGGCCGTGGCCCGACCCGCGCCGACGCGGACGTGGAGGGCGGTGTGCCGGGCGTGGGCGAGCGGAGGGAGACCTGGGAGAGCGGCCGACGCATGGGCGATACACGTGGAGGTGGGCAGGGCGAACGAGCAAGGCGGACGCGGAGGACGCGGAGGAGGAGGAGGGCTGCGGAGGCGGATGCGGGCGACGTGGACCATGATTCGTGGCGGCCCCGATATCCTCATCTCCAGCGTCCTCCGCATGCCGTAGGGCGCGGGCGAGGCGGTGGGCGGTGAGGAGGTGGGCGACGCGCGAAAGTGGCCGAGGCGGAGGTGGGCGACAAGGCCGCGACGCGGGCGGAGGCGGGCAACGCGGAGACGGAGGGGGCGGAGGTCGAGTTGTGCAACATGGATGCGGAGGTTAAGGGCCAGGTGGAGGCAGGAGGGTGCCAGCCGGGGTTGCTTGTGCAGCTCGGGGGAGGGGAAATGCGAGGAGCAGAGAGAATGAGAAGCAGAGGGGTAAGGAAACCTGGAAAACCCACCAGAAATTGGGGTCGCGGGAGCTCACCGCGACCCGATAGAACGGCTGCGTGCGCGAGCGCAATGATGCCGCGGGGACGGACGACGGGCGAGGCGAGCTGTGGGATGCCGGCGAGACGGGAGGAGCGGGAGACATGCGTCGCTGGGCCCTGTGGACGACGCGGAGGTGGTGGTGGGCGACGCGAGGCAGATCCACGGGATGAGGGACACGGTGGAGGAGGCGGAGGGCAGCGTGAGCGAAGGCGACGCGAGATTCTCCCATAGGGCGCTTGCACGGCCGTGGCCGCAGGTCCCGCGGGCCGGCCACGGTTACCTGCGGGTGTGCCGCGGGTGCTCTGACCACTACCCGTACCCTCACCCGCGCGACCCCCACCCGTGACCCGCGCGGGTTTTGCATACCCATGATGATCCCAACTCGGGAGGTCGGAATTTTGGGCCTAGCACACCGTCGACCTTCCACCACCTTGTCTCCCCTCTGGCTCCGCTTGGCCGTCCTGATCTCATGCAGCCTTTGACTTCACCCTCATCTCGCCCTCCTCACCAGCCACGCCCCGGATCATCCACGTCTTGAAGAGGACAACGAGCCCCAGAGCTCTCTCTTGCCCGTTGTGCGGCGCCGCAGGTACACCAACGACTTCATATCAACTGAGCATCGCCAGGCCGCGCTACACGGTCGGCCTCAAACTCACGATGCCACGCCCACCGCATTCAAGGCCCCGGACGAACTGACGAAGTCGATGAGCAAGCAGGAAAAAGAGCCCGACCGACGAGTCGTGATCGTCGTTCTGCACTCCTCAGCGGAGTATGAGGATGGCGGGTGAGTGAGGCTCTCCAGATCTGTGTGGCCGCCCGAGGCATGATTCCGAGCGCAGGAAACGTATCGCAGGCCCGAAGCGTGGGTGACGCGGTCGCGCGCACGAGCGATGATGGGCGTATCGGCGACTGGAGCCCTGTGCACGCGACATTCGTCAAAGTCACGAGCCTTGCGGCACGCATCGGCGGGATCGGTGACGAGTCAACTAGTCAACCGAGGGCGGGGGTGGCTACTAGGACTTACACACCGCGCCAAACTCGCTCTTCCCACCCACGAAGGACCCGAAGGACGCGGATCGCGTCGACCACTGGGTGAGCACGGCGTCCACGCTCTCCACACCCCCGCCGTCCGACTGAGCGCACCTCGCCGCGCCTGACGCGAAGCAGCAGCAGACGCAATCCCCTGCAGAGACGCTGCCCACCCAGACAGAGAATCCGCCGCCAATCATCGTCACCCACCACTCCCCACGCGACAAGCCGCCACTGCCGTCCCCACGTGCGGATGACCCCGGCGCGTAAGAGTTCTTCGCCGAACAGTTCTAGCTGCGCGGACTCAACATCAACCTCACATACCCCCCCAGACCGACGGACCCTTCCCCACGCCCATCGACCACAATCCAAACGCCCCACCTCACGGCGCAAGTTCCTCAAGTCTGTGCTGGAGACCCACCCGAAGGACGTTTGGGCGAACGTGAAGGCAGGGGCACAGCGCGTGGACCCATTGTGGAGCCGGCCGCAGTGTTACGGGTGTGACGTTGTTGACTATGCACTCAACTTCTCGATGCTGTGGGGTGAGCGATAGATCTGTGCTTGGTATGCGCGCGCGCTGACTTATTTGTGGGCTTTGCAGATGTAGAACAATCGAAGTACGTGCCCAAGGCCATCGACGGGGTGTGTGGCACTGACGCGTGGCGGACGTGCAGGTCTACCGGGTTGATGACGGGCTCAGCCCGGAGTTCCTTCTCGGCGCCGGCTCCGCGTTCTTCAATGCTGTGTTCTCAGTGAGTGCCGTCCAGACGTACAGGGGGCGCCGTCTTCACTCACTTCACTGCGCAGACCGATAGCGTTCCTGGCCGACCTCGCGACGTTCGCGAGCGCGCAAGGCATCCATGTCATGCTGTACTCGGGCGAAAATGAGTCACTCGTGAGTCACGGTCGTCCCACACTCGCGCGAGAAAGCAGAGGGGTCTGACGTCACACGTCTTCTAGTCGTCACTCAGGTATTTGCTCAGGCTCTGAGCTTATGCAGCGCACGGTTTAGCCGTGATTCTCCTGGAATCCGATCGTCCGTCATCGTCCGTGCCCCAACATGGACGCCAGGCAGGTCTCTAGAAGCATCCGTCTTCCTAGGCCCGCGTGGCGACCAAGACCGCGGGGGCAACGGGAGCAGTGCATGAGCTGGCAACAGCGAGATCGGCTGCGGTCATGCCGCGATGGTCGGGCTCTGGCGTCGTCGGAGATTGAGCAAGGCTCTCGCTTTGGCTCTCCGTGCACCTCGGGAACTGCATCTCCATGCCGCCTCGCTGGCATCGTCCGCCCAGAGGCGGCCACACTCGCCCCTCGCGCTCGCTGCGAAGCTCGCAGGCTGACGATCACGCACGTCTACAGAACATGACCTTCGGTGGCACTGAAGGCTCCACCCGGCGGCTGTCCATGGCCTCGCAAGATGATAGTGGCGCGCTCGCCGGCATCGTCCGCGCTGGACGTGTGTCCTCTCCCTCCACACTGGCCACCTCGTCCCTCAAGGTGCGCCTGCCACTTCCTTGTAACTCCGTCGTTCGTCGCTCCTCCCTCCGTCGAGCCGCCTTCAGCCGTGTCATTCCCGCGCATTCGCGGGGTGGCATTGTGCCATAATCTCGAGAGATAGTAGATGCCTGCTGTGTTGTCACGTTCCTCCTGCTTAGTAGACGTCTTTTCCAATGTCAATTAGTGCACTCTCCCCCTCTGTGTGGGCCCCAATGTGCCGAGTGCGCGCAGAACGCGTGAACAAGTTCATTTATCGGTTTCTACTGATGTCTAAAAAGCTATCATTATGCCTTTTTATTCGACACTAATCCTGCTAACGACCGCTAGCCGTCGGGGGATTAAGCTCATTAGACTCATTTAGAGACATCAACTAATGACGATAAATATACTCCATTATGTCTCCACTGCGTGAGGCCCCTGCTGTCCATGTCGTTGATCACGAACCTCCTGAAGATCCCCACGCGGACGTCGAACGGGATCGTAAACGGGATGTTGTTCAGCACCAAGGCGCAGCGAGTGGTGCGCGATCTGCCGCTTGATGAGCGCACGCGCGCCCACTCCGCCCCCGATCGCGCCGTGTTCACCTGGCGCTCCTCGAAGATCGCGGCCTGAATGGCCGTGTTCATGTCGACGTGCGCGGAGAGCGGGCTTGGAATAGCACGTCAGTGTCTGAGCAGCGCGAGAGCGACGGTTGGCTGAGGCTTACACCGGGGTGACAGAAATAGCCGGACCGGGGTCAGTCGGGAGCATGGGGAAGGCCACGGTCGCACACTGTCGAAAGGCACTGCGAAGATCAGCACGCGTTCCCAGCTGCTTGAACCATGGAGAGGAAGGGCGGAAACTCACCGCCTGTTGGACGTTGGCGTGAGTCAGGCCGGCGTCCAAGTGCTCAGTAGACTTGGCGGCCGGGGGCAGCTGGATGGCCTCGGAGCAGTTGATCAGGTCGCGCTCATTGTGGCCAATAAGGGACATCTTGAGGAAGGCAGCCTTGAATGCCGACTGGAGCTTGGCCTGGTTGTTCACGAACGACTGCCACTCGCACGCGGTGCGTGGGTCGCGACTCGCGGGCGAGCTACAAAAGGACCAAAGCCCTAACCGAACACGTCTACATCTGCCGACCCGGAAAGTGCAACTACGAACTCACGCCTTGACCTCCTTCGTCGTATACACCGGTCGCGGCACCGCGCTCGGGACATCCTCGTCCGGGCGATCCGCGTCGAGTCGCCACACTCGACCTCATACCCGAAGTAGCCCCACATCGTGTGGATGTCGAGGTCGGCCTGTTCCTGATCGCGTGTGCCGATCACGCCCCGGTACTGGTAGACCTTGGTAGACTGACTCCGTCTGAGGAACGGCCCATAGTCAGCACGGCGCACGCAAGTGAAGGGCGCGGGAAGAGTAGTAAGAGGTTGGAACCGGAAGAGGAAGAGTTGCGTGCCGAACGAAGAACGCGAATGGAGAGGAGAAGATACTCACCAGACCGAGGGACACCTTAATCGCAGGCGCGCTCGGGGTGTACTTCTCCAGCGCGAGGTCCTCCTCCTCCGTCTTCTCCTCGTTCGCTTCGGCCTCCTCCATCTCAACCTCCCAGTCCTGCCCGACTGACACGACATCTTCCCTCGACGCAACATCCGCCTCGGCCCTCTCCTCGCGCTCAGCACGCATGATCAGCCGGACGACGTTCCGCGCCGCGACCTTGCCCTGGAAAGACGCATTGTGCCCCGCGTTCACCGCGCCGCATGCGTCCCCCGCGTCCCCGATCGCAAAGATGTGCGCCGCCGCGACGCGGGTCCCCGCGTCCTCGACGTCCTCGAGCTGCGCGTCCTCCGCCTGTGACGAGGACTCCGATGCGTTGTCAGCGGTCGCAGGCTCGGACGCGTCGGTTGAGGTAACATCAGCGGGGGAGGGCTCCATCGACGAGGGTCCGGCAGAGGTAGTGAGGGCCGTCGCGAGGGAGGTCGTGGAGAGGTCGGGGACAGCGGTCGGGGGTTCAAACTGGTGGACGGGCTCCGAGAGCTGGAGCGTGCGCCGGACGCGTGCGCCGGACGCGTGCGAGGCCCCTGTCTGGGCCATCGGCGGCGACACATTTTGGGAAGGCGTCCGGAGGAGAGGCGTGGTGGGGGTCTGGCCGGTGCAGAGCAGCTGCAATCGCGCGGGGATGAGCTCGGGCATGGAGTCAAGCATACCGGCGAGAGCATTTACCGCCGGCTCGGCCTGTACTTCGCGTGCGTTCTGTGTGCGGACGACGCGCCCGCCGTTGCTGTGCTTGATGTCGGCGAGTGAGGCGGGACAAGGTGGTCACCGAGGATGGTGCAAACGTTCAGTCCTGAGAGGTTAGAGATGATTGTTCATTCGTTGGCAAAACCGTGGTACATGAGAAACGATCACACTTACTCTCGCTGTGCATCGCCTCGTCAAACCTCGGCAGGAGACGATGACGAGAGTGCAGCAAGGTGCACTCGTAGCCGGATAGATCTCCGCAATGTCCGAGGCAAATTCTAGAGGGGATCAGGCGCGATTAGCACACCAGGAAATGCGGGATAAAGGTCTCAGATCGCAGACATTGAATGGGCCAGCCAGATCCGACGACAATGACCCATCCCATGATGACATCCGCGCGCCCACAAAATAGCAGTGGCCCAGGACTCCAGCCAGCCTCTACGATAGCCACTGCAGCACACAGAACGCCATCGCGGCAGCCTCGACCGTGTCTCAAGTGCCATGGTACGCACGAATGCGCAGCCAACGCCCAGGGCCCGGGCAAGCCACTAGCCGCGGGCGCCAGGACACAGAGACTGCGCGCGATCGAGCAACCACACGGCGGCGCGTTCATGACGGTCCACCGACGGGAAGGCTGCAGCGGAGGGCAGGGGAAGATGCGGGGACAGTGCGCGGGGTGAAAGGAAAAGTACTCACGGATATCGAGGCCACCCCCACCGACGACCAACCGGCGCGCGCGAGACGCGGCGTTGGGACTGCTTGAGGAATGCGACCCCGCCCTGCTTCGTGCCGCGCGCGACGTCGAGCACCTCCGCCTTCTCCAAATTCTCCGCGGCGGGGTTCCAGAGGTTGATGGGCGAGGGGAGGTGCGAGCTGAGGGCGTAGATGAGGTAGTCGATGCGGAGGGTCCGGTCGGCCTCGGAAACGCCGTGCTCCGGGAACGCACAGTCAAGGGTGAGGCCTTGAGGGTGTGCGTCGCTGGAGCGACATCACGGATGCGCGTAGCAGCACCGTGCGTGCGGGGTCCGTGTATGCGGGAGGAGCGAGGGAGTCGGGGGTGGAGCCGGTGCGCGAAGGGATGAAGACATTGTTGTAGGGGATGAAGGCCTTGTGCTCATGGCCAGGGCGGACGGCGTACCGGGGGAGGACTAAATATGGTTGATGTGCGAGTTGCGGTCGACGAGAACGAAGCGCCAGCCGTGGGGGAGGCCCTGTACGAGGAGAGCGGCAGCGCGGGCCCCGTAGTCGATGGCGCACGCGAGGACGAGGGTGGTGAGGGAAGTGGATGCGCGGAGGTTGCAACATTGAGCGTGCGCCTTAGGGCGGGTACTGCATCGCGAGCACGCACGGGGCGTGTGAGCGGGAGGAGGAGCGGGCGCGATGAAGGGAACGGAAGGAGTGCTTACCGGGATACGTGGGAACGCCGTCGGGCTTGGGCGGTTGAGAACGGCGTGGGCGCGAAAGGAGGGCGGTGCGGAGGATGGCGAGGTGGAGGCGGACGAGAGGGCGTGCAGGGAGGTGAGGAGCGTGGGGGAGGCTGAGGCAGAGCCGACGTGTGCCGGGACACGACGAGCGAGCTCGCGCCCGACGCGGGCACGGACGTGGAGGGCGGTGCGCACGGCGTGGGCGACGCCAGGGAGACCTGGGAGAGCAGCCGGCGCATGAGCAACACATGTGGAGGTGGGTGAGGCGGACGAGCGAGGCGGACGCGGAGGATGCGGAGGAGGAGGGCTGCGGAGGCGGAGGCAGGCGACATGGACGTCCCCGCACAATGCAAAAGAGTGGAGGGGGGGGGAGGCAGGCGAGCGTACGTACTCACCGAACTAAAAAGAGGTCGCCATAACTCACAGCAGCCCCGATATCCTCATCTCCGGGGGGAGGACGTCCAGGCCGACGTCCTCCGCATGCCGTAGGTTTCGGGAGCACAGGCCGGGCGAGGAGGTGGGCGAGGAGGAAGGATGCGGCGCGGGCGGAGGTGGACAATGCGGTTGCGGAGGGGGGCGGAGATCGAGGTGTGCAACATGGGACGCGGAGGTTACAGGTGGAGGTAGAGGAGGTCCGGGAGGACGGGCGGCCATGGTAGCGAGGAGGACGGCGAGGATAAGAGGCGGGCGGAGGGGATCGAAACCCATGGTGAGTAGAGTAATCTACCACGGCCGCGGCCTCGTGGACAACGCGTCGTGGGGAGGGAGGGGGTGGAGACGGAGGGTGCGGAGCAGCTGTGAGGTTGGAGGTAGACGCGTTTGCATGAATGAGACGGAGCGCCCGAACTCGGGTCGGATGCGGGGTAGCGCGCGTCTTCCGCGCGCTGTGCGCGCCACCTCACAGCGTACACCCTCCCGTCTCCTTCTCCTCAGTCGTCCGCGCTGATCTCAAGCATCTCACCTGGAACAAGAGGCCTCGCGGGGCCCGGAAATGGTGCGTCGCCTACCTTTCTGCGCGGCGCCCCCCCAACGTCCCGACCCGGCCCGTGATGCGAGGTCGCTGCCTAGCTTCCCTGCCGCACTGCCTACGGACTCGATGCTTGAGACCAAGGTATGCGCGCGGGGTGCAAACGGAAGCAGCAGGGCTGCGGTGGGGGCACTGGGACGTCGCGCAGAGCACGCCCATTAAATGGCCTGCCTGCTAACATGTCCCCTGTGGTGGCGTCAGGAGCGCCGAACAAGATCGGGCTGCACATACGCAGCATTCGGCGTGTACCACCCCACCGCCCAATGGGAGGAGGAGGGGAGCGTACCAGAGGGCACCGGGATCGATGCCCAGGATATCCAAGTGTCCGACTACGACTTCGACAGTGCAGCCCACCGCGCAGACTTCAATAACTGGCGCATTCTCCGCCGAATGGCGTCGGGGAGACGCGTACCCTCCGAGGTCGACGAGTTGTCCACGCACGATTCTGAGGATGGTGAGCCCAGCCCCCCAGAAACGGCCCAGCTGACCCTGACGACCCCCGCCTTGTGCAGAGCAACAATATCAACACAACGATATCTTTGTCCCGTCAGATGGGGAGGAGCTGGATGACGACGACGATGCCTATGAGTCCTCTGAGGATGAAGGCGTCCATGTCGCCCTCCCCCCGCCCCCGCCCCCAGCCAAGCGAGCTCGACTAGATCCCCAGGTGGATGCACATGGTGAGTCGTCACCACCTTCACCCTGCGCCCCCACTATCCCATACCACCTACTGCGGAGGGGGACGGTCGTCCCTCCCTGCGCATGTAGAGCCCTTGCGAGACGGTTGTCTCAGCACCCCCTACTCCAAGAAGCCGCTGTATGAAGCTCTGACCGCGTTCCACAGATGTTGGGGGACGGAGTGATGTCCCGAAGGTGCCTCGCGACATGCTGGTCAATGACCGGCCGCAGGCCATCCACCGCCCATCACGAGCGCAGAAGCACCTCTCTCCATCTGCGCCTGATGTGGGGCAAAGCAGGCTCAGCGAGGAGGCACGACGCACCCGCAACACCAAGCGTGCGGAGAAGCTCAAGAAGAAGCGGCGTCTTCAAGCGGCTGAAAAGGCGGAACAGCGCACCTCCCAGGGGAATCTTCTCCCCGACATCCCAGAGAAGATGGCGTACACCCGGCGGCACTTGGGGGCAGATGAGACCGTCCTCCCAGATGTGTCGATGCACCAGTACGGCGTCAACAAGTACGCGTACGAGACAAAGAACAGGCCTGTTGATGTGGAGGAGGTGTGCAACCTCGAGTACGCCAAGAAGAACTTCACGGAGATCAAATGGGACGGCGTGTAAGTTCTTGATGTTTGACACACGCTCAGCGGGGCTGACTCCTGGCTAGGCGAACACACCGCATACTTGATCGGCACGAGAGGGCCATTGTAACACTCTGCCCAGGACCCGCAGATGCTGATGGCTGGCACAAGGACCTAGGGGAGCTGGGCGGGGACTTTCAGCTCTTGGCCGAGGAGTACGAGGAGGACGTCCCTGACACGAGACGAGGAGCGTATGTGGCGGTGGATACTGGGGTTTCTATGGGGATGGGTTCAATGGTGAGTGCTGATACAGCCTTTGAGGAAGCAACATTGCTGACTAGATGACAGGAACCAGCTCGATGGGTAAAGAAGACCAAGCGAGCAGAAGATCTAGAGGAACGCCTCTTGGGGAACAGAATATTGGGCAATGTGGCAGGGTGGCAAAGCAGTGAGTACTTAGGACGTGTAGTGCACAATGTCTGACAATGACAATGTAGCGTTGCTCTGTTATGCATATCCCAGGATCTGGCTTCGAGCTCGCCACACCATGGCACGTCTTCGCCAGCGACGACCTCACGTCAAATTCAACTTTCCTGGCCGCACAGTCTACAGCAGCATGACGGCCAACATGGGCCCACAGACAGTCACGCTTCCCCATCTGGACAGCCTGAACTATCCAGGCTGTCCGTGTGCGGTTACGGCGTGGGGCCACTATAACCCTGACCTTGGGGGACACCTTTACTTCCCCACCCTCCGCATCTACATCAGATTCCCCCCTGGCTGTACAGTGTTCCTTTCATCTGCAGCTCTCAGGCATGGTAACATCGCGGTGCAAGAGGGGGAGATAAGGTACTCTGTCACTCAGTACATGTCAGGTGGACTGGTGAGGTGGGTGCAGGCGAAGGGGCGGCGTGTTAACCAGATGTTGGGCGAGGGGGAGCGCACGAGGGTGGATGGAGCACCGGGCGATAATTGGAAGCGGCAGATGGCTCGCTTCCCCACCCCTGCGACGTTAGAGTCTCAGAGGGAGTCAGTTCGCAGGCAGGCGTTGAAGGAGAAGGCCAAGCGTGAAGAGTGGAAGGGCAGGTAGATAACTTGGCTACTAGTGCCTTATTAAACCACATCCTGCCTTTGTGCTGCGACACCGCGCTTGCCCCCAACATCCAACACTTTGGTACCTGCAATGTGATCAGGTTCAGAGTTGTGCATGGCACGCTCGTGTTCGGCACGTCACCTCGATGCGCGCCGCCATGCCTCCACTGCGACTGCTCATGGATGCGTGTGGGGGTGCGGCGGCGGCATTCCGGAGGACCCGCAGTTCAGGAGACGTGGTGTGGGGACTGCGAGGTGTGCAAGCGCGACCTCGAGCATACACGAGTGGACCCGGCGCAGATTCCAACCTACCCTTAGACACGTTCACCATGTTGCGCCCGCAGCGTGTGTGCATGCAGCTATTCTGTTTGCGAGTACTCCTTTATTGGTGCGTGAAAGGGTGCTGCGCGAAGCGCGGCGACGCTTGTGTGATTGGTGCAGTTGGAGTGGGCATTAAGCGCCCTGTAGAAGCGTGGGAGACAGTGACTATTGGTGATGTGGGCGGCTAACCCTTTGCTGTCAGCTCCTCTCATCACGACGACAACCAAGCCTTTCCTCTCTCCTCTTCTACTAGGGTCTTCAAACCAAAGATACTCTCAAAGTGCACCTTGGTGGGATATGAGTGGCCCTGGGGGTTCTCAGGCAAAGATGAGCTCCCTTCGACTTTTTATCATCCACCCAGCACACATGAGGGGGACGGTCGTCCCTCCCTCTGTGTCGTTGGTTTTGGCGAGACGGTGTCTCAGCCACTTCTTTCCAATGTGCTTTTGGCTGTGGAGGGGGACGGTCGTCCCTCCCTTTGCATGCTAGGCACTTGCGAGACGGTCGTCTCAGCACCTCTCTACAGTGCATATTCTGGCCACCTTCTTACTATGGGAAGTGATACAGGTATATGCCGCCACTGCTATGTATGGAAGTGCGCTCATACTAATGCCCATCTTGTAGGGTGGATTTTTGAAGCCCTCCGACTTTTTCCGGATGCATGTGATGAATTGTGCCCACTGTCTCAGAGCGGAGGCTCTCGGGTGGGAAATATTTTCTCCTTGTTGGCGCATTGGCTGACTGCCTCCGGTTTAATCCGTGGCATTGTTTTTATATGCAGCAGGCGCCTTGGGGGCTTCTCATCGTCTTTTTTCTCCCCACCAACATACCAGCACAGTTGGCGCTACGCCTGCGGTTCTTTCCTCACGCTCAGTAAGTTCGTTGATCACAGCCTTAACCTAGGTGCTGATAAGTTCACGTAGTCTATGTCGGCCTATGTTCTAGCTGAATGTCGTGGCGTCAACCCTGGCGGTTGTCCTTTGAAGTGCTGGCTTTACCAGGATAGCGAGGATCCCACATACGGTGCTGATCCTACAACACCAATCACATTCCCTTGCTCTCATCTTCACCACCCGTGTGTTTTCTGCCGGTGCCCTGGAGGCGCCCATCTTAGACCTTTGGAAGTTCCGTCTGGTCAGCAGGTGAGCATATGTTATTATTGTGTAGGCCATCTACTAAAGTCCTACACAGGCTGCCTCTCACACTCCTTTGAATAACCCTGCTCCACCTCCTGCCTCTGGTGCTGCCCCTGCTCCTTCCCAACCAGGGCCTGAAAGTGCACCGTCATCGTCCAAAGGCAAGGGTCGAGAAGAGCCTGCCATCCCATTCAGTTTTCCGTCGTTCAAGGAGCAGGCTAAGCTCCGAGAGGAGAGAGCTCGGAATGGATTTCTTCCTAGTGGAGTTTCTGCTCCATTCGATCCTACGGGGAAGGTGAGTCCCACCAATTAGCTGGCAAAGATGTTTTTAACACACCTCTCAAGGCCTACCAAGCTTCTACTCAGCTGGGAGATGCTCCACCCAAAAAGAGGCGTCGTCAGACATCCCCCTCGGCCTCAACGTCAGCACCGACATCAAAGCGCCAAGATAAGAAGCCCAAAAAGACGGCCACGTTCACTATCAATCTCATTCCAGAGACCAGAGAGGTGGACAACGGCACACGCAAGAGGCCGACAAGCCAGCAGTAAGTGAATAATCATGGTTCCTTTTCTTGCTCTAACACCATATCCAGACTGGGCGAAATGGATGATGCTGGCTTGATTCGCAAGATCTCTCTGGTGGTGGATGCCACTGGGGATGAGATTCGTGCTGGGATCCAGAGCGCCTTTATTGATGACCGGTTCAACCTCACGGAGCTTGGATGGCGCCTCCTTCAGGTGTTCAGAAACGGGCGTAACAACGGCGTCACTGTTCGTCCTATGGCCGATGGCTCTAACTCTCAAGTCACGTACGATTTGGTACAAAAGTAAGTTTATGTGTTTGCCCTAGGAGCTATAGTGCTTATAACAGAGTTAGAGCTCGTCGGGACGCTACGGTTCGGAATGCAGGCCCAGCCTATGGGTCACTCGTCTATATCGCCCTGAAGAAAGAGTCTGGCAACCTGTACCTAGATCACTACGAAGGAGTTTACGGAGACTCTACTGATGGGAGTGAGGAGGTGATTGACATGGCTGATGATGAGATGGAGGTAAGTGCTTTTACCCAGATAAACGTGCTGTGTGCTCAGGTTGTTCTAGAATGATGACAGCTTTCAAGAGGACGTCAATATGGACGGCGATACAGAGGCAGGTTCTCTTTCCTATAATGTATTTGCAGTCTTTGACAGTGCTACTAGGCATCGTGTGCGAATACCAGCTCAGGGCCATCAGGCGGCACTAGCCAAAGTCCCAATGAAGAGCCAGAGCATAGGTCTACGTCTACTTCTGCTGGTGACTCAAAGCCTCCAAGGCGCTTTTGGGTGAGCACCTCGGTGATAGAAGAACCTGTGAATTCTGACTAGCATGCAGTTTGTCGAACCGAAGGCCCTAGGGGTGCTGAAGTCTATGCTGGACAGCATGACAAAGCCTCCGCAGGATGAGAGCTGGGTGAGTGCAGTCAGTGCTAATATATGTGGAAGTTCTAAAGGCTCTTTCTAGTACCCCACTCGCAAGCCGTCTAGTCCCTACAAGGCGTACTTTGACAACAAGGACGCAGTGGACCTTGCTGTTGCAGGTCTGATCCTATCTCCTGACAATATTGATGCCCTCTTTGCTGTCCTCCCCTCATGCTTTTATGAACACGTAGATTTTCTTTCTCACCTTGTTGACAGCACGCAGCTTCAGTCGTTCAGCATAACTGATACCCCCTTTCCTTATGAACGCTCTTCTATTTATTGGAACTCCTTCGCTCTTGGTCATTTGGGTATTCATGACATTGTTAATACTTTTTCGAACATTTCCGAGGCTCTGGTCAACTACACTTCCACAGATTATGC